CGAGTTGTTACCTCCTGAGAGTATACCAGATGTAATGAAGAGTCTCTTCTTGCTACGTGGACCTAAGGATGAAGCTCCCTGACATGCACCCCACCTCTATCTAACTCATCTTTGTCGGGTGACAGCTGTCGAAGAGTTGTAAAGTCAGTATTTTTTTGCTCCACGTGGTGACAGTTGTCGGAGACAATTCAACAACTCATTTTATTGATTTCTAAACTTCGTAAAAAGATCTAGCGATTGGCCACATCATCATTGTCCAAGGAGAGCCTTCGAAGCCATAGACACTATACTACAATCTTCTCGAATGCTCAGGATTCCAATGTATTGTCGACGCATCGTTGTTGCGATATTGGAACTCTATTTTATTATTTTTTTAATTAATTTAACTTCCATCATCATTTTTTGGACTTTGAAAAGAGGTCCAATGAATATATAAGTCGTTCATATCTAAGGAGAGCCTTTGAGGCCATGGACATCATTCGATGACCCTCCCAAACATACAAAATTTTAATGATCACTATTGCGAAGTCGGAATTCTATCTTTTCTATTTTTAACTTAATTTTTACTTCATTTAATGATAATTTTACGATGTCAACTTTCTAAGTTATTTTTCATTCAATTACAATTCTTCTCGCTGTAACAAATCTTTATTTGACCAAATACATCGTTTGTAATCGCTTACATAAGAATCATTGGGTAGAACCTTATTTTTGTCTAATTCAAGTTCGTTGAAGTGTTGACATCATCATGACATCCGCACCCTTTATTTTCCTTTTTTGATATATTTTAAATATATTTTATTTTTATTTCTTAGTCTAAAATTCATAAAAAATATATTTTTTAATAAATAAATAAATATTACTCAATGTTATATTACATTCTTGTGATCGATTTAGAAATTTTTTATTATTTTAGAAATTTTATTGAATTATAATTAATTAATTTATTCCGAAATACTTCTAAATATTTGAAAATTAGTATTTTCTAGTTTTATAAATTTTAAATTTCTGTGATTTATTATATAACAACTAAGTCACATCAGCCTCTCATCTATTCTCATGCCACACCTCTCTCCTAATACCCCACTCTTCTTTCTTTATCCTCTCTTTCTCCAACCCAAAATAGTTTCATCACATTCTAGTAGATTTAACTTGGTGTCGTCGATTTACAAGAGATAGTGGAGATTCATACTCTTAAATCCTAGCTTCTATCTTTATTTGATGTAATTTTTATTTTAAAATAAATATTTTTTAAAATGCTTTCATTTGATTATCATATAAATTATTTATCTTTGTAGAACACAAAATTTATTAAAAATGAATGAAATTATCCTTGTGAATTTGACTTGAACTCACCCTAATATTTTATGATTATATTTTTAAATATAAATTAAAATTTACATATATCATTTATTCTACAGTAATTAGTGCACATCTGATCCCAATGCTTGACCTTCTACAACTATTGGGTGCGCTACAACAACGCTCAAAGACTAATGGGTGTTGGTGAGGGGGAGCTCATCTATGTAAATGCCACCAACAATTGAAGGTTGGCTGGTAATTGCAATGGTTGATGTCAGGGTGACTCTAGCTTTCCATCTAAGAAAGGAGTGTCTTAGTTGAGCTTAACCATATCATCAAAAGTTTATCACCTTAGTGGTAGGTATCAAAACTAGTGTCACATATGGATCCCAACAACAAGTCTGATGATAGGAGAGTCTAGAAGACTTCACAAATGTGCCTATAAATAACTTTGGTGGCATTTTAGGTATGAAATTCTTAAGTTTTGTCTTTAATGGTGTCTAAGTAAGATTTCTGAAGTGGTTTTATGAACATCAAAATAAGGTTAATAAGGTGCACATAAGAAGTACACTAAGCAATGCACATTCAATTACAAGCAAACATCATACAAAGAAGGCACTATGGTGCAAATGTTTTTGGATTGGGAAACAAATTTTTGAATCTTTTGACGTTTCTAGGATTTGAGTGTGTTGGGTCCAATTTAGGAAGACACTACAATCATTAGGGCATTTTTTTTTTTAAGTCTTAAAAGCATTTTGATGAGGTGAAAGGTTATTTCAGTTACTTCACACATGATAAAAATATGAAATTGAAGACATTAACTTTATATTAAAATTATTCCTTGACGATTTATTTATGAAATGTACAACAAATTCTTCATTAAAATTATTTTTTATATTTATCACAAATAATGTTTTTATGTTTAATTTAATTAAGTTATATTAGTAATAATCTCATATAATGAAAATAACCCCATATTAACTTTTAGATATGTTTTGGAAAGTTAAAATGATGACTAACTTAAAGAATCAGATAGATTGTAACAATCAAGATTTTTGATTTGATATAAATTTTACAAAACATGAAAATATAGATTTACATGTATTTTTAGATGAGGCCAATGTGGGCTGTTTAGGCATCGCCCATTGGGGCTTAGTTCTAGCCCACTAAAGCTTAAAGACATGGCTCGTTCAAGCGCATCCCATCAAATCTCAATGTTATAGTCTGCTTAGGTGCAACCAGATCAGGTTCAAGGGTAAAGTTCAATAACGTGTGACTATTGAGTCTCAAAAGACTAACAGTTTAGTCAAATTTTGCTATTTCTTTCTAATCCCAACTTAGTCAATTGTATTCATAGGAGTAAATAGTGAAACACAACAAGAAAATCATTGAGAAGTGGACGTAGGCCCAGGATGGACAAAATCTAATATTTTTTTATTAGCCCAATGTTAAGATAAATTAAAGTTGAGAACCATTCCTGAGAAGATTCAATCGTATTAGATTTGTCTTATGAATCTTTAGAATTTTATTGAAGATTAAGATCTATAAAAAAATTACGAGAGGAATAGATTTACACCACATCCTTTCTCTAATCCTAACTTAGCCATTCTAGGAACCAACATGTGCCAGCTTTTAAATGTGAGAAAATTATAGCCTTATATGGTTTAGTATATTCAACAATGTTTTGAGAAGTAAACACACACTTCTTGTGCCAAAAGATTAATTTTGTAGAATAAAAGTGAAACTCCTTACAACAAAAATATATATGATTCTAGTCGAAGCCATGACAATGTCTCCAACAACACTCACCACGGAGAGAGAGGTAGAGAGAGTGAGAGGGAGGGAGTGAAAGAGAGAGAGAGAGAGAGAGAGAGAGAGAGAGAGAGAGAGTAAATAATTATTGAATTATCAAAAGATTGACTGTTTTTTATATGTTATTCCCAATTTAAGAAGAAATTAAGCATTTTGCTAAGTAAAGATGCGTAAACGAAATAAAATTAAAATGTATAAGTATTTTTTTAAAAATACGCAGTAGATAACTTTAGTGGGATCTCCGTTCAGTCGTCCACAGTGGACCGAGCTCTCCTGGTGAGGAGGTCGGCTCGTCGAGGTACGACGTTGGAGGTTGAGGGGTAAAAGCCGTCGCTCTCAGACTGTAGCAGCCACTCGCGGCGCCCCCGCCATGTCCGAGGGAGGGGGGACCGGTGGCGGCTGCAGCGGTGCCAGAGGGAGAGGCCTTCAGTGGACAAGGACGGACGGTGCGACAGGAGAAATGGGATATCTGGCTTTCCCGATCTGCCTCCTCGCCCCACCACCGGAGCAGTTAATGCCTCTGTCGGGGCCGGGGAGAAGAGGAAGGCCCACCCTCCAAGGCGGTGGGCGGTGGGCGGTGGGCGGTGAGGATCGCCGTTAACGGCGGCGGGTGGGTTTCTCGCAGAGCTGTGGCTGTTCGCCGGAGTTGGGAGAGACGATGGCCTCTCCTTCCTCAGGTCCCCTTCCCGTCTTTTCTCCTCCTGCCAGACCCTGCTTATCGGGGCTTTGTTTATTTCCTTCCTTCTCGGTCTACGAGGTCGGGCATGACTTGTCCCTGCCCGCTGCCGCAGGCCGGAGGGAGGGAGAGGACTGTCGGCGTTCCCCCGGCCACCGGAGATGAGGCCAAGGCCAGATAAGACTAGCTGTTTCCAGCGACGGCGTGCCGAGGCCCGTACAGTAGACAAACGCCGGCATCATCCTCGTCTTCTCGCGAGCGAGAGAAGGGCCGTCGGATCAGGAAGAATTGAATACTGTGGAGGAGTAATTTGCGGATTTGACTGAAATAGGAGCCGATTGATGGGCTTGGTTCTCAGAAGCTTTCCCTCTGCATGCAGGAAGTGGAAAGCTTTACGTTGTTCCTCCCCCCCTCCGCCCGCCGGCCATTCCATCTCCGGAGCACGTGGGGACAGAGCGGCGACCCCCCAAAGCTCACGGGGTGGAGAGAGACAGAGATTCAGAGCAGAGAGTCGTGGACTGTAGTGTGAGAAAGAACCCCCCGGCAAGGTCGCCCGGGAAAGCGGAGCGGCCAAAGGTCTCTGTGGCTGATTTAAACCACTCATCAGAAGGAACAAGCCCCTTGATTCTTTCTACACTCGGGCGTCAAGTTTTTATCGTCTCTCTCTCTCTCTCTCTCTCTGTCTCTCTCTTCTGTCAAAGGAGAGCGGCGGAGAGGGCGGGCGGTTCGGGCTGACAGGGAGAGGGGGAGGGGGGAGGGGGGAGGGGGGAGGTAAAGGGTGGGAGCAGGGGCAGGAGGGGCCCTGTTGTGGCAGCAGCGCAGGAGGCAGCAATGGCAGCGCCAGCGGCGGCAGCAGCTGCTCTGGGAGAGAGCAGAAAAGCGGAGGTCCTATTTTATCATCTGGGCCGCGGGAGCGCTACCATCGCCACAGGAGCGTGAAATGAAGACCCAGAAAGCGAGGGGGATTATCTTAAATTGAGAAGACGGCGAGGATAGCGAGAGAGGAGAAAGCGCTGGTGGTAGAGAAAGGAGAACAGCAGGGTAGGGTTGTGCCCACGGCACGGAATAGAGAGAAAGGGGGACGGCTTAGTAGCCACTTCCCTCCGAAGGACGTCTAATCAGACACCCATGCGTTGTCAAGGGGGAGCGGGAGAACTGCAGCTTCCTCTTCTCTCTCCCTCTCCTTAACATTCCATCTTTCTTCCGAATGATGACGGGATTCGACCTGAACATAGTCCAGGAGGAGGACGGCGCAGAAGAGGGCACGGAGGCCTCACTGGCGGCGCCCCACGCGCAGTCCTCTTCTTCTATTTGTCTCGAGCTCTGGCGCGCGTGCGCGGGGCCGCCCATATCGCTGCCGCAAAAGGGGAGCCTCGTGGTGTACCTCCCGCAGGGCCATTTGGAGCTGGCGGCGGCGGACGGCGGCGGCGACGGAGGTCCCGCCGGAGCGACGTTCCCATCGGGTGTGCCCCCGCACGTCTTCTGCCGGGTCGTCGACGTTAATCTCCACGTCCGTCTCCGCCCTTTTCAGCTCAAATTTCTCCAAGATTGTAATTTTTTCGACTGGGTTTTCTCTGCCACTTTAATTTTTAGTGTTCTGGGTTTTCGTTCCAGGCGGAAGCGTCGACGGATGATGTGTACGCGCAGCTCTCTCTCATGCCCGAAACAGAGGTCGAGTCCTTCCCCACCTTGATGGAGCGAGAGAGAGAGAGAGAATGAATTAAATGATAAATAAATCGATTCTAAACATCTGAGATGGTTGACTGCGGAGTCTTGTATTGCTGCTTGTTCTAAGGAAGCACGATTTTCTCCTTTTTTTATCGTATCTGCTTGATTTTCTTCCCCATTTTCTCTCCTCTAAATGCGAATTCCTTCTGGAGCAGGAATCTCTGCAGCAGCTGCAAGAAGGCGAGGGCGAGGAGGGCAACCAGGAGGCCGGCGGCGCCGCCAAGCCGCCGGCAGCGACCCACATGTTCTGCAAGACGCTCACCGCCTCCGACACGAGCACCCACGGCGGCTTCTCCGTCCCCCGCAGAGCCGCTGAGGACTGCTTCCCACCACTGGTACCCAAATCAGACTCTGTCCACCTCCATCCCACTGAAATCACACTATGGATTCGGCTTTCTCCTGCCCAAGAAAACTAGGGTCGACCTGGGCGTGTTCTTCCCCATTGTTTCAGGACTATAATCAGCAGAGGCCTTCACAGGAGGTCGTTGCGATGGATCTGCATGGCACAGAGTGGAGATTCCGGCATATATACAGGGGTACGAATTATTTAAAATCTATACGACGAAACCTTAATAATATCATTCCATATTGAGTAAATTTGACACCCCTTCCCTCTTGAAGGTCAACCACGGAGGCACCTGCTCACCACCGGTTGGAGCGCCTTCGTCCACAACAAGAAGCTCGTCTCAGGCGACGCGGTGCTCTTCCTCAGGTGGGCATACCCTCAAACACTGGAGAAACTTTAGCCGATTTAATTTCATGGCCATATGAGTGATATGAGTGAGTCTCTTTCTCTGGTTCGCCAGGGGTGATGATGGAGAGCTGAGATTAGGCATCCGGAGAGCAGCTCAGCTCAAGAGCGGCGCTCCACACTCGGGTCTTGGCATGCAAACCCCTAACATCGGGGATCTCTCCGACGTGGTCAACGCCTTATCATCAAGAACTGCGTTCCACATTCGCTACAATCCGAGGTCTGTGAGGATTTCCAGGGTTTACCTGCCAACCCTAGCCCAGACCCTGATCTTCCGCAAAACCCTTCGCAGGGCGATCCGATCGGAGTTCGTTCTACCCTATTTGGAGTTCTTGAAGAGCCAGGGTAGTTCATACTCCATTGGAACCGTATTCAAGATGAGGCGAGGCAGCGGAGATGCTGCAGAGAGGAGGTCCGCCCCCATCTGACCCATCTGTACTAAAACTGTTTTTTTTTGTGTACAGTGTTTGAAGTGGCCCCCAAGTCCTTTTCTGACAAGTCTCTTAAATCTTGTGTTTTTTATTACACCTTTCATCATCAGCTACACCGGGTCGATCATCGGCGTCGGCGACCAGGATCCGGTTAGGTGGCCTGGTTCACAGTGGAGGTGCCTTCTGGTATGATCTCCGGTTCATCCCGCATCCTCGCGGAGCCCATTTTCCTTTCTTTTCTTTTTTTTTGCATTTTGATAACCTGAAGATAGTTCTTGACTTGGGATCCCCGATCTTTCTTTTTTTTCCCCCCGTTGTTTGATTATTTCCTGAAGGTGAGGTGGGACGATGGCATGGAGATTAGCGGAAGGAGCAGGGTATCACCTTGGGAAATAGAGCTGTCTGGTCCGGCTCCCGGCTCCGGCTGCTCCTCGGGGCCTCCTCCGAAGAGAAACAAGTTCGCCCTCTTCTCCGCCGTCGGGGGATTCCCAGCTCCCAGTAGGTCTTCCCCTCTGCCCAGAAGATCGCTTCATCAGATTTATCTTTCCTTTTAAAGTAGCCTTCCTCGCTCTTCTCTCTGCAACGGGAAGTGGACGCCCAGGCTTCGGGGATCCGGCCGGATTCCAAGAAGGGGTCTTGCAAGGTCAAGAAGTCTCGGGTTTCAGCGCCGCCCGTCATGATCCTCGCCCGTCGATCGGTCGACTGTTGGAGACGAGGAGGTGGGTTCCTGAGGTCGTTTCTCTCACGACGCCGGAATATGCCGCCGCCGGCGAAGGCTCGGGCTTTGGGGAAGCTGTCGGGTTTCCGAAGGTGTTGCAAGGTCAAGAAAAGTTTCCTTCCAGAGCGCCGCTCGAGGGGGTTCACGGCGGCGTTTGGCCGCCGGTGCAAGGCGTCGGGCTCGGCCCGTTCGGAGGAGCTCATCTCTCCGGCACATCGTCGGCGCAGCCGGCGCAAGCTTCCTCGCCGTCCTCCGTGCTGATGTTTCAGCAAGAGCCGCATCAGTTTCAGCGCTGTTGGTGGTCCTCCGCCACCGGCCATGGCGCGGACGGTGACGGCCTGAAGCTGGCTTCCTCGTCGGACCCAACTTCCCACTTTGGTGAGCGGCCTATCTTTCTGCATGGTCTTCTTCAGGAATCCCTGTGAATTCGGGAACTAATCTTCCGCTTCTCCGGTCTTTGAAGCAGATCTCCGAGAAGGGAAGGGTTCTCTTTCTGGCGGTAGCACCGGCTGCCGGCTCTTTGGATTCTCCTTGGTTCTGGGCGGCGCCGCCTTGCCTGCTGGATCTTCCTCTGAGGCTCAAGGTGGGAGATTGGCCAAGTCTGTGGGGCGGATCTGCACAAAGATAAGCGACTGATCTTCATGGCTGTCCACTTCTGCAGGCAGACTGAGGTCAACGCCTGATTTTCTCTCCCCATTATTGGCCGGAAGCTTCGAGCCCACAACGGGCAATCAAGGGGAGTGTAGCGCCGGGGAGTCATCGATCTTTTAAAGCTCGGCGGGTATGATGATGTATGGAATTATAGTCGGACTTTTCTGATTCTATGCTATTCAGATCTCTGATTATGCCCTAAATCTGTCAACGGGTCATTGGAGGGGCTGGCACTGAGAGCTACAATGCCAATCACTTTTGGCCCAATTGAGCTTTTTTTTTTTTTTTTCTGGATTATTTATTGTCAGTTCATAACCTTAATTCCTCCAAGCAAGTTGATCCATTATTCTTGTTTTACTAACCTCGAGGAATAATAATGTATTTAAATTAGGAGGGTCCAACGCAATGTTCTCCCAATTAGATTGAGAATTTCCACTAATTACCTCTCATAATTAGTCCTTAATGTTCTCTCTAAGTGAATTGACCAATTCTTGAACATCTTTTGACGATATCAATGACAAGATTCAGATCAACCCATAGAAAAATGTCTCACAAAGGGTCATTGAGGGTTTGACATGTTGACTTGATAATCGTCTCTACTTTCCCATATTAGAATCAGCTACCTGAAGAAAGTCCAAACCATTGAATTTTAAAGGGTGCAAGTTTCTTGGTTATGGGTGAGCTTGAGCACTGGGTTAGTGTTGAGTCTTTGGATAGGACCCACCTAACATTGGGAATCTAATTGGGAACCAAGTTGACACATGGTGTTCCATGTTTGTACTCTAAAGGAATATTGGAGCTGAAGATATTAACCCTAAAAAGAGTTAGTTAACTTAGGAGCCAACCTGCTATCAAAAATCTTGTTATCCATTCCATGCCTACATGAATAGTAGACTCAGCTAGTGGTTGCAATTCATGTGAAAAGACTGATTCGCCCTCTTCTTCATTGATTTCCATCTTGTCCTACTTGAGACATCATCCAAATCCGGATTCTCCCAAGTGGATTTGATTTAGCTAATCATTAAGGCCCACCAACCTCTACTCCTTAAAATGAGTGGGCCTGTGAATCCAAGCCTACAAATGACGAAACCCTGAATGGAAGTCATTTTAGGTTTGGATCTTTTTCTTTTTTTTAAGCTTGAAAATTAGCTTTTTCATTGACTCTAAGCCCCTGAAGTCATGGTTGACATGTGGGGGAGCTGCTCTCTATCACCCAAGTTGGTGAGCGATTGGACAGAGCTTTGACCCGAAATCTCAGTATAATCAGTCTGGGACCGGATCATGGAAGACTATGGGCATCATCTGACCCAGTTCCGAGCTTGGCCCAGTATAATTCATTGAATTTTTGCTATAAGAAAATGGCTATTAATTTGGAGAAAAATATCCTTCGAAATAGTTGATCAGGGGGTTTTCGCCCATCTCGTCCGAACAAGATCCTAACATTGAGGACCTCCCTTCCCCTGGAGAAGGAATCCGACGCCAGCCTGCGGCCGCCGATTGGTCGGTCTCGGGGCCTCTGCAGCTAATTGCGACGGCGACCACCCCACATGCATGCAGAAGCGACGAACCATTGTTCCATGTGCACTGGAGAGCAAGTTGCACCGGTCGCCGTCGAGGGGCCCGGCGGTGCCACCGGAGGCTTATCCTTCCTTTTTGTCTCTTCTCCCCCTCGGAGATTAAAAAAGAAGGGAAGGATGCGAGGGAGCTTCACTGGGCTTCCTCCGGCCGGTGCTTTCACTTTCCGGCTGCGGAGTTTAATGGCGAGTGACGCTGCGCCGCCGTCAGCGGCACATGGGGAAGCCACCCCCCGGTCGCCGGCCCCACCGGACCCTATCGCCGTCCTCTTTCGACGGGCACCGGCAGAACTGTGGAGATCAAAACGGCGGGGGGGCCACTGGTAGCCTTCGACAGTCGCTGGGTCATCTCCTTCTCCTCAGTCGCCGGCTTGACAGGAGATGGGGGCGGGAGAGGAACCCAACTGTTCCTCAGCCCTGGAGCTCTTCGACAAGTACTGGTTCTTCCGCAACCCGCTCACCGGCGCACCAAAGCTCGGCCCGCAGAGCGGCGGCGCGCCGGAAGCCAGCGCGGCGGAGGGAGCTTCGTCGGCAGGCTCCGCCGGAGAAAGGCCGGCGATTCCCAAGAAGCTTCCCGGAGAAGAAGCCCCCGCCGATCGATGTTTACTGAGAACACCGTCGTTGCCCACGCGCGTGGTGAACCGCCGCAGCGCCGGCGCGGGACCTCTGCGGCATTCTTGCAGCAACCTGGATAGCGTGTTCCGATCTCCGCCGTTCGCCGGCCGGCTTCAGCTCTCCCCCATGGTAATTTTCTGAAGATTTCCCTCCGATTCATCAGGTCCAAATTCTCCATCCTTCTGACGCCGCAGAGCTCGGCGATCTTCCAGAGCGCGAAGCAGCAGAGACCGCCGCGGGACGCCAGGGCGGAGAGCATCGTGAGGTACGTGAAGAGCCACCACCGGGCGATCACCAGAGGGGAGAGTTGCAGATGGTCCGCCATGGGGAGGAAGAAGTGGAGGAGCCTCAGCGATCTGGAGATCGAGGAGGTTCAAGGGTTCAAGGACCTAGGATTCGTCTTCGACAAGGAGGCGATAAACCCTAGCGTGATGGAGGTGATCCCCGGCCTCCGCGACCGGCGGCCGCCTGCGGTGGGCAGCGGAGAGGAAGAGGAGGCCCCAGCTGTTCCCCGGCCGTACCTCTCTGAAGCTTGGTTGGCGCAGAAATCTGCTCCGCCGCCGACGCTGGACTGGTTCGGCGGCAGCTCGCCGGCGGACAGGAAGCTCCATCTCAGACTGTGGGCGCAGGTGGTGGCCTCAAACGTACGTCAGGAATGTTGACCTCGTCATCCGGAGTCCACGTTTGACCCCATCCCTCACCCTCCGGCTTGATCAGTCTGAGATCCACCGAACCAACGGCTGTGATCTATTAATAAACGAGTAAAAAGACCCAAATGAGACATTTTGGGGTTCGTCTCGATCCGTCACGCGGAGCCATCTGATTGGTGATCCTAAATCTCCAAAGGATCAAGGGATATGATTCCCAATCATATTGTTTGGGTGGTGCCACAAGAGATTTCGACGGCCTTGATTGGGATTTCCAACGGGATGAGCCTGGGATTTCCAGCCCGGCCGAAAAGCGGCCGGGCTTCACTTCAGACCTTCATGAACCCGACTCTCTACAGTCGCGTCAGTTACGAGTCAGAGAGAGGGAGAGAGAGAGAGAGAGAATCCAGGTAGGACACGGTATCTGATGCCAAGAAATAAAAATGGTTAGAGGGGGATTTCAATAATTTATGTGTCAAATCTGAGAAGCCTCGGGTGGCCGACTAGAAGGATCAGTTGTTCCTTCCCTATCCCTCCTACGTCAGTGGAGAGAGATGAAATAAAAAATGCACCATGATAGCAATGGGGAGAAGAATGGGCCTCCTCTCTCTCTCTCTCTCTCTCTCTCTCTCTCTCTCCATGGACATGAATTCCTTCCGGCACGCAACGAATCTTGAAAAAAATATATCATTCCAATGGTTTCATGGTCTCCGAACCCTGGTGGAGGAAAAACCCATCAATGACGAAAAAACCCCCCATTTTTTTCTCACTTTGAAGAACACCTCAAGCTGCGACTTTGAGAAGTTATCATCTGGCCCAAGCTTGTGAAGCTCACTGCAATTCAACTATATACAACTGTGCCATGTGAAAACCCTACTAAGAGCATCAATGATGACCAAACCCTAGACGCAAAAATGGTATTCTCTAGGCTCCTTGTGGAGGAGCTCCAAAAATACGTTGACTCTCTTCAGCCGACCCAAAATTGGAAAGGGGAGGAAGAAGAGTTGACAATTACTAACTTGGTCACTCCCAAGGCCAGGAAGCTTCAATGGGGACGCTGCATAACCCTCCAAATCGCATCATACCAGAGGCTCCTTGATCGATGACACCATCTCGATTACAGAATGGACGCACAGCTTCCCAAAACTGCAATGAAGTGCAGCACCTTCGGGAGGATTCGAAGCCAGCAACGTCCCATCCCTAAAAAGAAATTTCAACGCGGGTCTCAATCGAGAATCATTAGGAAAATTGCCCTCCGATGGAGAAGCTCCCCTGTTGCTTGAGTGCCGGCTGCATTCTCTGGGAAAGAACTTCGTGCCCTCCATGGGCTGCTGGCCAGTGCAGGCTTCGGCTTGCTCTCCAGACTTGGTGCCATCTAGAGAGAGAAAATGGTTCCTCACAGCGGCTACCAGGTTCAGAGAGCACAGTGTGACAATATCATGGACGTCGTCAACTGTTGGGGGGTGCCCACTAGCTTCCCAGCAGCGGGTGACAATCTCTTGAACCGAAACATGGATGGACTGAAGGCAATCTGGGCAACAGTCATAGATACATATTGTCTCAGAGGTGGCCAAGATCTTGCCATTGCCACTGCATTCAGAGTTGAGGGGATTAATAGCCTCCACACTGTTGCACAGCTCACTGGGATGCCTTGAACCAGAATCAATTGAGACTGCCTGGTCCATATTATGGGCATTAGATATGGAGTTGCCCTCTACCACTGGCTGACAGTCAGCAGTGCCTGGAACTTCCAACCTGTTGCGGGGGAGGGAGGAAGGAGCAGAGGTTTCTGTTCTACCGGTTTCTTCTGGCCTAGGCAAAGCAATAGAAGTATCACGGCCTGGACTGAGGAGATCAGTGGAGGACGACATAATGTTGGGAGCCTCTATTCCTGGAACTGCGGAGTTCGTTGCGTTCATCAGCGCACCATTCTGCCCAGGACTCTCGGGGGTCTTTCCTTGTGTTGTCTCTGGTACTCCATTACAGCTTTTGTCACATGAAACACGGACCGGTGGATCATTTTCAAACAGCTTGCAATCATTTCCATTGTTATCCTCGTCCATTTTCCCAGATGATCTGCAAAAACAAAATTGAAGTCAGATAAAACAGAGAGAACAAACAGCTTGCAATCATTTGGGTTGTCGTCCTTGTCCTTTTTTCCCGAATGATCTGTATAAAAACGGAATTTGAGTTCAAATAAAGCAGGATAATACAGAGGAGAGAATAAGAAATGATTGAATTTAAGTGATGTTTCCCGAAAGTGAGGACAATGCTTGGAAGTAATTGGAAAGTTCACAAAATAGCCAACTGAAACAGAGATATGAACCATTTGACGGACCAAATAGTCCTAAATGATTCCATAATTATTGGCGACTTACACGATAAATTATTAGCGATGTATACGAAGAGTAGTACCTCAGGAATGTGTATACCCAGCTGTTGACCATATCTTCTAAGTAAGCTACCTGTGACAGAATGCGAAAGTAACGATATCTGTCTTTGCCATTCTGAATTTTCTCACTAATTAGTCCAACTAGGAGCTCCAAAACGATTCTCACTTGAGAAGAAACTTCCCTGACTGATGCATACGAGCCTCTGTATGCCAGAAGCCCAACAGCCATCAGACCTCTGACCACACCAGAAATTTCCTTATTTTTCACATTTCTAGAGATTGATGGAGATGCTGCCTTATCGACCGAGTCGTTTGGATGTATTATACAGGAGTTAAATGGCCAAACCTTCCAAGGTCCACTTACGTCCGCGCAGGGTCCCTCTTTGAGTTTTGAGGTCGCCCAGCAGAGCTCAGCCAATTGAGGATATTGCAGGATTTGATAACCAAGAGTGGCAATCATTAATCCCGAATTCCCCTTCATAACTCTATTTGAAGGGGCTCTTAAAAGATAATCTTGACCGCCCTGTAGGACAACGTCAACCTCCTTGTTGACCTCGGAGATCAGATTTTGTCTGTCACTACCGTTCACAGGTTGCTGAGATTGGTCATCTCTAGAAGAAGCTCCACGATTAGACGATATTCTTCCAGGATCAATCACAGTGCAGATTCCCTCTGTTGCTTCTCCATCACGAATGATTGGACTTTCCCTTTCTTGGGCAATTTTCCTATTGTACAAAACATGGGGTTCCCCGTCCACGCTACTTTCATGACTTCTTCGATGAATCAACTGAACATACTGTTGGAGGAAATCACATGATATTCTTGCTATAGATGATTTAATCACGAGGTTGTGGTTAAGACTTCCGTCAAGCTCCACAGAGAAACGAGGTATCGTGTGTTCTGAAGATGCCGTATTGGCGCTCTTCACCATAACTGTGGTGAAAAAATCCTTGACTCTGGAAGGAATATCATGACTTTTCATCTCACAAGTAGCCTGCAAATGCAAGGAATGAGTAAAGACCGAGGAAGTTCATTGCTATTGTATCAGACAATAAACTAAATAGGAAACTTGTAGTTTGAAAAGAAAGGATCGCAAAGTTCCGCAATGACAGTAATCAAGGTGCGATTCAATTATTTTCTAAAAGCGATTTATACACATGGCATTAGCAAAAAACAAATGAACGCATACTTGAAAGTACAACTCTCATTCCCTTTCACAAAATCTTTGGGCCACCTTTTGAAGTCTGTCCATCATCCTCTCAATAAATCTTAAATAAAAAGGATTAAACGAGTGAGTAACAGATACGACCCACTATAAATTTCCTGACATAGTACTCACAATACACACGACATGGCTGAGTCGCCTTCAAAAGCAAGGGGAAACGACGTAGACGAGGGTGTTTTCAAGTTTCCAAAACAGGGGAAATGGAGCTAGACTTCCCCATTCTCTAGTTATACACTGGGGTTAAAGCACCCTTGAATCTACATGAAAGGAAACATCAGACCCCCGACCGGAATGAGTGTTCAACTGACAGTTTTGGAGACATACGTGGTAAATGGAACCAAACGACGCATCTACCTAGCTCCGACAAGTATTCGGGAGAAAATTTCACACTGTTTTCACCAGATGAATTGTGTGTGAACAAAGCTAGAGTATCACCTCTCTACAGCATAAATCGGCACACAATTTCAACCCATGATGCAATATCAAATCCACGAGATTCACCTGCTTCTTGATCTACTAGAGCTGATGACATTTCATATCATGATATTCATGAAGGCTTTGGTTTCCCAGAAGTGACCCTTGCATCCCGACTTTGTATTTTCTGTCGGAGTACATGTACTTTTATATAGCTTCATATCTGAATTTTAGATTTTCTCCACCACCTTGGAAATCAATGGCTTCCTCACAATCAATAGCTTCATATCTGAATATACCCTTTGTAGCCGCACTTCATCTTCTACCATTACTATTTTCCATTTTTTTCCTTATACAACTTTCTCCAGTATTCTTCTCAAGCACATCACCTCTGAGAATCAGCTTGCCCACCTTGCTTCAGAAATCAGATATATGTCATCCCTTGCCACCACTTCATGACAAATGATTAAGAGAAAGCTCTTTCCATATAAAACTCGTATTTCCCTCCTAATAGTAATTAGTGACCCCTGTTCCTTCTGGGTCAAAGTTATCATCAGCGTTCTCCTTTTATAAAGTCTTCCTCGTCTCGATCTCAAAGAAAACAAGGTTGGTCAAGAGGAGAGCAGGAGCAGAAATGAACTCTGAACACCTTCCACCCTCCACTGGGTCAGATATTTTATCAAAAACAAAGTCTCAGTGATGAACTAACTTCTAAGATACTTCTCTTCCTAGTTCCAATAGATATCATCTGGGAACTTTTTTTTGGTACGAACTTCTCCTCTTATGACGTAAGTCTTCTCCTTACCTTTTGTAACCTCAAGCCTTTTAAAATTCTACTAGTCTTTTTCACCCCTATTCTGTGACTTGCCTCAATTCCAAAAAATTAACAGATGACTTTTGCAACCCCTGATCTCTAACTTTTTTTTTCTTTTAGAATAACTATTTCCATAATGATACACTGTGTCAAATAGTTTGCACATTCTACAAAGTAGTCCAGTGCTTTTAAGAACCACTACACCATGAAACTGTCCAAAAACTCAAACATCAAAACGTAACAAATGCATACCAAGAGTCCAGACTGTAAATGCTTATATAGGAAAAATATACTGCAATGAAAAAAAATCCAAGTTTGACAAATATTTCTGTACAGCTTCAAAAATGAAAATGACCACCTGCCAAGATATTCGGAGGTATGAAAAAAACAGTTCAGGGGCAATTTCTGAAAATTTGTGGAAATTACCAAGCAGATGACATAACGGATTTAGTAGTTTAGAACCAGGGTACCATATGTAGAAATGAAAAAATTGATTTCGATAGAAGAATAGCATGTACATGATAACTTTTCAGGCTAGAAAGTTGTAATCTTGAAAGAAGTAAAGATCACATAAGATAACAAGCAGCTTAATACTGCTACCGTGACAAAATCTTACCAGAACAATAAGAGATGAGGATCCACTCATTGAATCCATCTGCTCGATGAAAGAATCCCAAGCAAGTGAAGAGCGATTCGCAGTGTTGCCAGGAGCTTCTCTACTGAAAGCTTTTCCAGTTTTTTTATATGTACTCTCTTCAGTGTCCTGCTGATCCACCTCATCCACTGCCCAGAGATCAAGTCTGGGCATGTACACAACACACCAGCCCGCATTCAGACATTTCACTGTTTACATTGCAAACGAGAGCTTAGAAAACAATTAGTAATTGATGACCTGCAAGATTTAACACCCATGACTGGATCCAAAACAAAAATATGTACTGTACGTAAATCAAAGTACTTGATCAAGTAGATAAAAGTATCTGAGTCAGCCTCACGGCCATGTTGAACACATGTATATTGAGATAACATGAAGAATAACAATAATGTTTTAATGAAGTCACAAACAACATCCATACAACATTCTCATACAGATAACTGCATACGACAAAAAAAACTCTAACAGCCAAAGATACAACTTTTACAATTTTTGTACAATGGTCATGGTCAAACATACACTGGCAACAAAAGGCAGGAATACCAGAGGAGTTAACTTTCCTTAGGGATCTGGCATCCGAGGTTCGAAAATATTTTGACAAGCTGTATTTGAGTAAATTAAATTCTGCCAGACGTAGCTAATTCTGAAATTACATTAGTCAAGTGTTTACGAATGGCTGAATAATTTTACCAACATTTAAACAGATGTTTTGCTTATTGTCCCTGGTATTATCACAGGTGTCCAGATATCTCAATAGATATCCAAAAATGCTTGGCAGGGCCGGCATGACGAAGGGTAGAGCCCAGAAGAGACCAGGGAATCTGCAGGACACTAGAGCTTCTGCACCACCTAACCACCCCCACGGACACACGTCCTTGCTTTTCATATGAGGACTTAACGGTAAACCACATCGCAAAGGAACTGATAAAGTTAACGACCATTGTTCCCGAATATTATCACAGCATGGAAACTACAACAGGGGGCCAAATAAACCCATTATCAAACTCTTGATGATGACATTGTCTGGATTAGCACAAGGGAAGCTAGTTTCATACGATCATACAACGAAAAAAAAAGCAATGTCATCATAAGACAAGAAAACTACCAAATATACATGTAAAAACATACAGAGAATTTGTGTTATCCCACGAATGATGTCTCCACGTCCTTCTTGAGAGATTGTTGACAGATTAACTTTCTGAATTTCAATGTGGCCCAGGAACTGATGGAGTAGACAAGCAATCAAATGCTGTTGACCAGATCTGCGAGTTCCAGTGATTAATACCCGAAAGCCTGATGGTTTTCCCAATCCAACAGATATATTTGACATTGAAAAACTGTGAATAGAAGAGCCATGAATCTTTAATCTTTGAAAATCAAACTTGTCGAGCTTGTCATCATTTTCATTTTCTAATATACAAAACGGAACAAGAGTAGAAGTACTGCTTAACAAACCGAAATAAGAAAGATGTCTCTCTATCTCCTGTGCAACATCTGATTTCTGAATCAGGCAGGGAAGATGAGATTTCCATGATGTAATGGGTTTTCTCATCTGCTGTAATGCAGACAAAATCACATCTTTCACAGATTTTGAAGCTTTGAAAAGAGGAGGTGGAATCCAGATGCGCTCATCGAAGTAAAAATTGATAAGAAGATAGCACAAAGGCTGTAGAAGACAATGGAAAAGATGTGTGGGAAGAGGAGCTGTAACTACATCATTTGCAGCCATTCCAGCCTCTCTTCTAGAGCATGGAGGCGGGGCACATGCAAGAGCAGAGAGCCAATCCCTTTCCACAACCGAAAATGACGGTAAGGATGGTTGCTTGCTACTGCCAGAACCTTTTTCAGCGGACACCAAGATCTCATGTAAGGGGCAATTTCTCTTCAAAGCAATCATGGCTGCCTGAGTACAAAGAGCCTGCAAATCTGCACCTGCATAGCCAGCAGTTTGTTTTGCTATCCATGAAAGAAGAGATCCAGATAGAGGTCTTGGCCAGTTCTTTGTTTGAAGTGAGAGGATGGCAGATCTATCCTTAACTGATGGCAATGGAAAATAAATTTCCCTATCAAATCGACCAGGTCGCCTTAAAGCAGGATCAACAGCATCAGGACGATTGGTGGCACCTATCACTACAACTGAGCCACGAGATTTTAGACCATCTAACAAAGAGAGCAAAGTCGAAACAACTGAATTGTGTGTCTGATCTTGCCGTTTAGAGCGACATGGAGCCAACCCGTCAATCTCATCAAAGAATATGATAGATGGCTGGGATTTCTCAGCAACCTGGAAAAGAAGTCTTAACTGCCGTTCAGCATCACCAACATACTTTCCCAAACAATCTGCACCTTTACGAGCAAAATAAGCTATCCGTTTATCACCACGCGAGCATTCACCAATCAATGCTCGAACCACAAGTGTCTTACCAGTGCCAGGATACCCATGTAAAAGAACTCCTCGCGGAGGTGTAAGCCCTAGAGAACTAAAGAGCTCAGGATATAACAAAGGCAATATAACCACCTCCTTCATACATCGGATGACATCTTTAAGCCCAGCTACTGATTCCCAACCCTGAAATGACTTGTCACTTTCTGAACGAGGACCTCCTATGTACACTGGTGCAATTCTCAACAAATCTCGGTGAAGTCTCTTGCCTTCACGTTTCAAGAATTCTTCATCTTCACCGCAGTTCTCTAACCATTTCTCTTCAGCCTCTAAATCCTTTCGCCAAGCTTCATTAGACAGCTTCTTCAGATCCAATCTCATCTTTTTTGTTTTCATTTTCTTAATTCGTTGTAAATAATGATTTCCTTGGGGTTGGAAAAGGTGCCTATGATCTGAGCAAGCAATGAGAAACTTGCGATGATCAAATATTCCATTCTCAGCCCGGGCGCAAGGCTGTATTAACAGACACCACATGCAAAACAAAATATCAATGAGAATGGGAAGAGCCACAGACAGAGGAGATAATCATGGTTAGCAAATTCACCAACCAAATGATATGTTTTCGGACATCGATCAACACGGCAACCAATAGTAGCACCAGGTCTCCCACAACGGCTGCACTTCAATGCTCTCCCCCTGCATAAAGCAGCTCTTACACTCTTCAGGCGACCCAGTCCAGCAAAGTAAACCTGAAACACAGCACACTGACAATAAATCCAAAAATCGACAAAACTTCAAAATAACAGTGACAGAGTAGATATATAAGTGTAAGAAACATGAGATCATAAAAATATTAGTAATGTAAAATAGTAGCATTAGATTGTGGTATGTCCATATAGATGTAGAGACAAAAGGTATTTAGGAATCATACAAATATACGAAAAAGTGAAAAAACAGTTATTTATGCGACAGGATAAGTTAATCAGGGACTGTCGATGAGGCATTGACATGTACACATTCTGGGCAAAAATAACCTTCAGCAATAAGCCTTCACTTTTTTCATATGAGACACAATAAATCCTTCAATAAAATGAATCATAACCTGTAGAAAAAGTACCATGGATAATTATGAATAGATATTCCCTGAGCCACAGAAAAAGCTTCACAGACACAGCTCCAAACAATCTGAATAATGAAGACATTGCCTGAACCACCCTGCAAACACGGGACTTGCAGTGTGGAAAAATCTAGAAAGCAGTAGAACACATATGCTTCAATTTTATAGCGAACTAATACACGACATTTTTCATGATACACATTCAGATCTTCACCTCGACCATTGTATACTATTAAACGACTTCAAAAGCGATCTTAAACCAGATGGGATATATATGAGTTCTCAATTCGAGCTGGGTCTGAGAAACAACAAATCCCATACTTGGCTCATAGTTTCGAACTACGAAAGTCCCCAGATTCTCTGGAAATAGACAGGGCGAGGCTGTGGAATCCAATCTACCAAAGCAAATAACTTTTCTAAGCTACGGATACTATGGTTAAATTAGTAGATCAAGTATTCTCCCTGCACAAAGGATCATCCTAAGTATCAGAAATTTCATGATTTGAATCCATAGTTCATGTTGACTTGAAGTTTCAGGTTTCTCGTCCAAACCTTACAAACAGTCAGTTGGCTGCAGACTGAAATTTCCATCCGTTGCTATCAGCAAAGTATTTTGACTTCATGATTTGAATCCATAGTGATCATGTCTACTTTGCGAATAGGGTCTCATTTTTTTAGAGATGCTAAGGGAACCTGCATATCCTTCATTAATTTTTAGAAGATTGTGAAACACCACGACTCATTAATATATAAGACATTAACCAGCCCAAAAAATCCTCAATAAAGGAAATCGGAGATACTCAATCCATCAAGCAGACGTTCTCATTGCACAACATAAACGAATGAGTGCACATGAAGAAACCACAAATTCCAGCTGCCATAGATACTGCTCTCCACCTCCCTCCTTGTCCACATACAAAATGGACCAAAAAACTCCGAGAAGTAAGGGCCTCTAGCATAGGTACTTTTTACTAATTTCCTGGTGTCATTGGTTTTTGATAGAAAATCAGGTACACAACTAACAAAAGAATAGATTATGATGCGAGTCTAATCAACCTGGGAAAGAGTTGTCTGCTGGTCACCTCTATAGAAAAATTACCTTGGACAGCTGTCCATGAGAGCTCTTCCATATTATCCTCAGGAACTCTAAAACGCAATCATTGTAGTTGCGGATGACAGATCTTACTGGGAACTTTACAGGTCCAATACCATCTGCAGACCTCAACACCTCCCCCTAAAGCAGTATTGAGGAAACCTTGTTGTAGCACCTTTTAAGTCAGTAATTTGATCTGCGATACCACAAGCCGATTCATATTTTCTCCCATGCCTCTCCACCATTCAAGAGCAGAAAAAGAAGCTGATTCTTGTTCCCAACGACTCTAAATCAGCACAGGACCATAAATTTAGAAAGAGACATTTGACAGAAAAGTTTATGAGAAAATCCAGTCATCAAAAAGATAGAAGACTCGATTTCTGGCCCTCAATTTGTCGTCCAGTTCGTCTATAACGCAGTTCAAATCAACCATTTGAAGATCGGCCGAATATATTTTAATAGAAAGTATTTAAAGCTGCAGCTACATTGGAAAAACTGATATAATGGCATCTATCCAGATGAAAAGAGCTCTACAAAGATATGTAACCAGTGAATCAGAAAATCTAAGATAATATACGATAATTAGAAAAAAAAATCATATCACAAAATACAGAAAAGAAAAAGGGTAGAAGGCAACAGAAAAATCCTTCACATGATCGTCGAAATGGAATATTTATTTCAAGTGAAAATTGAATTGATCACTGACCATGGAATGAGAGTTACAGAAACCCCCTCAGAGATCGAGGATTATAGGACAGTTGAAATAAAAAGGAACCTAAGAAACTCGAGGAACGTGGTAAAGAAAGTGTACCTCTGGACTCCACACAGCACATTGTTGATGTACCCAAACACGAGCAATACCAAAACGATCACGTATAGGACCCAGAAGCCGTCCAAGCCACTCAGGTTCGTCACCAAACCCATCCCAAACATCATAGGTCGGTTCCTCAGAAGACGATGATCCATTGTACTGTTCGTTATCACTTTCAGCAGACACCAAAACAAGCTTCTTTGGAGGTTTTCCGTCAGTTCCACCCCCACACAGACCGCATCTCCTTCCTTCTCTTACCCTTGGACAATCAAGGGAAGCAACATCACTGGGCCGCGTGGAATTCCTTGGCTTCAATACATTATGGCTCTCTAAAACTCTTGTTTCGCACCCACCTATCTGTATGTCTGCGTAATTGTCAATCACACCATTTCCTTGTAGGGAGGGAATATGCGCTGTTTTTTCTCTACCTAATTGACTGAATCTGCCTCCATTTTCATTTATATGTTTTACCTCATCTTCTTGACCTATATGGTCTCCAGGCACCAAATCTGGTTGGCTCCCACATTCTATGCCTACTACATTTGTAGAGACTTTGGTTTCTCCTGCAGGAGAGGCTTCATTGGCTACAATTCTACCTTCTTCTTCCGGTGAAGCATTCTCAGTTGAACTTTCGTCTTTTTCTTCTGGCAAATCTTTATTGGAGGAAATTTTACTCCCACATCCTGACAAGGGTTCTAAGGCTTCAATTACACTTCTAGCACGTGGCATGGCTTTCTCAAGAAAAACTCTCCCATCTATCAACAAGGCTTCTCCGAGAGTAATTTTATTTTCACCTTCTGGTAGAGATTTCTCACCTGCAACTCTTGCATCTCCTGGTACACTTTCCCTGGAGAAAATTTTGCCTTCAGCTTTTGATGTGACTTCCTCCAGAGCAAATTGGTTTTCATCTTCTGCCGGGGATTTTTCATGGTTCACTATTCCACCCTCTGTAACATCTCCACGTCCTGCACTTTTGCTTTCGTCATGTGGCAAACCTTCCTCACATGTGTTGACGTCCTCGCCTCCTGAAAGGACTGTCTCGCCGACGACTTTCCTTCCATCTACAAGAGAATCCTCTTGAGCTGCCGTTCTGTTTTCCTCTTCAAGAATGGTCTTCTCACGATTCTCTTCGTTATCGTTCAACGGAAAATCAGACATCTCCTGTTCTCTAAGGGCATTGTCAGGACATCTCTTTTCTTCATTGCCGCTCAGTACACGTGGAATTTGATTCCTCTCCTCTAACTTTCTTCCCCTCCTCTTCCGTCTCCACGCACCCTTCCTACTCGATTCCGGTGCGAATGAACCCAGATTCTCCGTTACATCCTCCCCTGGTCTTAAGGAGTGATCATCTACTCCATAGCGCTCACGCGATTTCGTAAAAGAAAGCTTCCTCTTACACGCAGCAGAGACACTGCTCTGTCCCTTGCCAACCCTAGATGCTCGAGTCGAACAGTAATCAGCAGCTTCCTCCCTATCCGATAATCCTTGCGAGGTCCCAGGTTTGTCGGCCTCCTCCAGCGGTGCGATCTCCTTTTTCACCTCCAAAGCCAGTGCCGAGGCATCATTCCTTTTATCCCTCAACCTTCTACTACGACCACCACTGTTCGCACGGCCCCTATCTTTCCCTGATTTGGGCCTCTTCTCGCGGCTAGGCGACGGGGAGAATTCCAGCAAGACAGGCGCCTTCCGGACACGCGTACTACGACGGAGCAGCGCGGCGTCGTTAGTTTCCGCCGGAGATTCCCCTCTGGTGGCGTGGTGCGTCGAAGAACCGACGGCAGGAGTTGGAGGTGGATCGCATATGGCGTCGAGCCTCTTCTGCCTCTTCCTGGCCCGGGAAACCGTACCTCCCCTCTTCCCTCGCTTACGGCCGGTGACGGGGGACGAAAGCGCCCTCCCACGGGACGATCTCATGGAGGACGGAACAGAGAATGGAGGAGCCGCAGACGAAGTCCAACAGCGAAGCGAATGCGTATCTCCCCGCCTACCCTAGGGGAAGAGGAAGACGGGGTGGAGGAGGATGGAACTCCCGGCCGGACGAAGGGGACGAAGCCTCCCTCTTCATCTGTTTCGCCGTCGTACTTTTTCTTAAATAACCCTCGGAGAATTTCATTATGTAGAAATCCGCCATCCTCACCCCCACGAAAACGCAGTCTACAGACTGCCTAGCCTAATATGGGGGACTTTTCGATACTTTTGTTTTTTTAGGGGTTTTCCGAGATAAATCTAACGTCACTATCCTCATGCAGGCCAGAGACTTACTTCCGATCCCTTGGGTGCCCAACGGATACCAATCAGTTGACGCGTTTAACGTGTTATCCCATATTATCAAAATATATACTTTTATCTTAATTTTGTGATTAATTATATAATCCAAATTTTTAGCTCGAGCTAACCCACGTCTTAGAATCGGTCTCATGCTCAATGTGCATGAACAAAAGCTTTTCTGATTGAATAAATTATCATAATAATTTCAGATTTTACTTAAATTGTTGTATGGTACACGCACGTCTCTCTCTCTCTCTCTCTCTCTCTCTCTCTCTCTCTCTCTCTCTCTCACTCACACACACACACACACTAGCACCATACTCACACGGAGTGGCACATTGAGGTTGCTAGGCTTCAAACCCATTTTTCATACTTTTTACAAGGGTTCAATTAAAATCCAAAGTCAAGCTAAACACCCTCAATTATAGTTGAATTTATACAGAAAAAAGTGGCATTTTCTGAATTTTGGATTTATATTTAAATAATACAAAGATCCTGATACTTTATCTTAATCAATAAGCGAATACCCATGAAGCATATACATCAATTTCTATTATAGATCATTTATGCTCCAACTCGAAACTAAAACATAATGCTACTCTTTTAGGGGGCTTACGTTTCAGAGAAAATATTGAGAAATGGAGTGCTGCTGATAGGAGACAGACCCCAACAGGGGAGTGCTGCTGATAGCCATCTCTTGGTTCTCATAAAATGCTCTAACCATGGAAATCAACTAGTGGTTAAAGATTCAGACCACCAAGAGGAAAGAAGATCCAGAACGGGTTTTTTTTTTTGTAAAATTATATAAAATATGACTTGCTCTCAACTCTGATTTATATAAAATATGAGAAATCTACACATAATATGAAACTATTGTCCTCCTGGTTCCTTTGCTTCTTTTCCTCCTATAGCTGAAGGTTGAAGGCCGTCAAAAAGTGTGAAGATCATCTTATTCGATTCTTGAAGAGGAACTTCACCTCGGTGGGTGAAGTCCTCCTCGCCGTGATTGTCAGAGGAGCCCCATCAGTGATCATACGCTGAACCACCCTCGCGATGTTCTTGGCGTCGTCTATCCCAAGATGGTGACTCCCCAGCAGCGGGATATTAAGCTCCCTCAGCATGGTCTTCATCCCTGTGGCCTGCGTCATGATACAAACATCGGAGAGAAACTCTCATCATAGAACACATGACAGGGAAGCACCGAGTTCATTATGGTGAGTAATAGCTGCTTTCAAGGGGGGATAAAAGTAAAGGATCTCATGAAGATGAGGAGAAATTCAGTCAAGTTTGCTCACCCTCCTCTCGTAGAAGTTGAGATATATGTCCTTCAGATTGATCCACTCCATGAAATACGGTGGGAGCTTCACGCCAGAATCATGGCACTGTTGAGGGATCTTCGTCTTTACATCCCAGTTCCCACTGGCATTGAAGAGGCGATATCATGTATCCGTCAGCCACCACTCAACATGCGAATGTAGGTAGCTAATTTGTATAAATTTAACACCTAGCTTCTGCATATACTATAAGGGAATAAATAAACCTATCAAAATCACAAAGAAGAAACATTATAGATAAAGAAAACATGTGAACTAACCAAGTGATGAATGCCGCTCGATTGAGCGATCCACCCATCTCTTTGCTCCAAAAGTTATGATCGACCATCCAGCTCTCAAATTCTTTTAGTACTTCCTTGAAAGGGACTGCAGTATCATGCCAGACACTGTGAAGAACCACAGGCATGAGATCGCCCTTCACCAGAATGATTTAAAATAAAAAACGCCATAGTCTAAATGTAAAATTCATAGGAATATGGCAGAAAACATCAAGCCCTTAGATAATAAAACCACAAGCAGAAAAAGGGGTGGGTCACATGGTTACACAGTAAACGGAGATATTGAAGTTACAAGTTAAATATTTACAGTCTGAAATTCCACGAAAAAGTATAGATCATAAAAATAAAGGTTGGTCGGTTTCCCTTTCACCTTCACAAAATCAACTAATTTATATCACCATAGATGACCAAACACAACAAGAAAAAAAACAAGTGAGAATTTTCCATGCTCGTAGACCTTCAAGATACCTGCGTACACGCAGCATTTAGTTCACCCTTGTCTCGTCTACATCGTTACAGCCAAAGTGGTTATGACAATGGAGTACTCCTCTCTGTCCCTAGAAAATGATTACAGCCATTCCAACCGTGAAAACTAAAAATACTTAACACTAGGTTTCAATTAGGTTCTCCTCAGAAAACTTGCCCAGTGAGTCCATCAGATAGGAACCTCAAATTGTTAGAACCCTCAAGCAGTTTCTTGTCAATGCACTAGCAATTAATCAAATCTTAAAAGAAAAGAAAAAATCAAAACGTAACTCACCAAGTTTTACAGTATCTTCCTAGATACAAATCTACTATAACCTCATCTAACACAATTTTCAGTTTGAGCAAAAACTAGACAGATAATTGATCGGAACAGTTATGGAATTGATCAAGCTGAAATATTACACAGGCCTCGTTTAAAAAGTGTTGCATGGAAACATATAGTCACAAAAGCAATGGGATCAAGATTTCTACGAATTTTGTGTCCAACGATGAGAGTTCAATTAAGAAGCAACTTACCGATCAACTCCAAGTTTTCCATATTTCCCTTCTATATATTCATTTAATCTTTGTTCATCCATTCGACATGGCCTGACAAACCTACAGGAAGAAAGTTGTTGGACGACTAAAGTCAGATCCGCCATCAGGCAATAATTTTTCACGCGCATAATTTGAGAGAAAATCTCAGACATAAAAAATGACGACTTTTTTACAATGAAAAGAATGTTCATCATAAGGCAAGGTCAGTACAGTCTGCTCATTTCGCATCTTGCCAAATTATGTGATGCAATGGTAAAGGTATCTTGTTCTCCTTGTAAAGTGCAGAGCACTTTTTCCCACATATCTGAAAAGATACATCATGTCTATAAAGAAAAAACGAGTTTTTTAAGGAAATAGTGGAGAGTAAGCCAGTGTACAACTGCCGCTTAGATGAGAAGTTGAAGAAACGAAAATTTGGCAAGGCCTTTCTTACCAATGGAAAAAATTTGGAATAAAATAAATAAATAAATAATGAAAAATAAGATAAGATATACAAATATACATAGCTATGCATGAGGTACTAATATCACGAAAATGAAAGCCATATAATTTTGTAAGTGGTATAATGATAAAAAAAATAAAAATGAAATATTAATTATAATCTGAAAATAACATTACTGCATGAATGCAATGAACATGAGCTCCTCGCCAAGAAAAGATGTGAACACATCTTTATTTGCTTGGATAGCTGCATGCCTAGCCAATACTTTACGAATTATGAGAAAAAGTTATTGTTAAAGATAGCCTGGTTTTATCAAGATTCCCTTGAATATTTGGTATTATTACACAGAACAAGTTTTTCTATATTAGGCTTTCCTTCTATTTTCCTTTCTGTCTTATTATTAGATGTATTTTCTTTTTCGTGTTTCTGCTATTAGACCTTTCTGTAATACCAGAAAGGTTTATTAGATGCCAATATAAATACTGGTGTACTGCCCTGAGAAGGGCTAAGTCAATTTTCCCTTTCCTGATTCCGCTATATCTCGTAACATGATATCAGAGCTTTCTCTCTAATCCTGCGTGAAGACTGCCAATGGAAGATCAACCAACCTTGGTGGCGATGATGACTCCACGCTGTAGGGAGTGTCGCTTGGTGATCTTCTTCCTACCTGAAGTACCTGAAATCATGAGGTTTCTTGGTTGTAAGCAGACCAGTGGATTCCTTGGAGAGTCACTACACCATCGTCGTTTCTTGACGGTGGGGAACATCTACAGATACACCATTGTCGATTCTTGACAGTGGCAGGACGTCTACGAATACATTGTTGTCATTTCCTGACGGTGGCGGACGTCTGCAAATACACCATTGTCGTTTCTTGACAGTGGTGGTTATCCTCCGTTTCTTGAACAAAAACTGTAATTTAAACCACATCAGGGAATCTCTGTTTGAGACTTTTTTTTTGGCTATCTGGGCATGGCTGAAGAACATGGAGACAAAGGTTAGTGAATCTTCCTCCTCTGGTCCAAGACATTCATTTGAAGTAATTAAGATATGTTCAGATCTACTTAAAATTGCTGAGAGATTCTGATTTGACAGAATCAATTTGTTCCAATGGACATCATATGTGGAACTTATTCTACATGAGGAATCTGGATTGTCACCTAACACAATCCTCGCCAAGTATTGACAACTCAGGATATTATCAGTGGAAAGAAGAAGAAACATTGATTCAGTATTAGATGCTAGACAATATTTCACTAAAGATAAGTGAGATTTTTTTTTTAAATCTGTGAAGAAATTATGAGACAATGTTCGTCGTGTTCACTCTACTAAACATGACAAATCCCAAATTTATAGATTGGTACAGAAATCTCTGACTTTGGTACAAGGAACATTGACTGTTCTAGAATATTCTTGCGAATTGGAATCTATCTGGAGAGAAATCGACCACTACAGACCAATCAATAATCTTGATACTCAAGAACGAAATTATGTCATAAAAGATAGGTTGTATAAATTTCTGATGGGGCTAAATCTAGAATATGAGACTAGTAAATCAGATCCTTGCTTGAGAAGTAATACCAGATATTGAAGAGGCAATTGCATTAACCAGACAAGAAGAAAATACTATAAATTTGAGAAATAATTTAAAGATAGAAAATGTTGCATTCAACACTCTCAAGGGTAAAGATACCTATGTATTAAAAAAGGGGGATAGTGAAGTACCATTCATCAAAGGAGATCCTAAGACTGATCCGAAGGCACACCTATTTTATACTTATTGTCGGAAAAATCGTCACACTAGGAAGACATGCTGGAAGGTCCATGGCAAACCACCGAATTATGGTAAGTTGCATTTGGCTAATGCTCAAAATGAAGATGGTGTTGAGCCCATGATTTACGGAGGAGTTAGTCAAGACGGATCAACTTCTTCTGAGCCTTTAGAAATTGAAAAACTCAGAGAAGAAATTGAATAGCTAAGGAGCATGATCAACTCCACTTCTCTTGCACATGCTAGTAAATATTTCCCTAAATATTTTCCATCACCTTCACCTTCACCTTCACCTCAAAAAGTGTCATGGATCATTGATTTTGGAGCTACTGACCATATGACACCATATGCATCACTATTCATAACATATGAGGTATGTACCAATAATCGAAAGATTATTACTGTAAGTGGAAGTTTGTTACCTGTAGCTAGTATTGGATCAATTCATCTTGAGAAATTAGGGTCATTAAGATATGTTCTTCATGTTCCAAGGTTGAATGCACATCTATTGTCATTGAGAAAATTGGGTAAAAACTTGAATTGTCTGATATTATTTGATGACGATTTCTATTTCTTTTATGACAAGACCTCAGGCAGGAGGATTGGGCATGTTAGAGCACAGATGGATTCTACTACACATTTCTACTTTTGCTTCTACTTCTCCCTTGAACAAATTGTTGTTGTTACATAGTCGTTTAAGACATCCGTCCATAAAAGTACTTCCATACTTGTTTCCAAAACTATGTCATGCAATTGGTGAATCTACTTTCATGTGTGAACCCTGTCAAATGGCTAAGCAGCGACGAATTTCATTTCCCTCTACTGGAAATAAAAGTAAATCCTTTTTCTACAGAATACATTATGATATGAGGTCCTTCTTCATCTAGTGGTCTTAGGGACTTTAGATGGTTTATCATCTTTGTAGATGACTATACTAGGTTCACATGAATTTACCTAATGAAAATAAAATCAGAAGCCATAGTGTCATTCAGAGGTTTATCAAGCTAATTCAAAATCAGTTCAATATAACTCCTAAGAAATTTTGATTAGACAATGTTGACGATTTTTTCAATTCTATTGTCTCCATTTTCTTTGCTAAGTAGGACATTGTTCATAAATCCTCTTGCCCTTATAGACCCCATCAAAATGAGGTAACTGAAAGAAAGATTGGCCAACTATTGGAAATAACAAGGGTTGTCATGTTTAAAGCCCAAGTGTTGAAGTACGTATGGAGTGAGGTAGTACTAACAGCCACTCATCTTGTTAATCATCTCTCATCAAAAGCATTAATATTTAAGACTCCCAAAGTCTTATTGCAAGGTCATTATCCGACTGTGTAATATGGACCAGATTTACCTCTTCGAATATTTGGGAGTATTGCATACATCCATCAATCTCAAAATGGACTGTCTAAATTTGCCCCTAGAGCTGTAAAGGCAACCTTTGTGGGCTATTTCAATACACAAAAAGGATATAAATTTTATGACCCAAGATATCAAAAATTATTGTGAGAATTAATGTCACATTCGATGAAAGTAACATGTATTTCCGGCATACAACAACTCAAGTATCTAGTTGTGATATTCCTATGCTAGAAAAGCACGATTTACACATTGAAATTCTCAAGGAGAATGAAGCTCCTGAAATGATACCAATAAATTTTTCAGCACCTCCACCTCCACCAAATTGATTTGGTCGAAGTTATTATCAAAGAAAGCCAAAGATAATCAGAGATACCCATGAACAAGATCTACCTAACACAACAGATGCCCATGAACAACTTGACGCAGTAGATACCCATTAGGATCTGCCTGACACAGCAGATGCCCATGATTCTATTATTAAATGTGATAATTCACCGATTGATCAACATAACCTTCTTATTACTCAAGGAGATGAAATCTGTCCTATTGCTCTTCACAAAGGAATTAGAGAATGTACAAAGAAATAGGTATATTCATGTTGCAATAATGTATCTTATCATCACCTATCATCACAATATAAGTCATTTTTGTCAGCTATTGATAAACACGATACTCCTCAAAACACTAACGAAGCTTTAAGAAGCCTTCTATGGAAAAAATCAATAGATGAGGAGATGTTGGCTCTACAAAAGAATCAAACTTGAGAACTCGTGCTACTTCCTAAAGGGAAGAAAACCATGGGTTGCAGATGGGTATACATTATTAAGTATAAATCTGATGGGATTGTTGAGCACTTTAAAGCCCGACTGATGGCAAAAAGCTTCACCCAATGTTATGATATTGATTACTTGGAGACCTTTGCTTCAGTTGCAAAGATGGGAACAGTTCGGATATTAATATCCTTGGATGTGCATTATGGATGGTCCTTATTACAATTTGATGTGAAAAATGCATTCTTACATGGAGAAATCTCAGAAGAAATATATATGGAGCTTCCACCAGGGTACAAAGACCCAAATGATACTCTGAAAGTATGCCTGATTTGGCTGCTTAACCAAAACAATGAGAGCTTTGGCGTTCAAGCAAGCCAATGGAGATCATACCTTATTTCATAAGCGATCTAGTTGAGAAAAAATGATGATCTTACTAGTATATGTCAATAACATGACTGTCACAAGAGACAATATGCAAGAAATCACTTCTCTTTAAAAACAACTGACAATTGTCTTTAAAATACTACTTGAGAATTGAGGTAGCCTAACTCTCGTGGAAATTTATTCCTATCTCAAAGAAAGTATATTACAAATTTACTCAAATATACAGGCATGAGTAATTGTAAACCAACATGTACCCAATTGAAGCAAAGCATTGTATTGGGCTTCAAAGGAAAGAGATCAAGTAGATAAGGGGTCTTATCAATGACTAGTGGGAAAATTAATCTATCTATCCATACTAGACTGGATATCGTTTACTCAGTTGGAGTGCTAAGCCAATATATGCATGACCTTAAGGAGGTGCATCATCAAGCTGCTCAACGAGTCCTAGCCTATCTTAAATGAAGAATTGACATGGGAATCCTATTTAAAAGGGGAGATTCTCTTACAGTAGGCATCTATACCGATGCTGATTATGCTGGTTCAATTGATGATAGGCGCTCTACTACTGAGTATTGTTGTCTCATTGGAGGAAATTTGGTGACTTGGTGAAGCCAAAAATAGAGAGTTGTGGCTCAATCAAGTGCTAAAGTAGAATTTAGGGCTATGACCCTTGGGATTTGTCAAGACATTTGGATAAAAAATATACTAAATGACTTACAAATACCCATGGAAGGTTCGATTACCTTGTTCTGTGACAATCAGTCCGTAATAAATATTGCACATGATCTTGTTCAGCATAACAAGACCAAATTAATTGAAGTAGACAAACATTTTCTTAAAGAGAAACTTGAATCAAGGACGTTTTGCATAGAGTATGTCTCATCTACAAATCAGTTGGCTGATATATTAACTAGGGGCATTTCTACTACAGAGTTCTAGAAACAAAGGAGCAAGCTGGGCATAAATGATATCCACGCACTGACTTGAGGAGTGTTACACAGAACAAGTTTTTCTATATTAGACTTTCCTTCTATTTTCCTTTCTGTCCTATTTTTAGTTGCATTTCCTTTTTCGCGTTTCTGTTATTAGACCTTTCTGTAATACCACAAAGGTTTATTAGACGCCAATATAAATACTGACGTACTGCCCTGAGAAGGGCTAAGTCAGTTTTCCCTTTCCTGCTTCTGTTGTATCTTGTAACAGGTATCATAGTTGTCACCAAAAGACCAATTAGCTTGTTACTTTATACCTTAATAGGCACTTTCATGTGAGAAAGTGGGCTCAGTCTTAAAGAGGTCTGGGTGTCAACATCTGTCCAGCAAGCAGGGAATAAATCCTTTTCTGAGGGCCCTCAGACAGATGTTCTTTGAACTGTCAAAGCCTCAGCAGGAATGAGTCCTAATCTTGTTGATTGATGTGAGAATGCCAAAAACTTATATATAGAATTAGAATGCTTGGTGAGGGTATTGATTTTAGAAAAGCAAGGGACCGCTCAATTCCCTGGCATTATCTGCCAAGAGAAGCAGATCCTAAAAACTATTCTTTGGAGTTATTACAATGCAAAGAAAGGGATTCTGAGAAATTCAGAGATTGAAAAAGATTGACAAAACGGGTGTTACCACTAACTGGATGCAGTGTTTCTTCATGACAAGTGGCAATCAGAGTTTGTGATCATAAAAACTTTTGTTCAGATACAATGTTTCCCAAGTATGTTGATTGCTCGATTGACAACAGTATCTTTTGGCTCAATGTGTGATCAAGTCTTTCCATGGTCCAAATAATATCATGAATTGGCTGGAACTTAGTCGTTTGCATGGCCGCACATGCCAATGGTGCATATCGTGGCTGTATCTGACGTGCAATGACCTATATCTCAGGTAGAGCCTTAGATTTTGATTCTACGCAGTGGATCAGTTTCTCTAAATTCGCGACTCATACATTCCCTGCTTTATTTTGCTTTGTTTGAAGTTTCTGAGATGAAACTCAAAAGTTATTTCAGTTTTGTGTGACCATGTATCAATACCTTTTATTTTTTAGCAACTTTTACCGGTTTTTTGTCCCAAAATTTTCACAAAAAAACAAGAAGAAAAAAAAAAATTAAGGTAAGCACGAGGGTATGAGATTCTTCAAGACCACCTGTGAAATGCATCCATGAAGTTGGCAGTCCTGGCATCAATAACCACGACAGGAAACTCAAGGATTTCAACCTTTCCCTCCAGATCAAGGATCACAAAATAATCAAAGTCTTGAGAACATATATCCCTGAATGAATTGTTGACTTGAAGATTCACTGAAAAATCGTGATTGAACTTCTCAAGATGTAAAGGATCATTCATCTGCATTTGAAAGGAATATTGACTAAGTATAACGAAAAAAACATTATCATTGAAAGCATATGCATTATTTCAAGTGATAACAACTTGCTGAGCATTTATCAGTATGCGTCTCAGATTAAGTTCATCAAGCCCATGTTAGAGAATTGGTTTGATAAATATTTGGATTGGCGAATTAAGATATGACTCCAAGCAATGTCCAGAAACAACCCTCCAAAACCCAATCCTTCTAGAATAATATATTAAATAACCAGAAGAATAAGTCTTCATAGATCAACCCATTTTATCTTGACCTAAGATCCAATCTCAAAACATTTTCTCAAGTACTTGTTACCTGCCTATTTTTAAGGTACATGTAGAATTCATTGAGGACAAGTCCAACGCCAAGCTAAACCAACTGTTGGACGAGAGGATTGATATGGTCATATATCTCACATATGCTTGAGTCTGTGTGCTTGGTTACGTCATTTGTCCACAATATTTTCTTAGCAATACCTTGCTAATAATAAAAGTTTAAAAATGAAATCGGTTCCAACCGCTGAATTTTGAATATACTCACAAGACATAGGTTTAATCAATAGCGGGTGCGAATAAAAGTTTTAAAGCAATAGAAACTCCAATAGCAAGAAGCCATTTTAGGGGTGATCCAACCCCACATAGTCAGAATTTTTCTCAAGAAAGGAAATCGAGATATTTTTCACCATCAATATAGATGGTTTAAAACGAAATCATCGAATGAAAATAGGTGTGTACTCATGCATTATACAGAATAATTCAGATTACACAAGCCATGTCTGAGCATAGACAAATATATGAATATAGACAAAAGAAAACCCAGTTAAGAATAAATTATCTGAGAAGAAGCAATATATTGCACAATAAAGCTACGTAAGAGAAAAAACCACCTCTCCAAGGTCAATCGTGAAAACAGTGCTACATGAAAACGATTCAAAATATTCGTTTTTGAGAAAACATGGCAAGTTCAATGCAATAAAAAGATTTCATTCTTTAAATGGCGAAAATTCTAGCTATGGATATTATCCGTGTTTTGTGGATGATTGCAATGGTTTTTGAGCTTGCTCAAATCAATACTTTACTAAAAATAAAAATAGTCCTAATTTTTTGCGAATAATTGAAGAGTTGGCATATCAATTTCACGAATTTGGATTTTTCTTTCAAACCAAACATAGGATACCCCCCTGCAAGGCCTAAATCTTAGGAGCCACACAACCCTTCGAGCATATTACAAAAGTAGATCCATTAGTAAGACGAGTCGATAAAACGTTGCATGCAAACGTGTAAATCACGAGGGCTGCCAGTGGACCAAAAATAGTAAATGCGGAAACTATATCAGAGAGGCAAAGATTCTTTTCAAGAGACATATAAACAGACATGTGGGCTGCATATCAAAAACACTCAGACGGAACAGGGTGTCGGGAAAGAGGAATGCATCGCCTCGCGGCTGCATTTTGCGGATAGCATACCAGAGTACACTTCCCCTGTGTGTGGTATAGGCATGTGGGCTTCCATCGCGCGGACTTCCCCTCCACGGCAGCGGTCTCGACAACCTCAGCGTGAGCAGAGGAAGAAACGGAAAGGGAAACGCGAGCCACTGAAGTGGCGAGGGCGCGCCTGGAAGTGCGAAAACCGGTTAGCAGAGACGGGACGAACCTGGCGTGGGCCTCTGGGGAAGTTCGCAACATTGCCGCCATGGCGCCAAAGCACCGGGTGGCGCAAGAAACCACCATGGCAACCAAGAAGGGGCCTCGTTATTCCATTTCCCATCGTCCATTCAGGTTATCGTCGGAAGGACGGCCCACAAATACCCATCCGACATGGGCCAACCCCAACACTTCCAGCCCATATTCACACACCAGACACTTCGCCGATCACCCAACAAGCATGGAAACCAGAAACTAATGTGACCAATGTGACCAAAATGGGCCAGCCTGTTCCTCACGCGACCTAACCACAAAAAACCCGGAAGACCCATTCCCCTCACGTGGTCCCCCCTCCCTCTAACATGATAATTGAGTAGGTAGAGAGAGAGAGAGAGAGAGAGAGAGAGAGAGAGGGCCAACGGTCCAGTTGGCAGAGGAGTGAGAGAGAGAGAGAGCCCCAGCAGTGCATGTTTGTGCTGGGTTGCGAGATTCTCCTACCTCATTAGATCGATCAAAAAAGTCAACTTGTCAGGCCCATTTGACGATAGAAGTACAAGACTACGAGCGCAAATCCACGAGGGGTTTGAAATCTGGGGGACAATCTCGATTGGGTCAATGGACAACGAGAATTTTACGAAGCCCCCGCAGGAAAATTCTCACGCTCCGACGGCGACTTCCCACTGGCGTGGTAGCCGAGTGCGACCACGCACCAAGATGCCAGCGCAGAACCAGCGAGCGCGGAGGAGACGGCGGCGGCCCTCTGCATGTCCTCATTCATCAGCCGGAGAGACGCGGCGCCGCCCGGAGGACCCCCCGGTGGGCCAACCCACTTGGTGGCGCCACCGCCTGTGACAGGTCTCCTACCGCGTGCAGCACCTCTCACCTTACGTGGATCGCACCGACACCGCCCTCCCGTCACCCCTCCATCAATGAGGGGATCCTTCTGGCCTCGATTAACAATCATTAAATCTAATATTTGGTATGGTTATGCGATTTGTTTGCTAAGCTAATGGATGTGGGTTCGGCCTCTCCAGCTCAATCGCTCTGTTATCTGTGTGTGTGTGTGTGCGTGTATATAATCACACACCCCTCGGGGCTGTTCTCCCCAGCACCTCTGATCTCCTCCCTGCGACGATGGCCTCTTCTCTGCTCCCCGTCTTGATCTGCATGGTGGCGCTAGTAGCGGGCGCCGCGCGCGGCGCGACGGACCCGGTAGCGCCGGCACCGGCGCCAGAGGTGGTCAGTTTGACGGGGATCCTGGAGAAGGGGAGCCAGTACACGACGCTGCTCCGTCTGCTGAAGGAGACCCAGATCGGGAAACAGCTCGAGAGCCAGCTGAACAACTCCTACGACGGGTTCACCGTTTTCGCCCCCACCGACAACGCCTTCAATGGCCTCAAGGCGGGGACGCTCAACAAACTGACGGAGCAGGAGCAGGTGGCGCTGGTGCTCTACCACGTCCTACCACGGTACTACACCTTCGACATCTTCCAGACCGCCAGCAACCCCATCAGCACGCAGGCTACCGGCAACAACGGCGTCTTCACGCTCAACATCACGTCCACCGGGCCGCAGCAGGCGAACATCTCCACCGGAGTCAACACGACCCCAATCAACAACGCCCTCTACAAGATCTTCCCTCTCGCTGTGTACTCCATCGAGTCCGTTCTGCTACCGTCCGACCTCTTCGGCGTAAGGCGCACGATGCACCCGTCGCCCCCTCCGCCGCCGACCAAGGCCGCCAGCGCGCCGTCCAACTCCTCCGCCGATGGCGCGGAGGTCGCGCCGGAGAAGAGCCCCGCCGCCGCCCTGCGGGCGCCCACCACCGCATTGGGGGGAATCATAATGGCGGCCGCTCTCCTCTTCACCACGGGCTTCCTGTTGTGAGCTGCCCCCCCTGTTACAGGGGAGTTAGTGCCACCTTCATTCATTTCCCTGTATGTCGCTTGGGCATTTCCATGTTCTTCAGTTCCCTCTCCCTTTCTTGCACAGACTCTGTCCTCTTCTCGTATTATCATAGTGAGTCATTTCTCTCTCTCTCTCTCTCTCTCTCTCTCTCTCTCTACGTCATCCATTTTCCAGCTGGTGTGGTGCGGCTGGCCATTAGATTGAGGCACGGGGATGAGCCCGGCCGGGCGGGGCACTCACATGGAAGGAGAGGCTTTCCAGCTGGTACTCTCCCGGTGGTCCACACAGCCTACGAACATGGAGCCAGAAAAGATTAATATCCGGGATCAATGGGCCATCTGGGGCCGTTTTATTGACCGCGGGCTCTGTACAGCCCCGCCATGGACAAGATGATCCAGGTGGAGGAGTTTAGTCCACCGTGAGAACCACCTTCCCGGGGACGAGCCTCTTCTCCTTCGCCTCGTGAGCCTCCCTCGTGTGGGTGATGGGGAAGGTCCTGTCCACGGGAACCTTCAGCTTCCGGGCCTCCGCCAGCCGGCAGATCTCCTGGAGACCTTCTGGGTCGGCCCTCATGTACGTCCACCAGTACCCTGAAAATGGCGCAGTAGCAAGAGTGAGAGAAGATAGAGACACCCACCAGCAATGGAGGCTGATCATTATTAGCTGCCTTGACCTATTCCGTGAGAGAAACGGTAGCGAAGTTGTTTCTTCAACAAGATGGCCGTAGCGGTGGGGAGGCCGACGCCCAATCCATATCTATCTGCTAGCGACGCCGCTTCCCCCTGCAAAATGGGACGACATTGTTAGTGAGTAGGGGAAGGCATTTCTTGGAGGGCTGAAAAAGCTTCCCTTCGGGACTACCTGTAGCGTCATGTAATGGCCACCTCTCTTTAGGAGGTTAACTCCTATTCTCTCAGTTTCTGGCCTCCCGATGGTATCCAGAACCGCATCAAAATCTCCCTTGATTGCCGATTCGATATCCTGCGCACAAACTCAGATCTTAGATGTGGTGAACGGCTTTGGAAGTGTAATCGATGGCTTCGACGTCATTACCTCGGCGGTATAATCAATGACTTTCTCAGCTCCAGCAGATAGAACACGTTCAAAGCTCCGACTTCCACAGGCAGCTACGACGTTACATCCCATGTCTACTGAGATCTGAATTGCAGACAGCCCAACCGCACCACCTCCGCCCAGAACCAGCAACCTTTGTCTGCACATGCCGTGTTGGAAGTCAGAATACGAGGGATGAAAACAGTGGAATCACTTGGACCCTCGTTATGCAATTGTAGCATGGAAATTTAAATCCACTTTAAATAAATCAAACCAGGAGGCTTTTTGTTCGAGAAATAAATTTCATCAGACAACAATAAATATTCTTTTTTTTCTAAAGCTCTCATATATGGAGCAACTGACAGGAAAGAACTTCCTATTTAGTTTTGTTGCAATTCTGCCACCCCATATATAATCTGGGCAAGTGAATAGCCATTCTTTTTCAAATGCAGATAGCTCTGAATGGAACTTCCCTTTTTCCTTTTCTCTCACAATGCCATGCATGAGTCGATTTTCCACAGCTGCATCATATGCAGCAATCACCCCAGGATATCCCTACGTGGCCTCATTCCAAATATCCTCTGCTCTTTCTGACATTGGTCACTCCCCTTTTTTTCCACTTGGATATTTCATCCGTATCTTCAACTATCAATTCAACAACTCTTCCAAACCAGCGACTTCAACCCTTCACCTAATCCTTGACTATGGGCTCACGTCCCCACATCATATCATTCAATTCTTCTTCTTCACATCCGATAACGCTTAAGGCCTGCCATGCCAAACACCTGGCCCAGTGACTAGAGCAACACTGTTGGGACAGTTGAGGCCAAGCTTGAGCCAAGCTTCATGGATCACTGTCACTCCTGTGCTGGGCTAGGGCTAACCTCAAAAGTCTTGGGGCCAGAAAACCTAACGTAATGAAAACTGGAAAAACCTAATTGGTTGAGAGCATGGCAAAGCCCCTCCCCACTTTCTTTTTCCTAGAATTATATCTTTGTAACATGCACAGTATTAGAAATAACCGTATTTTTTGCATTACGGAAAGGGTGAATTATACGGTTATGGAGTCCAACAGCTTTGGCCAAGCATGTTTTATCTGTGTAACATGCACTCAATTTATCTGTGTGAAGTATAGAAACTTTCTATAACACTACATAAATGGAGTCCAACAGCGACTGACCGCCAATCATGTCTAATCTAATAAATACATCACACAAGTGAAAACAAAAGGCTGATCCTCCTAATCAATCCTGCTCAACTCGGATAGGAAAAGAGACAGAACAAGATATTACAATTAATAATGTTCATTAGAAGGTGCCTCATAAGACCGACGGGACAATTTACACCATCTTTGGCAATTTATCCACACTAAGGCACTCGTCAAAAATTGCAAATAATGAATTGTTTTCAAACACCACTTTCACCCTTTATTTATAAGTAGATAATCTTATTTATTCTGTTGACATAAAAGAGATTTCAAGAGAAGAGCCCACGCAAGACAACATGAACCTTTGAAATTGTTGACGAAGTGAATTGCGATATTGGAGAGTTAATGATTGTGAGAATCTGGATGCATGTTTGTTAAGTCCTTTATAATTTTCAAATCCTATTTCATGCATAATCTGCTTTTTTTCTCATTTTCCCAGGTTAGTCTCAGTAGAAAAAGTGTATCATGAAAATGTGTTCAACACAAAATAATTGACGACTCTCTGTTAGTCTGAGAGAAACTGCTCAAGGCCATCTTAGCGTATAGTCAGCTTGCTCAAATCTTGTCCATATATCTATTATACCAGCATGGACAAATCAGCTCTGAACCAATGCCTCCTCAAACCTTAATCCAATTTTAATATCTCCATCTACACAGCAATTTGTGAAACTCCTCGTTATTAAATTACAAATACTCTCCCTTGTAAAGAAGAACCATCTTGGATTCTTTGCTCTAGTTACATTTCCAAAGGAGCTCCATGAAAGGGTCTGCAAAGGAATCCATAGCCAATGTATGAATTCCAACTTTCGTAGGCTCTTGACTGGTAAGTAGAAACCATACCAACTGGATACTCAAAAAAGGAAAAACAAAACGTGACTTCTATATAACTACTATTACCCAGGAATGCACTATCTTCTAATACTTTCCACTATTCTTTTTACTGCCGTTTAACTTCTCAACATGGAAATACTTCACATCACTACAATGACTGAATTCAGCATTCTTTTGCAAATGGGAAGGTCGATTTGCTTATAAATTAAAAGATATTCATTTTGAACAGGACCTATGCATACAAAAGGAGTGAAAGAACTAAAATGAAATCGTAAGTATTGGTATTTGGACTCCATTTGGGAATTACTAAACAACAGGAGTCAAAAAGCTAGGAAGGCATACCCTTCATTGATTCGGGCAGTGCCTAAGGCCCGCCATGCTGTCAATGCAGCAAAAGGGATTGCACTTGCCTCCTACAAAACCAGGAATATTTCTTTAATTCTATGAAAGAAGAAGAAAGGGCCAAGAAAATTACCACATAGTTTTATATAAAAATACTAAAAATCAAATATTCCACGATTTTCAGTGTATTTATAAAATATGGCAAACAAGCAAATAATTGACAATTTTTGATAGGTGATGATAAGTTTGCATATAAGTGGCATCAGACGGTCCACTGAATTAATCATTTAAAAGATGTTCATGATACCAATACCAGATTAGGAAGCCAAGAAAATGATTACAAGGTAAGCCAATCATCACTGTATAAGAAATATTTTTTGTTGTAGTTCATACCATCTAAAAGTGTTGGCTCAGATGTACAAAATTCCTGACTCTCAGCCAATGAAGGAAATAAATAACAGAAATTAGGTATACATCGCACTAGACTGAAAACCTCAACAGTGACCCCAAGTCTCAGCTGATCGTGAATCTTCCTTAATTTCAACTATGCGGATTTGCAGTGAAGTCTGTATTTAATTTTCTACTCTTCGGATCTGACATAAGTATAGTGGCAAGGATCCATGGGTGAGATAGTAAATTCAGTTTTTGTCTTATGAGCGAAATGTGATGGAACCACCTTACAGAAAGAATATTACGAACTTTTCTTTTGATGTGTTCCTAGGAGAAAAAAAAACCTGGGCTCTCTAATCTGTAAAGCCCCATCATAATTTTATTTTATTTTAGTACACGTCAAGGTGAAAGAACAGTAGAAAGAACAGTAGACGAGAAGAAACTTTCATCCAGCTTAAAAAAGGAAGTATGTGTGGACAGAAAGTTAGCCAAGGCGATCAACAGATGTCTAACAAGTTGAAATTTGCATTAGCTTTCCTTCTTGCGTAAATAAAGAAAACGCAAATAAAAAAGGATCCATAATTCATCCATTTTCCTGTGATGTACGTAGATAAAACAAAAAAAATCGCATATCACATCCAAATTAAGTGGAATTAAAGTGGATTCAACCATAGACAAAAATGTGGCTTAGATAGACACAGTGAAGAAAGAAAGAGATAGTTTTGGTCAATTAATCTGGATCGGTATGGTTCCCAATTTAAGCCTCCACCAAATGTTATAGAGAGTTGGATGAAGGATATGTCGGGGATACTATCTCTATTATTCTCACAGCCAAGATAAAGGCATGGAATCGGGAACTCAGAGTACAGATGTCACCTTAAAGTCAACATGGGGCATGATAAAACTGAAAGTTTAAGCATGGCCACTAACTGGCTGAAATGGGAAAAGCACCAAACAGGCAATGCTACCTCATGGGTCAGGGAAGGCGGTTTCAAGGTAAGCTCCTCCTCAGCGAGAATGGCATAATCAGTGTAGGTACCCCTTATAGCAGTCGGATGCAACGCCCCGAAGACTTCCTGACCAGCAGTTAGTGATGTCACTGATGATCCCACTGCTGCGACTTCGCCACTTATGTCACGACCAAGAATCAATGGTAGAAGAGGTTCAAATATTGAACGTCCATAACCAGCTCGCATCTGAATACGTTATCAAGAGAGACAATACTTTAGGTTGACGTGCCGTGTTTCAGCCATGCTCGTAATTACTCATTAAAGATAAGCCGGGGGAACAGGAACACAGGCCAGTTACTCAGAAAAAGAAAAAAAAAATCCCTCACTCGCAAGTCCAGAGGATTGACGGAGACGGCGCGGGTGCGGACGAGCACCTCCCCAGGCTTCAGATCGGGAACACCGACCCCCGGTCGAAGCTCCAGGACCTCCGGTCCACCGAACCGCTCCAACACCACCGCCCGGCAGCTCGTAACGAAGGACCTGCCGCCCGCCGGGCACCATCCCGCCGCGGACACCGCAAGAAACCTCCGCAAATTCCCCGGCATTCCCTCTCCAGGGCGTATTACTTTCGGGCTCTGCCTCCTCGAGCAACGATTTGCCGTCGACGTCTAGAACCCTAGCGGTCGCTGCTCCTAGAGTCTTCGAACTGACCATCCATGGAGAGCGATGCCGTGGAGGAGGGAGCAGCACCACTGCCGCCGATGTGTCTCCTTTCCCGTCCACAAGCCCTCCTTCCTCCGTCGACCTCGAGCTATACAGTCCCCTGCGGGCTTCTTGCTGAGTGAATACGGAAGCGAGTCAACGACCCGGCCGAGTCCAGAGTCGAGTTATATTTGGGCTACTTTGGGCTGAAGTATGGTTTTGGGCTGGCTGAAGGCCCATGTTTGTAATAGGCTGATAGATTCCTTTCCTGGGCCGACTTTTTTTGGACGCTTTATGCTAGTTGGTCGGGAACCCCGGCGACGGTCAAAAGCGCTTACCCCCAGATTCGATTTGGATAAGCTGGCCCGGGAAGTTGGCTCGGACGGTGACGTGACCGGCGGATCGGAGAAACTCGGAGAGTGACTCGGGACGGGGACTCGGAAAGTGGGCGGTTTGGACGAACTCGGAGTATGACTCTGTCCGACACCGAGTCCCCCGGTTAGAGCGGCAACTGCTGAAGTGGCACAGACGTAAATAAGGGTAATACGTGATGGTAATTTGTGAAAATCACCTATGGCATAAATGCTTTTCGCTTTTGCCGCGTCCGTCCTCTTCATGACTGCCTTTTTCCCGGTTCTCGCCATGGAGGTGGACGAATGATATGAGATAGAGATAGAGAGAGAGAGAGAGAGAGAGAGGGCAGGTGTCTTCGCTTCCTTCCTTCTCTAGCTCTCCTCAGAAAGAAAGAAAGAAAGAGAGGGAGTGAGAAAAGAGAGAGAGAGAGACGTAAGGTGCCTTCGTTTCCTCTCTCAGACTCCGTGATTCCCACTCTCCAATCGGGCTCTAACCACACAGGAAGCCCTCAAACGATCGCAAGGTACGAAATTGTCGCCTCCGCTTTCGACTTCCGCCAGGTCTTTGATTTTCTGATGTTTTTATGTTACTGGTGCTCGTTTTTGGTAGGGTCGTCTTATTATGATCCCTCGATTCTCTCCATTTACTGTAGGACGGCGCTACGGGGAGGGTAGGCAATTGCGCAAATTGGCTCTGAACTGCGGTTGGCTATTGCTTGGCTGTCGGAAGGGGGAACGCGGAGAAAGAGATGGGGAAGGGCTCGAGGACTGGCTGCAAGTCGGCCTCCCACCAACTTTTTAAAGATAAGGCGAAGAACCGTGTGGATGATCTCCAAGGCATGTTTAATGACCTTCAGTTTGCCCGGAAGGAAAGCCGCTCGAGTGATGTGGCTATCCTGGAGGAGCAGGTGAACCAGATGCTCCGTGAGTGGAAGGCCGAGCTCAATGAGGCGTCTCCTGCTTCTTCCTTGATTGTAGTCTACTCTCTTCATCACACCACTCTATTTCATATTTTTGTTCCTTTTTGTCACGGGTTAGATCTGAGTCCCATTTACTCTGTTATGGTATCCGGTGGCTGGTTTGCATAGGGAGCGAGTCATGTCTCTTCGGATCTTTCCTCGGATATCCGTCGCCTCCTGCAGCTCTGTGAGGAGGAGGATGATGCCACTAGCAAGTTGGCGGAATCGCCACACCTCAACCCTAAGCCTGAGCCTGATGCGCAGGAAAATTGCATTCGGCGTCTTCAAGAGGCTAAGGTTGCTGCCTATCAAGAGGTGACTTTTCTTGGGTTGTTCTTACGCTGCGGGGTTTCTGGCATTCCAATTGGTTTCTATTCTGAGGATCACATATTACAGTTCTCTCTGTGGACTATTCGGATTCGACAAAATTATTAATAGAATATTTTTCAGATAGCCTACACTTCAAGTGACATTGAATAAGTCTGCGTTGTCCATAACATTCGACAATGGGCTCTTTCTAAACTTATGTAACAGATCACAAAAGTCACCTTCGAGGCGAAATTTTATTTGGTATTGGAGTAAGTTTTGTTCTTTGATCCACATCTTAAATGCCAAAGGTATCCGTCAAAGGAACACTGTCTCCGTAAAAACGCAAACATCCTAATCCTGTTCAAACATCCTGCAAGAGGAAAAATCGAAGTCTCTTTTTTTTTAGAAACTTTCATCTCTCGTGCTTCATCTGCGAGATGTCTTGGGGGGACCATAAAGGACGGATTCGTCAAGCCCCTCTTCTTTTTACAGACGTATTCTTTAGTGAAAAAATTTCACTCGCATCATGCTTCGTGAGAATTTCGGTATTCACTTCTGATGTGGTTTTCTCTAAATAAGCATCAAACATACGTATTAGTCTTAGATACCCATAAGATCCAAATTTCAGGGTATTGTTTGTAAATGGGTCTCACCAGCGGCTTGATTTAGATAGGTAGGATGTCTGTTGCTAGATAAGTTATGCTGAGCATCTAAATTATTTGGATAGGGGTGCATATGAGCTGGGTGTTGTAGACCTCGTTTTATCGATGCTAGTATCTGAAAGAGGGTCTTAATTAAGTTGGGTCAGTGGTCAAATGTAAGAGTTGGTAGGAAGCAATTGTGATTGCATTGAATGTGCCTATTTGGGAGTGTTAGTCTGACAGGAATCCTATAGAATTGGGAAGGATTATGAAAGATTGTATCAGGCTAGTTTTGTTGGATCATACACAATAGCTAATAAGTGTGTAGGGGGGGGAAATTCTTTGATTTGCATGTCTATCTAAATAATAGTAATGTTTCTTGCTTGACTAAAGATGCGATTTTTAGTGTTCTTTGACATAAAAGCGGTTATAATGTGTTCTGACTTGTTGGGGACTACACACGCATATTATTGAGATATGCATGTTTTAAAGATATTCCCTTACATATTTTTGGGAGTGCAGCACAGTAAATAATAAATACATGTTAAAATGTAAGATATATGAGTCATCGTAGGTGGACATTACAGAAGAATACAGCAGGAAGAAAATAATAGTATTAATGTGGTAGTCATGACAACCAATGGAGTCAAATGCCGCGCATTAAGTTGTCGTATTAGTTGTAATGAAGTGATTGGAGTAGGATGAGAGCATTAATGTAAACAACGAACAGCAAGTAAAAATTGTACAATGTCTATAGACTGCAAAACAATACGAAAGGTATCAACAAAAGTATAAAAGAAGCCAGTAAAATCAGTCTACAATGTCCGACTGTAATCAATAGCATCAACAGAGCTCAGTTGGATTATGCAACTATGAGACAGATGATTCTGTGCGGTTAGATAATCCAATTGCATTGTGTTAAGCATTTCTTCAATATTTATGAGTAATCATAAATTGTTAATTGTGTAGGACTTGATAGATTGTTTTATGTACAGATAATTCACCTTGTTAGTCATACTCCTATAATTGTGTAGAGAGAAACAGATGGTCAACATCAACCAACCCCCCCCCCTGCGTTGATTGGGACGACCAGTTGTTGTCATAAACAGTTGTCTACCTGTTTGTTGGGACGATCAGAGTCTTCTACTGTCCAATTATAGTGTGCTTGAATATGTCTACAGTCGGTAATAATAAGGAAGCCGTAATGGATTACTTTGGCAGGGTAATGATAGTACACAGGCAATCCTGCTGCAATACATTTGGCCCCGGTTGTTTGGGGGGGACTCTTTGTAGCATGTGACTGACAAACGGGGGTAAATTGTGTTTCTAATATTAAAAAAAATTAAAAATAAAATTGCTGTCAATTTTGGGTATATAATCCTTCTCCTAGGATCCAAATCATGAAGTACATTACGTTGCTTCATGGGACTAGCGATTCTGATTTGCTGTGATTTTTTAAAATAAGTAATTGCCTCCTTTCCAAGATTGGGTAATGATTTCCTCTTCCTTATTCCACTACCCTTTCCTTCCCGTTGTTGTTTTAATTATTAGTGTCACTCTTTTTTCCTGTCTATCGTTCTTTGACTGCTTTTGTGGTATCCAAGATCGGCAGTGGTGCTTTGTGGCTTTTGGTTGGGCCTCTGATATTAAACGGCGGCAGTGGAAGTGGTCTGCTGAGTCTCTATTGCACCAAATATCAATCATTTATTCCTAAAATGTATAGTGGAGAAAGGAGGATTTTAAATCTCTCTTCGTGCTTCAAGAGTCGAGAACCAATTTCTGGCTGACTCTGCCCATTTTAGAGTAACTCTGGAATTTTGTTTTCTGAATTTTCTTAGTAAAGTCGACAGTAGAATCCGACTGAATAGGATCAACTAGCATCGATTCCTATCTTCAAGCTTTGTGTGGTGTCTTGCTGTCTTACTGTGACTCTGGTAGATTTTTTTCATACAGCTTAAAATGTTTAAAGAATGAATGTCTTGAACTGTGAAATGAATATTAACTGATAAGAAAAGAGGTTTCCGCTTTTGGGCTAGCAGAAGGTGTGAATGTGTTGAAGGTCAATGCCTTCGCCGAATTAAAGTAGTTGGATCGAGTAATCTTAATTTGAGAAATATCTCGTAACATAGACATCCCAATGTAGCATAAGTTAGCGGTTCACAATGCTTCTCTTTTACAATATATGACTTCGGTATGAGGCATTTTAGGATCAAAATACCAAGTGTTGTAGATCTCTACGGGGATGAAGATTAGCCTGTGTTATTTGTAGCAATGGTTATTTGGGATCCCAGTATTTATCAGGATCATGTGAGTATCATGATCAAAGCTTGTAAATCTGTTTTGCTATCTGTAAGAGTTTTTTCTATAGGCTCATTCAAGTTGAAGTTAGGATGGCAGAAGTTGCCCCTGAGTGCCATCAGAAAGATTGCCAAAGCAGGGAAGAAATGTGACATTACAATGGAATATATTATAAATATACTAAATTTGAGGCAATTTCATGAACTAAGCTGGCTGCTATCCATTCTGGGATTTCTAGGTGAGCTATTTTGCAAAGCCTGCGGGACTGCAGTCAGGTGTCAACTGTCTTAAAGATATTCCCCGCCATCTAGTTAGCAATTTAATTTTCAGTATTGCGTGTCTTATTTTTCTGTGAAAGACATACAGCTGGTGCTGTGGATCGAAACTAGTTATTCTTTTGCCAATCAAACCGACTAAATTAAAAGCATACCAACTATTTCCTTTTTCTTTCTTCTAGTTCACTTACACCTAGGGTCACATTTTGTAAGGCTTTTTGTGAATCTGACCTACCAAACAACTTAACCTTGGGTCCCAGAACAGAATGCAGAGAAATAATGACTAACAGAAGGCATTGTTGACAGCTGTTTCTGACTTCAAGTTCCTGTTGCTGCACATTCCGGTTTTTAGAACCCAGACGTTGCTGCTGCTCTATTCTTCTGGTGGTCTAAGTTGCCGTTTAGTAGAGCGGTTGAACATCCTTGTGCAAATACATTCACATATCTCAATTAGGTCAAAAACATGACAATGAAATCAAAGATTTCATTGTCATGTTTTTCTTCTCAGTCAATATACATTCATATAACCTTAATGCATCGACCTTCCCATCGCACTTTGCACGACATTTAGGCGATGTTTGGCCTCTTTCTTTGTGGTTCTTGTAAGCCGTATTCAACATACGCAGGTAAGGGAGAGATAAATTTAAAAATGAAAAATGAAGGATATTTAATATGTATGACTTCTTTTCAATGTCCTCTTAGTGATATGTGTGAGTTAATTTATTTCAGTTGTTCTCAAGTGCCTCCAGATATTTTGCTACTATGCACGAGAAATGAAGTATTTTTTTTTATTAAAAACAATTTTCCTCCCAAGGGGTTATCTTTCTTACATAAAAAAGAAACAATTATGTCGCATCTATATCACTTTATTGATTTTCCATTGCATCTTCAGCTACCTGGTCTTCAACACTATTCTCTGTATTTTGGTTGAATTCCAGATAATCATGGGTCATCAATTTGCCACCGTTCAATGTTATTTGATTGCAATCAGTAGATTTGTTAACTCCAAACTATGCATCCTTTAATGATTCTCAAGTATTACCATCTTTCATTAATTCACTTTTTCCAAATTCAGATCAACTCACATCATGTTCATCATTCAAATTCGTAGGGATATTACGCTGATAGATTGACAAGTTCAATAGTATATAGTGAAGGATGTTCTGTGCGTGATAAAAAAGTAAAGGATGATATTTGCCCAGCCCCGAGTCTTTAATAAATTATATTTATTATAAATGTCTACACATCACATTTTGACTTATTAATTTATTTACTTGACGAGAATAATTGCAGTCGTCCTATCTTACAAAATTTAATGCGCTTCTAAAGAAGCTTACAACGTACATTCTTTTTTTCTGCATATAAAACTTATGATGTACTTATCAGCATGTTAGCCGTTATTATCTCAACTCTTGGGTTTGTTTTCCTTTTTCAAATCTTAACACACTTGCATGTTTGTGGCACTACCCTCTTTGAGGTAAGCCGTAAAAAGTATAATTGCGCTTGGAATAATCTTGCTTTTCACTTCATTGCTTGAGTTACCTTCCTTCTCTTTACGTTCTCATTGAATTATTCTATTTCCGAATCATGCAATTTTCCTTTCATGCATGTAGCTTAAAGGAATTTATTTTATTTTATCTTATTTGAACGGAATTTTTCCTTATTTGTTACAAAGAGTTTTTTTTTATATTACCACTGATGTATGCTTCGGGAAAAGGTTGGTTATGTGGGCTGAAACTTTTCCCTTTGAAACATCGTTATTAAACTACTCCAAGATAGCAGCAGCACCAGTTTGTTCTTTTATTTGGTTGAGACGCCATCTATGTTATTTTGAAAGACTAATCTGACACAATTTTCATTCTGCATACGGAGAGGATGTTTTAATTGGCAGGCTCTAGATAATGTTTCTCTGTATTAACGAGTGACAACTCTAGGAGTTTTTACTCTGCATTAGGACAGATCTGGTGTTCTATTTATTGATTTAGACTCACGTCTACTCTCAGGATTATTATGTGCATCAGGAGCTGTCAGAACATGGGTTCCAAGATGTAGATGTCTGCAAAACAAATGTGTCTATCGGATTACATCATGGCAATGTAGATTGCATGGAGGCTGGAGATCGTTTGGATTATCAACAGTTCAACATTCATCAAGAGTTACCGCATGATCTTTTCCTTCAGTATGATAATGGTGGACGACATGGAGAGAATGTGGCACAACATATTTCTGACTTACTTCCAGCAATATGCCCACCAGCTTCTGCATTCTTAAGGCCTAAATGTGCGCTATGGGATTGTCCAAGGCCTGCTAAGGGATCAGATTGGTTCCAAGATTATTGTAGTTGTGTTCATGCCATTTTGGCACTAAATGAAGGCCCTCCCGGTATGAATCCCGTTCTTCGCCCTGGGGGCATCGACTTGAAGGATGGTCCTCTTTTTGCTGCTCTCATTGCCAAGACTCAAGGAAAGAATGTTGGTATTCCAGAGTGTGAAGGAGCTGCAACGACAAAGTCTCCTTGGAATGCTCCTGGTACACGATCTATTCTTTCTGGTTTACCACGTAATTTGTCTCATTAATTTGCTCATAAACCCACGCCACCTGCCTCACATGCATCATAAACATATTCTGTTGTAGTCTGCCGTTGAATGATCAATGAGACAACTAGATTATGTCGTTAAATTATATCAGCTTACTCCACTTATGGGCTACTAGTTTCGAATCAGATTGAATAAGAATGATTGAATGTGTCTAGTCCATTCATTTCCCATGAATTCTGTGTTGGAAAAGAACTGACTTTTTCACGGTTTTAATTCACTGGAAGGAAAGTCAACCATGTACCTGTGGCAATTCTCACTGCTTTATCATTCCAATTCTGCAGAACTCTTCGACCTTGCAGTCCTCGAAGGTGAATCAATGAGGGAATGGCTCTTCTTTGACAAGCCTCGAAGGGCATTTGAGAGTGGAAACCGTAAACAGCGATCCTTGCCGGACTACAGCGGGAGGGGTTGGCACGAATCGAGGAAGCAAGTGATGAAGGAATTTGGAGGGTTGAAGAGATCCTACTACATGGATCCACAACCGTTGACCAACTTTGAGTGGCATCTCTATGAGTATGAGATCAGTCATTGCGACGCCTGCGCCTTGTACAGGTTGGAGCTCAAGTTTACTGATTCAAAAAAGAGTGCCAAGGGAAAAGTGTCCTGTGATTCCCTCGTCAACCTTCAGCAACAGATGGGGATGCTCAATGCAGAGCCTCCCCTAGATACCAAGCGCTCGGCCAAAGGCAGGACCAAGTTCAGTCAGAAGGACACTCCTGGTAATGTCTGCCTGTCTCTGGTCAGTGTCAACCATGACAATAACGGAGGGCCCCTCTATCCTTCCTCAGAGCACGGTGGCCCAGCAGCAGAGAATTATGTCTATGGTCCGAGCATGCCTTATGGTTACTCAGTCGAGAGCCTGAATTCTATCATGCATCGTGACATTACCTAGTGTGGAAATCTCTTCAAGCACCTCAACATGGCTATTTAAGGAGTTTCTGTAATCTTGGATAGATTATCGACTGGCTACATTCTCTGACCCATTTTTATTTTTTTTTCTCTCTCTTGAAATCCTGGTCCAAACAGTAGGCCTGTTTCCTAATTTTCCTACTCTGGATCAAGCAGGATGTCAGCCATCTGGGAGCTCTATATCTGTATCTATTATATACTGTGGGGGTAATTGTGGCTATTAAATGGCACTCTTTGTATAAAGTGCATGATGCTGCTCTTCTCTTGATGGGCATGGAACATGCGACCATTGAGGCCTTATATTGATAGAACTGTACAGGGCTTTGCTGGGCACTGGTGCGTCATCTCATCCTCGGATTCTTTTCTTATTTTTTCGGTTGTATAGGTTACCAACACTGTAAACTACTACCCACTATCTATTCTCTCTCCCTCTCTCTCTCTCTCTCTGTCTCTCTCTCTTCTTTATACTGTGTTGGATATATACGTTTTGGTTGCTGTTGGTGTTCGGAGTGCTCTCTAGAGCCTCGTTGCGGCAGACCCTGTGCTCTCTCTCCCTCCTGAACTTCTGAGATTGCAGCTACCAAGATGGTTTTTATTTATTTATGTAAATAAATACATAAATAAATAAAACCATCTTGGCAGCTGCAATCTCAGATCATGGAAACACCAAAATTTTGATATGCACAGCCACAGTGTGCGCGTGTAGTTATACATATTAAACGAGAATAACAGAGATGATGATACAACAGACCAATCAAATGAACAGGTCCACATCTAAAAGAAAAAAAGAAGAAATCAAGACCTATTCCCCACATACTTCAGAGACAAACCTGTACTTCGCGATGGCCCGGCCTCTTGATCTGAGCCTCCTGCGATTTGCCGAATTGGGAAGCATCTCCCGCATCTAACTCGAGCAGCACCCGCCTTTCTTCACAGGGGGCACCTCATCCAGAGAGTCCAGGTTGATGGTCTGCCCCTTGGGCACCGTCATGGGGTCGTCCCCCACGTCGAGGGTCTTCTTGCTGACCACGCGGTACACCTGAGAAAGCACCTCCGTGAAGGAAGCCTCAACGTTCAGGGCCTCGAGAGCGGAAGTTTCCATGAAGAAGGTTCGCTCCCGCTCGGCGAAGGACTTGGCTTCCTCCACGGAGACAGCCCGCAGGTGGCGAAGGTCCGACTTGTTCCCCACGAGCATGACCACGATGTTGGACTCGGTGTGGTCTCTGAGCTCCCTCAGCCATCTCTCCACGTTCTCAAAGGTAACGTGGCGGCTCACGTCGTAGACCACCAATGCGCCCACCGCGCCCCGGTAGTAGGCGCTCGTAATGGCGCGGTATCTGCGAGAAGGAAGGCGGCATGGTATCGGTTAGAACCCTAAGCCATGAACACATGCCTTACCGTCACTATAAGATGAAGTCGAATGGTCAGAGTTCGTTTCCAGGTTGAATGATTATGTGGTAAGAAAACAAGGACTGTGAACAAAAATCGATCATATCAAAGATGGAAGGAGCTGCAGGGGAGGAGTCGGCCTGGGCTAGCAGAATCTGCTGTCAGGACATTGTGAACATGTATAAAATCTACACTAATATTTAAAAAGATGCAGATAACCTATTATGCTTACTTTCCACACCATTGGCGCGTTCTTTTCCATAACAATTGGCCATAGAAAGGAAAAAAAAAGAGGAAAAGTGAACCCTTCTCCGATGATTGTTCACCACGGTGCAGTAAATGACAGGCATACTCTTCGTTGCAAATGACAATAAACTCCTTGGGGAAATGAAGAAATAAAACTGGAGCTATTTGTCAGTGAGGAGGGAGAGAGAGAGAGAGAGAGAGAGAGTTTCCAGGTTGTCAGGCAGGGCTTACTGAATACCAAGATATTACCAAATAAGTGGAATGGTTTATAAGAGGGTTTTAGGTCCCGGACGTGTGTAACGGATTCCTCAGGAAGCATTTCTGGAGATAGATAAAACCAGGATTGGGTATGGAAAATATAAGAACACCACCTCGGCCTGATAACGGATTCTTATGTTAATCTTAGATCTAAAAGTGATGTAATATCCCTCCATGCATTGAGTCATTATCTTGGCTGTTTCCACAATACGGACGTCAAGGAGTACATCATAGCATGATCAGCAAGCTTCAAAAATATCAAGGACGATATCGGGTCGACATTAAATGGTTGAACTAGGTAGTTCTGCATCAGAACAGGGCAGAACAGGGCAGGAATCTAGTGAAGCATGGAATTAGCTTAACGCGTGCCATAAATGAGCCCGGATGCTATCCTCACTCAAGTCATCACTCCATTATTTGTGGAATGAACATGAATGAAAATATTGATGATGACATTAAAGATGTGTAGATGTCAAACTTTCTCCTTTTGTGTTACGCGTTCGTTAGGGCTGGTGACAAGAGAACAGGGTACAGCATTGACACCACAAAAATAAATAAAAAATGTAACGAAGGAAATAGTCATATTAAATGGGATTCTTCAACCGGACTTCAAGATTCACTATGTTCCATTCAGATTCCTCGCCATCACAAACTCGTAAAATTTCAATTATTTTTCACTTCACAAGCATCTTTTTCATTTATTCTGATTTAATCCGGGTGATCTAGGCCTACACGCCACCAACATACGACTTAGCATTCAACATTGGTATATACTTCAAAGGTTTCTTATTTTCAAATATTATGCATAAAACCATTAAAACTTAAATTTCCTCATGTCGACATTCCCACATCGGAGAATAGATGTCGGTGCGGTTTTATGATAAACCTATTGTGAGACCTCAAAAACATGAGATGAACTCGTATTTTGAAGGCGCAACAAAGAAACCTAATTATATTTTTTTCATGGAATTCGGAAGAAATCTTTTAAATATATACGATACGTGATTTAGACATATGTAAGTGGGATGAATAGACGGGGGGGAATCACCCAGCGACTGCCTATAAGAAAGAAAAGATGCGCCTCCTGCATAATAGTTTTAAACTGCGAAATCTATTGGATAAGATCAGATCAATCTGGCCTTTCGAATTCCAGAAAAAAACACCACGAAAATTGTGACAGATAGGAGTCGGAAGATTGGCCATCAATGCAGTTTCAGACGTAAATCAAGACAAGAAATCAAGCATCCATTCAGAGTTTCAACACAAAAATGGATCCAGGGGGAATCTGTAGAGAAGTTGTGGGCGGCTAAAGCAGAGTAACATCATCCAGACGAGCGTAGAAGATCATCGAGGCTGCGGTATCAAATATTGATTGGAATGGATAAAAACGGAACATATTCAATAAGGAAAAACGATCGAACGTATCATCTGGACACCACCTCTCCCGAATCGTAAACCAGAAAAGATGAACAAACCCGACGTCAACTGAGAGCAGATCATAACCACCGGGAGAAAGGGGGGGGTGCATATGAATCGCGAGCGATTCGTGGAATGCATGATCAACGTAGAACGACGGAATTAGAATTCAGGGAGAGGAGAGACGGACCTCTCCTGCCCGGCAGTGTCCCAAATCTGCGCCTTAATGATCTTCCCATCGACGTTGACGCTGCGGGTGGCGAATTCGACGCCAATGGTGGACTTCGTCTCGAGGCTGAACTCGTTCCTTGTAAACCGGGACAATAGATTCGACTTCCCGACGCCGGAGTCCCCGATCAGCACCACCTTGAACAGGTAATCGTAGTCGTCCTCCGGCCTGTAAGCCATTTCCCGCCAATTCTCCTACTGTCGCCGCCCTCCGCTCACCTGATTGAGGTCCCTCGTCGTCCACTCCACCTGCTGTTTCCCTCCTCTCGTCCTCGGCGTATGCACATAGAGAGATAGAGAGAGAGAGAGAGATGGAGCGAGAGAGAGAGAGAGAGAGAGAGAGAGAGGAGGGAGAACCAGGGGCGCGGAGCGTGGCGAGGATTTGAAGCGGTCGGCCTATAAAACATCGAATGGTGGAACGGAGTGTGTCGATGCCCATAGAGACCATACGCTCTGAGAAGAGAGGCATGCTAACGTAATCACCACAGAACGACAAGCGTATTCCCCTCTGTTTCTCTCTCCCTTCTGTGTAGAGGTGGATCATTATAGTGCAGATCGATATGTAGCTCTTTCCGGGGTCCACGCGGCGGGAAATATGACCCGGCAACGTGCGGAAGGAGAGACGATATTTACACGGTACCGGTTCTCCTTCGACGTGCGGACCAAAATGACACGTAAGACAAATTTAAGAAAAACGTCAACGACCGGGTGGCACTTGACTCGGTACCATGCCACGCCATAACTCAACGGGCCGGGCTAGTCCGAAAAGCCCATTTCTGGGGCCAGCCCTGAGTTCCGTCGCGGTTGATAGCTTAGGAAGCCTACTCACTCGACAAAACTTGTTGGGCTTTTGATCTCCCGGGCTCAGGCGACAAAGTAGCCCCATGTTTTAGATCAACGGCTTTTCGAATGATCGATATTTCCCACGTGGGTCCAGGAGCAGGTGCCCATTCAACAAGGAGGTACGAGGAGTTTGGATCTGACGGGGTCAGACCCGGACACGGTTCAGAGCTGGTAAAGGCTAACTTGGGTGGTCAGCTAACGGGGATTGGCTCGGATCCAGATTTCTACCAACTATGAGAATATTTCTACCAACGATGCAACATAACTCAAATAAAATCCCTCGTATATGTGTTGGGTCATCGTCAAAATTTAATAATAATAAGAAACCCATAAACAATCACTCCAGAATCTTGGGACATTATCAAAGAAAAATAATTAGAATCCCCAAAGATCTAATATTTCAATCCAATTCATAAGCTAAATTCCTCGTTATTCTCAGAAAAGGTGACGTAATTATTCTTTAAATTGCCAAAGACCCATTTTCCTAAAAAAGTACGCCATTTATAGATAGGACTCCTGAGTACAAACAAATTATTTTACCTCATAAAACCGTGATACTCGGTGGATCTCAATCAAACCATCCGTATCTGAATTGGGAGTTGACTGCAACTTGTTCTGACCTTTTTCACACAATATTGAGCGCTTGCGAAGGGATTGACCGCGGTGATTTTGAGTCGGCATAATTAGAGTTTATGTGGCAGTTGACTTCTGTGGGTTTCCTTTCTTTTACATAAAAATAGTTCTACAGGGGTTGACTGCAATAAGCATTGACTCTTCCTCGATACACATGACAAGACTCATTTGACTAACCTAAAAAAGAATGAGTCTCATCATATATTTGAAAGTATATACCTAATGTTAGCCATTGCCAGAATCAATCAACCGCATGGGAAAACCAACAGCAGAACTAATCGGATGGACTGAAAAGAGAGGTTATAAAGCAAAGTAGACCCTCGAACCAGTTGTATGGTTCCCTTGTGGTTCATGAATGAGAAAGGTGAGATGTCTTCAAGACCTCCCCTATGCAGGCAACGCAACGACCCTCTAGAAGACGTAGAGTTCCTCTGTAACAAACCAAATCGGAGAGCTTCATGATACGCTTATTTTCTGAAACAGAGAGAAGTCATTGGCTGGACCATAAGATAGATAGATAGATAGAGAGAGAGAGAGAGAGAGAGAGAGAGAGAGAGAGAGAGAGAGGCTTACCTTCTTGACATTTTTCAGCTGAAGTCTGATCATTGGGCGTCTTCACTCACCTCAGAGGCACTCCTGAATTCCGACCCAATTTGGATTAGGTGTTGTACCATCAATGTTCAATTCCTCAGTAAATTATTTCCTTCATTAACATTAGTCATCCAGTAGCAGTCAAGCAGGTCCATTACTGGTGTAAACAATTTCCTAACCCAACATATTTCATATTTATCAAGGTTTGGAATACGGTTTCCTATCAAAATGCCTAGAAATAGTAATGGTAGAGCACAGATCATCGGTGGATACCTTGTCGTGCGTGAAGAATCTAATTGCATGGTCACTGGGCCATCGTTCACCAAGTTCACCTGCAGGCATTTGCCAGAAACAAACATTGAGAGGAGAGAAATAATGGCTAGTCATGAACAAAAAATCGAACAAGGATATTAGGCCGCATCAACCTTCATCATTGCTCCAAATATGCCATCTGGAAAAAGAAAACGATACCAGACAAAATAAGTATCAATCAATAGAAACAGAACCTCTATCGAAAAATAAAATCTAAGGGCCAACCTAGGTCATACATAAGTGCGTTTGGCCAAAAAAAACGGCTGAATATAGAAACAAAAGGACACGAATTTTTTTAGGAGTATACTTTGCATATTGACCAGAATGAATAATGTGCATGAATAAGGTTGAAGTGAAATGCGAATGCTAATTGCGTAGGATCGACTTTGAAAATAAAATATTTCATTTCTACACCAATATGAACAACCCTGTGCGAAAAATAGCCTCGTTACGATAGAATATTTGAGTAGAAGAAAAAAAAATTCCTTGAGTCCACATTTTTTACCATGTATCCAACAATATATTAGAAAAAGGTTATTATTGCCAACGGGACATTTTCTCATAGGATTAGAATACGTATAATAAGTATTAATGGATATTCTCGGCTAGCATTTGAGCAAGGAATTCAAAGTAGCAGAACGGCTGGATGTTCTCGGATGGTTATTATACGTTGCCTTCAGACAACAAATAAATTACCCAGAGATCGAATTAAAATGATAGCGAATCAAAGAAGTTATAGAATATTAAGCACTTTTCCATCTCCTCGATCAGGATGCCCAAATATTCACACGAGATCTCTAAGCTGTCATGATATTATGCTTACTATTGGATGCAAAAACATTGTCAAGTGCAATGTCCGTAACCACAAAAATTACTATGTTGAAACCAGGTATTATTGTCACCTTTTACTGCATCTGCAGTGTATGATCCACGAAATTTCTCGACAAGTGCGGCATAGAAATCTTTTGCTCGTTGAGGAGGCATGGCAACATGAAAATCTGGCCTGTTTCCCTTTAGAATGCCATACAAAGTGAACTGGCTCACTGAGAAACACCCGAAATTGTCACTAAATGAAGTGGGGACCACGTCCGTGGAATATATCCAAGCCTAGGCTAGAATAATTAAGGTCAAACATTGAGTAAGAATATGGATGCACAATTCAGCAGGGATGAGATCCCACGTACCCAATAGAACACCAAAATTCCGCTGCATTACCTGAGATAGAATAATTATAAAATATATTATTTTTTAATTAGGAAATATGCTTTTCCATTTTTCTCAATGGATCAAAGAAAAATGAGAAAGATGCAGAGACTCACACTCTGGTCCCATGCTTTTCCATTTTTCTCATTAGGAAACAACCTCATGTTCAATACCTTCCTGCATCTGCGGTTCCCAAAATACAGCCGTGTTATAGTCGAAAGAGAACGAAGCACGCAATCTAACATCAAGGCAGTGGACCATATCTCAGTGCCCCGTCACCCTTGGGAAGGTTCCCACAACGATATGGCATGCCACCTGCCATTTTTCGGTGCATCTCCCCCTCAGTTCGGGATCCTGTGAGGGGAAGGGGGAGAGAAGCCATACATGTAATCAGCGTCGGCCTCGAGGTCAGATTCATGGAGACCGACGAGGACGAGGAGACCTGGGCCAATCTCGGACACGACGCGCCCTTCCACCTGCCAGCGTCAGTTCAACAATTCCATCACTCCCCTCGCTGGCCCCAGGGAACAGCGAGTATTCAAGAACAGGCTTCTCTGCTCACCTCGACGCTGGCAGAAGCCACACGCTGCACCACAGCCCTCATGGTGGCGCGCTCTCCCCAAATGGATCCTCAGGATTGTGAAGGCTTCCCGCCTTCGGCGCCCGTCTCTTCTCCAGGGAAGAGGGCTCCTACCTCTTCCCTTCTGATCCGTCTCCACCTGACCAAAGCAGCGAGAAGGTGTCCATTTTCGCAAATACTTACTTTGAAGGTTATATTACAACTCGAGCTCATTCGTCGATTTCAAAATGTCACCGAATTGGGTACCGGACCAACTATGGGAGAATCCGGACCGTTAGTACCGAACTATCGGACCACCGGCGCCAACCTCTCTCTCTCCCCCTCTCTGACAGTCGGTATACTAGAAATAAAGTGAGACGCTGGCGCCAAGACGTGGGACCCACGACGAGCCAGAAAATCGAGGAGTCCTGAACAACCACGGAAATCTGATGCCTGGCCATCCTCGTCTTCTCCGCGAAGAAGTGCTACTCCTTCATCGGAAACGGAGATGTCGTCTGCTCTCGACGGTGTTGCCGGCGACGATGCGCTGGCTTGGGAACGGCTGCCCTACTTGGCCGGGTTCGGGAACCACTTCTCCTCCGAGGCTAAGGTCGGTGCGCTACCACTCGGACAGAACAGCCCCCTGATCTGCCCCTACGGCCTCTACGCAGAGCAGATCTCCGGGACCTCCTTCACCAGCCCCCGCAAACTTAACCAGAGGAGGTATGAGGTGGTGGATCCATCAAACGGCGGCCATCTGCTGATTCTAATTAACTCCGTTTTTTAATTGCGGAATGGTTTTGTGGAAACTTGATCGTGACGTAAGTGAGGAGGCGTTTAGATTTTCAAGGACGTTGGAATGTCTGATATTGATATGTTCTCGCATGGTACACGTCATTTTATTACGATGCGTAATTATTGGTTTCATTCCTTTGTTGAATGTTAAGAGCGTTTTCTTGTCATTCATACTGTACATTCCCTCTGGATTGTTTTTTGGTCAATCCTGATCATTTATTTGTGCTTTGTGGACAGTTGGATGTATAGAATTAAACCGTCAGTAACGCATGAACCGTTCTACCCCCGTCTCCCCGGACACCAACGTCTGATCAGCGAATTTAACCACTCAACATCTTCGGCCACACCGACGCAGCTGCGCTGGAAGCCAGTAAATGATCCCGAGATCCCAACTGACTTTATTGACGGGCTTTATACAGTATGTGGTGCAGGGAGCTCCTTCCTTCGACATGGATATGCCATTCACATGTAATTGGCATTCCACGAATTTTACGGGGAAAAGAATGTGTTATGATATTAGCTGTGATAGAAGCTGAACAGCCATGTTATTTTTTCCTTTTTTGGTTAAAATTTCATGATACGCCGGTTCTTATTATTCCGTGGCCTCTTTCAATCCCTATCAGAGTCATGCAGCTAGAATATGACTTGTTGTCATGCAATTATTATTCTTATGAATAAGTATGCACTGTGGATAAAGGTATCTACCATTTGCGTTTTTCTAGACGGAGCATCAGTACTTTTGGAACCTCTCACATCTTGTGTTGGAAAGGTGTTTTTCGTGGGAAGTATGTTCCACCCGTATATACATATCTAGCCCTAAAGAAAATTTGGAACTTTTAACTTGTTCTGACTCTCTAATTGTCGTCACTTAGAATAGAGCACCTTTGTCAAGTCGCTCTCTAGAAAGGAAACAAATCTAATAGCCAAGATTTTCAGAGTCACTGATGTGGCGAATATTTAGTTATCTTCGATTGCAATGCTTATATATTGCACTTTGGGTAACAGCTGCCATAACTTATTAATTTTCAAGATACTATCTGTCCAGGTATGCTGCCAATAAATCTATGGTTGACTGTGCATTTTGCAATGCCGATGGAGATTTTCTGATAGTTCCACAAAAAGGAAGTAAGTGAACTACTTAAAGTATCGTATGATCGGAACATGTTCTTACAAAATTTTCTTGATATCCGCTGCATCAAGTTTTTGTTTTTATTTGTAGTTTAATTAAGACAATAATTCCAGTTGTGACTAATGGGGCATGTGTTTGGTGGTCCTCAAGTTAGGTCTATCCTCTTTTTAGGATGGAAGGGGGTCGGGGTTGCCATGTTTATTATTTAGTAAATTCTTGTTTAGTCAGATGGTTGGTGCAGTTCTTCTCATACAAGATGTAGGTTTCGGACGGTTTTGTTCCTTACCCTGACCTTCTATAAATAATTGATTTCATCTTATAGGCACCATTTCTTTGAAAGTTATGAGAACCGTGGTAAGTTGACCAGACTTCCAACTAAAACAGTTCCATCATATGGATTTAACACGAACTTAACTGGTAATGACACGGACCATAACTTGAAAGGTTGAAATACTGCGAAAAGTGTGTCCGGGGGGCGGATTTACTGTCACATTTAGTCTGACACGAGCAGGAATATCCTTCCTTTCACTTCGGACATTTTCTTCCATAAAATTGCCTCTCATCTTTGGAGCACGTTTTTTCATCTTGATATTCTTGAATGTCAAGGCATCTTGCCGGTTCATGATTTTAAATGCATGACTGATGAGATGAGCAATCGGTTTGCAGCTTTCATCGATAATGCTTTCTAATTTTCGTGCGCAAAAAAAAATCCAGTCTCACGCTTAAAAAAATAGACTCTAATGTGCTACACTTTCGCTCCTTTTATTTATATTCTACCTTCTCTTTGGTTTATAGGCAATCAAAATTGGCCTAATTGTGAGATCGTACTTACCGTCAGCTATTTTCGTTTAATGAGGGGATTTAGTGATGGTCTTCCTAGCCAGATGATTGATGTTTTTTGGACTCGTGAATGCAATTAGGGGTTATCTTGGAATGATAAATGTGCAGTGTTTTTCTGGGGATTTAGTGATGGAAAATTGTTCTTTTTGGCGGCTTTATTTTCTTGCTCATTTTTTCTCAATAGCTTGTTCTTAGCGCAGGGTTGTGGATCAAAACTGAATTCGGCAGAATGCAAGTATCCCCCGGTGAAATAGTTGTGCTTCCTCAGGGTTTTCGTTTCTCGGTTCACCTGCCAGACGGTTCTTCACGTGGTTATGTTTCTGAAGTCTTTGGCACCCACTATCAACTTCCTGATCTTGGTCCAATAGGTACACAGAACTTTTCGAACGGAGTGTCTACTATTCACCTGAACATGACATCTGGTCATTTATGACAATCGACACCACTATGTTGTGTAGGGGCCAATGGGCTTGCTTCTGCTAGAGACTTCTTGGCTCCAGCCGCCTGGTTTGATAGCGATGCCCATCCCGGTTATACAATCGTCCAGAAATTTGGTGGCGAGCTCTTTACAGCAAAGCAAGACTTTTCTCCGTTTAATGTGGTTGCTTGGCATGGAAACTATGTACCTTACAAGGTACATTATCCTTATTTTGACCGAAAATCATTTTTTATAACATCACCGCGAATCTATCAGACTTGCACTTAGTCTGATTTCGTTTTCTTGTGAGGATGATGAAAAAAGGGAAAACAAAGATGAATTTCTATAGAAGCCACCCTTAGAATGAATGATACATAAGTTTCTAAACCGGGGGGAAATTGTGAAACTTCTTTCCCAATAAGCTTTCTGGAACATACACCCGAGAATAATTAATGATTATCTTTTTTGCAGTATGATCTGAGCAAGTTTTGCCCTTTCAATACTGTTCTTATTGATCATGGCGACCCTTCAGTGAACACAGGTATCTAGAATCACACGACTTGTTATTTCAATCAGTCATTTAAAATTTACTCACATGCACATAGGTGCCCACTATTTCTAGGTATCGCATAATTTAGTACATTGATCAAAAACTGTCATAGTTTAATACATTGATCAAAAGCTGTTCGTCTCTTAAACCTTTTGTAAACTATTTTACATTAGTTTTGACGGCTCCATCGGATAAGCCTGGCGTTGCTATTCTCGACTTCGTCATTTTCCCACCTCGCTGGTTGGTTGCCGAGCATACATTTCGTCCGCCATACTACCATCGCAACTGTATGAGTGAATTCATGGGATTAATCTACGGCGATTACGAGGTGCCCATCTCATCCAAGAAGACTAAACTGCTTGTTCTCCTATAGAGTTCTCTCTCTAAAAGTTGATCATCCGGGTTCATTTGGAGTGTTCCCAGGCTAAGGCAGGTGGATTTCTCCCCGGCGGTGCTAGCCTCCACAGTTGCATGACACCCCATGGACCCGACACGAAGACCTACGAGGTAAAGTGTGTCTTCTCCAAGCCTTATGAACCTCACCCCTTTCCATGAATCACCTCTTCAACCGGCGCCTGCTCTTCGTCTTTAAGCAGGCCACGATAGCGAGAGGAGAAGATGCCGGACCCAGCAGGATCTCCAGCACCATGGCCTTCATGTTTGAGAGCTGCCTGATCCCAAGAATCTGCCCTTGGGGTCTGGATTCTCCTCACCTGGACCACGACTACTACCAGTGCTGGATCGGCCTGAGGTCCCATTTCTCTTCCGAAGGGAGCGAACCTCACGACTAAGAGGGTTCACACCATTTCAGCCCAGCCTGTTCCAGGTGGCTGCTTCTTGTGTGCATAGACCTTACCTTTGTGGATAAAAATCAGCACAGGCCATGTGATGAAAAGGGCCGGGACGTTATATTGCGGATATGTTCCCCCAAAGTTCAGTGATTTCTCATAAGAATGAGAACGAAACAGAGACAGGAAGAAAGGGGGGCTGGCCCGCCTTCACATCACGTGTATTTCTTTCCTGCTTTTCTTTGTTTTCAGGCAGTGAAGGGCCCGAGACTCCGCGGGGGGAGAAGCAGCGTAGCTCGGTTATTCCCTTGCGGATGACGAGTCGGTGTTCTCCTTTGTCCGCTCCTCCTCCGGTTCCTCCGAGGCGCCTCTTCCTTGTTCATCTGGTCTAGCCGGCGGAGGTAAATTCCCATCTTGACGCTGCCCACTTCTGGTGCTTGCATCACTCCCACGCCTTCCCTGCAGGTTCGTCGAGCTCGAAAAACGATGGAGAAGTATCGGACTCTCGAAGAAGACGGCCGGAGAGGATGGGGATGGACGCTCTTCGAGGACGAAGGTCCAAGGTCTCTTCTCCCCCTGGTTTCTGGGAGGAGGAGGACAAAGTCTTTCTTCCATCTTATGCCGTACAAACTTCTTTACGAGACTGCCGATGACTAGGCGGAGATCAGCGTCGACGCTGGGAGGAGGAATAGGAAAAGGAGATTGAGAAGGAAGAGGACGACGGGGAAGAGGGCGAAGAGGAGGAGGAGGAGGACGGGGAAGCGGAGGGTAAGACAAGCTGGCCGCAGGAGCTTCCATGCTTTCTCTGGATCTCTTGTCTCCTCGGCTGGTGGACGAGCTCCCCCGATAGACTCTGCTTGCGCCAGGATGAAAATGGTCATCCCTGGTGCGAATTGGGCCGTGAGTTGACTCGTGGGGATGAGGGAGAGATCAAGGAAGCGGAGGGTGACACAACCTGGTGGTAGGAGCTTCCATGCTTTCTCTTAATCTCTTGTCTACTCGACTGGTGGACGAGCTCCCCCGGTAGACTGTGCTTGCGTCCGGATGGAAATGGCCATCCTTGGTGAGAATCGGGCCGTGAGTTGACTCCTGGGGATGAGGGAGAGAACGAGGCAGCGGAGGGTGAGACAAGCTGGTCGCAGGAGCTTCCATGCTTTCTCTGAATCTCTTGTCTCCTCGGCTGGTGGACGAGCTCTCCCGGTAGACTGTGCTTGCGCCAGGCTGGAAATGGTCATCGCTGGTGAGAATCGCGCCGTGAGTTGACCCCTGGGGATGAGGGAGAGAAAGAGGAAGCGGAGGGTGAGACAAGCTGGTCGCAGGAGCTTCCATGCTTTCTCTGAATCTCTTGTCTGCTCGGCTGGTGGATGAGCTCCCCCGGTAGACTGTGCTTGCGCCAGGAAGGCAATGGTCATCCCTGGTGCGAATTGGGCCGTGAGTTGACACCTGGGGATAAGGGAGAGACCAAGGAAGCGGAGGGTGAGACAAGCTGGTCGCAGGAGCTTCCATGCTTTCTCTGAATCTCTTGTCTGCTCGGCTGGTGGATGAGCTCCCCCGGTAGACTGTGCTTGCGCCAGGAAGGCAATGGTCATCCCTGGTGCGAATTGGGCCGTGAGTTGACACCTGGGGATAAGGGAGAGACCAAGGAAGCGGAGGGTGAGACAAGCTGGTCGCAGGAGCTTCCATGCTTTCTCTGAATCTCTTGTCTGCTCGGCTGGTGGATGAGCTCCCCCGGTAGACTGTGCTTGCGCCAGGAAGGCAATGGTCATCCCTGGTGCGAATTGGGCCGTGAGTTGACACCTGGGGATAAGGGAGAGACCAAGGAAGCGGAGGGTGAGACAAGCTGGTCTCAGGAGCTTCCATGCTTTCTCTGGAACTCTTGTCTGCTTGGCTGGTGGACGAGCTCCCCCGATCGACTGTGCTTGCGCCAGGACGGGAATGACCATCCCTCGTGAGAATTGGGCCGTGAGTTGACCCCTGGAGATTATGGAGAGAACGAGGAATCGGAGGGTGAGACAAGCTGGTCGCAGGAGCTTCCATGCTTTCTCTGGATCTCTTGTCTGCTCGGCTGGTGGACGAGCTACCCCGGTAGACTGTGCTTGCGCCAGGAAGGAAATGGTCATCCCTGGTGAGAATTGGGCCGTGAGTTGACACCTGGGGATGAGGGAGAGAACAAGGAAGCGGAGGGTGAGAAAAGCTGGTCGCAGGAGCTTCCATTCTTTCTCTGGATCTATTGTCTGCTTGGTTGGTGGACGAGCTCCCCCCGTAGACTCTGCTTGCGTCAGGACAGAAATGGCCATCCCTGGTGAGAATTGGGCCGTGAATTGACCGGATGAATGCAGAGGAGGGAGAAAAAGCCAGATTCGTCACCTCGGATCTGGTATCCTGAGGTTTATGGGCGCCAGCGGTAGACCGCACCTCACGGGGATCAAAGGCACGTCGGGTTTCCACTCTGCCCTGGGCCGCTGGGCTCCTGCTATGCTCACTTCATTCTAACCCAGCCCACCGTCAAAAACCAGCCGAATGAACTCCCCCAGAGACAGAGAGAGACAGACAGACAGAGAGAGAGAGAGAGAGTGCATACCTTGGTGACGTAATGCGGCGAATCCAACTGAGGATACTGTAGACGGCTCAGGCCCGCCGGACTCTGAGACAGAGACGGCTCTTTCGATCGGGAGGAGGTGGTGATCGGTACGCTGTTCCTCTCCCCCTTCTCCGTCGGGGGAGGGGGACGAAGAAGAAGAGAGGGGACGAAGTTACACTGACGAGAAATCGAAAAGGTCTCAGCGCCCTGAGGCAATGGAGGGAGGCGCGGGGGATGCGGCAAAGCGCCGGCGGGATCCTCTTCTTCACTTCTTGCATCGTCGTGTGCCCCGCCGCCGCCGGAGGGTGCCCGGGGCCTCTCCTCCGGCGGACCCATATCCCCCCTCCCCCAGGAAGCCCGAGGAGGTAGAAAATCAAGAACAAGAAGAACTCCAATCAGAGAGAGCGGGGGGGGAGAGGGAAGGTGTAATAAACAGGAAGAGGCAGAAAGGAGTTTCGTTGTTCTGAGCGAAGCGCCCGCGGTTGGCTATGTTCCGGTTTTCTTGAGGCTCAGACCTGCTGCTGAGGCTCAGAAATGCTCCCGGGACGGCTCCTGCTAGACCGTATACACACACCCCTCCATATATATATACGTGCGGAGATCGTCAGGAGAGAGAAAGAGAGAGAGAGAGAGATCCAAAGCCAGGAAAACTGACGATCGGATCCATTAATTCTCGCTCCGGCCTGTCCTCTCTTTCGCGAGGAGCAGCTCAAATAGAGAGAGAATGCCGATGCGGCAGACAAGAAACCTCGGATCACGCAGGTGCCCTCCTCTCTCTCTCTCTCTCTATCTCTGCGCGCCGGGGACATTCCTAGACGGGGAATATTACTCTTAATAAGATAAATCATGGTTTGCCAAAAATGGGAAATGAAAATAACAGATAAGAAGCAGTGGTTCAGAATGTCAATGAGTGGAATGCTCTCGATGACCTGAGGAAGACGGAGATGGAATCAGATCTAGAGGAGGAACGATAGGGTTCGATGGCCTGAGAAATGCCTTGCGATTAAACCGGGCTACTGGAAAATCCGGGTTTCCATTACAGTAAATTATCGTAAATTTTCTAATATAAATTCAGTGCAAATTTACCGGTCATCCTCTCTCTCTTTCTCTCTCTCTATCTTAATATAGATTCCACGTCGTCAACGATCGGCACGTCCCTAGACCGAGCTTTCCTTCATATCTGCCAGTGTGAGGAGGACGAAGAGGGAGGAATCCTTCTTGAGCTCGAACCACTCAAGCTCTCTGGCTTAGACTGACTTAACGCGTCCTTTCTTAGGGTTTCAACGAGTTTAAAACCCGGAAATTGATCAGACGGACCTGATTCTTGAGACCCAACTCGAGCTCCACTGATTCCGTAGATTTCAGTGTAGAACTATCAGACGATCTCCCATATGAGTGTAACGATGTCTTTATTGAGTCGGCTCACAAAGCAGAAATATTACCATTTTTCGGCGTTCATGCCGGAGGGACCTTCTGGTTATGATCAGATGAGGGGGACAGGGTCGGAGAGCTTCGTGGGGAGGGAACGGTGGTGAAGAGGGTTTGGGCCGGTGGGTGTCTCCCGCTTCGACGCGTACTCATCCTTCCGGCCTCCGCCGTCCCCCGCCGCCGGTCCTCCCTGCGGCGTCGCCGTGAGAGCTCGAGCTTCCGACTGTCCGCTGGACACGGACAGCACCAGCAAGGCGCACACCACCAGCTTCACGCTCCACATCTTCCTCCTCTCCTGCAAATATACCCTCTTCTGCATGTCTCCTGCGAGGTGGGTTGAGGCCGTTTTATATAGACTCTCTCTCTCTCTCTCTCTATCCATGCTAACGGGCAGATGGCGATGCCGATTCTGCGTCGAGAATCCTTGGATCCGTAGGATCGGTCAATTAACTGATTAAAAAGCGTACACATCGAATTGGACAACAAGCGTTTATGATATGGTAGGCCTCAGCGAACATTTGGCGCGTCAGACAGATTATTGCATGGATCGAGATTAACCCAATGTTATCCGACAGTTTTGTAGCCTTGACTTGATGAGCCTTTGAGTCAATCAGATCCCCTGCAGTATCGTCTGAAATTAACGCTGTCTACATTCAATTTTTTTGTGAACTTTAGCTGCCACATAGCGAGAGAGAGAGAGAGAGTGAGAGTCGATTGAGAGATTTGAATGCTTTCTAGACTCGCCCCATCTTGGAAAATGACTTTCAAACAGCTAGAACCACGCATCCGAGCTGAAATGAGAAATGGGTTTCAGCCCGTTTTGCTCATGGATGAGAGAGAAAGAGAGCAGAAAGAGAGAGATAACTCCAATCATGGCTCCTCCTCTGCCTGCTCCTCTCCTTGGAAAGTCCTCTCTCTCTCTCTCTCTCTCTCTCTATATATATATATATATATATAACCTGGATCATACAGATTTGGGGGCTCGGCTGCTCTATGCTCCAGGCCAGGCCCAAAAGTCGCTGTCAGCTGAAAGTTCGATCAAGTAGAAATAACGGGCCGGGCTGACGGTTCTTGGCCCGCTGACAGTCAGTCAAGTTCCACGTTTGCAATTATGGAGACGGCGGCGTCCTGTCGATCAGAAGTTTAGTCAGACACGGCGGCGTCCTATCGGCGGAGCAGCTCTTACTGCCCGACACGTGTCTAACTGCTAGATGACAGATACGAAGGAATGAGCGCCACGGTGTCTCCGACAAGCGTGTGAAGGCGAGTAAAACTTCAAAGATTGGATTTTTCCCTAGTGCCCTTTTCACAAGACGGACTTTTGTAGGGGATTTAGGTGTAAATTCCTTGTCTTGTTATGTTATCTGTCTGGCTGGGCTTCCGTCTTTATTGTGGCCATTTTTCTGATTGCCTCTCACATGCTTGATGAAATGCCACCTAAAGGGACCAAGTGGCTGTTACAGGGTAGACCTAACCCCCCGAGTAGTATGAGATCTCTGGCAAATAGAAGGGGGGATCTCTTGGACAGATAGACACCGTGAGGCAGAAGAGCGAGAAGGGGGCTTCGGCAGGAGAGGAGCAGGCGGCGGAGGAGCCATGTGTTCCGACTGCGAGTGCAGGCCCCTTGGGTGGCTTCTGGGTCTCCCCTTCGCCTTCCTCTCCCTCCTCATCTCCATCATCGGCGTGGTCGTGTGGATCGTCGGGTCAGTCCCCCTTCTCTCTCCCCCCCTCTTTATCCCTTCCTCCCCATTCTCGCCGTGCGGATGGGGAGAAGAAGATTGGAGGAGAGAGAAAACCCCCCTCCAGAAGCTATACGATTGGCGGCTAATTCTCTCTCTTCTTCTTCTTCTTCGTCTGCGGCGGCAGGTTGATGCTGTCGTGCATATGCCCGTGCTGCTTCTGTGTGACGATAGTGGTGGAGTTGGCGATCGAGCTCATCAAGGCGCCTATCCACGTCATGCAATGGTTCACCTCCAAGATACCTTGCTGAGGGACGACGACCCAGATATCTTGTGCCATTATTTATCCGTTCTTCACTACTTTTCCTTCTCTTCCCGGATGGGGACGATCGTCGACTGGTCTTCTGAGAGCCCTTCTTCCCCGAATTCCTTTTGCCTGCTGCGTGTTAGTACGGATCAATAATTGTAGATCTTTGTCAGAAACCCTCCCCGCTCCTTCTCTATGGATCTCTCGTCGGAAACCCAGGAGTAATTCAGCTCCAGAGAAAAGGAGCAACTCCGGTTTCGAATCTGATAATTCATATCGGAGCAACTCCTGTGCTCGCAGATCTCAGCGATAACTCCTCTCTCTCTCTCTCTCTCTCTCTCTCTCTTATTTCGTGATTGAATTGGTGGTAAGTCTTCGTTCTTAGTAAGACTTCCAGGACTCCAAAAATGGTCACGCCTTGAATTTAAGTCAGGTTTTCTATTTGAGTACAGTTGACTAAAACTTTATGTAAGACTGCTACAATATGCTAGTTTTCTAGGACCAAAAATTACAGGGACTTGCAATAAAATAAACTAATTAAGAGGAAGAAGATTTATGTAGAACAATTAAAATTAGATACAATTTCTGCATTTTAATCTGAAAAGTAATACCAAAATCTAGCCCAATTTGTCCAAGGCTTGTGCTTCAATATTCGCTTAATGGGCTGAGCTGCACCCGGCCTTTTGATAGGGTGTTTGTGATTGACTTTCTTCCCACTCTCAGAGCAGACTTTGCGCACTCCAGATTGGATGCCGCAGAAATCAATCCGGAGGCGTTTATTTATACTGGCTCTATAAATAGGTTGCCCGCCCACGAGTGCATCTCCTTCGTTCATTTCGAGTGCACTGGTCAACGCCATTTAAGTCAGCATGGGCAAGCAGATAAATCACCACACTCCTGGAGTTTTGCACTGGCGATTCATGGGAGATTAACTGACTCGAGGAAATCTCTCGGAGTTCGCTCAGACTTTAAATAAAAAAAGAAAAGCACCCTAATTAACGAAAATGTTAAGGTCCACAGTTGGGAAAAATGGAATTTTCTCTTCTGTTCTTCTTTCTTCCCCCTTATTATACCTGAACATTGCCCTTTAAAGCCATTAATTCCAAGCTAAAATACTTAGACAATATTTTATGAAAAGCCAGCGAATCGAATACGTAGGTGATTTTTATGCACTGAAAGTATCTCAAATAAATGGATGCATGCGAAAAAAGCCTCTGATACTTGGTCTTCTCGCTTACACTGAACTGGAGGTACAAATCATGAAGGACAAAAAAGGGGTAAAATCAGGACATCTACCGGTTTTTTTTTTTGTTTTTTTTTGTGATGCATGGGAAATAATTAAAGTTTTGGAAACTGACATAATTACGTGCATTATTTTCAGTAATATTTTGCTTCAGTAGTAAGCAATATCTCTGTACCTGAGCCGGATCAATATATGATTACCAAATACTGAAATGGTTTCGCTTTGCCTCTGCAGATCAAGCTTGCATCGGTGAAGTTGGCCATGATGCACATAGAAAGAATAAACATGGAGCTTGAAGCCAGACAGCTCTCTCACCTGCCGACAGTCCAGACAGGGCCAGCCAGAAGGAGCATCTGAGATTGTTTCTCCTTCAGAGGTCGACGTTTGCCCCCAGCACAAAGAGCTCAGACTCGGGAACTATTCAACAGAACCCTACAAAATTACTGCTTTGACCGTTGACGGCGCCGGAGAATCCCCAAGCAGCATCTGCCGTCGCCAAACTGTCTGACAGTGGTAACAGGTGATACCCAATTTGATGGGACTCCTACTTGTGCTGGTCTAACTTCGATCCAATATCTCTGCGCGCCCATGGATGAGCATTCGTTTGCAGGAGAAAGGTGCCGAGGATGCATACAAATAGAGATAATATGCACGCATATATATATCTATATATATATAGATTGATAGATAGATAGATAGATAGATATATCTTCACTTACAGAAGCTCCCAGTCAAGCCCAGGGTTTACTGAGATAGACAACCCCATCGTTCGAACAGATGGAGCTGTACTTCTGTCTTCCGGGGCACTGTTCTTCTTCCTCAGAGAATATAGATTCGACCTGAGCACCTCCCTGAGCTTTTTCTGATTCACAAGATTAAAAAGCATCAAGCTACTACTACCCACGCTAAATCTCCTATTTCAGTTTCTTTGTTGAGCATAAGAGAAGAGAGGAAGAGCCTGGATATTGATCATGCACCTTGTATGATCTGTTCTTCACATCTCGGCCGGCGGTCTGGGGAAGATCACACCTCTCTGCATGCTCCCAACCATCATCCAGCTTCAGAACCTCAAATTCTTCTTCATCCTCCATGTTAGCCCCAGCTGTGACAGAACAACCAGATACTCAGTCCCCTCGCTAAAGCCTCTGAACTAATGTAAAAAAACAGCATATATAAATGCTGGGCCTCTCAATGACCATTTATTTTTAGCTGGAACATACCAATTTCCCCCTGGGAACGCGACTCTTCTGCCCTTAAACCACATTCATGCTCATCTCCAGAAACTTCCGCCGGAGAAATCACTTCCTTTAAGGACGACTCTGCACATATATATGAGCGAGTGATTTTGACAAATCAAACAGTAGGGTAAGAGAAAAAAATCAGGGGAGCTGACGACACAATTATCCTGCACGCACCGTTTTCCTCAGTTAAATCAGAAGAATCCGATAGCATGGATCTTCTTCCCACAGTATTCAGAGCTCCATCAGCCGATGAAGAAGTAGAAGCCTCAGCAGGATTTTCTTTCAACTCCAGCCCGTTTTCTTTAGTTTCTTCTGCGGTCAATCTGACTTCGGTGTCCAGCATTCCGCACGCTTCTTTTCTTCCATCTTGCGCTATAACAGGGGCCTCTCGTTCAGATGGAACGGATATTAATGGCCCAACGTTGGGAGGGCCCTCATTGCGACCAACCTTTGACTTTTTGCAAATGTTAGCGATAATATCCTGTTCCAGGGACAAATCCGAGACTGGGCCTTTGATGCAGTCATCGGAGAATGGGTCAAGGAAATCGTTGGCCACTTCCTCACAGATCTTTCTCAAGTGCTCGCCAAGTGCATCAGTGAGGAGTGAGGGATCCTGTGAACAAGAACAAGAACAAGTACAAGTACAAGTCATGAGAGATATCTTAACCTCGGTGAGCCATGGAAAGAATTCGGAACGCTATTTACAATAAGCTAATACGATTCTAACATGAAATGGCATATTTTTAATCTCATCCATGAGAAATAGCATAAGGAGGAGGTGGATTCAATGAAGGCAAGAAATAGGGAACCCTGATTGAGCATGCCGGATGAATTCAGACAAAAATCGATAGAGTTTCTCCTGTCTGAATGAATCAGGAACCCCAAAGATTGCGGGCTAAGACGAGGGGGCGCTTACCTGAATAACAATGTTTTTACGACATATATTTTCCCATTTTTGACATACGTTTCCGGCCCAGGAGATACCATTGGATGATAAGTCAACGCCAAACAGAGACAAGCCTTCCTCGAATGGGTTTGTGATGTTCTCGTCCATTTCCTTCGTGATAGCTTTGCTCCTTTTTTCTCCCTCCCACTCAAAATAGAATGGGGAGCTGCTCGGATGAAAACAAATCAACAGTAAACATACAACGAACTCTTCGCTTCAAAGAGATCCTAAACAAGGTTGCAAGAAAAATCAGGAAATTTATTTCAAGAGAGGAACCCACTTGCTGAACACTTAATCTACGATAATAAACAGAGAGATAAATGGCATCAATTCTCAATGCGACTTCTAGTCAGCTAAAATATTCGAAAAAGTTCCCGCTGGGATATCCGATTAAATATTCTATCAAGAATGAAGGACACGGAGTCAGTATCCATCTCGGACCAAGAACACAGTATAGATGATACCTAGTTCGTAGAAAAATAACTTGCGAGGAAGTCAAATAAAACAAAAACTTGTTGAGATGATTCGCAGATCACGCACTGCCGTCATAAGCTCGAAAGTTTAAATAATGTCTACATGGATAATACGTTTGCGGCATACTCCGAGTAGGACTTTTTTCTGAATATGGTTGCTTCATCTTCTAAGGTAACAACTTTCGGGAGACATCAGACGAAAGAGATGGCTTCTCAATACCCCTTTCACGGTGTTCTACGAGATCAAGATGATCGAAGGGGAGAAGCTGGATTTTCACCAAATCAGCAGGCAAACTATATGAAATTTCCACATGAGATTTTGACGAACCATAACCTAAAACGGGCAGGCAAAAGGGCAGCGACTACCTGTTTCCACTGTTCTAAGATGGAATTCGACGCAAATTCTGCCCAACGCCTGGCGATGAGGTACCCGCAGAGACGAAAAACTCGAGTTTTTCTTAGGCCCCTTCCCCCATTCCGCAATCAAAGAAATTCATTATGGAATTTCCAAATAAAAGGGATTTTATCTGATAAGAGAAAAGAGCGTCTGCTGCTTTCTATGGGTCGCAAGTTACTGCTTTAAAGATGATTAATTTTTTTAATCTCGTTTATTTCATCAAGCACCAGTGGTCTAGTGGTAGAATAGTACCCTGCCACGGTACAGACCCGGGTTCGATTCCCGGCTGGTGCAGCCTTTTTTCTCTACCCATCATAAAAATCCGAACTTTTATCTTTTTTCTCAATATCCTGTTTAATAAAGCAAACTGATCAAATCATCTTGTTTTTTCATTAACGGGATTTTTTTTGGTTGATTTCATTATAAATAATCCAGAATTTATCTTTTTTTCCCATCACAAAAAAATCCAAACTTTATCTTTTTTCTCAATATCCTGTTTAGGTAGTATTAATAAAGTAAACGGATCAAATCATCTTGATTTTTCATCCTCTGTATAATAAAACGTGCAAAATGGAATCTTTTTGGTTGAGTCCATTAAAAATAATAATATTTTTTTTAATTCGCGTTTATTCGTTTCCAGATAGGACACTTATATTCACGTGATAGATTGTTTCTCTTAATATTCCTTTCCTGGATATTCAGCCGTCAATTGCTGCTCAAACATCAAGTCAAACATTAAATAGGTCGGCTGTCCTAACAAAAATTCATAGAAAACTCGGTTCAATCTCTCACTGAAGCGTTAGTTGAGGACTAACAAAGTCGTGTTCATCAACTGATGAACAAGCTGCCGCGGGTGAGGAATTTCCCCATCTAATCCGCAAAGTTTTGAAGAATCCCCCGCCGGAAAATCCCAACTCCGGCGATGGGTTCTCAGGGGGAGGAGCTTGCCGCCGGGAACGACGGCGGCGATAGCCTCCGCCGCTTGCCGGAGAGCGGACTCCCGGCCGAGAAATCCGGCTGCGAGGAGGCCCTCTCGAGGACGGACTTCAACGCCTGGTGGACGTTGTTAGTGAAGATGTTGCACTCGGTGTCGTATTCGCCGGTGGCGGCGGCGGCACCGCCTCCCTCGCAGGTCAACACGATGTCGTTCTTCACCCGACCCCCTACCGTCGAGATCTCCGCCTTCACAGTCCTCAGCCGGAGAGCCAGCAGGGTCTGCTTCAGATCCATGAGCAGCTCCGGTCGGTCAGCGCAGCAGAGGGACGCCTTGATGGAGAAGCCGCCGCCTCCGCCTCCGCCGCCGCCGCCGCAGGGCGTGCCGTTGACCTCCACCTCCACCTTCACCTCGTCGGCGTCGGCGGGAACGTTGACTCCCTGGCTGATCTCCGTCGTGCTGGTCTTCAGCTCCTTTATGCGGCTGATGACCTCCGTCAGCAGCGCCGCCTTGTCCATCTGCATGCGAGATTCCCACAATTATCCGTCAGAAACTGATTTAAATCCACGACCTTTTTAATGGCGAGCTCACAATTTCTCGTCCTTCTGACCTTGCCAGTGCCGGGGATGAGGGTTCTCAGAGTGGAGAGGTGAGCGTTGATCCTCTCCCTGCGCCTCCTCTCAGCCTCGCTGTGGCTCTTCAGCGCCATGGCGGCCCTCGGCTCCACGGTCAACCCGCTCTTCCCCGGCTTCTCCCTCTCGAACACCAGCGCCGTCTGCGCCGCCACCCCCCCGTGGACCACCTCCTCAGGAAATCCCCTCATCAGCTGGAAATCCCCAAAGTGAAGGGACCCCATCTCCCACCAAAGCGTTTGCACCAGAAGAAGAAGAAGAAGAAGAAGAAGAAGAAGAAGAAGAAGAAGAAGAAGAAGAAGAAGAAGAAGAAGAAGAAGACGAGGAAGAAGAAGAAGAAGGAGAAGACTTATAAGCCAGGAGGACGGCAAGCGGCGCAGAACCAGAAGGGCAACCTCGGACGGACCAGCTGCAGCTTCTCCCCACTCCTCTTTCTTCTCCCCACTTCCATTCTTCGGATGGCGACTTCAGCGGGGGGAATGCTTCATCTCCCCGTTCGTCTTTCAAGGGCTCTCTGCAAATCCTCACGACGCAGAAGAAGAGGGGACAGGAAGAAACGGGGGTCAACCGGGGAAGAGCGCGAGGGCTTCGCCGGCGAGGGGATCCGCCTATTTGTACCCAGATTCATCCTTCGTCAGATCATCATCAAGAACATAGTTTAATCCATATAATTCGTCAGAATATGGGCTCGAAACCATTAAAAACCTCTCCCCTCCCCTCATCCGTCCTCATCCAGACCACCCCATCTGGAAGAACACAGAAGCAGATGCCCGCAAGAAAACACCATCCCTGCTGTCATCGGTGACGCGACGATTAGTTCACTTGCCGGGAGATAGAATACTCGTAAACCCATTGATAAACAAATCTCCAGCAAGACCTAATGGGATCTCAAACCAGTTCTTGCTTAACCTAATGGGAAGGTTCCCCATTTCCGCCCTCGTCCCCTCGCGAAGTCGGCGTCTTACTGCGTCGCCCACCAAATCCCGCGTCTTGTTTATAGCTTCGCCTTGTCCGAACGCCGCCGATCTCACCCGGAAACCGGCTTCTTTAGACCAAGTGGGTAGGAGACGACCCCCCTTCCCGTTGACGTCGCAATTATTGCCTACCCCTCCGTAAACCTCATGAGCCGCCGCAATTGGGCGAGAGAAAGCGACGGAGAACGGCAGGAAATAGATACATAGAAAGATACGTATAGAGAGAGAGAGAGAGAGAGCTATTCCACTGTCTCCAATCTCAGTAAGGTCAGCATCCACTTCAGCAGTTAGGAATCTGAAGATCCAAATAGACATGTCCATGGGGGAGCCGGAGTTCTCCCCCCTTCACTTGCGTCCCCCACCCCGGAAATGGGTTTTCAGAGGCTGTAGAAGTTACTCCTATTACCCTTTTTTTATATTACATTTTTCATTTTGTATATATTATATTTTTTATAACTTATAATAAAATATCGGGGTTATTATAAATAAATAAAATAATTATATAATACTTTTCCTAGTCTCTTTGAGTTCATATATTTATATAATACAAGGCTGTCTGGAGATTCACCGCGGGATCTAGTTGGGTTAGTGTGGGTATTCTAGTTTCTACCCCCTGAAACGCCCCGAATTGGAAATGAGCCCTCGGAGACGTGAGGAGGGTCTTTAATAAAAGGGGGTGGAGGGTCGTATTCCATCTAGTCGTGGGGGTCTCCAGAACTCCACTTAAAGCCATTGTGGACGTCAGAGGGGTTTTAGTCCTAATAAGATAAGTTGTGTGGGGGGTTCTTTTCTAATTTCGAGAGTATTTAAGTATTAAACTAAAAAAGGCTGAATTTCATATTTATGATTTTTTTAGGATAATATAAATGGAACATTTTAATCATCATAGTCAGCCTGTCCGCTTATAAAATGTGTTTTAATGAGAGGTGTCTTGTCGTATGAAGGGAGGAGAGAGAGAGAGAGAGAGAGAGAGAGAGGAATGGGCCGGTTGGGGGACGAAACATCAGGCCCACAAAGATCAGCCCATAATAGGCCCTATTGGCCCATTATGGAACGTGGCGCCTCCGTGGCTCCTTCGTGGATGACATAGCAGTGTCGCGTGGACTTGGTGGCCCTCTATAAATATCATGTGCTGGCGTGGATATTGACGGTTTTGCCATCAATGCTTCACTCCTGGGGGGTATAAGAAGTGCGCTTCTTGTTATCCCTTTCCTGTTTCCACTCTGGTCTGAAGCCACAGCAGCTATGGCGGCGGCGGCGGCGGTAGCAGCTTCCTCTATCTCATCTTCTCTCGCAGCCGCATCTCGTCCGTCGGGGACCCTCAAATCCGCGCATGGAGCTTCGGGCTTGGGCTTCCTATCCTCGTCCTCTAAATCGCTGAGGCTTCTGGCCTCTCGGCTCTCCATAGATGCAGTCGCTGCAGGGGGCAAGAGTGGCTCCAGCCTCGGTGCTCGTATGGTCTCTGCACCCTCCATAGATAAGGCCTCCCTTAACTTCGAGACTACCGTCTTCAAGAAGGAGAAGATCACTCTTGCTGGACATGACGAGGTTTTCCAATTTTAAGCCACGGGTTTTTTTTTTTTTTTTTTGACATCCGTTTTTCTTCCCAGTTTTCCTGATTTCTGCGGTTCATGGCCCCAGTTCATCGTTAGAGGAGGGAGGGATCTGTTTCCGTTGCTACCTGAAGCATTCAAGGGCATCAAGCAAATCGGTGTCATCGGATGGGGTTCCCAGGTTCGCCTTTTTTCTGCATTGGAATCTCCTAACTTCTTGAAATTCTCGATTTTTTTTTTACGTATGTTGAAATATCTGTTTTAAACTGCTGTTGTACTCGGAGAGATGGGTAAACCAAATTATGATAACGGATTCCAGGTATTCAACAGTAAGGTTTTTCGGAAACATGTTTTCAAGGGCATAACGTAAATGCATACAGGCTTATGTTGTATTTTTTAACGGATTTAGTTGACGGAAGCTTTTATTACGACGTTATCATCTTCTTAAAACTATAATTATTGCTATCGGTGATGTAGGGTCCTGCGCAAGCACAAAATCTCAGAGATTCACTTGCGGAGGTGAAATCGGATATTGTGGTCAAGGTTTGTGCCCTCTTGAACGTTTTTCATTTACTTGGCTTTGATTACTGCATTCATTGACTTTATCGCAGGATGTTCGAAAATTATCTCATTAACTATTTTATGCCATTATCTTGAAGCCGACTACTCTTTTGTATATCTTACATCTGCAATTAAGCTCCACTTTTATTATTAGTTTTCTTCTTCTTTTTCTGTTCCACTTGAAAAGGGATTTTTTCGGGTTATTTAAATAGTACTCCATGTCTTTTGCTTTTAACCTTAACCGATTTTAATGTACTTCTGCTTTGCATATTCGTCTCGCAGATTGGACTGAGGAAAGGTTCAAGTTCTTTTGCCGAAGCGCGTGCTGCTGGGTTTACTGAAGAAAATGGAACTCTTGGTGACATCTGGGAAACAGTCGCAGACAGTGACCTCTTGTTGTTGTTGATTTCTGACGCAGCACAGGTTTTTTGTTTACTTTCTGTGTAATTCCGTTATGTTCTTTAAAGAAAAATGTTGCCATATGCTCTGTTTCTGTCCCTGTAAAAATCATCGATGGATAAGTATTTTTTTATGTTTTTAATGAACTTATGCATCTAAGGCATTCGTTTTCATCTCTCTTACAATCAAGTATTGATTATGTCACCCATTTCTGTTGATTGGAAGGATGAGATCCAGTTTTAAATGTACATTCTCTTGAATCCCATAAATCAACTTCTTTGTTGATTGATCATCTAAGAATTAGTTTAATGTACACAACATTCCCCTATTTATTAAAGTCGAATGTATTCTTGAGGATATCCAAAGTGAGATCTGATATATTGGAATTACAATTATTTTCACTCCCCTCCTACTGATTCCTACATTATTTTTTAATTTAAATTTCTTATATTATTTATCAGATGTGCAGTAGGATGTTCCCATGGTTGCTGCGGATTTTCTTACGATATCCGAATTTACTTGATAATCACAATCTTTGTCACGTCTGGTTCTGTTAGATCAACGGTCTAATATATATTGGTCTTTACTCAAGTTGTAATCTTGTCTAAAACATTTTTTTATTAAATTAATTTAGTTCGTTTTCCTTGCAATTCAGGCTGAAAACTATGAGAAAATATTCTCTCTCATGAAGCCAAACAGCATCCTTGGGCTATCTCACGGTTTTCTTCTTGGACACTTGAAGTCCCAGGGAATTGATTTCCCCCAGAACGTCGGTGTCATTGCTGTGTGTCCCAAGGGGATGGGTCCGTCCGTGAGGAGACTTTACATTCAAGGCAAAGAAGTTAATGGCGCAGGGATCAACGCTAGTTTTGGTGTTTACCAGGTGTGGGACCTTAGTATGAAGCTGTTCCCTAAGAATTGTCTATCTTCCATTAGAAGCACATTCGTTCATCATCCCCTCTGGGAAAATTCTATTCATTCATATCATTGAGTGCCGACTTCCACATCTCGCATGTCTTTATAGTAGAAGCTGAGTAATTATCTAATTTATTTTATGTCTACTTGATCTTTCATCCAGGACGTTGATGGCAGAGCTACGGATGTTGCTTTGGGGTGGTCTATTGCCCTAGGCTCTCCTTTCACGTTTGCCACTACATTGGAGCAAGAATATAAGAGTGATATTTTTGGGGAGCGTGGTGTGCACTGTTTCCCTCCTACTGTCCCTGTTGACTTTTCCTGTTTATTTTTCTCTCCGGTTAATTTGTCAGCTTATTTTATGCGAAGGCATTCTCCTTGGAGCTGTGCATGGCATTGTCGAGTCTCTGTTTAGAAGGTACACCGAGAACGGAATGAGTGAAGAGCTCGCTTACAAGAACACTGTGGAATGCATTACGGGAATTATATCAAAGACGATTTCAACGAAGGTAGCGATCTGTGTTCCTGACAGTGCAGGACCCCTGGTGAATTATTTCAAATGTTGAAAGATTTTTTTTCAATTCCTTGTAGGGAATGTTGTCTGTCTACAACTCCTTCTCCGAGGATGGAAAGAAAGAGTTCCAGGCTGCTTATAGCGCGTCATTCTACCCTGCCATGGATATTCTATATGAGTGCTATGAGGACGTTGCTTGTGGTAATGAAATCCGGAGTGTTGTTCTGGCTGGACGGCGCTTTTATGTAAGCCCCTTTCTTGTTTTTACACGCAGATTGTATATAGAAATCAACACTACAAATGTAGGATGAATCGGTTTTGTTGTCTGTGGGAGAAAAAAGGCTTAAATGTTTCATTATTTCCGAATGTACTCTCTGGAAATCTATATTCGTAAGAAGAAGAAGAAAAAAAAAACCAGTTTTTGAATTACATGATGATGAACAGGAAAAGGAAGGTTTGCCTGCCTTCCCAATGGGCAATATAGACCAGACTCGGATGTGGAAGGTTGGTGAGCAAGTCCGTTCAAAGCGCCCTGCTGGTGATTTGGGTCCTCTGCATCCTTTCACCGCTGGAGTTTATGTGGCAGTGATGATGGCACAGGTAATTATGGCTATAATCACCTAATGTTTTGACAAAATATTCACCTCTAATCTTCTTAGATTGGAACAATGCATGGTTTTCTGCAAGTTTTTATATTTTGCGAGTTCCCTGAGCAGATTGAGGTGCTGAGGAAGAAGGGCCATTCCTACTCAGAGATCATAAATGAGAGTGTGATTGAAGCCGTTGACTCCCTGAACCCTTTCATGCACGCCCGAGGCATCTCCTTCATGGTGGATAACTGCTCGACGACTGCCCGGCTGGGGTCAAGGAAGTGGGCTCCCCGGTTCGACTACATCCTCACACAGCAAGCCTACGTGGCTGTAGACAAGGGCTCAGCCATCAACCAGGATCTCCTCAGCAACTTCCTGTCTGATCCGGTCCACGCTGCCATTGAAGTCTGTGCCCAGTTGAGGCCAAGCGTTGACATTTCGGTGCCCGCCGATGCTGACTTTGTGCGCCCTGAACTGCGATGAATAAACTAGAGTTGAGGCAGTGGAAAACCTTTTGTCGAGGGAAGTGCATCAGGTATTAGAGTGGTCGCCTTATGCTGTTCCGGATTTCCTACTAGTTTATCTTTTATTTTTGCTTGGCACTGTTGGAGAATGGTGAATAATCGTTAGAAATCTCCTGATGTTTCCTGTCAGATGAACCGGTTTACTACTGTTCTTGTGTTGATGAACTGTAGCTGTGGCTTCTTGACGGAGATGGGAGTAAGAATTTATCCACATATGAATCTGGCATGAGAGTTCTAATGCATTTTTCTAAGAAATTGCATGCATCATTTGGACAGTATAGCTTTCTAATCATATTCCAATATCCTATTAATTTGTTGAGGCAGGTGATTATAAATCCAACACATAATCTGCTACGCATGACTCGTTTGTGGGTCACTTACTATCCCCCTGGTTTGCTATATCATTCATAACTAATTATATATGTTGGATAGAACACGCACACTCTTTCAACCTTAAAATATTCAGCGAGTAAGATGCCCAGTTAAAAATGTTCTTGCCAGAGGTGCTTCACGTCGTATTCGTCCATATAATCCTTGGTTGATCTTTTCACGCAACTATGAATCCTCCTGGTGATAATCCTTGGATCATTTTAATGAAGAAAATGACATTATGGATATATATAAAAATGTATAAAATAAGAGCAACAAAGCGTGGCACCGTGCAGAAAGAATTCCGTCGCGTGCTACCCGATCGGCTGCCTTGTACGGCACCGAAGAAGGAGACGCCGGGCGGCGCCGCCGATGTGCCGGCAAAACCCTCTTCCAAATTTTCGGCTACCGCCCAGCCCTTGCTCTATGATAGCAGAAGATGGGCCCTCAAGAGGTCTTAGCCCAGCTGGTGAAGAGGAGATCTTGCAGAAGAGGCTGGCGACGCGGAATTCTTTCAGACTTTCCGGTCAGAGCTCAATTAATCCCGGGCCCCACCATTCCACTGCCGGGCAAGGCCGAAATAATTTTTTATTAAATATTGGATAAAATTTTCTAATCGGGTCGCGCTGGAGTTTTTGGATTAACATGATCGGTTGATATCCCTCGTCAACAAAGTTTTCATTTTTTTCTATTTTTTTTAACGCATAGCGACACTGAAAAGAAGAATCTGGGGAAAAAAGTATGTGCTCTGAAGAATTCTGTTTATAGATTAAATGATAAACGTCATTCGGATTCTCGGCCCCTACGACGCACATCGGATGAAGCCGATTAACAGGCATTTTAATCCTGAATACGCAGGAGATCGACCAATTTATATGATTGGCCTGCGGGGGTTAAAAGATTAGCACAGTCCGATGTTGTTCTAAGGAGCGCGCAGTTGCAGGACGAGGGAAAGACGGGGCACCGTAACGTCTCAAGTACGCGTCACCTACGTGCCCGTGGAATATCGCTGCCGGACGGCGGGACGAAAGAATGGCGCTGTCGATTGTGGGGAGGGCCGCCGGAGAAGAGGAATGAGGGGAGAACCGAATGAGCGTAGTCGATCCGAGAGCTCCGTGCTTGACCGGGCACGGTGTCGGCGGTTGCGTGGGAATCCCTCCGGCGAGTAATCAAGCTCTCCGGCGCCCACCTGCTCGGAACTTGTTTATCAGGCACGAGGCGGGCGGTGGGCCGGGGAAATTCTCGGATATGGTGCCCAGTGGAGGGTCTTATCCCCCGGTGGGAAAACTCGGGAGGAACGGGCCGAAAAGCTGGTCGCTGGATCAGTATAACGGGGCTCCGGTGCTGTGGGGGTTGGAGAGGAGAGGGGTTTTTCTCTCTCGGCTGGTGCAGCAGGAAGGATGACGCTGGTGTTCTTATTCAAACTCGAGCTTTTCGAGGACGATGTCCAGACGTCGCGTCGGCATACGAGCCCGATAAACCACCTGCATTTAACCCGTCCATGATGGTACCGTATAGCGTAGGCTTGTCTTCTCGGCACAGCTGCTGTGTTCCTGTCTCTGAGAGCGAGAGAGAGGAGAGAGAGAAAGAGAGGGGTTGTTCCCTCCACAGCGACGATATTGTGGGGAAGGGCTGGGGTGAACAGTTTTTATTCTCAATAAAACTGAAATCTTCTCAACAAGCTTGAGAGAGAGATCAATGTTTCTGCCTTGTGCCACGTATTTGATGGGGTTCGGCTCTAGATTCTGTGGTCTATGGGTTGGATGAGATGGGGATCTAGCAGAATCATGGGTTTTCGCTCGCTGTTCCAGCTCACTTGCATAGGGGTCTTCTGAGGTCTCATGGGTGCCAGTCCATCTCCAACATGATACTCCTGCCTCTACTTCTGTGTTCCTTCGATTGCACTTCTGTGCTATTATGGCTCTCAAGCCGAGTCCCATGTGATGCAAGATTGGACATGAGGAGAGTTTTAATGCGTTAGATTCTCCCACAATATTCTCACATACAATTGTTTTTTCATCTTTTTATTTACTGATGTTTGGCAGAAAAAGAGAGAGAGAGAGAGAGAGAGAGAGAGAGGTATAGGGGCAACAATGTCCTTTTCGTGTTCGTAGGAGAGTATCTTAGAAGAACTGATCGACAGAGATAATGACAGATATCATATGAAAGGAAAGTTTGACGCAATTTTTGTGGCCGGTTGTTGAGATCAAACGCGTACGTTTGAGTTGAAATCTTCATTTTCTCCTTGCGAGGTCTGTACATTTGTCATCTTTCTCGTAGGTTTTCTCTTTACACTAGCAGTGATCTGAAACTCTCTCTCTCTCTCTCTCTCTCTCTCTCTCTCTCTCTATCCCTCGTTATTTAAATTCTATTTTTACAAGTTCATGACAACCTGTGCGCATACATTTCCACCGCTCCTCCACCCTTCGGTCCATCGTCTTCCTCTCCAGGGACAAGAACTCGGAAGAAAGAGTCTGGCGTTGAGGCGCTGAGATCGTGTTATCTGGGGAGGTCTTTCTCCTGCCTTTTCTCTACGAAGCGAGTAGAAGCGTAGGTAACTCTCCATAGATATTTCCACGGCTGAAACTGCACCTCGCCGCTGGTCTCATCGTATTATTCTCTCCCGGATCACGTAATCAGATCTTCCTCTACACACATCCGTACATTCTTCGGAGACCCACGTGTTCTTTAGCTCGTTAATTCTGCTTACTCCAACGATGAGATTTCTAGTTCCATCTGATTCATTCCGGATATCTCTCGTCTTTTGGCTGATATCGAGTCCCATAGCTTGTTCTTGGCTTCTGTTTTTAGGGTTTCTACAGAATCTGAGCTTTCATGGCTGATGGGTCTTCTCCGTTTGAGAAAGTAATCACAACTTCTTTAACTTCTCCATCTAGAATCCCAGTAAGCAATGGATAGGTTCGCCCAGAGGATTCCCCAGCATATAAGACACTACGAGCCCTAATATTGTGAACTGGTTACCCCAGATCTAAAGAGCTTCTTTCCTTTTGCATGAAAACCCCACGTTCAGAGAACGAGAAAAAGAGAGAATTCTGTCGAAAGAAAAAGGGGAAAACTGATCCTCTCGTCATATCAAGGAATCGTCTTTCTCTTTCCTTCTTTAGTAATTATGATGTCCTGACATGGACAAGAGACCAGCTCTGTTCTAGCAACTACCAGTTCCTTTGCACGGGCAATTCGAATTCTATAGAAAAAGAAGAGGATCGAGGACGAAGAGAGTTGGTATTAGTGTGGTGTCCAGGGATGGTTCTTTCTCTCTCTTCTTTGGTCGCGAATAACTGTGTTCTTCTCTTCTTTGGATAGTAGCACCGCAGAAGCTGTGATGGAAGCGACCGGGCAGCTGTCGGTGCCCCCGGGGTTCCGGTTCCACCCCACTGACGAGGAGCTGCTCTACTACTACTTGAGGAAAAAGGTGGCCCACGAGGCCATGGACCTCGACGTGATAAGGGAGGTTGATCTCAATAAGCTCGAGCCGTGGGACCTCAGAGGTGAGATCCTCCGGATGATCCCTACTTCTTCGGGAAGGTTTCCGTCCAACCTCTAATGAAGGAGAGAGAAACTTTTCTCCTTTGATTTGCACCCTAGAGTCGTAATAGGGTATCCCATAACGCGACTAAGATTAGAATTGAACGAATCACATGAACATGGTTCCGAAACGAGTAGCGTTTTGAAGAGCCGTTTGCTGGATAAACCTCTCCCCCCTCCCTCTGTGTGCGTGTATTCCTCTCTCTCTCTCTCTCGCTCTCTCTCTCTCTCTCTCTCTCTCTCTCGCTCGCTCGCTCTTCCTCTCTCTCGCGCGCGCTCTTCCTCTCTCTCTCTCTCTCTCTCTGTATAAATATCTATCTTTGCGGTGTGCTCTCTAAATAAAACGTGCTCGTGCATGACAGAAACATGTAGAATCGGGACAGGACCTCAGAACGAGTGGTACTGCTTCAGCCACAAGGACAAGAAGTATCCGACAGGAACGCGGACGAACCGGGCTACAGACGCCGGGTTCTGGAAAGCAACGGGGAGAGACAAGGCGATCTTCCACAGCGATTCAAAGAGGATTGGCATGCGGAAGACCCTCGTCTTCTACACCGGGCGAGCTCCCCGTGGCCAGAAGACCGACTGGATCATGCATGAGTACCGTCTCATCGACGATAACCCGGGGATCCAGGTATGGTGATTACTGGTGATACTCGTGCCTTCTGTTAGAAGCGACAGTCTTGACGAGTTTCTAGAATGAGAATGGCTGATTTAACTCGTCTTTTACGACCCTTAAAGGGAAATTTCTGAGCAGTCCTCTCCCACTGATGATGGCAGGAAGTCACAAAAAGGAAAAAAAAAGAAGATCGATAATATGGAAAAAAGAGAATATCTCATATTTAGATTGAAGAGGTAGTTTGACTCTTGAGGGTTGGTTCAGAATATGTGGGTCTTCACCATTGGATCTCGAACTGGCATTGAGTTTGACTACAAGTAGGATTCTTTCACATGAGGTCATAGGTTCATGCTCTCCGTCTTTTGGTTTCACGTCCCCTCTCTACCGTCCACACGTCAAAATAATTTGGAAATCGGACTTACGGATTAAGAGACTACGATAGCCATATATCATAGGAAATAATGCCAATGATGTGATTAAAATAGGCTGGCTGACTCCATTCGTCGCCGACTAATAAACTGAACGATCCAATTCTCTCAAACTTTGGATCATCAGAGAGGGTTGACCTTAAAATCATCCTCACAATGTAATTTATTCACTGACTTATGACTGCCATTGTTTTCCTTTTCCAGAAGGAAGGATGGGTCATTTGTAGGGTATACAGAAAGAAGAAGAACCAGAGATCCTTCACATCAGGACCAACATCGGAGGGAGAACAGCTCCTTCACTGTAGGGAAGGTGGGTCCATGGTCTGGGGGCAAAGGCAGAATCCTCAGTGGCCATACGACCCCCTCTTGGGAAACTCCATGCAACTCCCTCAGCTGCTGAGCCCCGAGCCTTCGGCGGCCCCTTACATGGCGGCATCTTCCAACCCATCTGACTCAGTGTTCTCCCAGAGCTTGATGAAGCTGACGATGGGCGGTGGCGGGCTCTGGAAGCAGCAGCAGCAGCAGCAGCAGCAGCAGCAACAACAACAACATCAACAGCAACAGCAGCAGAGGGTTCATGGCGAGTGGTCAATCGTGGACAAGCTCCTGGCCTCCCACCAGAACCTGGATCAGGTTTTCCAGGGAAAGTGGAATCCTCTGGTGGCCCAGACCGTGGACCACGGTTTGTCGGTTCTCAGGTTCCCTCCCCCGCAGTGTGGGATGTGAACCCGACTTGATCAAGTCTACAACGTGAGCTCGGTTTAGAATGGCTTTGTAGGAGTCGAGGGTCTCCATCTAACTGTATATACGTTTATCTGCTCAAGGCCGAGTTGGGGGGGAGAAGGGGGTGCAGTTTTATCAACTCTTGATGTCTGAAATTAATGTGACTTCTTCGTTGTTCTCTGGGATCTTTGCATATTCAAATGATCCTCCTTGATCTACCCTTTGATATCTGAGAGTTCTCTCTATCGCGATCCGAAGCTAGAACTCTCTACTGTGATCAGACAGACGATCTGAGAGACGGAATCGAGCTAACTGACGTCGAAATAATCCGCCGTCTAGGCCACGCCAAGTCTTGTTTTTTTCAGTGGATTCACGTTGCCTTGATCGTTGTGTTGACGCTAATCCGGGTCTAACTATTAATTAGGTCACGATGATCGATTTCCCTTCGCCACGGCGAATTGCTTGAGCCAATCAGATTGTCTGTGATCCTCTCTCTCCCGAGAGGGAACACTGTAGCAGCTATACAGCCTGCCATGAAGGCCAACCATGTCCACGTGGCCCAATGGAGTTTTTCTAAACCAAGGCATCAGACAATCGATCAAAGATGGAAGGTTGAGATCGACGAAGAGCGCTTCCTGTAAAAGCTTTGCCGCCGTGGGAATCATGTTTCTTGCCAAGGGAGCTTAAGATATTAGATAAATTTCCAGCATCTGAGAGGATATGAATCCAACCATCCACATAACATCCCACAAAACATCGAACACCCACCCCCAAAAATAGAAACTGTCGCCAGATTGAGGATAAGGGGTATAGACAAAAGGGGAATAGGGGAGAAGATTTACACAGGAAAAAACACCTAAGCAGCTGGTTGGGCTTCGACCTCTGCCGGCGCTGGTTGCGCTTCTACCTCTGCCGGCGCTGCTTGGGCTTCTACCTCTGCCGGCGCTGCTTGGGCTTCTACCTCTATCGGCGCTGGTGGGGCTTCACCATTCTCTGATGGAGCAACGGGCTCACTCACTGGTTGCTCTGGGGGTGGAGCAGTCTCGGGAGGAGGCTCCTTTGGTGGAGCTTCCAACATCAAGGGCTCGTTTGGTTGAGCCTCGATCGCCTTTTGTGCGGGAGGGGCTGGAGGTTTCTTAATGGAGATAGGAGGAGCAGAGAGAGAAGCCATCCCTGGAGGAAGGATCTCAATAGGCGGTTTCTTCCCAGCTTCTGCTAGAGAGGTGAGCTTGGGCTCCTCCAAAGACGCAAAAAATGCGGTCGCAGCATCAGTTTTCCCGGACGGCGTGTGTTCAAGCTCCTTCTGTAACATCTTGTTCCATGCTATGACAAGATTCTTCAGTGTTGGGCGACCGTGGGCCTGTCAATCAAAAGCTTGTCATTCCCATAAGGAGCTTGAATCCTCGGATGGATGGAGAGAGAGCTCAAGTTGCGCAGAAAATAAACATGATAGAGGTTCCATTATGGTATCATAGAGCCCCACATTTTAGTGATTTAGTGACGATTTGTATCTTTCAGACCACTCGATGTACATCCTGCATGGCTGATACTCCACTGCCTACTCTGGATGCGCAGGCCCAATACGTTGAAGTTCTCACATTTCTGCCCGAAGATTTTATGGGCATGTATAAAGAGCACTCAATCCTAGATGGTTTCCTACTTCTAGGCCAGGGCTAGCTGAAATATCAACATAAATAACTAAATTTAATGAAAATTCATAGTAGCAACAAATCTGCTGCCTGCCTAAGCTAATCATCATTTCTACCCGTTTGCTAGATTTGACATGAGAAGCGAACATGACATCAGAATCTCAGGAAGCTAAAGCAAATGATGCCGACCAGTCCGTGACTTCTCACAGCTCAAGCATGTGAAGTTCACAATCTCCAGGAATGTGGATTTCGAGGTCTGTTCATGAAATGGAGAAAGGTTATTAGGAAGTTACTTGAGCATGAAGCACGGCTTCTGCCAGCATTCCTGTGTCCTGCCATGCCTTCTCCATCAGAGCATTGTCTCCTAGTACTGCAGCGGAAAATGCAGCTTCACGGCCTTGCCCAGCTGTGGCAAGATTACCAACCAAACCCTGCAAAAAATACATCGTTTATAAACTGGACTCGCTGTATGGCGATTCCCTTGTTCCGAGTATCGGATATAGGGCAGTTTGCGAGAGTTCAACAATGAGCAGACAAAGTTTGCTTTCTATCCACAAGCGTTACAGTAGCGAGACAGATAATCAAAGCAGCAAATGTCGCATGCTAAACTTAAACAGCAACAAAATAAAAACCTCAGCAACCACTCGAAGAAGAATGATGAAATAATGGTGCAGGAATGCTGTCAAAGGAAAACGAGGCAAAAGGAATTGGCATAAACATCGAAACCAGAACGAACCAACAGCTGATTGAAGTTGGGCATTGCAAAGGAAAAAAAGGAGAAGATATGAAAAGCAAGAAAATTATTTGACAAAGAAAACCAGGCATACAGCAGAAAAGTGTTGGTTTGAAAAAAAGAGAGGGAAAATTAAAGAAATTCCTACTGGTAAGATGCTCTCCCCCCGTAAACGAGGCATCATAGTCAGAAAATTTCTCGAATTATAGTCGTTTATTTTAATTTCTTTTACAAGCAGCGAAATTACAACATCACACACTGCTAATTAAAGCCTTGCTGCAGAAGGTGTATAAATTGCAGATATATTTTTCGTTTTTTAACATTTTACGACTATCTGGAATGAGTTTAATATGAGTTAATTTGATCCACTGCCACATCAAATTGATGCTATTGCGATCTGACCATAGAGGTCATGACCAAGCCTAGGGAAGACTGATGTGTCCCAACTTGCCAGAATTTGAATCATCAAGCTGACAAATATTGGTTGGAATAAGCCAGAACAATTCAGAAAACCATAGTATTCATAGCACAAGGGCAGTTCTATTATTTAATATCCTTTTAAAATAATAAAAATAAATATGAAACAAAGTTCCAGATGAATTTCTGATATAAAATTTAAATATGCTTATATGGTTGTTATAGAATTAACAGGATGAAGGATGGAGACATACGGATAGCCTTGTGAGTTCACCGTGGTTTGCAAGACGTAATGCAAGGCCTCTCAATACTTGGGATTCCAAGGCACCCTTCACAGAACCTGCAGCAGATAACCTCTTAAGAGCTTCACGGGCGATATCACCTTGTCCAGTAGCATCAGCAGCATCAATTAGGTCCAAAAATTCCTGTGCAAATTTGACAATTCCTTGAACAGCATCAACAAGGTTCTCTTGTTTGACAGCTGATAGACTAAGAATGTCACTTATATCTGTCCCAGAACTATCTTGTCCAACATCCCTGCTGTTGCTCATAGTTAATAGACATTGAAGAGCTCTTTTCAAGTCATTGCTCTGCATAGCCAAATCAAACTCTAGCCTGAGACAGATCAACACAAAACAAACCTTATTCGTTGTTTTTGACATTTTAGATTGTTGATCAAATAACGTGGCCATACTATCGAGATGAAATGCATCCTTGAGACAGATGCCACAATCACACCATTATAACATGCACAGTTGGGGAAATAAATATTACAGGATACTAAAAAAAGAGTGCTTCGTTTCTCCTTACCTCTTAGATATCCCAGGCAAATGAAGTGCTTCAGTTGCATATCCAACCCCAAGCATGAATTGTGCCAAGTCGTCGTGGTGCTCCCTTGCCAATCTACTTGCCCTGCATATTGGTTCTCATGTTAGCACAAATGACCCTGCAGAAACACAACGCAATCGTAAGATTAACCATAAATCATACCATTTCACTGCACTAACTGCATCCCCATAGGCAGCAAGACATCGGCAACGAATACCAGGATGGCTGAGGGCTAGTGCATGAGCACACATGTATCTGCAATAAACAACAATCAAGCATAAAGATGTTCACCATCAACAGAAAGTGAATTACAGCGTCAATTAAAATGTCCCCAATGATAAAACGATTGAAAATTCATAAATAATTATAAAAAAGGGCTGTTTATTATTGGGCCACTTCACAAAGAAAACGAGAAAAATCAAGCACGTGATAGGAAAGAAGAAAAACCAGAAAGAAGTAAATAATCATTGTCAAACTATTAACACAGCTTCTCTGATTCAACAAAACATGTAAATAGTAATCATCAAAATGACACTCAATGGAAATTCTATACTTATTGTAACTAAAATAAGCCAACGTTTCAAATGAAAGTATTGAAAGAGAAAACTGTCAGAATAAGTTGTACTTTTCTTTTTTCCTTTACCGTAGTCTTTTCTTTATTACTTACGTGTTGAACCAAACCAGATCAGTTCGGTTCAAGCCTTGTATGATGGATCTGGTATCAGTACCAGACCCAAACGTAAATCAAGGCTAAGCACGTCTTATTTTCCACCATGTTCGGGATTTAGGGTTTTCGTGGTTTTCGTCGCCAATGACTCAACGCTCAACAAAAACAAGTACAAAGCAATAAATCCATTTACATTTTGGAAACAATTAATTGCATTCGACAGAAAGTACAACCTATTAGCTGATGTAGTCAATGATAAGACTGACTAAAATGTTCTGTGAGATGTCAAATCTAATAAACATTCAGCTAACAGTTTCCCCGGAATCTTCTGATTCAATGCTCATTATTTCGTTGTAAAATAATGACACAGACAAAGGTAGAGATAACTTCTAGTCAAGTTTTTTTTTACTTATCATCACAATACTCAAAATTTGAGAATAAATCATTTCCCAATGACCAAGGCTAGTTTGTTTTTCTTTATTTCACAAGTGATCACAACCAAGGTTACTAAGCACAATGTTTTTTAACAACTGGGGAATTCAAAGTCAAGCCAAAAAAGTGCTATAATGAAGATATTTTATTTAATTCATGCTGCTCTTGGGTGTCTAACTAACTCTCGATTGTTATTGGAAGATGACACTACGATTTCTTCATGCGAAAATTTTAATAGCTACCCAGATGAAGATACTCACCATCTTCACAATTAACTCTGTTTGATTTGAGCTTATTAGCAGGTAGATCCAGATGTCAGGAAACATCCATCCCCACAGGTAATGATAGCACATTATTAGATTATCTTCATTTTATTATGGTATGAGCGGGGAAGGATAACACTACACTAGCATACTATCAAAATATCTAATCCAACTTGTCTTCATTATTATAAAATCCATTAAATGAAACACTGCCCGAAATTCGATGTCTCATGGACAAAGCATCACGCTGTTATAAAGAAAAATAACCTGACAGCATATCGTTGAAAGAAAAATAGGCTAAACGACAGGTCATTTCCTGCAATTAAATTTCTTAAAATGCATGCCTCGTCAAGTTACCTGTCTATAAGCCAGAGGACTCCATCCCTAACGCCCACCAGAACAAGGGGTCCAACAGGGCGCCTCTGTTCTGGAGGAAACCGAGTGATTGCCACCGACATGCCTCCACCAGCTACAGCAACTTCACTGGCTTTTCTTTCTTCCACATCTTTCTGGAATACAGAGTCTTCCCCATCCACTCTATACTGCTTTGGCAGAGATATGAAAGGTGGTATGGAAGGAGCATGCTGGAAGGAAGCCAACCGCACCACCTGAAAGAGAAGAATGGATAGTCATTAGCCTTGTAAAGGGTAAGGAAAGTACAGGCCCACATATAAGGATATTTTTGCTCTACTTAAGTACCACATACAACATGCTAGTGAAAAACTGATCATATACAAGTCAGCTCCATTATTTGGCACACATCGATGAAAACGAAAAAAAAATGTATGTACTTATATATCACTCTGAGCAAACATAAGTTATAATTTGTTACTGCATGTCATGACAAATATTTATAATAATCTTCCACAACCCTCAAACTTACTGCTGAGCAAACATCTGATGGTTGTCTTAAATGTTACTGCATGTCATGACAAATATTTTGTTCACTCTATCCTTTGTGAGTGAACAATAACAGATTAGCAATATCTACCATAACATAACCATTGTATGACACTAGTAATTATAGACGAATGAATTAAAGACCCATCCGATGTCCTAGATGTTTCCTCCTCACTTCATTTTTCTTCTGTTTTCTTGTCTCGTTTGATGGGCAGCATATCTTAACTGCCTCAGTTCATTTATTACATTTTTTGCTTATGTGCAACTATGGTCATTTCGCATGCTTCTTTCCCCCTAGTACCACATGCCCCCCTCTGCCAATGACCACTTTCGCAAGGTTAAGAATAGTTAACAGTTTAACCAAGATTTTTGTTTTGTTTTAACGTGTAGTTCCAGTACCCTTAAGTCTTTGAATAGGGTAATGGAACTCTTTTGGAGTTCAAATAATGATTGGTTGGAAAGTTTCCTCAAAGTACTTAAGGTACAGTTGGCATTTTACAGTTTCAAAATTTGATGATTCAAGGGTGTAGAGGCTTTCTGCTAGCTTTCCACCTTTTCTCCACTGACTTCCCTTCTTTTTTCTCTTTTGTGCAAAAAATCCTTACCACCTCATCTATAACATTCAAAGGAAAAACACATGCCGAAAAATCCTCCTATTAATAGTTATTAAGCATTCTTACAGGTCTCTGTCAGCCAGCTACCCAATCAAACATATCACTAAGCTTTAAAAAACTATTACCTAAATGAAAGTTCGCAGTTTTGAAGAATGAACGGTGGGAAAAACGTATAATTGGGAGTTTCTTTCTGTACGTCAATTTCCAGGTTTGCTAATTGGTCAATTTCCTCGACCAAGGTTGTTTCCTTTTTTGTGGCCAGGGTAATTGTATATAACTAGGCCTTGTTCTATGATTTGATTAGTAGAGGAGATTTTCCCTGACTGTTTATCCTTGTATGGTTTGCGTCATGGCCTAATATTAGTAAAAGTTACTGACTTCCTACCCAAGCTATCTGGTAGGCACCAATCATCATCATCTAAATATGCTTGAGAGGATAGTTAATCATATTATAAATATTAATATTAACGGGACAAAATAGTATGAATAACCGTACTTGTGTGAAGTAGGTATCTTATGAGAAGGAGATAGCTTGCTGCCAAGTTAGATGGTCCTGATAAAGTCTAACAGTCTACAGTACAGAAATCGTGGGGAATGCTGATTGAAGATGCATAGAGATGAAAAAGGAATGAGTAAGGTAATTGTATGGGATATGAAATCTAAACTACCAACATAATTTATTTATTTATTTCAGGTGTGATTTAGATTTTTTTTATTTTCTTTGATACCCTGCATCACTATCAGATCCATATCATAGACCAAAGCCAAGAATCTGAAACTTCGTACCCAATTTTTAAGAAAAGATATATCTGCAAGGAATTAGATCAAATGTGAGTTGCGGATCAATCACCAAAGACACACGACAGTAATTTAACTGTACTGGTAGCATAAGCTTCTAAACATTTACTCAAAGCTCCAAGCTTCCAAGTCAAGCTTTGATGCTTAATACTTTAAGCTCTTAACTTGGATGGTTCAGAGATAACGCCGCAATGGAAAAACAAACGTGAATGTATCCTTTACTCTGATTAAACTACGAATGTAGATATTTTTTCCGATTACTATGCACGAAAAACGGATTAACTGGTCGATAGATCCATAAACCTAGTATTTTGAAAACCAGCTTATCTTTAATGTAGCTGGCAATTCATCCTTACCTGCAGCATTGGAGGCCTTAGCGAGATCCTTTCATTTGCGGCTTTCTGTGGGTTATCAACTGTGATTAGTGCCAATTCTCCATGTTCAGCAAATGCTGTATTTTGTGCTTCTTTCAGTTTCTGTTCCTCCTTTTTCCTCTTTGTTTCCAAGTCAATAAGTGCAACACCAGCATCCACAAAAACACACCTGAGAGCGTAATGTATTTTAATATCATGTGGAAAAGGCAAGGCCCACAGAAAATAAAATCAATTTCTATGCTGAATAAAATGATAGGAATCATTGCATCTTTAATTCTCTTAAGATTCATCGGTGACATCACCATAGGGGACAACATTGTTCAATTTCTGTGGATTAAGGTGAGGAGGCTCATACAGGGACTATGAACTAAGAAACACCGATGACACATCCAAAACAAGGAAGTTGTCTATCCTCGTAAAAAGACACTGTTCTTTAACAGGTATCCCAACAGACTCCCGCAAGTCGTCATCAAAGCACAATAACACAGACAGCAGGACCACATAACTCAAATACAAAAATACCAGAAGCAATACTTGGCCAAATTACGGCAAGCATGAATATTCACTCGTTATCCAGAGGGTACAGTAAAATGTATCATTACCCAGGAAAGAACTCCACAATGTGCAGGTGCACAAGTTAAGATTTAGTGATCGAAATAATAATCAATGTCACCGTACGAAATGACACCATTTCTTCTGCAACATAACTATTCTTGAAATTACATACTTTTCTAAAATAAGGTTCAGCCTCGCCTTTAGGACGCTGGATTTGAGCCAAAGGATCATAGTAACAAATGCTTCAGGATGCTGGATTTAAGCTTATTACCAAATGATTTTTTTTAAAATTACATATTAACACTCACTGTTATACCCAGAAACGAAGGAAAAAATATTAGCTGAAACAGAAGATTAAAACTAATGGCAGACAACCAGTAGCAAACTAATCTTCTCATCTGAAAGATGCTAAATAAGAAGGAGAATGAGACTAAACAAAATTCTCTATATATCCTCAATGAAAAGTTTCATCAATCTCTGTTACTTTCATCAATCACCTAGTTGATGATATCTTGTCAATCTTTTTTCTCATGCTTGAAAGCCTCTCTTACCCTGTCCCATCACCAAATCCACAAAACAGTGGATAGGTAATCCTTCCACCAATCAAAAACAGTTGGCGGTGGACAAATGTCATATCGACTTCTCATCATGTAGCGAATGTCCTTGTAATTTCTAGTCTGAATGTTTGTCTAATCTTCTACATTACAAAAGAAAATCCCATATCCCAAAAAGAGATCAGGCTTTCCAATGCAAACAATGGATAGCGTAATTGAATCCAATTCAAAAGTTTGGATTGTCTCACAAGCACTAAACATATTGTTGAATGATTTCCAGGAGAACGTGTTGATTTTGGAAGGAAGTTTATTATTCTACACCGGTCTCTTCCACAATACTCTGCAATCATCAACTCCATATAAAAAATTGAACTAGTAGCAAATCCCTCTCCACATTCCTTTGCCCAAAAAGTTTTCTTTACATACATACATCAGCCAAAGCATTTACTGATGCAGAACATCCAAAACCCTTACACCATCCGTAAGGTACCCTTTCAATTGGAACTTCTGGTCATCATCTTTTTCATGGTCCATATCTGATTATGAATTCCTTCTTATCAATATTTACATAACGTAGCTCACAAGACTTCATGTCAGGTCTCTCCCTTTACAGCCATTTATCCTCCCAGAATTCAAACAAACTTCTACCATTAAGAAACATGAAATCGGGAGATATCTACAGAAACTCCTAAACATGAATGTTATTTTTCCTCATTGAAAACAAAAGAGAACAATTTGAAGGAACAAACTGCTATTGCCAGCAGTTCTTAAGTGTTTAGCAATGAGAATTTGCATTCCAGATGGAATCATCAATTGCAAGTCTTAAAATAACCATTAAGCAAGAAGGATTTTATTCATCTATAAATTTTAACTATGTTGACTTTTCAGTCATCGCGTTCTAGTTTTTTTTTAATGGGTATTGAGTGTTTTTCTTTTAACTTCATTGAATCATTTGCCATTCACTAAGTCGTGGCATCTAAGGAAGAAACAAAACTAATGCAGTAATGCCTTAATAGTGAAACTGAAGGTTAAAGAAAACAGCCCGTGATATATTTGAACAGGACAGAAACCTATACTGTCCTGAGGATAACGAAAATTATTATCAAAGACAAATCAGTAAATATCTTACTCAATAGTAGTTGGAGTAGCAACAAACAACTGTCGGCGATGCCAAACAGCACCGGTAGCACAAGGAATTGCCACATCCCCAAGGCACCTATACTGCGGCCGTAAGGATGAAATGACAATGTGCTGGTGATATGCAAAAGCACAATACTCAACAGTCTGGTCCCAAGCTGTCCACTCGGGCTGTGAAAGAAGTCCACCAACAGGTTGAAAAGTCTCCCAACTGAAATGTCAAAATCATCAAATAAGTACCTCAGGCAAGCATTCATCAACCACTAGTGCGGAAGAGAAATTCAATAAGTTGTTTAAAATGGACCCGTGACTTTTTCCACTAAAGGGCATGAACATACACATTCCTTTTTTGAAAAAATGGAAGTTTAAAGAGAAAATCGGGAAAGATCAATCCTATGCTTTTGTTAACATTTTTTCATTTTCATTATGCACCTATAAGGCTACACTAAATGGTTTCCATTTCAGTACAAGAAAACCACAAGCATTCTGATTTTGTTAAGTTAGCAAGTACCAGCAGATTCAGGTTATAATGGGTGAATGTAACCAATATCCTTACTTTCTGCCTTCAAATGACTCTTTCACTACAATCCCAAAGATAATGATCCCGCATCTTGGTTTACAAGACAGCGTCAGACATTAGTAGTAAACTCTTTCATCTTGTATGGGTATCTGGGATCCCAGAGGTTCGTTCATTGTCTTCCCTTTTTGGATAGACATGCAGAGGACCAAAGATGTTGGACAAATGGTAGCTTACTGAAAGAAGCATGCTCATCTTCAACTGACAAGTATAATACACCAGGTTTCTCAAGAAAAAAACACCACATATTCACTTGAAAAATATCATATATGCGCGACAAATCTTGCTAGCCCTGGGTAAGAACTGTAAAATTGGGTTACTTTGAAATAGAGACATTTTTTTGCCCATTCAGGGTTTCAAATAGCTTGGGAAGAAGTAACGGTTGAATAGTTTGTGCGGGATTAGTCACGAGAAAACTAACCGATATGATTGGAAAACCTAGCTTTATTTTCGCAAAGTTGAGGAACATCAATATAAAGATGTTATAACATGGGAGAGTAGTGAAAAAAGGATTTCTATTGTGCTTTTCCTTTCTCATTTCTTGAACCAGGTTTTTGGGAAGAGAGGGATAATGCAAACCAATACTTCATCACAGGTCAGGCTGCAGAAGATTGACTCTCATAAAAAAAATGTAACTAGAACAAAAAATGTTCCTCAGGGTTCTACATATGACCCAAGGGTTTTCATCATCTAAAAGTTGAAATGGGAACAGCACATTATCATGTTGCCTGGAAACCCTAACGAATATCATGGATACCTTAAACATTTCAATGCTAAATATCAAGGACATCTCCATCTAAGGTCAGAAAATCAAATGAAGTTTTCTAAATCATCTGGACACAATAAGAACTGGGTTCCTACTGGCATATCATTGTCTAAAAGAACAATCAAAGCAGTTTAGTGCAAGCACCGTTTGTCTTACGGATAAAGAAAAACGGTATAAATCAGGAATTATCAATAAAACTAGAATAGGAAGACATCACATACCTGTATAGCTGAAAATTCTGAGGTGCGGCCTCAACAGCTGACGTTCTGCTGGAAGAAAAAGAATCGTCTGCTGCAGTGAAAGAAGAAAGTGCCCCTCCATTTCCAAAACCGGATAACGGCATTGATTGCATTGTTGAGATGGCCGTCGCAGCCATAGGGCTAACCCTTCGTGATGTTTTATATGCTACTCCAAGTAACGCGCCTCCGTACAAGCCAACAACCTAGAAGCCGAATTTTAATCACGGGAAAAAGAAAAACATAGCATATACACCACGAAAATGACCAAAGAAAGCCAGATCCTAGGAGGCAATAAAGTTGTAGTCCAATGCCATGTCAATGACTTAACAAAGTGATAGCTTTAGTACCACATGACAGGTGATACACCAATCGGATTCGTAATGGATTCATAGCTTATCCAAAACCAAATTCTTGACAAAATTTAATATCACAATCAACAACCTTTTTAATACTCATACGATGTACAAAAATTCATAGTTTAATCTGGTAAATTCGATATACCGGATATATAGTCAGATAGTCCAATATTTTTCATTCAATCATGATTGCATTTAATATCAGTCATTGAATTTCAAATTATGGGTAAGATTAATCTCCTTTGAACAATAATTTAACATTAACAATATCAAATTTTGAAAAAATAAAGAATTGCCTACTTTCAATTCCATTAATAAACAGGAACCAAAATGAACATATACAAAGAAAAACTGGCCGTATCACCAACTGAGGCTAAATGCTCAGGAAAAACCAATGCAAGACAGAGAGACCAGCAAAGAGTGACTGGTAGATGAAAATAGTAGAAAGAAGAGACCACAAAGGCTTTAGATGAATGTAGTTCATGTTTAAAAAGGCTTCCAGATCACAAGTGCTCACATCAAAGGAAATGGTGCACGGGGGAATGATAGAATTTGCTGACCCGAAAATCCAAGGATGACATCAAGACAATGTAGACATCCCATGTTTCCCTTCAAGAGACTCTTAAAGTGAAGAGTAGAGAGAACCTTAAAGGTTTGATGAATGCAGAGAAGAATATTCGAAAATCATAAGAACAGAAGTGTTAGATTGGAATGAGAAGAATAGAGTTTTTGATCCAAAAGTTCAAAAATGGTGTCAAGAGAATCTGAACAACAGCTGTGGTCAGTATTTTTTATAAGTTTCCTAATCTATCGACTTATGTAATTTTTTCACGTCGACTTTTTATTTATTACCCTTTTTTATTATCTTTTCTACTCTTTCCCTTCACTACTTTCTCTTACACCAAATGACATATACGCAGACAGTTCCTTTTCTCCATCATTAACTTGAGTTTTTAGGTTATTTGATGCAGCAGCATTCCACCAACATATGCTAAATCCTATCTGCCGAGTCTTTAGTGTAAAAAGTGGAGTTGGTACCACTAGTTGGGCAACTGGTGGGAATCTTTTTTGCCTTCTGGAGCCAAGCTAAAACCCAGTTTTGAAATTTGACGATTCATGGAAATTATGTCAAAGGTAAAAATGAACACAAAGAAAGTCGAACTGAAATAATGGGATAAACCGCTGTTTTAAACTACACATCATAGAGACGAATGCAGCTTCATACCGGTTCACTGCGACCCTCAATAGACCTGTTTAAAACGTGAGAAGTTCCATCATCCAGTAATATCCGTACTTGAACAGTTGCTGCAGAAGCAGCACTGGCCGCGGCTGCTGCTGCTTGAGCTGCAGCAGCGGCTGCCTCTTTTGCTTTTCTTGAAAGGCCACTTTTGAGAACGACTGGTATACGGGGAATTAATCCAGTCTCCACGAGAGCATATCTGTCACGACACGTGTCCCAAGCAAAAAGCCGTCCAGATCCCGAATCAACAACTGACCAATCGCTAACTTTATAAATGGAAAAAGAAGGAATTTCAGGCCACACAATCGCAACATACCTGCAAATATAGCACACACGACATTAAAGTGATGAAAATCTCCGTAAAATATTCCAGCCTACTTTAAAACAAAATAAAGTGGCCAGTTCAAACCAGAACTCGCCTACTTTTAGCAAAATCTAGACATAAAAGGAAATGCTTGGAAAACTTAGGAGAACAGTGGCACGTCTTCAAGAGTTGCCCAAATCTATTTGAAAATTAAACGAGAAATGAAATTTATCCTAAATCCATTCATAAAAGAATTAACAACGGAAAAATATCGAAACAAAGCTACTTACTTCCCAGAACTGCTAACAGAAAGAACAGAATATGAATCATGTGCAGCCGGTGTACTGATGTGCTTTTTGTTTTGTTTAACATGCAACACTTCTGAAAAGTCCCCCCTGGCTCTCCCAGTTTCCATAGTGGACCCAGTACCTCCAAGGGATGGATTTGCAGCATTTGACAACTGGAATGTCAGCAACTTAAGTTCCCTTTCAACTACGTACACGGCTGAGTGTTCCCTGCTTCCTGTTGGTGTGGCTAAAGGAGCTACTGCTGGAAGAGACCTCGGATCAAATTCACTGAGTATAACACCAATATTGGTGCCAGTAGCAACTAGATGTGGTTGTAAAGGATGTGCCACCATGCAATAGACCTACAAAAGTTTGTGACGCTCAGACTTTTGACAGTTTATCTCAATTCTAAAAAAATGCAAAAGCTGCATAAACATAATGGCCATATTCATAGTATAAATAACACATTGACAAACACTAACACGAAACCTTTTTCAGAATTTACTGAATAGACAACATAGATACTCTCACGTCAATACAGTAAATTTTTAAAAAAAGCGTTCGCAAGGCCCATTGAGATAATGGTATTCTTAGCTTCAATATTAAGTCAAAGGAAAAATGGAATTTTTAGGATATCATCTAGTACTTGGTAACACGTGTTAGTGCTGATCCGACCATTGATACAGTAAAATAGTTTACACATCTGAAGCCTGGTAGTAGATCCTAATGTATTTCTAACATGATGCCATGGCCGCCATAAGCAAGTAATACAGATTCACCAAAACCTTTCCATCACAGACAGATTATTCGTGTATTATTTCCAGTAGTCTTCAAGGAAGCGCCATTTTAATGTTACGAGCTGAATGATTATTCAAACATAAGGATACAACAAGAATTGCCAATGAATAAAACGATTACTGCCACTACACAAAATATATGCCAGAAAGGACTTCCTTCAAATGTTCAAAATTCTCCAAATACAAACAAACCATCAGCATTTTTCTCATTGAATGATCATAATTTGTTCCCACCATCATAAACATTATATTCTGATTTTTTATACCCTTCGATTTTTATTTTCTACTTGGAATATAATTTTTCTGAGTAATAAGCAACAACCTTATGTCTGTCTAATATGTAGAAACTCCATTTTGACCTTGGTGGGAACAGAGGATGTCCAGTAGGTGAACTACAAAACTATTAGATGCAACCCCTTAGCCAGTTCAGTACATGGAAAATTTCAAACTTAGGGGACGGAGTGGGTAGAAAAATTAGATACATTGGACTGAGGAGGTACTCCCTAAGGAAGTTGAGTGAAAAGAAATGAAACTGGTGCACAACTATCGAAGCAACTCTTCATCCTCATTGTTTACATGGGTTCAGCATCGTGGTAGATATGTTTACCTCCTCTAAAGAGGATCCTACCTCTCTTTAGGGAGTACCTCTAATCAAAGGCCATCAAATAAGATTGCTTCCTGGTCAAATTCGGCAACCCAAAGTACATAGATGAGGCCCTTGAACTCACAAGGTGAGTACTAATGGCCAACCAACTCTTCCACGCATATCCAGAAAGTGAGAGGTTGTAGTGGAATCTGGATGAGTTTTCTTAAGCCCATTTGTGGAAAACTTTCCATCCCTCATTTGACAGCAGTTTCTGGGTCAAAATATTTACATCCCTCATTTGACAACAGTTCCTAAGCCACCTCATTTGACAATAGTATATACTAGGTGTTCCCTGTCAGGTAATAAGGTATGTGATATCTTCGTATCAAAAAATATGGTCAAGTATTATACATATCCAAATACTCATTTGGTAGGCTCATCCATTGGATTCCTGACATTTTTGTTAAAGATTACCCTCTGCTCTAGGAAACATCTTCAACTATTGTCGTCAGTCCCAATTACTGAATATCTAGAGACCAAAAAATAATTTTTTGATTTTTGGGGAGACGAAATCTTGACTAAGACTCTGACTTCTGGCTTACTTAATTGCCCTTTTCGGATTGGAAGAGTTCTAGATCAGATTCCATGAAGGAAAACACTAGGGTTGTGTTTTCCATCTTGAAAATTGAAGGGGTCAGGCAATCTCTCTTGGATTAGTTTATTTATGGCCATGATGGCCTAATGTGGCCTTCCCTCTTGCATTAGTTTATCTCTTGGATTAGTCTACTTCCTTCCTGATGCTGCAGGCTGTTAGTTGCTTGTTTTCTAATATTTCCAGCAAGGAAGAGATAAGAGGAATGGAGATGGCTGTATGAAATAGAAGAAAACCAGGAAGAAAAAAAGGCTTTTTCCAGGTTCTTTTGGCTGACCACTGCAACCGTGGATGATGGCATGTTATTGTGGCATTCTTCTTTAACAAAAATGTCAGAAATCCAATGGATGAGCCCGACAAATGAGTATTTTTGGATTTGTATATACTTGAGCATGATTTTTTGATACGAAGATATAAGAGAACTTACTATCTGATAGGGAACACCTAGTAAATACTATTGAACCTAATAAATGAGGTGGCCCAGAAACTACTGTCAAATGAGGGATGGAAAGTTTTTGACCCATGTGGCAAGAGCAAATATCTAGAGGTGTCAGTGTCTCACAATTTAATTTCGTGATAAACTGCAATACAAGCCTATTTTCAAATAAGCTCAAATAGAACAAATAATACAGCCCAATTTTAATTCAATTCAAGTGAACCAGAGGCTCTGGAGATGTGAAGACACTTTGTGGCCCAAATTCAGCTCGAAATGGCCCAATAAGAGATTTAGACACATATTAAATGTGTCAAGATCTAAATGCCCACATTTATTATTTCTCACATCTTGTTTATGTAAAATAATCTCCCTATTCTACTAAGGCGCTCTTATATCTTAGGGGCCTTCTAATACAATCCTATTTTTCCCTAAGAGCATTCTAACATAACCCCCTCCTTTCTAGTTTGTTATAACTAAATTTCAACCTATAAAATACCCTCTTTCAGAGGCATTCAAGTTTATTTCTATCAATCTCATGAAATTTTCTTCTTTTGAGGTTCTATTTATCTACTGGTGGATTCCAACATCATCTATAGATTCAGGGAAATCATTATGAACTTAGGATCAAGCCCTTGTGGACTTAAGGGTCGAGGTTTCTTCATTTTGTGGGCTCAACGGTGAAGTATCTTCACAAAAATCAAGTCTTTTGTGAATTCAAGAACAAAATTTCAACATTCTGCAACTCATCCTATATCTACTCGATCAAAACATCATCAAGTCGACATTTTTACTATGCCACAACAAAATGGGATAAATCAGCAAATTTAGATCCTAAATCGTTCAGGTCTTTGTTTACTATAGATAGTTTCCACAGCAAACTGGCTAGACATATTCCAAGAACGCTTCGTTGATTTGGTGGATCCAATAAAGGCCCTAACTTATCCAGCCACACAATCTGATTATCAGCAACAGGGATGGAAGTTAACTCCCTGATTTGTCAAAGGATCTAGACCCTAAGATTAGATGCTCAATTAGAGTAAAGCTGTCTCAGATTGATTCCAATGTTTCAAGATGATTGAACATCCAACAATGAATAAATATTTATAAATGCAAGTATAAGAACATACTCTGAGTTTCTTGTTTGGAGCTAGCACTTGGGGAGGAATAAGTGATGACAATTCACAAAGTGGCCTTGTCAGGGCAGAGTATGTTGGGTGTTCAATCGCCCTACAAAAGAAAAAACAAATTAGTGTCGGTTATCCTTTAACCATCTTCAACACTGCAATATCACACGTAATGCAATAAACTATCCCGATTGAAATAGAGGAATGTACCAGATATGAGAATCTTTTACACAAGTAAGAATATCAAGATTTGGTGCCCGGGGATGGCACCATGATGCAACACTGTGACAAGCAAGTTTTGGAACAGGCTTGATACGTCTCAACTCCTAGATAAGGCAAAAAATTTAAAAGCACCATTAGACAACCCAAATCCCAAGTAATCCACAAGATACCAACGCAGAACATTGCAATAACAATCAAGCACCTTGAATGAAATAGTATCCCAGATAGCTAATGTCTTATCAGCACCAATCGTGATCAGTTGTGGCGCACTTCCCATAACTCTAGAAAGTTCAACACCCACAACACCACCATCATGCGCCTTCAAGAAGAATTAGAAGAGATGCATTAAGTCTTCACTGTTGTATTCTACCACAATTAAGGCACTTACCTCTTGTGCCATTGCATCCCAATAGAAAAAAAAAAATTCTATCACAAAAAAAAATCAGTAGCCAACATAGTGCAAGAATATGGAAGAAAATCAGAATCAAGGACAAGCAAGTTTTGACCTCGAATATTGCTTTGACGACTATACTCAACTCTGAACTTCTCAGAGTTAAATGATAGGATATCAGTTCATATTAGATTCATTGAAGTGAAGGGAAAGTTATCTAAAATACCTTCAAATTGAGTTTAGGCGCGAGTTCACGTGAATCTTGGGTATAATCTGCATTCCAGATGACTATTAAGCCATCACTTGCGCCAGAAACGAGGAGTGACTGCAAAGTACCACAGAAAAAGTATTTTTCCCCCGTGAATTTTATAATTGTTACAATCAATACGTTCAATTTTACCTAAAAAAAATGATTGATATGGATATAATTACATAGAAGCAAATCATCATCTTTGGCAATGCATGGGAACCAATAAGGCACAGTGAATATGCAAATTTCAGTGATCCAGAAATATCTGTTCATTTCAGCATGGTCCTCGAAGTATATTTAAACTCCAATTACTATGGTACGTGATAAACACATATTTAGGAGACAATGGGATATCAAAACGGGTCATGCACAGAAATAACGTGACATGATGCTCAATTTAATAGGAAGACTGCTTCCTTGAGCTTAAGCTCAAGTTGAACGCCAATATCACCATCAATATCAGCATTTTATCACAAAATTACAATGATAAAAGCATAGAAATGATAGAAACAAAGACTTTGAAAATAGTAGAGGAAGCCAAAAGCTCCAGCTGTAGCTATTACTAGTCAAGAAAGCACACATCGAGAAGAAAACATCAATAAACATAGCTTCTAATTCTGAAGTCCAAAAATGGTTACCTCACCGGAAGCTGCCATAAATGTCATCAAGCACGATATTGAACCCTTATGACCACCAGTGTATCTTCGAACAAGCTGCAAAACGCAATCTCTGTTACAAACGGATTGTACTAAAGAAGAGAAGATATAGCTGATGTAGAGTGAACAGTGTAAAACTCTGTATAACCTTCCACGTTATCATTGAAAGAACTCTGATTACACCATCAGATGCACCAAAAGCGACCAGAGGTCCATCACCACCTGGCGATCTCGAGAGGAATTCCATGCTGCAATTTACGGAAAAATTCAAATATTTTTTCTTCTGCTAATTTTGAATTGCCACTAGAAAAAAAATGAGATGGAGAGAGCAAAAACGTGAGACAGACCTTAAACTTTTATTTCAATTACAAGGGAAACGGTTGGGATATCATTACAATTGGTGAGTGCCAGCTCCGATCGAACCATGTAATATGTTTGAATGACTTACACAAACAGCCCCCATGGGAATTATAAGAAACAGTGAAAAGGAGAAGTGGCATACTACATGTTCCAGAATTTATGGGCTAAAATGGGGAAGTGAAAGAATCCTTAAAACCCATGGTATACCAGTAACTCAAGGATCTCTGAAAAAAGGCAAGTATCCAAAAAAATTGCTGGCAATGATCAATTCATTCGTCATGACAAGAAAAGCACTTGAAGTGTATAAAGAAAAATCCAGCTGTTTGATGATCCTAGGAGGAGGAAGGTTCACTTAGTGGACGTTATGTAAGGTTCCTGGGGGGATGCTTATGGGTCAAGTAAGTACAAATAGCTTTACTGCAAAAGCCATATTGTCAATCCCTAGCTTTCATGAAGAAGCTAAGGATACTTCATCAAACATCTAGAGCACAATAGAGAGATTTAAACTCTCATGGTGAAAAGGATTTTCAGCATCAATTAATTAATGGAGGATGTTGATCCTTATCTTGAAGAAAAGGAAACCTGAAAGCATTTGTTCCTATGATTCCTGAGTCATTTTTGAAGATGATTTATCACCCAAGAGGAATAGAATGGCATTGTCCAAGAAAATATTAGATAGTCAAAGGAAAGTGCAAAATATGATGAAAATAATATTCGATAGCCAAAATAAAACGCAAGTATGGTGGATTTTGCACCATATAGTACTTTGGACTGTTGTGAGAGAGAGTAGAAGGAGAAATTGAAAAGACAGCTTAAAGCATTCTTAATTTTACTAGTGATAGGGTGAACTAATGGGAGAGATCTTTTGCAGGAAAGAATGACTTGATGCTTTCATGTCAGGCAGTGTAGATATTTTATGATTCAAATCATCTTGGTGGAGTTGCCATTGTTCAGGATTATTTTGAGAAATCATGTGAACGTTTCTTAAAGTGAATAACAAGACGTAATTATTAATGTTAGAAAAGAAGAAAGACGCATAAATAAGCAAGAGCTCATAGAAACTTACCAGTACATCTCTTTTTTTATATATATATTAAAAATGCGGTACAAACAACTTTAAAGAAAGCATGAGACAATCATTGGAAGATAAATTAAAAATACAATTCGTCATAGAAATACATCATCAAGATTGTCCATTTTTTTATGTACAAGCACATAGCGGGAGAGAACACAAATAAATCATTTATTCAAAAATTAAGGCACAAAAAAACTGGTACTCACCACAGCAGAGACCTATTGTCAAGTTCCTGCTTTGGGACATCACGTCCACGCATTGTCACTAAATCTAAAAATATGGCTTTATTCTCACAACAAATGACCAGGAAATGCCTTCCCCTGGTGGATGAGGCAGGAGAACTGAAATTGGATGTATGCTGACTGACTGATGATGGACCTTCGGATGCTGCAGACCGATTGCGTGAAATTTGCCAGAATTGAACGTCATCATCATAAAAGTTGACCTGCTTGACACTTAATGGACCACCACACGAACCATAATCACCACAACTCAGTAACATTGGTTACAGAGTAGTAAATAATGATGTAAAACCAAGGGTGGCAAAGCCTCCAAACTCATTACCTCCCTCCGCGCATTGCCTCTGTCGGTTTTGATTTTGTGTCTGGCAGAAATAGGAATTATTAAGATATGGATGCTGTTTATATGATATAATAATGCATGAAAGTAAAATTTTGAATTATACACTTAAATTTTAGGAATATGATTTTTAAAGAACACGCATTTCGATCCAATCTTTTACGGTCCGTAGCGTAGTGGAAGTACAAAACAATTAGATCTTCCCAATTCGCGTAGTAGCTTGAGCGAGCTTCCTTCTCTGACTATGAGCGTTTACAACTCCCACACTAAAGCAGGAAAAATAGAGGAAGGCAGTGACATCGGAGTTGTTTCACGTACCAGATTCCCCCTCAGCCAGCTTCTCCAGCTTTTCCCCGAGCACACGTCTCTGGTCCACGCCGCCGGCTTTCAGTTCATAGATCACCTTTAGAGCGGTGGCAAACAAGATATAATTGATGGCTTCCGTGGTACAGGATATAAGCACGAGTAACCGGGAAAGAAAACACAGAAAGATCAAAACCTGACGATGCTCCCAGTTCCAGACGGAAACGTTGTCCGAATCGTCCGCGGTGACGAGCCATGGGTGGGTCGGATGGAGCTGAATCTTCACAATCTTGTTACCAGTCGGGCGGAACGCCCTGAGCCGAAGCATTCTGGTAGATCTTCTCAGGTTCCCCGAGATCTCCCCCTGCTCCGCCCCGCAAGGAGACCCAAGACCGAGCTCCGAAGCTCAGATACAAATGTCAACGTCGAATGACCAGCTAGATCGCGACGGGGCTGTTGCCGCGGAGGAGGAGGCGAGGCCCTCGCAAGGAACTCCGGTGGATCTCGCACCGGCCACCCCCCTCTCAGCCCCTCCTCTCCGCTCTGTTCCCTAAAGAGCAGCTTTCGGATCCCACTATTCCTAAAGCGGGTGTTCGGGTCCTATCGATCCCAACCAACAAATTCTGGGCCAAACCTCTTGGAAGCCCTCGGGCGACCCATATAAGGACGGTGGGCTTTGAGGCCCAAGGCCCATAAATACTGACTGGGCCAGGCCCAGTATGACGTCTCTTTGGGAAGCGTGTAACGCTGTAGCATGAATTCAAAAGGTCGGTTCCCCATCCACGTCAAACCGACGACTTTGGCGCCACTTTCGGCGGCTGCCTGCCGCAATGGTTGCCAGAATATGCGTTACTTCATAACGAAGTTGTGAGGCGGTGTGAATGGGAGACGAACATCTTGGAGAATAAAGTTCCCTCGATTAGAAGGGAACAACTTAACGTACCATTGCATTAATCAAAGGCCCTCAAACTTACTAAATTTCTTATTTATTGATGTTCGAGGGATGCGGCATAAATCCAGCTGAAAATGGGCCGGCCGAAATTCCGTATTGGCCCAGGCCCAAAAAGCGGGCCTGGGCCCCTACGGACACGTGGGTGGGATATTATGAATTTGGCGGGAAGTGCGGCCGTGCGGGAGGGGACGTGGGGTTAAGCCTATAAAACCCCACTTCGCTCTGTCCTGGTTCTCCACCGTCTTCTTCTTCCACGCGCCAGCACGCTCTTCCGGATTTATACGCAGAGAGGTGGGAGGTAGAGGAGACCGCCGCTCAGATCTTGCAGAGGATTGAGACGGCCTGTGTACGTTCTGTTTGTCATTTCGTTGTCTTCTTAGCCCAGTCTATACTGCGGCGTTCGATGTACTGCGATTGGTCGATAATTCTTTGCCTAATTGTAATTTTGGCTTCTCTTGTGAAGCAGGGAGTGCTGTGGCGTCTCTGTGAAGATGAAGTACGTGCTGGTAACCGGGGGGGTTGTGAGTGGGCTGGGGAAAGGCGTGACGGCCAGTAGCATAGGTGTCGTCCTTAAGGCATGTGGTCTCCGCGTTACCTCCGTCAAGATTGGTTCGTGTTCCGTGCTCATTTGCGCCACCAGTACTCTTCCCTCGTTCCCCCTTCTGATCCATTCCTGGACTCCGCCATTGTTTTCTTCGGCTACGTCCTTCGCAATACGTCGTTCGCAGGACGTATCATAGTTTTGTCGATAGCGTTTTAGCTTATCATTTGTGAGCTGTTTACGCATGCATGTCCGACATTTGTCACATTCTCTCCGCTTTCCTGGAGATTGAAAAAGCCGCGTACCGCCTTGTGTTTGCACTCTTCTTTCTGATCCTATTCAATACTTTTTTTCTTTCTTCTCTGGGGCTTCGGGTTTAAAACTATCTCAATTCATATTCCTCAGTTGCTAAGTTTATTTCACCCCTTAAAATACGTTCGGAGTGCACGTCTGTAGACTTTCCCTTTCCTCCATTTTCTATGGGTAAGGTAATGTTTTTCGGACGGTATAAATATGCCCACAGACGTGTTGCAGAATGATTTATGTTGTAAAGCCCATGCCTTTGATTTAAAATTATTCTATGTGATAATAAATGGCAGACGAACCTTTTTCTCTCTTTTTTTTTCCGTTTTTCTCCACTATATGCTTACATGCATTCTTTCAAGTTAGCTGCGACTAAAATTTCCATTTAGCAAACTATTACTTCAAGATTGTCATTATCCGTCATACTTGAACATGTGGTCGTCTTTTAGTCAATAACCCCTGGAAATCTGTCATATAAGGTTTCATGCATGTGAATTCGTACTTGATGTTTTGGACGTCTTACTGATTTTAGCCATGCTCTTTACTGTGTACCGACTTGCAGATCCGTACTTAAACACTGATGCAGGAACGATGTCCCCATTTGAACATGGGGAGGTATTTGTGTTGGACGATGGTGGTGAGGTAAGGGGCTATCGGAAGTTTATTTCATCTCCGGGCATTTTATTTTGTGAACCTTTGAGAATCCCCTGGGTTTACCGTTATTCTCCAGTGGTCTAGTTATTTACCGCTCAAAAGTTTATATTTCGTGAAACCTCTGTTTTCCACTTCAAAATCTTCCAACTTCTCATGTATACATGATGCGAGGTGGTATAGTTGAAGGTTTTACTGATTCTCTCTATATGCATGTGCTATTTAGCCCTGTTTTTGCTATTTTTTTTTTCTGAATGAAAATATGTTATATACATGTGTTATTTAAACATGCGGCGTGAGGAAAAGGACAATGTTTAACCTGTCTCAACTCAGATAGTTATTAATGTTCTAATGCGATGTCCTGTTATGAAGGTTGACTTGGACCTTGGAAACTACGAAAGGTTCCTTGATATTAAGCTAACTCGTGATAATAATATTACTACTGGGAAGATCTATCAGGTATTGGCTGTTTTTATGAAATTACTTTTTCATTGGTAGTGTAGCTATGTAATGTAATGAGGCTTCTTTATTATCTTTATGTTCATCCAACTTATCACCCTAGCCATCTAAAGTTCTGCTGCATTGTCGACATGCTTTAATGCAGTCTGTTATTGACAAGGAGAGAAGAGGAGATTATCTTGGGAAGACTGTGCAGGTAAGTCTCTTATTGACATAAATTTTCATACGATTTTTCAAATACTACAAGAAACAACTTCTGAATGTCAACGTGCTTTTGATTTTCAAGGTTGTACCCCATATCACTGATGCCATCCAAGAATGGATTGAGCGTGTATCAATGATTCCTGTGGATGGGAAAGAGGACCCAGTTGATGTTTGTGTGATAGAATTGGGCGGAACTATAGGTGAAAACGTCAAACAGTGACTAAAAAGCATTAACCTCTTTTAGATGTCAAATCTTAGAAATGATTCCAACAATTATGTAAGCATGGATGGACGAGCTATGGCACTTTTTTTATGTGAAAATTTCATTCTCTATGCAGGGGACATTGAATCAATGCCATTCATTGAAGCACTGGGTCAATTTTCATATCGTGTTGGTAAGTATTTGTGAACTATACGTCTGTAAGAAATGAAAGAATTTATTCCCGCTTTCCTTTGCTATAGTTCGGCTTGTTCTTTTCAGGTCCTGGAAATTTCTGCTTAGTACACGTCAGCCTTGTTCCTGTTCTGAATGTAGTTGGTGAACAGGTGACCATTATGTTATTTTGTGGCCAACTGTATTATGTTGAAGTTGATTAGAGATATGATTTCTAACTGTCCAACCAAGCGACAGAAATATGTAATTGTAGCTACTCGATATTTGAATTTCATTGGTTTCAATTCTTGCTCTCAGAAAACCAAGCCGACTCAGCACAGTGTTCGCGGTCTCAGAGGGCTGGGACTGACACCAAATATTTTGGCTTGTCGAAGCACTAAGGTCCATTATTCTTGTCTATTTCATATATTTTCTCCTGTCAGCGTCAGTTGTCTGACTTATTTTGGATGAACATGAATAGCCACTGGATGACAACGTAAAAGAGAAGCTCTCACAGTTTTGCCATGTTCCGGTATTCCATTATTGATTTCTAGCGTTAATTTTTAGCAATATTTAGGCTGTCAGTCACTAACTTGAGGATGTCGATGTCTTCTTCAGGTAGCAAATGTCATCACACTTTATGATGTTTCTAACATTTGGCATATACCATTGCTACTCAGGGTAGGTAACGTTTGATAAGCATGTTTAGTGTGTCCTATCACGATCATCCTTTGTGCCTTTTGCTGTTATTATAAGCAACATGCCATTCTTCTGTGTTTTGTTGTAGGATCAAAAGGCACATGAAGCAATTTTGAGAGAACTGAACCTTATGGGGTATGTCTTATGAGATTTTATTTATTTATTTTTCTTGATCAGAATGGAAGAAGTTAATCACCCCCTCTTCCTCAAGGTACCACAGCTATGTAAAATAAGAGAATCTGTGCAAATCTATGTAACTAGAAGAGCACTTGGATGAAATCCTCCATACGATGCGTACTTTGCATCACCATTCATGTGTAATTTAGAAGAACTATGGATGTGTAACAAGAAGATAAATACCCAAGATGAAATCTTCCGATATAATGCGGTATTCGAGTTAATTTTGGAATTCTTAAACTGTTGCAACCGAATTGGATTTTTTTCATTTGATATCTGCCCATTTAATCTTTCGGCTGTCATGCAGTGTGGTGGGAGAGCCTATGTTGGATGAGTGGACAGAAAGGGCTAAAATATGTGACACGTTGCTGGAACCTGTGAGTCTCAAAATCATTCCGATGCCTTACATGTCTTTGTAGACGTGCATTTGATCTCAATGCCATTCACTTTGCAGGTTCGAATTGCCATGGTTGGAAAATATACCGGTCTCTCTGATTCTTATATCTCTGTACTGAAGGTGAACTCATCCCCGTTCCCTGAGTAGATTTCCTTTTGTATTCCTTTTTCCATATGATATTGGGCATCTGATCGGTTGACAGGTTAATGGATTAGTTTGGATATCTGCATAAGATTTATAATGTTTAAAACTTTAATGTTTTCTTATCAAATATTCGGACCGACCCAGAACTTTCCATTTGTGTGAATATTTATATTTTTAGCACAGTGTTTAATATCTTTTGTTATTCATTGTATAGCATCGGTGTTTAATATGTATCTATTCTAGGTTCTGCAACCACAAGTTATGAACTTATAATAATGCAATGCATGCATGCGGAGCAAGGATTTGCGGAACTGAATGAATCGTTAATGGAGCTTTGGTCAATTTTACAGGCTCTTCTTCATGCTTCCATATATTGTCGTCGTAAACTTGTGGTGGAATGGGTTCCTTCTGCTGATCTTGAAGATACAACTGCAATGGAGGTCTTGTGGTGCTCCGCTTCTGTCTCATTTTTCCTCTTTGCTGCCTAAAATGTGTGCTAAAATTAGGAATTGTTTTTTTCAGTTGCCTGATGCCCATGAAACTGCATGGAACGCGTTGAGGGTGAGATAATTTCCAATTTCCGTTATTTTTATCATGGATTATTTTTTCCTTCCGAATCCGTCTAAGTCGTTTTGCAGATCAGGGTGCAGATGGAATTCTGGTTCCAGGCGGATTTGGAGACAGAGGGGTGCTAGGAAAAATTATAGCAGCAAAATACGCCCGAGAAAATAACATCCCATTCCTCGGTATCTGTCTAGGCATGCAAATTGCCGTCATCGAGTATGCGAGATCTGTTCTCGGTCTGAAAGATGCAAACAGCACGGAATTCGATCCCAACACAAAGAATCCATGCGTTATCCCTATGCCCGAGGTCTATTTCTTTAATCTCTTTGTTTCATTTTGCGCTGCACGTTTTGGTCGGTGGCCTGATGTTGACTTGCAGGGTTCGAAAACTATCATGGGAGGCACCATGCGTCTAGGATCAAGGCGGACGTATTTTCAGGACGGTGGATGCAAATCTGTAAAGCTGTGAGCGAAAAATCCCCTCCGATTTTTTCCGTTTTTTTTTCTTTTTTGTTCTGCTCAGCAAAGTATATCCTTTTGTGCGAACTGATACTTTCAGGTATGGAAACGTTGGACATGTTGATGAGCGGCATCGGCATCGATACGAGGTATGAACTATCAAACCTATCATATGTTTATCTTCTTTTTTTTCGTATCATATGTGAAAAAAATATATATCTTAAAGGAAATTCTCGACCCTTATTACTAACGACGTGCAGTGTACATTCTTCATCATCTGTAGGTCAATCCTGATATGATCACGAAACTTGAGAGTGCGGGTCTTTCATTTGTCGGTAAAGATGAAACAGGAAGAAGAATGGAGGTATGCGTCCAGTGTAACTATTTACTTTTTCTTTTCGGAATGTGGGCAGGGAGATAAACCAAAATCCTTTTTTTTCTTAGAGTACGTAAGAAATTTAAATGTAAGTCTCTTCCTCTTCGTTTCCTTTCCTGAAATGATGCGAATCCCTCTCTATGTGTTCTCCATGAACGGGCTCCCCATCGACAGAAAAATATGAAGAATCTGTTCTGTGCCTCCATATATGATCATCATTTCCCCAAGAACCCGGTGAGAGATATTGAGGACTTGATTGAGGAACACAGAGGGGAACTCTCTCCCTGCAGAAGTTTTCAAAACTTCCATGTCTAGTTTCACCCGTTGATCTTTAAAATTCAGCAAGTATATTTCAATAGTTTCACTACTCTCTCCTTCCAAGTACTTAACTAGCACTGACATCGGTGTCCTGAGGTCAGCTTCTTCGCCTTGTTGTGTTTCTACAGGTACTCGAACTGCCTACTCATCCCTACTTCATTGGCGCCCAGTTTCATCCTGAATTCAGATCGAGGCCTGGAAGGCCGTCGGCTCTTTTCTTAGGTATGAAGTAGCATCATCTTGACTGTTTACAAGATCTCATCATGCATCGACATCAGTGGCCGGGCTGAAATGGGGTCTCAGAGTTCTCCAAAAATGGGCTCTGGGCCGACTATATTGCTTCATGAACTGATATTTAATTCGACGTCAATCGAGTTTCGCAAGACCCAGATGTTTACGCTCTGATTGGCTGAAAATTTGCATCCCTGCCAGAGGTTGGCTCATCAGCGGCGTAGAGGTTGACGGAGTTTTTCTTTCTGCCTTGTGGCAGGGCTGATAGCGGCCTCATGCGGACAGCTGGACGGTCTCCTGCGAGACCCTCCCCGCCATCTCCACGGAATGGCCACCGCCAACAGAGGAACCCAAAGTGCGCCCCCGAAGCCCCTTTTCAACAGCGGCTTCTACTTGAAACGGAACGGGGTCCATGCCTAGGAAGAGTAAACGAGAGTTGCTGCTTCGTTCTCTCTTAGGAAACGGCCAGCGCCGGCGCCGGCGCTGCCACGATAAGGGTTTATAGCGCCAGTCGGCTTGTTCTTTGGCCGGTGCGCCTCCAGAGCTTCTCACTGAATGGTCTTTAATGTAGTAGCCTTTCTGTGTTCTTTTTATATTACAAGAGGAAGCGATTGTAACTTTGCCCAGTATTTGAAGAACTGCTGACCTCTGATTGCAGAATTTTGGCCGAGTTCCTGGCAAATATTAGCATCATTGGGCCGGGATAGAACCGATTAGACATTCCCCGAATAAATACCGAAAAACACCCTTGCGAGGGCGGTGACAAATAGAAGAGTCCCCCCTGTGAGGAGCACCCGGAGGAGCCTTCGCCGGCTCCGAGGGTCAAGCCGGGTGATGCAGCAGAGGCTGACGTCTAGCATGGATTCTCCATCCAGATAGAACACCTGAGAATCATGGTCTGTGGATCAGATGATGTCAGCTTTGTCAAACCCGTCAGTTACTAAAAACGGAAACTAGACTACGCGTAAAAACGGAGGGAGCTATCTACGGATACTGTTTTACGTTACCGCAAAGTTTATCCATGGCCATTTTTGCTCAGAGAAAGAAGAGAAGAACTGGATTTCAGAAACGTTATCGGCAATGAATTCGCACCCAACCATTCTACTTCTGGAAAAGGTTGCATGTGAGATCCCCCTGAAAACATACCGGCATGCAGTTGAGAAGGCCAAGGCTTGCAGAGACGCGGAACATGGATATGAGCACCTTCTCCATTAGGTTCGGGAGATAAACGCCAAAAGCTCCTAAGGCCCAACGGGGCTGATACGCTGACAATTTGATGGAATTTGCAACGGAAATGTCTCCAATAAATATAAACGTCTCAAGACATGGAGTTGATCCAGAGTCAAGACCCTTGACATGCATTGACGTTTCATTTCTGCCGACCTTCAAACAGTCCGAGAAATATGGTCTTGCAAAAGATACTTCGGCCCATATTGAATGAGGACTCTGAACAGGTGCCAAGCAGCATTCATCCTGAACCAGCAAACAGACATGGAGTCTCCATTACACACGGAAGAATCATACTTTGAGCAATAGGTAGCAGCTTCGTCAAAATCTAGGCAACTCATCAGCTCGAAGTGTGCAAGGTTCTCAGGGATGCAGAATTTAGTGAAGCATCTAGTCAACAAGTGGGCATAACCACAGACACTAGAGATGAACATTGTTTCAAAGAAGGATTTCCGCTACCAAGGAAATCTGGTTCTTGTGAAGGACCCTGGTTTAACTAGTAGATGCAAAAGCTCCCTAAATCATCAGCCTCCCACATCCCCTTATCATTAGCCAGCAGTCTACCCATGTAGAGACCATACATGGGTTGAGGTTGGTATGTACTAGAACAGAAGGGCTTTTAGAAGTATACAATACCATTTTGCTGGCAACGGTATACATCAAAGGTATAGAAATAGAAGATTCTGATGGCAGACTTAAGATAAATATGATTTCAAATTTAAACAATGTCATTTGATTCCCTTGATAAAATAAAAAAAGGAAAGGCTAACGAAACTTGAGCAACGAAGTTACTTCAGCGGAGATCATGTCAACAGTCCAGACTTAGCCAAGATAAAGAAAAGAAAAGGGGTGGGCAGTGATCATGATGCGATGTTGTAGTGGCAGCTGCCATTAATTCTGATAGTAGCAGGAATGATGTTCAACAATGACCATTGACAAGAAAAAGGTGAACATATTTCTACAGCGATGGTCACAAAAACTGAGTAAAAAAAAAAACGTAATGACATTTAAAAAATTTAATCTACAACGGTATTTATATATTACCTGCAAGCACTGATAACTCTGGTCTGATTTAGTCATTTGGCATCCATCACAACATTTTTTTAACTTCACAACATCTTGAGGAGGAAAACAATAATCCCTCCTCGTTGAGTTTCTGTATATATCATCACAATCCTTTCCATCAAGAAAATGCCTACAGCATGGCATAGTTTTGAAGGCTACAAGGCCATCTGGACAAGCAATTTCACCGTCCGTAGACAGAATTCCCCTTTCTTCTATCCAGGAATTGGGGACACAATAACCTTTTCCATTCCTCGAAGAACCATTAGAATATCCAGAATAATAAGAGCGATTCTGCAGTTGGGTATCCAGATGCGCCACCTTCTCAAACCATTCCTCAGGGTTATGAATGTCTAAGTCGTTCAATGACATAATGATGTCTCCGGGAGATAGATATCCAGCCAATGGAGAAACAGGGGACACACTCAGGACCTATTACCATGCCAAAGGTTAATTTAAACTTAAAATAACACAGTGAAGACAATAAAAGACTACTAGACGTAATCAGATTTACCATAGCCCTTTCTCCGTGTATGTAAAATGGATACAATAGTGCAGGCAGGGACAGCAATGCCAAACCACACACTGCACAAAACTATAGAACAGGCAAAAATTAATATACAACATCATATGATAAACCACAATGCATAATTGCATCTAGTGCTAAAAACTACACTGATGCGTAAGAACCAGATGCAAAAGATTACATGCTTTAAATATCTTTCGCTCCATTTTCACAGTACGCTACAGAGTTCTTTCACTCCGTTGACGTTGAACTATACCGGCAAAATTGATCCAAAACAACAATCTCCATGCAAATGGTCACTGCACGAAATGCATATGATTGTAAAGCAACGACAACATGTTGGGTCCCTTTAGTAGATGTACACAGCCATAGAAAAAGCATCACCCGTCTCGAACACTATCCTTCCGTTCCAAACTAGCATAAAATGAAAATCATGATGGCTTAAAACGTGGAAGTTTGTCGACAACAAAATCTAAAAGATAACTTTTAGGGTATATTATGGATGTCCATGTCATGCCAGCCACATATCTGTACCTATATCTGCGTTGATATAATATTAGCTGCAAACATTTTTCTCCTTCAATGAATCATAGATTCGAGCTACTAACAATCTAACCAAGGCTACAATCTAGCAATCATTAGCGTAACAATGACAAAGATATTTAACGATCCACAGGCAATACAGAGCGGAAAATCGGCATTTCCATAAAAACTACAAGCTAAAAGTGGAATCTAGTGGATTTCGAGTGGAATCATTTACAAAAAAAAATGGCATGGCTCATTCACTAATTTGATGTGAAAATAATTATTCCCAACCCCTACTGCGGGCAATTTGGATTTGTCAATCTAAAGAATAAGCATATTCCAAAAAGAAGTATACGACATTTTAAGGAGTTTGATGAAGAGACCATAAGGAATTAATAGAGGCGGAAACAAGCAATGAGATTAAAAGCATTTGAACTACGTCAAGGAGAAGATTGATATTTTTTTATCTTCGGAAAAATATTGCCATTAGGGATACAATAAATATCTGCAGAGTTATAAACCAGGAAGCTAGAAAAACTTACCACAGTATTATGCCAAATCCCAGCACAATATATTCGAAGCGCGGTAAAAGGGGGCAAGGCCAGGAGCACGTTGTAATTGAAAGCAACCAATGCACCGGGAAATATGACTGATAGAAATAGAGCAATGTACTCAATCTGTACACCCTGACTGCCATTTGTTGTGGTGTTGCCTAAATTACCCGCAATGAGAATCTAAAACATGAAATTGTAAGGCAACACTAAATTCATAAAAGTTTCCTACCAACGAAGGCCTACAAAATAAGCTCACAAGACAGATTCCTAAGCTAGATAAAAGCAGTTCTGAAATCAACAAGCGAGTTTAGGGCATAAAAACATTTTGTTAATGCAAAACTGGAAAACGTGAACTTTTCTCTTTCAATTAGAGTATATTCCCCTGCGTAAAAAGAGATTCCAAACAGACAACTATCTCTTCTGAGGCAACAGAATGCAAGTTAGAGCCACCATGATTAGATTTTCATTGAACGGTTTGGAGAATCCATTAAGTGATTTCTACACGTTCAATTACTCTAAATGTAAGAAAAGTAACTGGCAGAAGGAATAAGCAGCAAACAAGCTGTGGAGGACGATGGGTTCATTGATCAGTGTCTACGTTGTGGGGAAAAGAACATACTCTTGGTGTATGTGTGTGTTTGTTTGTTGTGGAGGGGGGGGTGGGTTGGGAGTGTGGAAAATGTTACCTTGCAGTTTCTACCTGGCTTCTATGGCCCACACGTACAGTACAGGTCAGATCTATAGCGTTATGAAGTGGGAGGGAATGAAATTCTGGGATAGAAAGAGGGCCCTCAAATGGGATACCATCCAGAGGTATAAAAGGGTGATATCATCAACACTGTGCTAAGGGTAGCATGTGGAGATGAAATGTCCTTGGCCCCATTTTCTGTGACAGTGACCAAGAACTTCACACACTGATGGTGTTTTAACTGTCATTCATTCGCAATACAGCGTTCCTACGTTATTAAATATACAAAGATTGCAGTAATTTTGTGAAGGGAGAAATAAAATATGTTATGTAGTTTCTACTGATAAGATAATAGGGCGGTAGATCTGCGCGTTCATATGTGCCCGTTGGTCTCTAAGAAATTACATAAGGAAATACAGTTGCCTTGAGACAGACAATTGCATCTCCTGGCAGAAAGCAATTTGAGGTCGATCATTTTAACACAACATTTTTTATCATCTTGTAAGAAATTGTCTAGACCCTGTAACTTTGGTCATTTGGAAACTCTAATCCATGTTTGAAGTGAGGTTCATGAAGAACTGGGCGTCAATTTCGCAGGTTCTCACCCCTGGGGTTTTTCCTCTTTTGAAGCAAAAGGTTTAATTCACACTGGTGTCATTTGTCACAAATCATTGAGAACAATGAGATTTTCCAAGGGAAAGGATGCATTTTCATCATCCTATCAAGACGAATAGGCTCTATACAAGAAATTCACGAAAATTGTTTTATTGGTATTGGCGTTTTGGAAAATCGGGTAAATAATTGCTTAACAGGGAGATATACATTTCTTTTTTGCTTCAGGAGCTAAAACTTATGATAACATATTATCATGACGACCTCCATCTTTCCTAGAACTTGTCCTCATGATTTCTTATCCCAAAAGGCGTCCTAATGACAAACCTGTTTAATATGGAAGAGAAAAGAACAAAGTCAGTGATACAATAAAAGAATCATAAAATTCATTATACCCGCATCCTTCTTTCTCATCCATGCCCACCCGTTGGTCACATAAAGGAAGACTTCAAAACTGGAAAATCTGTCACTTCATGTGAACTTCTACAAGCAACTCACCAAGTCAATTTCTTTACCAGAAAGTACACACTACTCATCCATTCATTCAGTAGTCATTATATTGAAAATACCGAATGTTAGAAACACTGTTGCAACTCCTCCACAGATCAGAAGTGCCAATCCTAAGTCCTGCACCTATAATTCACTCTTATGGGACTGATTTTATTCCACCATTTCCGTAATTTCAAAAATATATATTAAAAAATGGAGTGTTGCCTTTGCAATGTACAGCTACAGATTTCAGAATTTGGCATGCAACAAATAAATATATTTGGTTTTCAACTTAAATCCCTGCACATCCTAAATTTTTGCTCCGGGTTAGCCACGAAATTCAGCCTAAAGTCGTGAAATAGATATAGGCTTATCCAAAACAAATAAGTAAAAACTTCCCAGGAAATCAGACACTTTTCAAACCAGTTCGTACAATGGAAATAAAAAGCACTCACTAAAGGAAAACAACATTGAATTGAGCTCTATTCCTCCCGTTTATCCACCTCAATTAGCAGGGCTTTTCTTACTTCTCAGCTCTCTTGATAGTTCAAGCATTCCACTATTCATTATGAAAAAGTTTACCGTGAAGCTTCACTTTCGAAAGAGATTGGAAGTACCTCTTGAATCACACGTAAAAGCATAATAAAATTGATGAACAAAGGCAGAAATAAGACTAGAGGAAAAAATAGAATAATAAAATTAGCAAGTTAAAAAATAAACAGAAATAAAAGTGTGAATATTGACTAATACGCAACAATGTGTTCAGTAAAGGAAATTATGATGAAGAAAAGAAATATTCCTGACAGAACCAACATGAAGTATGTTCTGTAAAATGAGGAATACAAGATGCTGACCTTGCAGCAGCTATAGCATGACCAAATTCATGAATAAGAACAGAAACCAGTGTTGAGAAAATCATCACCCCCGCATCCATTAGAGACAATAAACTGAGTCCAGAAGCCTGAATCGAAGTCAAACAGTCATATGGAGACTACAATATAGTTTTGTATAGTATAGCAAAGACAAAAGGTAAGACTAACCCAAGAGGGGATCCCAAGCAACCAACTAAGAGGTAAATTATAAAAGCGAGCACTGCCACCGCAGAGCTGTAGTGTGCAGGCTAATTGCTGAAGTAGAATCTGACAATCATAAGAACCAAAAATATTAATCGTTACGATTATGTATAACCTGATTTGAAATCATAAAAAACCACAAGGAGAAGGGAAAGGGTCACACTAGAATAAGTATAAATCATGGGTAATATTCATTAAAGAACAAACTAGAGTCTGAAAATGCACTTTACCGTAATCAGATACTAAAAAATCAAAGAAAGAGAAAAAAAATCAATGGTTAAATCTCATTTTTAACACACCCGGCCGTCAAGGAACAAGGGGTGCCCATAAAAAACAATTTTTGCTCATCAAAGGATTCATAATGCAGGTCGATACAAAGTGAGAGAAACGGAACATGGGAGAGAACTGGTCACAGGAGTAACGCACCAGTGTACCACCAGCGTTTCTGAACCCAAGGTTCCACCTAAATAAACCCAAAGGTGAGACAGCAATAATTCGGTAGATCTACTCTGGCATCCCATGTTACCGACATCCGTGTTACAGGTATACCCATAATACCAGTTAGAACCTGATAAAGTACATTTGGGGTGGTATGCAGGGACGCCCAGGGGAGTAAAATGCAAGTGGAGACAGATTACTCACCAAATCTGCACCACAATTCCTCAGACAGAAGAGAAAAGAGGTGGATCAGATGGAGGCTCAGAATTCCCCATTACATTGCAGATGTTGGAGACAGAGTGTCGTGATCTACTTTTTGGATATAAAAGTGGTTAACAGTGGTTCAAAGAACCAAGAACGAATATACCTTAAAAGTGAGCAAGCAGAGTTGGTCAATGGACCACTACCCAAAAAATTCCTCGAAAGGAACATTTTCTCAAACAAATAGTGAAACTGTGGAGTCAATTCTCGAAGTGGACCAGGAAACGGTAGAAGGATAATGTAGCAGGTATGTTTTGGAAATTAGCATAGGAAGGAATATTGGGGTTGGATGAAGACGTCTGCCAGAATTCCATGAGTTATATAAATGTGGGAACGTAGGTAAGCCATTATAATGTAGACTTCCTCAGTATCCAGGAGAATGAAAGATAAAACAGATACTACCAGAAAGCGTTGGAGAGCTGATGCCAACCCGTTGAGAGTAAAGACCTCCCATGGCATTTAGACAGACAGAAGGAGATACCACGAATGAGGACAAGATACGATGTACAGGATTTGCAAGGCTAGGGGTACGGACAGTGCTCAATAGTAATGACCTTCAGGTGAAAGGAGGATCGATTCATTTGGTAGTTGTTTTTATGGATTTGTAAAGTACTCAACTGAGAGAAATCGTCATGGAGCTCAAATCTTTCAAAAAGAAAGCTGGAGACCAGTGTCTGGCTGGCCACGAAGAAATCGATTATGTTCGTCATCCTGCAGTGTCTACCATAAATCTCCCTCCAGAAAAGAGAATCTTAGTGGTATTTAGGGAGATTTCTAATGCTAATTTCCCTGAACAAATGTTTGGAGAAGTATCATCATCTGATTTAGTCAATGTCTTATCCTTAGGTGGAAAAACCTTTCCCCTCATCTCTAGTGGAAAATTTGCAAGAGTTTTCTCTGTTGACACGTCGGACAGATCAGCCAGGAGCTTTAGGTTTATGACTTGAAACACCAGTGCACCGGCCATTTTTGAATCTGCACTGAACCATGGTCATCTACATCTTCTGTACACGATTAATCTTTATGCGACAGTGCTGGAGAAGACTCCCCATCTCTTCAAAGCCCAGAAACAGCAATCTTATACATCTCTTTGTGTACTCCCAGTAATTTGGCCGTCTATGTTACTGAGGGTTGAAACCCCATTGGCAGAAACCTACTGGTATCCTGTAGCCACAAATCTGGAAAGGTCGGCTGCTCGACAGGTCCTATCAATTGCGTTACTCTCAATCCACCCTTCTTCAATAATACACATAGGAAACTCTAAAGCCACATACATGATATTCCACATCCTCCAATGGAGCGAAAGTCACACAGCAGATGTACGCAGGAAATGAAAAGAAATGAAGAGGACGTTTCTTCTCACCATTGTAATGACAGCTAAAGCCATGAAGCTAGCACCCACGCCCATGGTGAACCAAACTCGTAAATACCTGAAATAAACGTTAACAAAAAAAAATATATGTTAGCTGAAACCAGAACCAGGCACGAAAGATATAGGAAACAGCTCCCTAAAGTGAAAGTTAGAATGGATATAGTAATATGAGGTTCCAATGAACCTGAGGTATACAAGGACAAAAGGTGAAACATTTTTCTTTATCTTAAAGTGTCCCAATGATGCATGCTGGATTATGGCCTAGGATGAGATAAAATGTGGAACGTATCGTCAAAAAAATATAAAAAATATCAAAACACATGTTTAATGAACAAACAATAAAAAAGAGACCAAAACTTTGATCAAAAGTCTAAAATCAGGGAGCGTATGATAGATTTATCTGGTATGTTTTGCATGTTTCTTTGGAAACGACCCATTCATCTTAATAATGTCACTCAAGCTGAATTCCATTAGGTTTAAAAGCCTATCTAATATAAGTTTTCTTTAGTAAAGGCAGTTAATTTGATCTTCATAGTAAGTTTCAATAATCTGTAGCAGACTTTATGCATGAAGTATCAAATACAGTGAAAATGACCGATAAGCTCAATGAACTAGTTCAAGCAAAAATCACTTTTTCTTCAAACCCCTCTCCATTTCTAGCCTTAGCAAAATCTCATTATTTTCACCTTTATAGTTCTTCCAGTCATGTGTTTCCTATGGAACTAAAGCAGAACGGAGAACCTTAAAAAAAATGCGTAGTAATGCAAAACCTAAAACATCCGCACACAACAAAACAACAGCAAAATTAATGAAAGTAAATTCCACGTACTTGGCATGCCTACTTCCCAGTGCAAAAAGAAATCCATTGAAAGCTGAAATCTTGAGGTCGCAATACCTGAAAATTTAAGAGAGAAAAATCCGCATGAACAAAAAATTGTGATTTTTCACAGCTTCGATAACATCCTTTCTCAAGGTTTTCTGACAGAATGCAATTAAAATATTCATATTTATATACACATAAAAAATGAACTGATAATGTGGGATGATTACCTCCGAACTAAAAGTCTGCGATATGTTAAAAAAAATGAACAAGTGATAGACAATTAAAAATCTTGTGAGATCATGATTTACGTTCAATAATCCCTGGGGCTTTCACTTCGACAAGTCTTCGTTCGTGATCGCTCAGAGCCCCTCTTCCATCAGTAAGTACTCCCAACGTGTTGACCACACGGCCTAAAATGGCCTTTCCCGCAGGGACATCCACAATAGACCCAGTGCGTCACGATTTACTGATCGTAACGTCATTAATGTTAAATAGGGGGAGGACGTATGATGAAAAAAATCCAGTAGCACGTGTTTTCAGGGCAGTCACGTAGATGATTATGCATGTAAAATTGACAATATGTTGGATTAAACAGACTTAAGTACCTCCGATGACCCTAAACAATTAAGCATAGCATGTAATTTTTTATCGTTTCAACTGAAACCATGATTTAGATTGGGACGCTATTTCCCAGGCCTCCAAGATCTGCTTGCCGCATGGTAAATTAAACCAAAACACAAATTTCGGATGTGGATCCCAAAATTGATCAATAGAAGAAAACAACACATGATACAAAATAGGGACAGGAAAGTAAAATTGATAGAAAACTTTTGGACATAGGGAGTTAAATAAGTTATTTTGCCGTGCTTTGAGGAAGGACACTGTAACTAAGCACCAAACTTATAAATACTCGAAAAACGGAAACGTATTTTGAAGAATTATATGGCGAAAAATCGCATCCTTATGTCGTCCAATACACTAAACGTCCTAATGATCCACGAGAGATATCCTGTGACCAATTTTTTTTGTCAAGTTCATTCATTTGTCGAGTTCAATCGACCATTCTCTGTTTTGGTCATCCTCGTCAAAAATCTAAATGCCACAATGAGTAACTAGGTTTCTCCACGACTGTTCCTTAATCACTCCGTGGCTTCATCTCGTTATGGGGATTCCTGTTCTCACGAGAGGAATATGCTGCACTACGTCGAGGATTTCTGAACCCCAGTGTGTTTCTATGTACTGATTCGTTTCAGTCTAGACTTGTGGATACTATGACCGAAACCGAACTATATCTGTATCTTTTTCTATTGTTGCACATTATAACGTAGGGGGCGTACCCAGGAAGCCCGGAAACACAGAGATTGTAAAAGGAAACGCAAAAATATCATCACTGTGTTAGGGTAGACAAACTTGTGCACTTGGAATGGCGATTACCAGCACGAGATAGTGTGGGAGAGGCGCGTCCTCGAGTGAAGCGGCAGAACCGCCTGCGATCTCCTGCTTCTTCTTGCTCGTCTCTGACCGGGCATTGCTAGCACCCTCGCCTTCGCCCCTTTCTCCGTTCGATCGTTGGCAATGGAAACCTCTTAGAATGTCCAGGGTGGCGAACGCTCGCATCGCACGCCCTTCCACTCTTCGTACGATAGAGCGAAGACACCGTACGAAGACGTCGGCTTCTGGTACGAAGAAATTTGGTTATTCTCTCCGATCCGCGCACGGCCTCGCCGTGCCTCTCGAAACTCACTCAGCCTTTTTGTGCCCCTCGTTTGGGCGATTTGGTGTGTGTGAGCTCCGACCGACTAGAACTTCATTAACATGTTCGGGTCATTCCCTCGTCGATGCACGGGCCCTGTGCACATCGAAAAAAACCATGAGAAACTTGGTAAGAAACTTATTCCTTGATTGTTCTAGACACGCACGATACTTTCCGCACATAGAAACAAATAAATTCAAACTTTTCAAGTCATTGGATCATGCTCTGTGCTCAACGCACAATCCACTTGCACGTCGAAACTGATTAACTTAAATATTATATATATATATAAATACCTATCCTAAACACTCGTAGGAGTTCCTCCTCTTTCTCTCACACAATACAAAATCCACTAAAAATATGTCTAATTAGGTAACCATTTATTAGGTCCGAGTGCCGCACAACTATTATTTTTATATCTTAAAAGATATTAAATCAGCTGTATTATTATAATTGGATAATTATTTTAAATTCCCTATTAAATAGTATTTTCAATATACATCACTTATTTCCCATAATCATTATTCTTTTCACCATTCATCTCGTGTTATTTATTATTTTCAGGGACCTTTTTGTGCAAGCGTTACCTAAACTGCTTCTATTTCGAGTTTTAGACATAAAATCATACTTACAGATAAAACTATTACCCCATTTGGGTCCTTTTATTTTTCTATTTACCCCTCGCTATATCTGTAATTACGGTATACTCATTTCTGCTGCACGTCCTGGCTCACAGAACATTAGATGAGTGCAAGCCCGGAGATATATTCCGAGTTTATTTAAAGTGATGTGAAAAATAAATAAATGTATTAGTCGAGGTGACTTTATTTAAAAGAAAACACAACTTGATTCCTCTCCCCAAATTGGATTGGGGACTGCGAAGCGATTCTCGTTCCGATGATTCCACGCGGGCACGAGAGTGCTCGGATGAGATTCGGGCTTGATCAATTAGTCCTTATTTTTTGTCATAAATAAATAATTTAATGGTATTCATCATTATTGCGGAAAAGGGTACCAATTTTAAAATCCCCGTAATAGAGAGGAAGGACGTCCGTGTAGCGTTCCAGACAGTCGACCGATTCCACTCCGTAAGACGCGAAGGTTCGATCCAACTGTTGTACGTGATGGTAGAGGCATGATCGGTTGCGTTTTTCCCAGTTTGAAGCGAATCCCGGGAAGAGAGAGGAGCGCTCAAGATGCGGAATCAAGCGGCGGCGATTTTCTCCGGAGCGGGGACGATGCTGCTGCAGTCCTCGTCGAGGTTCCTCCTGAAGATACTGGAAAGCCGAGCGTATAGGTGAACAATTTGCTCCGAACCCCCCTACGGCTTTTAGCGATTTGCGTCTGTGGGATGGGATCTGGATCTGTTTAATTCCGGGCGCTTATAGAAGTGTTCCTGTCGATGGTGACGTTTCCTCGACGTTGGTGGTGGTGGATTGTCGAGGAATGCCGATCGTTATGCCTGCGCAGATGGTGGAATTACGTCGGATTTTTAAAATGTTTGCAGTTCATAGAAAGGGACAGCTTCCTAATGATTTTCAGCCGCACATGCCTGGGTGTTTTATTTCTTCAGTGGTCCGGAGAAAGGCGTCGATCTTGATTGCCACTCGGTTGAGTTTGATGATGTTCGATATCACATTCAGGTGTGTTTTTCTTATATAATTTATCTGGACATAAACAACATGTGTGGAATTTTGTGGACAAAAGGGCAGGTTAGGAAGCTGCCTTACAAGGATCTTTAATGCCTTCAGTTCTCTGTGAAGAGTCCTCAACTCATGCTGATATCAGTCTCGCTGCCCACTCCGCCACCAGAAACCGTGTTCATTGCCGGTCTCCCTTTTGGCGCCATAGAAGCTGTAAAGGCGGCATACGGCGGAGTGGTACAGATTCTTGATCCCCCAAAGGATGGATACAATCTCACAATGAAACTCAACTTGTCCAAACTTCCAGCAAACGAAGGTCAAACGATTTTCCTTCTCAAGGTCATTATAAATTTGTTATATTATGTCTGTGCATAGGATTGCCATCATCGTGCACAGTTGTGTGAACTTGACTGTAAGGACAGCATAATATTTTACGAAATGCAATATCTTCTTTTTAGATGTTCAAAACACTTCTTCATGCGCATGAACTACAGTCTATATATAATATAGATATTATTTACAAAGTAGAATAGGGCTTGCCTTCTTGTAATGCTGAAGACTCGTCAGTGCGACTGCCAAATGAGGTCGAGAAGGAGAAGTAGGCGGAGAAAAGCTGTCTTAGGTGTGCAGGATTATTTTATTAATTGACAGTGTGTTGTTTTATACACTCAGAAATGACGCAGCAGAAATGATAGGATAAAGATTTGATCGAATTGACGTAGCTTGAGTCGAAATCTTGTCTTTGAATCCACGAGATTTGATCTAGTTTTTTGTGAAGATCCTTCACCCTGAGTCCACATAAGGAAGAAACATGATCCTTCACTGTTGAATCCACAAAGACTTCATCCTAGGTTCACATGATCAAAATAGTTCCCTTGAATCCACAAAGGGCGTTGGGATCCACTAGCAGAGAAATAGAACTTCAAAAGAGGTAAAATGTTGTAGAATTGATTGAAAATAGATTGATTACCTCTAAGGTTACAAGGGGGTCCCTACATAGAACAAAATCTAGTTATAATGTCCATAGCTGGAGATTCTGTTAGAACATTCCGAAAGAAAAGGTGGGGTTCTCCTTAAGGAAAATGAGAGGTTCTGTTATTTATGTCATTCAAACAGAACTAAAAAGTAGGAAACGAAAATAAAAGCGGGAATTTAAGTTCCAACACATTTAGGATGCCTCCAAATCTCTTATGGGCCATCTCATGCTAAATTTGGGCCAGCTTGTATCTTTCACACATCTTGGGCCTCTAGTCCATTTGGGCTTAGTTGAAACTGGGCTGCATCAAGAAATTGGTTCAATTCAAAAGTACTCACATACTTCGTATGTATTCTTTTTATACTCTTATCAGATAAGGATCTTACTAATGTCTCAACATTCCGATTTGTGTTCTTTTTAGGAATCCCAGAAAGGTTGAATTTCGGACCATAACATCTGACATCGGAACTTGTGACTCAGTGTTGTTAAGATTTACATTAATCTAGTTTCCTTGAATTTTAGACCTTTCTATCAACCCATCTGAGATGGCAAACTAATCTTCTTGAAAGGGTGCTGGTGATTCATTTTATTTCCAACCACGCACACTTCTCATGATTGCTTTATGATCATTTGAACATCAAGTTCAATATGGAAAATATGTAAGTTACCCAGCTTCTCTTAAATGTATGATATCCAACATTTCGGAAATATCATGGTCTTTGGTTTCTTGTGTGTCACCCGTAGGAAGATTATCACGGTACCTGAAATGCAGGTGGTTGTCACCTGTATGGCATACAATTTGATCGTAACAAAAGAATCATACAGTGGATGAATCTCTCTAGAGTTTTGATCACTATGGCGTTCTCCAAATTTCTATTGGTTCTTATTGATATCTAAATACCAATTGATTTAATCCATCATGCTTCACACTATCTCTAGGATCAAAGATTCGCAACTCCAGACTGCATATCCATATGAGAAGAGTCCCTTGGAACTAGATTTTTCTCCTCCCCATGTTATCACAACTGGTCGCTAAATTTCGTTTGAATTCTCGGGTACCAAGCTGCACATTTAAAGCTTCCACTCTCAAAAAAGTCTGAAGAAAACGTTCAGTTTTCTGTTACGTCATTAGAAGAACAAATCTAAAGGTTACACTAAAGATAATTGTGGAATGAGGTGGAATATCATGGTATGTTCAGTTTTCTATGATACTCTAGTGCTTTGTGATCGAATATGATTGAATGATATAGTGCGGGGTGACACACCACCAGCCACCATCTGCCTATCATTTTAACAAGGAAACATCACATTTAGTTAAGAGGGATCTGATGAAACTCTGTTTTGACTAGGCGGAAATATTTTTTACCTTGGGCAAAACTGTTTTAGAAGTTTCGAATTTGAAGTCTTTTCTGAGGTTATCAAAGCCGCAAAGATTATTTTGAATATTGTCATTCTTGTCGCTATGCAGTGGCTATGGTACCAGCTCCTTTTTCTTTAATTTTATACCGCTTTTTTGCACCCTCCAAATTTCTAAGACTTGTCTATTATCGTTTGTTTTACAATGATGCAATTTTATTTTCATTCAGAGCAAAGACATGCTGTTTTGGTGAAAATATCGTCTGTGAGAGAACTTGTGTTGGGAGCTCCACTAAAGGTGATTCTGAAGCATCTAGCATCAAAAACTGTTGCTCCAAATGTGGACAGTTTTGTTGCTCTCGTACACAGGCCCAAGGAATCTTATTTTGTCATTCCTCAGGTACATTACTCCTTGTAAAGTGACTAATGGAAAACGAATACACTATGATTCCTGTAGAGTTTATGACGTCCATGTCATACCCTTATGTTGGGCAATCGTGGTAATTTATCAGTGAAAAAGGAACCATATATTTCTTAGAATTTTCTTTTCAGCATCTTCGAAGTTTGTCCCCGAAACCTTCAATAAGTTTTATCTCGGTAAAGCTTGAGTTTCTTCCTGACTAAGCATAGCTTAATAAAGCGCTAAGGTTATGTTGACTGCGGTTTTGGTTGTGGTTCCTTCATTCCACTAATTCAACTTATTCCATTTCATTACAATGAATGATACAGGGTCTGCTATCCTTTATGTTTCGTATCATTTTATGGTCGAAAATTTTATCTACTGATATAATCTCATAGACTAGACTGGCAATCTTTGTTTTCATAACAGGCAGACAGAGTTACAATAGTGTATCCCATGAGATTTATGGACTCTGTTGATACAGTTCTGGCGATGTCTTTCTTGCAGGTAAAAAACATATCACAGACTCATAAATTTTACCAACATTGTATTTTGGTTTTCTGACATATATGCCGTGTTAGTTACTATAAGAACCTTGCACATCTAAATGATTGACTTATTTTTATAATACTACGGTGATTGCCTGTTTATTACTTCTGGTAGAAATGTTATCGTTAGGGGTACAACCTAACCTTCATTGTCCTCCACCGAGCCCTACTAATTAGGGCTGGAGAAATGGATCTTATCTCACCACTTCACTCACATAGAGCATGTGCATTGGGCATGCATTTTCCATTATGCTCTTTCAATGTTTCTGTACAAGCCATGTTTGGTTTTCTGTTCTTTTGAGGGTCCTTGCGAAAATAGTGATTTCATCCCTTAACCTTCGTGCCTGTTAGCTTCTGTGTACACACACTAATCCAAGGGGATCTCTTAGGCCCTGCTATTGCTGTTGCCTCTGCCATCCTTTTGATGTATGCTGTCTTCTTGCCTTTGTATATGTGGACGTTTGCATCGTTTTTTTATTGATTCTTGTTCGTTTCTGTTGGAAATTATAGGTCGTAAGAAAATTATGTAAAAGACTGGGGGTGTTTTGCAAAATTGTGTAAGGTTGCTCCCTATATAATAGGGGTTAGAGGTGAATGAATCTTGAGCCGGTTTCTGCCGTTCTCCCCTCTGTCCGTGACGAGGTTTTACTTTCTCCATTTCAACAGTTTCAAATGTTAGCCGCCCAACATGTTCTCATGTACCATAGTTGGCGCGATTTCTGTCTAATAGGAATACGATGATTACACAGTATGTGAAGTTGAGTGAATTATAGGGAATTAGTCGTGACCTGTGTGGCCTATGCATGTTATTCTCCAGGAATTCGTGGAGGCGAGGCGAACTGCTGGGCTTAATAATGCACCTTCTTGTGCATGGTCTCTTTCTCCTCCCCCAGAGTTGAAAGGAGCTCCTGCTCATGCCCTGGCTGTGAATGCGGGTTTTGTTACTTTCGGTAATTCTGTAAGTTCAAATGCTAACGTTTATTTTCACATTCTGGGGCTTCTCATCGGTTCTGTTCTTTCTCAGTGATCTTACCATCCCACGTTGAAAGTGGAAAGCTGGACAGAACTGTGTGGTGTTTGTCAACATTTCATGCATACGTCAGTTATCATGTGAAAGTAAGTTTTTATTCTATGCCCACTACTGTAAACGTTTCGACGTCTTATTTTTATTGATTTGGATAAAAAAATTCATGTAATTGAATGAAAACAGAGGCCTAGGTAAGCAGTTTGAAGACTAAATCCTTTTAGCAATACGAAAATTTATGTGATGATCTCTCTCACTTGTTTAGACTGTCGTGCTAAAATTGAGAAATTTACACCAGCTCTTAATGGCACTATTTTTTTTATAATATTCACCTTTCGAATTGCTGCTCGTTCAAACTAATATTTCCAGATAGTTTTCATTATGTTCTATCATTTCTAGATCTTTGTGAGAAATTAAATGCTGGAAGCCAGTTTTTTATGGGTTAATTTCAACATTCGGGAGATATACAATTTTTTTTCCCTCTCTGGACTGTCATCTAATATCCGCAGCGCTTGTGGACACACACACACACATGTATAAAGAGAGAGAGAGAGAGAGAGAGAGATCTTTAGCTGTGATGCAGCAAGAATGCCCTCACAATCGTTACTAGTGAAGCCCATCTAGTGGTTTCCAAATTTCCATTTTTGGTAATGTGTTCCTCGCTCTCAACTCGATAGATATTAACATTGCTTCCAATGTTCTTCCTGGTCAACAGAGCTCAGAGGCTTTCATGCACACTAGAATGCGACGCCGTGTGGAATCACTGATCCAGGTCCCTAATTCTCTCCTCCCTTTTCTCTACCACGTACACCTCCCTTTGTCCTTGGCAAGGCGTTCTACACTGGCGTCTTACATGCGGTAGCGATAAGAGGGAGACTCATGTGGCCGCTCCACATCTCATTAATCTTCACTGCTGCCCGAATATTTCTGATATGCCTCCTTCTGGTCGTGGGCGTCTCTCTTTTGCGATCTCGACGTGGCTTCCCCAGGCGCTGGACCGTGCCAAGCCGGATGCGGAGAAGACCCAGACGAAAGGCCAAGAAAAGTCTTTCAAGCAGCTGGTTTGTTCTCGAGATTCTCCCATACTTTCTTTCCTTTTACACTTTCTAGGATCCGACTTCGTCTTCTGATCCTGTAGAGTCTGAAGGAGGAGACGCGTGGGAATTCGAAATCGTCTAAGCGGAGGTAGCCGGTCTACTTGGCTCTTCAGGCCAACAACGCCCCCCTAACCTCTTAAGCTGTGGAGAATAACTCATGGTCGTCCAGTTGAGCTGCTGCAATCCATAAACCAAGAAGGTGGAACCGATGAACACGGAAGAACTTGATGGATAAGATCATTCCTAGCCTCGAGGTCCAGTAAGATTTCACCAGTTTGTAACCACTGCAGTGAAACCAGGTACGAAGAAGAGAGAGCTCCCTGTTAATTACATCAGAAAGCTATTTACACATCGGTGGGTTGGGGGAGGGGGGGGGTGGGGTGGGGAGGACTCTACTCCCATTATTTCCTCCACTTGCAGGGCAAGCTCACCGTCGCCTGCACCGGCTTCTTTATTACACAGAGGAAGCGAGGCCACTCAGCCGGTGCCAGTGACGCCGAGGTCCTGCTTGTTCTCCTCCTCGCCCTCGCCGAACACGGGCCCGCCCTCGCCGGTGGGCTGCTGGGCTTTATCCTCCTCCTTCTCCACCTGTATTCCCCCCTCGTCCTCCCGGGACTTCAACCCCATAGCCGTCCTGTTCTCCCCCCCTTCCACCGACTCGTACGTCGTCGCCGTCGGCGACCCCATCGGCTGCGCCCCCTGCGCCCCCGACATCTCTCCCTCTCCCTCTCTCTCTCTCTCTCTCTCTCTCTCTGTCTACTCTCTTCCCCTCCACGAGCACGTCCTTCCTGGTATAAAAGGCCTCCTGTCCGGCATCCACGTCACATGCCGGCACCACGCGTGGCAGAGGCTCGTGTCCAGTTCGCCAAGTGGCAGAGAGAGAAATATATATAGAGAGAGGCTTCCATTTATATACAAGGAATGAAGAAAGAGAGGAAGAGGGCTTCGACTAATAAATATACAAGGAATGAATGGCCTGATCTAGCGTTGCGTGTGGAGTAAGGGGAGGGCTATGGATCATGGAAGCAGGAGCGGGCGAAGAGAAGAGCGGATCCATCGATCACGCGAAGAACGAGAAGCCTGGCGTCCAGATATGTGCCGCAGACTATCCTACTCAGGTCGAACATTGCGGGGGGGATCTGAATCCGGACTTCTCGGAGGACGCCTTTGGCGAGGTCAACGCTGGGGAGGGAAGAGTCGAAGGTCAGCTCCACGTCGACGTCGCCCGCCACAAACTTCGCCGCCGGAAGGCTCAACGGGATCCTCCGGCCGGAGCCCATCTTCTTCCACTTCCTCTCCAGCAGCTCCCGAGCAGCGGACTCCTCCTGAGCCGCTGCTTCGTCCATGAAGAGCCGCCTCCCTTGGGACAGATCGAAGGAGGAAGGGACGGCGCGTAGCCTTCCGCTGACGCCGGACTTGTCGTGGGGCCACTGGTTCATGGCCATGGCCTTGAAGCCGACTTCGGAGGCGGCAGAGAAGGTGGCGCCGCCGGTGGGGGACTCGAAGGTGAGGTGGGCATCGCCGATCAGAACTCTGGAAGGCGTCTGCCGAAGGGTCAGCCCGATGTGCCGTCCGGTGGAGTAGAGCAGGCGCCATCTCCCCGGAAGGAGCTCCACCCAATCCTGTGATTGAAAAAATCAGATTATTTTTTGAATGCTAGATCGAAGATTATCTATCGGTATGATTCTTGGGGGGGTGATCGCCCGAGGAGATGATTACCGCGGGATTTGAATGCGGGTTCATCATCTCCATCAATTCGATGAAGTGAGCTAGTCTGCTCCTCTGTAAAAAAAAAAAAAAGCCATTAAAGGAGATCAAATCGATCAGATGGTGAACCATTTCAAGAATGAGCTCCTCCAGAAGAGTTTCAGGTGCTTGAGGCGGGAATGTACAAATAAATGCCCAATAGCGACTAAAAAGAAATGTGCGGCGGTATCCACCTGGGGTTGGCTGTAGATATATTCCTCTGCAATCTTGACTACGGTTGAACCGAGGCCCCATCTTATGATATTCACAGATGGTTCTATCCGCCACCTTGGCCCGCATAAAAATGGGTGTCTCAAGGCATCACGACAACTGCAAGAAAATTCAGAATCCAGTAAAATCACATCCTGAGGTAGGATTTATTTATTTATTTATTTTGGGGTGGGGGGTGGGGAAGTTGATAGGGCTTAAGAAGATCTGATGACTTTTTTGTAAAGGAGAATGTAGTGGGCACCATGATATACCTTATTCTCTCAGAAGGCTTCGTAGCAAGCAGCAGGGATAACAGGTTCCAACCGGCACCCCAGTTCCTGTCTAGCATCTACAAAAGGCAGCGTGAAGCTCTTATTACTCTATAAGTTGGTCGAGAGTAGAGGGAAGCAGCTGTCGTTCCACTTTTAGATATTACTGGGTTTGAGAAGAAGGGAAAACCTGCAATCCGGCATTTCCAGAGGGAGAATTTCTGCACAAAATTGGGAGTAGGTGCTCTCTCAAGCAGGACGGATCATTTCCCTGCATTGTCAGGGGAAAGAAAAAAAGAATTTGAAGAGCCGTATGGAAACACAAAACCAAAAATAAAAAGAATTGTGCTTGCCTTAGTGAGAAAAGATTTGAAATTTATAAAGACTGCAGGGTCCATGAGCTCTCGCAACACCATTTTTGCCATGATGAACCCCACGCATCTATAAGGAACGGAAAGTTAGATGTGATAGATTGGAATTATCACTCGACAGAGTTTGAGCAATTGTTGTTGTCAGACCTCATGTCAAATGCAATCATGAGTTGCCTTCTGTCTGACTTTGCATCCGCAGTGCCATTTAGACTGCTGTCATAGAAATCGACTGCGTTTCCCAGAATGCCAACCTGACAAAGGATCATGCCAAATACAGATGAGCAAACACATCAAAAACATGACTGACGAAGCACCTAAGCTAGTTCGTTCAATTCACTTTTCAACGCATATAACATTTCTATTGGGCGGAAACAAATATTAAACTCGCTCAGGCATTCACATCCGGGCACAAAGCTCTCGCCTTTCAAGAAGGCATTATTACTTAAAACAGCATATCTGTTCCATAGGTTTCGGACAATAAACTGTGAAAAGAACTGCGGCGCCATACTTCTTTTCTGCTTTTCCATCAATGTCACACTCTGAACGCTGCGTCTAGACAAGAGTGCAGACTGACATCAAAATGCCACAAATAAACACACACAAAAAATCCATAAACACCGTGAGACGCAAGCGTCAAAATAAGCAACATATACGATATTTCAGTGGCTAGAAAACAAAGGAAAATCCATTTTCCGCAGTCCCAGCTTACTTTTACATGTCTGTCCACCGGGCTGATATGCAAGTTCTCAAGTCTCAGTTGCGTATGGGCCAGCCCATGACTGTGGAGGTAATTCACCTGAGTAGGCGCACAAGAGAAGTAGGTCACCTTCCAAAGTCAGCTAGCAGTATAGGATACGTAAATAAATTAGAAGAACAAAAAAGCTTAGATAAGACCACGTTATAGTGGAACCAAACATACTCCAATCAAGAGATCCCTCATGAGGATACGGGTAATTCTCAGTTGACGAGTAACAGCAGGTCCTCCTACTCTGTCGTCACCAACCCTCCTGACCCATTCTTCATCCAGTGCCAAGGTGGCTTCTAACGTTGGGAGCCAATCGGATAGTTGGAGCCAGTGTTTCAGAGAGTAACTTCCATGGTACTGCAGTGTGAGACATAAGAGCATCAAAGAGTGAAATCTGCCCCAAACCCTTGCGGAAACGTTAGCATCAGTTTAATAAATAAGCGATTTCTCAAGATCGAGCTTTTGCAGAGACAAAAGGAGGCTCCATGAAGTGCAGGAAAAATAAACTCGACCAAGACAACTATGAATCATTACAATTTGACGGAAAACAGAAATGGGAAAACAGAAAATAAACAATGGCTCTGGTGCTCACCCCGTGCACCAGCGTGAACGATCCGTGGTCTTCCTTGTCCGATTGATACAAGTAGCCATAAACTTGCATAGCATATGAGTGATACATGAGCTGTAGACGTGCGAGCTTCTTCAGAACCTATCATGTCGTAAACAGAAGCATTCAATTATCCGGAAAATATGGAGGAAATATGACAAGAGAATAACTAGAAGAGACTTGCAGAAATGATTGTTTCCATAGGAAAGATTCAATCAACAGGAGGCAAAGACTACCTCGAGTGCCCGTCGCCCCCTACGCTGTGAATGGGATGTGGTAAGCTGCCGAAGAACAACTCTCGACTGGTACAGTGTACTGCAAGGGACAGAATATACTCTTGTTAAGAGAGTGTGGAAAAGAACTGGAATGATCTGATTAGAGAATGGATGATAGAACACCAGTCTCAATAAATGTTCAGAGGTAAAATAGAAAGCAGAAGATTGAACACACCTGTCTGGATCTTTAACTATGGCTTCAAAGATCATCTCATCCCCCTACATCGCAAAACCACGACGGGATGAACAGAAATGACAAGATTGGCACGATATTGGAAAGATCAACGAAGCAACGAAGTAATTATCGGTAGGCTCAAGCCTTTAACACAAATGGAAACGTGCAAGTATTACCCTGCCGGCAAGGCCAATGCTCACGTGATTGCAGGTGGAGAAATCTGACATCCTAAACCTCATAACCGGGCCCAAATCCGTCAAATCAGATTCTTCCTCGGAGCCAGGACTCCGGAGGCCGTCCTCTCGTGGCCCGGACTCTGTAGCCGTTCTCCCATCGGAGAAGCACCGCGTTTGAAACGGCAGGTAGGCCCTGCGCGGAAGGGATGCACCACTGGGGGCCTTCAACCGCTTCAAAGGCCGCGCTGTGCGAACTCGCAGGAACCCGCGGCAATCAGAAGCCCCATTGAACGCGATTCCGCAGACGGCCATCAAATAGCAGCGCAGAATTTCGAGACCACGCCCGCCGAGTCTTAGAACTAGTATAGAGAATGATGGATCAGGAACCGGAGGCGGCGAGTGGGGCAGGGGGCTTGAAGGTGCCGTGCCGAAGCTTGCTGGTCATATATGCGTGGGGAGAAGAAGAGAGGCGGAGATTGGAGGGGAAGAAGAAGAGCGTGACGGTTGCGTGCTGGAGAGAGGGTACTGCGTTCCTCCATGAGCTTGGGGCACGCTTTCCTCACCCCACCCCACCATCGCCACACCGTTCCCACTCTCCCAAATATCTTGGACGCTGCCGGTCCCTCTCGCCACAGTCCAGATTTCCCAGTGGGGCCTCTTGGGAAGACGAAGCTGATGAATGCAGGCCACTGGATGGATGGAGCCGGCATCGGGCTGCGTTTCGATGTGCACGGTCAGCGTGCGTTACAACACACAAACTCCCCCTCCACCAACTGATCGGTTTTCCGCGGTCGAGCCGTCACGATCACTGGGCCCCATTGTGGGCCCGAAATGATGGCGGGTCCAGAGTCCGGCCTAGCCACGTCAGGGATTCTTCTACTGTGTAAATTATGGATAAATCCCTGTATTTATTATTAATAATGATAAATTGGATAAGTCAAATGTAAGGAGAGACTGAGTGGTGCTGTAAATGATCCGAATGTCCGACAGTTGGTAGGAAGGGCGGGTCATCGTTCGAAACCTGTTTCTGATATGTGCGAACGGCTTCATTGCGAAAATTACGAGAATGACCTGCCTGTCTTCCACTCGAAACCGAATTTTAAATATTTGAATGCTCGACTTCCCGCGGCTATAAATATCAGTCTGCTCGCAGGGATCTCTCTCCGTCAGGTTCTTCAGAATTTCTTCCAATTGCTGCTCCAGGCCGGAGGAGAGAAACAGGGAGAGTGGTGTTGGGAACAAGAGTAAGGACGTGGGACTGCCATGTACCGGACAAGGAAGAGGCAGCGAGCATTGTCCTGCTGCAAATCTCCCCGTTCCACCTTCCTCGCTCCTCATTCCAGCTTCACCTGGTGAGTCTCCCCTCCCTCATATTCTTCCCTCTCCCTGCACACGCGAAGGAAGTTTTGATTGATTGTAAGGATTCAAGTCGCTATCTAGTTATGGCGGCGATTTCGATCTACTCGACGTGATCGAACCGCGGTGATCGTCTTTGCTGTAGGCCTCTTGAAGTAATTGCATGTAAAGCAGATGAAATTCGATATGCGTAGCATTATATTTCGTCCCGGTATTTTTGGTCTTGAATACTTATGATGTAACTTACACTGTAACTGATTTAATCATACGAGCGCTTCGTTTTCCGCTTTCTCGTTTTGTGTCTCGCTTCTGTTGTTTATCTTAGATTAGCCTCTGGTTCCTCTTGGTTAGTTTGAAACTGGAAAATAACATTTTCCCCGTATAACAAGTCAAGCGCACATATCTAATTGTAATTCCTCATTTATTTTTATTAATTAACTAAGACGCGGCAGCTGGATGTCAAATACAGTTTATATTTTATAATAATAATTTGATGGTGAATTCCATGTAGTTGGTACCCTACGCTAATAAAACGCAATCACACACTTTACCGGATAGTCCGACAGGGTCCAAGTACGTGATATAGTGCGAGAACTGAGGTCGTGTGGAAAAATCACTGGGATTTTTTGCCGTAGATGTTCATCGATCAAATCATAAAAACCTTTCCGGCCGATTGTTAATTAAATCTCACAGTTACATGTTCATTCCACGAAATGCTCACAGTTACGACGACGACGTATGGACGGAGATAGCAAAATATCTGGACGGAAAGAGCCTGGCAAGGTTAGGGATGACAAACCGGTGGTTTCGTAAATTGATCAAGGAGGAGAGCGTGTGGAAGTACGCCTGTCTCCGCGATCTGCAGGTTCCAGCTTTACGCGCCGTTCATGCTTCGTGGATGATGCTCTATATGTCGGCTTTTGGTATGAAATGGAATGGAGCATCCCTCTCCTCTCCCTCGCGACGGAGAAGTTTACTTATTCTATGTTTTGTTTTCTGTAGATGGCAGACACTCGTACAGCTACCGTCAAAAGGAGAAGCACATCGGTAAGTAGGCAATGCTCGACAGTCGGCTCGATGTCGTAATCAACTAATTCTTCTTTTGGACAGCCATATTTCGTCGGCGCAAAGTACCAGTGCTTGCTTTATGCGATGAAACCGTATTAAAATACTTGCTTCTCATAAATTGTAAATTAGACTTCACTAAGTGATTCACTAATTTGCTTTGAAAACGTGAAAATTAAGAATTTCAAGAATTTATTTCACCACCAATATTTATGGTTACGTTAATCATGTCAACCTGTCAAAACTTTCAGTAATTAAGCATCTCCTAGAACGTCCTGAAAATTTGTTATATATGTCATTCGAATTTTCTTTAAGAAACAAAGTCTTTTACCCACCCATAGTGCAATATATTCTACATCAATAATTTTAACATTTTTCTTTTAGTCTTCGCCTCATAATTCAATAACCGATACGGTACTCAAAAGTGTTTTCCGTAATGAGTGTCGTTACTGTGTTCCCTTAGGGTACACACGTTTTTCTTTGCAGGGTTCATTAAAGTAATATTTTTCATATTATGGTAAATTTTGACCAATATTCATTAATTTGGACACAAAATTATCCATCAGTTAATTCCTATTATCTTCTCAATAATGAATTTCCACAGACTGGATGCGGATAGGCGCATTCTTCTTCGAATCCCCTATGGCAATACTGATGGAGAAGCTCGTCGTTCCCAAGAGAATCGCGCAGTTGTACGATGATCCACAGAAGGCTATCCAGGGCTACGGCGGCTGCGTTGTGAAGAACGTCAAAACTGGGATCTGGATCGTCGGTAATTCAAACTCCGCAAGTAGAAAACTAGATCACAGAGATCGTCTCGAGCCCCCCTCCCAGTTTTCACCAAAAATTTGTCCTTAACCAATCGAGACACTTTTAACAGACCTGCAGCTCGTTCGGTGCCCGGTGTGCAACCTGAATACCTGTGAAGGTCCTTAATTACTTTACTCATACAAACTAACTTGTCATCTACACGGTCCAGGAGGTGCTCTCATTGCGCATTCTCCCCCTCATAATCTTCCTCCCGGCGTTGGCTTCTCGCAGGAACGATGCAGACGCTGGACGCGAGGCACGCTGAGCTGTTCCTCCAGGAGGGCTACAGGGTGGGGGACTGGGACTACGTTGACATCGGAACTCACCGCGTGGACAAGCACCACACCGCCGCGTCGGGCGCCATCTTCGACCTCAAGCACGTCAAGTCCCGCCAGACCGCCGGTGAGCTATCGAACACCCTCCCATACTCCCACATTCTTTGCGCCGACACCCAACCTTGGCGATTCTCTACGCCATTGTTTGACGAAAACAACTGTCCCCGTGGCAGATGTGCTGGATCTCAAAGCTTGGGTGGGGAAACCCAACGATTGGCAGCCCAAGGCGAGAATCGGACACTACGGAGTAGCCGTCAACACCAATCTACAGCCCAACGAAGGTATACCATCAATCTTTAAACTCTGCTTATAGAGCGCTTCGGCAATAGATAGCTTCGAGAGCCCGCTTTCCTTCCACCAGGCATTAGCGTTAAGTACCAGGTGATGAGAAGCGGAGGAGCATCGGAGCCGGCGGTTTCCATTAGAATCTCGCAGCAACTTATCTAGGCCCGTTCCCTCTCTCAGGAGAGCCAAAGAGAATTTCTCCGACCCTACCCGTGAGGTAGGGCAAGCGGCGCTGTATTCCTTCGCCATTTCAGATAGGAGTAGATGAATTCTTGTCTTCGGACGGTCCAAGGGGCACTTGATTTTTTCTCTCTATAGCAATCAAATGGCCGGCAGTTGTTACTGTCTGGCACACAGAAGAGGACAGGCGGCGGACCAGTAGCAACATGGGAGAATGAACCCGCCTCATGCGTCAAGAAATAGATCAATAGGGAGGACAGTTTATTCCCACGTGTTTAAAATCTAGAATAATCCAGGGAACGCGGGACATCGAAGGTATAGATTATGGAGAAACGAAATAACAGATAGGCGAGAGATGTGCCCCAAGAAGGCAACTCTCGGACTCGATGCCGCTTCCTGATAAGTTGGAAGGGGCAGCAATCCTAGTCTGCCATGGCAGGCGTGAATATGGATTTCAACGGGGCAGTTTTAAACTTTCCCGCTTTGGTTACGTACGCGCCTAAGGGGAGCTTGTTCATCTAACGCTGCAAGTTATCCGGAGACTCGGCGGGTCAAGACCAGGGGTCCACCGAGCAGCCCAGATAACGGCCGTGGACCACGAAGGACTGGGCCTTCTACCTAATGGATCGTGAGATCCGAAGCATCCAAGACGCATAAAAGCTACTCGACTCACTTATAAGAAATTAGATCCACGCGTGCTAAAGGGGTCACAAAAAGGGCTGGCAGCGATGAACAAGCGGGGCTCCCAGCAGGGTCCGAGAGACGTCCAAGTTTCCTCCTAGGCTGGCTATACATGCTTGTATGATGCTTGAAGCTGCTTCACTGGGCGGCCTAGAAGCACAGACCGAGTACTTACAGTAGTCGCTGCCTTTTCTTGGCAAGGTTCTCGAATATCCCCTGCACATCAGCGGACGTGATCGGTTTCGACGGATCGAAGGATTCCTGGACAAGAAAGCAAGTAGCCCCCATGAGATCCTGATAAAAAAGACAGGCTTTTCCAGTGGATGCATCACGTCAGAGATACTGGGAAGAATATATAGGAACATTTTCAGATCATCGAGTGACCATTCGGCATGAACTGCAGCAGAACAGAGCAGAGAGAAAATACCATGAAGGACTGGAGCTCATTCTTCATGTCCGTAATGCCATTGAGGATTTCAATCTTCTGGACGTGATTCAGGGTGTTGAGGAAGTTCAACTCGGCTCCCTCTTGCTCCTGCATCTTCTCCTGCCTCTTCCTCTTCGCAATATTCTCATACTCCTCAAGGGAGTCCTCCCTGTCAATAAGATGGCTGATGCCTTTCTTGGCGTAGAACTCACTGCAGGCCCTACATTCGCAGAGGGCATTTCTCCACTTTTTGGACAGAAACATGGGCTTCTTCTCCTCGCTCAGGGACGTCTCATCCAAGTTGACTCCAAGAACACACTCCGTACACGACCCTTTTCCCTCAACACTACCCTTGTCCGGGCCCATTTCCTTTCCCGACTTCTCACCCTGAAAAGCATCATCATTCACCCTTGGCCCATCACCGTTCACCTCAGATCTCACTGGTGCCTGTACCCTAGACGGTGCCCAGATGGAGGCAGGGTACAGATTCAAGAAAGAACAAGGCACAGAGCAATTCTGGCAGATAAACTCGTCATACAAGGGCTCTCCTTCTTCATCTCTGGGGACCTGCGGGAAAAAAGGAGTTGCCAATTAAAGAAAGCCCGACAAGAGGATGCAAATGCACACTTGCATGAGCTCAACATAGAAGCAGATCTAATCACGCACACAAAACTCTACAGAAAGGACTTCCATTGATATCTAGCAGGAGCATGGGGTCAATTTGAGAGAGTTTCAGAAGTAGCCCTCTCATCATAGAAGCAATTTACGGTACCTACATATATATATATATATATGTATGTGTATAAAAGGAAAATGGCAGGGTTTCGAGGGAGTGGGAGGAGGAAACCTCTCCTGAAGAGCAGAGACCGAGGTGGTTCTCGTGGAACCAGTCCTCGCAGATGCAGCATTGTATCATTTCAACCTGCTCTTCCGCCTCCGGGTCGGGGTAGGGCCGGCCGCATATGCAGTAGGAGCCCTTGAAGTTGTGGTTGTACGAGTTCCCAATGTTCTCTGGGTCCTTGTTCGGAGAAAGTTTGCAGGAGAAACCCCCAAACTTTGAGTTTCCACAATCACACCTGAAATTCCTCTTCGTCCACAACTCCACGACCTGGTCCAGCCAGAAGAAGTTCAGGTCAACAACTGGTTTTCAAGTACATATCTTCACAAGGAACACACATGAAAACTAATGAACACAGACTGGGCATAAACCGCGACAAAGATATGGAATCTACGAGTGAAGCAGGCTGAAAAGCTTCTACACGCCAGAAAGTTGAAAATGGCGCCTTGCGTAGACATCCATTCACTGGTTGCAGATAATCTAAGATAGACCATAGAAATGGTACACCTCATAGGAAAGGAGCCTGGAAGTACTATGCCTTGAAGTTTTCCAAGAGAGAGGGATACGTCCAGCTCACGGGAAACCAAAAAGAAAAAAAACTAGCAAGCTTCTAACGCAGAAATAGAGATCAGCCTAAGTTCGATCTACGCATTTGACCATGGGGAATTGGCATTTTCTCTCTTCACATGAGCACTCCTTCAGCTCCCATATCTGTTTTTTTTGCTTGCTTCTGATACATCAGTTTCTGAATCAACGTCCTTCAATGCACCGTGGTCTGATATATCAGTGCCATCACAATAATTGGCATACACAAAAAGGACGCATATATATGACTCACAAAGATGAAGCAACCACAAAATCCTTCCAATTCAGATTTACAAAATATCTTTCCGCACACAAACGTGCCTCCAGAAAACCTCTTCGTTCTTTATTTTTACCAATTTTCGATAAAAAGGAGGAAAACTAAAGGTTCAGTAGACAACCCTAGTCTACATCTTCTGGCCTGGGCACAAGAATCGCTCTGTCAACATCAGTACTGTTAGCAGAAAACCAGCTGATCCAGTCCTACTTCTTTCCTATCCAGATCTGTATCCATCCTTTTCTAATGCAATCAAAAACTAGTCAGCCCTGATCATGAAAAAACTGCATGGACTCCGAATGCACTGCATCTAACTCAGAGCAAGTTCAGTTGGCTGAGGCAGAATGAAGGCTACAACTTTATCGACACGAGTTATTAAATCAGATAAGAGTATTTAGATGAACAACTATGTGGCACGAGAACAAACCCATATCTAGAATAAATTGATTCCCTGTCAATCGACATCTCCCCCTTCTTCCCAGTCAATTCTTTTTTTTTTTTTAACACAACACACACATGATCATTAGCTGAGCCAGAAATCGACAGGTTTGGGGATTAGCATTTGTCATGAGAATCCTGCATATCTGAATAGGAGAAATTAGGATAGGAAGACAAAATAATGCTCGATTGACCTGCTGCAGAGAGAAAGAAAAAGAAGATATGATTAGGGTCATCAACCCAAGGACCTTGGGCTCGCGGTTCTTCCAGAGATCAGTTCCGTGAGATATTTATCGCTGTTTATGTGGCTTCTGATAACCCATACCCCACCAAGATAACCGACTTCCAAGCTCAGAAAGCACAAACCAGATAGTGGTTCAGTTTTCCTTTTCTTTTTTTCTCCTTCTTTTTCTTCCAAGGTGGAGATGGCATTGTATTTAGCAGACAAGGGAACACAAGAAAATCCTTGGGTACCCCCAATGAAATAGACTAGAAGCAACCAAGAAGCTTATCCCAAAGAGAGCAGCCATTGAAGAGGAAAGCATATCACTCCACTGCCCTCATAAAGACCAGTAATCGTATATACGAAACCAAAGAGGTGCCCCGATATGCCAGCTAAATAGGATCGAAGCAGTTTCGGAAGAGCCGACAATATAAAGCAGAAATGCGCCTACACATCTGACAACCGGTTGAGTAACATCAAATCGCTCTCCTTTGATTCCATTTCTTCTGCAAATTCTCCTACAAATGGCGACTTTACGTTTCTCTACGATCGAGAACAACGAAGGCGCTGGGTTAAAAGGAGAATGAGTTCGCCGTTTCTTTCTGGCTTAGTGGGATGTGCTCAGCTCTCCAACGAGGAAAGTTTAAATGGCATCGGTGAAGCTGTGCTATGGTCGAAATAAGAAACCAGATTCAGGAGGGCAGATGAGGAATAAGAGAAGAACGAGGAGGAATATGGTTTATACCTCGTGGCCGTCATGACAGGATAGACTACAGGCGGTGCATACGCCGGCGCTGCCGTCGGGAACACACGTCAGGCATGAGAACACTGCTTGCCTCTTCATGTAGCCGTTCGGATAGGTGCAATCCTTTCCCTCATCCCCTCCGAGAACCAGATCAGCTTCCTTCAATCCCCAACAATCAGAAGTTCAGTTCAGCTAAATTGGGGGAAATCGATAGCAGCACATCACCAAATTAAGAACCGGCGGGGCGGATGATGGCTACCAGCTCCTCCGCCTCGAGGCCCTCGATGTACTCATTGATCGTCATCGTCGGCTCCACTTCGTCCGCGAACGCGTCGGCCATCTCGTGAGATTGAGGGCTCGCGGAGGAAATCAGAGATCGGAGAGGTTCCTCACCTCCTAGGCGCACAATCGGGCTACAAAAGGAACATAGCGTCCGCAAACATGAACGACAGAGGGAACAAAAACCCTAACCGGCTGATTCATTCCCCCCGCCTTTCCCAAAAGGAGAGGAAAGGTCTTGAGAATGAGTACCTTTCTGGGCTCCTATGGCGACCAATCGTCGTGTAGAAGATGATGGGGAGGCTTCCTGACCAAGATGACGCCCACGCGAAGCGTCCCTCTCCGGAAACAAAGTTCTCCGCCCCCGCTGCGCGCATCCACTGAGAGAGAGAGAGAGAGAGAGAGAGAGGGGGGGAGAACGCCTTGGTTTTATTTGGGCCTTTTTGGGGAGGTTTTATTTTCCCGCCAAGTCGCCTGAGGAATGGGGAACGTCGTTGAGGAAAGAATTCGTGGGGGAATTCATCGTGCCGTCTGATATAGTCACCCCGCTCCCTTTTCCAAATTTTCACATACCCACCGATGTTCATAGTTGGGCTATTTAATTTTGATACAGAGAACTGCTTCCTCCTGCTGGCGTATATCGTCACCACCCCTTCCCCCAATCTCGCAAACAGGCCTACCCGTCTAGTAGGATCAAGCCCATCAAGATCTGATCTGCCGAACCTAAATTCTTGGCTGGGCCAATTCGATCGATCTGTCCTCCCCGACGACCAACAAGTCGTCTCATGGGTGTGGTTGACGACCACACAATTCAGCCGAGCTTGAGAAGCATTTGAAATGCCCAATTCATCAGCCACGATCGGACGATGAGCGTGACGCAGCAGTCAATCCAACTCCTCGGGCCTGACCCATTACTAGCGGATTCAACTGGATTCAGGCAATCATTGTTAGAATTGGTCAACTGGGCTTCTGAGAAAGTTTGAGAAAGACGAACTCCAGCTGCTAAGCAATATTTACTGGAGGATTCCAGAAACATGTGGGGGGAATAACACGCGAGAGATGTGGGCAGAGAGTAATACGATGGGGTCTGTTGTGCATAGTAGCACCCCGTGACAAGCAGGGTATGTAAATTTACATAAGAAGGCAAGGTCCAGCTGGTTGCCTTTTTTGGACCTTATTTCGTAGGCTTGGCCAGCAGCTTCTTGGGTAATTTGTCGACGGGGATTGACTTTAGGAGGAAAAGCCTGGCGGCTCGCTCTTGTAGGGTTCCACCGCACTTCAATCCATGCGCCTGCAGTTCTGATTTCAACCTCTCCATGCCGAGAACCTGCAGACGGCGCCGGCGATGTTAGCCATGATCTATAGACAATAATAAACCAAAGAGAGTCGAAATAGCGGTAGGAGTGTAGGCCAATACGCGCCAATTTAAATAATTCATCCACATGGAGGGAGCATCTGGGCAATGAAGTTGATTGAGATTCCAAGGGTGGACCATTGGGTGGGTTTCCGATGTTCCTCCTCCGAAATATAGAGTAGAGGAGGTGCTGACTAAGATATTCACTCCCATGACAGGCCCACAAAAGAGCTATCGGTGTAGAAGCCATGCTTTGACTCCAATCAAGTAGTCATCATGCACAAATTAAAGTTAAGATGTATAAAGAATGTGACCACCTGATCGGATACATCTAGCATCTACAGAGGTTTGAGTGTGATCCGGGTATCCATCCATATGACTTAGCAGCGCAACCATTCCGTATAATTAGAGAAACCTTGCTTTGGTTAAGGAATGAAAGAGAATAGAATTTTCACAAACATGTTACGAGTGCCACTTGGAGCAATGCACTCCAGTTTTTCTGTTTTAGATGCGGCGATAAGCATACATCAATGGGAGTCATGTAAAAAGCCGATCGAGAGATAGAAAACACAAGTATATGTGACGATCTGATATATGCCATAAATTGCCGATCAAGCAATGATGGAATTAGGGAACAAACATCAAGGAATAGTTATAGCATCAATCGACGTGCACAAACCTCCAATTCTTCTGCAGAGTTAAATTCCTCGAAGTTCAATGGCTCATTTGATTTCTCATCCTCAATCCTCTCTGGGGCAGCTTCTTTCAGAACCACTGAATCTCCTATCACAGCACAGGAGACATCTAGAGTTTTCTCAGGGGAGTCAGGCGATACTTCTGGAGACAAACTCATTCTTTCCTCGGCGTCTATTTGCTTTTGGTCCACTATTTGATCGCCAACCAACCTCTCCTCTAAATGAACCTTGTCAGAGCCTTGTGATGTCGCTGGGAGAGAAACGTTCTCTGTCTGGTCGCCATATTCTTCAAAAGATGTCCTCACAGGTTCCGCAGAGTCATCAGAACAAACATTTTCATTTACAGGGCCTTCGCTCACATCCAGGCACTTCTGATTAGGCACACTATCTTCTTCCTCCAAATTGCTCTTTCCAGAACCTCCATCGGAACCTTCCAGATCTGACTGACTACTGGATGTTGCAAACAAACCTGCATCATCTTCATTCTTGTTTCCACCATTAAGAACCACAGACTTCTCGGCATCGTCGTCATCCTCTTCGTCGTCCTCACTTTCACTTTCATCCACCTTCTTCTTTCCCATCCTGCATGATCGAGACATAATCCATTTAAATGATACAAAGTGAATACGACGGAAACCAATGTTTACGAATAGGAAAAAAGTAAGCATGGGGGGTAAGGAACTGAGCATCAGAATTAAATCAATGGATCGCAATGGTCCGCAGAAAAATAAATCCAATAGTTTACCATATCTTTAGGCGCTTTAATGCAGGCCCTGATGAAGGCAAAACCTTCCGTTTCGATTTCTCGTAGAGTTCAAAGGACTGGCGCACAGACTCTTCGACCTCTTCCATGCACCTAGCAGAATCCTCCTTATACTTCTCTATGTATTTTTCCACGACCGCTGATGAACTCTTCTTAACCTCCTTCGCCTTGCTTTTAAGGAACTGCTCCGCGAGTTTTTCCATCTTCCGATCCTCGGCCTCCGCCTTCCACTCCTCGAGCTTTTTCTCCGCATTGACATGTCGCAGGCGCCGCCCGCTCATGTCCCTGCACGCATCGAAGTTGTTCGTCTTCTTCTGCCCTGCTTTCGTTGCCGCGCCCCTGAGGAGGGAACCAAATCCACCTTTCCCGCCGCGGAGGCGGAGGAGAAGGCTGCAGGAAGGAAAAATCCCATCCTCGGATGCTGATATCAGGGTTTCATCGCGAATCTCGCGCAATCCAGACACCAATCGCTGAAAGCGGAGGGGGATCCCGGTTTTCGCCAATAGATATTCCTTCAGCGCCTCCCCGGAGAGCGTAGCGGAAGGAACCGGTAGACAATGGGTCCTACCGTCCAGGAGCTTGACGAAGATCTGGCTCCTCTCCATGATTCCTCCCCTCTCCCGCAGAAACCCTAGGAGAGAAAGCTCGTCGGCGACCGTGAAAGCTATTGACCGTAGAGGAGAGGAGCCCCTCGCTTTGCGAATTGGACACTGATAGACAAGCCTGTTTATAGAGGACCTCGGGTGCGAATCAACTAGGCCTCGGACTCATCAAATATCCGGATATAATTTACGAAATCATTTTCCTGAAAAATAAATTCAAGAAACTAAAAATATATATACGCGTCAACTTAGATCGAGAATGTCTATGCATTCTAAATAATTAAAAAATTACAGAATCCTCCGTGACACCCCGTTACAAAATTAGGTCCGTTTCTTTCTGTTATCCGAAGTATTAACCCTTCATATTTTTGCGAAAAAAAATAAAACTAAAATAGCCATTTCCTACCAACTTTACAGCCCAAAAGGGTACTATCTTGGCCGATTTTATAATTTCGAATAATTAACATAAATATTAATTACCATAAAATTTAGGGGATTTTATGGTAATTAATATTTATGGTTCATGTAATCCCAATAAAAAAATTGGTCTGAAAGTTTAGAGTTAATCGAATAAATCTATCATCTCTCTCTCTCTATCTCTCTCGCTCGTAGATGCAAATTAGGAAGCTGGGTCAGAGCTGGTCAGGTTTTATATGGGCTCCAGCCCAGAACCCATTTAATGGGGGTCGCCTCGGGCCGGGCCCAGGCTGGGCCGGGTCAGACAACATCAAACTTTTGGGCCTTTTGTCCAAGAATCTACAATTGATATCCTCCTTATCTTCAAACGAAAGACAAAACGAAGCAATCTTAGAAGTGAACAACAGCCTATGCACGGTCAAACCATCAAGCCTCCGGACGGTCGTCCGCCTTCTTCAGCGCCACGGGGAGGAGAGAAAGGGAGCCTGCTAGCACATCTGACGGAGGGGAAGACGTCAACTCCATCAATTCCTCCCTGCTGTACTTTATCCTCTCATCTATCCCAGAAAAAAAAAAAAAAAAAAACTTTGACTACTCAGATCCCCTGAGCACCCAGTGAAGCCACATTTTTAACACCCAAAAAAAGAAAAAAAATAAAGAAAAAAGAAGAAGCTAGTCTTCACCTGTGAAGTGGTGGCCTCCCAAGGGCTCGCATTGGGTAAGATCAGGTTTCAGCTTCGACGAGCCGAGTTTCTGGCTTTGATCCAAATGAAGCATCTGGACGGACTCGTGCTTGACTTTTATTTGAGGAAAGGCTCCACAGAATGAGGAGATACCGTCCTTGCTGAGGAGCCAGCATCCTCTCAGGTCCAACACCTGCAGCCTCTCCGGAGGCCGAAATGAAAGGAGCCCGTTGTTGGTCAACACAGCCCCTTGAAATCCGAGGACCCTCAGATCAGGCAGGGACGACATGGTGTGGAAAGAGACATCTGACAGGAAATCGCTCTTCAGATATAAATGCTTCAATCCCTTCAACAAGCCCAGAGGATGAAGTGAATCATCTCTCACTCGGGTGCCTTCCAGGTTTAAAATCTCCAGGCTATCAAGATTCTGCAGCACAGGCAGCGACCATATCTTGGCTAGACGGTCTCCTTCGGCGTAAGTACAACCTGAGGGGCAGAGATGGAAATAAAAATGAATAAGTGCCCGTCAAAACCAGTATTCTTCCACAGATGAAGCACAATAAACGGGCCCGACGCTCTTTACCTTGAATGCCAGTCTTGCTTAGATCAATGGTCCTTAATGAAGGCATCAAAGTGAGGTATTGCAGAGATGTGTCGTCAATCATGGACTCAGACAAGGATAATTTTTCCAGATTTGGAACTTTCCCAGCTAAAATGCACATGGACTGAGTGGTGATCTTGGTGTTGCTGAGGTTTAAATCTCTCAACTTGAATGCTGTACTTGCAACAGGAGTGATTAGGTAGTCTGTCATCAGGCTAGAACTGAGATCCAAACGCTCAAGTGAGCGCATTCTGACTAAGAAGTTGAAGTCGGAAATCGCAGAGGAAGACAAGTCCAAGACAGACAGGTGGTCGATATTCAGATAAGAGAATGCCTGGTCCACATCAGCGAATGTAGCTCCATGGACTAGAAGTTCTGATAAAGAAGGCTTCACAGGGCCATGCCCTTGAAAAATAGAGTGGATAGAACAGTTACTCATGTTCAGATGAATGAGTGAGGGTAGATTTGGCAGACAGTTGACTTCGGTCCAGGCTATGTTGAGGTGAGCCAGCCTTGGGAACCTGGTAAATAGCAGAGAACCTTCGTTGGTGATCTCACTGCCCCATAAATCCAGGTACTCAAGCTGCACCAGTACCTGAGACAAAGCAGAAGTTACATAGAAGACTGAAAACGTTTGTATCCAAGATCAACAACTTCGAAGCGACTAAGATTCAGATGTTTGGGAAAGTACGGTCACTTTCTCTTCAAAAATAAGAAGCAGAATTACATGGGCTTGCATTTTTTCTTGGTGCAAGTTCATATCTAGCTCCAGGGACTATAAAAAAGGTTATATGGCAGTGAACTCCACAGAGAAGGTGAAATAAACGAGCAGAACATCGAAACTTCCCAAAGGAAAAGAGATACCTTCAACGAGTCAATGGCCTGATCAGTGACAGGCAGCCCTCCCAAATCCAATGAACGTAAGTTAACAAGGGAAGAGAGCCGGATGATCCCCTTGGAGGTCACTCTAGTTTCTGAAATGCATAGTCTCTCTAAGTTCGAGATGGATAATATGTGCTCAATCCCAGCATCAGTGATCTTTGAGCACCTTGATATGTCCAAATCCTTCAAACTGACCATTCCTACAAACAAAAACATAAATAGGTATATACGCATCAATCACTTCAGCTGGCTTTAGCTTACTCCAACGCACTTTGGCACATGCATCAGAGCAGGGTTATTGATCATCCACATTCTCGACAGATCCATTAAGCAATTGCTTCTCACATTCCCCCCTCAGCCTTTACAAGTGTACTACCCATATTCGGTTCAAGTGGCTGGACAAGGAGAACGTAGAGATAAGTGACAGTAAAGTATTAGAAAAGAGAAAATCCATGCCTGTAATTGACCAAAGAACAGAGTTGTTGATCCCTCTGCAACCAGCCAAGTTTAAGGCACGCAAGTATCGGAATCCTCCCAGGTACGCCATCCATTCTGCATCGATACAATTCTCACCATGAAAGTCAACCTCCTCCAAGCAATACTGGAAGATCCTACACGGAGAAGCCCCCGAGGAAAGAAATCCATATCAGATAGATGACACGGGACCTATGGATTGAAAAAAGATAAATATTTCAACAACTAAGGGAAAGTGCTCCAAAAATCAATCATTCTTCGTCAGCGGGTTTCGTCCAAGAAGCTAAAGCCAATGGAAAAAAATTCATCCTAGAAGTTTTTTCTCCTCTCTTCACAGCATGTCAAATCTCCGAAGAAGCAAACGCACACGCGGAAAAAATAATAACTCACTCGAGTAGGGAAGGGTAGAGGAGGCGGCGGTGGTGGAGGAGGCGGAACAGCGCGTCGGCCAACTGGGTGGGCAGCCGTTCAAGGGTCCTGCGTTGCCTACGCCATTTCTCCACGCTCTTCGCGCTCTCGGCTGCTGCTTCGATGCAACGCCGTACCAGCCCTCCCTCTTCCATTCCCTGGCGAGCGGCACCGATTGAGCAGGCGGATCGAACTCCCTCCTTCGCCACTGCCCCTTCCGATCTCTATCACTACGGTCCCGGGAAAAAAGGGAATCGGCGATATATTGTCTCGCCCCCAGTCTAACAGAAGGGAATAACAAAATTAATTTTAATTAAAATTAACCCTATAAATAAAATAATCGACGCAACTAACGGAAAGTTAACCCTTCTGTTCCTTCGAGATGACGTGCTCTACAAGAACCTGGTACCTGTTTTCACGCGTGGACTTTTTCTCATACTTGGACCCCAAATTGTCTTAAATTATCAATACGACCTCCTTGAATTATGGGCTCCCGCATCGGTCCATTACCAGGCTCGACGATCTTTTTGGGGATATTTTCATTAAAGCCCTCATTAATTCAGATTTTCGCCACGACGTGGGAAACAGAGCCGTTGGCTACTGGACTACGAATGGAAAAGCGCCTAAATACAAGGGCATAGACACAAGGGACCATAATGGGCCTAAAGTGCATGTGCGGGCATTCATGCGTACGTGCGGTCAATCTGAACCTACGAGCAGCCGCCGCGTGGCGTCGGCCGGGGGCGGCGGAGTTCCACCACCACAGCGGTCACGTTGTCGGCGCTTCCGCGGAAGATGGCGAGCTTCACGAGCAGCGCGGCAGCGGCCTCTGCGCCTGGGGCTCGGCCGCTGGCGAGGGAGCGGCGCGCCACCGCGCAGGCCAGCTCGTTCGGCACGACGTCCCACAGCCCGTCGCTGCCCAGGATGAGGAACTCGTCCGCTTCTGTGCGAGCCGTCACGGTCACCTCCGGGTCGGGGATCACGTACGGCTTCAAATAATGATCACCTGCACCCATTTGAATAACACAGTTGGAGAAGAAAGACCTTATTCTCTCTCTCTCTCTCTATTTCTCTCTGTATGGGGTGTGGAGGATTACCGATGGATCTGGAAGTAGCGAGGACGCCGCAAACGCGGAGGCCGCCCCAGTCGAAGACCCTGCCGCCGGCTGCTTCCACTCGTTCCCTCTCGTCCGGCCTGCCGGGCTGGGTGAAGAAGGAAGCTTGGTTACGGCCATGAAGGAACGCAGAAACATGAGTGTGAACGAGGAAGAGAGCAAGAAGGGAGCTTTTGGGAAGATCTGTGACGAGGGAGGACGAGAAGACGATAAACCCGGCGGCTAGGAGACGGGCATGCGAAATAAGTAGAGAAGTCCGCGGCGTGGAAGTCGTAGACCCACAGGGAGGAGATTATTATAACGTGGACGGCTGCATTCATACAGGATTGTCTCCGCTGAGGTGCTAGCCAACAGAAGAACGTATCCCACATCAAGAGATTATCAGCTAAGCCAAACACATTATAATTCTTCAAGAGAAGTCAACCCATGCATTTCTTCAGTTCAATTTCATAGGTCTCTGGAATAATTAGGCAGGAAATAGTTGATAAAGTTTACAGCATGATCGACAGCGTAGGTCAACCCTGAATCTCATTCAAGCGGAACTCCAAATTCTCCTTGACCGTATGAGAAAGGAAATTTAAAAAAAAAACTAGAGTTGGCCTTGGAATCCTGAGAGATTATCAGATTTTTGGTCAATCGGAGCGCTGAAAAAAGTCCTTTAGACCTTCCCAAATTGATGAGTGATACGTTGAATTCAAATTTGACTCACGAGACACTTCAAGTCAACAATTGAAGAATGGCCAAGTCAACAAGCACGATCACATGAACAAGCAGTTGACTAACCCCTCGGAGACCAACTAGATTATTAATCTGTTCATGGGTGCCCACCTTCGTGCATGATGATAAGTTCTGCCCCCAACCAAACTACAACCACTGGATCCTTCACTGATTAATTTTCTCCGATATCAGACGACCGAATGAGCAGATAAGAAACGAAGGAAGATCGAGGAAGGCGACGCAACAGAGTAAACTCCAAATGCGAATCGACGATTGTTCATTCCTAAGAAACGGAAGCAATGATGTCGGCAAGCTTCTGGCTTTCTAGATTTGTGAATCTTTACTGGACTTCCGGGGGAACAGTCGGAAACTCGCGAAAAAATTCAAGATCGGTCTGATGCAGATGAACCTCCCTGTTTCCTCCATTGTATTTGTGGAGAACAAGGTAGATTCATCTTGCTGTCGTCGCACAGATTGTTCGTCCGATTCAAGAATGGAGATGGAAATGGCGGCACAGAGAGATGATACGTGTCGTCGGGATCCGCCCTTACCTTGTGATCAGAAGAAAGGGGAACAGGCACGCCCCCTCGCGAGAGCACGGCCCTTGAGTCCCCGCAGTTCGCCACCATGATGCACGCCACCCCGACCACCGCTACCAGCGCGGTGGAACCCACCATCCTCTCCGAATCCGACCCGGTGATGGCCCGCGCCGTCACCTCCTCGTCCACCTTGAGGAAGCAAGTCTCCATCGCCTCTCTCCACTCCATCTCCGACACGACGGACCGAGTCTCCATCTCCCCCGCGAGCAGCGCGTGCAGCCGGTCCCTGCAGGCGTGGGCCACGCTCGCGCCGCCGTGGCCGTCGAACACGCCAAAGAAATCGTACCGTGGCCCTCCCAGCGACAGGAACGCCGGCGCCAGCGTCACCGCGTCCTCCATCTCCCTCCTCCTCCCGATGACCGACACCGATCCGTGGGACACGCAGGGGACGGCGTCCCCCGGACCCGCCTCGGCAGCCAGTCGCGTCCGATCAGAATCCGACTTCGGCGACGTTGCAGAGGAAGAAGAAAGAGAAGATGAAGACGAAGAAGAAGACCAGGACTCAAACGATGAACCAGGTTCCGTGGCGGACTCCGAAAAGTCCTCTCCATCTCCTCCATTACCACTCCTCCCTCGTATCGAGAGAGAGCTCACCGCTCTACGTCGGCGAGTGGATCCCGTCGATGGCCTCGATCTCATGGTGGAGGCGCCTTCCGTCTCCATCAGAACCTATCCGCTGCCACTCTCTCCGGCCTTCGCCTTGCAGAGCTCTCTAGCTCTCAGCCGGCCCCGCCATCTACGGCCATGGAGCTCTGCTTTTCTGGGGGGGTTCCCCCGGGGTGGTTGTAACGGGAGATGGAACTAATCCAGACCGTTGGATGCCGCAGGAACTTAGATATGCGCCACCTGGACCCGCAAAAGTACGATTCGCATCACGAAGCCGCCCAAAGCTGTCGAGTTGTACGGAGATTTTCTTGCGCCGTCTTGCTTCCATGCGGCGTCTTCTGGTTCGCAGATGTGTTTGGGCCCACTATAATTTCCCTAGGACGCGTGGAGAAATCGTACACCGCCTCGTTAACTGCGTTCGGTGAACTGATTGATTACGGAATGTTGACTGACCAGGACGCGTGTCATTTGATAAAAGTTCTGACACAATTCGATGAGAGAGACGTGGGCCCCGGGAGGCGATCCTGGGCCACGTAGCCCTGGCAGGCGGCCGAATCACCGAATCAAGATTGGGACGCTCCGTCAGCAGTGCGTGCCCAGGAAGAGCGTCCGCCCTCTGCTTGGAAGCCAATTTATTGGTCTGGTAGAGAGAGAGAGACAGAGAGAGCCCACGTTCCCACATTCAGACTTCACTTCGCCGATGGGAGAAAGGGGATCTCGACGTAGATATTTTCATGGGAGAAAGGGGATCCGAAGAACAGGGCAAATCGGAGTCCGCAATTTACAAGATATTACAGCAGAGAGGAGGCTCTGATTTGTTTCGTCATTAAAATCTGGATGGGGCGAATGAGCGGCGGGGGATCAAACTGGTTCTGCGCATCAAATGTAGTAGGCGGAGGGGAGGAGAGCAGTAGAGCAGAAGAGGCTAACTTTTCTCCTCCGCTGTGAAATCGGGCTCGGCGGGCTTCTGCAGCAGAATCGCGGGCAGCCTCTCCGGCAGGCGGGCTCTTCGGGGGTCGTTGCGCCGCAGGTTGCGCAGTGCGTTGACGGCGAAGCGCGAGGCGTAGATGGTGGCGGCGAGGCTCGGGGAGCTGCCAGCCTCCTGCGAGATCACCGCCTGCAACCTGCCCTCCTTCTCGTGCAGCGCCTCCTCGTCCTTCCTCCGCGTGTAGCGGCGCCAGGCGGCCTGTATGAAGCAGGCGGCCCAGGTCCTCCACTGGTGCGAGTAGAACCGGAAGGTGTGGCGGAGCTGCTTGCTGTGGAGGCGCCGGAACTGGGAGGCGACGAACTTGAGGTCGTCGGCCACGAGAGCGAAGGCTTCCACTTCGGTGAGGGCCTTCACCGTCCTCGTGGAGGAGGGGAGGTTGGAGGACGAGTTAGGGTCAAGGGCCCAGGTGAGGAGCTCCTCTCCGCAGAAGTCACCCCCCTTGAGAAAGTCCGCGTTGAAGAAGCCGGTCCTCCCGCCGTTGGTCGTCGCGCTCTCCAGCGTCCCCCGCATGATGAACAGCATCTCGTCCACCGGGTCCCCCTCCCGGACGATGATGCTGGATCCCGTGTACAGGACCGGCTTTAGCCTGTCGCACATCGCGTCCATCAGCTGGTCGTCCATCTTCTCGAACATCGGCACCTGAAGAAAGTCAACAACAAGATCATCGCGTAAGCTCTCCTCTTCCTCCGCGCTCATGGGGAAGTGTTTCAGAATAAGGGGAGGGGATTCTCACTCTGGTCAGCAAGGCTAAGCAGAGATGGCGCTTTATTTCCCTCCGAAGGTCCTTGGGGAGGTTCTGAAGCAGGTTTTCTTCGTCAACCCCTCTGGTGACCTGCCATCTGTACTGCTCGTGGCGGCGTATCCGGTCCCGCAGCTTCTCGGGGAGCAGGCGATGCGACATCCATTGATCGGTGTCCCGCCTCTTGATTCTCATCTCTTCGATTCTTACGGTGGTCGATTGAAGATAAGTCTGAGAAGAAAAATGCGGCAAATTAGCAAGCTCGCGCCATCCGGGGGCCTGTGGAAGAAAAGGAGCGACCGGCATTCTTTTCAAGGAATCAAAACGGCAGGTAGGGTGCGGTCCTTGTTCTTGTGATTCTTAACACGCCAAGCTATTTGTGCAGCAGAAGTCAGGACTTTCGTGCTCCCTCACTCCCCAGAGATAACTCCACAGCTGCGGTGTTAACGGCTCGGGAGTGCGCAGGGAAGAGAGAGAGAGAGAGAGAGAGAGAGAGACCATTATAACCTCCTCTGGATGAAACCCATTCTCTCTCTCGCTCTATCATATGAGTACATGACTTCGGCTACGTTCCTTGCTCCCCTTGGCAGATATGGTAAAAGCCATGCCGTAAATAGTGTTGAATCAGAGTCAAAAGAGAAACGCTGAAAGCTTTTCGTTGATTGCAACGTTCGAGCGCTAATGAGCTTGATGCATGCTCAATGTGATTACGAAATAATCAATATTCGCAAACTTAAATAGGAAGGGTAGGGTCTCAATTTCCGAAACAATATCCCGGTGAACGGAATGATTTTCATGCTTACTATGAACGCACAAGTTTTTCCTAGATGTAATTTTAATGCATGGAGAAGCAAAACAAAGTGATTCGTGCAGGCATTTACCTGCATATTCCCGATTAAGAGGGAGAACAAGACCAAGCCAGATATGGAAATGACCACAGCAAAGACATTCTCCCAAACGTAGGTGCTTGTTTTCAGATTTTGGCCAAGAGAACTGCAAGACATAATACATAATAATGAAATTAATGAGCTAAGAAAATACATTCGGTAAAAACTATGTATAATTTTTTTTTTATTTCATTTTTTCCCTAAGCTGACAGGAGGCTAATCCCACTCTAACATGTCTCCGAAACAGAAAATCAAGAATGTTCACGGGTAGATCCTCGATGACCACCGAGTTTTCTCAGAATTCAATCTCAGATCTTATTCTCGTTTGTTCTGGGTCTATCCAACAGGTTTTGCAGCTTAACGCCGCTGAACTTAGCTTCTCTTGACCCTCGGGCCTAGACATTCACCAGGAACTCATATCCCCCATGGGTTGTCCGCCGCAGAGTATCATGTGATCCGTAGAGTATGTTGAATATGGGAGACAGTGGTCATCTAACCCTAACGGATCTTCTATCTTTCCTGTGTTTTTCCATTCCCACATGTTCTCCTCAGAAGGGCCTCAGCCAGCAATCGGTTTGACGGTCAAACTACTGAGGCTTAGATTTAAATCACATAAAATGTGGACAGTCAAACTATGAAGCTTAGTTCTGACATAAGTAGGCACCCAAATGGTCTTAAAAAATAAAGGAAACAAGATAGAGGAATCGCGCTCACCTCAGGTTCTGTAGCCCCCACCAAAGGCAGTAAAACAACTTCTCGGCAAAATCTTTCGATTGGACATCATTCTCGAGGCCAGGAAGATAAATGCCAAAGTCAAAAGCCGACGTGTTGACTGGATTTATGGGACATGAGAGCGTTAAAAAGTCCTTGTTTTCTTGCGGATTCTCCCCGCAGTACAAAGACCGCACGCAGTCGTGGCCATCTCTACTGCACGCATCTCTCCAGCATGTATCTTGCCGTTCTATTGAAAACAAGTACCAAACAGCTCCCAAAACCTAACCAAAGAGTTTACAAAAATTGAGTAAAAAATAAAGTTGATTTATTTTAAAAAAAAAATATCAACATCAGAACTTGTATTAGTATGGGTATCATCCACTTTCCTTTTTTAAAAGTGCATACCTCAGTGTAATAAAGTTTCTGACCATAATGGTCGATGCGATGTACAGCACATGAAAGATCAAAATTTATCATTTTGGATATCTTTCTCTTTAAAATAATATTTCAAGTATTTTACTCTTCAATAAAACAGCTATCAAGATAGCTACAAGAAACATATTAAGCCAATCGCAAATCTTTGCTGTCACTCTTATTGATGCATTCACCATTTTTCTTTTGGAGGTTGGACGCTTTTTTAAGTCAAAGTAAAAGCGGGCAATTTAAATATCAGAGAACTTCATTATCAATCCATGGTTTCAAAAGTGTTGCCTAGGCAAAGATCCATCAGTGGACAGTTGTGGTCATGAGTGCCGTCCTCACTAACACGGAGCATACGTGTTGCTGTGCATAAACATCTTGCAAGGAGGCTCCTCTTTGAAGAGCATGGGTAAAATTACTATGTTTCTTTTTAAAGCCAAAAATTACACAATGTGCAGGCCTATGATTGGTTTGTGGGGATTATTCTTTTCAAAATTTCATGTTCTATCTTCTCCTTCTTTTTTCTAGGCAGAAAATAGACAAGGGAAAATCAACATATTAACATATTTGCTTGCTTTTGTTTCCTCAGTTATCCATGGCCTACTGGCAAAAAGATGAAAACTTCCTCTAAATAGCAGATGAATAAACCCTAAGAATATACTGGTTACTTGCTAAAATACTGAAAAAAACTCTTAACAGGATAAAAAGAAAAAGAAAAAACTAGCTTTTACATGATGATATTCCATCAGAGTGAAGGAGCATGATATGTGCTTAAGAGCACATTCTCGTCTACCCTTTCCGTTTCTTTTACTTTATTAAATTCACTTTCACTAACTTGGTCCTCCTTTTCCTCTTGTAACTTTTACGACTGAAGTCATCCACCTCGCTAGATCTCTAGATTTCGCATTTCCTCCTTACAAAACCTTAACAATAATAATCGAACTATAAGCTACCACTCAAAATTTGAGACAAAATTTATAAGACGTGCCTTGTAGTTCATCAGTAGGCAAGTCAGAGATTGTACACACGAAAAACTTCAGAGTTTAAAATAATTTTCACAAACAAATCCTAAAGGATATTGGTACTATTTACGTTAATAATCAAATAAACCAGATTACAACGCTTCACCAGCCTAGAAAGAAGAATGAAAGACAATTTTTGGGATTTTTAGAGTGAGAATAATTAGTTAAGAATCAGGTGGTAATAATTTCATCAAGAAAAATAGTACTTGGATACAACATGCCACAATCGTAAAATAAAAGTTGGAGATAAGTCAACACTTACATGACTTGCAAGCATGTATAGAATGAGATTGAAAGCAGCCCCTGCCCATGCTGTTTGAGTTATTATGCCCGAAGTTCTTGTCACTTCTCGGTATAGTGGTATAATCCGAACAAGTCGAGGCAAATATTGGAATATGACAATAAACATCAGCAAGTTTTTTGCATTCACTGTTCTTTCTCCGCTCACTTTGGGTATGACAGATAAAATGATCACCTGGATGGACGAAATTATTAACCATTCAATATCGCCTTTCATAAGCCATAACTTAAGAAATAATGATAGTAGATACGGGTTTTATTGACAGAAGACAAAATACAATTATAGCGTTATAGTGTAAAGAGGAAGTACAACAGCAATACAATTACATCACAAATGCTAAAAGAACTTGTAACAAACTGAGAAATCCTCGAGAGCCGTGGTTTTAACATGAAGTCCATGAAAACCGAACTAGATATACCGTTGAGCACAATGCTATGTTCTCTCCATGGGATGCATATTTATATAACGTAAAAGCATCAACAAATCAATTGAGCTTTGCTCCAGTAATGAGAATTGCCTTGCTTTTAGAAAACACAACCCCTCATATTCAACCAATCTTCTTTCTGGTGTCTCTCAATCTGACATGCAATTTTCGACTTCCTATAGCATGTAACAGAAGACAGAGTCATTTCTTTATTTCAGCCTTTGGACCCGTTGGTACCACAGAAAGAAAAGTTTCAGTGGTTACGAATGCAATACTATTCGTCCGATTTGAATATAAGGAAGATCTATAATTAACGAACTTGACGATAGTAACATATTCACAGCAAGGAGACGAATATTTATCATAAACTCTAGCTCTTATAAAAGGAGGAGGAAGTAGAAAATAAATGCAATTTCTCAGGAATTGGAAAAACGGACTTTTAAGCTGCAATGGTAGACAGAAGTTCAGGTGGAAAGGCCGTCCGAATGGATTTTCCTTTCTTTCCATTTTCTATGTTTCTTTGGTATTGTATCGGCATTTCTAGGGTTAATATTCCCTATTTCAGGTGGATTGTACCATAAAGTGTATTCACCCAGGATAGTGTTACTGATGGGGCAGTTTTTTTGTTTTTCAAAAACATCGTCTAGGAAAAGTGGTAATCTCTTGGGCATTTTTACGTCTAGAATCTCCATTGTCACTGTTCCACTTCATCTCATACTTTTACTGGTTACACTTTAATAACAGTGACGTTCCCATCTTCGGTTCGAAATGCTCTTAATGATTTTCTGCCTTTCTAGACTCAACTTCCCCATAATAATTGGCTGGTGTCCCAGTTAGACCACATATCAGGCACCTTCCCCATAATTCTAAATCGACTATCTATAAGAAGGCCATTTGCTGATCCCAATCACTCTTTCCTTTACCGTCTCTTACAGCATCCACATACCGTTCAGGAACAAGTGGCCTTAAAAAAGAGACCCAAAGAGAAATCCAAATTTAATGATAAAAATACATCTAATTATCATACTTAAATAGTTCAAGAGATAAAAGAAGCAAATACTCCACCCTCAAATCATTCATATGAACACTTGGATAAGGTGTTCAGACATAACCCACATGCTACATCTCCAAAATTTTATTGCCGGAACCCCCAAAAACAAAAAAAATCATGTACAAAACTGATGAATTATAGTATCTGTCTATTTTATTAGATATTTAAATAACTATTTGAAAAATTCCAAGTATGTCATTAGTGTTTTAGGAATTTAAACCTCACATGTTATTTTTAATTCGTCAACAGATCATCTGCAGATGTATAAACTTTATCCATTTTATAAGCGCTAACCCTACAAGCATAACAGTTCTTTTACTTAATCCCCTTGAATACTGGACAAGATATTCATCAGCTGGAATTTAGAGGATGATGATGAACTCCAATTTGAATAAAATACTTCAAGTCAGGAGAGAAAGATGCTCAAACATTTAAACCCAATCAGATCTTTCTTTGGTCAAGCAGACCCAGGTGTTTATGAAGTGACCATGATACGGGAACTGCAGCAAAATGAATACATCACAGATGAAGATTGCAGAGCTGCATGGTGAGAAACATCAAAGACTGTCTTACAGCGTGGTTACCCTTTTTATCTTTAAGATAAATTCAACCTGCAAGTTCATTACACTACACAGAAATGATTTATGCAGTATTAGCTACAAGACAATGCCTTTCGGTCTGCATTTTCAACATTGTACTATTTAAACAATGTGATGTACAATTAAAGAAACAAATATGAGTATTTTTTGGTCAACTTCTCATCCCAAATTATTTTTCTGACCAATAACAAGCGTAAACGCGATGCCAAAAATATAAATAAAATGATTTGTTTACCTGTGGTAAAGGAAGAACAGCGAGAACATCCACAATAAAGTACGATGACAGGTATCGTCTTGCTATTGCATAAGGATCCTCAACCAAAACACCTCTTCCAAATACTCGAGATGTGGGAGCAATAAAGCCAGTACGAAACTGAAAAATAATATGCAGAACATAGAACATATCCGTAAAGGAACGCAAGACACTTGCAGTGATTGACAACTTTCTTTCCAGCTCAAGGCATTTTTGACCATCAGGGATAACTGGGATGTAAAAGAACAATGGATCAATAGCCACAGCAAGTATACATGACAGAACAAAGATCTTATTCCACTTCTGAAGAAATGAACCCTGGGGATGAAGTATTTTCTTGTTTGATTGTGATTCATCCACAGATGAATCCCCAGACGGCAGACTAGATCCCAAACTTTTTAAGACACGAGATACCCATCCAAAGACCGGTTGAAAAATCTTTGACACTGAATTAACTGTCCTGCTTCTACCAGGTGATACACTATCCAAGCTTGGCGATTTCTCTGAAGTCCAATCTTGAAATCTGAATCCAGTGGAGTCATACATATTAAAAACCATTACAATGGAGCATGTAAAAACTTAAAGCAGGCCATTTAACTATCTAATTTTATGCTGACAGCGCAAGCATGTACTTCCCTAGTTTGCATAATAAATCTCATAATACATTAAAGGAAAAAAAGTACTAAGTATCAATGGACGCGATGGGGATATCATTCAATAGCCACTTAGTTTGCAAATACCAAAAGTTGTGGTGGACACGCAAATATCTTTTAATAGCATAAATTTTGCATCAAAATTGCACATATTCATATTCCCAAAACAGGGGAGTAGAATTGTTTATGAAAATCATATCTTGCGTTACAGTTGACTGGCCAGCAAATCGAAATTTAAAAGGTGAAGAATCAAGTGGGATCATATCGTCTTGGTAGTGAGCTGGACAGGTTCATTCATATAAGACAATGGGCAAAATTCACTTAATTGATAAGTTTTATGGAAAAAACGTTCAATGTCACTAACCTGAGTCTTTCTCTCATACGGAATAAATTTTTCACTCCATCGCCAAGTTGTGAAAACTTTTCACTGTGGATCTGATTCTCATCAGGTATAATTTTTTTACTGTGCCACTAGTTTGATTCTTTTTCTTATAACGTATAATAATCTTTGAAAATTACGAGGTGGAGAGACTTGACATGCATCCACATATTTTTTTATTAGTGTTGTACGACTATAAATATTCACGTTCATTAGCACATGCCTGGCGGGCACTAGACCGCTTCCAATGTATTCCTTGTGTATCAAGAACATGAAAATGACTATATGGACTACTTCAGTCTCTGCAATGTACCGCAAATATTCACTCAGACCATACCTCAGAAAACACCGTTAAGAAACTAAAGAACAGAGTTTCTTGCCTGATTCCAACAAGTTTGTAAGGTGATCTCTCATAGTAACACAATAGAAAAGTGACGAGAAGCCACAATGGAACATAAATGTGCTGAATGGATTATGAAACTAACCGCACAAACTTATTTTCGCGGTAATTCATGACTGAGTTCCCGGCAATGTGGCGTGGAGACGGAGTCAATGTGTTGACCTGTCGATTGAAAAGGATACATCACATTCTTGATCCAGATTATGAAAAAGGAAAACGCAAGAATGCCTAGACACGGCTTTTGGAATAATAGCAATTTTGCCCACTTTTCTTGATTCAAGTAGAAATAGAAACTTTATCAAGACTAAATGAGCTCAACAGAGAAACTCCAATAAGATTTGTGAGAGGAAATAACAGATTTAGTTATATTGCAGAAAAGCACTCCACAGTTCTTATTTTTTATTTGTTCCTGGTGAAAAAAGTAACACCCTTCTTGGAGACAACATCAAAAACTTGAAATTATTCAAACCCCAGCTAGCCCCAACGCACAAAAAACCAATCATTCGAGATTGTTTAGCAATAGGAACATCAACGCTCAAACCTTACTCAATAAATAAGGTGTAGATCCGAAAACAATATTACCATCTTTTCTCTGAGAAACTTCCAACATTCTTGCCCTTTATTCGGCATCTCAGTTTAAGTTCTACACCCTCAAGTCTACGCCATCTCATTGCGCATTGGAATGGAGTTTAGCTTTGTGTAGGGAGTTAGAATATCAGTTGAAATTTTGAGAGGATTTGAACTTCATTAGAGATGTATGTTTTAATACTAAATGACAAAACGTCTATCTGATAGGTAACTTATTTGTGATCCTCCGTTCCTAGTCACCATATAGGATAAACTACATGACATGAACACTTTCTAGGCAACCCTAAGCTGAGGATGGTGAAGTTTCACAATTTTTTTGCCGTGCACATAAAATCAACGCGAAGTAAATCACTCCGATGCCCCCGCAATACCTAGTATTAGTGATCAAATTAATTGCAACGTGACTTCTGTAAAAAAAAATGCCAGAGAAACATTGAATCTTAACGGGGCGGTGGGGGGAATCAACAAGGACGGCATATCCGCAATTAACAGACAAAAAATGAGAAGATGAAAACTAACAAGTAGCAATAGGAAGTTAAATAGACGGATGCCGCGGAATGCAACGAATTGATTTTACAGCATAAACAGTGAGTAGCTGTTGCTCCCGGAAATCACCCTATCCAATCGAGAAAAAAAAACCTTATATGTACTGAAATTCGCGCATTCCAGGCCACGACTCGCTGTGTAGACACATGGAACAAACGAGCGAGAGCTCTCCTTCCCTTCCGATGTCAAGGAGATCGTATTGTTGGCGGAGCCTCGGCGTTCTCAGGTTCCGAGCCCACGTCTCCGATGAAGAGAGTCGCGAAAAATAACTAGTGAGAAGGTTCTTGGTTGCTTCTTCCTCTCCCCCGCCCGCCTTCTGACCCTGTCTGCTGACTGATCAGAGTCTCCTGGTCCGAAGAGGCAGGTGAAGGACAAAAAAGGAACACGCTACTGGCGCAGAACGGGCGGAAGTCCACCCCGCGGCGGCCATCTTCGTCCTCGGAGGCTCCGTTTAACCGGCCCCCTCCCGAGGGACTACCAGACCCTTCTCACTGGCCCACCTATTAACAAGAGGACAAATGCATGGGACCCACCAGACCCGATAGCCCCATCGCTCCAACCTGCAGCTCGGTGGCTCCGAGGCTTTTGACAAGACCGTAGGCCACTATCACACCACTGGCTTGAAATACTCGTTAAATATTTTTTTACTCGTCAATAAGAGAGAAATTATTAAATTTTATGTTATTTCAGATTAAGTTAAAATTAAAACCAAACAAATTCCCGCGCGACATCCAAATAAATGGATTAACTATTTGGCTCGAGAAATGCAGTTCCCGGGCCCACTTTGGTTATTCAGGAACCATCTGGGCCCGCCGCCGCCAGTTGACCGCAGTGGTCTTGTCTGTCACAGTGCGGGACAAAAATGACGCGGCACGGAATTTAACCACGACGTGGCAAAAATTTGTGACTGAGATTGAGATCGACGGTCCAGGGTTCCTCTCTGATCTGATTTCTCTAGAAATGTGCGGCCACGATTGAAGCCCCTCCCCCCCCTCCGGCCAGAGAGAGAGTGATGCTATGAGACTGCCACGTCGTCACCCCCACCCATTTCGTGCCAGCCAGGAAGAAGCCGACGAAGCGGTTCAGTCACCTCCCACCCTCCCTCGCCCACCTTCTCAACTTTCCTTCCCTTAAAAGCCCCTTCATCCTTCCTACCTATGCTATCTCTCTCTTTCTATCTCGATCGACCGAAGGAGCTCTGTTCTAGCTCTCGCCATGTCCTCCCGCGGATGCAGAGCAGTGGCCGTGGTGTGAATGCTCCGCGACGTTTTCCCTGATTTTTTAAGTGCGTTCTCAGGGTTCCAAACCCGTCCTTATCCGTCGCCGGAGCTGTGGGAGACAGCGGTCGAACGGATTTTGAATATTCCTTCTCCTGCCTCGTAGCATCAGTGGCATAATTCTATTGAAGGTTCTGGGCATAGGATCCAACTTCCCGAGAGAGCCATTGCCGTCTCTCCTCTTGCACCTCCCCTCTGTGGAGATCCGATCGTTTCTCTTATTTCGGCGGGTTCTGGGCTAACCTGTTTATCCGACGAGGTTCTTCTTTGAAAGAATTAAGAGAAAAAAGAACTCATCTGTCGATAAAGTGCATAATATCTTTCTTAACGGATCGGCTGAGATCAATAGGGGACGATATTCTCCCACTCCGCGTCGATCAATCTGCTGAATATCCTTATCTCTTCTTAAAATTTCCATCATATCTCTGAAATTTCCCTTCTCTCGTACATAAAGCCCACAGGGAGTTATAAAATTGTCTCCGTGGCTTGAGCTGCCTTACCCCAGTGGTATCCAGTCGAGGAATTTGATAGATCAAGCAGCTAATCTGAGGTGTTCCTTTTCGGTAGAACGGGGTACTCAATAGTTTGCAGAGACATTTGAGCCTAAGGATTGTTCAGTACAATTGCCGCTTCAGGACAGTGGTGACGATGATGATAGATTCGGACTCTGCGACCGAAAAGAGTTCTGTAATAAAAATGTTGCCCGCAAAAGATCATCTGGAAGATGGTGAATATGCCAGAGGATGTTGGAAAAGGTAAAGATCTTGGAACATCAGAATGTGACTCTTTTCTTAAATGATTTTTCATTGATTGATTTTTTCCTCCATCTTGTTACCTGTTTTCTGATTGATCGATACTTGAATTTTTATCTCTATTCAGAGTTCCTCCATCTTACAGTGTAACATGTAATCGGAGTTAATGAGCCTTGCAGTGAGTCTTTGCGTGTTGTTATCTATTACACACAGAAATTGGTGTTAGTTTTATTATAGGAAAGTACATGCAGCATTGCTGCAAATTGTTTCCGTTTTACCAGAAAAAATCTTCCTTTTTGTTAATCTCATGTTATATTTTGAAGTATAAATGGCACACTCTGTTGCTAAAAATTTGATTATTACTGCAATATTGTGTCTAGCTTCTGATGAACATTATCAATTATTTTATCAATATATCAATCAGTTGTTTTGATGAAGCATAAAAGCGTTTTATATTTCCTCTGTATTGGTGCCATGAACGTTGTGATATAAAATTGCCCCTTTCATTTGGCTCCTGTTGAACTCGAAGCATGAATCTCTGATGGAGTATTAGTCATACGGTCTGGTCTATTATCATCATGATGTTGCTGCTAGAAAATCTACCTCTCAAATTCACGTTCTGGCTTTGGGATCTATCAATAATGAGGTCGACTTTGAATACTAGCAATTTAGGGAACGAAACATACATGGGCTTCTGTGGAAATTTTAAAGAGGAAATATAGAAAATAATAAAATATTTTTCTAGTGTGACTGACAAAGTGTGCTAGGAGTGTTAGTGTCACGTTCTGCCCGATCAGATTAGGTATGCTTTTTAGGTGAACCTGGTCTGCTCCACGTTCTGATTGGACCAGTTAGCAGTCAAGAATCGTCTGACTTATATCATTTGGTATTAATGATGAATGCGGGGACTGTTTCTGATTCTAATTTGTGCCCATCTTGCGAGGTTTTTTTGAAGCTCATGCAATGGAGGATGACGTTGCAAGTTTTAGATCATGCGATTTTTTATTTCTGATTATAAAGCACTCTTTGTTCGTCAAAGATATTCCATCATTGACCTTCAGGTTCACAGATTGGTGATAATTATGTAAACATTATTGGTTCCAAGGTCCAATATTGATTACTAAACCTTATGGGATCATCTTTCCCTTATGGTGCACTTTTACTTCAGAAACTTCTGACCAGACTATTATTCTGACATTTATTTCTATTGGAAGTCTTTCATTATGATTGATATTTTTGACATTGGCAGTGATGATGGTAAACTGAGTTGTGGATATTCAAGCTTTCGGGGAAAGAGAGCTAGCATGGAAGACTTCTTTGATATAAAGATGCATGAGGTTGATGGACAAGCGGTTTCTCTGTTTGGAGTCTTTGATGGTCTGTTTTTCTTGTCTACATCAGTCTGTGTTTTATTTTTGTAATAAATCAAGTCCCTTCTTTATAAACAACTTTTTACCGTAGGGCATGGTGGTGCTTATGCTGCTGAATATTTAAAGGAACACTTGTTCGAGAATCTAGTCAAGCATCCACAGTTTATTACGGACACAAAGCTGGCTATAAGTATAAATTAAATTCTTTGCTTTTGTATTCGATCTGTTTGACTAGTTTTTATCTTGCGCTATAATTCAGTGGCAGGTTAATCCTCTCTCTTATTATTAAAGTCCTAAATCATTTCGTTTCTTAATTGAAAATTGCAGGTGAAACATATCAAAAGACTGATTCTAACTTCTTGGACTCGGAAAGAAATACTCTCAGAGACGATGGTTCCACAGCTTCAACTGCAGTTTTAGTTGGCAATCATTTGTATGTAGCAAATGTTGGAGATTCACGTGCTGTGATATCGAAAGCAGGCAAAGGTACTTTCTCCCCCTTTCTCCCCCTCCTCCCCCTCTCCCTGTGTAAATATTTTCATATTTTACTTCTGTTATATGTATTTATTGTGCGAACGTATTATATCTTCTCTATTGAAGCAAATTGGATTTCTGGTTTTGGAATGTGTCTGCCTCGAGAGAAAATTGTATTTTTTCCCCCTGAAAGCTACTTCGAAGAGAGTGTGTATACTAAACCAATAAAAGTTTTTTTTGTCACGGTGGATGATGCTTCACGTAGAGATACAATGAAGATCACAACTATTACACTGGATATGGCGATGTCCTTGTCTGTTTTCATCACGTGAGATAAATAAATTAATTGGAACGTACTGATTGAATTCTGGTCTAGAACGAAAACCTCTATTCAGTTTGAACTCAGTTGTGGGAGAAAACAGGCAGGTACCTTGCTCTGATTTGCCTTCCCTTACATTTGTTGATAATTTGATGAAAGTTGTTTCTATTTGAAATTATTATGAGAAGTGTTATTTTCTCTTATACAGTTATCCCAATGCTTAGGAAACTGCTTTCTTTTCTGTCACGAATGTTGGAGTAATACGTTTGAATCAATATGATTGCTATTTTTGTAGAGTTATCTGAACTGTATGCAGCTTTTCGTACATGGTTATCTGAACTTGGTGAAAAATGTTTTTTCCATGTGTGACTGTCTCTCCGTTATTTATCTACTTGCTCACTCTTCTCTTTCTTACAGTCTCCTACTGGCTGGAAGGTTTCACTCTAGTTGCGTGTGTACACTTCAGTTGCACTTTTTCCACCTTTTTAGGATTTGTTGACGACCCTTCTGACTCTCGTGTTTGGCGAGCTGTTTAGCATGAATAAAGTGTAACAAATTTATTATTTCACTGTTTTATTCTTTCTTTCTCTTCTTTCATTCCATGCTTCTTCCCCTAGCATTGCATGATTATCGAATTTCAACTAATCTACTTGTCTGGGTTGGCGGACTTAAGCTCAGGTTTGTGAGGGTAAAGGATGAGAAAGCAGTGTGTTTTATTTGCATCGGTCCAACTCATGCGAATTGATAAGTCAGAACCATATATTTCACGATTCTTTTTTTTTTTTTAACTCAATGAAAAAGCTTTTAAACGTCCCTAATAATTTTGAAGGGCTTTTCTATTTGATTTTCCACTATCAGTGGTATAGCGGAATGAGTAAAGAGTTGATGAAGAAAATGAGGACAAAGAAGGAACAGTAGCTCATCAATGGTCATCGCTTTCACTCCACTGTCTGCTATGAATGATGGCATGCGTTTGGCATTTTTCCACTATACCTGACCGCTTTACTTCTGACACTGGTCACACATTCGTCCGTCTACACCTGTTCCATCAAGTCGTTCTCTACTTGTCACTGCGACCATCTTTCTATGAAATAAGGATGGGGGGAGGATTTCCTAAGGAGATAAATGGGAATTCTATTCTTTAACCCCATTTCAGTAGGTTGATTTTTTATCTACTTTTTCTAATTAATATCTGGATCTCAGCAAATTGTGCACTAAAGCATTATTCACATGCAAGTCAATTTATTTGGATGTTTCTAGTAGCTTTTGAAGGCATTTTAGTAATTCCAATGTGGGGATTAACGGACTTACATTTCTGACTTTGATTGTGTACCCATGTTCTAACGTAGAAAAAACCATAATCGCTGATGGACTTGAAGGTGATGGGAGTAATCCAACAGAATAACGGTTCTGTTTTCATAATTGTGCTTGAAAGTTTGAGGGTTGCGTCAAAACTTCGTAAATTAGATGCAATGCATTGGAAAAAGAATATAATGTGCACAAATAAAATAATGGAACAATTTGGTGAAAACTATGGGTCTTCATCCAAGCCTATTTCGTCTAAACAGTTGAAAAAAAACAAAACGCATAGCTTGTTCCTAATATCGTTTTCCCACTTTGACTAGGGTTCTTTTAAACTCCTCTTATAATGCTTTGGAATAAGCACATCTTTGAACTGAAAAAAAGGGGGTCGTCTGACTTGCTGTCGCACATATATGTTATTGTGAAATACTTAGTAATGTTTGCAATTGATGTCTCCTTATCTCGCTCCCTCGTTTCGTTGAAGCTGATCTCTTCTGTAACTCCGGCACAGTTAGACTGCTCATCATCATTTTTCTTTCATTTTGTGTAGCCTTTCATTTGTTTTTTTACTAACTGTAGGTGATGCCACTGATTTCTTGCTTTGTTCTGAAGTATTTACTTTTGTTGTCTATTTCTGTATAGCCATAGCTCTTTCTGACGACCACAAACCAAACAGAAGTGATGAGCGCAAGAGAATTGAAGATGCTGGTGGAGTTGTCATGTGGGCTGGTAACTCACCATTCGTCCTTCAATCTTCTGGAATTGTGAGAGTACGCTTGAAACGCTGCTACAGTAAGAATGAGGCAATGTGGGAACAGGAGATCATGGGATTCTCTTGTCCTGGTTGGATTTACAGTATTCAGCTTATGCGATTGATTGAGAATAGAAAAAGACGTAGAAGTTTAATAATAGCAAATGATAACGAATGAATGAATCAAAAAAACTTTTCAAATGTGCAAGGAAAAATTTCTGACTTGGGGAGGAGGGGGGGGGGTTTATTTTAAATTCGGAGAAATTTTAATTTATCCAAGTTAATGTTTCTTTAGTTCGATATTTCTCGCAGGGAAGAAATTATTTCAGTTTACATTTCATTTTTTTAGGTACATGGAGGGTGGGCGGTGTGTTGGCTATGTCACGTGCATTTGGAAACCGCTTACTGAAACAATTCGTCGTGGCAGAGCCCGAGATACAGGTTCTTTATTGATCTTTAGGCTTTTGGGCCCTTTTCATTCGGTTACAGTTAGCAATAGGGCATGCCTGTTTCAAGAAATCGAGCAGCTTCGTTTTCTTTCTGGCGCTTGCAGCTTTAATAGATGCAAACCTTAGCTACACTGTTTTCTCTGGTGATAACTGCTCACTAGCTTTTTTTTATGTAGCGCTGTTTAATTAGGATAAACAATGTTTGACCGTATGTGAAATGGCCTTGTCTTTGATATAAATATCAACGATTTAAACATATTCTTAGTTGCTCGAATGGCCATATTTCAGAAGACAGATGTTATACACCATATCTTTCATGCCTCTGTACCGGATGGCTCATTTTCTGTGCGTCGAGTGTGCGAAATGGCGTATGCCGTGGGTTGAAAGTATCCTGATATGATTCCTGGTGACCGAGTATTAGAACATTCAGTCGTACGCAGGGTTGTCTGAGTCAGATTGTGAGGTTCTTCGTAGCCATCATCCGTAAAGTTCTACAGAGGGCCCTGGCTCGTGATCATAGTCTTTGATTTTTGGAATGTGGGGGTGTGTTCCGCATTGCTCTAATCACCTTCGTATGAACTATGGAGACGTTGTGCATTGAGCTTCTGAGAACATACTGGAACTGAACATGAGCCTTATGACCACTTGCCACTCCTCCCCCACTTTTGGGGGGAGAAAACTGCAAATCTCGCGGTAAACGTCGACATTTGTAGAAAAAAAACGGTAGCACATGCACATGAAGAGCTGATGTTATGGTTAACGGTGCATCAGGTTTCACATGGTCCCTAATTTTTTAGATGAGCATAATTCTTGAGCTTCAAACTCACTAGCTTCATGTTTATGCCCATTTCCCTTCCATTTTGTTGTATTTATGTTTTCCGCGGCATCTGTGGTTCCTTTCAGCAAAACTTATCGAACTTTGTTGATAGCTCTAACCATTCTTCTCCTTCTTTTTTTGTCAACATAGATCACTCTCTATCTCTGTAATTTCTTTTCTCTTTCTCTCTCTTTCCCTCTCTTATGCAGTCGTTCACTCTTCTAGTTTTGAAGAGCGACAGAGTGCTTGTGATTAAGCAAAAAAAGTGTGTGAGATAGATAGATAGATAGAGAGAGAGAGAGAGCAAGAATATCATAGAGAAGGGTTTTTGTTGAAAAAAAAAAGAGTGATAGGGAAGGTTAAAAAATACGAACCAATCGAGCTCCTGTCGAGGGTTTCTCTCTGAACCAGGGCTGGGCGTTCAGCCTCTCTTTTGGTGCCATAAAGAGAGGGATCTGTTGCTTCTCTCACTCGTGGAAAGCCAATCAAGATTGATTGAATGATGCTCGCAGATAAGGTTGATGATGATGATGATGACGACGACGGCTTTTTAATGGTTTTCTCCTCTGTTTTTTGCCGTATTTGCTTGCTTGCGTCCGAATACCAGCAAGAGTTTTCAAATTCCTTCCGACACCGAGGAAAAGGAATGTTTAGCCATATCATATAACCTGTTTCTGGAACGGGATGAATGACGTGAAGCTTTTACTCTCAGGAGCTGGAGATTATTGATGACCTGGAGTTCCTGGTTCTCGCTAGCGACGGGTTGTGGGACGTGGTGCCCAATGAGGTCAGTGCTCTTGTTGTAGACCCAGCCTGTCTGTCAGCTAGAGAGAGAGAGAGAGATGGGTTATTATTTATTTATTATGGGAGATGGGCTCCGGGGTTTTTGTAACGGCGTCTCGACGTGACGTGGGTTTGTCCTCCTTTGGGTTTGTCTCAGGACGCCGTTTCCGTTGCGAGGGAGGAGGAGGATCCAGAGGCAGCGGCCAGGCGACTCACGGAGACCGCCTTCGCCCGCGGCAGCGCCGACAACATCACCTGCATTGTGGTCAGATTCTGCCATGACGCGACTTCCGCCGATCCGCCGCCGTCTCCCGTCGAGTAGAATCGCCTCTGAACCCCGCTAGTCTCTCTTCTCTTGGGACATTTATTTATTATTTATTTTTAATATTATGTCGGTGTTCCTGTGAACCTGCGATTATGGCGCTTGGATGAATCCCTCTCTTCCCTTTTATTTCGTTCCTCTCTCTCTCGCTCTGGGGGCGGATATGTTCCGCCGTTTTCCGGCATGCGTAGCTTTCACCGCGGACTTCTCCGAAGCGACGATTCGCAGGGAGAGAGCGGACAGAGCTCCGTCCCCCACCCCCCCACCTCCCAAAAGCCCCACACGACGTGCCTACCGCCGTCAGTTGTAGCGTTGGCGTTTTATCCGGACGGCTTGTCGGCGCTCTGGAGTTCCCCTTCATTTTCGGGTGAGAGAGAAACCCCTCATTTCCAACGTAATTATTTGTGGACCCTCATTTTTTTAATATTATGTAGAAAGTTCTCGTGAGGGTGGCTAGGTTCCTAGATGGCCGCTGTCTCTCTTTTGCTTTCTGCGTTGTTTATGTACCCCGCCGCCATTATTATTTATCATACGTATCTATCGATGGTGGTCACTGCCAGAAAGCCAAATGCGAGAGCTGGTCGACGATAATTGAGTGGCCAACAGCGCCGCTCTTTCTAGGATTTACGATAATGCCCAATCCAGCTGACCGTTGACCATGATAATATTCGTCGATATCAGGGGATGGTGGCAGTTTCGTGAATATCGAGATCCGTAGAGGTGGATCGTGGGGCTGCGGAGTGGGGGAAGATGGGAACGCGGGGAGGGGAAGGTGGGGACCTAAGCGGCGAAGGCTGCGGGGGCATATAAGAAAGAAAAATTATGTAATAAAATATGTGGGTCGATTGGTTGTGGTGGTGGTGGTGGTGTTCGAGGTCCCTGTAAGGAGAGAGGAGGAATCAGTGCGAGGCCAGGCAGTGAGGGGGGGCGGAGGTGAGCTTGCTGGAGAGGCTTATTCGGCGGAGCTCTTCTCGGGTAGATTTTTGGTTTTGGGGGGAGATCGGAGCTTCTTCTCTGTGCAGCGGCGGAGGCTTGGCGGTGGCTTCTGGTTGCGAGTGGATGTGGTGGGGGAGTGAGGAGACCAGCGGGATTGGACTTCGGGGCGGCGACCAAGGGAGGGGGATGATGGAGTCGGACCACCTCCAGAGGCACCACAGACACCAGCCGAGGGAGAACCAGTGCAGCTCCACGCTGTTCAAGCGCATCAAAGCCCCTGTCCACCTGGTATGTTGTTAGTCTCTCCCCCAGTCAGCCTCCGTCGCTCGCGTCGGCTGCTCGTGCTTGGCGGCGGATAAGAGCTCGTCTTTATTCGCGGCCGTTTTCGCCACGTTTTTGTAGGTGATCTGCAAATTTTGGGAGATTATTTATTGCGATACACTTTCCTCGATTCGGCCTGTATTGATATTTGAGTTCGTATCTGTTCTTTCCAAATCTGATTTTCTCCCTGTCAACCGGATTATTTTTTTCCTTCCGTGTTCTAATCGTAGGAATCTCCTCCCTCCCTCCGGTGAATGCTACGCCGTTTTTCTGGTTCTCGCGTCTCTGTGTTCTTCATCATTGGATCACCGACGAAGAATCCACAGGCCGTGAAAGCACCGAATCATCTCTTCTCATTGTTGACTGCGGTGCTCTTCGTTCGTTGATGTGCTGCGGCAACAGGTGTGGTCTCTGGTGAGGCGATTCGACCAGCCGCAGAGGTACAAGCCCTTCATAAGCCGGTGCGTGGTACAGGGAGACCTCAGGATCGGGAGCGTTCGAGAGGTCGACGTGAAATCCGGCCTCCCGGCGACCACCAGCACCGAAAGATTGGAGCTTCTCGACGACAACGAGCACGTCCTCAGCATCAAGATCCTCGGCGGCGACCACAGGCTTAGGGTGCGTGAGATTTCTTCTCCCCATCTTCCTCCTCGCAACCGCATCCTCTCCGACCTTCCCTTCTTCTCCATCACGATTCGATGAGGTTGCCTGCAAAATGGCAACTGCATCCTCTCCGACCTTCAAACGATGGCGGATTGAGCTCCGTTCTGTTCTGGCGGCTCACGTCAGTACCTCTAAACCGGGGCATCCATATGTTTTGACTGCTGAAAACGTTCGTCTTCTTTCTCGATCTTATGAGCCAGTTTTGTTGGATTCTCCGTGCCCTTTTTTCATAGCTCGTCGTTCTGATTCATTCTTCTGCATTTTCCTCTGCAGAACTACTCGTCCGTCATCTCGCTCCACCCGGAGGTGATCGACGGGAGGCCCGGCACGCTGGTTGTGGAGTCCTTCGTGGTGGACGTCCCCGAGGGGAACACCAAGGACGAGACCTGCTTCTTCGTAGAGGCCCTCATCAAGTGCAACCTCAAGTCCCTGGCCGACGTCTCCGAGCGCCTCTACTTGCAGGACCTCCCCCCGGACAACATCTTCACCCAGGCCGGCATCTGAATCTCTCTCTCTCTCTCTCTCTCTCTCTCTCTAGCGGTGTCCTGCCTAGAGCTCACCTCTGGAGGGGGGGCAGCCGACAGTCAGATCTCTGTTCTCACCTTTGAAAACCCCATGCTCTGCAACGCCTGGCGATGGAGGAGAGGGAGGGTTTCATCAGTCTTTCTTCCTCATCGGGGACTGTAAATTACCCGTCCGCGGGACTTTGATCTGTGATTGTCTGTCTGGGCTTTTTTCATTCTCCCCCTCCACCTCTGCCCGTCCGGCGTTAGATCCGATGATTCCTCCGCCCTCGGGATTAAAAACGGTGACTTGATTGGGGCGGGGGGCGGGGGGCGGGGGTGAAATGGGTTCGCAAGCTCCTTCCGATCCCTTCAGTCCAGCGATCTTACGCAAAGTGGATGTCTTTTTACGTTGGCTGTTGTTATTTTCGGAAGGCGCCGTCGGGAGGAACGGGACGACAAAGTTCGGGGCCCAGCGCCGTCGTGTATCGCCGCCGTTTTCTCTCTCTACTGCTGCTGCTTCGCCGCAGTGTGGTAGCCCTCTCCCTCCGGCAAGGAGACGAATGTGGGCCGGTCGACGACATCGACGTGGGACTGCGATTTCTCCGTTGACCTGTCGTATTTGGGAAATATATGCGATAACATAATTGCTCCTCCCCGCAAGAGAGAGATGTGGGTGACAGAAACAGCAATAAACGCTAAAAAGATGTAAATTGTCACGTATCTTAAAAGTCGCATATGTTTCATTATTTACTAACGTGAAAAAAATTTTACCAGAGCCCCCTAAGATCGACCGATATTAATGCAGATACCTTCGTTGGGAGTAATATATACATAGAGATATATATCTAGGAAGATAAGTGGAGGTTGTCCATTTTTGTCTAATAGTGGTTGCTGCAACAAGCCAGTGTGGGGTGAGGGGGGAGGAACTGGGGTGACTGTCACCGGAGGAGAAGAGGGGCCGGTGTGGGAGAAAGGGCCAGGCCAACTGGTCTCTCAAAGCCCAGGGGGGCTATTTAGGTCCGTCCGTTTTAACCTGTTATCGACTGGCAAAAGCTGCCGCCTGAAATGTCTCCGGGCCAGGCTATTCTGGTCCGTCCGTTTAAACCTATTTATTACCGACGGGGCAGAGGACGAACTTGGCTATGCTGTTGTTGCTAATGCTTATCCGGTTCCGGGGCAGCTGATGTGATTTGGGGCATCGAAAGAAGGAAATAAAAATAATAAATTCCAAATATTTGGGGGTTTTCGTCTTCCGGTAGTTTTCCTTTGTTATTAAAAAATACTTTTTTTATTGGAATTTTTAATCACTTACGTAGACATCAGATATCACATCAGACATCAGATTTATACGAACGTATACTCCTTGCCTGCAGGTGATGCGGGAGTTCACTGTTTGATTTGGGAGCTTACCTGTGATTGGATATAACGATTTTTGTAACGTCATCACAAAAATATCTCTCTGTAGAAAATTATTATCACTTGATAATTATCGTCATTTGTTAGGCGAGTCTAAACTCTGTATGAGCCCAACAAACTCTTGCAAGAGTCAAATCTTTTGATGTGGGCTTGAGAAAAAAGCACAGAAAAATATAGAGCTAGAGCGTGAAAGAGAGAGAGAGAGAGAGAGAGAGAGAGGGTGGAGGACAAATTGCCAGAAGATGAGGAATTGAGGGGCACCCATTTCATAAGAAACAATGGACTTAATGGTTTGATTGGACACCACTCGATCAAGATGAGGCCTGTAGGCGGCCAATTTTTCTTCCAAGTCGAGTCAAACCTTTATATTGACGTGAAAACTCAGGGAGACGGGTCACGTCCGGGCTGGCCCTCAATCATCAGCCCCCTACGTAGAGCATTAATGATGAAGATCCCAATCCCCGTCCCCACTGTCCGCCCTCGGAGATATGACCTCGATTGGAGTCGCTTCCGAAGACGGCCCGGCCCGAATACGAGAACTCAGCTCCCTCTACTCGTCCCTTTCCGGCTACGGCGGTTGTATCTTCTCACCCCGATTTGCCGTAAGAAGCAAGGAATGGCTTCATTACTGGATCCTCGATGGTGACGGTGATGCTGAAGTACCCATTTTCTTTGATATAAAAAGATTGTATCTTCACAGATGAACACAAACCATCGTCACCCTTATTTTTACTTTTTCCGTTTACAGACGATAGATATGACACTAGAGGAAGTTCTAACACACAATCGCCAACCCCGCTAACCCTAAGGAAGGAGGGCCTTCCTACTGCGTGTGGACTGACAGAGTAGCGCAATGAATGTGGCTTTGGCTCATTCAACAGTTCACGGGGAGTAGTAGTACTACCATTTTCCCATCTTCCTCACCGATTCTCTCCGGTGCGGACGCCTTCAACTAGTCGTCGCAGTTGGGCCGAGTTCTTCGGGTGAGAGCAACTGGAGTCGTAGGCCGGTGGAAGCTGCGTCAATGGAGAGATATAAAAGCCATTCAGTGGGACAATGGGCCCAAGCTTTTAAGACGTATGAGTACTAATTTGTCCCAGAACAAGTAAGAATAGGAAATCCAAAAGAGGAAAACGGTGGTAGGTGGGGGGGGGAGGGGTATATTTATTACTTTATCTAGGAATAATGTTGGGAAGATAGAGAGAGGAACCTGCACCAGAAGAGGGTCAACGCAACAAATAACATTCTTCAAGTCAACGCGAGATCTTCTTGTTGTTCATAGAGCTGAGCTTCGGCCGCTTCCTGGTACGGGTTGAGGATGTTCTTTATCTCGTCGGCGGTGAGGGTCTCGTACTCCAGCAGCGCATTGGCCAGAGCGTGCAATGCATTTTCATGCTGTGAAAATGTAAATAAATGGACCGGGTTAATGTAAATAAATAATGAGTGGCATTTATTTATGTTTATATAAGTTCTAACCAAACATCTAAACCAGGGTGGCCATGAACAAGGGGGAAATTGGAGAGCATGAAGCAGCTTCTGAGAATCCCAGGAGTACCCCCCCAATGTGGACAGCCATAGATTCTATAAAATGACACTAGAACCGCGATCATCTCTCCATTCTGATCAGTGAAATGAGCAATAGATCAGTCTCTGCTCAATAGATTAGAATCCATGGGAGCAAATCAATTGCTAAAATTAGAAGATGCTCAGCAGTCCCCAGCACTAAATGAGCCCTCTTTCTCACTCATATGCACTGCAATAAATTTCTGCATAGATGCTCCACAACTTGGGAGAAAGGACATGAATCCTAGATCAAAGCTTGAATCTGCCGTACAAAAAAAGGTAATGTCGGATACCAACCTTCTTCAGTAATCTCTTCACTCGATCATAGGCTTCCTTCAGGAGCTTCACGACCTTCGATTTCCAAGAACACACCCATTAGACGTGAAACAGGTACAGGAGAAGTCAAACTCCAATTCCCATACCTCCGCATCAATCCTTGCTTGCATCTCTGAACCCGGCCGGTCTTTTATGAATATTGGACCGATTACTTCACTCATCCCGCATGTTGAGACCTGCCACATGCATAAAAATCATGACTTTAAATAGCAGCTGAAAGACAATTCCTCAGTCAGATAGACCCGAGGATACACACCATGTACTGGGCAAGCTCTGTTGCCGTGTGAAGATCGCTGCTCGCACCAGTCGTGATATGATCCCCACCGAAGATGAGCTCTTCAGCGACTCTCCCTCCCATGCAGACATCTAGGCGCGCCAGTAGCTGCTTCTTGTTGATGGATGTCTCATCCTGAGATGGAAGCTGCGTGACCATCCCCAAGGCTGAGCCACGGGGCATGATTGTGGCCTTGTGAATGGGATGTGCGCCATCAGTCGTGAAGGCAACGATGGCATGGCCACTTTCATGATATGCGGTAAGCTGAAAAGAATAAAATGTGAGTGAACGACAGGGCTCATAATCTAGCCGCATAGTTGCCTCATAATACAGCAGAATACATGGTCTAACGCGAGTGGCTAACCTTCTTTGATTCTTCTGTCAGGAACATTGTCTTGCGCTCTGTGCCCATCAGTATCCTGTCTTTTGCGAACTCCAACTGTGCAGCGTTTAGGCTCTCGACGCCATCTACTGCAGCCTTTATGGCAGCAATATTTACAAGGTTCGCCAGGTCTGCTTATGAAAATGTTCTCAGAAGGCTTTTTTGTTTTATACAGCAGAACTTTCTGCTTATAGACATGGACAGGCATTCGTGACAATAAGCACATACTGGGAGTATCATAAGCCTATGGTGTCTAGTTCTTGACAGCTTTAGATACCCACTCGATGGCAAGGGAGTTCATGCAACATATGTTGACAAAAAAGGAAATAATTGCCTATAATGCAGAGCCTCAATAGGATGAAATATGAACTGCCATGGAGAGGATGAAATATGTCTAAGAATAGTCCCATATTGGTATGAACTGGATTGCCGCCCCGTAATTCTAACATGGTAACAAAGCAATTTGGATAAGCCATTTGCACTGTCTGCAAGAGAAAAGCCCAAAAGTTGCCCGAGCAATTTGATGGGGTGTATTAAGAACATCCATAAAAATAAACCCGAGACAATTAAAATTAGCCTAGTCGACTTAGCCATTCGATTTTTAGTTGGATGTCCCCATCACTCGAAAAAAACGAAAGTTGAACACAAACCTGCCCCATTGAAGCCTGGAGTACCACGGGCAATAGCCTTGACATCTACGTCATCAGACAATGGCTTGTCCTGCAGATAGAGCTCCAGAATTTCTTGTCTGCCACGCACATCAGGGTTTGGAACGACAATCTGGCCCATAACATTATTGTAAAAATGATCAGTAACCACTTCAGAGAACCATAAATGTGTTGAAAGCAGAAGGTTCTACGCACACTACTATTTAGAAAATAAATCATACACACGATCAGGAAGAAATACAGTATCATGTGAGATGCAGCACGGCCTAAGGCTTTGAAAATGACAACAATGTGTCCAAGACAGCGTACTAATGTCTTGCAAGAAAATTTTAGAACGGAAGTGCATAAAGGTATAGTGGGACTTACATGCCTGTCAAATCTCCCAGGCCTTGTTAATGCCGGGTCAAGAATATCCGGCAGGTTTGTGGCAGCCATCAATATAATACCCTACAGAAGACGACTTAATACATCAGGTCAAGTGTAGGTGGAATCATCAACACATCAGCCAATGTTTGAAGAGAAAAAAAACCTCGTTCTGCTCAAAACCATCCATCTCAACAAGGAGCTGATGCAATGTCTTCTTCGTATGCCCCTCCCATTGCTTTCTGGTTGACCCGATTGCGTCTATTTCATCAATAAAGATGATGCATGGTGCCTGTGAGTAAAAAAATAAAAATGAAAAGGGAGTAAGATGAGATTCAAATATACGTTAGCGTAAACAGAGTAACAAGATCGTAAACCATAAAAAACCAAAGCGTGATGAGGACCGCATTCTCATCACCACTAAATAACCTCAGCGATTTCAAAGAGATTGGTGGCATAAACCTTCTTTTAAAAAAATCTGTTCTTCCAAGATATGGCATTGGAAAAAGGACAATATCTTCGTGACTTTTATAACTAAGTAACATGACAGAATTATAAGGCAATCACATGCTAGGTGCCAAGTACTTAAGTTGTCAGCATTCAAAAAATAAAAAAAGAACTAAAACCAGGGAAACAGAAACACGAGATTATTGCTCAAGGGTCTCCATGGGTGCTATGTTATATTTATGCGGAGTTATCAGCTTTTGCAGAAACTAATGTTTCAGAATAGTCTAAAATGACTGGCCAAAGTTAATGTTTAAAAAATAGGGAAAAATACCAACGCTAGTGAGGTCTGATGGTCTGAAAAGATTTTCACGTCATCAACAAAAAATGGAGAGTAGTGATGACAGCAATTGACATTATAAAATATTTTAAAACTAGTTAGGACGCCACAAGATCTTAATGAAACGAGAATCTGATTATGAGATAAAGGTATTGCAATATTTGCATGACAAATATCATTAGCATAACAAGGATTTCATAGACGACCTTTTTCTTAGCAGCCTGAAACAAGGACCTTACACGCCGGGCACCCACTCCAACGAACCTGGATAAATGACACATGGTAAGGCATTTGCAGGATTAATAAAAATGTTACTACACAGCTCCTGAAGTAGATTATTTTACCTAAACGAACTCACATAAAAAGGAAAGAGAAGAAAGCCACTAACAATAAAAAAGGCATGGCAATAGCATCCTTACAATTATGGCTTAAAATTGGCAGATCACTTTCATTGTCATAGCCTCTCCATAGCAGATACGGGAGAGCATATGGGTACCAGCGGGAAAAATATTTATTTGCTTTAATAGTATGCACAAGGGTACAATCTTTGGTGGAACGCAAAACATTTCACAATACATGACCATCACACGACAGAAGGCATCAATTTAGAAGATATCTAGACTTTGAAAAGGCAATGATAGACAAGGCAGCCCATGAAGAAGTGAACTGTGGCTGCAAGTTAGAGGCACCTTTGTTATGTGAAATTTCCAGCCATTTTTTTTTGAGATGGTAATAACATTCCTTTCTCATATCTGAGGTGGTGGATCTCATCGAACCACCTAATTTCATATATTTAAATCGTCAAAGCTTCTGGGGTGATCTTGTTGTCTTTTTCCTTACATCGGAAGCGAGACATACGTTACACAGAGCTTTTTATTAATATTTCAGTATATAAACGCTTTCTAAAAAATATTATACACCAAAATACATGCTCTATTAGGTAAATGTAGCATGTAATTCCTAAAGTGTAATTCAAAGTCTAAAGTGCACTAATATTCATCTCAACTGAGCTTGGACAGTTTCCTCATTACTTTCGCAAACATGGAGAACATAAAAAATAGGTGCTGATAGAAGTCTGATATTCATTAACGACATGTGACTTGAGAATTTTGCTAATCTTCATCTAGTTCATACAGCTTCAAAGTTTGATTGGCAAAGGGCGAAGGAAGCAAGCCCGATATGTTGTAAATAGAGGAAATGCTTGTTTCTGGTTGGATACATTGATCTCGTAGTTGGACGAGGGGTTAGCTCTCTCTGGTTCACCTCCCTGGGTATGGAGGTGAACTGTATAATTAAGAGATTGAAGTGAATGATCCGAAGGAGCAGTCACGGAAATCTCGGAATGTTGTTTCAGTTCTTACAGGTAATGACTTGAGTCATTACATGTTCTTACTTACAGGACTGGAGTCGCAGCAGGAAAAATGATATGTCACTTTCAAGTGCATCACAGTACAAGCGAGGAAACGCAAGTTACAAGGGAGTCCTACATTTTAACAGAATAATGAAAGCATTGAGTGGATCAATCGATCGAAGACTGCGTCCTCACGAGAAAGTTTAGAAATTGAAAATGAAACCATAAATTGAGCATTGGACGAGCGCGTTTTACATGGTGATTATTGAGAGACACTAAAAGCCATGTTGAGAAGCAGTAACTATTGAGAGACAGAATTACAATGGTTTCACAAACAATACAGAAAAATAGAAGAATGAATGTGAAGATTCTCAAAATCTTGCTAATCCTCAATGCACAGTATTTATCATTTCATCACAGATGTTTAGCTAGATAGTTAGGAATAAACGTCAGGAATAATCTACAATAAGTATGCAAGAATATTTTTTTCCGGGATTATTCTCTGAATAAAACATAGAATGAATGATCATGTATGCCAATCACCACTTCATTCTATTCATATAAAATCCAATAAACATAGAAGATAAATGAACAAGTAGCCAACATACATTTCTTCAAATTCAGAGCCTGCACGGTAGAAAAATGGCACCCCAGCTTCCCCTGCAATTGCCTGTAGACAATCGTTGTAAAGCGTCAAGTGAAGTACGTATCACAAACTCAATGTCATAAGAGCTGGCGGCATTCCAACAATGAATGCCAAGTTAGGTCTGATAAGAACGTGAAACTTCTGGCGGATTCACAGCATCAGATAAGAAACACATCCCAGAAGAGTACCTTAGCAAGCAAAGTCTTTCCAGTACCGGGCGCTCCTGTCAAGAGAATTCCCTACAGGATGAAAAGGTCAGCTCACAAAACAAAAAATTACGATCTCAGGGAGAGGTTGCAACGTACATGGACACGACTGCTAAGTACCATATAAATAGGAGAATGAAACAATTGATAGATCTAGAGGCAACCTAGAGGCATGTTTCTCTTGCACACAATTTACATGCTTGCAAGCACAAATGGATGCATAAAAATTCGTCAAACCATATAATCGAGAAGATATTCCCCCTGGAATCAACCACAAAAATTTGGGAGGAATGTAACAGCCAGAGAATTTCCCAACACAACATGCAGTCAATGAATCTTTTTTGGCAATACAAGCAAGAGTAGGGAAGGTATCTGAGGATTGAGGAAAACTTTTGCAGTACATAGCAAGCTGACACTTTGGTTGCCGTTTTATACAAGATGGGTGCTTTTAAGTCCAGAAATGAATTGAAAAAAAGATGTCCCTGATTATAGCCATACAAATGGCTCAGCAGTGCAAGAAGGATCCTCCGATGAAAACTAGGACTTTCCCCTGAATGCTTGTGAATCCACAGCAGAGACATTCCAGAGATTCAATGCAAAGCATCATATTGTTCCCCAATACAACTTCAAAGAGCTGGTAACACTAGCATCCCAAACGTTTCTGGAAAGAAACATGCAGCAAATTGATTTTGTTTATCCGACACTAAGGAGAATCCTCTAGAACCTCCAGTGATGGCCTAAACTTAGTTAGAATGGTTGTAAGGTGACTTTGGCTACCCCCTAAAGGTTGCAAGTGCAACTCTAGTGAGCACATCCAAGTCAATTAGCACCACCCTGTCAGTCTCAGACTTAAGGGCACAGATATGCCATCAGTGGAAATACAACTAGATGTAAGGAAAATGAATACTACCAAACAGACGTTAAAAGTTGTCCATAACCTCCAATTCAAAGGTGTGAAGTATTCTTCTGTCGAGCAGTATGAACAGCAAGAAACAGTTCAACACGCTACAAATATGGAACAAGAAGTATTACCTCTCTGGACAAGAGAGCTGGGGACAAAAATGAGTAGAAATGTTTATCATTAAATGAGAACCGTCTGGCTTTAAAAAAAATTAATCTTAGAAACATCAACGGAAGAACTTGACGTTTCCTTCAGCAATGATTTCGACAGGAACATAAAAATAAACCATGGATCACGAAATTGAAAAGTACCATTTTCTTTCCGAAGCAAAAACCTACCGAGTCCAATACTAACCGGTGAAACTAAAACTCAAATTAAATCTAATATCCTTCTGTAGATCACGTAAACTCCACAAAGTGGAATGACCAGAGGAAACTAGAACTGAATTTTTCGGTTGGTTTCAATCCAATTCTGGAGTAGAGACAGAAATTGTGTCAGAAGTTGAGTAAACCTTTAATTGATCTAACAAATCCTAACTTGAGACAAACAGGCTTTAATTGATCAGTGAAGAGTGGGTATCACTCACAAGTTTTTCAAGCAATTGCCAGATAGTTTGACTCACACACGTGAGAGGGGGGGGAACAAGTGACTTGGGAATATGAACACAGACGTCAAAATGGACCATGCCACGTACTTAGGAAGACCTTCCATTTGTTCGGCTGATCAACTGAAAACCGTACAGGATCACTGACTCGTACAGGAGCTGGTTGAATTATTTTGAGACGTTATCCAAAGGAAATTTTCATACTACAAGAAAATTAAAAAAATAATGTGACCTAAGCTTTATTCATTCTGCTTCAGCCTGTTAGATTTTCACACTTTTCCAAATAATAGCACTATAAACAAAACCATATGACCAAATATCCACTGATAATCCGATACAGACACACGACTGTTGCTGTCTCCACAGGTTCATAAGAAATATGACATAGGAAACTACATATAGCAAAGAAAAGATCTCCAGAAAATAAAATGAATTCCAACAGTAGCTAAAAAAATTAGACAAACCTTGGGTAACTTTCCACCAAGGCGTGTGAACTTTCCAGGGTTCTTAAGATACTCAACAACCTCTTCGAGCTCTTGTTTTGCATCATCACAGCCCTTGACATCCTTAAATGTTTTTAAATTCTGCACAGAAATAGATTAATGAGAAATGTAGAAGGAGTCAGGTGCAGAACTGGGAGAATATATAATTATCAGGAACATCCAAAGCTGTTACCAAATAATTCAGGTAAAGCTTACTAAGAAACGGGTTAAAACAGGTTACATGATGAGAACCATGTAAAGCTACACAGAGTTAATTTTTTTTAGACAAGCCATTAGAAATAACAAATACCAAAGCTAACTGCAACTAAGTAATTTGTGTTAAAAAGGCATCCAGATTTGTTCCATATAGCTGAGATAAAAATACGACACAGCTGTGTGCCTATGTTTTATAACACAGAAGCTGGTACCTCTATTTATGATAAACTGACTTAGACCACAAATCTTGACCTTCCCGAGATTGAAGGGAAAACACATGAGAATATTGATCTCCTCATTCACAGGAGTGTTCTCTTTTTTCAATCAAGATTCAATAAAAGATTTCAGCATTACAAAATTTGTGGCAACCGGAGTGATATTGGAATCCTAAAAGGTGTTTTACTATCCTAGAAAAACAGAAAAACTTATTCATAAACTCGCTGATAATAAAAAAATTAAATTGTATCACTAGATGAGGAAACAAAGGATTAATATAATATGAAAAAAAGCAAAATATCCAAAATATATAGCCTGTAGTTTCAGCACGAAAAGATAGAACGGATAATAATACCTTCTCCGGCATAATTTCTTTGTTCATCTCTTTAGGAGCATACGTCGCACTTGAACCGACACCTGAAGTACCGATTCCACCCAAGCTACCAACATATTTTTGAAGTGCAGCTGCTCCCATTATCCTGTCAATTAGAATCGTGAATAAATGGAATAAAGTAGAATCAAGTATTAAAAACAGAGACTTCTAAAAAGGAGACCTTATATTTACTCAAGTTGAGTTCAACAGTGGGGAGGAAGAAACAGAACTAATAAAGCAAATTGTGCCAGTCTCGAAATCTGATGGGGGGGTAATAAAGAAATGGACCTGATCCCAGCTCAATACTGTTTCTAATTCAGACCCTAACTCAATGTCCACAAGATAGGGTACATGAAATTTTCAGATCCATTTAAAAGGGTAGGAAGGAAAAATGTGTTTTTAAGCCGACGTAGTCTCAGTTCCGACACAACCAATATATGAAAATTATGAGGTTTGATTCCCTAGAACGGTCCCAAAACCAAATAATCAGTTTTGTCAAATTCATACAACTCAACCAACTCTTTTATAAAGGATATAGACCTCTGTTCAACTTTGATTCTCTAGAATCGGCATCAACTTTTTTGTTAGAATACATTTCAGCCATGTAACGAGGATTACGTCTTGCTAGAGATAGTACAATGTATGTCACGCCAGTGCAACACAGATGGGAGAACCTGCGAAACTATGAAAGCGTAAAGGAAAAATTATACCGATTTTTCACTACATCAGAACCCCAAAATGTCTGTGTAACCTAATAATTTGCTGGATAATCCAACTTGCAGAAAAAATCTCCTGATAGTAACAATGTCAACAGTAAATTTTAACCAGAGGATCCCCCACATTCTCAACGATCATCTTTACACTAGAGGTCCCAAAGAAGTTCCTGAAAGGCACACGAAGTCAGTAAGATGTATCTGAAAGATTTCATATCTCTAGCAAATCCTCTGACTCTGGAAGAGCCTAGGCAGCAGAATTAAATTATACTACAATTAGGCCTTGCAACCACCTCTGGAAGGCAGGCACGTAAGAAATTTCCGAGTATTACAAACTCCAGGCCTTATCAACGACTCGTCCCACACATGATGAAAATTTGATTAAGACATTATTTACAGCTTATTCCAACTAGAGTTCCCAATCCAATGCAACATTATCGAGCATGCAAACATCTAGTCAACACATTGTTTCCACTCAACTATGAAAGGTCGTCTTTATTCAGACCTTGATGACCTATTTTGGAGTAGTTTTGAGAATCTTCAGATAAATCGAGTAATTATATAATCAACTCCCAGATGTAATGCTTGTATCTTGTGTTCTAGAAAAAATAAATATATCACAAGTTAAGGTAAGCCATAACATTTAAGCCCAACGTTTTTCAGGGAAAGAAAAGAACCATTCGGAGAAGTTATACGCATTCGATTATTTACTTAAATTGCAAAATAAAACTTGTGGGCGTGTATCAACAAAAAAAAATTCATCTTCCATATTGCACAAATATAACCGTTACCGAGTTTAATTTAAGAATACAAAAGAGAAGTGCAAACATGACCCCAAAAAAACAATTAAGGGAGAACTATGGCATACCACATTAACCCAATTACAATTGTAAACAACACTGTGGACATAACTTCTTGTGCAAACTTTGTAGATCTATTCGAGGATTTAGGGTCAACCTATAAAAGGAAAAAAACATATGTAAGATAAGAGTAAGAACTATAACATAAATAAAGGGTAACAACAATGACAATGGTCATTGTTGAAAAAGTTTAAGAGGATATCTTATGTATCATACAGCAAGAAAGCTTTGAGAACTTAGAGGATCAGTTCCATCTTTACCATCACTACATGCAACGGTTGCTTATCAGATATGCCCGGATTCAAGAATTGATCATCCACGTTCCCTGATGCACGTTGCTTCAGCTCTTGCAACTACTGACATGAAATAATTGCATATAAGGTCAGTGACAAGTACTCAAATAACACCAAGAATCAAATAATGAAAGTAAATAAGGTCTTTTGAATCATACACCAAGAACCTAGATATCCTCAAGGAAAGAAGCGGATAAGCAACCAGACAAAGGTCAGGCTCCCTATGCAGAAAATATTGGTAATTGTTTCGTACAGTTTTTTTGTCAACATGTGATGTTTTGACGCTCAAATTTTCTCCTTCAATTCATCAAAGATCATGCCAAACTGTTTGAATATCATGAGAAATAAGGCAAACTTCTCCCATCGTCACGTGCTACATATTAATATTTTTTTATAAGGGTAGGAAATTCCAGATACATAGAGATTTAAGACAAATCATTGCGTGTAAAGGAGCTTTGGGTCATCGAGGTCAAACAAAGTCTCTCTCCAAGTGTTGGCAATCCCATAGACACCAAAAAAAACATTAATTTGATATGGGGATAACTCTTATGATTTTGGCCACCAACCAAATTTTTTTGCAGAACGAGTACTCTACATAGAAGAAAAATTACCAAAAAGAAAGTCTCATATTTAAAATACAAATTACAACACTAGCAGTGAGCTAGAATATTTCTAGCAGGGGGATAGAACAAAGAAAGCAATTAGCAAGAACCAAGTCATCTATATTAAGAACTTCGCCTAGTTTATTCTTTTCTCATCCCGAAAACTATAAGGCATTCCTGTGATAGCTAATTTGTTTCACCGCCCAACACCCTGGATGAAGTCATAATTTCCATTCGATGATGCAGTCAGAAACTCCCCCTTCATTAGCGTGGAACCCTCCAACAAATGTGTCAAGAACCATCCCCTTAACACATCCACACACAAATGAGAGATTAGGAAACCCCACTACTGGCAACCTTTTGGAGGATTATTTTTATCAAAAGTTGGGTTAAAACCCCTCCTTATCTGTGGTAAATGGAAACACAGGATGAACGACCAATGAGGTTAAAAACCTCAACTGGCGAGATCAAGCCCTCCCCCTCACCCCAAAAAAAACTTGTGGCCCAACTCTAAGGAACTATCTTCTTCCTCAATAACCAAAGAATGAAACCAGAAAGACAGAAGATACTCTTCTGCATCCCAAATAAAAGCAGCAAACAGAAAATCAAAGTAGAATTTGAGTCCGAAGGGTTCTTTCAAAAGGTTCTTTACACCTCAGATAGGCTCTCCTGTTTGCAGGAAAAAACCGAACCCCAGAAGAGTATTCCAAAAATCACATTGTTACACACTTCACCAAACTTAACCAATAAGCGCAATACATTCACACTAGAAAATGATGATCAAACAAAACATGGATCCGGCAGATCAATACGTGCAAATTACTAAGGAAGAACTCCCAATAAAAGACACTGGACATAAAAAATAAAATTCAGGCAAAACGACGTTAAAGACTTCAAGCATCAAACCAAATACGAGGCTGCAAAAGCAAAATTGCAAAGAGACAGTAGAGATAAAAGTTATCTTACTAGCAATGGAAGCCTCGAAGGTCGTCCAGATTGTTCATCAGGTAAGTAGTCAGCCAAAGCATTAGTAATGACAAGGGCACGGATATACTCTGCCACTCCTTTGCTATCTACTTCATGACTTCTTTGGTCAAAACGTTCTATCACAGAGTCAGGGCTGCCAAAAAGAGGACATCCATTTTCACTCCGTTTTAAATGTGTCTAGAAAGTGATAACCTTCAAAGTAACAAGCACTCAAAAATCTCATAAGGAAGCTTGAAAGAACCGCAACAGAAAAAATTTGATAAGCTATGACTTCTGATATTACACATCATAGTAGAATATGGAATGAAAACTTCATCCATGCAGAGAATAGAAATATCATCAACAACAACAAAAAGAAGAGAAATAGCAAAATTAGAGATGTACAGCAATCTTGGATCACAAATGAGATTTTTTAATGAAAGGAAATGAAGCATATCTCAAGAGGATTAGAGCAGTGCAATGTATTATGCCTCTCTAGATTGAATCAAGCCGAGACAAATTCAAAGTCAAATCAAACAAAAGCATGATAAAAATAGGAGCATCTTTACACTTGGCGAACTGGTAAAGATATTAATCCGTGAATCTTCCGTAAGTTTCCCCAAAGGAAAAACGCCACCGAAACAAGGACGTCATGATTAACTTGAAGAGCTTTGGGGACATCCCAATTCAGTTCAGAACTATGCAAGGCGCAGTGTAACCTTGGATGATTTCAACTGAATGTATAAGACAGGGAACCAGATTGAGCACGCCAGGTTTCAGCTCCATTCAAATAATCAATGCTGATAACAGCTGACAAACTGAGGGCTTTGTGTTAACATTCACATGCGCAGCCTTACCTTCTTCCTTCCCCAGTGAACTCTTTAGCACTGCTTCCTTTCCTGGAGTTTTACACCGAGTTGATTTCTCTGGGATGTGTCCATTTTTACAGATCGCAAATGTCAAATTCCAGCTGATGAAAAAAAGACACCAACAAACTTGAACCCTCTTAAACACCTAAAACCACATGGGTGATTGCACGACCTCTCCCATGCAAAATATGTAACCTTGAGGACTCATATTAAAATTGATTTTTTTTTTAATTGTCGTGAGCACAAAGAATGGCCTCTGACCTGAAGTTTATTTTAACCATATAAACAACGGAGGAATTCTTTTGTATTACAACCAGCTTACTGTACAAAGAGGAAACTTCCCTGATTCCATGGAAACTGCCGCGTCCTCTGTCATCTCACTGGCACTACTCTTCCTTGACCTCCTTTCAAATGGCTACACAAGACTTATAGACAGAGAAATAAGATAGGAAAGCAAGGATTGGCAGGAAAGTTGATCCATATAGTCTGTGCATAACCACAAAGCTCTATCCTCATGTGACCAATAAATAGTTAATGAAAACTCGCCCTTACCATCAGCACCTTTAGGAAACTCAAGTTCTTAACATTTGCACTGGAACTGCAAATGTGGAGGATCGTAGTCGAGATGGCGATATCAGACTAAAAACAAAAACAATCAACCCAATATCGTCATGGCTTCCTTGGCACCATTCCAAACCACTTTCATTGTCATTGAGCATGCCATGTCGACAGTTCTTTCCTAGTCCTTCTTTCAGGAACAGAATGAAGTAGTGGACATACATCCCATTGCTTTCCGGTTTACGTTCAAGAAGAAACAAATTTATACAAAATAGACCATTCGGTTTAACAGTCTTAAGATTTGTGATGTAGATACCATGGGATCTTTGCGTGTCTGTAACTTGGCATTGGGAACCCTTCGTGATTTCCACACATTTGATCCAGTCCGAGTGAAATAGGACAAAATAAAGAGTCCCGACGTTGATTTCCTAGTCAAGAAACCTGGATGATTGGTATTTTTGGCGGATGCTCGAAAATGTAATTTCTTCCCTACCACAAGAAGTCTCATTACCATGTGTATCTCATGTGCATGCGTCAAGATATACATGATAGTTATGAAGGCCACTAGAACAGTAAAGAATACAGAAGATATAAATGATACAATAAACCAATGATAATGCACGAATAACGAAATTACGAAGAAATGGAGGGGCAGGGAATAAAGGAAAACAAACAAACCTAAACTTGTTGAGTTCAGCAAGCAAGGCACTTTGCTTTGCGGCATCTTTGGGATTAGCGTCGGCGTCAGCAATGAGATGCTCCAACCGCTTTTTATGCCGCCACGGCCACCATCTTAACCAATCCACCTCTGGAAGGCCATTAAGCATCCCCCTTAACGTTTCTTGCAACCCCATCAAAAGCAACCCCAGCGACATATCTTTCCGTTCTCCCTGCACCTCTGATGGCTCAGAAGAGCCATTCACAGGTTCACCCTCTTCGACGCCAGCTACAACCTCAGTCGCATTCTCTGTGTCCTCTATCAGCTCCCTTCTTGAGCTCTCACCGGGTTTTGCCAGCAGAGGCACAGCCCCCTCTGGGTTCCCAAAATCAGAGGTGGAATCCGAGCCATTGGCCGCGCTTTCGGACGTCGAGCCGGCGTCCCCCGGCGTTAGAGCGTGCGAAACCAGGAAACCCAATCTGTTAGAACCGGGTTTGGAGAGAAGGACGGCAGGGAGGCATACTCGCCGTGGCGTGAATGCCGCGGCAACATGGGGCCGCTTTGGGAGATGACCCAACGTGGACTTGGTCCGCGAAGGAGAAGGCCTCCACAACAGGGAGGCCTGGAGAGCAGCGGGCATGGCGAGACAGACAGAAACCAAAGAGTAGTATCTCCTCTCTTCCTCCTCGACCCTGCACACCTTTGCCGAGTGGGCTTTAGATTCCTGGCCACACGATATGGAGGGGTGAGCGGGGAGGAACGAAGAGGGGGAGAGACCTTATCTCCAATGCTGATTGAAATTGGCGCCTCTTCTCTGGTCACCCCCCCCCCCCCCCTCTGCGCAGGGAGTCAACCTCTCCTAGTCCAGTCGACTGGGAGACGACGGAGACACGAGAGGGCACCAAGAAGATGAGGGAGCCCTCGGGATCCAACGGCTCTTGTACCCACCATGACAGCTGGCAGAGAGCCTTTTAGATTATTGGGCCTTCATGGGCCTCATCTCACACACGAAGAATCTGAATCCATGTCCAATTTTTCTGGGCCTAGTCGAACAATATGAAACTCTGCCTACAGATGGTTGGGCCCTCGGCGTCTTAATAACAGCTGGCAGAGAGCCTTTGGGTGTTAATGGGCATAAATGGGTCTTGTCTTAGACTTGAAGAGGCTGAATCGAGTTCAATTTTTTTGGGCTCAGTCGAACAAGATGGAACTGTGTACCAGTATTTGGGCCTTTAGCCTCTTAATGAAGCCCATTAGGCCATGGGTTTTTGTGCCCACTATGCAGCTGGTAGTAGAGAGCCTTTTGAGAGTTAATGGGCCTCATCTTCCACTTGAAGAAACTGATCCATGTTCAATTGTTGGACCCATTACAACGAGATGGAACTACATACAGGTGTACAGGTATTTGGGTCTTCGGCCTCTTAATAAAGCCCATTACCCCAACTATCCCAACGCAGGCTCGGCCCGGCTTGATAACGCCCGCCGGGCCCGGACGATTTCCCGGGTTCTATTTACGGGCAGGAAGTTCTCTTGTACGTCTACGTTTCAAGGTACCGTATCAGACAGCTCGAGATCACAGTAATGGCTTCTTCTTCCCCTCCTCGTCTACCCCACCCCTCGAAGCGTCGCAAGAAGAAGCAGGACGAAGTGGATGAGACTGTCAGATCTTCTGGAAAGAAGGCGCCCGTCGTAGTTTTTGCGCACGGGGCCGGGGCTCCGTCCTCATCTGAGTGGATGGTAAGGTATATTTCTGGTTATAATGCAGGAGGATTTTTGCTCCGTCAGACACTAGAACATGAGAAAAACGTGGAGTAGGTGTAGTTTATCTGCTGTTCTCTAACTTGATGAGTTATTCTTGAGCGTTTTCACGTCAGACTGCGACGCTTGATATTCTCTCTGTTTTGAAACCCCGCCGGAGCTGGGTTCGAGTTAGACTGAGTATTTCAATACATTTAGGAATTGTAACTTTCTAGTTTGGCTTAAGTAGGGTTTCCTCTCAGGGGGATAACGCTATTTTCTGTAGAAGGAGAGATAATCAAAACGCTTACTCTTGGGTTTCACTATACGTTTCACTATTTGCTTGCTCAGTAAAAATAAAATTGGTTGCATAAAATGCTAAGAAAAATCTCCGGTGACTGTCTTGTAGATGGAAGGAAATGCTACAAAAAGGGCTTCATGCCGCTGAAGTAATCGCATTTGATTATCCTTGTAAGTGAGGCAACGAGAAGCACTAGAGCTCCTTTGTTCTCGTCATTATACTAGTATTTTTCTATTATTAAAGCCTAGTTATCAAGATCACAGGCCGGTAATTTCAATTTTATTAAACAATAATAGTGTTCTTCACTGCATCTGCACTTTGAAATCTTTTAAAACCTCGTAAGATACTCATGGAATGAGCAATACTGTCAGACATGTCTGGTGAGAGGCGTAAAGCTCCTCCAAAGGCTGAAAAGTTGGTCGAATGCCACTTGAGTGTCATTAAAGCGGCTGCAGCAAGATACCCTGGGCATCCTCTGGTTCTGGCGGGGAAGTCCATGGGCTCGAGGTAAGTGGAACATTGTTCTCTGTATTTTTATTTAAAAAGAAACTCAAATTAAGCAGACGAGTTCTGGGTCAAATATGGATGTATGTCGTTTAGAGACTCTGTGTATTAGATAGTTCTCTTGAGTAAAGTGTTGGTTGTACGAAAATTCATAGTGCTGCCTAACTTCAGAGAGTTCCATGGAAGGGCAATATTCTTCACATTTTTTCCTGTTATTATCAACTCTTTGATCCTTTTTGTTCAGGGTGAGTTGCATGGTAGCCAGTGGGGAAGATATCCATGTTGATGCTATAATTTGCTTGGGATATCCTCTAAAGGTTTGTTTTTTTTTTTCTCTTTATTCATTCACCTTCCTTCATTCTACGTTGTCATCTTCTACCACGCAGAAGATGAGTTGAAACAACCAACTTTCTTATTTTAATTTTCTGGCTGGATATTTTATGCATGATTAAAATTGAGACATCATGAGTTTATGCTTCAATGCTCTAATATGAGTCATTTCTCCCATGGCTTCTAAACTTGCACCGTAAATGATGTTATCGATTCCGATTTTTCTTTTCATTTTTTAACTTACGAAGCTCATTCAGTCGATAGGCTTTAACATTTGGATCACCTCTACTTTGATCTTCAATTAATCGGGTGAAAAATCCGATAAAGAGGTTTGAAAAAAATTCGAATAAACCAAGAGCATTCTCCCCCTCCTTTCCTCACTGAATTCGAAGCTCAAACGCCATTAATATTCGATGGTCCATCTCTGGTTATCTCCAGCTTTCTAGTCGAGAGGTCTACACGGCTTCAGCAGTTTCGTGGAATCATTTCTTGTCTCGTTTTTCTTGCTCTGCAATACTATACACCTTCAGTTCCTGGCAAGGCATACCGTAATCAACACTGTGTCGATGATATCAACCGTTGGGATGAGAAAATCATGGATTCAATTAAATAATGTCGATATTCATGTTCTCAATTTGCTTCAGGGTTCGAATGGTGCCACTCGTGAGGAGACTTTACTGCAGCTGACGGTTCCAACAATCTTCGTCCAGGTAGAGAGACCTTGTCCTTCCTCTACACTCTACTTATCATCACCCTGTGAGTGATTCAGTGGTAATCCTTTCTTGGCAACTGAGGAGACGATTTATTCATGAAGGGTAGCAAGGATGTCCTATGCCCTCTTGACAAGCTGGAGGCGACTCTCAAGAAGATGAAGGCCGTTAATGAACTCTATGTCATCGAATACGGGGATCACTCCTTCAAGATCGGGAAAAAACACCTGCAGGCCAGCGGGCTTAGCCAGACCGAAGCTGAAGAGAAAGCAGTTGCTGCAGTCGCAGACTTTGTCTCAAGATCCACCCAAGAAAAGTAAAGAAACTGTCACTAGGAGTAGATGAAGAACGACCTACCGTATTAGTTATCAGGTGCTCTTCTCCTGGCTCTTTTGAACTAAATTTTTGCCTTTTGAAGCACTTGGGGTATGCCCTCCTACACTCTAATCGATGTTCTCTGTTACGGCACTCACCTTTTGTCTTCGCCCATCAGAAGATACTGATTTTGACTTCTAATCCGCTGGGCAATCGATTTCTGTTCATCATCTGCACTCAAAATCTCTCTTTCCAAGGGAGCAAATGGAGAGCAGAAGAGCTTGCATGATGTCCAGTTTTTGTTAACTTTTTTTCCCTCTTGATGAACATTGGTGTGCCTCAAAAATCTGATTCGGGGCAGGCAAATTGTGTTCCAATAATGGAATAATAGCTTAAAAGTATAAAATTTTCGAGGAATATTTCTTTATTATTTACCAGGCATTGCAGTACTGGGTATAGTACATGTGCAGCAGCAGCAGCGGCAGTCCTCGCTCCCGAAGAGGGATGCTGGGTAGTACTACGTCTTCCCCAACGTGAGGACGTGGAGGGACTGAGGGCGATTGCCCCGAAAAAGGGTTGAGCGGAGCATCACAGCCGCAGAAGGAGGGAGCGGGGATTTGAACGTGATCCACAATTCCCACGTGGCGAGGTGTCATTTGTGGGAGATCGATTCATCTCCCACCAGGTGGCCATCAGCTGCTTGGCCTCTCCTTACCCTCTTGCTCACATCCTGCTTCGAGACCCCCCCCCCCCCCCGGAGGATTGGCAGGACTGCTGCGGGCGGCGGTTCTTCCGAAGCGGAGATCGGGTGAGATTCGTCCAATGGAGGTCCTCAATGCAGCACGAGTGAGCCCTGTCTCGCTCCACAAGCCTCCGGTCTCGGCTCCCGAGAGGAGGCTGGAGCCGAAGAAGATTCTTCCGTTCAAATTACCTCACAGGGTTTTGTTCTCGGAATTGGAGTCTTCTGTTGCAAGTAAGGCTATCGGCGGAGGTTTGGGGCTGATGAGCTCCGTTCTTAGCAGCGTGGGGTCCGCGAGGGGCCTGACGTACGAAGAAGCTCTGGGACAGTCGGTCCGGTCCCCCAGCTTCGGGGATGTTCCCGACGTTGACATCGGCAAGATCCTCGATGGAATCATCAGCTTTGGATCCGAGAATCCCCTGCTCCTCGGCGGGGGAGCACTTGCCCTAGCAGTTCCTTTGGTTTTGTCCCAAGTTTTCAAGTCGAGCCCGAAGGCATGGGGCGTTGACAGTGCGAGGTCTGCGTTCTCGAAACTATCAGAAGATGCTGGTGCTCAGTTGCTTGACATAAGGGGAGCCAAAGATTTCAAGGAGGTGGGAGCCCCGGATATCCGGAGCCTCAAGAAGAAGGCGGTCTCAATCGTATACACAGGTGATGACAAGCCAAGCTTCTTGAAGAAGCTGTCCCTAAAATTCAAGGACCCTGAGAACACTACATTGTTCATTCTTGACAAGTAAGTCTCTGGGCATGCTTTTTTCTTTTGCATGTATTTTAGAGAATATTTGCTTGCATTAAATCTAGTTATTTTGTGATTTTGGAATATGTTCTTATCCTCATAGGTCGGATCATGTTTCTACTACAGACATAATACAAATTATAGTTTATGTTGTTTCCCCAGCTTCACTCATATGAACTTAGATTAATTTGGGTTTCTAAGTGCCCTATTTGAATGATAGTGCTCCAAATTCTTCAGCGAAATTAATCAATAAGATGAATACTTAAAGACGATTGGGGAATGCCAGTTCCAACATTTACCTTTTGATATTTTGTATTATTCTTATGCTAGAGGCAGATGAATTTGCCCGGAGTAAACAGGCTGAAAATCTGATGGGGCAGGCAGATGCCATAAGCACATGCACCGAAAAAGTGTCAACAGAAAATATTTTCTGGGATATGCAGCTGCTCTAAGCATAAGAATTTAAAGTTTGTCCGGCACATAGAAACAACGTTCCTTTTTCTCATTTAGAATGCATTTTTTTGTTCTTGTACATTCTTCTGTAATCTTGAATCTGCAAATTAGTTGACTTTTATAATTAACGGCGCTGAATACTTTCAAAAGTCAGATTTGATGGCAACTCCGAATTTGTCGCGGAATTGGTTACAGCCAATGGCTTTAAGGCTGCTTTTGCTATAAAAGATGGTGCTGAAGGTCCTCGAGGATGGGTGGTCTGTGACTTTTCATGGATTGCGCATTTATTCATTCTTTACAATATCATTTATCAACGGAAAATCTTAGTTGTGGATATTTTTTATGAATTGCAGAAAAGTGGACTTCCGTGGTTGGCACCCAGTAAAAGTGTTGATTTTGGCGATTTGAAGGAAGCAATTAGCAGTGCACTTGGGGTATGACATTATCTCTTTTTTAGCCGATTTTTTTCATACTTAAAAGTTGCAACACCTGAGTCGCGTCAGAACTGGATCATGCATACATTGAAATGGAGAGGAAGCGAGGAATTATTTTTAAGCAGAAACATGTGTGATAATATTTTTTTGGAATATTCTCCGACTTTACTAGATAAAATTGGGAAGTAGATATCATCTCCAGTCTAATGATTCACGGAGCATATAGAATAAATCAACTTCGTTTTCTCCTAAGGTTTCCAAGGCATGATTTTAGTCTCATGCGAGCTAGTGGGTTTGTTCCCTAGAAAAGTTATGAGACTCTTTTAAATTTATGAGTAACTTACTCTTTCAGTGTTTGAGTTGATCATAAGTTTATATCCGATGATATGAGGGTCTTCTTACATTTGATTTCGTGTTGTTTTGTAATTGTGAAGAGGGGGAGAGGCCTGCGCACATTGGAATTTTATAGATTCAAGTTCTTCTTTATTAGATAGGACTCAAAATGTCAGAATTTCACCATAAAAAAGAATCACCTCTGCTCTGAGGCGGCATGTGTTCGTCTAGCTGGCAAGAATGATTGCTAGGAATCTCTGAACAGTAGAACACCAATGGTTTGGAAATAAAATCAGCCCCCTTTCTTTTAGGATGTGAGTCAAGTCAAATTTCACATGCTACTATAACATGAGACAGAAAGCCTCCAACATCATTATCCAAGTCATAATTCGTTCGATGTTCAGAAGCATTTGGTAATTTAATCGTAACAACTATATGCAGGACAGCGCTGAAGGGTTACCTGTTACTCTTGGATTAGCTGCTGCCACTGGCTTAGGATTTTTGGCTTTTTCAGAGGTGGGTTTGTTGTGATTTTATTTAAATATATTTTACTTTTGAAAAATACGTTTTTGCAACTTGAAATGTATTGACCCTGTACATTTGACCTTCCAGATAGAGACAGTTCTCCAGCTTCTGGGTTCTGCTGCGCTTATTCAGTTCACCACAAAGAAGCTCTTATTTGCAGAAGTTAGTGTTTCTTCCATATAAAAAATTCCCACTCTGTTTATAACTATTTGCAGGTGTAATTTCTCATTTTCTTTGTTTACTATCTGACAGGATCGGAAGGTTACCCTTCAGCAAATTGACGAGTTCTTGAACACCAAAGTAGCTCCCAAAGAGCTTGTTGATGAGATAAAGGTACACTCAAATTCTAGCAAACGATATTCACATTTTTTTTTTAAAGCAGAAATGTATAAAACAAAAAGGTAGTCTGAATTGTTTATTCGATACTGAGTAATTTCAATAATCCGTAGATGAGCACTTTAGTGAATCAAAACCGAATGAACTAGTCTGAATGATTGCCCTCAGAGAACTAGTGCACTAGTTTTCCACCATATTGAATCCATTATATAAATAAGTTTGTTGGTAGGGAATGCCACAGGGTCCCAAATACCTGTCACAGGAAGCTTAAAAGGGATATGAATGAAAACCTTCACCTTGCCTAACGTGAAAACCGCGAACTTGATCGAAAGCATATGCTTCTGAAAGGTCCGTGCTTTTCTTTTTTTGACGGAACTAAACCAAGTACGTGCTATCTCAACAATAGAATGCTTCATGCATTTTCTCTATCCATTCTTCTCATCGCTCTTTTGTTTACTCCAAAATTGGCCAAAACAAGCAATCCCCTGTAAGCCTGTGGTTTCTATCGATGCCCATTATTTCTCTAATTGTCACCCGAGGTAGTAAGACGAGGAGCTGGTCATGGGTTGTAGTCTTAAAGCAAATCAAGTAGAGGAAGGGCACCAACCCCATCAACGTGGTCACACGTTTAATATTTTTGCTTGCATTTAATAATTTCGGATTGTATTTTTCTGGTTCCCTGTGATGCCATTTTTCCAGCTATCTTGAATGAATTGGATCCTTTCATTCGTTTTTCTTTCGCCTTTCTTCAACTTAGACTAAGATGAAGTCTTGAAGCCGTTCATTGGAATCTCAGATGATTGGGAAGGCTCTTCTTCCGGCCTCAACAGCTGCAAGAGCTAGTTTGCCTGCTCCGGTGCAGCCCAGCACAGATACTCCACCTGCTCCCTCTGCAGAAAAGGTTGAGAGTGTTCCTGAAGCGCCACCCAAAGAACCCGAAGCAACTGTTCTGAAGGCAGAGACAGCTGCTGAGCCTCCCCAAGAAGTCAACTCTGTTCCTGACGCGGAAGTCAAAGCAGAATCAGTGTCTGGGCTTACTAGATCACTCTCTCCCTATCCATACGTGAGTCTTGATCCTTATCATCCTTCTTTTGTCCTCAGCATTCACATTTTCACTCTCTCTCTTAACCATATATGGTACTTAATTTCATCTCTTATTTATCCCTCATATCTTCCAAATCATGTGGGAATTTTGTAATGGAAATACTTCCCTGTTCGCTCTTTGCGCATTGCATGCTCATTTTTTGTTCTCCTTCTCTCGTTTTTGCAGTATCCAGACTTCAAGCCTCCATCCTCACCTTGCCCTTCGCAACCATAGATGGTTCTCGCACTGTGTAAAGTCCCTGGACTTGGCTTTTCTTTGCTGGTTTGTCCGAGAGAAGTGTCTCAGGATCCCATCACCAAAACCCTCAAGAAGCATCGCATCTTAGAACGAAGGAAGAAAAGGGCGCAGCTTTCTTTCCTGCTTATGACTCTTCACAAGGCTTCAACCTGTAGAGATGGCAGTGGATCGTTCCCTTTTCTGCACACGTCCGATAGAATGTCTGCTCTCTTGCTGGTAAGAAATTCCCACGTCACCTTCTCAATTAGTTGTGCCCCAAAATATTATTAAAAAAAAAAAACTTATGGCGTTGTTCTTGGCAGAACTCGTGTGTCGTGTCTCTTCATGCCATTGTGAGCTCAGAGCGTAGAAATCTGGGATCTATGGTCCGAGCTCTGACCCAGAGCTCATTCTTTTGGCAATTATGTACTTAACTCATAAAAATGGAGGAGCCCTGAATAATGCCCGCGTTCGGCGGGAACAGGTCACAAACAGCCACGTGTCCAGCAGCGGTGGTCTTGACCGGGCTCTTTGTCTGTGGGGCGCTGACTCTAGCTCTTAGTCTGACCCAGTCTACCCTCCCCTGTCCGGCCATGATGAGAGCCAGAGGTGGGACCGGAAACTGTTTGAGTGATAACTTAATGAGCCTAAACTTAGCGCCAATTATGAACCCATTTGTCTGACTTTTGACTGACCGTACGCAGGGGGTTTTGACCGTTTGTTTACTTTCCAAGTACCCGAGGTACAGGGGACGCGTGAATAGACGTCCCGTTGGGGGGTATCAATAGGGCGGCCCAAACTGAGAAGCCAGGCCACGCGCTTTTGGGGGGTCAAAAAAGAGAATGGCCCCACCATCCACAGTCCCTTGTCTCGAGGGCTCGAGCTTTCAACCAGTCGTTCTACGGTACCCCTCCAAGTCACTTCGTACGTTTTGACACGTACCGAATCCGTCGACCTACTCAGATACCTGAAGACCTCCCCCAAACATTCAGATATCGTATGTGACGCGATGCACGCACACATCCACACAAACATTAATTGATAGAGAAAAAAGCCTTTTTTTTATAATAGAAATCGGGTCGGTTCTGGTTCGGCTGAAGGCTTACTGGGCCCATTGACAGGGAGGATTTTGTACCGCTGGGGGTATTTATACGATAAATATTTTTTTGACCGAGTAATATAATAATCTCTCTCTCCTCGCTTTAGAACAGGTCAAACCCATATACCGTTTTCCACACGGCGGTCCGACCCCCACAGCTGTCATTTTCCGCGCCCCTTCTCTTGGTCTCTCTCCGTGTTGACCGAGAGAGTGACTGCCGTGTTCGATAATCACATGATAACAAAGAGGGCCCATCGATGAACACTCGTGGAGGAGCTCGGTTGAGCTCGTTGGGCGACCCACCTCACCGGGAATTTCGCAGGTGCGGATATTTCACTAGCCTAACTGAAGCTTAGGGCGATTGCCCTGTTGACGTCGGATAAAGGTTGAGAAAAAACTGACGTCAGAGATCTACCCACAGAAGACGCTGTCCAAAAGAGGACCCTTTTTCTGAGGTCGTGATTCACATCTTCCCCGATCATTAACGGTTTCAATGTCTAAATTCAGCAAAAGCCTCATTTTTCACAAGAGAAATTATCCACAAGCAATATAAAAATAGAAAACTCTCTTGATTTCTTTAACCACGAATTACTGATTTTCGTGATTTTATCTCATAGTAGGGAGAATACCTCGTCAGTCCTCTCTCTCTCTATATGCCCATATATGCAGGAGAAATGTGTGACGAATATATATATACATATATTATAGTATAATATAGTCATGCGGATGTTTGACTAGAAAGTTCGACTGATAAAACGAGGCTCTGAAAACGTCGGTCGATATTGTTCCATGGAAATTATCAGAATATCCGGATTACATGGTAGAACTATATAACGTGATGGATCCATTAGAACAGTTGCGGGTGAAAGGGAGGAGGATGACGGAGAGTGAGCCGCAATAGCAGTAAAAGATAAGAAAACTTGCCTTCGGCAGCTTCCAGAGACTGAGGATTGACCATATGACATCGATGTTTGATTTTCTGAAGTGAGTAATATCTACTAAGTATCTTTGTTGGCATCTGCATCGAATTTAATGCACGGGAATTTTTACAATCTTGTGAGCCTCTTTTCATTAGGTCAAGGCCTCACCATTTCAGATAACGTAAGTGGTATCTTCTTCCGCTAACGTCAAGTCTCTCTCTCTCTCTCTCTCTCTCTCTCTCTCCCTCTCTCTCTAGAGTCGAGCCGATATCCAGACGGACTTACAGCTAACGCGGAAGCAGGCCAGAAGATTCTTAGTGGGTTGCTTCGTGCCTCACCTGACCTCACCTTCTGGAAGGAGAGAGAGAGAGGGGAAGAAGACTACGTCAGAGGACTCTAGCTCATCCCATCGCTTCGACCCTCCTTCATGGAACTGAGAACGCGACCATCTTTCTATGCGTCTCTTTCTCGGTCAAACCTCCGTCTCCCTACAGTGGGCAACCCCACTCCAGGCCGCTTCGTCTCCACCCTTCCTCTTCCTCGGGCCGCGCTTTATATCCCCATAACCATGGTCCCTGCAACTCCACGCCTTCATATCTCCCCCGGAGCCTCTTCCTCCTCCCGTCGTCTTCACAGCTCGGTGAAGAGAAGGATAACAACGGGGGAAAGGAAGAGGAAGCTGGAGACCTCTTTGTTTTCTGCACCGAGAGCTCGGAGACCGGCCGCCGCCATTCCCTCTGGTTCGCAAGCGCCCCGGCTATGGAGAACGGCGTCGCCTGGGACCCCAGCCGGCTCATCAGAGAGCTGACGGACGGGCAGGAGCTGACGAGGCAGCTCGAGACCCACCTCGACCAGTCCCCACCCGAATACTGCAAGTCGTTGTTGCAGAGCATCCAGTCTGTCCTGCACAGGGCCACCTCGCTGGCCAAATCCTTGGCCGACTACGATGGCGGAGACTCCCCGCGCTCCGCCAGCGGCAGCGACGATTCCCGCCGCCCCGTCGCCTTCGGGGATCAGGACCCCCGGGAGATCTCCAAGAAGAGGTAGACCCTGTTCACAGCGCCGCCCATCCGCCGCCACTGCCGCTAGATTTCCGGGGGGAGAACTCACCGTCTTCGTCGTCTTCGTTGCAGGAAGATGTTGCCGCGGTGGAAGAAGCAGGTGAGGGCGAACCCGGGGACGAGCCTAGAAGGCCCGCCGGAGGACGGCTTCAGCTGGAGGAAGTACGGGCAGAAGGATATCCTCGGGGCCGCCCATCCGAGGTGAGCTTCCCGGCCGCCCTCCTCCTCCTCCGGCGACGGCGAAACCTCCACCTAATCCCGGCGAGCCGACTTTAAATCTGCAGGGGTTACTACCGCTGCACCCACCGGAACACGCAGGGCTGCCCGGCGACGAAGCAGGTGCAGCGGGCCGACGGCGACTCTTCCGTCTTCAACGTCTTGTACAAGGGGGAGCACGTCTGCACCCAGAGAGCGAACTCCTCGCCGATGCCGGTGCTGGAGCAGGGGCACAGCTTCGTCGTCGACGGCAGACCAGGCCTGACTGTGATAACCCAGGAGCTGCCGCTGGCTTCTCCCTCATCCTTCTCCTCCATTCCATCGCCGGCGAGCCGCATCTTCTCCTCGCCGGCGACCCGCTTCTCGTCGCCGTTTGTCTCTCCCTCCACCGCCGGGAAAACCCACTTCGGGGAGGGGTTCCCCGGAGGCTGCCATGGCCGAGCTCTGGAAGAACTGGGGGAGATACTCTCAGCGTCCAACACCAGCTCACCGGCCATGGACCTGGAGTTCCTGGTGGACGTCGACTTCGACAACAGCTTCTTCACCTGAGATTCCCGCAGAGGCCCTCACCTTCCTCCCTCAATTAGGTCACCAGACTCCCCCCACAAAAGCTCGGATCTTCAGGTTCCTGCCAGAAACTTACCTATTTTTCCTCCCACCCCTGAAATAATAACCGGGCTGTGACATTTTTTCTGCTCATCTTAGATTAATAATACTGTATATCATACCGGAGCTTGAACTGAGACCACCTGCAAATATGCCAGAGAGACCGGGCAACCGTCAAATCAATCTCTAAGATTTTTACACCAATAGCACCCACAGGGTGAAGAGGATAGCTCGGAAGCTTCTCCGAAGGAGATTCCCATAAACAGATAGCTTCTGCTCTGGAACAGCCTCTACCAGCTTTTGTTGCCTTCCCCCCCCCCCCCCCCCCCTGAAGAATCAAGAAAACACAGTGAAAAGAAGAATATATGCATGTATATTTGCTCAACATAATATTAAGAAACTGCAAAAAAAAAAAGCTAGAACATATTTCTAGAATTCCTTTCAGTTTTGTTGCCACCTGAGACCCGGGCTTTCAAGGGGCTTCTAAGGCTTTTTGCCCTATTTGGCATCTGTGACTACGGACTAAACCCGTCAAAAACTGGGTTTATCCCAAAATATCATTTTTTTAATTCAGATTTTTAAAAATCTCGGTGAGTTATTTAGAAAACGCTTTTTTTAAAAAAAAGGAAGTATTCATGTACTCTGTTTCTAAGTAGCTGCTCTGGTCTCCTAGCAACCCCATATTAAATAACATTCTAGTAGTAGACGCAGCAAGAGTATTTAGTCAACAAGCCTGCGTCACGAGGGTACTTATGTAAATAAGCATCGAAAAAAAAAAACAAGGAATAAGTCTATTGGCACCAGAACCAGACAAGATTTAGTTTACCAAATGGCGAATTTCTAGTCAAACACTCACGTGTAGAAAAAAAAGTTTAAAATCTCCCCTCACACATCAACCAATGTAGGAAAAAAGGTTCATTTCCATTATAAAATCCGATTAAAAAATGACCCGAAAGAGGATTTTTCGTATAATCTTCCCAGCAAACATAGAAATCTACATCTTATTGGCATCCAGACAAATACATGATTTCCTGATCTTAGTGGGCCAAGGCAAATCCAGACTTCGGATGTCCATGAGCCTTGCCTTTGTTCTCCCCCCATCTACAAGGGTTAGAGAGATATAAGCTTCTCTGTGGACGAGTAATCCTTTCAGCATCGGAAAGAGAGCCTGAATTCTCTTCATTATGCTTCAGCCAAGCAGCCCTCTGGGCATCCATCAACACAACATTTAGCCAGAAATTGAACATCCATAACAGGGAACTAAAAATGATCGAGGAATGCTGTAAATTAACCATGTTTACGAAGATAAATTAAGAAAATTTGCATGCCCAGTAATGTATATTTTTCGGAGAGACCCAAGAATTGGCCAAAGTTCTACCGGAACCTCCATAAGAGAGGATTTTAATAATTGTTTGCTTTAAAAAAAAATGATTGAGGAAAATCTACTAGTTCAGTAATGCCTATTTTGTGGAGAGACAATTTGATGAAGGGAATTTTGTTCTTACCTAGAGCGAAGGCTGTTCCTCTTGCTCGACATCTGTGAGAAGATCATCCTTAATCTCTTCGGCAGATTTGATCTTCCTCAACCCTTCCCTCAATCCCAGCACTATGAACAGATTGGTCAGGGTGAGCAATGATTCCGCTCCACCGTGCAGCCAATCCACGTTAGACAGTGAGGTTCCATAATGCACCTTTGCTGTGCAACAATATGAGCAAATGCGGTCGACTATGGTGAGAACCAGAGGGGATAACAATTTTCTAGATCGAATCATGGGTTCATACCGTAAATTCCTGCAGGGACTGCGCAGTGATGGCGAGTAATGACAGACGAAAATACAGACGATAAGTTAGTAATTGAGGAAAAAAATCGGAACAAAGAAGAAGGAATATAAATAATTTCAATCATAACCCTTGAGACTGTGATTATAGTACGTCAACGAGAAAAAAAAACAGAGGAAAATGGCATTCGACAGAGAAGCCCGGCTCGCTTGGCGCTCATTGCATCATCGTTTTGATGAACTGACCCGAAGCTTCTCTCGATGGATGCCGCATTCCTAGAACTACTGTATATTTTCCGAACAATCGTTCAAGGAGTTCAGGCGGTTGAAGAAACAGATAAAATCTTCACAGCAGTTCAAGGAGGCAAAGGAAAGAGACTTCACTGGTGGCCCCGACGAAGGCCAGCAAGAAGTAGAAGCCGAAGAGGGTGAGCTTGGGGGCGGAGTTGGACTTGGTGATGAAGTACAGAAAACCTAGGTAAGGGAAGAGGGAGGCCGCGAAGAGCTGCGAGGCCACGCTCTGAGAGTTCATGGTAGGCGCCCAAGGGTCGACCGGGGGCAGCATCATTCCCCGTAGGGGCCTGACATTCTGGGTTCTCCCGTTCGGGATTGGCCAGGTGACTCCCGTTCTGATGTTGCCCGGCCTCGCCCAGCGGGCCGGGAGATTGACGAACCCACCGGAGACGCTCGGCGGCGGCGGCGGGATATGCGCGCCGATAAGAGGTCGCGTCGCCGGCAACCAGCAGCAACCACCCGACATCCTGGACGGGTAAAAGCTCGGCGCCACGAACGCCGAAACCATCCTTTCGAAAAATCCCAGACGAGAGAGGGAGAGAGAGAGAGAGAGAGAGGATAAAATCCAAAAGGGGATCTTTTGTGATCGGTTCCGATAACTTGGGAATCCAAAAGGGAGATTTTTGCAGCAACCGGTCATAATAATTTACAGTTTTAATTAACTAGGATAAAATTATTTAATGCATTAATATTCTTTTTTTTCTATAATCACCATCGAAATGTCTTTCAAATTTTCGAATCCGATTTCTGATAGAGCTACAGAAAAGTGGGTTGAGCTGGACTCCGGAGTTGACCAGTCTAGTCTACCTGTGATCCAGCCCAAAGACAAACGGGCTCCGGCTGAAAATTTCCATTGGAATCGATTCTGATTATCTGTGATCAGATTTTCGAATTTCCTTGCTTCGACCATCTTGCTCCGAAGATGAAACATTCAAAGCAATCGACCACGGACCCTAAAAAAGAATATTTTTTTAATAAATAAGAAATAAAAACAAAATACATTTTTTTAAACGCCATGAAAATACGTTACTTATTCCTAAAATTTGATTTTATGAAATCCGGAAAAGTTGAGTGGGAAGGGATTTCGATTATTTGAAATCAGATTTTTCCAAAAAATCCTATTTCAACAGAAAGAATGCTAAAAAATTGAATAATTAAGAAAACAAATATTTTTAAAAGTTATTAAGTGCCATTAATATGCCTTATTTATTCATTAATCCTGTTTTTGATTATTTGCAACCAGATTTTTCCAAAAACTCCAAGTATGAAGCTCCGTAGATGATAAAAACACATTTATTAAAATGCCATAAAAAGACCTTATTTATTCAATTTGATTTCAAGAATTCTGAAAAAGTCGATCGAGTTGGGCTTTTGACTCTCAGCCGGCCCACTTGTTAAGAGACATGGGCCACCTTGTCCGGCGCAAAAGCCCCATTTGGTAGCGTTTCGGGGAATTGTTGGGCTCAGGAAGGTGCCACCCACCGGGATGGGCCCCCCAAAATATCTCCGCTACGCAGAGAAGCCGCCGTTTTTCCGCCCCCTGTTTACTTCCACCTTACGAGGCGGAGATACGTGGCAAGTCGTCGTCCATAAGGCCCGTTTCGTCGCCACGTGGCCGTGAGGCGGCGTGATCCCTAACTACGGCTCCCGCTGAGGCCACGATGCCGTCGGCCGGTGGCTGCTGCGACGCCCGGGGGGGGGGGGGTTGGTGTCTAAGACGCAACAATTTACTCTGTTTACACGACAAATAAAAAATAAAAATCTCGTTCCGATTTCTTTGGTCTCTCTCTCTCTCTCTGCCTGTGAGTCCCTCTCCGGTATCATTTGGTTTCCCCTCTCGCTCTCCCCCCCCTCGCAGGATCTGAACAGATTGCTTCGAATGAAGACGGCGGCGAGCCGAAAGTTAGGAGCATGGGGATTTTAACCTAACCTGTAAGTGTGAAGTTTATTTCCGAGAGTGTCTGGTAAATCTTAGGGATCGAGTTGGCACTAGCCGCTACAGCTTTCCCGTTCCTCCGGATGTTCTTCTTCACGAGAGAGACGGAAATTAACGTAATTCTTGGAGTTGTGGAATGGTTATGCGCTTGCATGACTGATTTCACGTATACGGTAGGTTAACGCTATTTCGGCTCATTTTGTTTTGTTTTGGATTTTGGCTCATGTTATTACTGCTATTCCTCGTGGGTTCCCCTTCGATTTTTACTTTTTCGTTGAAGATTTGGGCTTCATCAGCCATACCCGAAACTTTTTTCTCCGTAGTATTTTTTTCCTCATTATTTTCCGCTCCGCGCGTAGAAGTTATATTTAGTATCGCCATAAGGTTCTTCGTGGATGATGCGTTGTCTGATTTAAATATGATGGGCTATCTCTCGTATTTCCGTTAGCATTCGTAGTTGTTTTTTTTCCCAAAAAGATAGTGAAATATAACCGTTTTAAAGTGATTGCTACTAACTGAATGGAAACTAGGATTAGTTTTGGTTAATCTACTGGACTTGGAAAGCCGTGAGCTATATTTTAGATCATAACTATAATTTTTTATTGTTTGCCGTTATCCTCCAATTTTTATTGTAGAGCAATGCACGATCATTTAGTTATTTTTTATGTACGATAACTTTGATTACTAAATGCATTCGTATTAAACATATGCATTATTTTTACTTTTTTACTTATTTTAGGAAGCTCCGTCTCCGCAGTTCACCCTGATCACATAGAGATGCGTCTTCATCATATTGTATCCACTCAATTGGATCCAGATTTTGCCAGCTCGCTCTGTTTTAAAGAAAAAAATTAGGATCTCATGGAAGGGACCAGCGAAGTGAATGATACTCTTGATAACTCAGCAGAGGCTCCGCAGGTCAAGAGGAAAGAAAATGAACAATCTCCGAATCCAGAAAATTGCAATGTGATGGAAATACCCGCCTTATCTGGATCCCAGGATAATATATGGCCCGAACACCTATGTCCAATGAGGTTTTTAAAGCCTCCACCAGAGAATTTAGAAGGGGAGAATGTTGTCAGACGCTTTGGTTCTCAGCCTCGGTCTAAACACCTAGGGATGAGTCTCTGTTCCAATGGTGATGGTGACATTATAGTCGCAGAGTTGACAGTAACGAACTACAAGAAGTCAAGGTTGCGTCTAGATGGCTGTTCAAATAGTAGAGATGATGCAGTCAAGAAAAACGAGTGGCAGAAACTTTATAAGGCAGCAGACGATTCTAGGGATGTGATGTCCAAGGAAGCTCCGAACATTGGTAATGAAGGTGCAGGTAATTTGTATCTGAATCAATTCAGGTCTCAAAGGCCTCTTCCACATAGGCAAAAAAATTGTTCCATGGTTTCTAAACGTTCATTGGAAGGTGGGAATTTTTCCGGTTCTGAAAAAAATTTCACGGACTTTCCAGGAGGTACCAGGAGCAAGATTTTAGAGGGGTATGGTTTTCCGGAACTTGTAGTGAATGATTCGTTGAAAGGGAAGGGAATTGCTTACAAGCATCTGGGTGCTTATGATGCCCCACAGATTCCAGTACACAGTTCTAGAAACGAAATGCCCCGGAAACTTCTGGATGAAGTGCACAATTTGAATGCTAAATCCGATGGCTTGAATCTTTATGGTGATGTTAATTGTTTCAACTCTGCTTTGGATCCAGGAATGAGTTTGAGAGGATGGTTTAATAGCGAGCTTCACAATGCTGACAAATCTGAGAGGTTTCTGATATTTAGGGAGATATTGGAACTTGTTGATTCTTCTCACTCTCAGGGAATTGCACTACAAGATTTATGCCCATCCTTTTTTATGATAAGGTCTTCAAACCATGTTAAATATGTGGGATCTTTTATTTCTCAAAGTCCCTCCGTTTCATCAAAGGTTGCAATCGATCAGGATGCCTTGTACTCTGTGAATCAGTTAAAAAGGAAGAGTAACTTGGAAGTGGATAAACAAGTTCCTGAAGTCGTGTCAGTAAAACAACAGAAATTAATTGGGAACCTAGAATTTGGTAGCCAATGCCACATGTTTGGGAACAAAGTTGGCAGGAAGGAAGCATCTAGAATGAATGATTCTGCAAGGGTGAAAGTTCAAGATTCTGGTTGCAATTTTTGGCCACACTTCCTTGTAGATGAAGATCACAAGACTGGTAGCGTAACTAGTAATCAAGAAGTATTTCGGTATAACATCCAGAAGCCGGCCTGTGGCATTTTTCAACTCGAGGAGATGTGGTATACCAGTCCTGAGAATGGCAACGGCTGTCCGTTTTCATCAAATATCTACAGTCTTGGTGTTCTTTTATTTGAGGTATGTTGGAACCATACTTATTTATTTTATTATGAACCTTTGAGTTATAGCATTGCCATATTTTTTGCATCTTGCTTTTCATTCTGCTCATTTTCCGCCTCTAAGTTCTATTACCAGTTGATTCAAAATTGTTGATTATTGTCAAAATCCTTGATTATCAAAAGGCAATTCTCAATTTCTGTCCATTTGTTTGCTATAATTCATTATGTACTTGAAATAAAAGGAAATGGCACCGCATATGCCACTCATCCATTCAAAATAATCTCACGCATCTGAGTGAACGAGAGGGAGACTAATTAAACGCATAATCAGATTAATTCATAATTAGCTTCTTAATACATGCAAAAAGATTTGAAAAAATGTGTAAGTGAGAGAGTAGAGTCTTAAGTTTTTGTTTGCCAATTTGCTAGAAGAAGGCTTGGGAAATATAAGACTTGGACTGAGCCTTAAGGTTTGTCATGTTCTTTTACTGGTCTCACTATTGGAAACGACGTGCTTAAACAATTCTTTGTTACATGTTTGTCTCATCTGGCTGTTTCTGTCTCGTTTATTATCCACCCTTTGAGAACTTTAATGAGCTATTGTTTCTGTCTCGTTTATGGTCTCATATGCCATTTCAACTTGGTAGAAACATCTACTGCAGTTTCAATTTTATGAGATTCACAGAAGATTTGGGACACTGATTTTAGGCTATTGTTTTGCAGCTGTTTTGTTCATTCGAGTCATGGGAAGTGCGTGCTGCAGCAATGGTGAACCTTCGTCATCGAATTTTGCCTCCGAGATTTCTCTCAGAGAGTCCTAAGGAGGCTGGCTTTTGCCTTTGGTTGCTTCATCCTGAGCCTTCTCTGCGTCCAAAGTCTAGGTATCCCCTTCAGAGTATTTTAGCAATAAGGTCACTCATTTACTTGAAAACTAGCACTCGTTGGGTTGATAGTTTCTTGGAGAGTACAGGTCTGGTTCAGACTGTGGGCATCTTTACTTGGAGAGTACGTTTAGATAGTAATTCGTTGGGTAATGTTTAGGACAAAACATTTAATGCATAGTCTATGGTGTCAGCAAAAAATCCTGAATCTTGTTACCGGGAGATGTATGATCTTTTCATCAAACTTGCACAGTCTATAGTTAGAAATTTGGTACCTATTTGTTCACGTATTCTGAAAGTTTCTTGTATTTTTTTTGTCCCAGGGAAATTCTGCTGTGTGAATTTATGTGTGATACACAAGATTTTACATCCATCGATCATGCGCTGGCTTCAATTGAGGATGAATATGCCGAGTCAGATATGTTATTGCATTTCCTTTTATCTGCAAAAGATCAAAAAGAAAAACGAGCTGCAAAGTTAAAGGAGGATGTTCGTTGCTTGAGGACTGACATTGATGAGGTGGAGAGAAGAAACTCATCAAGAATTGAACCTTCTGCTCATGTCAGAAGTCCATCCGCATACACCTGTGGGTTCCCTGAAAAAAATCTTGCTGAATCTGTCCCTTCAGAAAGAAATTCTAGAATGTCTGCATCCGGAATTAGCCAGGCAAGGTTGATGCGGAACATTAGTCAACTGGAGCGTGCATACTTCTCCACGAGATCAAAAATTGACGTTCCTGCTACTGATTCTGCAGCACGTAAGGCTAAAGATGTCCTACAGAAGCATGAAAAATGCCATCCTACACAAAGTATTTCTGACGAAAATTGCTCAAACAAAGAAAGCGATCGCCTTGGAGCTTTTTTTGATGGTCTGTGTAAATATGCCAGATATAACAAATTTGAAGTACATGGAACTGTGAGGAATAGTGATATCCTTAACTCTGCAAACGTGATTTGCTCTTTGAGTTTTGACCGAGATGAGGATTATCTTGCTACTGCTGGCATATCAAAGAGAATTAAAATCTTTGATTTTGGTGCTCTCTTGAATGATAATGTGGATGTTCATTACCCTGTAGTTGAGATGTTTAGCAAGTCAAGACTGAGTTGTGTTTGTTGGAATAGCTACATTAAGAACTACTTAGCTTCAACAGATTATGACGGCACTGTCCAGGTATGTATTTCTTTAGCCTTAATTTTTTTGGTGTAGGGTATCATAAGTGTAAATTAACTTTTGTGTTTTGTTAAGTGGATGCTATGCGGAGAAAATTCTGGTATAGACTAAAACCTTATCTGAAATTACTGGATTTTTAGATGGAAAGACCTAGGCAGAAAAGTTTAGAAGAGAACACAGGCAGTGCCAAAGAATGACTATGTCATAGCTATGTATAACAGGAAGTCAGAATGATAATTTAATGGGATCTTTTCAGGATAAATAGAGGGAGGGAAAGGGCAGTCATTTCCGACTACCAAGCACCAGTGGGATCTATATCGGAAGATGAATAGTTTGGTATAAGTGAAATACCTAAATGGGAAAATGTTTCTCGTGTGTTTGAGTAAAAAGGAGTATTATACCTTGAAGAGAGACTACCAGCCTGGAAGCCGTTCTTGGGACCTTGAAGAACCTTGGGGTCTACATCTACATCTTGGAAGTGAGATGGTGAGATTTTGGTGAATGAGATCAATATCTGGTTCTCTTGTTTAGACCTGGATCAGGGTTTCTGCCAGTGGTCAAGTAAAGGTCTGGACTTTCACCAGTACATATTAAATATTCTTAGTCAGTCTTATTAATATTTTGGAGGAGTGGCAGGCGAATAGTTTGGAAGCTGCAAAATATGATGTGTAGAGCTTCAATTAGATTGTATCTGAGAAGAATTCTGGTGTGGTGTTGCTTACATTGTTTTTGTATAATTTTTTCCCACCTTCTGGATAAGCATCTTGAATCCATTCCTTGCTTGCAGTCCGGATATTCAACCACTAGTTGTCTTCTATGGTGCACATTTTCTGAAAATTTGGCCGCACAGGTGTCAGTAGATTCAACCTATAGTAAAAAATCACATTCTCATGTAAATTGGTGGAATTGAAGGAAAAATGAACCTATGGAATATAGCCGTCATGCCACCAAGGCACGGTGAAGAGTGGTTGTATGAAATAATCCATCTGGTTCAAGGTCGGGCTATGTGGATCCAACTTATAAAGTATTGACATTAAGAGAATCGTGTAGAGAGCATCAGTTGGATTAATGGGCCAGAAGGTTTTAGGATATTTTCGTAAATACCACAACATCCGTGGTAAAAGATTGCACGGTAGTTATTAACGTTCGCCAGATTAATGGTCGAAGATATAGTCATTTCTAATTGTACATCAATAACATAGGCATTGCCAATTATATTCGGCTTCAACTTGTTATAGATGCTTACTAAATATCTGTGTTTCTGCAAGAGTACGATGATGAGAATTTTTAACGGAATTTAAAATGGATGTATCCATTTAACTCCTGACCATGCACCCATGTAATCTGATTGGGGGTGCTAATGCAGGATAACAAGGGAATGGGGAGGCGGTGATCTGTATGGCCAGTGAAAGTCATGGGGGCTAGTGACGAGTCTGAAGAAGAACAGGAAAGGATCATTGGTTGCAGGGATTTACATTTATCCTCCAACAAATAAATAGGGGAAGCGATGATAAATTTTTGCTTCAATATAAGAAATTTTTCTCAGGTTGCATGCTTTCATTCTGTTGTAAAGTTTTTTGGGAATTAGTGGAAAAAGTTGGTCGCCCGGAACATGAGTGGCACTGATGGAGGGGAGAATAGATATTATGTGTTCTGTTTTTCCAGTGGCTGAATGCCAATAGTTTGGACTGGGAATCAGGGTGTTTGGGCGAGTTCTTTTAACGAGGTCAGCTGACACGTAGGTCCTTAATTTGTCAGGGGATTTTTAATTGGAATGTTTTGGAAAAGCTTAGGATTTTAGAATGATTGGATTTCTTCTCTCTGATTGTTGCGTGTATATAATATTACTTTCTGTAAGACCTGGGGTGTTCCGGTTTGGATTTCACCATTGCTTTCGACTGGGAGTCGTAAAGTGCTTGGTACGTGAGTGGGTACGTCAAATGCATGAGGCATGTGGAGGGGGGGAGGGAGGAATGGAGGGAGGGACGGGATTGATGATGATCGAGAAGCATTTTCTGGGTCTGCATGCAAGTTATCAAACAGCAGGACTTTCATGCAACCGCATGCCCTTTCTATTTACAAATGGAATTATTATAAAAAGTAAATAATGGGTATTCTTTAAACTATCTACTTCAGGGCTAGCTTATTCCTTGTCCTGTTTTCCTTTGACGAGTGGGATTGAGGGCGTTGGAAGGGACCTAATTGTGCCCTGTGAATGACATAGTGGAGTGGATTGCTACTTTTGGGTCATAATTTCGGCCGAGAGATTCAACAAAGCGTTTCAGGAAATGCTGGGGAAACAAGACGAGGAATGGAAAATTACTAGGGTTTCATAGAAAAATGATAACTGATTGTTGGTGGTATTGTCCAGCCAGTGAAAGATGAGAGAGGGAAAGACACTAATCTTTGCGGGATATGACTATTTTTTTTATTGTGAACTGTATTGCTCGTACCAATGGAATCTGTAAAGTAAATATATGCATGTAATTTCCTTTTCAGTTGCTGGCATATGGTACCAACTAATCACGACATTGGAAAAAAATAACTTTATAAACTGAAAAGCTGAATTAAAACTAACAATCATCGAGTATCTTTAATATGGGATTAAGAAGAACTGGAATCCGTAGTGTGAATAAATCTACCAATGTTCATCTTAAAATTGGGGTTTTATTCTTCCTGTAGATTATATGACTATTCATGAACTCTGATGGTTGCTCTATTTTGCTTGGTCTTAACAAAACTCTATGGTTTTACTCATCCTGTGTGGAGTATTTGCAAGTTGATGCTGTTTAACTTTTTTTTGTGTTTTACAGATATGGGATGCAAGCACAGGTCAAGGTTTCATACAGTACAATGACCATCTGAAACGAGCCTGGTCTGTCGACTTTTCGCAAGGGGAACCGACAAAGTTGGCCAGTGGAAGTGATGATTGTTCTGTAAAACTTTGGAGCATAAAAGAGGTACGTCTTACTCGACCCATTTCTCTTCTTCGAAGACAACGGCACACTTTTATCTCTATGTTTTTCTCTTAACAGCAGTAGTTGCTTGTTCGGCCCTTCTGTTTGGTAGTGTTCGAACCTAATACCAGGGGGTAGTGTTTGGTGACCGTTATATTTAACGGATAAATAGGGGTCTCTATCACCTCGTTATGAGTGTTTTAATAATATAACTTCTCAAGTTACTGGATGTGATGGCATGTGGAGTTACTCTTTTCTTTTCGTTGCCTTTGTTTTTTGGGAGCCTCTATACTGTCTTTTCACTTGATGCTGAATTAGATTCAATTGACCTTCTTTAAAAAAAGATATCATGGTTTTTAACAATATATCCGTATTTCTTCTTGGATTGATGAAAATGCTTAAGCGGGAGTATTTACATTTTTGTTTGATTGACAGAAAAATTGCATCAGTAGCATCCGAACAGTTGCGAATATCTGCTGCGTCCAGTTCTCTTCAAGCTCAAGCCATTTACTGTCCTTTGGCTCCGCTGACTACAAGGTTTACTGTTATGATCTTCGCAATACAAGAATCCCTTGGTGTACTTTGGCCGGACATGGAAAAACTGTCAGCTATGTGAAATTTGTGGACTCTGAGACCCTGGTCTCTGCGTCAACTGACAACACCCTTAAGCTTTGGCATCTCAACAAAACCAGTTCCACTGGATTGTCGACTTCTGCGTGCAGTTTAACATTGAGCGGTCATACGAATGAGAAGGTGTTCATCTTGATTCCTTCCCACTATTTTCTAGAGCTCATTTCATGCAATTCCAGAAAAGTATGTTATGTTTAATTCTTTGCCATTGATTTCCAGAACTTTGTAGGCTTGTCTGTTTCTGATGGATACATAGCGTGCGGTTCAGAAACGAACGAGGTGAATTTAACTCTCTCTCTCTCTCTCTCTCCCTCTCTCTCTCTCTCCCTCTCTCTCTCTCTCTATAATTGAATATGCATTAGCTGTCAACTAGCATATCGTAAAACCTGTCCTTTTCTTACCTTGCGCAAAGATAGATGTGGGCTCCGGGAATCGAAACACCAAAAAAATAAGATAAAATTTCCAGACGTTCTTATTATTTAAACAGCAAAGTGATGCTTTCAACGCTTTGTTGCTGTGGAGCGTCATGGTGGAACTGGAAGTCAGCGTCACTTACTTTCGTGTTGCATCGGTTTTTCCTTTAATCTATTCGGTCACCTGGGAATGAAGTGCCAAAAATATAGTCAAATTGAGTACTCAGCAAGAAAATAATCAGGCTTTATTCGCACTCGAATCAACTAGACCCACCCACTTCTTCGACATATGTTTTTTTTCTAAATATAGACACATAAATGAAATTAATAAATGCATATATGCACATATGACTACAACGGGAAATGCAGTCTGCCATTCCTAAAACGACCAATGGCTGGATTTGGATGAATGTTGACTTGACAAGATCTTGGTTCCATTTCTGACTGGAAGATGTTTCCTATATTTCCTCACTTGATTGGTTTTGTCTGTAATTTTCGTTTCTCTGCAGGTTTATGCTTACTACAAATCTTTGCCTATGCCAATAACTTCTCACAAGTTTGGGTCCATCGATCCCATCACGGGCCTTGAGGTCAACGAGGACAGTGGACAGTTTGTCTCAAGCGTCTGCTGGAGGGGAAAGTCAAACATGGTGGTGGCAGCAAACTCCACTGGCTGTCTAAAACTCCTGAAGATGGTGTGAAACTTCTCGCACCAGAGGATCGTGATATGGATTCCCAAAAGATTCCCACGTTTTCTTGCCCCAGAAGTCACCCTCAAGATATCATCCCCGCTTCTTATTGGGCCGATGGACCTCGAAACATCATTAATGGCATGAAACTGGAGCCAGCGAATAGGCCCCTCCGTCCACCATGACCAGGTACCCAACTCCGTTACCTATCCATCTGCTACATCTTCTCCTTCTGCTCGCTCTGAGTAATCAGAGTTTTGGGGATTGAGGAAGCAGATGACCCTGTAGATTTTGAGATTGTCCGTGGCTCGTCTGGGAAGGTGATCTGGTCAGTGGATGACAATCTTCCGCATTCATCGTGCAACTCTGTGCAGAAGAAACGCAAGGTCTGAGTCTGGTATGTGAATATAGCATGGATCTTCTTACTAAGAAAAAGCATAGAGTGCATTTTTGTAATTTCTCAAGGATTGAAGGCATTCACTCGTTGGTGTATATAAATCTCACACGCTTTCCTCTTTTTTCTACCGAGGAAATGCGTTATTTAGTTTCACCTCACCCTCTTCTGTGGGCGTCTTTTATTCCTTTTTTTTGGGTTTTCTTGGTGAGGGGTAGAGAGGGGGAGATGGGAGGTAATGCTGTTCTTACATGCTAATTTCGTGCTACAGAAATCTGTACCAGACAATTTTATCAATTGCTGTATACCTCATCGAATCTCTTGTGGGTACCCTTTTTGTGGCGTATCATCCGACATGGTGAAGTCAGGCTATGTCTGAATCGGAGGCGTGCCCGGAGGACCGCCGCCGCCCCGGGCTCGCCATGATCGGCTGCAGTTGGTTCTCCGAGTTGGTCCGCATGGCAGCGCATGGCCCTAGCTGCGGCGGCCTTGCCGCTTTCGCCTTCAGCTTCTGCCCCGCCCATGACGACGATGATCCCATGCTGGCCCTTCGGTCCTCCTCCTTCCCCGGCGCCGCCTTCCCGAGCTCGGAGCAGAGTGGGAGAGACGACGGCGTAGAAGAGAGGAGCTCCTCGGACAGGTTATCGTCCCCGCAGACGGACGCCCCTTCGCTGCCAGACTCAGAGCTCCTCTCCTTCTCCCTCTCCATGACCTTATAGGCGAACATCTGGAACGGGATCTGAATCGTCTCCGGTTTGACCCACCCGGGAAATCTCCTTGCCAGGGCGGCGTCCATCTCCAGGTAATCAGCCGCCGCCGCCGTCGCCGTCGCGGCTTCGGGGTTGAGGAGGAGGGAACGCTTGACCCAGCGGAGGACCCTGCAGATGGCGGAGAAGCTCGGGCGCTGCGACGAGTCGGCCTGCCAGCACTTCTTGGTGAGTCCGGTGAGGTGCTTCGGGGAGGGAAAGGGGAAGAGCGGCCTCTCTCCTGCCCTGATGTTCCTGCTCATCTTCTCCCCCCGCAGGTGGCCGTCCTCGAAGGGCACCTTCCCCGTCAGGAGCTCGAAGCATATCATGGCGAAGCTGTACACGTCGGCCTTCTCCGTGTACCTCGCGGAGCCCCCCGCTGGTAGCTTTCTTCCGTGCTCTTCTTCCTCGAGCAGCACCTCCGGGGCCAGCCAGATGCAGCGGTCGCCCCCGCCGCCGCCAGATTTGGGGTTCTTCACCGAGGAGAGCCCCACGCCGGCGACCTTCACCCGCAGGTGGCCGTCGGAGCTCCCCTTCACGAGGATGGCAGAGGGGCTCAGATTCCCGTGGGGAATCCCCCTGGAGTAGAGGTACTCCATGCCTCTGGCGATCTGCAGCATGACGTCGACGACCGCCGGGAGGGCGAACGGGCGTCGCCGCCGCGGGCCGGAGAGCTCCTTGATGTGGCTGCAGAGGCTCTTCTGCATGAGCTCCATGAGGAGGAAGCACTCCTTCCTCTCCTCGTCGGAGAAGGCGCAGAGGATGGGTATCACGTTGGGGTGGGCCAGCGAGCAGAGGCTGAGTATCTCCGGCACCAGCGGTGCTATGTCGCCGAAGAAGTGCCTTACGGCGAAGTTCTCCCCCATCCAGTGGACCTCCTTGTAATGGCTGCCGCTCCCCAGCCTGCGCCTCACCTGGTAGTCCTTGGCAGCCACGAGGATTGAGCTGGGGAAGAGCTTCTCCTTTGACCCTTCTACCAGCTCCGCCAGCCGGCCGCCGCCTCTCTTGGCAGCGACGGCCTCGAGGAGGGCCCACCGATCTTCTCTCCCGGCGGCGGCCATCGCTGCGCAGAAGCTCGGAGAAACCAGGCGGCGCCGCCCGAACTGGCGCTGGAAGAGGGAGGGCTCCATCCACTCCCTCTCGTACCTCTTGGAGAAGATGAACCTCCTCCGGTGGATCTCCTTCTGGTCGCCGCCGGCGATCTCGCCGGCGGCCTCCACGGCCTCCACGACCACCGGGAGGCAGGAGAGCAGGTTGTGGAGGTGGAGCTCGGCGCAGTCGGCGGTGTGGCCGAGGGAGACGATGACGCTGGCCCACCAGTCTCTGCCCTCCATGCAATGGCGGACGTAGTGCTCGGCCTCCATGCAGATCCTGTGGAGCTCCCTCAGGGGGTGTTGCAGAGCTCCCCATTTGGTCAGCCTCTCGTCGAAGCTCAGGTTCTCCCGGATTTCCTCTGAGACCACCTCGAAGGTGAGATTGAGGGCGTCGGCCAGGAGGAAGCACTGGCGCCTGTTAATGGCGATATCGTCTTGGAAGGCCATTAGGGTTTTGAGGGAGCCCAGCACTTCTCCGATTCGCCGTAGCTCCTCCATGGCCGGTGATGCCCTCTCTGTTCTTCTTCTTCTTCGCCTCCTCCTCCTTTTCTCCTTCTCCGTTGCAGAGGAGGACGGAGGAGAGTGAGCTCCGAGGACTGTTCTCTGAGTTTTCTTCCTCTCTCTCCCTCCCTCTCCCTCCGGTCATCGACGGGCCGCCGCAACGGCTACCGTTTTCCGACCCGACCGCCCCAACGGCGTCGTTCCTCGCTCTCTCTTCCCATCTCTCCTGTTCCTCTGGTAGCCGAAGACCAACGGTTCCCCCGGGTTCCCAACCGTACTAGAGAAAGAGGTGCAAGAATAACAGACCCAGAAAGAGAGGGGGAGCGAGGGGGAGAGAGAGAGAGAGAGAGGGTGCAGCTCTGCATTCGTAAGAACGTTGAAAAAGTCAAGCCCATATTTGACCAATAACAGCTCACGTGTACTGTAACTGGGCGAAACTGGGCTTTAAGAGAAGCCCACATTATTTTGGGCCTCCATAAATCTTCCCAAATTTTATTCGGCCCAAATTAAATATATGTGGCCCATTTAAATCGAGTTCATATGAAATTGGGGCGAAATAGTTTTTATTGGTCTATCCAAGGTGCAGCAAATTGTTTCGAAAAAGTTCTGGACGGTGTCCCATCCACGTGAAGCCCCGCTCGACTTCTACTAGATGGGCCCACTCTGCAAAGATCTTCGGAGCCCATCAACCAGCCCATTAATGGGCTATTCTCACCCCCAAGCCCAGGTAAGATTCCGAAGAAAAGCGATACATCACTTGATGACATGGCATGTTTTGATTTGAACTTCACTCTTCCTTATGCCACCTGGCGATGAGGCCACCCGCGTAATTAGTTACCGCGCTCACTACCACCTGGAGCCACCAGCTCCCGTCAGGTGCCCGTCCCCCGGCCGGTGAGACCTGGTGGCGGACGACGGTGGGCACCTGTTTCCAGTGACCGCCCAAAGGAACGCCTCCCCTCGCCAACCGCCGTTTGTCTGGAACCCACCAGCGGAAATTCGTCGAACAGTTGGCTAGCAACTTCCAGTTATAACCTACCAAATTCCAGTGCATTTCCTCCACTGCCGCCCCTCTCCACTCCCTATAAAACCATAAGGAGGAGGAGAAGAGAGGAGAAGTGGAGCGATGGAGTCGATTCAGCAGAGGCCGCAGGAGGGGAGCGGGAGCATGGGCCGAGATGGGCAGAAGGAGAGGTGCAGCGCCTTCCAGATGCCGCTGCACTACCCGAGGTACAAGGAGGCCGACTACCAGGCCATGCCCGAGTGGAGAATCGACTGCCTCCTCCGCGAGTATGGTCTCCCCGTCACCGGAGACCTCGCCGACAAGCGGAAGTTCGCCATCGGCGCCTTCGTCTGGCCTTCCCACTGAGCCATGCACTCCCACAGAAGAACCCATATATCTATATATGTTTATACGTGTATCTGTTGTCCAAGCGCGTACGTTGTCGTGGGGGAAGAAGGTGAGAGTGCAGCAGCGTTGAGCTACTTGTAAAGCTCAGCTTCGTTTTTCGTGTTCTGTACTCTATCGTTTATATAATACCAGACAGACATTCTATCACCCGTGGGTCCTCGTTCCTCTTCCCTTCTTCTCCTTCGACTTCGGTTAACGCGGCGGCGCCGCCCACGCGCCGGTGAGCCTTCAACTTCTTGATCTTCGTTTCGCCTGCTTCTCGGAATCCCTACCTTCTTCCGCCGCGGTGAGAAGAGCGGGGCAACGCACCGTGGGGCGGGTAGCGCCGCCGCTCCGTCAGCGGCTTTAGTCAACGCGGCGGCGCCCGAGATCCGGCGAGCCGCCGCTCCTCCGCCGCCACCCACGTGTGAGCTTACGTTACCTTCGGCGAACGCAATGCACAGCCCGATGACAGCCGGCGTAGCCCAACAACATATATATATATATATATATATATATATATATATATAATTCTAAATATTGTTCTTTTAATAGGGAAATTGACCCTAAATAATGTACTAAGATTAAAAAAATACCAATTACGTAGTACGATGATGATCACACCCAATGCAAATGGCTCTGTTCTTCTCTATTTATCGCAATATTTTTTAAAATACTGATCATCGATTTAACGCTAATTAAAAAAAATGAAGATCTTCGTCCTCCATGACGGATGGTACATTGAAGAGGATATGAGCATGAGCAAGAGGACGGTGGCTGCTTAAACTACCATCCCAAGCGTGTGAGGGTGTGGCTTCGCACGTGTGAAGGAGGACAACGAGAGGAGCGATGCGAGTGCGTGGGCAGCCTTTATTGCGTAATCAAAGTAGGCCACCTGCATGGTTGCACTGCCCACGTGCACTGGATGCCCTCCATGGACGGGTGCAATGAATTGGGGGACTCTGGGTTCTTCGTGTCTTTGTACTGTCATACGCGTCAGTATCCACCATAGTTTGGTCGTCTAATTATCTCAATATTTTCGTAGATTACAAGCTCGGCACATCAAATCAAGATTGTGAGGATATTTTGGGCTACATGGTTAGTTCTTATGTGGGTCGGATTAGGTTTCCACATCGTCATAATTGGTAGATAAATACATAGGAGCGAACATTCTTAATTGGCAATAATTGCTTGCCATGGTATAATTACGCCACCCACCCCCCCCCCCAAATAATTTTTTTTTTATAAAAACCAAAATAACAGATTTTTTGTGCCTGGCCCAACAATTTAGAAATCCCTATATAAAGTGCTAAATATAAATACTATTTAATTAATTCGAAGTGTATATTATTTTTATTAGTTTCGAATAATTTCAGTACGATGCATGCGTTCTCCAACTTTTAGATAGTTTAGTATTATGTATATGGTTGCATTCATGAATTTTTATAACATTTTTTTTGTGAAAACAAGTATAATAATGCTTTTTATATATTAATAATTACAGATATAATTAGTTCCTATACTGAAATCAAATGCATTTACGGACGAGAAAAACTGAGAAATTAATATTTTGCGTTTTTTTCTATTTAAAATCAAGTCATAAAAATTAGGCATGGGACCCACGAGAGAGAGAGAGAGAGTGAGGAAGAAACCATCATGACTTGGACGGTCAAACGTGGCGATTTATTTGGTCAAATGAGGAACACTGACATAAGAAAGAAGAGTTTGATGGAGATGGATGTTGGAGATGGATGTTGAACCCTGGCCAGGAGTGAGCTAGGTTACATGCAAGTCAGAAATGGGTTCCGAAAAACGCATTGTCCTGTTACTTGGAATGCATTCTACGATGACATTCTTGAATGTTCCAAAATGGATTTCCGAAATTTGCAGTGTGTTTCCGTCTTCGGTTTGTGAGGCAGCCGCTTAGTACAGACGGCCCCTTCCGGTCGATACTCGTAACCTCAGAAACTTCTCCCGCCCTCCCTCGTTCCCTCCCTCTATCTCTCTCTCTCTGGCTGGGGGGGAGCGGGGAGACCTAGGCGTTCCTCTGGGCCGTGGGGGAGATGAAATGGGGGATGGAGGTGGAGGAGGTCGAGGTTTTGCTGGAGAAGATCTGCGACCTCCACGACAGGATTAGCGACGCTATACACGCCGTGTCTAGGTCACATTTCCTCAGGTCCATGACTGCGAACGACGGCAGCAGAATCTCCGACGAGAAGAAACATCCAACAGTGGGGGTGGGAGGGGGGCCGGGGGACGAATGGAAGAGGGGCTACGTGTACGTGAAGGGTTTCAAGCTAGAGGAAGACGAAGCGACCATTGCAGAGGCAAGGAGCCTCAATTCCGTCAGGACCGCTCTCGAGGACCTAGAGGAGCAGCTCGAGTTTTTCCATGTATGCCTCTCCCTCACCTTCTCTCTCTCTCTCTCTCTCTCTCTCTCTCTCTCTCTCTCTCTCTCTCTCTCTCTCATAAAAATACACGCAAACACACGCCTCAGAATGTTTATGTGCGCGCTTTTAAGGCAAAATTTATCATGTCTCGAACTATTGGTGATTGTAACTATTGTTTTCGTGTTCACACTTGTGGTCTTAGGGATATTGCCTTCCTAAATTTTCTCAATGCTTCTAATGAAGTCCCTATCTAACTCGGAGAATGTCATATCCATGCAATAAACGCGACTCATACCTCTATTCTTCTAGATTTTTCCCTTAGTCGAGTCATCGTCGAGCAATTCCTTGGTTTCATAGGATTAAGTTGCACAAGTAATACGATGGTTTCATACCACTAACTGGTATTTGATACCACGTGGCTTCGTTGGATGCCAGCCTGTCTGAAGAAGATTGAATATAGGGAGGCTTATTTGGTTCTGTACAAGAAGACCAAATCTGCACAAATGACTTAGAAATTTTTGATGATTCTCTTCCTATCATGGACAGTTTTCTTTGACTGCCCGTTGAATGTCATCACGTGAGAAAGTCAACACGACCAATTCTGTTTGGCTATCTAATGAGCATGAAGAATAGGAACATTTGCCATCACTTTTTCAAAATCCATAAATTAATGTCAAAGTAAAAATATATGATGGAGATAGGGGAGGAGACTAACAGATTGTATCTATTAGGTGAAAATTTTATGTCCTCAGGAAGATTTTTGACTGTCAATCTCAGTACAGCTTGTCATGATGATTTACTAGAAGGTTGTTGAGATACCTCTTAGAAACGGAAACATTAATGTCTAGAAATCAAGAAGGAAACGTTTGTTGGTTGTCCAGAAAAACAAAGAAATTATGATATTTAACAAAAACCTTAGAACTTCTGTCTCATATTAATAGCATTGTTTTAATTTTCTCTGATCTATCTATAAATCCAACGTTTTTTTCTTATTATTTTAGTCAATTTCAAAATGACGACAAGAAAAAGTTATTGCGAACCACCAATTCTCTGGTTGTTTGTTCCATTTCACAAAAGATTAATAAGCTGCTGATAACTGCTGAAAAACCTCAAGCGAACTACCAATTCTCTGGTTTCTTATTTCTGTTCATCATTTCTGGTTAGTAAATTTAGACCCCTACACTCGTAAGCGGCTAATATATCCTTCTCTTGATTAGAGCCTTGAAGATGCATCATGCAGATTAATCTGAAGGAGTTATGCGCATATGGTCTCCTAGATCCACCTTACTGTTCATAGCATTATCCGAAGAGAGTGAGCGTCAAGTTGCTTGTTTGCTGGTGTATATATATTATAATCTTAAATTTCAGATTATGGGTTCGATAATCACTATCCTACAGACCTTTTCTCCTTTCTTGATGGGAACAACTTGACTCTTGATCATGCTATTTAGAACTGCTTCCAGCTTGCCAGATATGACACGATTCCATCCCTTCTGCTATGATAGTCTCAACTCCCATCCGTGCATTCTGCTCCACATATAATCAACACCTCGGATTTCAGCCAATTCATGTGCATGCTGATGGAAAATTACTTGCATCTCACTGTGGCAGGTATTTCATCACTGTGATAGAGCTAGTGCTTAGGCATATTAATTATACCAACCATGCAGTATAGAAGTTTTTTTCTTACATGGGTGGGTTTTCCTCTGTGCCTTTTTTTCTCAGACTGTCCAATCACAACAAAGGGCGGAGCGAGATGCTGCAATAGCCCGGCTGGAGCAAAGCCGCATCATTCTGGCAATGAGACTGGCAGACCACCATGGGAGGAAGTACAAGGTCATTGAAGAAGCCATGGCCTTTGTTGGTGACGTGTCTGACGACTCCCATTTCATCGGACCTGGATACACCTTCCAGAGTCACTCCAGTGGGAAACCAAATCCTCGCCAGGGCAAGCGATCCAACCCCGTGATAGGCATGCTGGTTTCCAGTCTCACACTGGCGAAGAAGTTCCTCGGATTGGATAGATTCGTCGGTGCGCTGGGGAATGCCACTCTTTTTACTGTCAGCATGCTTGTACTCCTTCGCATGCAGCATGTCTCGATGAAGAGCGATCTCTTGCTGGAGCCCCCCACGGGTCAGGTACTAAGATTTTATGGCGAAGGGTCCGAGAATAGAAATTCCCGGCCGGACAACACTTCCTATGGGGACCAGAGGCAACCCTTGGACGTGTTGGCCGCCAGAGGCTAGAATGAGGAGCTCCCTGTGGTATATTCTGTGAATACAGCGTTTGATTGGTATCATCGACGAGCCTGCGAACCATCGAGGTTCGTTACTTTTAGTCTATTGACGATGCCTTTTTCTTTTGAGTTCCTTCACTCAAGTTTGCATAGTTTTGAATGTGATAATTGCTTCTACGCGCCGGCAGACATCATTATTTGTTTAATCTCTTTTATGATTAGATTCCATAGCTCTGAAGTTAGAGCTATGGATGCATTCCTTTGATATCTAAACTAGGAAGTGCCGAATGAAGAGGGTAACTATGTAGAGTGGCCCCGTTTGTCCAGTAATGAGGTCATCCTCTGGCACTGGCGTCGTAGTGTTATCCACTCTTCATCCTCAAAATGATATGAAAACGTGCGACTGTAATCATATACACCATTGATTTGGGGTTTGATGACCATATTATCATAGGATATTGCCCATTTAAGAAAACCCTAATGCCCACTTGTATATGAGAATAAATAATGATAGAATAGTCTCATATTTATTGGTAAAAGATGAGCATGAATTTACACAAACACCACCCTTGCTCCTTGCTCCACACCAGAGCCCTTCACGAATCAGCACTAATTTCCCAAATTTCTTATCATTGCTACATATCCACCACTCTCTGCTTCAAACCAGGTGCACATTGTATTTTAAAAATAATTTAAGAAAACCCTAATGCCCACTTGTATATGAGAATAAATAATGATAGAATAGTCTCATATTTATTGGTAAAAGATGAGCATGAATTTACACAAACACCACCCCTTGCTCCACACCAGAGCCCACGGCACTAATTTCTCAAATCTCTTATCATTACCAATTCTCTGCTTCAAAAACTAGGTGCGCACTGTATTTTTTGAAGTAATTTAATAAAACCCTAATGCCAACTTGATTGTGCTAATAAATGATAGAATAGTCTCATATTTATTGGTAAAAGATGAGCATGAATTTACATAAACACCCCCCTTGCTCCTTGCTCCTTGCTCCTTGCTCCACACCAGAGCCCATTACGAATCAGCACTAATCTCCCAATATCTACCACTCTCTGCTCCAAACTAGATGCACATTGTATTTTTTAAAGTAAAAAAACAAATAACTATATTCTTACTGCCATATATGCAACAGTCCTTCCTTGTGATGTTCCCGTCTTCCCTGGCTATGAAGGTCCTCACAGATACTGTAAATAAATACACGTCTTAAAGTCTCAACTGGGTCGCATCAAGGGAAAAGTGGCAGTAAAAGTTTGGAAGAGTGGAGAGCACAGAACCCGTCTCTCTGATTCAACCTTAAATAGATCGACTGAAGGAAACAAGATGTAGCCTTCAGAGTTGTTCAGCCCATGGCGTACTTCTGAGTCCAGCTCCTCGCCGTGGCCTCATACTTGGACCGATCGGTCTTGTACATGTGAGCGATCTCCGGCACCAGAGGGTCGTCTGGGTTCGGGTCGGTCAGCAGGGAGCAGATCGAGAGCAGCACCTGCAAGTGGATTCATTTGAACGGGTGTTATCCTAAAGAACAAAAAAAAAAAAAAAAACTGGGGTATTTTAGGGCTTCTGAGAGGGAGTAGAAAGACGACCTTGGAGATGGTCAGCGCAGGGCTCCACTGCTCCTTCAGTATGTCTAGGCAGATGCTTCCATTGCTGTTGATATTGGGATGGAAGACCTTGGTTCTGAATGCAACCTGCAGGGCCAAGTGTATTTATGTATGTAAATCCTTTGTGCAGATGAGAATCAGAAAAAAAATAAGCAGTCTAGAGAGAGAAACGAAGAAAAGGAGGGCCCCATTCATCCCTAAACATTTCTGTTGAAGGGAGAAGGGTAGATCTCTGGAGGGGTCTGAAGCAGGCAAAACAGCCCATCAAGAGCTAGTAGAGATATGACCTAATGCATAGCGCAAGAGAAACCCCGCCATAGTCTGAGATCCAAACTCAGACTGCTAAAACCGGCATGGTTGAGCTTGTTGAGAAAAGGGTACCCAGCAAAGAAGGAATCCAAAGAGGCACACAAGCAGTGACCTATGATTAGAAGCATATGATCTTTGCTGTTCATTCGGAAGAGATGATGCAAACAATACCTTTGGCGGCTTGAAGGGGTAGTCTGGAGGGAAGTGAATGGAGACTAGGAACACACCCCCGGCATAGGGGCTGTCCGGGGGACCCATTATCGTCGCCTGCCAATGGAACATATCCTCCGCTACGGGCCCTGTAGATCACAAGAAAAAAAATGCAGGAATTTTTCCCTGTCAGAGATGAAGATCCTTGGAGCAGATTTGACGAGGAACTGAGCCGTGATGAACAAACAGCGAGTGAGCCAGATCACGGCAGGCAGACGGTATAGCCGATTATATCAGAAACCCAGCCCCAGTGAATAGCCAGAAGATCGATCCTTGCCGCTATTTCCACATCACCTATGGGGGAGAACACGGCCGGAGGACGAACCCTAATATCGCGTCTCCCCGGGGGAGTCGAATCGACCGGATCGAAGGCCTCCGGCGACATCGCCGGAGGGGGGGGGGAGGAGTATCCGCGAGGCGGCCGGAGGAAAACAGAAATCAACGGCGGCGGACACGGCGAGGTAGTAGCTACCTGCGCTGCAGGAGGTGGGAGGATCCTTCTGGAGGTCCTTGAGCTCCTTCAAGATGCGCTTCGACGCCATGGCAGGAACCCTCCGAACCCTAGATCGTCGGTCGGCACAGGGGAAGACGTTCCGCCGGCACGGGGGGCGGCGGATTCCTCGCGGAGGAGAAGAAAAGGGAGACAAAAGCCGGGGGGGGCTTCTCCGATAGGAAGAGTAAATAAAGTTTTGCTTATCGAAGGGCATAAATTAAAAAGAAATATGGGAAAAGGTAGAATCTTATTCGCCGACAAGATGGCGTGCGGCGGACGCTGATTTTTTTATATTAAAAAGTATTCCTCCTAGGCCCTGAGACTATTTTCCTTAAGTATCTACCCCCCCCCCCCATCATGGTGACGTTGTAGGTGGCGGGTCTGTAAAGATGGGTAATTTCCTATTTTCTTTTCTCTTCGTAAGTGTCGCCTTAATTGCCGTTTTAACTTGCGAAGAATTTAGAGAGAGAGAGAGAGAGAGAGAGAGAAATGGTCAACCGACGGCCCGGGCGTTGACGCCGGTCAGATCGCCGATGAGATCCAAAGGAAGTAGCACAGATTAATTATACAGCGAAAGAATAGTCAGATGGGTTACACGAAGAAACGAACAGATGTTCTTAGTTGCGACGGAGGGCCGATCTTTCTTTTCCACAGAGCTTCCTGTTCGACCTACGCTTACCTCGGCCAACGGTTAAGGGGCAGCACAGAGGATGATGGTTTTAGCCAAAACTGCAGAGAGAGAGAGAGGTTGACTTTTGGGTCTTGTCAACCCACTACTGCGGCGCCGGCCCGGGAGCTGGACTCCAGGAGCTGGCGGAGCTTTCCGGGGCTCTCCGCCGACGGCGGTTCGCTCCTGGTAGTGGAGGGCGAGTTGCTGATCCTCGACAAGAAGTTCTCCGTGACCGCAGAGGCAGGGTTCCCCGATTCGGTCTTGGTAGAAGAAGAAACCGACTGCGCCTCCTTTAGTTTATCCTGAGAGGGAGGGATGAGGGGGCGTGGGGGAGGGCGTTGACTTTAGTTTACTCAAGAACAGGGGATATATTGCCTGAATTGGTCGCGATGGTTGAATAATCTGATAAAAGTAAACGAGGGAGACTTAAATCTATAATGGGGAGTAAACCAGAAGCAGAATGGAGCAGATTTTTTCTGAGAGAATTGGCGTGCAGGTGATGCTAGGAAGTATACCTCAAGGGCTGAGTTCTCAAGCCGGAGCCTCGCCGAATCCTTGGAGAGTTGACTAACTTCTGACTTGAGTGCCAAGTTCTCGGCGACCAGGGAGTCTATTTTTTGAGCAAGTTCCTCAGTTTCGGTCTGGAATTATTAAAAAAACGAAGAAGATGGAACCATTACAGTAGACAATAAAAAGCTTAAAATAGTAATAATAATTACTATTAGTAGTAGCAGTAGTGCTGGGTACCTGCTTCCTGAGCCGTGACCTTCTGGCAGATTCTCTATTGGATTGTTTCCTCTTCTGTCTCTTCAATTCCCGGTCGTCCTGAGAAAAATGTGACGCCAACATAAGATGCCACCTTCTAGTTTCAGTAAGACAGAAAACAACCCAAACCCTTGGTTTCTCTAAAGCTCAAGAACACGAGTGTCCGGCTCAAACGCTGTGACCCAGGAAGTCGGCCAGTTTTTCGCTCTGGAGAAAACCATTCCGATCTTCGTTGACTTTCCTATCCCTCTGTACTCCATCAGTCTAATTGAGCTTCAAAATCGTAAGTCCGGTTCTGGCGTCTAAAGGTAAAAAGTCAACGAGGCAAGGTTACTTAAGCTTACACCAGAATACTTGCTGTTCATGGCTAATAATCTGGCCTGATTGATACCCTGGATGCCATCTGTGTCAGGTCTTAAAATAGCAAGCCATAGCATACTCTTATCCAACGACCCAGATGTATCATTGAATGCCATAAGTAGCATCATAAAGGATATTATGTGCCCTAGATACTACATTAGAGAAATCATCTGAAAACTAGTAGAACTAAATGGATTGGCCCATTTACACCGAAACATTCTCCCAAGGTTTGCAAGAATTTGAGAAGATGAGACGAACCAGATGAACCCAAAATAAATATTTTTATGATTTATGTTTTACTGGAGGTTACTTTATTGTCCACATGGAAAAGGATCATTATATGGAGGGGATTTACCAGACGAACGTGGACCGCCAGCTTTGGATCTGCAGGAGCAGAGAGCCTGACCCCGGTTTCTGTGGTGGCGTCAGAAGGGGCAGGCCTTCCTGCAGCAGTTGCGTCAAGGCAATGAAAAAATGAGACGTTAGAAGATACAGGGTACCCTCACAAGCACTCAATTATTTATGGATAGTTTCACCAATATAATAAAAAGACAGATCAAAAAAATACTACCGAGTATGAGATTGATTGGATTACTGTTCTAAAGCATGTTGAAGGAATAGTATAATCAAGCCACCCACACGCTTGGTATAATAACCAGAGAGCCGTAGCCCTAATCTTTATCGGCGCCCATTAAAAGAGTTTCTGCAATTTAAGAATTTGGACAGCGAAAATAACGTACCTGTAGCAATATCATGTGACGCTCGATTCCCCAGAGTATGATAAGCCTGGCCAACCAAGAAGTTTCAGGTTGGAATCCTATGATGCAGAGCAGAAATTTTAAAAGCATCAGATTGAAATGCATACCCTTTTAACATTGTTCTTGTTGCTTCCATCACTCGAGTCTTTAACTTCACTTTCACTGATCAATGGAAAATAAATAAATGAATATATATATATATATATATATATATATCACCATAAATCAATGAGAAAAAAATCTGTCACTAGGAACGCTTCAATGATGGTACGAGATTTAAAAGAACCTTTGTGACATCACATCTGCAACACTTCCCGACTCATTCTCATCACTGGCATTACAAGCGGAGACTGCAAGCTCGTCAGGTCCTTTCATCACTTTATTATGTGGTGACTTGACGGGTGTTCCCTGAATCACTACTGTCTGCAGGTGGCAAGTCATAGTCATGGGATTACACGTAGAAAACTTTGTAACAATAATAGTCGAAATTAAAAAAAATAGAATATTGAATGGGGCTTTAGAATGATTGAGACATTGACATACTTTTTTATGTCCCCTGTAATGACATAATTATTTTAAGTAGTCAAGCCTTTCCCAGTTTTGTTACGAATGGATAATTTTAACTGAATTTCATTTTTTTCCCTTTGGTTGATGTATATCCTTGTTTCACAGCTTGTGCCATTTCTTAGCCTTCAGATGTCAAGAATGATGGAATATACTAACCAAGATGCATCTTTTAGAAAACATGAAAGCATCTTGGTTACCAAAACCGCAGTATAATTTCAGAAGAAAAAACTGAGGTTCAGGAGAACTTCACAGACCTCAGCTTTAGTCTCTGTAGAAGATACGACAGCCGCATTATCCCCCTGAAAAAAATCAAAAGAACGGTAGATTGAAACCAGTATCCACTGTTAGAAAAATTGGGGTAGTTCAATACTTGACAGAGGCACACTAGCATATGTACAACACGATTGACTTACGAGAGCGTCTGAGGGATGAGAATAAACTCCATGTGGGTAGATGGCAGAGTATGGAGCGCCAAATGGTGGCATCATAATCTGGGGAACAAAAATGAGGTCAAGACCACTTAAAAAAAGATGATAATACGTGTATCTACCAAGGAAAAATAAATAAAAAATTATCTCTTAAGAAAATGAAAGAAAGCAGAAAAAAGTTGCAGCAAATATATGATGAATAAGAACCATTCAAAGAGTAGGTTTTCTGATAATGTTTTTAAGGATAACTCAACACAAACAAGTCCGTTTTTAATTTAGAGAACCGGATCACGTACTGGGTGAGAAAAGCACGATATCCTAGAGTCACATATTCAGGAAGATAGAGAGAGATTCAGGACATCAAAATAGATACGTATACACAACCGAATATGCATTCAGGTATAATGAGTAATTTAATTCGAAATAGGATATGGGAATTGGCCTTCAAAAAATAATTTGATTTTTAATAATGTGCCTCATATTTAGAGGATCAAGGTAAAGTTGTCCATCGAAGCTGCACGAGTCTCCAGTCTTCCTTCTGCCCTCTGAGGACAAGGGTGGGAACTTTTGAACAGGTAGGTACATTTAAAATTCAAAAAAAGCAGCAAACAGCATAGGATGGCGTATACTTATTGTGGAATGCGGAGGTGATTTGTGAAGAGGGTTTAAAATGTAGACAGAATAACCAGCTACACAGATGGTTATTGCATCCGTCTTTTTATAACTTGTGCTTCATGAGCATAATATGTTAAATAAGATCACCCGTTTGATGCAGTCATTCTAAATTCAATGAAATGGTATCAGAGCTCCGGTTAGTTGTAGGATACGAAATCTTATTGAATGAAAAAGATAAACAGACAATGAAGTTCAAGTTTCCAGGAAATACATCTTGGAAAATTTAAGAAATTCAATAGGATATGAAATATCAACACGTCCTTAATGAGACGAACGATATGGTACTCAAAAGCTGAAAATATTTAATGGGAATTTAAAATATTCAGAGCAAACAACTTTCAGCGAAATCCAGATATCTCTTTCAAATTCCAAGTTTCATGATAGTAGAGATGTATGTGTTATAAAAGAAGCTTGAGAGACAATGTGAAAAAAAAAGGCATAAAAATGTTTGGAAAAATTTGGTTGTCTCAAGATGAGAATCTGTTTCGACATATACATTATAAGATTGAGAAGTCATGATCATGCAACAATTCATAGGCACTAATGGCCCGAGCCCTCCGTCTACTCAGCCCTATATGAGGCAAAGTATATTCCATGAAATGGACAACACAAGCTCTCTTCATTCCAATAAAACTCCCTTCTTTTCTACGGTTTAATTTTTATTTTAAAGTTTACTGGAAGGTATAACCGATTAAGATATGAAAATGAGATATTGACCAAAGAAAAGGTTAATTAATTTACCGGAGGGGCCCACATGTATGGATGAGGTGGATGAGCAGGAGTAACATTGGTGCCGAAATATGGAGATGGCATGGCCATTCCTGAACCATAGTAAGCCTGAAAAAAAAAGAAGGGAAAAACGAACAGTCAAATAAATGTATTAGTTTTCGAAAGCGAACCTGCAAAGTTAAAAAGAAAACCTGCATAGTGGCCCAATCAGGGTACGGATGGACGTTGCTCTGTTCCTGCCAAAACAAAACAAATATTGACATATAAATACGCCAAAAAATATTATAATTGGCAACATAATGCGATAAAGAAACATGAAAACTATAAGTAAGAGATCTGAAAGAATATTTAGAAAATATGTCCATCAACGATGGATGGAATACCAGAACAGAAGCTGATGCCTTCTCAGCCTTAGAAGGTGTTGCAGCTTCATCGTTTCCCATGGGAAGAAAGAGAGTTTCCTACGACAGTAAGTCGGGCGCTTTTGTATGTCCGTAGACTCCTGGCAGAGATCAATAATCGATGAGCTACCCTCCGACATCGATATATTTAAAATTAGCTTCTCTAGACTACGCAAACTACAACAAGAAGTGGGCAGGTAAAGATAGAAATATCCCAAAAAAATAAGAATTTTTTTGTTAAATGAAAGTATATATCGGAAAAAAGAAACAATTGTGAGGGCAAAATAATCTTCATCCAGAAGTACTAGAACCCACAAGCACAGCTGTTTGTGGAGAAAGAACTAAGCTAACGTAGGTGAAAATATTCATGATCTTGTTCATTAAAAAAACCAATCAGCACGCAACTTTCTCGCGACGTGCTCCATGCCTCTGAAATTCCTCATTGATCCTGGAGGTATTCCATGCAATTCAGGCGAACATATCTAAATAATACCGCAAGCATCTTGAGAAGGCGGTGTCGACGGTAATAAACGCCCTCTAGAAGTAGAAAGCAACAGGTTTCCATTCGTCCAGAAAGGAAACCGTTTACAGAGACGGCGGAAGACTCCTTTCACGGTCCGATCAAAGAGAAAATTCCTGTTTCTCAGAGATAAGAGTGGCTCATGGCTTTAGATGAAGATGGTCCGTGGTATCTTCCCTACCGTCCTTGAGGCTGTCTTCGCTGTCTCTTTTCTACCGGGTGCTACGTGTTCCACGAGTTCCTAAACTTTTCGATCTCTATTCATTCAACGCCTCGATCTATTGGACTACTTCCTTGCTCTCCACCCCATCACATTCGTCCCCTTCCTTCGTTCCCTCCAGGCTGAGTGCACTCGCCGTTAATAACACCTCTCTGCTACCCTTCCTCAACTCCCCCACTCCGTTCCTCGCGCTAAACTTCGGAATTTTCGAAGGAAACTAAATTTCGTGAGAGGATAGAGGAATAGAGAACTCCTGCGAGAAACATCTGAAGGAAATCTTCAGAGATCGTGCGAAAAATCTAATCGTCCAAAATTCCTTCCCATCAAGAGCAGAATCCAACGTTCAACAGGGGCAAAGAAACAGCACCATTATAAACCACATCTTACCACAGACTCCGTTCGCGAATTCAAATCCTCGAACGGCGGAGAGGATCACCTCGTTCCAGTTCCTTCTTCACGCCCTGAAATCGTCCCAAACGCGGTAAATCGCCAGTCCCCAGAGGAATCTTCGCCTTTGGGACCAAACCTACCTCCTCTACTCTTCCTCTTCTCCCAAAAAACGGAGGCGAGAGCAGCGCGCGAAAGGGTAGAGGGGAAGACGCCACGTCACGTACACGCGTCCAAGTCTGGATGGCAGTCCTAGCTTTCAACGTTGACGTACTGTAGATTGGCTAGGGGAGCCGTTGAGTCGGCCGCAGATTTCCTACACGGTTGAGGTGACTCATCGCCTAGTCGGCGAGATCGATTTAAAAAAAGATTGTGGGACCCATATCACGTGGAACTATTACTCCGACGGTGACGCCAGATCATCCACTGCCAGATCACCTCGTTTGTGACGATCAAAGTTGGGCCCACAACCCGGACGCGTTCTCCCTGATTCGTCATCGTGCAGCCATCTCATTGGCCAGCTTTTCGCACGTCAAGCGGTGGGGCCTACAGCCCACGTGGCCTCACGGATTCCAGATTCGGCGAGCGGCGGTGGGTGCTTGTGGTCCTGCACATGCGGAATATGGGAATGCCACGTGGTGCGCAAAGAGGGGTCAACGTGATGAAAGAAGTAATCGGTTGCCAGTCACATCCTTAGACGGAAATGGGCTCCGGGCCTAAACGTAAATTGGGCCGAAGTGTGTTTGGGTGGGGGTAAATGGGCTTCGAAACCACCACCTGTCTGAGAGTTAAGGGGGGTACAAAGTGAATAAAAGAAAGAGAGAGAGGGGAGATGGGAGAACATCCGAAGAAAGCTGCACGGTACAGAAGGGAAAGGAAGGGAGTCAGCTGCTGTAGCCTGTACATGCGCCGGAACAGCGGTGGGCCGGTGGTGGTGCTGGTAGTGGGTTCAGTGAGAAGGAGGAGGCGGCGGCGGCGGTGGCTGGGGATGCTGCTTGATGGTGAGCTCAGCTCGCAGGTGGAGCACGCCGTTGAGGAAGTAGAGGCTGTCCTCGGCCATGAAGGAAGTCCAGGGGATGGCGAAGAGATTGCGGTAGCCCACGGCCTTGCCGCCGGTGAAGGTGTAGAAGCCCTTGTACTTGCTGACGAAGTCTCCGGCGGGCCGAGTGCGCGCGGCGAACTCGTAGTCGACGGTGAAGCTGACGGAGCCCTTCTCCTGCATGCCAAGGAAGAGCCCGAAGCAGTGGAAGGAGCTCTGCTGGTCCATGTTGCAGTGCGCGGAGAGGAAGAAGCCCTGCCCGCCCAGGTGGAACGCCTGCGAGTACACGCGCCCCGCGGGGAACAGGTTGGCGCACTCCTCACGCTTGAGGTCCAGGTAGACGATGCACTGCGCGTGCGGCTGCTCGAACTCCACCACCTTCACGGGGCGGTACTTGTAGGCGCGCTCCACGAAGCGCCGCTGGCTGGCGGCGGTCTCCTCCATGGCCAGGGCCCGCTGCCGGTGGGGGGTCTCCGCCTTGAAGAAGAGGGCCTCCAGGACGACCTTGGTGGCCAGGTCGTGGTCTAGGTCGGCGCAGGTCAGCACCTTCCTCAGCTTGCGGCAGGTCATGTGGGGGAACCTGATCAGCCGGCCCAGGCGGCTCCCGAGCACCTCCCGCCGGTCCTCTGCCTGCGCGTACTGCGCGCGGACCCACCGCAGGACGATGTCGTAGACCACGTCCTCCGAGGCCACCTGCAGGTCATCACTGCTCAGGATGGCCTCGATTCCGGCCAGGGGCAGCGCCAACACTTCGTCTTGGAACCTGGTTCAGCACACCCATCAGTACTTTTCTGCTGGTTCATGGGAGGAGGACGACGACGATGACGACGACTTACTTGGTGATGTCCTTGTAGCGGGTGGCCAGATACTCCTTGGCGGCGTCGGTCAGCGGCTGAACGGCGGAGGCCATGGAGACGCTGGAAGGGAGCTCTAGATAGAGCAGGGCCGACTCCGGCGTCATCGGCAAGTTGCGCAGCAACTTGCTACAGTGCCTCATGCACGAGGCGACCTCGAACTTGTCGGCGGCCATCAGCACGTCCAACAAAGCAGGAGCGTTGTTCGTCGACAGCTTTCCGCTGTACATGTAGCTCAGGAGCTCCATGAGAGCAGCTTCCTCTGTTGCATAAACAGCCAGCCATGAAATTAGTCTGGGTGATCTCATCCTTTCTCCTGGATGATGATGACGATGATAATGATGATGATGATCATCATCATCATAGGACGGCAGACCAGGGTACAGTCACGAAATTATATAGAAGCGGGTAGGTAAATAAAAACCAAGCAAGGCTTAGGAATCAATTGTACAACAGATTGATTATTCCCCCCTACTGCTGTAAAACCCTCGAGGATGCTTCTACATCGGACGATGGACCAAAAGTGCATGCCAGTTCAATTAGTCAAGACCAACCCAAATTCTTAAACAATAAATAGCAAAGCCACAACTACACTGATTGGGCATTATATTATGCTCAACTTCTCATTGTAACAGTGATATTCACAAATATGTCTGAGCAAGACAAATCATCAGAACCCAAACGTCCAAAGTGAGGAACATGTTCTTCCTCATCATAAAGGATGAAGTTCACTCTATCAATCCACCTAAAGGTGATCAAGATTTGTAACTATGTCAGGGTGGTGATCTGAGAACATTGGTGCCACCTATGTGAGGCTTAATTTTAAACATATGTAAAAAATTACTTTCAAATTTAAACTAATTACCGATAAAAGTGAAAACAAAATGAAGACCTTTATGCACTAAAACAGCACAATTAAGAATTCAAAAATACAGATCTAAACGCTTTAAGCATTATACTATAAACTCATCAGAATACTCCAAAATATGTTAAATGTAACCAATAACTTAAAATTAATGAATATGAATTAAGTATAAATATATTTTATTACAGTATACGAGTATTCAGCATTTTCATATGAATTCGCAATCATAAATCTCGTCGTGGTGACCTAAATGCCTTGGGCGTCTACATGTCTCATGAGCAATTTGCAATCAAAAACTTAAAATTATTGAATATGAATTAAGTATCAATAACTTAAAAATATAAAAGCGGTTGGCGTTACTCAAAGATGAAGCAAAGGAGAAAGGTTATGGAACTGTTCGTCTGTAGACATTTTAATCATGTTTAAGAAAAAAAACCTTTATAAAGAATAAATCGAAGGTACTATGAGAACAAAGATGCACAGTTACTTGAGGCTGAAAATTCAACAAGAGTTTTGAGGCCAATTATAATGGAAATCATATGGAGAACACAGAATGAAAAAAACAGACTTGGATACTGTTTGCACGATACACCATTCAGGCGGATTCACAAGGCATGGCCCTTTGCGACAAATTTCGATTTTTTTCTAGCACATTGTCACATTTTTCTATTAAGGATCCGGTTATTTTTGGACTATCAGCAATATCAAAATGCAGTCCTCATGCTTTCTTTAAGTGGAATATTCACTGTCTACATATTAACCTAAATTCTAAATTTTGAAATATAAAAATTGATGTAAAGCGAACTAAGAATGTAATACGAAGAAAACCAATTATGCCTTACATCAACTTATTTTCCCAAAAGAAAAAATAGAATAAAAACTGGATGAGAGTAACGATACGAAAACAAGAAGCTCCTCTCAAACTCACCTGAGGCATTAATTCGCAAAGTTGCATGCCTCTGATCTGATTCACGCATACCATTTGAGAAGAGCTATACAAACGGAGGAAAGGAAGGCATTAGGCTTCCACTGGCCTTCATATGTCTCTGTTTTCCCACCAAGGAAAGTCTCATCATTACCTTGTAAAAGAAAGGGCTTTTTGCTGCAAGGATAGCTGAACTAATGAACATAGATTTTACTCTAAGAATAGTCGAACAGTCCATACTCCACGATGATTCATTGCCCTCCCCGGCCTCATCATCACCTACAATGAAAGAAAACACAGATATCCAGTAAAGCATCAAAAAATGCAACTATTTTTGTACGAAATAACCATTCCACACCCTAAAGAGCTCTGCTGTATCACTAAGCAGCCTTCCACCACACACCAAAAAAAATTTATGATAGAGGTAACCATTTCACACACAATTGAAACCATTTTCCTATTCCTTCATTGTAGGGATTGAGGGGATATCAGTGTAAGACAATAGTCTAGAAAAGGGATTCCGTAACAGACATAGGTCATGCCGATCCCAGTTCAATATAACCAGATGATCCGACCAAAGATCATGTGCATAAAAAAGGCACCGGATTACTAGAATAATAATTTGGGAACAAGCATTAACAGAAAAATGAAACCCTTGTGACAATGGTAGAATTTACAGGATAAGTTGAACGTGTACATATGGGATGTGAAATTTTCAATGGTTCACATTCATTGTTTGGAGATTTTTAAAATGAAGCAGATCAAATCGCAATAAAAATTCAAATGGTTCTCCAAGAATCCCACTCAAAAATAATTAAAATCAATGGTTTTTTCGGTATAAATCACTTACATGGGAGCTGAGTAGGTAATTCTAGAAAAAGGGCGAGTTTGTGATAACACGAAAAGGAAATCAGATAATTTTTCGTTATTGATTAAAACCTGATGGAGATTCCTCTAACATCGCCACTGCTTCTTCATGATTTTCGTACACCAAGCCTTCATCCGAATCAGGGAGGTTTAAATTCAAAATCTGTTCTGAACTGCACACGTCAAAAACTGCAGCTAAAGAAGAGAAAAGTTGTTGTTAGCAAGCAGAAATATCAAATGCCATGGAAATAACATCTTCGTCTTGAAGAACAGCAACCACTCTCCTCTCAAAATCGATGGACTGAGTAAAGAATAAAGCATAAAATGTTAACAATATTTAAATTTTAAAATGTTCAAATAGAAATATGAAACTGAGAATAATCTGTTAATAAGAAATAATTCTCTCAGTAACATTAAGCTTGTACTCAGAGTTAATTAAGCTATTTTCCGAGTGACTACAGAAATATCATGCCCATCGAATGACTGTTACATCGTCATAAGAACTATTAGGAAATGTCTATTCTTCCTAACGCCGACTGTTAGACGAGCAAAAACTACACAGCCAATGCTAACAAGAGAGAGAGCAATACCATCAACTTTAATGTTTATGGAGTAAAACTATTCAGGTGACAATAAATGACTGAAATAGTGATGAAAGTCAGATATCATTAGTGAATGAATGACTCCGAGAAAATGATAATCATCAACAGAGGTGAAAGTTAGGCAAAAAACAAAACAGACCACTGCAGCGCAAGGAAAAAAGGACCGGAATGGTACAGATCAAAGTCCTTGAAGTCATGTCAAGATTCCCTTGATTCGACTCAGGAAATTTCAAGCTCGACGAAATGAAAACCACGGTGTCTTCAAGGGGTAACGACCAAAATGCAAGTGTCTTGCAATAAATATTTGGGATTAAAGAAGCCTCGTTGGTATTGATTGGTTTCAGATTCGATGACAACTAAAACCACCCGAAGCTCGTGGGAGGGATTATTTTTTCGATTCACTACTCTTAATAGCTCCAATCTGCCCAAAAACCAAAATTAAAGAACGACGGACATTACCGCAGACGGCAGGTTAACAAATTTAACCAGTCTGAATCGATCCACTTTTTTTCTGGTTTTCCCCTTTACATCAATCTGGGAATCATGAAAATTCCGATTGTCTCCCCAGCATAATGTCTCAATTTTTTCTGAATGGTAAGTCAAATAAGAGATAGACGTCTACGATTCGATAACAAACTTTAGCCAACTTTACAATTGAACGCGACCAACGGAAACATGTTATCGAATGACTAACCACCCTGAACAAGCTTGGGGCGAGAAAACTATAAAATCAACGGCACCTGTCATATTGTTTAGTGAAAATTCGGATCATTTCAAGAAAGATAGGAACGAAATTATTAAATTTAAATCGGCCGGATGTCAGAAATGATATCGATGCGAAAGGGTTGAACTGTAGTTCCGGTTCCATGTTATTTTCGTTGATTAACGATACTTGCTGGGGGGGTAATCACCAGTGAAGATAAAAATGGTAGAAAGCGAAAGGCAAAAGAGAAGGAAGGGAATAAATAATCAAACCTTCATCCTTCTTGATCTCCTCTCTTCTTCGCTTCCTCTTTCTCCACTCGGCTATGCTGTTGCAGCCCTCACCGTCGGATTTGCTCTCCGGCGGGTCAGCCATGATCTCAATCCGCAGCACCCGATCCGAGAAATTGCTCGAGTTGAAGGCGAACTCGAAGTTATGGTCGCTGCCCGCGAGCGAGAAATCGGCGTCCATGATTGCGCGGTGGTCGAACAGATCCGACCCGTCGGAATCTTTCATCCCTTCTTACGCTCCCTCGCTTTGGTTGTGGAGAGGCAACTGGAGACAGCCGAGGCCCTCGAGCCCTAACCCCCGACTTCAACGCTAACTCACGCCCCCTTTCCCGGGTGAGGAAAGACAGATAGAGAGAGAGAGCAGTAAGAGGGAGATGGGGGGGAGGGGGGACCGTCACGGGGAGAAAATGTGTCATCGGATAAAAGGCACCTCCACGCGCTTCTGGAAGCTCCTCCTAGGAAATCATTTCTGGATCATACTCTGCATCTTTTCATTCTTAGAATGCATTTTCCACTATCCGGACTTCAGGCAGTGTCCTCCCAAATTTAGAGCCAAACTAATATCACGTTATAAATAATTTTTCTACACTAAAAATTATACGCCAATTTTCATTTTATTATTATTATTATTATATTTTTCCCCTCGATAATAACCTGTCATAAAAAAACCACCGACACAATTTGGGCCCATTTACTTTGTTGGGCCAATAGTTTACGGTCAAAGTATACCGCTGGCACTAGAACCTTTCCACCAATTAAACCGCAAGCCCAGTCCATAACCTCCAGCTCGACGTCCTGAGGGAGAAACGATTTCAGGTTTCCGCGAAACTGCGAACCGCAGGACGAAATCGATTCCCAGGATCCTCGAGCCATCAAACTTTTCTAAAACCAGTACATTTCAGGCAGATCCGGTGAATCTGAAAATTACTATTTTTGCCCTCCGCGTGAGCTGAAAGCGAGAGCACCCAGTCAACTCTTTTGCCCCTCGGAGGGACGAGTAAACAACGGCATGGCGCCGGTCTTCGGACGGCGAGTTCCGTCGGGTTTGACCGCCATATGCCAAGGTGGATTCCCCATTGGAGGGTCGGCCGGGGCCGGTCAACGACGGGTCGGAGCATCCCAGTCTCCTTTGTCTAATGAGACTGGCCAAGTCTAGTGAACCAGGAATCACACCATCGATAACATATCCTTTGTCTCGACGAGGGTTTCGAACTAAAAAAGTATTAACCGATTATAATAAAATGTATTAGGATAATATCGAGCAAGGTCAACTATCTTGAAAGTCAACCCGCTGTTTTTTTAGTACCGAGTCTCGATAATTCGGTTCTTTTAATGCGCTTGAACGGGGGGGGGGGGGGTGTTGGTAGCGTGAAGAATCGAAACTCGTTGACCTCGAGGATCTGATCAGATACGTAATAAATCACGACGATGCGCTGTTATAATTCTCAGATTACAACGAATAAGAGATGATAACATTTAATTAAATAAACGTAAATCATAATATGTGAAATTTACGGTCTATTTTATCTAATTATGCCGCTTTCGCTTTGTTAAGACTATTTTTCACCTGGATATCCGTCAACGGGTAATTTATTTATTGAAATGCTGTCTACTTTACTTTAATTTCCGCATTTACTACGAAACTTATTTTATCAGGTGTAATTAAGGAGAAATCTTATCGGTTGAACGGATGAACGTCACCGCCCCCCCCTATAATCTAGTTTATATTGATTTTATAAGGTCGATGGTGGAATGAGATAGAAATGGGCCGACAATCGAAAATAGTCCAGTTGGCCATTAAATAAATATTCATATAAATATAATATATATAAAAAATGAGATTGGAAATGAGGTGGCAAGAATTAAAAAATATGCCGCATTTAGTACGATATTTATTTCGTTGATAATGGAAATGCCCCCGGTACGGCTCTACCCATATTCTATTTTATATTATTTTCATAAGGTATAGGGTTCAATAAGTAAAAATGTCCCGATAAATAACAAAGAAAGCTAAATATTCGGGGCTGTCCGTTAAATAAATATTATAATTACTGAGGAAGTAAATAATATAAAATGGCGGGTGGAAATGATGCGAGTAGGAATAAAAATATTCGGAAAATGGTGATCAATTGGAGAAACCAGGGAATATGAATAAAATAAGGGGAGCAAAGCCTGCTGGTTCGTCGTCTCCCAGTCCGACCATCCGAGTACGGAGTTGCACCGGGAACGGACGGCAGGAAAAGAAAAAGGTAGCAGAGATGGGATGTGAGTTGACCGGAGAGTGCTCCTCCCTCCCTCCTCCGGCCTCCTCCTCCTCGGGGCCGCCGGCGGCTCGCCGTGGATGGTCTCTCCGTCTCCGATCGCCGGAGACAAAACCCTAAGCAAGTAATCGGAGCCCACGTCTTAATCTTAATCTCACGAATAGCTTATTCAGAGATTCCCGTGAAATCGTGTGCCCTTTGTACGCGGAAAGAATCAGGGGTTGGGAAGGCTCTCGCAGAAACAACCCCTCGGGTCTGCGCCGCCGTGAATCCGGCGAAAGCCATCTCGCCCCTCTGGAAGCGCCGGCAAGTGGGGGGCGGGCCGCAAGGGGACGGTTCCCAGTGACTTGACAGATGGTGGTATGATGAAGCAGCACAGGGCGTCGGGCACTGAGCAAAGGCAGGACCGGCGGGAAGATGAGGAAGATGGTGCGGGTGGGGGTCGTCCCGCTTTCATCGATCTCTCTCTCTCTCGGAGGGACGTGGCATTGGCAGTCGTTCTCCTGATTCTCACCCCTGCGGCCATGATTTCTTTATGCAGAAGCTTACAAGCAACGGCCATTTCTGAGCTCAGACGGACGGACCCAACTCACTCACTCCCTCCTCCCTCCTCCCTCTCTCTCTATCCATCAATCGCTGTCTCCATTTCTTCCTCTCTCTCTCTTTATCTGAGTTTCTTCATGAATCAGTCTACGGCTACGCCCACCGGAGGTAAACCACGTCCGTTCACCATCTTCAGAAAACCTGCAATATTTCTTAATGGGCATCGATAAGTGCTACAATATGAGGTACAAAACCATCCATTCTCCATTGACTCGGCATAGTTCTTCAAGTACGGTTTTCGTCAAACGCCTCGGCAGCGTTCACGTGGGGAGGTGATGATGATCTTGAACCGCGAAGACGACGGGGGAAGGAAGGAGGGCCTCGTCCGGTCGCCTGCATGAATCTCTTTTTAAGGGATCGTACGATGACCCTTAAATTGATTCAATCCTTGGGTTTTGATGGACACCGCTGGTGGGCGCTGCGACCGGAGCTCCGCCGAGTTGACGGCCACCGACGGGACATCCGCCGTCAGCACGGCGGAGGGGATCGTCACGGATCACTGCGGCGGTGTGCCTGGTTTAGAGGGAGTAGGAGGAGGGAGGGGTAGGGGTGTAGGGTGGGGAAAGGACAAGGCATGATTGGACGTGGACGTTGAGATGGAGGCTACTCGGAGAGAGAACTTGCAGGCTTTTGTGTTGAAAAGACCGCATGCACTGTTTGGGACAAAGAAAAAAAATCTGATAAGACAGACCAAGTTGAACTCCCAATCCCCCTCTCTCTCTCTAACCCCGTAGCGAATCTTGTGCCCTGATGGAGAGAAGACACGGCAAGTTTGGATGACATTATTTCTCTCCCAGTGACGGCGAAGGAGTTGTGCGGGGAGACAGAAGAATCCGATAAGACGCATCAAGTCTAGCTGCCGATTTTTATTTAGCTCTAACGGTGAAGCTCCGGGTGAGATGACAGGAAGTCTGGCGAGGAACAGCAAGTTGAACTCTCGATCTCTTTATTTCTTGCTCCCTCCCCGTGAGACAAGAAATTTCAAGTTCCAACTCCTCTCTGATACGCCGAGGTGGATCTTGTCCCCGTATTAGTGAGATAGATCGCCGGAAGTGGAACACGCTTACCCTGACGGCGAAGCAGATGCTGTGCTGGATGAGTGAGAAGCCAGCTCATTGCTGAAAGAACCATCTGATAAGACCGATGCACTCTCTCTCTCTGCGTGTTGTCGAAGCAAGCTGTTATGCTGTAATGATGATCGTCACTGGGTAATGTTCATTGCTGTATCCAATGGAAGGTGCTGTTTTGAGGCAAGGAAGAGTAGTCTGATTAGACCAAACAGTACCAAACAGCTCTCTCTCTCTAGCAGCGAAGCAGCGCTTTACCGCAGGAAAGGGTGGCAACTCAGTATTCAGTATTCCGTGCGGTATACTTTGCCCTGCTCTCCTCGGGGGGAAAGGTGTTCTGATAAGACCGATCAGCTTTGACTTTTCTCTTTCTCTCAAGCTCATTTGCCTTCGAGTTAACCCTTCCAACGGGTTCTCTACTGGAGGAAACTTTCGAGGTTCATTCCTAACGTCTGGCCCGAGCTTCCGTTCTAAGGGTTTCATCGGTGTTTAACATAGCCGGAAAGAGAGGACACGAGGCTGTGTTGTCCTTCTCCGGCCGCTGAAAATTACCACCGTGTGCTAACACCGATGAAAAACAGCAGTGCCGAACCCTAATCCTTAAAGCCTGCTGTTTCGCTGGTTAGATGCGATAATGGCCGTGAAGACCACTCCCAGGCCGTACTCTTCTGCAGGTCACCTCCAGACTGCACTCCCCGGAGAAACCTCCGGACTCCGAGACCAATCCCCGTTCCTCTCCCGGGTTCGCCGCAAGGCACAAGGGCCAACTCGCTTCCATGTATTGAATTGCTCTCTCTCTCTCTCTACCTAGCTATCTATCTCTACCTGCGCCTCGTCTGGCCTTTGAGACTGTTTTCTAGCCAGACGAGATCATGGCCACGAATTGAAGCCTGGACAGAGAAACAACGCGAGTGTCGTAAATTTATCGATGCTCGGTAAGCTCCGTTTTTGCTGCGGCTGGCTCACCGCCGGGACGGTGGTGAATTCCATTGTAGATGTCTACTGTCCGCCATTGATTTGAACTGTGTAGGGTTCAATAGAGCGGAGAACACGGACAAATTGATGCGGAGTTGAAGGAAGCACGATAACATAATTGTACCGTCTGAACCCCACCATATTGAGAGAGGAGAGGGAGAGAGAGAGAGAGGGAATAGAGACCTGCTCTGTGACTGTATAACAGCTAGCTCCTGCACGTCAAACACGAGATTTTGATAATCTATTTTTTTAATCAAGAGAGGAGAGATGCCCATCACCCCCACGAGCTATTTAAACATGCTCATTGCTCCAGGATCTTGCGGGTTACAGTCCAGTGGCGCCCATACGTCTCCGGTGGTAAACGAGGGTCCCGTTACATCCTTCTACCTTTCTCCCGTCCTTCTAACCTTGCTTGCGTGACTCGGTTTCGTCATTTGCCTGTCTCTCCGCGCAGGTCAAGTTTAACCTTCACTGTTGAAGGAGTTGTAGCAGCGTTCGTCGTCTTTGGTATTTGGAGAGGAAGAGAGCTTCCTTCTGTCCACTCTCAGGTGGCCGTAGAACTACGCTATCTGCCGACTCATTCATCCAACTTCCAAGCCGGGCCTCGGGAGCGGGCTTGGCAGTTGAGTGGATGATGCGGGTGATAACACGGGTTCTTCGCCGGCTGTGCTTGGACTGAAGGGAGCTCCCTCACCTTCTACAGCCTCTCCCCCTTCTCTAATGTTTCGTCCCAGGACTTCTTTCCTATCTGTGCTAATTTCTCGAGATCACGGCTTCTCTCAAGTGCTATCTGTCTTATTCTTTCAACGTGATTACAGGATTGCTGTAGAAAGTAATACGCGGCCAGCCGATGTACTATACTGCTGTGACGAGTGATGATCGACGAGAAAAGAACGGAGATCGTATCAGCCTGGTAGTCGAGTTGGATGAGTGCCACTCGGTTCTCTTGAAGCATCTGGTTGCAGTCTGCTAGGAGATTTCTCTCAAGATTGATAGACGTGCTTTATTTTACATGTCGGGTGAAACGGGACTTTCATATTGCTCGCGTGATCTGGCTGAGTCTGATCAGACACCGTAGGTGCTCATTGTCGCATCTTGATCTTGTGTAGAACGTATGGGAAAACCCTTGCTGTATATCGAGTTGTGTCGATGATGATGACACCTTTGGCACCCGCTTTCTTCGCCCTTCTTTGACAGACGTTTTCATTCTAGGTTTTCCTGCCGGTATTGCCCCCGCGTACAGCGCGTCTTAATCTTTGATAATTCTTCCTTGATATGTTAAATATGCCGAATCTGCGGCCTCGACTTGCTACATTGGGTCGTAAGATATTACGACCTAATGTCTATCAAGTATATCGATATGACGAAGGCGAACGCCATTGCCATGTTCTTATGAAGTTTATGCCTTCAGGCTAGCTGTGGACCAGCTGGATGCCAGATGGCTGAAGAAAACCCTAGATTTAAGAAGCAAGCATGATATTTATCGTAGCGTTAAGATAGGCAAAAGAGGATGCCGACTGTAAGCTCTTGCTGGTGAGGATGCAAGGAAATTATCTATATAGTTTCGATGGTACTGGGCGTATATCCGGCTGTGTCGTCCATGTGCCTGTCATAATTCCCTTCATTGTTCTTGCAAGCTCTGTAAGAGGCATCTACCGGCTTGTCTCCCCGCCCCCCAATATGATCTTGTCCCTCAGAGTTTAACGGCTGGTTACTGGCTTGGAAGAGACAGCTTCTGGTTCCTGATCTCATCTCGGTATCCTCCGGGTTTCGAGTTGCGTACGGTAAGAAGAGCGACGATGATGTGCAAATCTGGGCTCTTTCTCCGCGCACCCACTTCCCCGGTTTCTTCTTCTGAAGGTTCCGGCACCATCGATGATAGAGAGGGAGAGAGGAATCCTGTTCTATGCTTCTGAACATCGGAAGTCTGTGAGTGGGGAGAGATCGTATTCCCTCTTTTGCGCATAGTGATTTGCACTCTTCTTTGTTCATCAGAGGGGGATAGCTCGTTTTCTACCTCTGACAGCCAGAAACACTTCCCCCATGAGGTGTAGAGAGACAGAGAGAGAGAGAGAGAGAGAGAGAGAGAGAGAGAGAGGGATGCCCATGTTATCCTTCGGAACTTGAACGACAGCCTGATAGAGGGAGCGGAATCCCCGCTTACGCTTCAATGATTTGCACCACAATTTGTCAACGAAGGTGGGTTAATGATGGGATTCTGAGACCAGAAACGTCGGTCATTGATGCAGAGAGAGGTTCCCGTTTCTCTGCGTCTGAGACTAGACACGTTTGTTCGTTCTGGAGATCAAGGGAGAGAAGTAGTAGACGAGTCCCGTCTTCTGCATCTGTGCTTTGCACGTTCATCTGTTATGAAGGGAGAGAGTCCTCGTTTACGCTACAGTGATTTCTATAAGTTTGTCCACGATGGAGTGCCCCACTGGGTCTTCTGCTTCTGACACTTAGCCTGTTCGTCTGTTAGAGAGAGAGAGAGTGTGTGAGAGAGAAAGTCTACCTAGGAGAGAGAGAGAGAGAGAGAGAGAGAGAGAGAGAGAGAGCGAACTCTTGTGGAAACAGCCAGAATCTAATAGGTAGGTAGGATACATGTAGTAGAATCACCAAGGGAGGTAAATCGATTAAGAAGCCGAATATCTGATAATCGATTTTTGAGCCACTAAAGATGTGCTTCATTTACGGAAACATTGAACGAGACAATATAAATATTATTGCAGCAAAAAAAAAATCGTGATTTTATTCGAATCAAAACTCTTTGTGCGTTCCAAACACAGAGACCCACCCCATCAGTTACTCGAAAAAAGGCCCACCCATTCTACCGAGCTTGGTCGGCGTTGACTTCCCGACCTGGGCACCTTCACCCCCCAGAAAATTTGGAGAATAAGAGCGCTCTTTCATAGAAATGGCCATTGTAGAGATGTGCATAGCTTCTCCTCTGAACTGATCAGCCCGCCATCGCATAGTCCAATCTCAATATATTGAAATAAATGATAGATCTTGAGAAAAGCGACGGAGTAACTTCCCCATCTGCACAGGATCGTATCATAGTTCATCAAAGTCAAACCCCTCTAAGAAACTCGACGTTAACTTCAAGCACAGCCTCAGCTTTTTGAGGAGTTAAAAAAATCCGGTTAAAGATTCTACCAATGCAGTTGACTCTACTTCTCACGCAGGTTCATAGAGGCCCAGCACATGCCCATCGATGCACCGCATTGAAGCAATCTACACAGATTATTGACGGAAAAATTGAATAAGTTTACTAATACCCAGGTTGGAATTACTCCTAAATCTTCGAAGAAAACCATACTTTGCCGTGGATTTCATGTTTAATGGGGCCATCCAGCTCTGCTCCGAGAGCCATCAACTTGGTCACCGTACTATTGACGTCTGCCACTGTGAAGGACAGCATGGATGAATATCCGTTCTGCATGGGAAGATCCCTGCGAAGGAAAAAAGGAAAAAAAAAACGGAATTATGATCAGGGCATTACCCAGAAATGATTGGGGAGATAAATAAATTATCATAGACTAATAATTAGAAGGTCACTTCAATTAGTTTATCGTTGATCAGTACTCCCTTCCTGCGGCAGATTCCAGCCTTGATATGAGTAACTCATAATTCATATCTTTAGCTCACAGTTTGACGAGAACAGAAGATCTTATTCCAAATGATCATGAAATATAGAGGAGATACTGAGATCACTAAAGACGAGCTGTTTACTGGTAGAAGATTACAAGCAGTAGCAGACTCGTCATTGGATTCGTCAAATCACATAGAATAAAAGAAGACTGAAAGTGGAAGTGGACCAAACCCAGAAATGCCATTCTTAAACTCTCATAGCAAATTAACGAGGAGGAGGGACCGGATCGAAGCTTGTACAAGAACTCTTGCTTATCGGAGAACCTAGGTTATCGTACAAGAAAGAGAATTGCTGAAGACACTGGCTGCATCTAAGCCAATGAGATGGATCGACAGCGTCTAAATGGCTAGAATCTACCTCAACTATGAAATTATTATATATGTTATGCCCTGAACCTCGGATTGGAAGAAGCAAAAATGCATATTGATGAATCAGGAAGATCGGAAGCAGTGCCTCCCGACGCATTCGTCGGTAGCAGCCAACAGAATCCTGCAGCAGAAACTGCAATGATCCCTTGGAGAATGAAAGCGGAAGCTGGACTCGCTCGATCGGATTAGGGCGATTTTCAAGGGGCCACTCTGAAATCGTACCTCACGCATCCATCTTCAGCAGCAGACAAAATCCGGCGGCAGAGACAAAAATGATCTCCTCATTCTGAGCATGAAACCTTAAGCCGGACTGATTTCATTCCGAGAAAGTGGAAGACGGACCTGCTCGACTGCATGAGGGCAAGCTTCAATTGGCCACTCTGGAGCTCAGCCCACCTGAGGGTGCAGACGTTGACGCTGAAATCCAGCCCCTCTGAGTAGAAGCGGGCCGCCTTCGGAACGTCCTTGTGGAGCTGCAGCAGCCACCGAAAAGACGCCATCAGCCGGGCTGCCGGCCCTTCACCTTCCCCATCTCGCTCCAGCCATGGAGTTACAGGGGGACGACGATCTTCCCACTTCTGCAGGATTCTTTCGAAAATCCTCTTTAAAGACCAAGATTCGAACGGAGTCTTATAATTGGGCCGCCCATAAACATTGGGCCCAAAACAGCTATAGGAGATGCAACGGGCCCATCTTCTCTTTTCAAACAGATTCTACTGATTGGGCCCGTCGCCACGGTTGGGCCCGAAACAGCTCTGGGGAGGTATAATAGGCCCATGTTCTCTTCTTCGTCTTCCTTCTTCCTCCCCGGTTGGAATCACAGTCGCCGAATGCATCTGCAGATGCGAGAGACGCTCCCGCTGGTTCTGGTGTGCGGTTGAGGACAATGTCTCGGCCGTCGGCGGAGGGCTCCGCTGCCATGGCGACGCGCGATGCAGAGTCACTCTTCCGGACGAAGAAGATCGCCGAGATCCGGGCGGTGGAGGTGGCCACCAAGGGGGAGATCGAGGAGAAGAAGGAGGAGCTCCGGCAACTCGTCGGGAAGAGCTACCGGGATCTCATCGACTCCGCCGATACAATCGTCCTCATGAAGACCTCCTGCGAATCGATCTCTAATAATCTGGATGGAATAGACGCCGCAATTCGCTCCCTGTCTGCTCTGGCGGAGTCTGGATCCTCTCCGCACCTCGCCGGCGCCAACCCTGCTCGTGTGAGGGTTTACGGGATTGCAAGCCGGGTGAAGTACTTGGTGGATACTTCTGAGAACATTTGGGGCTGCCTGGACGAGTCAATGTTCTTGGAGGCCTCCGGAAGATACCTGCGAGCGAGGGTGGTACACGGACTGATTAAGGGCGGTGAGAACGCTGACCGTGACGTTCTTTCCAAGTTCCCTATGCTCCGGCAGCTTTGGGCGAACGTGGAGAGCTTGAAGGGTCAGATCTCGCAGAGGAGCCGGGAGAGGCTGATTGATCAGGGACTTCTAATCGGGGCGTATGCTAACGCGCTTGCCGCCGTTGCGGTAATTGACAATCTAGATCCGAAGACGGCTCTCAGCATCTTCTTGGACTCAAGGAGGTCCTGGATCTGGCAAAAAATAGGGGGATTTACTGCTGTTGCTTCTCCAGACCCTGATCGCGTCTTTTCGACTCTGTGCGACGCGGTAAGGATAATTAGGTCTACTCTGGGTCAGGTTGGGGAACTCTTTCTACAAGTGTTCAGTGACTTGCCGTTGTTTTACAAGACTGTGCTGGGAACACCTCCTGGCTCACAATTGTTCGGTGGGATCCCATACCCTGAGGAGGAGGTCAAACTATGGAAGATGCACAGGGAGAAGCTGGAATCTATCATGGACGTACTAGATCCGGTGTATGTGGCCCAGTCTTGTTCGTTGTGGTTGAAGAATTGTTGTGCCGACATTTTTGGCTCAGTTCCAAACAAAAAACGTCTTATCGACGGTGTTGGGACTGGAGAAGGACTGGCATCAGCTGAGAAACTCATCCGGCAGACACTAGATTGTCGGGAAGATTTGGAAGGGACCCTAGATCTGTGGCTAAAGAATGTTTTTGGTACCGAAAATGAGTCACCTTGGAATCAGATCTGTGGGCTAGTCTTGAAGGACCAGAAAGATATCTTGGAAGATACGTTAGAAGATGCATTTGTTCAGAAAATGAAAGAAATTGTGAATGCAGGATTTGGGGAGTTAAGCATAACTATTGATGTAAAGAAATCTGTTCAGTCGATTGTAGTTGACCCTGAAGAAGTTAATGATTTCCGGGCGTACTTGAAGAGGCCATTGACAATGGGTGGAATTTGGTTTTCTGAGGCAAATCCTAGAAAATCAGGACTTGGGTTTGTACCCAAACAAACAGTTGATGAGAACGACTTCCGCAACTGTCTCAGTGCTTATTTTGGGCCTGAAGTTAGCTCGATTAGGGATACTTTGGATGCTAAATGTGGTTTTATTTTGGAGGACCTTCTTTGCTTTATAGATTCTCATAATTCTGCACCTAGATTAAAGGAGCTAGCTCCATTCCTTCAGCAAAAGTGTTTCACAACAATATCAACTTTGCTGAAGAATCTAGAAGATGAGCTTGGGCAGTTGTCTTCTTTGTTGGGAGACAAAAATGGGGTGCGGAATTCTCAGCCACCCTCTATAATAGTTGAAAGGGCTCTCTTTGTTGGGCGACTCCTATTTGCAATTCGTAACCACTCGAGTCACATACCAATTATACTTGGTTCCCCACGAAAGTGGGTGAAAGAAACAAGCAGTTCAGGGTTTGGTAACCTGCAGTTATCCTTTTCAAGGCATTCTACAACTGGGCTCAGTTCTACAGTGCCTCCGAGCCCTAGAAGCAGAAGGAATGAAAATACCCTTAGCCCTCGAAGGCAAACAATTTCTGTTGCTGCAGCTTTATTTCCACTGGACGATAGTATGAAGCCAAAGCTTGATGCTTTAATGAAGTCCTTGCGAGATCTCTGCATCAAGGCTCATAGCTTGTGGATATCATGGGTGTCTGATGGATTGGCCACTATTCTTTCTGAAGACGTTAAAAAAGATGATGCACTATCTTTGACGACTTCACTGCTTGTAAGTAAATCCTGCTCATGTTATTGGCATTTCTTTACTTTCTTTATTTATTTTTTCTCAAATATTTTATAGTAATAACCTTTTATGACAGCAAATGTCGTATAAATTTAAATAAACATTTCAAAAATTCCTGACGTTTTCGCGCTGTTAATTATTATGGAATTCTTAGGTTTATGTTGCATCCAAGGTATATCTTCTCAAAGATTCCTTAGATATGGAAACCCCAAACCAAACTAGACACAAGAGAGCGGTTAAATGGTGTTCAGTTAGAACTTTTGTCTGCGAGGGTGATGAAGAAGATGAACCAAAGTTTGCGTTCATCGAAACTTTTCTATTGGAGCGAAATGCTAGGCTTAATCGGTAATTAGAGGAAGAAACACATAACATGCTAGTCTTGGAAAATAGATTAAAATGAAATTCCAAACTGTGTAGAAGAGAGGCCATTGCTATCGTTGAATATGCAGTAGGATCAGTAAACAGAGAAATTTTAATTGTCATGTAGGCCATGATACATACACATCATGATTTAACGTGATCCATAGTTAAATTGGTTGGATGAAATAGGAGGACACGTGATCAATACTCTGAAATGAATATATGCCACCAGTGACAGACAGAAGTTTTCCAATTGTCTATAAAATTATTCATCTTGTCATGCTTTGATAGCTGATATGTGAGGAAATAAATATGGTATATGAGAAGAAGTTGAATTGGTAGCCGTCTTTAGTGTGGTATATATAAGGATCCATAGAAGTTGATCATAAATGAACAAATTCATTTCAATCTTTGTCAACTACCTATATTTCAACTATTGCAAATCGTGAGGGAGATCAAACAAAGCATGAATGTTACTGGTTGTATTATATTAGAATATCTCTTCATTGTGGAATGGACGTATACTTCTGATACTTTCTCGAGAACTTCTAGTTAAATAACTTGATACCGGTTTATGTTCCAAACCCCTGGCACATGGCCACTGGTGAAGGTATATCAGTCTCTTTGCCAATCTTCAACGTCAGTCTAGGCTTGCTACTTGTAACTTGAATGAGTCCATTTTCGAAGGCTTAACTACTTGGAATTTGGCGTCCATTTCTTAAAGCAAACTGAGAAAATAGGTGTATTGCAATACTGTATGGGTTGACTATTTACGATTCCTGGTAAAACATGGGATAAATATTTTTCACTGTAATTGTATAATTACTGAGAAGTTTATGCTGACTACATTAGGAGATACCTTCAACTCGGGGCAGTCCATATTTGTCAGGGCCTCAAGTTTGGTCTTTTCTTTAGTTTCATGTGGTAAATTTTGCCGTTCTCTTAAGATTATAAATATCTCCTAGGTGCTGTCTGTGTTTCTCCTTGTAAGTTTGACTTTTTTGCCATGGTGCATTTGTATTTTGTAACATTTTACCCTAAAATGTATTTTGTAGTTTCATATATTTTTCCTTTCCTTTTCTTTCTTAGTGCTGGAGAAAGAGGAGAGGAAAGTGAACTGAAATCATGTTTGACATTGTCCTCTTTTCTCTGGGAGCCTTACGAAAAGAGAGGGTGGCCAGAAATGTGATCTGGCGACCCGAGACTTCTCTATTGTGATCAATGGTCGTATTTGTTTAAGGACATTTATGCATAGGGATGGTCATCCTGTCCAGTTGTGTGTGTGTGTGTGTCTGTGTAAGGGGACAGACAGGTGGGGGTGTGGTGATCCTGTTGTCCTTAAAAACTCTGCCAACGTCTTCATTCGCTTTTGCCGTTTCTTTTTCCCTGTTAGTGAGAACCACGTGCTTTTTGCCAAAATTATTCTCTTTCTTACTGAAAGACCCACAGCACATACCCTTGAATCCCAATTTCTTCTTCTGTCTTCTTTTCAGATAAGGTTCAAAATGAATCTGGGACATTAGGTCTAACTACCAAATGCTATACACATTACTTCACATCTCTTTTTGTTTTCTTCAAAGATATGGAAATTTCCAACTGACTGTAGAGGAAAATTCAAGGGCCGTTCCAATTAAACATATGTACTGACAGTTCTCGGTGGTTCTTCAGTTCGTTCATGGACTTCAGTCAGTAATGACGGTGCTACATGATGACCCAACCATATCTACTCGCAATTGATGGGTTATCATGTCCCTTGAAATCTGAGTCCTCAGAAGCACGTGCAATCAACCTCCTGTAATTCTTCACTTATGATATGCGAGAATCTTGTTTTGTAGACCCACCTTTAAACAAGAAAGTCATTAGTCCAACTATAATAGCACGTGTAGATCCAAATCCGGATGTGTTCAGGAGTGGTCAAGCTCGACAAATCTGGTTGATTTGGATTTTTCTTTGCATTCAAATGGCAGAAATCACCTAATGTTGGCCAGCTAATGTCTTTCAGTTCTTTTCAATACGGCCAATCATTGGACTTCCTATCCAAATCGGGTTTTTGGATAGGAAATACCCTGCTAAACCTATAATCTTCATTTATGTTTGTAAGGCTCCACTTCCTATCTCATCCAGAAATGCGAATTAGAACTATGAATTGCCCCTAGATGCTGGGTTAACTTGTGAATGAATATATCAATGGAAGGAGAGATTTCTGTCAATCAGTTGACTTCTGCGATTGCATAGTAGGTTTGTATGGTTGAAATAAGCAGTTCTTGGAATTTGACGGTCTGTATAAAATGTAAGATGTTTTTGTTTAGCGTTGGCTACCTTTCAGCTATATATCACACCATCATGGTCAAGATCAAGCAACAGTGGTCAAACTTTGTATGAAATATTCGTACCCTGATTATGCTCGAGATTGTGTACCTTCTGTGTCGGCTGAAGTTGTGTATTTGAATAGTTTCCTATCAGTTCAGACAAAATGTGTACTTGTTTCTATTTGGTTTTGAATTATACAACTCAATGATCTTAACAAAGCATCAGAATTGATGATTGCTTTTGGACCGCTTACATTGTATTTATGTCATCTACATATGACAGAGTCCAAAGGTTGATTTGGTATGAGAGGGAGACATGTTAGAATAGTCTCAGGTTACTTAATCTAAAAAAAAAACAAGTCGTCATCAATCTCGAACTATTACTTTCATTGGTACTTACTTTTAATTTTGTTTGGCCACTAACTTTAACAGTGTTAACATGATATTGTTTAAATGTGCTACACAGTATCATACCATTTTGAGGTGATCATAGCACCCATTGGAAGAAACCAGTCAAATCAGTTCTATTCTAATTCTCTTGGATATTTTATAATATCCCGTAATGTTAACTGGAGAAACTTCCAATGAGAGTGAAATACTTTCAGAAATCTCTAGTTTTCAGTTTTCTTATAGGGTCGACTCAAGTGACGAGAAATTCTTAGGAACAGGTGTTTCTGCAATTTCATCATGTGGATGGTGTGGCTTTGGATCCATCATATGTGTGTGTATATCTGTATATATATAAATATCATATATGATAGATTTTGCATTCACTAGCATTAGTTTCACTTTTCTATGCCCAATTAGTCTGATATGTGATATCCTCGAATCATTTGTCTTTGCTTTGTTTTACTGTTGCATCATTTTCTGCGATATTTGATGCAAACTTTTTGTTTAATTTTTCCGCTAAAAGCTGAATAGAAAATAAGAAAGATGTAGAAGAAAAGCTCTTCATCATCTTCTCATCCTCACCGATTCATCTTCTCTACAATATTCATGCCATGTGTTACACCCATCGTCATAAGCCAATTGATTTGAACTTATATGCTGTTCCCTTGGACAACTTTTTTAAAATATTGGCCACATGGTGCTCGTGATGCAGGGTTGGGAGGTAACCATGGTCAAACAAGAAGAGTCTGGCGAAGGCCCTCTGGAAATGAAGATCACTCTTCCTTCCATGCCTTCCGTTTATATCACCTCTTTTCTTTTTCAAGCATGCCGAGAGATCCACAGAGTTGGAGGCCATGTCCTCGACAAATCTACATTACAAATGTTTGCTGGCAAACTACTTGAGAAGGTACATGATTTAGCTTGCCATCAGATGTATACCTAATTTTCATTATCATTCCATCTTCCGTCCCCATGATATGTGTTAGCAGCGAAAGAAGCTTTTGTCTTTGAGCCTGTGTGAATCCAGTGCATCATGCAAAAAGTCAGAGGCATCTGATTAGAGCATAAATCCAATAACAAGAGCAATTTATTGAAACTATTTCAAATAATGTGTTCCCTGAATGCGGCTCCTATATTTTCTTGCCTAGTTTTTCAAAGTAAATCAGAGTCTCTAAAAGAAAATACTTTTGAACATCCTGTGTACTCTATTTAATGGATAATCATGTCTCTAAACAGCCACCATTTGGAATGTGTCCCTGCGGATCTTTGTATGAGCTATTTTGCTATGCTCCCAGGGGGTGGGTTCTTCTTCTGTGCGATTCTTGGCTTCTTTTTAGAATAAAATGTGGATTTATATAACGAATCTTTTGAACATCCGTCCAATGTATGCGATCTGGCGAATAATCATGTCTCTAGATGGCTAATAATCTTCTGAACATTTGCATGCCTATCCTTGAACGTCGCATTAGTGGATCTTGGTAAATATTTCCTGTAAGGAGGCATATTTATACATTAAACTTATTAATAATACGAAACAATCCGATTTAGCCTATCCTTGGTGGCACTCCCACGAAATCTGGCTCTCGTCTCACACCTGGCCTAGCAATTCAATCCCTAGTTGCACAGCTTTAAAAAACTCCACTTCAGGTGAAGTGAAGTTTATTTTTCTTACCCTCCAGCCGTTTTGTGGGACGGATAGGCCTCATATTACTTCATTTCAGGTGAAGTGATAGCATTTTGTCTGCCCATATTCATCGGATAATATTTATTTGAAATGTTTTGTCAACCCCCGTTGACTTTTTTTTTGGGTTTTTGTAGTTATTGATCACCTATGAGGATTTTCTCTCTGCCGGGACAGATCGGCATCCTGCGGTTTCAGAAAAAGGAGCTCTGCAAGTCTTGCTGGACCTACGATTTGCAGCCGATATTCTGTCTGGGGGCAGAGATTATGGGCAGGATGATCAATCAAAATCTGAGACGGCAAAGCCTTCTTTCAGGCGAAATCAGTCTCAGTTTCTGCCCAATCCTGCCGCCTCTGAACGCGTGATGAGATTCATCAGCTTGCTTTCACAAAGGCTGGATCCCATAGACTGGGCTACGTAAGGGACAGTGCTCTATTAGCATCAAAGTCAACTGCTTACCACATTATAAATGCTGTTATTCCCTATTTCTAACATCTTTTTATTTTATTTTATTTCTAACTGATTGCAGGTATGAACCGTATCTCTGGGAGAATGAGAAGCAGTCATACAAACGATATGCTGTCCTCTTCGGGTTCTTCGTTCAGTTGAATCGCATGCACACGGAGGTTGTTCAGAAACTGCCCACGAAGTCAAACACAGAGTCGAATATTCTTCGGGGCTTCACGGTTCCACGGTTTAAATATCTACCAATCAGGTTTCATCCTTATTGCCTGCCTTTTGCGTCAACTCTTCTCAAGCTCTCATCATCGGTCCAATGGATTCATATAATATAATGTTAGATGTTGGGGTTTTTTTTTATGGGTTTTCTCCCCGTTATCTCTGCACCCATCTCTCTCTCTCTCTCTCTCTCTCTCTCTCTCTCTCTGTTTTTCTCCGTTTTGGTTGACTTTTTTCCTCAAATTATTTCCTTTTTGGTAGTTGGTTCTTACAATCGCTGTTTGGCAATATATTTGTTGATTTTTTTTCTAACTAAAAAGGGTAGATCATTAAGATACTTATGGTAGATCACCCCCCTCCCTACGTACAATGAAAACCCTCACTAACACTTGAAACTGATTAAAAAAAAAGGATATAACGATATGGATTCTTCTCGTATTTTTCTCGTCTCAGTGGGCCAATTCAATCGTCAAAAGGTTCGACAAGATCACAACTGGCGGGGTTTCCAGATGGCACCTGGAAGCCATACGTCAACGGTGAACGGTCGTCCAAGTCAGAGTTCGACGATGCTCTCGGCTTCGGCGCTGCAACACCTCTCTTCAAGTCCTTCATGACGCAGGTAGCAGATGATCCTCTCTGCCCCCTCAGATTTTTGCCTTAATTTCTGATTTATTGGCGTCATTAAAATAAGGAAAAATGGTATTTATATTACTTTTTATAAAAACAAGGGAATTGCCGGTTTAAGAATTTCTCATCGTGATGTCATGAAATCAGAAAAAAAATAAATCAAGAATATTCGGAAAAGTGCTCCATGCTTCCAAATTCAGAAGAAAAATCCTAAATCAGTTCTTCGGGGATCAAGAAATTCTTTCTTTCTGGTGCTAACATGATCTCTTCTGTGAATTGTTATGGTGCGCGAGCCAGGTGGGGAGCAGATTCGGGGAGAGCACCTCGCGCTTGGGCTCCATGCTCACAGACGCCCAAGTCGGCAAGCTCAAGGACCGGTCGGCCGCCGCCATGTCGACCTTCGGCGACATGCTGCCCGTCCCGGGGGTCGGCCTCCTCTCGTCATTCACCGCCGCCGGCGCCGCCAGGTCGGAAGCTTGATCCCTACAACCAGATCTTCCACGGAAGAACCACGGGATGCATGGGCGGTATGGCTGGACGAAGCTGTTGAGCAAGATGGAGGAGTTGACTCGAAGAAGAAGCCGTTGACCGCCGCTTGGGGGGTCAATGCTCGGTTGCCTTCTTGCCCACAGTGCTGCCTGGCGAATGGAGGTGGAGCAGAGAGCCAGGGCCTTGGAGGGTCTTGCAGAATTCAGGTATGGTTGAGAGGGCGCCCCTCTCCCTCTTCGACTGTGTATATTAATTACTACCAGGTGGGATTATTGAAGGAGAACGAGGGAATGGAGGAGATCGGCGGACGAGAGGAGACCTTCCCTCCACTTGGGAACGTGAATTTTATTCTAATAAACGAGTTTTGACTTCCTGATTCTATTGACTTTTCATTCATTTCCTGACCGATTAGAGAGAGAGAGAGAGAGAGAGAACAAAAATGTAGAGAGGGAAGGAAGCAGAGATGAAAGAAGTGGGAACTTACTTTTAATTACTGCTACTTGTGAGGAGATGGCGGCTAGTTCGACGGGGAGCCTCCGCCGGCGGCGCTTTCCGCCGGCGAGGAGTTCTGATCCGCCGGCTCCGGCAAGTTCCTTCTCTGGAAGCCGAGCCCGCAGAGGCCGCCTCCTCCCTTTCCATTCTCTCTCTTCCCCTTCCCCGCCGCGCCGGGCCCCTGTTCCCTACCTTTATTCCTCTCCCTCAGCGCCCGCGGCGGCGGCGGCAGCACCACGGGCGGTGGGCGGCGAATCTTGAGGCCGTCCCCCATTAAAACCCTGTAACCCGTCGCATCTCCGCCGCTCCTCGCAATGGCTTCCTCCGCGACGGTGGACACGTGGCGGACGGGGAGGATCGCAGACCCGATGTTGAGTACGCCTCGGAAGCGCCCCGAGGGGCGGCGGATCCCGACGGCGGCGAAGGAGGGCTCCCCGAGGGGCCTGGAGAGGAGCCGCTCGTTGCCCACTAGGAACCGTACGGCACCGACGAGGGAGTCAACTAGGCGGCCGACGGCGTAGATCTCCACATGGACGGCGGAAGGGGAGTCGCCGATGAGGAACCCCGCGGGCACCCGGAAGAGGAACTTCTCGTTCCACGTGGGGTTCTCCCCTCCCACGCAGTCTATCAGAGTCCGTAGCTTCGTCGCGGGGTCAACCCACACCACGGCGTAGGTCTTCATCCGGGGTTGACTCGCCGCCATCGCCGAATTGGAGGGCGGCTTCAGGTCTTGGGCGGAGATGAGGGTGATCTCCAAGACGTGGAATACCACCTGCGGGGATCTACCGGCCATGTCACCGGCTGAAATCTTGATCTCTATCTCTCTATCTCTCGCAGGGGGGGGAGATGGCCGGAGGGTTCTTCAAGAACGAAGAGGAAGGGAAAAGAGGACGAAGACGATGGTCGAAGACGACCGTTGGCGAAGGGAGGAGGCTTTAAACGAGCCAGGGCGGGGCGGGGGAGTTGTCCGTTTTAAAAAACCCATGGATTGACGAAAATGCCCCCAACCACTGGCACTGAGTAAATAAATCCGGCCCACTAAGAAGCTGCAAGCACGAAGATAGAGATAGAGAGAGAGAGAGAGAGAGAGAGAGAGATGAAGTCAAACCGAATCAAGCTGTGGGTCAACCTCGCTGACTAAGAAGCTCTCTAGTTCCAAGGGAAGCTGATAAATCAGAACCAGAGACTAAATCTAATGGATGAAGTCACACCTTTCGTCACCAGTCAGGAGGACGATTATGAGGACCGCCGCTAGACCTTCCTGACGTGGATGTTGTGCGTTGACTGGATCCGCCAGATGGGCTGCCTGCCGCTCTGAACAAGGGCGACCTCCTCACCTTCGTTGACCATGCCGTGTTTCTGACAAGCATAAACAACCCATAAATAGACAGAACGTTGAAGTCTTAACATATGCTGCGGCGTCTGAGGAAAAATACGGGTGCGGCCCCATCAAGCGCAGGATTTTTAACAGAGAAAAGTCAACGGGTTCAGTTTCTAATGATCATCCGAAAGAAAACATCTATCTATCTATGATGGGTATACCCCGAAACGTTTGACTTTAGAGTGATTTATCATGTACTATGTATCGGGGTAGAATGGGACAATCTGATCAAGACTGGCCAGCTCTCAAGGTCAAACATCTCCTGTCTGGCTGGTCCAATCAGTCATATATTTCTATAAATGCCGAACCTAGATAAGCAGACCTTTGTATTCAACGCCAAAAATATATGCATAACCAAGGATTACCTTCAAGTAGGCTAAAGCCGCAGAAAAGGACTCCTCTGCATCCTCCAAGAACTCCATGTAGATTGGGCACACCCCTTGGTAGAGAGCCAATCTCTGTCTCACTCTCTCCCTGCAAGGGCATCGATGCAGGCGATTAGGTCATTCTGAGCAGGGGTGGGAGAAGAAAGAAAAAGGAAAAGAAAGAAGGTTTATGTCGCAGGGATTGAGCACTGACTCATTGGTGAAGGCAAAGATGGTGCCGGAAGGCCGATAATGGCTCAGTAAGATAGCCATGAAACCAGTCCTCGTGAAGACAACAATCGATGTGCCAAGCGTGTTGGACATCATTGTCGCATGAAAAGCAAACATTTCGCTCGTGTGGTTCTGCAGAAATGGGTGCAGTCCAAAAGGAGTCAAGGCCAAAACAGGGCCAGAATGATACAAGCACAGAGAGAGAGAGAGAGAGAGAGATCATAATAGCAACCTTGAATGCCTGGCCGAGATTCACTGGTTTCTCTCCTCCTGCAATCGTTGCTTCAGTCCTTAATGCAACCGTATGCATGACTTTTACAGCTTTCAATGGAAACCTGCAAAGCATCAGGGAAACCGTTCTTAGTTGGTTTGCAGAATGAGAAAAATGGTGAATAAATTTTTTCTTTGGAATGCAATGGCTATGCAGTATGATCATGACCATTGTATCAATAAATGCAATGAAATTTGAGAGTAAAGTTAACAGAGAAATGGAGAAAATGTTTGCCATTGGCTGTCTTCTCTGTCCTCCACCAGAAATTGATATTGATCTTAAAATCGATATGAACAAGTACAATGAGCTATAAAGTTTCTGAATAATCAGAGGATTTATAGCTTAAAGTCAATTGGGACAAGGAAGGTGGAGCATATAAAAACATCCATTATAAGTTAGAATCTATAATTAGAAAAAGCTGTCTTGTTATGTTCCAAGAAAGGGAATACTCTATAGACGGCCTATTACCATGTACATAAGAACACCTTTCTGGGAAGTATCATTGATTCTATGACAGGTTAATTCGATAGTAATCTTCAAAGAATGAAAAGAACTCTGATTCATATCCTCCAAGGTAAATTAATAATAGTGTTGATTCAGGAGGATGATCCCAACCGATCATGCCAACTGACCTCACAGTTTGATTAAAGAAAACTATTAAGCGGCCTCCATCATGGGAATGAACAAGGTAAAAGGCCGGAAAAGGATGGGGAAGTAAAATAATAATAATAATAATTGGAAAGCTAACTTATTTCAAAAAGCTGTTCATCAGTGTGCATAGAACTTTGCTGTTGTAAGTCCTGCTGTGATTAGAAAGAAATTATGAATAAGACATGAAAAAGTTCCAAGTGGGTGTTGTATCCCTGGATGGACCGATATTATTTTTAAAAAAAATTCAAAACGAACGAATTGATTCAGGACTCTGCAAGAAAAGTCAAACCGTACTTTCCGTGAGCAGTTTCTCCAGAAAGCATCACTGCATCAGCACCCTCACGAACTGCGATAGCAATATCCGAGACCTCTGCCCGGGTTGGTGTAGGATGAACGATCATGCTCTCTAACATATTTGTGGCTACAATAACAGTTTTCCCCATACTACGGCAGGTTCTGATAATCTCTTCCTGCAGGTTGACAAAGATTATTGAAAGAATCTGGTTAAGACCCAACAAACAAGAAACTCAATCCGCAGAATGATAGGAAGCTCTGAATAAGATATGTTGACAGAAAAACCGAATTACAGCATCCAACAAATTGGTTGACTGTTCATTCAAGACAGAGGAATCAAGCTTCAGATAGAATAGCCAACTAAAAGGAAGATTTTGTTTCTACACAGGGATGGCCCAACCGCATCATGAAAAAAATAAATATCCAGGTGATAACCTAGGAGCATTTGAGGAGGAATTTCAGAGCAATGTACCACCTAGCTACAATACGGTGATGCTTAGTAGATGATCTTCTTTAATATAAATCTATAAAAAAAAATGCCTATCCTTGCAGGCCAAGTTTTGTTACCCGTTTCATAGAAAGTGATATTCACATCAAAATGCTTTATTTCATTCTGGATGAGCTGTCAAGTCTCATGACATGATGAACTGATTAGAACCCAGAATATAATGAAGCAATATCAGATTTCTCTACTATTGAGATGAATTCCATCATTGAACGATAGTTGTCCAAGAGAATATAACATATACATATCGCAGAGCAACTAATAAAAGGGACTAACCAAACAGTATGGGTACCAGGGTCAGTCATTGATCTGTGTTACGCAACCTGAATCAAATGTGAATTCTATTCAAAATTTAAGTGAACTTGATCGACAAGTTAAAAAGAATGACGGTGCCTCAAAATTGCGCCACTACCTTAGTGGGTGATGAGAAAAACGAATGAGCTGAATCCCCAATTTTTGAAGCATGAAAAAAACCATCTAAATTATGGTACAAGACTGGGAGATTGTACATGATACAACTCTAGAAAGTAGTGGTGCACAACTGGGAACAATTACCTGCAACAGTGGAACTTCCTCGATCGGGAGTTCAGCTCCAAGGTCGCCCCTAGCTACCATAGCCTGTGAAATTAAAAAATAAAACAGTAATGGACAATAGTTCTTAAAAAAATCACTGAATGTCCTTAAAAAGGTCTTCTCCGGTTAAGTAGAGTCAAGAATGATGGGCTTAGAGTGGGAAAAGGATCATTGTTTTATTTCTTTTAGAAGCTAGACATACAAAGGACATTATTAAAGTGTAAATGTGTCAGGACGGTAAGAATAACCATTTCGATGGATATAACTAATTGATTTTGATGTTGAAGGGCATGATTAGAACATTCAGATGATTACCCCATCAGATGCAGAAATAATAGAATGCAGATTTGGAATAGAGTCTGCACTTTCAATTTTGACAATGACATGGATATCAGCATCACAACCTGAGGGGAAAAAAAAACAATGGACATGGATATCAACCAATATAGCAGGTAATAAAAAATCTGTTTTTCTTATGAAAAATATAAAATGTTACTACTTCGAAGATAATCCTTCAACTCGTGCACAACTTTCGCATCCTTCACAAATGAAACAGCATAAAAATCCACCTTGTTTTCCACACCGAATTTGATGTCGTCCCAGTCCTTCTCTGCAACAAATATAACAAAATATTACCGTACATTCATAGAAAGCCTCTCCAAGACTAACGGATGAAGAAATCAGTCAAACAATCAATAACAGTTCTTATGCCATCGACCAGGTTTATCAACCATATGTTGAAGATACCTTAAGATATTGAAACAACAGTGAAACAAGGTTTTTTACATGGCCAAGATAATAATCTAACAGGTTAAGGCCAATGCAATAAAGCAAGGGTATCCTTTCTAATAGAATGATAATAAAATTTATATAAGCGCACAATGTTTTAAGCCATAATATAAATATTCGCAGATTTTTTTTACAAAAATATGCATTAATGACTATTCACTGGTGCAATGATATATTCAGGAATTAAACCCACTAATCGGTGGAATGTTGTCCTCGTTCATTCGAGAGGTCATTTGTGAACGGATATGGTGTGAATGCAAACACGAACGCATCTCATGCAAATGTGAAAGCTGACAATCGTCTAGGTAGACTAAACCCCTTGGGCATCCAGGAGACCTCTTCACGTAGGAGACACATTGAACATTATGCAGGGACCACCTTGAAATTTGTTGAAATTTTAGGTAAAATAAGAAGTTTGCATTCTCTTTAAACATAGAGAAATAGAAAAAATTGTGCAGTGCTTAGGAAATGAGAGAAGCAAACATCAGAAAGTAAAGTGTGGATTGAGAACCTGTAATGGACGGGAGAGTAGCACTTTTTCCTCGGACATTTAGATGTCGTCTCGACTTCAACTCACCCCCGTCAACAACCTCACATGTGACAGAATCATCTGTCTTTGATTTCACCACTAAGGACATCATTCCTCCTGAGAAACAAAATGGCATTTCGGTTTGAAAAGCATATCCAAATAGAAAAAAATTTAAAAAAAAGAAAAAGATTCCAAACGCATTTTCATGACTATGGCATACCGTCCACCAACAGCATGTCACCAACTTCTACATCGTTAACAAAGTCATCATAATTCACACTGACACTGTTCTCAGTGCTAACACCCCTCTTTATTGTAAAAGAGAATTCTTGGCCTGTCGTTAGATTGATTGGCTGTGGCAAGTCACCACTCCTAACCTCAGGGCCCTGATAAGAAACATGAAAAGTATCAGGAAATTTGAGAAAAAGTCAACTATCAAAAGAATTGAATGAATGGCAATAAATTTACAAGGTACCCTCCCTCCAACCAAGATGAAGCACCATCTCATCAAAGCTACTTCCAAAACTCTAGTCAAATCAGCCTAAGAAAAGGTGCCCTAAAATACATTGAGACTTGATGAAATCATCTCCACGAAGAACCAATTGACAATCCCCAAGCTCCTTTTTTTCACTTTTTTACTCTGCATAAAAAAAATTGAGATATAGAATCGAACACCCTATCTCACAAAATACCACAACTATAAGCACAGAGAAGCAGTTCATATCCACCTTCTCATTTCCTTCAGAGTGAACTGAATTCATATCAGAAGTACCATTACATCACCAGGGAGAAATATATTTTCAGTAAACCAGGGCATGAGACTTCTACTCTGGGTAATAATAGCGTAAGCTCCCCCAAGTTGATACCACATAACTTATTGTTCAAACTCTAGACTAAGAACGTAGGTAAAGGAATGAGTTTGAAGAGAAAACCTGCCTTGGTATCAAGCATTATAGCAATCACATTGTCTTTTGACTGGGCATTGTATTCCTTGACTAGATCGATGACTTTTTGATGAGAAGCATGGTCGCCATGAGACATATTCATTCTGGCGACATTCATGCCAGCCTCTGCTAGCTTCCAGATCATTTCACGCGTGTTAGTAGAGGGGCCAATGGTGCAAACAATCTTGGTCTTGCGCCTCACACACGGTTTACTCCACATCCCTGGTGACGCATCACTTAGCTGCTGAATGCCCTTGAGATGCTGAAATTTCTCCTCCTCCTGATAAACAGAAAAACACAATAAATACGCAACATAATCACCGGCATAGAGTAGAAAATATGGTGAAGTCCGACGTTGGCGAAAAATCAGCACAGCATGATGTTAATGGAGAAAACGCAGATAGATTTCAAGATTCAACGTAAACATCTGCATTGTCGAAATCCCAGGCTGGGTCAAGAAACGAGAAATATTCATACCACCCTCACATCCTCCGGGGATACCGGAAGAACCTCCATATCCACTCGAGTCATCTTCTTCAGCACGGCCACGACTGGAGCATGTGAACCGCCACCCCTCTGCCCTTTCCTGGGAAGGACCCTGGTGCAGAAAGGCGCCGGCTTGAGGAACTTACGGAGGCAATCTTCCCGCATTCCAGATCCGGAGCGCGGGCACGACAAAAGGGAAGTGCTGTGCACAGATCCGGTGCCGACAACCTGAGCCATGCTTCCTCTCCTCTGACAAAAGATCAGTGACTGGAGACCGCGGAGGGAAAGGTGAGAGAATGAACGTCCGAGCTTCTCCACTCCCCACTCTCAGCCACTGTATATGATGGGTTCCTGTTGGATAGCCGCTCCGACCTCGAGGGAAGCTTCGATCATATCGAAGATACCTCCCTCTCTCCGCCCACGTTTAGACAATGACTAAAATACCCCTATTAGAACCCTAAACCCTTATAGGTAATTATGTAAATTCCCTTTTTCAGATGCATTAAAGCTGGCCTTGTAGAAAAATGGGTTTTAGGATAAAAGTGTCAAATCGGAAACTGAAGCTTAGCTCATCAACACGTCGTTGGTTCATCTTAGGGCTAGTGCATCCGCGCGAACACCGTACCGTTGTAGGAACGGGATCCTTAGGGCTTTTGGGAGGAAGAGGGGTTTTGTATTTGTTCTTCCTGCTGTAGTGGAATCATTGTCCTCCGAGGGTTCCTGCACCTGGTGGAAAAAGATGGCGAAGGCGAAGAAAACTCGAAAATTCGCAGTCATGAAGAAGATAGTCAGCTCTAAAACACTTCAGAAGTAGGTTTATCCCTTGGTGTTGTTCTCTTCTTCTTCGTCTTCCGCTCTCTGGCCCTCTTGATGAGTCTAATCGTCTCCTAGCGTGCTTTTCGGTTGACCGTTTCAGGTACAAGGAGGAGGTCCTTAACCCTAAGACGAAGGATCTCGAGAAGGAGAATCTCCCGCGCAATGTGTACGTTATCTTTCTCCCCTCCGCCAATTCTGCCGCATTTCGTCCATTGTCTATGTGCCTTCTTTTCATTTGCTAAGGCGTTTTCTTCTCTTCCTCCGATTTCTCTTCGTTACGTCTAGGCCGGCGGTCTCGTCGGCACTGTTCTTCAAGTACAATACCGCTTTGGGGCCTCCCTATCGAGTTATTGTCGATACTAACTTCATCAACTTTTCCATACGGAACAAGGTCCGTTCTCGACATTACGGTTATTTAACTTTGTACGTATCGGCATCTTTCTGTGACCATAGTCTCAACTTTTACATGTCTACCTGCATAATATAATTATAAATAGTCTTGGATTTGTTATTCTTCAGGTGGGACGAAGCATAATTACTAGTACAGTGGCTTGTTAATCGTCAAAAACTAACGCAATAAGAAGCGATGCTCTCTCAATGTTTCTCATATCCTTTTTTTGTACCAATGATGCTAAAATCACCATAATTATCCCTTGTCAACAATTGAGCTGCAACTGAAAGGTAGAAACAAATGGAGGAGAGGTGAAAAACATAGGGAGAAACTTTCTTTGACCCTGGCGGAGAATCATTGTGTTGCTACATATGTAACACAAAAATGCCTTGGACATTCATGTTAGTTATTAGAAAATAATGGAGGAACCTGGGAGCTCTGGCAAGTGCTTTTCCTTTCAGGATTTTGAGATTGTTCATCAGGGAATGAGAGTTTTATGTACACTAGGTTCGCCATAAATGAAGAGTTGCTTAGTCTTTATGGGTCTTCTAAAAGCTAATTGACACGCTATCCAATCTAAAAGTACATATCAAGGAGAGAGGTAGGAGGATGATTGTTCCATATTCTTCCGGAATGCCTGTGATTTTGGAAGATTTTTTTTTGGGGAAACATGTTGTGTTTCTACGGGCATGAAATTAGACTAATTAGGTTTCAGCCTGTAACCTCCAAGGTTCTGTCTATTTTAGCTCTTCCAGAACTTAGCTATTCCTGAGTGGCTAATATTGCCATCTCTTTTCTCTGGTTCTAGGCTACTTTATATCTTGCACAAATAGAGCATATGTTTGATTCGTTTTAGCTTTAGTTTTCGTTGGCTGTTGTAGATATAGTTATGTAGTTTGCATTAACTTCAGTTTCTTCGTAGCTTTGTATCCTCCACAAGTAAACATTACCACTCAGAAAGCTAAGCCTTCTTTCTCATGTGGGTGAAATGTTTTGATCGTTAGTGACTAAATGGGCATTTGATAGTTGGAAGTGCGAATGCATCAGAAGATGTCGAGTGCTATTCACAAATGAGTGCAACGGCTCTCTTGCTTACAATGTTACACCATTCACGATGATTTTATGGATTTTTTGCAGTGCTGATCTCTGATATGGCTATGGCCTTATTAGTTATTCTCATTTAGTTTAGGCAGATGTAGCTCAATGGCTTGGGTAAGTTTTGTCAAGATGGAGACAATGCTTATCATTAGGTTCAATTTTCAATTTTTGTGAAAAAAAGTTTAGATTGAGCGCATTCGGTAGATTGGTCCCAAAATGTTGCCATCGTGATCGAATAATTAATGATCATATTGCATGTGGCTCGCTTGAGTTTAACCGTAATAAAATAAGTGGTCATGTTTTTGGCACAATACTACAGTTTGATTTTTTGTAGAGTAGATTTACTTCGGTAACGAGAGTATTATTGATCATGCGAATAGAGGAACCATTATCATGTGATCACGTTTGTCTTATATTAATCTCATTGCATGAACCTTAAAACGGAATGAAATAATGGAATCTGTTTGACACTGGAATATTTCTTTTTATAGCCATGCCGTATGGTATCTTCATCCTCGTCGGATCCAAGAGAAACTTCATTAATGTTTACACAGAAGAAATCCACTAAAGTCAAGAAAATACTTCATACACCAAGCAAATAGTAGTGCTGTCTTCTCCACAATGAGTTGTAGAGCTTAGGTTGCCCTGCTGCTTCCCAGTCACCTGCGTTGCAAGCATCTAAGAACCAATACGTGAATTTTGAGTATCAATGGCATAAACAGACTTCTTATCCAAATCTCCAGAAGTCTATCCTTGTCGATGTATGCCTGGTTCCAGTAAGAAATCAAGCAAGAACAGTGATATTATTTCTCCAAAAATCGGCAAAAACAATGAGTAGGGATAATTTGGTAACCGACTTTTTCTTTACATATACTAGCGCAAATTATGCAGTCTGATGGACTGATTGCAGTTTTTCTCAGACTCTCTGATAACGTTGTGGTCATTTATCTAATAGTAGATGACTAGTGTTTGTTCCGGTGCTTCAATTACAGAGAAAAAAGTGACCTATTATAATGTCTTTTTATTGCTAAAGCTCTCGTGTGAGATGATCGTTACTTCATTTTATGGAGGCTCACATTTCATGCATTACTGTGCAGTTGGACCTGCAAGATGCTATGGTCGAATGCTTATATGCCAAATGTGAGATGCCAATGACCGGATTACCTAGCTTCGTTATTACTTTCCAATCCCAATGTTCTTTTAACATTTCAATGAGACGTATTTTTCCCAATATTTGACCTCGTGTTGCTTCATGTTCATCATTTACTTCTTCAGGCACTCCCTGTATCACAGATTGTGTGATGGCTGAGCTCGAGAAATTAGGTCAGAAATATCGTGTTGCCCTAAGGTATTTGATTTAATTCTGACTTAATTCTCTCCTTCTTGACTATTATCCATCTTCGCTTCATCATGCATCCTTATAATCTCAGGATTGCCAAGGATCCCCGGTTCGAGAGACTTCCATGCACACACAAAGGAACTTACGCGGATGATTGTATTGTTGATAGGGTCACTCAGGTACATAATCCTATCCCAATCGCCTTTATGTATCAGCTTTGCGAGACGTCGTTGACTTTTGGACTGACGATTCACAACGCTCATAGTTTTCTAAAACGGCATAAATCATTGAGAGAAAGAAACCCAAAATATTCATCTATGTTACTAATTTCCCACCTATTTCTCTCTCGTTTTGTGAACAGCACAAATGCTATCTTGTAGCAACATGCGACAGAGACTTGAAGCGAAGAATCCGAAAGGTATTGGATGATCGTTTGACTTAACCACATCTCAGCTCTCCATCCGGCCGTCTAAGCTTTCTATCTCTTCACGATGGTATCACAGATTCCTGGAGTCCCGATCATGTACATCACTAAGCACAAGTACTCGATTGAGCGCCTTCCAGAAGCAACCATGGGTGGAGGTACCTCTCTCAACCCCTTTCACGCCAGCTTTGTCAGTCTAGATTAACTGAAGAGGCTCGTCGGATTTGTTGGTCCCCAGCTCCGAGGGTGTAACGCGGCGGGGGGTTCTTCTACGATCTGAGATCTCGAGGAGCAGAAACCGTCGGCAGGTGTGGACCCGTTTGCTTCCCTTTTTATGGGTTTTCTTCTCTTTTTTTTTTTCTTTTTTTTTCTTTTTTCCGGGAAAATCATCAGATGGGTAGAATCCCTCTGTCAGTTTGATTTTGATCCACGGAATGCTTTTAGACGGGGGTGGGTGGTTTATTTCCGAATGGGAAGATCATCGTGCATATCGTGGATGGAATTGGATTTTTTTTAATTTTTATTATCTTCTCACCAGATAAAGGTGAAGATCACCAGCATCTGGTTTTTGTCTGAAATCCGTAACTCTGAGGAGATAAATTGCTTGATAAAACCATGGATTCCACCAAACATACATAGAAGAAAGAACAGGTTTTCAGAGGGAGGGAGGGAGGGGGCACTGATATTTGTTCCCTCTCTCTCTCTCACCCACCCACAGTTTGAGATAGAGAGAGAGAATTCAAGAACCCATCTCTCTAGCTCTCTCTCTATCTCAAATTGTGGGCAGGACAGAGAACGAGAGATTAAATATCGATGCCCCCTCCCTTCCCTCCCTCTGAAAAAAGCTTTTCTTTCTTCTATGTATGTTTGGTTGAATCCATGGGAACCCAGATGAAGGTTCTCTCTCTCTCTCTCTCTCTCTCTCTCTCTCTCTCTCTCTCTCTCTCTATCCTCAAAATGCGCAGTCAGTCCGTTCTTCATGTCTCGTTCTCAATATCTCCGTTCAGAAATGGGATGTGACCAGAACCCACACTCACTATTCGGATGGCCTTTCCCTTCCAGTCAGTTTACTGGAACTGGAAACTTCCACGAACCCAGTCAACAAGAATCCGCTCCCCGAACCAGTAGTCTCTCCTCCGTGGCTCTCGGATCAGATCAGAAAGTCGCTCTCCTCGACACGAAGCTAAAATATGTCAAATAATCACGAGAAAAAATCGGACCAAACAATGGGAGATCTTTACTCGGTAGTGCTCCTGGAGTCCTACAACACTGGTCGAACAAAAAAGAAGATATGGAGGAAGAACAGAGAAAAGAATGGTGGAATGGCACAAAAGAAGAAGAAGAAGAAGAGAGAGAGAGAGAGAGAGAGAGAGAGAGAGAGAGAGTCAACCGGTCAGACTGCGGTAGAGTTGAAGTCGTCTTCCGGCGGGGGCTTTATATACTTTCCCAGGGTCTTCTGGCGAGCTCTGCTCTTTATTCTTCGGATCTTATCCTTGCTCTGCTTCTTCCTCCTCTCCTTCTGCTGGTGCCGCATACTCCTCTCCCTCTCGTACACCCCCTGCCAGTAGACCTCCCCTGTCAACGGCCACAGCGACCGCCGATCAGGCCGGTCAGAGTCCCACTCCTCCGCCAAGTCCTCGTCCATACTCTTCAGCGTCGCCGGGGAGAACCACTTGACCCACATCCTCCCCCCCCTCCGGCCTTTCAGCTGGTGCTGCTCCTCCATCGCCCCCGTCTCCGGGTCAACGTAGACCATCCTCCTTGCGCTGTGGTAGGCCCACACGTTGACCATCAGCTCCAGCACGCGGGAGTAGCAGTGGCGGTCCTGCATGCGCCACCAAGAACATCGAGGATGGTCATCCCGGAAGAGCTTGGAGACCGGTAGAGGATGAGGAGGAAAGGGAGATGGAGATGAAGGCCAGACCTTGGATAAAGTCAACGCACATCGCCCACTCTGATGGTGTTCTTCGTACATCTGGGCATCCAGAGCATCCACAAACATTCTGCGGGCACAGACGGGGAAAAGTAGTTGGATAGTTTCTAAAAAAAGGGTGCTGTGATTTTTACCAAAAATAGCATGAAAAAGAGCAGCTAAATTTTCTGCGTACCTTGAGAACATGACGTACTCCAGGAACGATCTAGTGGGCAGAGCCCAGCAATGCATGACCGACCACGTGTTGCCGTCCGCCGGCATGGGCGGCAAGGAGTCAAAGCCATCTCTTATGCCGTACATCCTCTGGATAGCTTCAGAGACCGCGGATCTTCAAGAAATCATAAAATGAGAAAACATAAATAATAATAATAATATATATATTCTTAAGAACAACAGTTCTTAGTCATAGAAAGATAAAGATCCGGCACAAGGGAACTGTCACTGTTCATATCTTATGGCAGAATAAAGATCCTGCGCTGAAAAATGGGGAATCGATGTTCTTGATCTCATTCAAACCACAGATAATCGCCATAAAAATCAGGCCCCTGAGGGCCCGATGCATGATTTTTAGAAGCAGTCTCTTCACCTCTCTCTTCAGAGATTAAGAAAGACTGAGAACTTTGATGAAACAGGTAAATATCTGAGAAAAGAAAGTGATTGATCTGAGCCCAACCTGCAGTTCCCAGCATTAATCGAATCGCAGAAAGACCAAAAGTCCTGTCGCGTAGGATTCCTGGGATCCTCATCCATACGAGCCCAGAAGTACAGGGTGTCCCCATGTTTCCTGGACTCGACAGACTCCACAAGAACACTCTCAGCCCTCTTCGATAATGAAACCTGTCGCAGAGAAGGAAGATGTGCACCAAGAACATCAGATGAAAGCGCCATCTCAACATAGAAAAGCTCCATGGTGAGACCATTTTTATCTTTCTGATAGATATGGAGTGGGAACGATCTTCCCAAGAAACAGCTCAAACTGGTGGGAAAATCGAGAACTGGAGACGGATTCTCTACCAAGATCAACAGAGTTCTAGAATACCCAGATGGCACATCCACATGACATCAAGAACATACCTTTCTGGCTGCAGCTCTCCATGACTGAAAGCCAATCCAGGCACTCTTATGTATACGATCTATCCTGTTAGCTAATGCGAAAAAGGCCCCATGCTCAGCCAGCACATCTCGATAGTACGAGTCGCTGAGAAGTGGAAGACGAGAAGAAGCAACAATGTCATCGCCTCCAGGTCTTCTGCCTTTATTAGACTAGTGCCAATCAAATGGTGCTGGTTAGTGACATTAAAGATTGAATGGCAGGCGCATACGAGAACTAAAAATTTCAATCCTAACTAAGAATCAATCACATGGGCTACGAATCATATAAATACCCAGATCATTTTATCAGTGTTTATAGCGATGATGGAGTGGCCACCCATTATGCACAAAGATGATCTGATGATCTTTCTTTCTTGAATCAATGATTGGAAGGAAGAGAAATGGAAGAAATTCAGTAGTAACTTACCAAGCCTATCCCCCGATAAAGCGATTTATGGTGCAGAAAAGGCCAAGTTCCTTCTCCGAAGTAAGGTTCATATATACACAGTGGCTGTCCGGTTCGTTCAAGCTCTTTGTCGTCTCTTTCATGTACCTCGTTTCTGGCCCTGTCAGCCTTTTTAGCATTGCGATACACTTCTTCCCATGTTCCATGCGCCTGATCAGTTCTGTCCTTCAACTGCAACAAGAGAACGCAGGTCATTCACTGAGAAATAAAGCATGATATCTCGTGGAAATTGATAAATATGCAATGGAAAGAAGAAGACGGAAGCTTGATTTCCACTCTTACCTCATCTTCTTCTAATCTTTTTCTAGTATTTAACATCTCAATTAACTTCTCCTCTGCCCAATTGATCGGAGAAAATACTTCCTCTATCACCCCCCCTGTGCCGAAAGAACTGTCCAGGTAAGTAGCATTCCACTGCCTTTCCATCTCGTCTAAAACGTCATCAAGCCTGCTCTCTCTATCTCCGCCATTTCTAGAGGTCAAGTCCTCAAGCAGATACCACAGCCATTCCTCCTTCAATCTCGAGGGGATCTCTGCAACTGTTTTTGGAGAAGCAGCCTCTGATGGCAATTTAACGATATGTTCCAACAAAAATGCATAGCCTTCGATGCTTTCAGACACCATGAGGTTCATTCCTTGTGCTTTTCCAATTGAGCCGACGTTCTTGGCTGAGAAAGATAATTTTCCATCAGAGATAACTTGGGATAGAATCTCAGTTAACATGGCAACATTTTTCTTGGGAAAGAGGTATCCGTTCACTCCATCATCAATCTGGTAATGATCGAAAGAAACTGTCAGTAATCTCCCTGGAGAATCATCCACAGTAGGTGGATAGCAGTAATGAACATTAGTAAGAGACATACATGCTTTCCGATCATTGCAAGATCCGGCGCAATAATCAGCTTCCCAAGGCACATGGCCCTGATCAAGGGAGATGGAAAAGACTGCTCCTCAAGAAATGCACCATAAATCACCAGATCAGCCATGTCCAGGAGAGTGTTCACATCTCCACCAACACCCGCATGCATCACACTCCCGCTCAAGAAACCAAGTTTGAGAGAGAATGCCTGCAAGAAAACAACTGTGTGTGAGACGGACCAGTGGAGCAGGCATCATCAATGGCGTAATCCATGCATTCAAAATCATACCTCCAGTGCCGCCTTGTAGGAATCAGTTGAGTTTCCATTCAAGATGACAACCTTCAGATGAGACGCAGAGGAGAACTCCTGGCGAAGTGGCGCTACGGCTTGCAAAACTAGAGCCTGTTCTAGCCACAAACCACTGTACGAAAATTGACTTCCTAAGAGTGCGATAAGGAAATCCTCCTCCCCATAACCCATCTCAAGTCGTCGATCACGCCCGCTATTTAAGGAAATATAATCGCGTGCTTCCCATGCTTCAGTGGGAGAGCCAGGAACGACATAGAAGTTACCCGTATCAAATACAGCATACATTAGCTGCGAATGGAGAAAGAAAATGTTAAGCACTGGATCGAATCAGATGGTCAGGGTAGTGATACAGCAGGGTGTTTAGATAGTATTACCGGCAATGCATGGTTTGGGAAGACAACAACTGTGGCTCTTTTGAAGGCTTGCTTCCAATTATTGATAAGCTGAGTCTGGTTATTAACTACATATTTATTGAGACGAAGTGCTAGGGACTGTTCATGAACAGTCCACATAATGGGAACAGATTTGAATGGCTCCTGCAAAAGACTGTAAAATGTATAAATATTCTTCTTCCGTAAGAATAATGTTATCAATTGGGATGCAACTGTTTTTCCAGTAATTTGACAACAGGTGGAAATCAAATGTACACGCAGCTGCAGGACACCATACTAGAAAGCAACCAAAGGTTTTTTGCAGAATAATCTCTCTCTCTAAGAATCTCTCTCTCTCTCTCTCTCTCTCTCTCTCTCTCTCTCTCTCTCTCTCTCTCTCTCTCTCTCCCTCCCTCTCTCTCTCTCTACGGATGGAAAGGAGCCCTTCCAGGTGGGACAGTTAGAGAGGGGAATGGGGAAAGAAAGCCGTTTGTTTCCCATTTTTTTATTATTCACAACAACGTAATATTATGTTCCCCATTTTATTTATCACGAACCTTGCTCAGGACTCCATGTTTATTTCCTTCACTTTTTCAAAATATTTTAAAAAATTAACTTCCAGATATTATCCATCAACAATTACATCAACACTTTCATTACTGTATCTAAGAACAGTACATTTTTTTCATAGACGACAGAAAGTATTAATTTTAATGCATGAGTTTAAGAATGTATACTTACGAAGAGAGGACAATTTTGGCCTCGAGAGCAGTCACAAGGATGCAATTATAACTGAAAAAAAAAAAAAAACAACATGATAAGAATAGATTTTTAACTTGTCTTGCAGAGGAATGATTGGTCAGGACATGTTTTGTAAGAAAAAAGATGATGATCGGCTTACTTCAGCCAATCTATGGCTGTTTCTATTTTATCTCTGATAGAAAGGACAGTGGGCAGAAACCCTACAGAGCCCCATGCTGATCTAGCAGGCCCATCTTCAAGAGCATAAACCTGCACACATTCAAAACGAAGCATTCATGATCTTCGGGAAGAAGAAAGACTGCACATATGGAGAATTTTACAGGATCTCAACCGTTTATGATACACGGATCAAGAACTAAATGTATTTTTAGATCAGTCGTGTCCTTGCTGACATGGTAAACACGGGAATAATCTGACCAGCGATCGAGGAATCATTCAACAGAAACTATGTTCTCTCTCAATAAGGATTCTAATAGCAGCATTGGAAATAAATGCAGCAAGATTTACGGTGATCAGCAAACCCGAGTTTTAGTACGCCAGAGCCAACAGCTGAGCTGAACAGAGGGAAGCTTCAACAGGGAGAGAATGTATGACGGAGATACCAGACAACGGGTGGTAACTCAGCAACATGAGCCATTAGTTGTATGCTCCCGTTTTGGAAGCAGATTCGGAGAAACCCAAAACCGATTCTGAGCAGCTCCTTTAGTAGTTTCAAGTCAGAGGAGGAGGAATACTAGGATTACAAGCAGCACTAAGATAGTTCTCTGGCACGGGATGCAAGTCAAACAGTTCGTGTGGTGACTGAACGGGAAATTGGAAGTTTTGTGGTACTTACATCGATATCGTAGCCGATCTCTTTCAAGGCGACAGCAACACTGACCATATGCAAGTGTGCAGCGTCTACAGATAGATCGGGGAGAACCTGCAGAAGCCATTGACGGCGCCCAACAAGATAATTTCATCAGAACCCACCAAAGAAACTTGGATGGACGGTAATAGCCGCTGAGCAGGAGATCGTCACCGACCAGCGCCAGCTTCGGCTTCAGAAGGGCAGTGCGCCTCCTGGGCCAGCCAGAAGAAGAAGAAGAATTGGCTTCTTCATTCTCCTTGTCGAACTTCTCCAGCAGTTTCGACGGCACGAACCTTATCCCCTCCCCGAAATCCAGCTCGCCGATTTTACCGAAGATCCCAAGCTCTCTGAAGGCCGCCAGCCTCCTAGAGACGCCGAAATTGCCCGATTTCTCCAGCACGGAGCCGGGCAAGAAGGCCTGGAAAAGTATCACCACGAAGCAGAAAATGGCTACGGTGCAAATCCATTGGAAGTAATCGACCTTCTCGAAGAGGAGGAACCGCGCTAGCCTGGATCTCGGCCTGTGGAAGAAGGACCTGCCGTCCGCGGAAGAGGAAAGCCGGAGCAGGGGAGCTCTCTTGGCAGGAACCCCATTCTCCACAGAACCCATCTAACAGCAGTCCATGGAGAAGCCGCACAGGCTAAGGGGTTATGCCCCCAGGGCGTTCTTCCCCATACCCGCTACTCCTGGTTCAGTCGTTTCCACCAGCGGCTTCTGCCACATTACAGCGGATCCCTCGGTAAGATCCTGCTATGCAGAGTCGAGATCCGTGCTCCACCGCGCAACCATAAAAACACTCTCCGGGACGCCGCCGCAGCTCGTGCACAAGGAAGGACTCTTGCGGGCTAAAATAACTAGCAGTAGACACCTAACGGAAGTGCAGCAGAGCAGAAAGCGATCTACAGAGAGAGAGAGGTGATAAATGATATAGTAAGCTGTAGTAAACGAGCTGGGGACAGAGAGAGGAGAGCAAATTCAGCGAAGCTGGTGGGGTAGGGGGTCGATGCGTCGCGATGCGGAGGACGCCGATCTGAAGATGGGCGATGAGGTGATGGCCGGACAGGAAACTTACCACAAAGGATCTAGCTACATCTCTGGAGACACGAGAGAAGCGGAGGAGAGAAAAACAAACTTCCCCCCCCCCACCCCCTCCGAAGCTAAGGGGGGTAGAGAGAGAGAGGAGCTAGATCTCCGGGATAAGGATTCAACCCCTCGTCCTCTCAGAAATACTCCACGCACCAGCTGGCGTGATCAGGCAAGCTGGTAATTCCTGGTGCCCGGCGAGGGTAAGGGGATGAACTCAGCTCCGCCGCCATGGGGGGGGCCGACGGGACCGGAGAATCGACGGCGAAGGTGGAGTCGGTGCACCGTCAAAGTCAGACAGTAGGGGAAAACCCTTGCTGTCGCCAAAGCCACGTACGTCAACGCAGATTCTGATTTACCGGCAGCCGCCGCGCCGACGGCGTCCCCCTCGGCATCTCGCCGGATCTTGCGGAACAGCAGAGCGCCGCCCCCGCCGCCAAATTTCCCAAATCACTGTTATATTTTACGTAATCCCACACATTCGGACATATCTCCCATAATTTACTTTTTTGGAGGGCATATTAGTCATTCTCGCCTCCTACGCGGTCCACGTAGCGAATGTTCAAAGCGTCCTACGTCAGCCGCGGTCACGTGCTTTGTAAGGAAGCTTTACGGGCCCCACACGTGATCTGGGTCCCCCCGCCGACGAGGTTTATATACTGACAAATTATTCAATTATAATTAATTAGGTATAAATATAAATAGATAAATATACTTTTTAAGAGAGGCGCAGATTATTGATTGTGGACCGCCTTTTCAAAAGTGATGGGGGCACCCACAGTGGAGGACAAGCAACGCCACCAACCGCTCCGTCACTCGCCGGACGGTGACCGCGACCGCGACGGCGTAGCGGCTGGGTGGCATTCACCACCTGCCACTGGGTGCGGCCGGGAGTCAACGGGTCCTGGAGTGCTCCGGTGGGATGGCCGCCGGCGCCGCCCGTCGTCGCACCGGGCCCGCCGTGGCCCGGTCAATAGATCTCCGTCAATTAGGAAAGCTTGTCCTCCGGCTTGTTGTCCGCCGGTCAATAATATTTTTGATAAGTCAACGGTTCAGACAGGGAGGAAACCAATAGTAACAGAGTAAGAACATGCAATATTCAGATCAAACTCCCATCGTCGAGGCCCCAAGAGGGGTGGTGGTGGCGGCGCAGTGCTCATTACCCAAAAAGGAAAAACCGGGACTTGTGCCAACCCACCAACAGCAGATTAGGGCGTTGACTGAAACTTTTTCTCGCTTTTTTGGGAACAAAAAATGCTCCGAGATAGAGTTCATAGCTATGAAATGGAGAAAGTCGTCGGGGGGGGGAGGCGCTAGATTCGACCGAGGGGCGACTCCTGGATGTGATCGTCCGCTAGCCAGAGGCCAAAGTCGCGGAAACGCTTGATCTTCTTCTCGAAACCGGAGATGTAGTTGTTGTGGATGATGACGTGGCGGCCTCTGGTTTCTTGGACCCACTTCTCGTTCTTGAAGTAGAGCCCCCCCGACGGGAAAGCCACCTGGGGGAGAAGGTACAGGTCGACCTGCAATTTCAATGGTCAACTGCAAGCATCAAGGCGTTGCTTCAGTGAATCCCTCACGAAGAAAACAGAGCCATCGCTTTGTGAAAGAACTGCAATCCCCAACCCGAGGGCTCCCACCCTTTTCAGCTTGGGTTGGAATGAATTCGTGTCTGACACGTGCGCAATTAATCGGTCAGACCCATGTTAGGGAAAATGATTCCAAGTCAACGAGCGCAAACGGAAGTCCTATCGTCACAGGGATGAAGAACCCAATTGCTCACAGTTGGGATTGATCACTATTCATGGAAAAAAAAAAAAAAGTTTATAGAATAAGGAGTGAGTATCAAAGGGTGGGTGTCGCCAATTCTGGATGAATGTCCAGAAAATTTTGAAAAAATAAAAAAATAAAAAAAAACATTAATCAAGAGGAAGAATCATGGGAATCAAGGGCCAAAGATATTCCTCCAGTGCCCATTCTTTAGATGGCTCAGCCATCATTCCATGGAGTCTCTAATGTGTTGCAGAAATCCTTGTAAATATAGAGAAAATTCCTTCTTTTTTTTCTTTTTTGGTGCCAGATATTAGGCAGAAGACATGATCACATGCCGATCATAGTGAAAATTATCTCTCAATGCATCAAATTATGCGTGGTTAAATCACCCTATTTTAAGGTTTAATTTCGTAGTTAATAATGATGACTGATCGAGCTCCATGAAGAAATTTTCAAACGATTCATCACTACGACGAGCTAAACATCCGATCAGGTCAAGAATCAGATGGTAGCAACTAAAACTGATTCTTCCCCCCACCACCCATGCTCATAATCCTAAATAATTCTCAACAAAATGCAGTACTCTCCACCTCAGAAAGGGAAAAAAAAACCCAACTAAAAAAGAAAAGTCGCCATAATAATTTTTGTTATGAGCTAGAAAAACAGAATTAATTAGAAAAAATATAAATCGCATGAAAACATGAGGAAAAAAAATAAATCGGACAAGCAGAGTCTTCATAGAATGAAATGGCAGGCATTAAGGTTCATAGAATGGTAAGGCCTTACCTCGCTGTAGGTCTTGTTGAGGGCCCAGTTGAAAGCTGGCTGATCGTTTGACTTCATCGTCGTAGACCACGGCTGCAGCTGCATTTCCTCTATCCACTTCTTCATCACCTTCTTCGCTCCGTCTGTGGGCCGGAGGAAGATCATGCAGCTGCAAATGTACGTCCTGCCCTTCTTCCCCGGGGGCGGCAGGGCATGGGAATGGTTCAGAGGCTTCACCTGATTTGAAGAGAAATGCCCGAGAAAAAGATTATGGCCATGAAAAAAAAATACCCAGAGAGGAAAGGGAATGGAACGGTGCACATACAGCCGCCATGTCGTCAGTGAAATACACATCGTGATTCCCCTCCATGTATGGAAATGGATCTGCTAACCACACCATGTCAACATCATTGTACATGACATTATATCCCAGCTCCAGAATATGCAGAAGGTGGCGGGGCCTGCGTGATGTAAAATTGAAGAACCCCTGTCAAGGATTTATGTAAACACGTATAAGGACATCTGAACCAGCGCCATATTTTTCTGTCAGCACACCACAGAAACATGAACAGGTAATGACCATGAATAATACTTCGAGACATAAAAAGGGCATTATCTGTTCATAAAAAGGGCATAAAAACGGAGCAGAGTTGATCATAAAAAGGGCATCAGATGTGTTGAATTACGAGACATTATGGTGTTATATCTGTAAAAAAATGGGGAAAACATGAGGTGCCATACTGACGAGCAAGGATTGAGCTTGATTCTAGTCGAGCTGATGGATACACGTTGAACAATTTCTATCGATGAGAAATCCAAGATTTTCCTGTACCTGAGAGCCGAACTTGTGGGCGGTTTGGGCCTCTGGAGCAGGCGGGATCAGGACAGCATGGCCGGGCCACTTCTCGTTCACTTTGTAAAGGGTGGCGTAGTCTTCGGCCACGACTAGCACCTTCTCCTGGTGATTCCGCCTGGCGATGCTGATCAGCCAGTTGTTAAGAAAGGGGAGGTATGGTTGGCTCACCGCGCATACTATAATGGTACCATTCTTCCCCACGAAGGCAGCAGCCTCTGCGAGAGTGTACTCCCTCCATCTCGAGAGAGACCCGTCCTTGTTCCCAGAGAAGAGCCCCGCCGGCATCCCCATCCAGGGGAATAAGACCCCCAGAATCACCATCAGAGACAAGAGGATAATGACGCCGGTGGGGCTGAACAGGGAGATCGATCTCTGTTGCAAGCCCGTCCCATGGCGAGGGGAGAGCGGCTCGGGATCCACCAACGGCTGTTGCTGCTGATGCGGTGACTGCTGTCTCTGATGGAGGGACATTCTCCTTCCACCCACTACCAGGCAAGGAACGGACGTCCGATCCCGGAAGCCACCAGATTCTTCTTCCTGCGATTTCGATCTGCCGAAGATCCGAACGAGAATGCACCGCCGCGCGACCGTCGGCCAGAGCTCAGTCCCCAAGAGCCCCACAGAAGGGCGATTCACACAGAGGCACAGAGGCACAGAGGCACAAGCGGGAGATCAGATCAGCCTTCCGATGACAATTGCAGAACGATTCACCACGCCCAGGAACGCGCCACCGCAGCTCTCCTTCTAACGAAAATAAGAGAACAGAGGAACCTGCTACCAGCTCCGCTTCTCCTGCAATCAGATCCCCTTCTCCGCCGGCTTCGCCGTGGAAGGAAGACGGCAACGCCGCGGACAGCCGACAAAATCTCTGTTCACCATTTGATGCTGATCGGACGGCTTGGGTGAACTTACAGCTCAATTGCGGCCCATAGATCCGCGATATCCGGCCGTCCAAGAGAGTTCAGATCTGGGCACGTGCGGAAACTCATAATATTAATGTGTTTAATATCTCGACATAAGTATTACCAACAGGGTTTATTTATTTTTTGGGGTTTTCGGAGCCGTCGAATGCTTGGCGATTTACGGTTTATTTATTTTACGAAATTTTAGTCGTAGAAATTGTAGATATATGGGTCGTATCTCTATTTGGGCCCACTGAAGTCACCCATATAATGGGTTTAATGGGCCCCTCAACGACCCAAATAAGAGTGAAGAAGAGAGAGAAAAGCTTTGTCGTTTTTTCTTTTATGTTAAAAGAAGTGACTATTGGGTTTCGGCCTGAACTAAGATTAACAATGAAGGGTTGACTTGGTATGTTACTAAATCTGTTTTAGTGAGACCTCCTTCAATGTATGTACCTAATTTTTTCTCTTGATCTCTGTAGGACTTAGTTTTATAATTATAAAACTCACTAATTTTTATGGTGACTTAACTCACTACCTAAGTCAACTCTCTAAGAACAACTTTCTTCTCGGGTTCTATTATAATTAATCATCAGATCACACATTGTTGATTGACATGGTCAACTCCCACATAATTTAACTTGGAAAAATTCTTCTAAATTCACAACTATAAGATGCAAAAAATTATTTAATAGGACAGCTCTCAAATGTGATTAAATCACAAGTTTTTATCACAATATATATGATAAGATTTCACCATGACTAGTTTTTTTAGAAGTGATGTAGACTTCAAGTGTCTTTGAATCTTCAAAGAAAATGATGATATATAATGTCATGTTGTTGTCTTCTTGTCATAATGTTGGCAATGGATTGAAGGCTCTTTAAACTTGCAGTGTGTTTAAGATGATCATTTAATGTATGTACAGTTCTATTCATATTAATGTTTTTATCTCATTTGAATACTCTACATTGACCTCGTTATTTTGTATTAAAATTCATGTGATAAATACTTAATACAAACCTTGAGGTAGTTTAGGTAAGAAGTAAAAAACATTGTGTTTAAATGATATTTATAAATAAATCTCGTACTAAAGTTTTCTTAAATCTTTGTGATTTTTCAATGACTATTTTCTATAAATTAAGATTAATTCAAGCAGATGATATCTCATTAACTCATTTTGGATACCCTCATAAGAAATCAATGCATGAGTCATTTATTAATCAATGTTTATATCTGAATTATGATAGTTCATATTTATCCATTATGGATCCTATGTTATAAAGGTAGAACCAATAAGTATCAAGTATCATAAAAAAATAGTGTTATCTTTAAATGTTGCTATTAGAAGACAATGACATTTATAAATAAATCTTGTACAAAAAATTTATCATATCTTTGTGATTTTTCAACAATTTTTTTTCTCTACATTAAGATTAATTCAAATAGATGATAAACTAATAAGATAAATCCTTACCTTAATTTGGATACCCTCATAAATAATCAATACATGAGTCTTTCATTACTTAATATTTATATTTAAATTATGTCAAATTACATTTATCTGTTACGGATCCTATGTCGTAAGGATATAATCAATAAGTATCATATATCATTAAAACAAGGTTAATAAAAGATATATGGATAAGATGATAGTTTAACATTCAAATCTTATTAGAATCACCTCAAATAAAATCTAATCATTAAGTCAACATCCTGAGTGATGATCTCAATATTTATAATCACAATTTTTGTGATTCAAGATGTCTAAAATGATTTATAAGGTATAGTCTTTAATATCTAAAACTCATGTTCAACTAAGTAAGTAATGTAAATTCAATGGATTAAAATGATATCAAAGACACATGAATGTAATGATATGATATCACAAGAACATAATAGATTGAGTAATTTTTCTTGTTCATATTGTACTTTTTGTCGTCTCATAGATTCTAATATACTTATCATCATTTTAATAATGTAAAATATCATCTAAATATTGACATATTTCACACTAATATGAGATATAATGATTTTATACGATGATATCAAATCACGTATATGAGTTCAACATTAATGATCAAGAGTATGTTCAATGATTTCTCATATAAGTTAATTTTGTTATTATATCTAATTATACTTAAGCATTCGCATATCATGAATATTCTGAATTATGCATAATTTAATATTATAAAGTATGTTTGTCATTACCAAAACATCATATATATAATACTCTAACATGAACAACTTTATAATCTAACATTACGTGAGAGGAGATATAAATAATCCTTCAAAATATAGTTATATATTTTAATTAATTTAATGATTTTATTCTCTCTCTATTTCTATTTGTCTTGTCTATCTATTTGTCTATTTCTCTCTCTCTCTCTCTCTCTCTCTCTCTCTCTCTCTCTCTCATAATGAGCTCTTAATTTAATTGTCATTTCACAATCTTTGTTTACTTTATATGTTGCTAGTTTGTGCCAAAAAATATTTGACATAAATAATTACTAACTTTTTGGTGTCCCAAATAGGCTTAATATTTGCAACTATGTCATCCTTATATTGCGAGAATATTAAAAATGATAATATTCCACAAAATAATTATTTTTTCACCTCAATAACCAAAAAAAATGAAAAAATATCCGAATAAAGCAATACTTGATCGTTGGTCTTAGCTACCTAAATAGATACAATGAAAAATATCCAGTTAATGAACATCATGCAGTTTCAAGAGGCCAAACCTTAAATAAAACAAGTGAGGTTATTGTTCATTTCCCTTTTTTTCAATATTATAAAATATATTATCAATCATCCCTATTTCCTCACTATGGTATTATTACTCAAAATCAACCTACTAGTTGAGTAAGAAAAAATTACAAGGAATAGTTAAGATTATGCCTCACCTACTAGAGAGATTGGCCCAGGACTCAAGCGTACCAAGCATATTGAAAGCCCATATCCACTTTTGGTTTGGAAAATTAAAAATAAAATAAAATTTAAATGCACCTTTTCACACACTTTATCAAGATATTTGGGCATTCACGATCATCCCCTTGCGACAATTATAAACTATGAGCCAAATAAAAAATTTAATATTCATAAAATAAATAAATAAAATACAAAGAAGCTTGTCAAAAAAGCAAGGCTGACCCATTAAATATTTTCTGTTCTCTCATGCCATGATACTTTAATCAAGAAACTAAAATGTAGATTTTAATATACTATTTAATGTGAAGAAATATTTATAATAAACATGTGATGTATTCAGATATGGGCTTGCCCATATGATGTATTCAGAGTATTTTTTAATAGGCCAAACTATTTGTTTAATCGTTGTTGCTATTGTTTTTAATAAAGAACATAATAATGCTGATTAACAGTGAGAAAAATAATCATCATTAAATATATTAAATTCAATCTCATATGACAAAGATGAGTAATTAGAGATCATGGGCATGACGGCAGCTAGAGATAAATTTGGAATATTTGTTTAAAATACAGAAATATCCGAGTAATTAAATGTATGAATAGACAAACTGACATCTTAGACATCCCCGTTGACCACCTACCATATCTATGTTTTCCAGGACATGCTTGTCGGCCTTGCCTGCATCGCCGTGGTTCTCAAGGTTCGTTCATATGATCACGGGGTGACCCCACAGGACGTGGAGCTCGAGTCGGTCAAATCTCTGTTACCGACGGAGCGATGGAATGGCGACGGCGCTGCCGCAGTTGCGGGAACCAGCTGCGCTCCTCAAACTTCAAGTCGCCGCGGAAGCAGTCCATCCATTGCGAGCAGGAGATCATACAGAAAGGCAGAGGTGGTTGGGAAGCTCCTGGTCATTGCCGGCCGCCGTCTTCTGCGACGGTAGCACACTGTTGACTGCGGAAAGCGAACGATCCTCGCGAATAGCGTGGCACGGAAAGACGGTCAAATACTGGCAGCTGACGAGAATTCCGGCGGCGCCGCCGAATCGCTCCTTCTGAAAGGAGGAGGAGGAGGAAGAGGGACTGTAGAGTTTCGAAAAGACGACGAACTGCGACGCAATGCCGGCGGCGGAAGTGATGACAGTTTAGATGTTTAATCACTCCGACTTAATCTGTGATAGCCCCTAAAAACAATTATTTATTAATAATCCGAAGTAAAACATGGCGACTCTAGCTCTGCAGGTTCACTCTTTCATGTCTGAGTGGGAGGAGACATCTTCTTCCTTGCCCTCGGGGCTCCCGCAGATGAGGTGTATCCGCCGCTTGCTCAGCTTCGGCCGCTTCTCGGTGATGGCAATGGAAATGTCGTTGGGGAAGAGGTCTCTGAGGACGAAGGCGTGGACGACGGTGGAGACCAGGAGAGCCGACACGGTGAACGTGGACATGGCGGAGAGGGCGACCGACAACACCTGGGTGAACGGGGACTTCACCTTCGCCGAGTACTTGATGGCGGCGATGGCGGCACCGGTCATCGGGAAGGTGTACGCCCACCACGCCAGAGAGAACCTGCAGGACAGCGAAGACCCAGATCAGGTCAAGGTCGGATCAAGATCAGGTTCAGTCGACATCGTCGGAAAACCCTAGGGAACTTGCCTGAATCCTCTGAAGAAGTTAATCCGAACAGCCTGCGCACAAGGAGAAATGCATACCAATAATTAATGGGCGGGTTTCTCGAATAGGAGGAATAGGGAGAGGTGGGCGGAAGATACTCACGAGGGAGACGTAGAGGAACATGGCGGTGAAGAAAGCGATCCTTGAGACGTAGTCGAAGTCGCCGCGGATCGTCGCCCAGGCGACGCTGGCGACGCTGGGCGCCGCGACGAAGAGGAAGAAGACCGGGTGCAGCTCCTTGGGGAGGGTCACGTTTGTGGGGAGCCGCTGGTAGAGGGTCACGAAGAGAACGACGTAGTGAGCCAGCCCCACGGCGAAGAAGAGGATGGGGCCTTCCTTGAGTCCCATGGAGGCCCCCAGCAAGGCCCCCACGAAGTTGCCAACAATGGCGAGATGGTTCGAAGGGTTGGCCACTTTGGAGAGCCGCCGCTCCCCACCGGACATCCACTGGCCGTAGATCTTAAGCTCCAGGCACAGAATCGGCGCCATGAGAACGTACCAGAGCCCATAGTGGAGCTTCCCCGCGACGGCAGGAGGGACACCGATGGACAGGAAGAGGCAGGCGATCCACGGGGCGAAGAAGAAGTTGACTCGTACAGGGTGGTAGTACTCCCTCCGGACGGCCTCAAAGTAGAAAACGACCTTGAGGGCGTAGGCGGAGGAGACGGTGACCATCAGCGCCAGCGCTGTGCACCAGAGGGCGAAGTTGGCGTAGCGGCTAACGTGGAGGAACTTGGTGGAGGGGGACGTAGCCAGCGTCTTCCACAGTATGGCCTGGCTGCTCACGCCGAGGCAGATCCCGAAGGAGGAGATGGGGAATCGGAGGAGGAAAGGCCACAGCTTGTCTTCTGGGAGCACCGACTCCTCCGATGGCTGCGAAGAGGACGATAAGACTGTTAAATAAAAAAGGAGCTCAGGTCATCTTGCGGATTAATGTGGGGTTACTCCCGCAGAGATTTTCATTCTGGGTACCTTCAGCGTGTCCAGCTCCGGCCCCTGCAAGGCGTCGAAGTACCGTTCCACCGGTAGCGCCGCCGCGTGGTCGCCGTTCGGGGAGTCGTGGAGCTCGTCTTCTACCTCCGGTGGTCTCCCCCGGAAGTTCGATATCTGCCTCTCCAGTCTCCCAGACCAGGTCTTGAAGGAATCGAAGCGTTTGTCTCTGATCCTCTCACTGTTTGAGCATTCCGGGTCGATGAACATGGAATCGGCAGCGCCTTCCTTGGTTGCTGCTGTCCTGCTGTTGGCGCTGCCCGCAGGCGCGAGCTGAGAATAGAACCTCGAAGCATGCCCATGGCCGGCACTTAGTCTCGATTCATCCATGAAGAAGATTGTTCTCATTGCCTCTGGGTGAACTTTGGAAGGGGAAGCCGGCATGGCGATCGAGACCTGAGGAGGCTGGTTACACTGGATATTAATCCTGCTCCGATATACCTCTGAATCTGCTTCCTGCAGTGGAGAAATTAACAGGCTATGGCAGCTTGGAAATGACGGATTCATCAGGAACTGATCGGGAAATCGTCGCTTACAGTGCCTGAATGAAGATGAGGGGGGGCGTTTAGAGCATCAGATGGCCATCCTTGGCTCTTCGTGGCGACTGTGTCTTCAGCAGGATTCAGACCGGGGGCCTCCATGGCGGATAAGTCTTCCGGATGGTTTGGTTTCCTTGAATCTAGCTGGTATCCACCTTCCATTAGGAAGTGACGGCAACTACACCATGAAGAAAATCTACTGTTATTGAATGGAGAAAAGATTGTCAGCGGGTAACACTAATTAACGTAAAAACTATGCTTTTTTTTGCTAACAAGCAGTAAATACCCCTGAATCTAGGAGTCTGAACGTGCCCGGCCCTACTACTCTCCATCTCAAAGAGATAGATAAATGGGATATATATCGACCGAGCGAGAGAGAGACAGAGAGAGAGTCATCTAACACGTATTCCTGCGAGGCGATCTATGCCGAGACTGTCACATCCCTGGCTTCTTCAGCCTGTAGCAAAGAACCCTCCTCTCCTCTAGTTTCTAGGGTTCTTCCAAGAACTCCGCTGGGTTTCCGGCGATAAAAATGGGGAGAAAATCTCGAGAAAAACGAGAAATGCCCCTGAATGACTCGAGAAAGCAGCGTTGATCTTCTCAGTAGGCTGAGAACAAGAAGGAGAAGCTCTGTGTGGATAGAAAAATAGGGACTCTCGGCTTTGGAAGCGCCGGCCGGTGATCTCAGTCATGTAAGCCGGCGGAAGTCGCGCGGTCAGGCGGATATCGTCCTCCCCCGATGGTTACCAGACGATAAGCCTAGGGCAGCAAGCCGCCGCCGGCCACGAAGACAGCAACTCTGTCCGTGTTTATAGAACATACGGTGACCCATGCTCTCAGACCATACTGCCGGCGATGGCTGACCAACGCCCATCCTTCACGTCGCGGAAAGCCTATGCTCTGAGACCACAGATGGACCCAACGTCAACAGTGAATTCCTTTGTTCTTCTGCATGAAATCGTTCACGTACCCTGCGAAAGTTTCTCTCTCTAGATACCGTAGGGGGATGAATCGTACATCAAGATTCCACAACCGAGCTCTCCGAAACTCTCAATTCGAGCTCGTTCAACAGAAGATTCACATATAACAGAACAGAAGACAGGTCTCTGGTTCCTCGACGGCTCCTCCAAGCAGGAGACGGATGCTGGATGGATCAGAGAGGACCTCTGCCTCAGTATCTCTCTACTGGAGCTCCTTAAATGCTGCAACGTTAGGCACAGAACTCATAATCGTTCACGGGAACAAGGAGAAAAGAACATGGAAAAGAAGAACCTCGAGTCCTATTCTCCTACTGGCGAGCCGAGAGATCTTTCAACGATGGATAGAACAGTTCTCCCCGATTCTTAGCTTCCGGAGGTGAGCCATTCTCGTCGGATCAGAGTTGTGAGGAAGAACTAGAGGCACCATGAGATGCTCCGACTGGAGATGATGTAAGCTGAAGCGATGGCCGGAGAGACTACAAGTTTGTTCTAATCTATCATAAACCTACGGGAATGGAATCAAATTGGGGGTATGAGGATAAGTTTCGGATCCACATGCTGTCTATCGTCTTGTCCGGAGGATCTTTTCGTGATTGGGGGAGGAACTTCATCAAGCTCCATGGAAGGCATCAAAGTGAGGAGACATAATCAGGTTGATCTCTCGTGAACAGAATCGCCATCCATGCAAAGGTGATAGCAGGCATATCGAGCAGCCGGAGAATCTCAGGTGGTAAACCCCGGAACTAATAGCTTTCCGGTTAGATTTCTTGAGGAGAAAGTTTTATGAAGTGAACGAGGAAAACACTCTCTCTCTCTCTCAATCACTCACACACTCACACGCACACAAAGTCGTCAAACGATGAAGCTGAACAACATCACCGCCATGAACACTACGCAAATGCCGCAGGAAATAGAAAAGAAATCGAGAAGAAGAGCAGCTCAAATACCCAATCAGATGTTCGAACGGGAAGCTGGAGACGAGTAAGAAGAGTCGCCGAGCGAATCGCCGTGTCCTCTTCGAGATGTCGCTGGGAGCTCTGAACCAGGAAGAGAGCTGCCGTAGATGGCGGATGGGAACGTGGGGGCACCAAAGCTACAACCCCGAGAAAGAAGAAGAGAGCGGTACAGCTATGGATGCAGATGAGCTCCCGCAACAGCTGTCCAGAATGTCTCATATAACTCGGACTCGTCCACATATTTATGGGCGGCAGTGCCTGGAGAAGATAGAGACAGAGATGGAGAGAGAGAGAGAGAGCCAAAAAAAAAGGCGATCCAAATGAGTAGAAGACGCTAGCTGAAAGAAGGTGCAGATGAGGATTAAAAAATAATTCTTTGATTTCTTCTCGCACGGGATTTCGGTCCCCACGACTCGGCGTGCCTGGTGGGCGGCCCATGGCTGCGCTCTCGGCAGAAGTGGAGAAGGCGGCGGAACCCGGCGGCCGCCCTCCAAGGGGAGGACCACCGAGTTAGCCACTCTTCTGGAAGGTCTGTACCCATTGTGGGCGCCTGCGAGACAGAAGAATCTCACTCACTACGGCCATCCTCTCTCTCTCTCGCTAACTTCCACTGATAGATCCTAGTCGCTCCTCTCTCTCTCTCTCTCTCTTGCTCTCTTTCTCTCTCTTCTGGTTCTCACCCACGCGTGCGGAAGAGGTGAAAAGGGGAAGAGGTGGAGCGCATGTTCTCGTCAAAATGGTGGAGACGAGTGGTTGTTCGGTGTGGTGGGGAACGAAGCCACCATTGAAAAAGTGTTGGGGGGGGGGGGGAACCGACGTGGACATGGTGAGCCCATAATCTGGACTCAGTTCAGCGCATTTTCCCTCGGGGGGTTAATTTATAAATATCCCTCCCTTCCCCGTCCGGCTTTACCGTGGAGAGAAAGTATATAAAATATAAAGCAGGGGTGGGCGGGGGTGGGAGGGGGTAAAGAAAGGTAAAAGAGAGATGAAAAATATTATTCTAGTCCCTGCAGGTCTCCACGATACGTGGCCGTGTCCGAGTAGCACAGGCTGGAGAGAGAGAGAGGGCTCCGGGAGATTCCGATTCAAGAAGGATAGCGGGCTATCGGGCCGGCCTACATTCAGGCCCGTATTCTGTTACTTACCGAGCCCATTATCGGGCAGTGAGTTTATCAAATCTAGAATAATACTAATTAATTAATAATTGAATAAATACACAATAAATAAATAAGTCGAAAAGAAGATAAACACGGACAGAGTGGGCCCCCACATAAATGCACATTTTTCATATTTTCGTGAATAATCTTTTTTTTATAACGTAAAATTGTTAATTAGCCAAATGAATGAATTGATCTGACCTTGGGAACCAATAATCATATAAAATAAAATAAATGGGAGTTAATAGTTGACTTTTGCGAAAAATAGAGATTTTGGGCTGAAAAACACCCTTAACCATTTGTAAAAGTCAATGATGATTTGACAACAAAATAAATAGAGTAAGACTAATTGTGCCCGTTGGCTCCGACGAATGGACATAAAAATTGTGAGCGCCCATTGTCAACGCGGCGGCAGGACTTTGGGTCGTCGCTGACTTCAGTCACTGTCGTTCGGACGAACCCACCAGGTCGGTCACCCGTTTACAGCGAGTCGGGAGGGGTTGGATCCGGGTCGACTCGGTGAGTTCCCCAAATTTCGAGCTGCGGGTCACGTTTCCGTCGGTTTTGCAAGAGAAGGCCGCTCAGTGAAATGTTCCTTCCGCTGCAATTTTTCCCGACGAAGGAAGAAATTGGAAACGTTGCCACCACATCTCCACCTCCGGCTCTCGGGGATCCTCCATTCCCGGCGGAAGACAGCGGTGACGTGTTTTTCTCCTCGGTGGCGTGGTTGATCTGTGCGGAGCTCGGGGTAGGAGGTGTTTCCAGCCAGAGAAGGGGATCGGATGATGCGGAACTCGATTGCTACGTACAAGGAGAGCCTCTCTCGGATTGCCAGCGATGTCCAGGAAGCTGCCGATGAACTCGAGGTGCTGGCACCCCGCGATGGAGAGGAGACGCTGTTCTCAGACCGTCGAATTTCACATCGCTTCGCACAGTCGACATCTCCGAGCGCCTCTCCTCCGGCGAACGGGATCAATTCCGGATCTAGGGCCGAGGTACTGCACTACAGAAGTTATCGCACTACTCGAGGATTTACAGTCGAATGCGAGAAATTTATAAAAGTCGCGCCGAATGTTTCCCGTCTTTGACATCATGGCTGGATTTCTAGGACTGCGTGGTTTAATAGGTCGAATAGGAAAGGGACGAAGATAAAATGTTTTTGGTGGAATCAATTTGACATGTTCATCGGGAACAGTGATAGTACATAGAAATGCATGTCGTCCTATCTGTGATCCTAAGATCTCTAAAGCTTTTGTTGAAAGAGCATTACAAATTTGAGAAATTTCCTCCCGTGCAAGGTAATTGCCGAAAATCTAGCTAATTTATAATAAAAAAGATCACAAACCAGGGATTGATTCTAATAATTGATATTATTATAAAAACTCGAAGTCTGTAGTCAGTTAGTTTCCAATAAATTTGGACCCCTTTTCATGCAGTGAGGGGCTCAAGAATTTGACGAAGTTCTAAGACCATTTAATTGCCAGATTTGAAACGTGTACAGCCTATTCCAAGCATTCCATCCATCTAATGTTTGACCTGCCTGAACGAAGGATAGAACAATTGATCATTTTCAGTGACATGCTGTCTGTCAACACTCTACACACTCTTCTAGCTCACAGCAGAAACTATACTATGAAGCAGTGAGCGGTCGAAAGATAAAAGCTGACTTCATACCCTGTGAGACTAAACTCAGACAGCCATGTGGAAACCGCCGAAAACTGTGCCATGCATCACAAAAATCTAGTCTCGTTGAAGATGCAATGAAATAAATTAATAATGTAATGAGTGGAAGAAGAAAATAAATCTATGCGACTCCGAACTAAAAGCACTAATGACTCTCATTGCTCTTTCAATCTTTAAACACTGTAGAAAGCAGATTTATTTGAACGTACCTACGATATTCAATCACTATCCGAGATTGGGTTGTTAATTTCCTTCCGTAGAATATCTATCAGCAAAATAGTTTGTGGATTAAAATGTTACTTTCTTCGTTTTTACAAGAGAATATTTTGACCATCTGAAGAAACTAAGATTGGCTCCTGAGTATCCAAGACTGTCTTGTTCTTTTGAGTATGATTAACATAATGTCCTCGGACAATTTTTATATAGTTTTTAGTCTTCCTGCTTGGATTTTGATCCATAAAAAAGTTTCTACATTTACGTGGCATCATTTAAAGGCTTTCTCTTTTCATGTAGGCTGAACTGCATAAAGCAGAGATTCAAAGGCTCAGGACATCAGAGACAGAAATCAAGACTTTGGCCATTAATTATGCAGCTATGTTGAAGGAGAAAGAGGTACCTTCCTACGAAATTATTTTCTCTCTTGTTCACATTTCAACATGCTTTTTGGCATGAGCAGTCCATGAAGATGTAACTTATTTCGTGGTCATTCTTATTTCTTAAATATTTTTTTTAATTTCTTTCAGTTGATGACTTTGCGCCAGCTTGTTCTTTCCTTCTGGAATTTTTTTTTGAACCTGCTTTTATATTTCCATTCATTTGTATGCGCGTATGTAAACTCACACGTGCAATTTTGTCTTGTTAAATTTATCTAGCTTATCTTTTATATGTCTTCACTGTTACATGTATCCATAAATGTGCTTTACTTTTTTTTGGTTAGTTTCAGTTTGCATTTATTTATTTATAGTTACTTCTGCACAGTTCTGTCCTCAATTTTGTTTAACGTGTAATCCAACTGAGTCTGCAAGAACTTATATTTGCATGTTGTCTCTTTTTTTGTGCTGTTCAATGGATGGAGGATGAAAACAGGAGTTGCTAAATGGCGGCTTCCAATTTTTTAGTTTTTCCGCATAAACTGTGAAGTGGTCTACAGAAGTTTGTTACGCAAAGCAAAAAATGATGGGGGTTTTGAATTTTGTAAAAATAAGCTAAATACATGTAAAGATATGCTAAATTGTCTACTGAAGCCCCTTCACCATGAAATGTTGCATTCATATGCATTGTTGAAGATGAATATTCTACAGAAGGGCTCTAGCATAACTGTGAAGTGTTTAAGATAACTACGTGATCTGGATTCGGAAGTCACGTCAGAATTGCGATCATATTCATTTTTGAACGCAGGGGATATTTGTATTACTCACGCTGCTCATATGCAGGTTGTTTCAGTCATGTCATGCTATATTGGAAATTCATTTAACTCCCTTTACTCTGATGGTGTTGGGCGATCACTTCTCTCCACAGAACACACGCCAAAATTAGGGGTTTTAGGATTATATCCTTACTCTCTATCATATTCGGTTTTTCTTGTTCTTCTACTTCAGGAGAGTATTTAGTGTTTTAGATTTCATTACCTTGTGATTGATCTCTTTTTTATTTTCCTAAAGTCTTGGGTAGATCTTGAGCATTTCTCTGCAGCTGCCTTAGTGTAACTGCTCAACCAATAAGGTAGGTTCTTTAAAACCTGTTTATTGCTTCCACTGTTCAGTATGGCTTCTGTCTAGTACTTCGCACCAGTGTGTGGAGGATTGTCATCTGGTAGACTGCAGGTTTATAGCTTTGTTTAAATTCTTTGATTCCTTGACCAATCCTGTTACCCGGTTTAAACTGTAGAGAGCGGAAAGCAGGAAGGCAACTGGACTTATAATTTTATCTCTTTCTTCCATCCTTTACTGCATATATAGCCCCCCCCCCCCCCCCAAATTCAATTTTTTCAATATAGATTATAAAAAAATAGCACTAATTCATTTCTGTGCTCATTTCAGCATGATTTACATATTTTGTACTACTATTTTGGACAGGAGGAGCTTACTAGGTTACATGAACAAAACAGTTCGCTCAGGAAAAGTTTGGAGACAAAAGCTGCCGTTGCAAATGTTTCGAAACTGGAAAATCTTGAGGTATGAACGAGTAATCCGATCATGTGGCATCGTGATATTTCAACCAAGTTCCCATACCATAAACGTAACTGTCACCGCTTGAATTGGATCTGTGGCCGTTGCACTGTTTATGCAGCATCAAATCTAGCCTCTATGCCTTTTTCTTTTACAGTGATGCCTGTCTTCCGCTTCTGTCTAGATCAAGAAATATATTTAGATCGATTGCCAGACTTTGAGTGTGAAACTTTTCCAGTAGTACGTTTCTATAGAAACAGAAGTCTTGCTAGAATTATTTTGTTTTGTGATGTGTATAAAAAGTTAATTTTAGAGTATCTTTTCATCTTCATTTCATCGTCGTTGACATAATACTGAGCTTTCCTTGTCATCTTTTTTGTTTTATTTCTTCTGTTGCTTGAAACACGTGCAGGGATCTGATGGTCAATCAACCAACAGACTGTACAAGTACACATCTCCATCTATTTCTCCTTCTGTTTTAAGCAATGGGCACAGAGGTGTATCCAAACAGGAGTATTCAAACAACGGCTCTGTTCAGTTTGGTCAGCTTGAAGGAGCTCAGCAGAAGGTTGGACGTTCACAAGGAGATGAAACTTTACCTATTTGTCTTCCCCTCCCCCGCCTCTTTTTACGTCATAGTTTACAAATGTTTCAATTGAACAGTGTACAAGATGGGAACCACATGTTACTGGTTTTCTCCTTCTGAGGCTTTGACTTAATATAATTTACCTCCTGGCCTGGTTAGGTGTAGTATGGAACCTTGGTGCTTTTATTCTTTTCTGGCTTCCAGAATTAGCTGTAATTTCCTTATCTTCCTGACACCGAGATAATGATAGAAAAATATGTACTTGCTGTAGGAAACAGGCTCTCCAGTCAATGGAAGTGGCAGGGCTACGCCACCAACTCTAGCTAAGTATGTGTCTGAGATCAAGGAACTGAGGTTTCAACTTGAGAATGAACGTGAGAATTCAGCAAACGTACTTCTGAAGTTTCAAGGTAGGTTTTGGTTTCCACGGAATTTCTTCATTACATCACGTGCTCCAGTTTCCAATATTTTCCCTGCTATTCTATCTTCAGAGCAGCAAAAGCAAAATGAGTCTTTATCGAAGGAACTTAATGAGTTGAAGATGGAGAGAGAGAAGGTAAGCTGTATTGGCTTTACTTGAACTGTAATTGCACTGTATTATTTTTACTTAAATCCTTGACATATTCCTCTTTGAAAAAGTTGCTTCAGATTGCTTCGTTGCTGTATTCGTAATTTTTTCCCATCATTTCTTCGATGATGTCTAGAACTTGGAGGTTTTCCAAACGTCAAAGCATATTTTATTTCCCGAGATGTTGCCATGCCATACACTGCCTGATGAATGTTTATTCCGTATTTTTATTTTCTTGTGTTGTCAGAATCTTTGTGGCTCTCGTATTATTTTCTGTCAGAATTTATCATGGAATCTTAGATGTCTAAATGAGTCGTGGAGTTGATTTTGGTCTCTCTGTAGGAAGTTAAGTCTGTTCCAGTAAGCTAGAAATGTACATAGAAGAAGTCAAACTAGTTGGGCTCTTAGAAGCTGTAGGTAGTAAAGGCATTCGACTAACGTTTCCACATTCTTGTGGAGGAGAGGTGATTAGGCAGTTTGAGTTGGGGTATTAAAAAGGAGCAGTTTATAGTTAAGATGTGTTCAAATTAGCGATCTCAAATAATAGTATTTTTGTGAAGACTTAGATAATGAGGGAATTCGGTGTATCTGTTATATGTTAGATACTGGACAGCAGTTTATGGGCCTCGTGATAGAAAAACCTACAGGAACACTTTTTAAGGAATTTTGTCAACCAAAGGAGTGGATTCCCAACTTATCTGGAGCAGGCTTCAATTGTGTGAGACATTCCTTGGAAAGGAATAGCCATCAGAAGTGGGAAAAGTATATGGATCTTCTGGGAGAGTTCCTCATGAATTGTGGTTTGATAAATTAAACCTTGAATGACAAAAAGCCACGGCCTAGCTTCTATTTAGGTAAATATTCAACCTTGATTACATATACTATTCGTGTCCGCAGAATAGACCAAAAAACGTATGCTAGCTTGAGGCGTAGGAGATTCCAGGAAAGTTTTTGTCTTACTGGTTAAAGAGTACTTGCATTTATACATCATATCTCAAGTTCTATGATAGCCTTAGAGCGATGTCAGTTATTTATTAGTTCTCCAGCAACAAAAAATCAAGTTAGTTTCTATATCTCGTTCAATTATTCTCTTGTGGTTAAGCGTAGTTGCCTTGATTGTATTAGTGCTTCACACATGACCTAAAGCTTTATGCTGTATGCACATGGCTGTAGGGTATTCTGCTTGTCCATCAAGGATATAAATTCTTATGCTATTAATGTCAGCCCGTGATGTTCAGTAGTTGAGTTTTTTAGGGCCTTTTCTGGATTTTACTCTTTTGTGGTGCCCTTTTTTCATTTCATTCATCATAACTTTTCTTTCTACCTCCAAACTGGCAGACCTCATTGGAGATGAAAAAGATGCAGAAAGATATGGACACGAAACTGTCTGAGATAGAACAGTTACAGATTAGCAGAAGGGACAAGGATGAATCCAGTGAATCTCTGGAGAGATTAAGAAGTTCGATACTGACCTTTCAAAATGAAAACTCAAATCTTAAGGTTGGTGCTTATGTTCATAACGATGTGTACCTTTTTTGTGGTTTACTTTCTTTTTTCATCAATATTTTTTCTTATAGAGAAGTTCATTAATATATATAAAAAAATCATTGTATTTTAGATTATTTGCATGCTTACTTTTATAACTTTTTTTCTCTACAGCTGGAGAAATCTCAGCTCGAAGAAAAATTGAGGCGTATAATAGATCAAAGAGAAGAGAAAGTTGAATCAGATGATTCTGTAAAGCTGTCTAGGAGGTTAAGCGATTCAGATGAGGTAATAGTTTTCTTCCTTTCTGCTGATTATGGATACAATTCTGATGAACTGGTTGTGTAGAGGCTAAGTCATCCCTTCGAGGTGAGGTGTTGACTTGTCTTAACCTAAATCAAACCCCTCGAATGCACTTCATTAGTCTAACTACCTCCTCATTCTGGCCCAACGCGAACATGAGGCAAAACATCATAGTTCCAACCTACTCTTAGTAAATAATGTATATTATATGACCCATTTGTCTTACGCTCATAACTATTCCTTGAAGCTTTTCTAGCTTTAGTTACCCATAAATCACCCGAATTAAATATAGAATCTCATCTCCTTGAAAACATTCCAAGCCTCGGTAATACTCTCACTCACGAGTTTAAGTCGATTGACAACTGATGGTTACAGGGAGGTGTCTGACGAGAGTGAGAAATGACCACATATAAACTTGGGAAGAGTGATTGCGGCGAGATGATGTGATTTTGGTTGCCCTTTTACAGGTTATAACTTAATGGTATATCTTGAGGTTTTCGCCCTTAATCGGGCCATGCAATGAGAATGCAATTATAATTTTTTTTTCTCGGTTTTTTTTTACCTTTCCTTGGTGTTTTACTTTCCTTTTTGCTTTCTTATTGGGAGGATATATATGCACACGTATTAGGGGCCTGTCCTTAGTATGTGTTTTACATCTGTTGATATCTGTGGATGTTAAATTGTATGGGAAATGACGTACAATTAGGGTTTAGGGTTTAGGAGTCCGGTGACTAGTTCCTTACTGGATGGGCCCGGTATTTGTGTATAACCAGGCCCGAGCCAGACTTGAAAAAGTATGAGAAGTCATTTTCTTCCACTGCATATCCGGTTAGGGTTTCTTGTTATCGGAAAAAACTGAACTTCTCGCTTAATAGGATCTCATCAATATTCCAATCCGTGAATCATGGCGTCAATAGTGTTGATATGACGTTGACTTATTCGTTTTGGCGCATGTGGTGACATGTTGGCCCCCTGCTTACGAGTCCCATGGAGTCTTCAATAACACATAGACAGACTTATGCTGATGGCAGATTTAAGAAATCTTACCAATTGTGCGCTGCAATATTAACAGAAAGTATGAAGTGCAGTGCACTGCCAGCTGTTTGATAGTTCCTTAACTGTCTGAAGATTTCCAATTTTGTAGACGAACAAGGAGATGCAAGAGAAAATCCTACAGCTGGAAAGCACCTTGATGACTACTCGCAAAGAGAGGGATAAAACTCTGAAAGAGTTGACTCGACTTAAGCAGCATTTATTAGATAAGGTAACTGTTTTGTCATTTATTATAATAATAATTATTATTTTACTGATTTGATTCCCTAGCATATCTTGCATGGCATATTTCCGGAAACATTACACTCCTGTATCCCCATTGGTTTCTCCTTTTTTGGAACAGTGAACGATGATTATGAAGCCCAGATTATCTCTCAAGCCTCCGAAAAATTTACAATTTCGTTTTATTTTGTTGTCACTGTCCCTTTTTTTTATATATATTTTGTTTAGATATTCAATGCGGTGCAGTTTCAGCGCCATTGATATCAGCATGTCTCTTTTGAGCTGGCAACTCTCACGCGTATGCTGTCGTCTAGGAACTTGAGGAGTCGGATAAGATGGACGAGGACAGCAGACTAATCGAGGAGCTTCGAGCAAGTATAGCAACCCAAAGGGCCCACATACTGAAGCTGGAGAAGGCGCTGAATCAGGAGAATGCGAAGAATGAAGAGGCTCAGAGGACGAAAAACGATGAGCTCCGCCAGGCAAATGAAATCATCAACGGCTTGAAGCAGAAGATCGCAAACTATGCAAATATTTTAGAGTCGAGGAACGCCGAACTGCAGAATCTTCAGACCGCTCTGGGCCAATACTACGCCGAAGCCGAAGCCAAGGTGTGTGCCGCCTCTGTTATCTCTTGCCGGTGTTCTCTGGAGCGCTCCCCATCAACTTGGTCGGACGATCCTTGCTTCATCCCAACTGCAGGAACGCCTCGAAGGAGATGTCGTCGCCGCAAGAGCGGAATCGGCCAGACTTTCTGAGCTGTTAAAGGTGACGACACTGCTCGATAAGCCGCAATGTTCTTTCTTTATTGCCCATAAAGTCGTCGTAACGAAATATATATATATATATTTGTTTTTTGTTTATTTATTTATTTATTTATTTATTTATTCATTCAGGTGGCAAATGAAAAGCTGGAAAGATTGGAAGCGGAGAAAGAGGAGGTGGTCTCGAAGCTCACGCAAGCTGAGAGGACGTCGTCGGATGGGAAGCTCGCAGTGCAGAGACTTCAGGAGGAAAATCTGAGGCTGCGCCGCACCTTGGAGCAGAGCATGACGAGGATAAACAGGATGTCTCTCGATTCGGACTACTCGGTCGACAGGTTGGTGGTGGTCTTACAAAATGGCGGCGGTATCATGTTCTTCACAGCTTTTTCATATTCCTTTTTAATAACATAAATCCGGCGATGCCCCCCATCGCCTTCCTTTTTCTTTCTTTTTTCTTTTCCCGGATTTTTTTTTATAGAGGAAATTAATTAATCGCTACTCTGATCCTCTCCGCAGGCGAATCGTGATCAAACTGTTGCTGACATATTTTGAGAGAAACCACGGCAAAGAGGTGAGATCTTTCTCTCGAGAACATCACAGGATGCTGCTAGTCTCCGCTCATGTTGATCTGATAGTCAACGGATTGAATGGATTAACCTATCAGGTTCTTGACCTCATGGTCCGCATGCTGGGATTCTCCGAGGAGGAGAAGCAGAGGATCGTCGCCGCCCAGCAAGCCGCCGGAAAAGGCGTCGTAAGAGGCGTCCTGGGCTTCCCCGGTCGGCTAGTCGGCGGCATCTTAGGCGGCGGCTCCCGAGAATCATCATCGGCGCTGTCGGAAAACCAGGTGCATTTTCCATCGTGGGTCGACTTTTTTCTCCCTCCTGCTTTCTGTGTCCTTCGCGGACATTGGGTTGAATTTTCTCACCCTCCTGTCTTTCTCAGTCCTTCGCGGACCCGTGGGCTGACTTTTTCTCATCCTGCTTTTCTGTCCCTCGCGGACCCGTGGGCTGACTTTTTCTCATCCTGCTTTTCTGTCCCTCGCGGACCTGTGGGTTGGCTTTTTCTCATCCGGTTTTCTGCCCCTTGCGTACCTGTGGGTTGACTTCTTTCTCGTCCTGTTTTTCGCAGTCCTTTGCGGACCTGTGGGTTGACTTTCTTCTCAAAGAGACCGAGGAGAGAGAAAAGAGGGAGCTGGCGGAGTCCACCGGAGCCTTGGCCGGCGGCTCCCCTGGCAACTCCGCGACCCCCCTTCGTCCTCATCAGAGCGCCACCATCCCCGACGCCGAGTTCGCCACGGTTCCTCTCACATCGCCGGTCAACACATCTGAACATACCCGCCCGATTTCCGGATCTTCGTCGAGATATTGAAGCCCGCCTCTATCGAGGGGTTATAGCATTCGTTTGTAATTATTCCCCAATTCGTCCCATTTATTGACTGTTTGTGAGAGGAAATCCATTCATTTCGCTCGAGCCCCCTTCTGTTTCTTCTTACGCTCGCCTGTTCCCCGTGTCTGCGTGTCCATGTACACTTAGGACAGTCCTCGGTTGACAATGATACGACTGGGTTGATCTCTCTTCTGTGTCATTTCTGTGAGCCAAAGTAGCAGTGTGGGTTCTGCGTGTCAACGGAGAGAGAGAGAGAGAGAGAAGAGAGAGAGATGGATCGCTCCATGGGTTGACCGTAATAAAGTCAACGCGCAATAATTTTTGAACTGGGGCCTTACTGAAGCAGGAGACGCAGCACGAAGAACTGAGGCCCGATCGGAGTTGACCAATCCCCCGTTGACTCTGGGATTCGACCCGCAGGTGGATCTCGAGACATCCTTAATCTAATTCCCCGGATGGTCAAAATGCACTAATTCTGCTTCCTTCTGAATATAACAACTGCCTTTACAACTAGATGCCTCGATCAGATCATAATTTAGCTCCTCTAATCAGCTGGAAGAACACCATTAAGACTCATAAAGACTCAATTTTTCAGCAGAAGGGCCCATCACAACCCCCCACCTTCCTGCAGGCTCCGACACTGGATTTTGACCAGCGGGCAATTACCATAAGAGGAAAGATTTAATATTAGATATCTCGAGATCCGCGGTCTCGATGATCATCAAGCCAGATTTGAATGCCTGAGGCTCGAATCCCAGAGTCAACAGGGATTGGTCAGCTCCTGACGAAGAGCGCCAATTAGACTGTCCTTCCCGCAGAGAGCCCCCCTTGGGCGGCTGGGGAACCTTTGACACAGTGGGAGGGACGACCCTCGTCCCCATGGACGCTGACAAGAAGCTGCAGAGCACATTAACTCACCAGGTAACCCACACCACATACGCCAGAAAAATACCGCGACCCTCTCAGAAGCCATGGCCCGCAAAGGTGAGAAAAGCAGGAAGAACAGTGAGGAGAAAGATTTCTGGAAGAAAAATAAAATTGATGCGAAACAAACAGGTATGAGAAAGAGCAGAGTGAATCCATTAAGCGAAGCAGAAACATGGGGATATCATTGCCTGTTCTTCACATGGGCAAGAGAAATTAGCGACGGAAGCCACGAATATATACATAATTTGACAGTAATGTGCTTGAAAGGGAGCCATACGTCCGACAGACTAAGTATATTTGTTTCACAGAGTTCAAACATTTTGAGTAACTTCCTGGAGAGTCGGATCACCCGCCGTCCAGGAAAGAACAGCTACCTGCGATAAGATGAGCAAGCCCGCGTCCTTGTTCCCCTAGTGCTTCTTGGCTTTCAATGGCCCTCTGGGTATCTTGCTCAGGACCTTCTCGTCGAACACCGCATACTGTTTCTTGATTTCGATCGCTGCTCTCTCCCCAAAGGCGTCGACTTTGTCCTCGTACTTCTCGTAGAAGACAGGGACGGTGTGCAGCAAGACGAACACTGTTCTTGAGCAAAGACGAGGGGAGAGAGCGTGAAGAAAAAGAGGATATGAGAGAGGTGAGAAGTGCAGAGGATGAACCACATTGGATTACCTATGTAGAACAGAGTCAAGAAATTGCAGCAGCTGCCCATGACAGACACAGCCCATAAACCAGCAATCACCTGAGGGGGGCCAAAAAAAGGAAAGAAAGGTGGAGAAGGATCTGTGAGTATTGTGTAAAATGATCCCGATAATGAGTGACTTCGAGAGCGAAGGTGATGATGATGCGTACAGCGAGGAACTTTCGAAGATCATGCCCAGAAGCGATGTCCTTCAGCACAGAGAAAGCTCGGTTGATCTCGAACCTCAGAGCGAGAGCAATGTTCACAATCAGATCCTCCGGGATTTTGACCTCTGGAATGCGCGGCGGCGACCTAAACCAGACAGATATTCAGAAGGTTATGATTACTGGATCGGAAACAGGCGGAAAAAAACCAGACATGGGACGGAGAGCAGGAGAGGGATGGAGGAGGGGGGGTTTACTTGTTGATGAAGGAGGAGGCATAGGACCAGATGAAGAGGAGCGTCAAGGAGAGGATGAGACCATGGCAGACGAGCGCGAGAAGATGGTACTGCAGCAGCTCAAACAGGACCCAGATCGCCGTGGCCCCAACGAGAGCCCCCACCGAGATCTTTTTGTTCCTCCACAGAAACAAATCCGCAGCTGCACAGGCGAAGCCAAAACCCATTAGACTGCGAGGATCATCACGGATGAGGTCATCAAATTAATCTGAAAGATGAAAAAAGGCCAACAATTCTTCCGGATAAGCTAAAAACTTCGACGAGTTTCTCGGGTTACAGATAAACATACTCAAACAGAGCATCAGAACGAGGGGTTTATATATGCACAAAACGACCGGCAACGGAGGGAGCATCCGAAAAGGCAACAAGTCCAAGGAAAAATAAAAACTAGAGCCAGAGTAGAGAATGCACGGATCTCGCTCGAAGCAAGCAAATCACCCCAGAACAGAACAGCATCGAAACATGATACTCTCCATAAACCAACCCTAACTAAGCTCGAACGAAGCAGCCGAGGGGGTAGAAAAATTAAGATTCTGCAAGTACCAACAGGCGGAAATAATAATAAAAAAATCCTCAACAATAATGTAAATACGTCCCCGGAGGGATCCCTCACGTTTGCCTCCGCCGAAGACCTTGTGAACGGGCTCCTCACGGCCGAAGAGCCTCCAGACCTTGGCCTTCACGGAAGACGACGACGACTCCGCCTTCTCCCCCTCCGAATCCGAGCCCGAGCCATGCCCATGCAGCTTCTCCATGATCTCCTCCACCAGCGACTCCCCTGCGCCCTCCTCCCCCTTCTCAGACATCCTCCCCCTTCCCTCACCACGCTCCTCGCAGATCCCTAAAACCCTAATCCCCTCCTCCCCCCCCCGTTCACCAGCAAGAGTATCCTCCACCTCCCCTCCACGGGAACGGTGTGTGTAGTAGGCTTCCCTACCTAGTGCGGGGCCTCTCCTCCTGACACGTGTCTCCTCCGAAGAGACCCACCGAAGCTGTGCATTCAATACGACCGTCCGATCATCAGGTTCGGACCCGAACCTAGACGCGGAAGATATTTCCTCTGGTCGGCGGCAAGACAGATTTCACGAGTTTGAATATATATAAAAAATATTTATAACAAAATAATTTGGTTTTTTTTTTCCTGATCGTCGGGCCGCTGGAGATCGTAAAGGGGGGATGCTTTTTGGGCCCAGTAATATTGAGGGTCGGCCCATGGGATGCATCTGGGCCCGTTTTCCCCGAGATTTGGCCTTTTGAGTAGTGGGCGCCTGGCCTGGGTTTTTTTGGTTTTCCCCGCACGTGGGGGGATGCGGGAACGGGGAACTGACGCCTCGGCGGTACCCCGAAGAAGGAAATAAATTAGACGATCGTGTCGAGGAAACCGAGGCAGGACAGCCCGGCCCAAAAAAGGTGGTGGGAGGCGGCGAGAGCGTCGTGGATCTCCTCCGTAGCGGCGGTGGCTCTGCCTCTGCAAATGGCCGTCGCAGGGGATCGTCGGAGGAGGAGGAAGCGCGGCGCGAGAGGTATGAGCTCGAAAACGATTGTTGTTGCGACGGAAATGGCGGGATCGGGGAGGAGGGATCGAGCTCTGAAGCGGAGAGGGGGATCTCCTTGTCCGGAGGGGGGAGGAGCAGAGGCGGCGCTTCTGGTTCGAGGAGAGGATCCGTCGGAATTACTATTTGCTCTTCCGTTGGCGGAGAATCGGAGGTCGGCAGGGGGGGGGGGAAGAGAAGGAGATCTATCCGCTCTGTTTTTATTCGATTTACAGGAGGAGATGAAAGAACCAGGGGGAGCCACAAAATAATTATCGGTTGGTCGTACCTTACCAAAGAAGGAAGGAAAGAAGTGGGCGGCGAACAACGGAGGAGGAGAAAACCAGATCCGGCCGTCACCGGCGGTGGCGATCGGCGGAGAAATGGGAGAGCGGGACAAGCTCCGACAGGGGAGTGGACAACGGCGTGGACTGCGGCGTCGGCATGGGGGAGGTGCGGCAGACGGGGCAGGACGCGTTGAGCCGGAGCCATGCGTCGATGCAGGGGAGGTGGAAGAAGTGCCGGCAATCCGGCATCATCCGCAGCATCTCACCTTCCCTGTAATCGCAGAGGCAGACGGGGCAGACGGTGTCGGACTTGGAGGACTTGCAGAAGGGGAACTTGGGATAGGAGCTTATGGCTGCCTGATCCAGGCCAGGGGCGGGGCTGCGACCCGCGCCTTCCTCTTCCTCGTCGTCTTCCTCGGCGACGAAGATGATGTGCGGGAGCCCACCTGCGCCGCTGGGGTTTGAGAAGGACAAGGAGGCAATGGTGGGATCGGGGCTGGCGTCGCTGCCGCCGCGCCTGCGGCCGCTGCGGCGGGAGGAGCTCCGGCAGCAGACGTAGGAAACCAGGAGGAGAGTCGAGAGAAGGACGAGGAACCCCAGGGCGATGGCGATGGCGTACCCAAGGCCGAGGCTGGAGAGGCTCTGCAGGAAGCTGGTAGAAGAAGAGGAGCTCCCGCCGCCGCTGTCGGCGCTGGAGGACATCTTCTGCTGGAGGGGATGGAGGCGGAGAAACTTTTCATAGTTTGGGAAGGAGAGAGAGCCGGCGTTTTTTTTTCACCCTTTTTTTCCCCCCTTTTCTCTCTGCAGGAGGGGGCGGGGGTGGTGGCGAAGGGGTGGTGGGTGGGCTTTCCCAGCTGCAGCATTTAATACCGAGGGAATCCGAACAGGGTGGTTTAAATGTTAGGGTCTTCGGCCAAAGGGCCGGGCCCGCGGCAGGAATGGGGATGAAGCCCGAAGCCCACTGCAAACCCCCGCCGCCTCTCCTACCCATGTAGAGAGAGAGAGAGAGAGACAGAGACACAAAGATCTGGGAATGGACTGCAAGTGGTGCTGTGCGGCGGGAATGGAAGACCTCCCTCATCTGAAGCATGCCTCCCGCCGCTTTTCAGTTCCCCTTTTTATCCATCCTTTTTGCAAGTGGAGGGTCAACTCGCACAACTAGGTTTATGCGGTCGCTGTCAGAGCACTTCGCCGGCCTTGTTGTTCCCTCTCTCTACTTCTTTCCGCATGCTCAACTCCCAGGTACCCACTGTGAATCCCACCCCAAAAATCCCGTCTTTTTCTAGTGTTTACTAACCAATCTCTTCGACAGAGCAGAGAAACGGACTGACTGACTGACTGATTGACTACTCCTCTCTGTCATCCGGGTTCTGCTCTCTGGTTACGATTTGCTGCCTTCTTCATGGTGCGGCTTTCTTAGGAAGAGAAGAGTAGGGTTGACTTCCTTCTCCCGGAGGTTCCGTTCCCCCGCGATTCCCAAATACTGGGTATGAAAAGCTCCTCTATCACGTAGATTCCGAAGTATTTTACATTCGGTCTTTTGGGGAGGATGGACAGGTCTTCTACAAAGAGAGTCTTCCCATTCTTTAAAGCCCTCTCTCTCTCTCTCTCTCTCTCTCTCTCTCTCTCTCTCTCGCTAGCGAATGTATATATTTTTTTTATACATGCATAGATTGAAACCCACAATACAAAAGCTGTCTTGTCTTGCTACCAAGCTAACCAACAGTCAGCCATGCAGTATTCTCTCTCTCTCTCTCTCTCTCTCTCTCTCTCTCTCTCTCCCTCTCTCTCTGGCGAATGACGAAGAAAACCGCTTAATTTATGAGGACCTGGATGGCAGCAATGGCGCCTTCTTCTTCCTCTTCTTCTTAGCCGGCGACAGTGACGGAGAAGCGGGACCGCGTACCGGTTCGGAACCCAACCCCAAGGCCCACCCACGAACAGGCCCAAGGCCCAGTACCCAATCTGGGACCCACTAGACAACACGTTACAACGGGCAACGGACCGATCGATTATATTTACAAGGCCTGACCCCGGGGGGCTCCCCTTAAAAAGAAGCTTACAACAGCAATAAAAGAAAAAACCTCACACCCCTTCCCCGTCTAACCCCTGCCTATCTTTCCTTCCCCCAGCCTTTGCCAAGACCTGGCGCCGCCGCCGCCGCCGCCGCACCGCCGTGCCTCCGCCGCCCGTCGTGGCCCCTCTCCACCCGCGCCGGCGCCGGCGGCCGGGCCGCCGCCGCGGGACCCACCTGAACCACCACCCTAGGGTTGACCGCCGAGTCCCTCCCCGGCCTAAGAGGGTTGTGGGCGTTCTCGGCGGGAATAGAGCATTTCAACAGCGGCGGCGGCCGGTAGATGGTCCTCTTCTTCTCGTCGCCCACTCGAGTGGCGGCGCAGAACTTGACGGGATCGCCGGCCTTCGCCGGCGGCGCCCGGGGGGGATCCGGCTTCGCGACGCAAGGGTTGACTTTCCGCGCCTTCATGGTCTTCTGCGAAGGGGCAATGGGCCACGTCACCCTTCCAGCAGCGTGGCGGCTCCCTCGCCCCCCGCTCGCTACCTCGTAGAGTATCTCCGCCGCCGCCAACAATCTTGGAGAGTAGCCTGAAGAAGAAATCAACCCATGCCCACACACATTAATGAACCAGAAATGGATCAAATGCCCAGCCATATTTATCTATTTTCCATTTCTTTTTTTAAGAAGAAATCACGCGAATTAATGAACCAGAATCTTTTTTTGCTGGCATCGATGCAAAAAAAAAAGCCCCAGAAAACGGGCCTCATTACTATAAACGGTAAAGAATAAGCTCACCTGAACTGCTGCCCTCCAGAGAAGGACATCTGTCGGATACTCCCCCAGGGCTCTTAAACTGCCGCCAATGGTTTCTCCCACTGTGATTCTGTGCATCTCTAGCCGGAGGCTCCGTGGCTTCCCGGATCCGTATGCTGCCATAAGATCGACCCACAGCGTCCGCACTCGTAAGAAGAACAGCGGAGTCAGAAGAACCCATGTTCCCCGCCATGAGACTGAAAGGGGAAGAGCTCAGAAAACCAGAGGCTCCCCTCTTTGGAGTCGAATCCTGGGTGTGATCACCGATCTTCAGATCCAATTCTGGAAAGGAGCTGCGCTCTTCCCCCATCAAACAGGAGTTGCTCCCTATTCTGACCCACTTGCCCTGAGAAGAGCTTCTGCTCATGGTTGACTTGCTGGCGTCAACGATGGGTTTGGAAGGCCCGGTGTGGGAAATTGACCAAGGGAAAGCTGGAAGGGCGCCTCTTCCCACATCTGAATCTGCCAGAATGCTGCCCAAGTCGCGGGCTGCCGATAGTCCGAGCCGTTGCAGGATATCTTTCGGCTGGTAAGCGGGAGAATCATTCACATTTGCCTGGTGCTGGATCGCCATTAAAGCATCAAAAAGAAGGAAAAAAAAAAAAAAGAGTATCATCAGCAAAAGAAGTTTTTTTTTCTGTTTTTATTTTCTTTCTGAAGAAAAAAAAAGACAGAGAGGACAAAAAATTAAAAAAAAACTTATTTTTGGATTTACCAGGGGAAGGAATGCAGCTGCTTCGGCATATTTATCCTCTCTTTCAGAGTTTGTGGAGTCCAGAGTGCCCGGCGCTTTCCAACTGCCGGAGCTTCCCATCGTATTATGAGCTGTAAGAACAGAAGCTGCCTTTCTAATAGAAAGTAGGATATTTTCGTTAGCACTTGATGCCTTCTTAGCTCTTTCTTGATATGAATTGGGAGGGCATGAGAAGCTGCCATCGAGAAGTTCATTCAATGATAAATCGTCCACACTCTTTGTTAAGTCGAGATGATCAAACTTTACCCCCAAAGTTCCTGAAATACGGCGATGAACGGCAATCATTAGCGACCAGCATATGGATGAATAAGATATGTGCGAGAAATATCTCAAAAAAAAAAAAGGTCAACATAAATAAAATGTAAAAGAAGTCAGAGAGATCGTGGACGACCATAAATATATCCACTATGAAAGATGAGGAAAAATAGAAATAAACACTAAATCTCTTCAATAAAAATGCAGTATCAGATAAGTGAAGCTGACTGTTTTGGAAAGGACATCAAATTTATCAAACAAATGGAAAACTGACGCAATGGAGTCTCCGCACTGGTAATAATACTTCCTTATTTGGTTAAAAATGGGGGCTATCTTTGGGAAATTCAATGCTAGGCAAACAGAATGACTCCTGGAGAAGCCAAAGAGAAGTAAACAAGGAAAATACCGAGATTAGCAACTTAGAATTGCCGAGCATAGAAGATACCATTTGATGTAATACAGAATCGTTGAACGCGAAATGCCCAAAAAATAAGGCCTAAAAACCTTAAAATGGTGAAACGTCAAAAGTTCAAAAGTTGCGTGCGTGTGGAAAATTGGTTATTTTAGCCCCGCCCAAGTAACTCTTTTTAAGAATCCCTAGCTAACATTTAGCAGTTCAGTTAGCATATTATATTTTTTTGCCTATTTAAAGAGGGAAGCATTGTAGAAGGACACATGGTTTTGCTAAAAATATATTTCGTTTCACATTTCTTGTAGATTCAAGGTGACGATACCAAAAAATTATCGTGTATATGAGAAAAATGCAGATAAAGAGTGCTCGATGATGTGGGAGATCCAAAATACGGGGGGATGGAGGAAACAAAGCATCATCCAAAGGAACTATAGATAACAATAAATCAACTCTCCATCATACCACTCGAAAGCACGTTTTGAAATTCTTCCATGATCAGATAGAAAGAAGATATTTATTCATCTCGTCAGTCCCCCTCAAATTTCCTCAACATTTATTCAGCCATTACCTTGATCAATATGAATTTAACTATTTGGGTGAGGTACATTTCTCCAGAAAATAAACGCCGTATATAGAACAATATATTGCAAAAAATTTATATCAAGTAAGTTTCTTCCGCTTTATTAGGCTTCCATATTTAACATCTGCCGACCATTATATCTTCCCTGTATGAGTGCATGATGCTCACTACCTACCACACCGTGATCCACAATGACATTAGCAGTCTACAACTAGATATCCCTCTTTCCTGCAACGGACGTGCAGGGCAACTTATAGAACGTAAACTTAAGGTCGGGAATCCGGATGCCGACTATACGACTTAAATCTTCTGCGAGTCCGTACAGGCTAGCGTTCTTAGCACTCTCGTGGTAAAACATTGCGCATGGTAATAAATTGCAACAGATCTATGTGACTGCTAATGTCCTCAATCAGTCATTTTGGCATGACTAGTTGGTAAGCAGCTGAAGCAGCCATAAATTGCAACTAGTCATTTTGACACGACTGGTTGGTAAGCTGCTGAAGCAGTTGACGCAGCCATAAATAGCTACTACTCATTTTGACATGACTGGTTCGTAAGCAGTTGAAGCAGTTGACGCAGCCATAAATTGCTACTACTTATTTTGACATGACTGGTTGGTAAGCAGTTGAAGCAGACATAAACACTGCTGTCATGATAATATATCTCCAAGTAGTTAACAGAGTACATAGACTACAAGGAATGAACTGTTTGACGATCCAGGCGCCTGCCCTCTGACAATTAAGGAAATTGTTCACTACGCTCTCTCTGTCAAACATAAGACTACCTTCTGATAGAGTCAATTCAGTTCTCAACTGTTTTAGATACGCTCAATGTAAAAATCGATACCAAAATACTTGAAAGCAATGCTTTAGACTAAGACCAAAACATTTAAACATTAGGAAAAACTTGATCCAGATTCTTTTCGATACTAAACATTCAGATAATTACAACACAAATTAAGGTTAATTTGGCTTGACTCATCATTCCTTGATACAACTAATTTCGATAGAATCTATTTTCAACAGTTGGGAGAAACTCTGCTTCCTGACCCTCAAGTCTGCCATTAAAGTAAGGTGTAAATGCCATTCAAAACTTGGACTTCTAAACAGCACCCTCTGTTGGAAGCAATCCGAAAAATTGGAACCATTTAAATGCAAAACTATACCCAAAGAGTTCCTAGTTGCACTGATCTATTCTCATCCCACTTTCGGACCTCCTGCTCGAAGCAAAATTATTGAGATTTCGGACCACATCTGCATCGTCAGCTTGAGAGTATAGATGAAGATGTCTTTAACTTGTTCCTTCCAATTTGACACTTTCGACGATCCAATTTAACAGTTTCGTTCTACGCTGAGCAAAGGATCACCCTGCAATAGTCCCATAGAGTTTTTTATAGCACCCAACCTGTCCTCTATCAATGAGGATTGAAAATTTTGCATTAGCTGATGATCAGATCAACATAGTTTTCGAAAACAGAGTTCTTCTACTGCATCCCAACTGATCCTTCAATAGCATTCCCAAAATCACGACACAGCAATGCTATTATCTCCTCACCTATTGCCATGACGTGAAAATTTGCACGTTGCCAAAACTTATCTATGATAGACCTTCCGCAAAAACTAACTAACTTTTGTAAACAAACTGTCCCAAAACATTTTCCGAGCCCATTGGTCAGAGCCTCGGCTATTATTACCATTTAGTCTTAAAAATAAATCAGAGTGCCGCTAAACTAAGCACTCAGCCTCCCTCAAAAATTATTCCTTCACACCATTCACATTTGTATAAATCATAATCGAGCATGCATCACTGTCATCGAAAAAAGCAGCAGACATCAATCGAAATGTTAAAAATATAAAACAATTATGCAGATTAATGGCCGTCGTACAATAAAATATCACACTAAATCAAAAACGCATTATATCATTTCGCAGATCCATCAGGTCTAAAACTTAATGAAACTCATAAACTGTTTATTAAAGCAACGAAATATCCAGAGTATAAAGTAGCATTATATACAATATGGACCTCACTGCAGACAAAGGACTAGAAGTAGAGAGCATACCAAAACCTCTATTCCCATTGACAGTTGAATGAGAGTTCACCAAACTATCCTTTGAATCAAACTTGGTCTTCACAGTTGTTCTGAGAGTCTTGCGGTCTCTTTTTCTTCTTTCTTGGCAACGTTTATTCTTGACTGCTCGAAATTTGTCTGAAATGAACAGACAAAGGTAAAAGATATGTTTCTACGATGAGTCACATTCACAATTAATTCCACATCTACGTAATGTTTTTATTACAGAGGATATAAAGGAGTTTGGAGCAGAAAGGCCTCGCGTGAGGGAACTTGGAAAAAAAAAAAATTGGTGTTGATCCCAAAGAGAATAGGAGAAAGAAGCCAACACGACCATATGACCATGGGATTATTGAATGGGATGTATAAACTGCACATGGCCAATTCTAAAAGCCAAGAGAGTAATCAAAAGAGTGATAAGACGGAACCATAGAAACTTTATCAAAGGGTGGTGAATTTAGAAGAAATTTTGAAAGTATGAAAAATGCATGCATGCGATGAAAAGCCAGAAATGCAAAGGATTGATCCTCAAGATAGATCTTGGAAAGGCATATAAAAGGGTGAGATTGGATTATAGCTTATATATACAAGTTGGATGGGCTAAATGACATATGGACAGGATAGATCCGATCTTGAACCACATCTTCTTGCAAATCTTGACCAATTGACAGCCACTGACATCCTAGCATTGGAGAAAGTTAACCAAAGGAAATCATTAGTCCCGTCTCCCAACTGTTCTTGTTACTGTGTACGGAGCAAAATGTGAAGATGATTTAAAATATCAGTATTGATCAGACATCGCTGGCCATATGCACAGGGTTCGCTAAAATCATGCCTCCAATACTCAGTTAATGTCATTGTTTATTTCCTTCATAAGTACAAGTATTAATGGAAAAACCCGTTGATACTGAAAATGTTGAGAAGAGGCCGGCAAACTCAAAAATGAATTTTTAAAAGAATGTCATTGCAGAAATGAAAACAAGGGAGGAAACCCAGGATGGTAGATACGAACCTAGAATATGAAACTGGAGATTTCTCTTTCTTAATTGGAGACACCAAAAGGTGATCACAAAGTATGATGCCTTACCGTGTACAAGATTTTTTGGACATTACGAGGGGAATAGTCCAATCGTTTTCTACAACAAAACTGATCTGTAGAGAGGATGGCCACTACTGTCAAAGCGGACCAACTACCTTATATAATCTCTTGGTGACAATTTTATCTATTCCTTTGGGGATTTCAGCAGCAAAATGGGCATAGACGCATATCTCCTTTTAATTTTAACGGTCAAGGAATATATGACACCATCTTTGCCAAAAAATGTGGCAGCATTCTCACCAAAAGGCAAGAAAATAAGAAATAAACTACCATTATTACCAGAAGCAGCATCCTTTACGCCACAAGCGTCCACAGAAACACCCGGGTGCCCAGTCCTGGCTTGGATAGGACTACTTCGCCTCTTTAAAGACTTCTTGTGCGGTTCCCCACTGTCATACTTTGGCCATGATGGACAATTATCCTCTCCAATAATCTTTTTGGGGCCGTTTTCTCTGTGCTTCGAAGTGGTGGGATCGGTTTTATACAAAACACCACCATTCCTTTTATTTCTACAGATCAGATCGTGCCCAATGCCTTTATCTGGGCCCTTTCCATCTACAAAGGTAATATTCATCCCAGTTATTAGCATCATATTCACACTCGGAATGTATTCCATAAAGATACACAAAAAAATCCAACATAGGTAGTAACAAATTCAGAAACGTGTAGTACAACCAGATATATTTGTTTAGAAAAAATGTGCGAAGAAAGCCTACATAGTACAACAGAAAAAGTATTCATACAATCCCCTCACATGTGGCATACTTCCCCAACTTCCCCCAAACCAATCTACGGTAAAGGAATAGCTCAATGAAGAGACGATCCACAGAATAACAAACCCTTTGAGGTACCATAATGGAAACGTTCCTATCATCATTTACCCACGCTTAATCTCTTTACCATTTCGGGTGAGAACTAATAAAACTAGCACAAAACGATGCACAAAGGAAGGAAGCTGGAAGCATACATTAGTTAGTGAATATAAAGAATACCACTCGACGACTGAAAATGGCCCCGGCTCAAGTTCTCTAATAGAAAATAAGTGGTTCCAAAGACCTTACAGACATTTGGAGCCCGTACATATATGCAACAACAGTGTCCATTTAGAACATCTTTGAATGTAGATCACACAAGCTACCAAATAGACAGCAAAAGTGCATTTATTATTGCATTCTTTACACGAGACGAGTTCCTCTGAATCTTTGGATATCCATAGACGTCGACCAAGGTATAATACGCGGTGCATATAATCCATTAATGGACTTGCATACAGTATGACTTGAAGTTAGTTAGTTGCATAAAAACAGACGATAGTATGCATTTTAGAGTGGAGCCCTAATTTTATTGCATAAAATAGCATGTAACCTTCCAAGAAGCCCAACGAGTCTGGGAGATCGGCATGTAAGAAACGTTTATTTCTACTTTTCCAGATGAAAATTCATAATATTAGTTTTTTTCCATATAGATCACTCGCCTGTGCGTCCAACAAATCAAGAAACGATTAACCAGACGTTCCACTGGAGACAGAACGGAAAGAAAGAAAGCGTACAATAGATTTCAAAACCCTCGTCAAATGAAACATTTTTTTCCTAATTATACTGCTTTTCCCCTTACCTCCGTGGAAATCCCCACCGCCGGAAGAAGGCCCCTGCGCAGAAAATAAAGAAGCCCCACTACCGGTGGAAGAACCCGCGACCGAGTCTCGAGTCTCGGACTCCCGGACCCTACCGAAGGCCTCCGATCCGAGGAGCTTTGAGACGACAACGGCCGCCGGTAGAGGTAGCTCCACCGCATCCATCCACCTAAAAGAGACGGAACGGAACCATCCGCGAAAAATAATACAGCAAGGAAGTCGCTATCCCCGTGGATCCCAGACGCCCCTCATCTTGCGGGACGAGGATCCCCCCAGAAATACTCTCTCCCCAGACAACGGTGCCGCCTCATATCTGCGCCCATCGATCTGCGCAGCAATTACGGCAAACGAGGTGGAGAGGAAGGAGACTAATTGACGCCGACGCCTCCTCCCGCCGGCGAGAGAACAGGGGAACGGTGGCGGAGAGCGCCTAGGGCAAAAAGGAAAAACGGCTAGAAGAAGGGTATTTATAGTTTTCGGGAAAACCCCCAGCCACCCTAACGTGACATGGGTGCTTTCCAACCGGTCGGAGGGAGTTTCTGAGACCACCGGTGCCGCTTCGGTTCCAACCTTCTGTCCTGAGATCTCTCTCTCTCTCTCTCCCCCTCCTCTCTCCCTCTCCCTCTCTCTCCCTCTCTCTCTTTCCCTCTCTCTCCCTCTCTCTTTCCCTCTCTCTCCCTCTCTCTCCCTCTCTCTCTCCCCCCTCTCTCTCTCTCTCTCTCTCTCTCGCTCTTTCGCTTGCGGTGACGGCACGTTGTCGCGCCACGGCAGATTCTACATCATTTGCCGAGGCCTCTCTCTCTCCTCCACGTCGATCTCAACCTCTCCCATGGCCCACCGAGATCCCCATTGCCAAACATAACGGCGGGAATACATACGTCATTTTCCTCTATTGGTTAACTATCACTAATAGTCAACCGTGTATATTTTCTCAATTATAATATATTTTATTTAACACCTGTTATGTCTGTGAAATCCCGACTCAAGCCTAACACAAACAAGAGGGGGGGGGAGGCAAGTCAACCCCCTGCCAAATTCTGACTCATCTATAAGCCATTGACTTTTTAACGTGTATTATTTTCGATATTTAGTTAGGAAATTGACTCGCTTCCAACGGACTATGATTAACAGCGTTTTGAGATGATGAAATCCACCGGGATTGAGCAGTGCCCACAGTGGAGAACTAAATAAGTGCACCAAAAGGTCAACTCTTCGAGTGGGAATAGAGATTGCGATATTTGCCCAAAATTAATAGCATACGCCGCAAATCCCGGGTGAAGCCTATTAAAATAGGATTGGGCCCCACTGAGAGCCGTTCTCGCTCTGAATGGGGCTCAGCCACTTGTCAGAAGAAAACAACGACGATCGTGGGTCGCGGGAAGAGAGGGGAGAGAGAGGTTAGAGAGAGAAAGATATAGTATTTTTGTACGACATCGACCGAAAGGCGTAGGAACTCTGTGATGATTGCGCTTTCATTTCTCAAATTCTATGCAGAATCGAAGGCGGCTCGTGTACAAGGAGGTTCTCTCTCTCTCTCTCTCTCTCCCCCTTCCTCCATGTCTCCCCATGAACCGCCGGAGCAAGGAAAGAGGGAGAGAGATTCTGATCTATCTAATTTCCCATTCGCTCCGCCGCAGCGGTCAACTGCCGGCGATCCACGGCGGAGACACGAAGCCGAAGTGGTCGAAGAGGTCGTCGGCGAAACCGGCGGGGGAGGCGACGGCGGGATACGAGCTGGCGTCTTCGATCAGCTGATCCAAGTCCATAGATACGAAGTCCCCCAACACGTCCACGTCTTCCACGACAAGGTCCTCCTCCGCCTCCTCTTCTCCCTGCCGCCGTTGCGGCGGCGGAGTGGCCGGAGAATCGCCATCTCCGGCGGGGGGAGAAGAGAGTGGAGCTTTATCGGCGGTGGCAGAGAAGCGCGGCGGCGACTTCGGTCGGGCGGCGCCGCCGGCGTGGGAGTTCCGGTGAGCGGGGGCTTCGTGGTTGTGCTCCGACGTGTAGGTGATGATGAACATCTCGGGGTTGGTCCTGCTGCGCTCGACCTGCTTCCTCGCAGGGCAAACCTTGGAGCTGCTGCACCTGTAATAACCCCTGCGATGGCCGTGGAAGAAGACGACGGTGTTAACGACGGCAGCTTCATCGCCGTTTGAGAGGAAGTACAGCCATTTACAGTGATCGGAACTGACCTTGGATAGGGGGAGCCCTTGATGGGCTTCTGGCCGTACTTCCGCCATGCCCACACGTCATCGGAGAGGAAGTCTGCGGGGAGCTCGCACACCACCTTCTTCTGCTGCTTCTTCCTGCGGAATTTCCGGGAACGGGAGGATTTGTGAGCGAACCAGAAACTCAGAAACTCAGACCCAGAAGAGAGAGAGAGAGAGAGAGAGAGAGGGTGGACCTTCTCTTGGTGGGTTTCTTCTGGGGATGCTGGATTTGGTGCAGTTTCTGGGGAGAAGAGTGAGAGGAAGAAGGGCAAGGGCTCCCCTGGTTCTGATTTGGGGGAGGTTGGGGGAAGAAAGGCCTGAGGAATTCCTCGAGCTCCTGGAAGGCTCTATGGGCAGCGACTTGATCCGGGAAGCAGAAGAGGGGTTCGTCCTTTTCGGCGACTTCTCCCTCTCTCAGCCATCCCTGGAGCTCTTGAAGAGGGAAGGAGAAAGGATCGGCCATGGGCGTTGACCCAGAGAATCCCTCCACCACTGCCCTGAGATCCCACCCTTCGCCCACCATGTCTCCGGTGGCAGAGAATCGACCTGCCTGTTGAAGCTCCTTGGACGGCAACCCTCCTCGGAGCTCGGAGCTCGTTGTATCCTCTCGCTCTCTCTCTCCAGGGGCCTCGAGAGCTATTCCATGTGATCTCAATCCGCCTGCGGCCCTCTATTTAGGCACTTCGAGTGGAGTCGGTGGGGAGAAGCCGTCACAGGAGGAAGAGGGACGCGGATGCCATGGTGGGCCAGGAGAGGGGGAGAGAGGGGGAGAGAGAGGGAGGGATGGGTAAGCAAGAAAGAGGACGGCGCCGCCTTCCAGGTGGACTTTCTAGGCCAGTCTTGCAACTCTACGTGTTGAAAAGTTGTCATCGCCGGGATTATTGTAATTCAGTGAACGTTTCTTCATGTTCCTCGTTTCTACTCCTTTGGCGTTACTCTCACCGTTGACATTACTCGAATGTCAGAGGAGAGAGAATATGACCCGTTTGGCGCGCAAAAAAAGTCGTTTCCGCCTTGTCATTTCAACCCAAACTAATCGAGTCTACATCCACGACGGAGCTAATCATGGCAACATCTCTCTCCACTAACCCATAAAAATTTCCATCTTTAGTCGACATTAATCATTTACTTAGCCACGTCACCATAAAACTGGTATATACACCGTAAAAATAACGAATATTTTTAATAAAAAAACAAAATTATAGGAGACAATACGTCCCACGATTTTCGCCACCTAAGATATACTAGTCATTTATACTTTTATCGATATATAATAATATAACATATAGGCACTGCGTGCATCATGGATAAATATAAAAAGTAGACCGTTGACAAATCAAATCAACCATGCCGTGTAATTCACGTGATCACAATTGTCATACTCAATCCGTTGTCTTAGTAAGGTTCATTAATGGCCCCCACGTGTTGACCTTTCTCGTTCATATAGGATTCCGGCACGTACGTGAAGGGGGAAATTCCGGCGGATTTGCCGGACATAACTGCCGACCAATGAGGTTTGACCAGATAAAACAAGTCAGCCGCGTTTGGCCCCACCGAAAGAAACAGTCGCACGCCGCGCAACGCGAACACGTCCTGGGGTAATCCTGAGCTGTCGGTCAACGCCGCCAGCTCGTCCATTGTTTGTCAGCGGTGGCACGCTTATTCTACATGCGACTATTTGATCGGAGACCACCGGGTGGAATGGGGGGATTTTTCAACTCGTTGACTTCTGTACCGATGCGACGGCGGAGGCTCCCACCTACGAGATGCACTTAGGAAGTTTGGTCGCCTCCGATTATGTGATTAATATAATCATTAAACAAGATCAATCGTAATCGAGATGTTCTATTTTCGTCTCGTGGCGACGAGTTGGGCGGTGGTCAACGGGGTTCGGTTAAGGGAAAAGATCATCGCACGAAGTACTACACAACCTTGGGTCGTATTTTTTTTATTAATGTAACGTCACTAAACCCGCATATTCTTATTATTTAAGAATAAAAATTAGAAAAATGCCTCTGCGGCTTAATTACGCTTTAATTATTTTTAAATGTTCCTTTTATAAAACTGTATACTAGATAAGTATGAAAATATATTATTTGTCTACATTCTGAAAAAATCTTAAATAAGGTTTTAAATAAATAAAAATAAAATATAAAAATATTTCCAATCTATTTTGAGAGGAAGATTTTATTTATTTATTTATGATTTTTGTACATATATTATTCAAGGTTGAAAAGAGTAGAAAACGGGGAATATATAATAAAGTTTATTAATTGATAAAATATATTAATTTACCGGGCTGTTGGGCCGACATTTTTCGACCGGTCGGCGGCTAATCAGCTTCACTGTGTGCTGCGAATTTGCCCCCGTCCGAGGCTATTTGTTGGCGGGGATTATGAGTTCAAACGGCAGCACCTCCTCGGTGCTCTAGGCGCCTAGTTTCACACTCGCCGCCGGCGGGCCGTTCCCTTTCCGCGCATCGGCGATGGCGTCGTCTTCTGGATCCCCTCGATCCCCCGTCGACCAGGTTTCGATCCTGTTAAACCCTAATCCCTGGGACGAGGCTCCGTGTCGGGACGCATTGTTGTCGTGTCCTCGATCTGACGTTTCCACCATTCTCATCGCTAAATTTTCTCGATTCCTACGGAGAAGCGTGGGATTTTCTTTCAAGCGTAAGATTTTTACCGTAGGGTTTCCTCGCGCAGTTATGTTCTTCGAGAATGAAGCAGACGCCGTCGTCGAAGAGCGAAAAGATAATCGAGGATGCAAAAAATTTGCCGACCGTGTCTCCCGGCACCAAGGGTACGTTGGACGGGTACCTGGTGAGGACCCCCGATGCTAAAAGCCCTCCGTCCGCTCGACAACACAAGAACAAGAGCAGAGCGAAGAAGAACTTGAAATTGGTTTCGGACCGGAACACTGATTTCCCAGTGGAGCCGGCGTCTCCATCCTGCTCTACGCGGCCTAGAGATATTCAAGCGGAGGTTGAAGACCAAAGATGGGTCCGTTCAGGGGTAAATTCCGAAGGGTCTGATGACCGTATCGGTTCAAATGATCTTTGTGGCGGTGGCGGAAAGACAAAACCTCTACCAGAGGAGACGGAGAGTACCGAACTAAGAAGGTTTGCTGCCAATTTCTTGTCTCTGTATTGCGGGTAAAGTTCCATCCTCATAAGAATCATTCTTCCTTTCAAGATCATCTACTTTTCTTCAGTTATTGGTGATTTTAATTGCGAATTTTGTCAAATACACTTATCACGGACGTTCATTTTTTTTCTGTGATCCGTCTTTAATTCTCTTTTATATTGGTTGCATAGCGAACTTCCCTCTGCTGTGAATTTCGAGGCGGAACAGAGGCAGAATGTCTATAAACGAAATGGTAGTCCGTCTCTGCAAGGTCCAAAGATCGAAGTATGTACTAAGAAGCAACGCATGACAATTCTGGATGATTTATCACCTGAAGTGGTGAATGTACGTTCTCGTGAATGCTTTTCTGAACTCAAGGAGTCTTCCTCGAGAATTAAACCTGATGAAGCAGTTGTCTCTCATTTACGGGAGCTTGATGTAAGTGCTTTGTGATATTTTGCATCGTTTACTTGGTGAACAGGTCAAACGATGACGGTTGAATATTTGTACAGGTAGTAGTTCCACGTGGGTCCCATGGGGAACCCGGTACAGCAGATAGGGAGGCCTTTTCAGGTCGAAAAAAATGCAATAATACACCAACTTCGGGCTTGTATAGAGGAGAGTGTGACACACCTGGATCAGTCACGGTCTCTTGTAACCGGAAAACTCCTATGTCATCTTACAGAAGTTCCATTTTCTCCCCAGGGGAAGAATTTTGGGCTGAGGCAATTCAGGTTGCTGATGGCTTGTTTGGTTCAGGGGATAGATTGTCTCTTCAAGTTCCTAATGGATTTGATTCTTGCAAAGGCCAATTTAAGACAGAGCACTCGGAAAGTGGTGGACATTGCAGTAAGGTTCTCGAGGTGGGACTCTGTACCATGCCTTCGGAGGACAGAGAGCATATTCTTGGAGAATTTGATGGTATTTCCGAAGCAAGACCTCTTAAATTAGATGCTTCTTTGAAATTAACCGGTAAGAGTATGGAAATAATTGCTTGTCAAAATGTATCTCCACTTCCAGTGAAGCATTTTGATTTCTCACATGAGCACCACAACTTTGATAAAAATAAAGGGCATGAATATTTCGATGACAAAATGAAAGATGCCATACCTCCAGGGAGTGAAAAAACTGCTGTTAGATATATGGCTGGTAAAGTTAAGAAGAGTGACGTTATTTGCCGTTCTCCAGAGAGACCTGGAGATAACCATACTGAAAAAGAGAAGCCAAAATCTTATTTGGGAATGCGTGCAGATGTTCCATACTCTTTCTCTGAGGAGTCACCAACGACATTGAAAGCTGAACTTTGCAAAGAGATAGAGAGTTCTCACCCACATGCTTCTGATGATGAGAAAGATGTATTTCAGTATCCGAATCTGCCTTGCACAATGCCTAATGTAGAGGAAGAACCCAAAAGTTGCTTGGTTGTTGGTGGCAAAAACAATGTTGCTGGTACTCCTTCAAGCTCCATGCCACTTAAAGATTGTGTAAGGCTTAATACGTGGCTTCCCTCTGAAGTATGCAGTGCCTACATGAAGAAAGGCATTTCAGCACTTTATCCCTGGCAGGTACTTTTCTACTTTGTCTGCCTCTTTAATATGCAACATCTGATGCCTTGGTTGGTGACTGAATCTCGTTTGTTGTTAGTTCAGGGTTCGTTAAATATTGATATATCGTACTAGAATTTGTCATATCGTCCTAGATAAAGTGCGGTTAATTTTGGAGAGTATTTTTAGTCTGGAGGTGGAATAGTATGCTTCAAATATCTGTTGGAAAAACAAGTCATGTATCCCTACATTTTTCTCAACTGAGATCATGTAGGAACTGTAAATAGTTGACAGAAGTGTCAATTTTTTTTCCTATTGTATGCCCATGTGATGTTTGGACGACCGTGTCATTTAAAAGCTTTTCTTGTCTATGCACCCGGGGCCAGCTGTGTCCAACTTGGTTAACTAGTCCTGTATGCAGCCTAATGTCCGAGATAAAGGGACAGTGATATGGATATTAGAGGACGGACAGTGAGAGAAGAATTCTAGCGAAGTCAGAGACTGATGGAAGGCGAGGTTGTGAAAGTGGACAGGCAGCAGAAAAGGATATTGAGATTGGAGGCAACTGGGCAATAAGAGATGAGAAAGAGGGAAGTGGGAGAGGAGGGGCAATAGAGCAGGGAGGATGCAACCGGGGGAGAAAGAGGGGTGAAAGAGAAGAAGAGTGGGCTACGAAAAGGAGGAAGCATATCAGAGAAGGGAATGGAAGGAGAATGTGCCAGAGGAGGGAGTAAAGTTAGGCTTTGCCGGGGGAGGACAGGGACGAGGGTGGTCTGAAGGGGGATTGTAGCATTAGAGGAAGGGGTGGGTTTCCATTGGAGTAGGAGAGGTTGGTTGAGTGGGGGTATTCAAAGGACGTTGGACACCGTTCAGACTTGCACACTGGACCTACTTAAGCCTGGTGTTGTTCATATCTTCTTAAGACTGTTGAGATGTTTTTTCTGTTAATATTTTTGGGTTGCCCAATCGTTCTTGAAAAGCAGCTGTACTAGGTGGATCCAGTTGCCGTCCCTATTGTGATATGCATTGATTCATTCAGTTCACGATGTTATTTTTATGGTAATAAATACATTTAATTTAATGTCATTTCCATTTTAATTAGGAGCATACAATGATTTTTGATTTTTTTTCTTTGGTTGAAAATTATTGAAAAACAATGACATTGTAATGGCTTATGAAGTGCGCTGTGGTTCTAAGTTTTCACTAATTATTCTGGGGGATGTGTGAACATTTTGTGATTTTGATTGTTCAAAAATGTAGGTTGATTGCCTTCAGGTTGATGGTGTGTTGGAGAAAAGAAATCTTGTTTACTGTGCATCTACCAGGTATTTGATAAAATTCATTATAATCCCAGTGAAGTTCATTCTTGTGCCAACTTTTGAATTTTATGATTTTTGTTTCGGGTTCTGGTACCCCAAGATTAGCTGGATTTCCTTTCTTAAGATACTATTATTGTTATTTATGTTATCTGAAACTGTTAAATTCCTTGTTTACTTTTTCATATCATGATAAAGTGTATTCCTATGTGAACTCAGGGGGTTTTAAGAAGGGTAGGGAAAGAAAGAGATAGACCATAGTCAGACAAGGGGCATAGGATGAAAGAGAACAGTCGGATATGAGAGGTATACTGTAGATGTTACTGAATGCTTTCCAGATTGGTGCATTCTTTTTCTAAGGCTTTCCTTAGAAAGATATACAAGTTTTCGATCGAATCCTTATTTAGGTTTTCTTAATTTGGTCCTTCCGCTGTTTTCTAAATTTCTCTCATTTACTCATATCCTAATTTTATTTTTCCCCTTTAAGCAGTTTTCTTAGGGTTCATTTGGTTTTATAGTCAACTTCCCTGTGTTCACTTTTTTTGTTGACATAATTGCATGTACATTTGCCTTCTAGGAAAATATATGAAATCATGAATTTCAGATTGGATTTTTTATTTCGGTATATATGAATTTAGTTCATCTGAGTCAGCAATAGGCTGTTGTAGCAATAGATATTTTCCAAGTCCTAATATTTTCAGTCACCTAAGGATCATGTTCATCTCCAAGCATTTTGGGCCCACATAGGTGGTAGTTACCAACTTTTTGCTTTCATTGCTTTCCGTTTTTGTTTATTATTTTTCTCGTATATTGGTTTGCTTTCATCAAAATTTTAAACTCAACTTCTCTTCTCAAGAGTGATATTGAATAACCATGATCTATTTCCTTCAAACACTCCAAAAGATTTTGCTTTAGTTTATGATTTGGATATGTCACCTTCAACTTTATAACATTTATCAGCTGATTAGCCGCAACTTTTGGTGAGTCTCAAATCATACTCATGGACAATGTCAACATTGGGAGCATCCCTAAACATCAAGAATGCAATAGAGTTTTGGCCATACCCTTGGTCTTTGTTAAGAAATTCTCTTTTTGTATGAAAGAGTATTCCGTCCAATGAATGAAACTGTTATTTCTTTTAAATGATAAGTAACATACCAGTTTTGTACTCAAGAGTATAGCACATGATTTTACTCATCAAACATCTATTTCAGGTTGTTCTTTCAGACGTTCTTACTATGTCGATGCTATTGACATAATTACTGATTAAGAGTTTTTGACTGTCCTCTATGATGTACTCAGACAAATCCTCTTTTTCTAAATATTTTGATCAACACTTCTTAATATTAGTGTGCCTTAATTATTACTACCGTTCTACATTATGCATTTATTCTGATGTGTTTCTTATCTCATCAACAATGTCATAAGACAATAAATATTTGGGCACTTTTGATATGGTGTATTGTTTATTAGGATGCTCTATGACACCGCTATGATCGTTCTTTTTTTGTTGAAATGGTTGATAGTGCTGGAAAAAGTTTCGTTGCTGAAATTTTGATGCTTCGGCGTATTATATCAACTGGAAAAATGGCTTTACTTGTCCTACCATATGTATCCATTTGTGCAGAAAAGGTAACCTTTTGAATGTCTTATTTCTTTTTAAGGTGTGGTTTAGTACTTTCGCATGATCTTTTACACCCCCTCTTCAGGCAGAACATCTCGAATCACTTCTGGAGCCACTTGGAAAACATGTTCGAAGTTTCTATGGAAATCAAGGTGGTGGATCTCTTCCAAAGGATACTTCTGTTGCCGTCTGTACAATTGAAAAGGCAAATTCCTTAATCAATAGGTTACTGGAAGAGGGCCGTCTTTCTGAAGTTGGAATAATTGTGATAGATGAACTTCATATGGTAATTTGCCTCCTTGTTTTTCCTTCAATATTTTCTGTCACCTTTCATTCCTTGACCTTGGTGTGTCAGTGTGCTCGTTTGCATCGTTTGTCTCATAGCTGTATCAATGAGCCACTTATGTAAATGCCATTTGGGTGGCACGATGTTCCATTTTCTAAAACAATGGGATGGTTGCTACGTGAAATTATTCTTTCTTTCTTGAAAATGTGATTTTTATGGAAATTTGGTTTCTACCTGCAATTATTCTGTTATCTTTTTTGAGGACACATTTGGTGAATCATTGTTTTTTTTTTTTTTTTATCACTGCGTTTGAAATTCCTTTTAAAATGTTTTTTTAATTAGTCTTTTAGTGTTTAGTTTATATTTAGCTTGTTAGTTCAAGTTCTTCTACACACTTTTCTCCATTTGGTGATAGAACCTGCTTCGTTTTTGAACACTTTATGTGCTTCTAGTTTTTTGATTATTCATTTTCTTGGTTCTGATTATAGACGTATCGTTGCTTTGGCAGGTAGGTGATCAGCATAGGGGCTATCTCTTGGAACTTTTGTTGACAAAACTTCGTTATGGATCTGGAGAAGGAAATACTGAATCAAATAGCGAAGATTCTACTGGGACAAATAGTGGGAAATCAGATATTTCTCATGGTCTGCAGATCGTCGGAATGAGTGCAACTATGCCAAACGTGGCTGCTGTAGCTGATTGGCTTCAAGTAAGCAAGAGTTAATTGTTGTTTCATATTTTTTATACATTCAAAATTGACATTTTGGAAGTTCTCAATGTGTCAGTTGTCATTGATGGCATATTTTCGAATTCTTTCTGAAGTGTCAGACAGAGAAATATGGTGAATAAATCTCCTGCTGGCAGGTTACACCAAAGGACGTTTTTATTAGTAGTCTTTAATTAAAATAACTAAGTTGTTTGAGTAGATGGCTTTCCGTTTAGTCTAAATTCATTCTCTATTCACTTGTTCACTGAAAAGTTTAATCCGTCCTGCATTGTTTTCTGTAGATAGTCAAACCATCCAACTCATCATCAATTGCTACTGTGTAGAATACGATCGCGTACTTAGCCACAATAATTTTTTCTTCTTGTCAGTGTGGGAGTGGTCTGAATTGTTTCCTTTGGTTCACTGTCACTGCCAGGTGAAAATGGATTAGGTGAGTCGGATAAGTCAGTTTGTTCTCGTCCCTGTATAATATCAAGAATCTTGAGGAGATCTAGACGAAGATTTGCTATTCATGTTCCTATTCCATGATGCATACTCTTTAAGTTTTCGATGGAATATTTGGTGCCCTGTCAAGACAGGTAAAATGTACACGCACTTCCTTTTGAAACTCCAGTCTCTTTACTAAAACATTCTTAAATCTCCCAAAGATCTACAGATCTTATGAGTAGGGTTTCTTTGTGTAATCCATATCAACTACATGTTCATCATTTTTTACCTCTATTTTTCTGCATCATAGAGACTTAACGTCACCTATTTCATGAATTTTGAATATGGCTTATTTCTCATGGTGTTCAGGCAGCACTTTACCAGACAGAATTCCGGCCTGTTCCATTGGAAGAGTACATTAAGGTTGGAAACAACATTCTCAGCAAAAGTTTGGAGGTTATCCGGACTATCCCAAAGAATGATAATCTTGGGGGTAAAGACCCGGATCATATTGTAAAGTTGTGTGACGAGGTATGCTACGTTTCATCTTGTTAAAACATGTGTTATTTTTAACTTTTTTAATAATTCGTTATCTATTTGGGAGATACTTTAACACCTTAATATTTATTTCTTTGTTTGTTTGCAGGTTGTTCAAGAAGGTCATTCTGTTCTTCTTTTTTGTTCCAGTAGAAAAGGTTGTGAATCGACTGCAAAGCATATCTCTAAATTTCTTAAAGTATCTTCCGTCAGTTCCCATGGATCGGCTCGTGAACATGATGATGCTGCTTCAGTTATTGAAGCCTTGAGAAGGTGTCCTGCTGGATTAGATCCTGTACTCGAGGAGACAATACCTTCTGGTGTAGCATATCACCATGCTGGCCTCACAGTAAGACTCACAACATTCTTGTGTCATCTACAATTTTTCTGTCTGCACTATACTTCCATGTTCTATAAGTCATTATTGATCGTACTTTCTTGTGATTCTTTGTCCCTTGTCAGTTGGGACTCCTGTGATATAAATGTATGTTCATTCCCAATTAGTTTTGAGTTACATGGCCAAATAATTTCACATATTCACTGCAACTGTCAGACTTGGATAAATTCTCATATTATGGGCAATTTTGCATTTTTTTTTCCTGAAACAGGTTGAGGAAAGGGAGATTGTTGAGACTTGTTATCGTAATGGTCTTGTTCGTGTATTGACTGCAACATCGACCTTAGCTGCAGGAGTCAATCTTCCTGCTAGGAGGGTTATATTTCGTCAACCAAGGATTGGACGTGATTTCATTGATGCGACAAGATACAAGCAGATGTCTGGTCGTGCAGGTCGAACGGGAATAGATGCACGAGGCGAAAGTGTATGGTGTTATCTTCAGTGCATTTCTTTTTATACATATGAAATAACAAGACCAATGTCTACTGCAATGCTCTTTTTTATGTGGTTGAACTTATTCCTTTCCACATTGCATAGTCTTTCGGGGTGCTGTTTCAAATAAGAAGATTAGCTGTTCATCTGGCTCAAACGAACCAGTTTTTTACGGATTTTTTTGTCCCATAATATTCAAAGCGTCCAGATTGCTTGTTACCCCTACCATTGTAATGCAATTTACAAAAAAAGGAAATAGAGGGGGAGATATACTATGCATACTTTTTATTAGAATATCCCCGAATTTTTTAATATAAAAGCAAAACATATGGATATAAATTTAGGCACACTCTACTTATTGTTAATTGGTTCGGAGTTGGATGGCTCAATAGTTTAAGGTTGTATTGGGGCCATTGTTTACTGTTCAGTTGCATGTATTCTATTTATCTTGTCTACATGTCTCTGTCTGAAAGTTGGCTTACATGTGAATGTGTATTTGAGAATAATCATGTATTGGTTAATGTAAATCTATCCTGTAGGAAGAAAATATCAACTCGGCATATTCTTCTTTCATTGTTTTAAAATATCTTTCATATCCAGATATTGATTTGCAAACAAGAAGAAATCAAGAGAATCACATCTATGCTTAATAATAGCTGTCCACCGCTGCAATCTTGTCTCTCTGAGGATAAAAATGGAATGACTCATGCAATCTTAGAAGTTGTTGCCGGTGGACTCGTCCAGACTCCCAATGACATTAATCGTTATGTAAGATGCACCCTTCTGAACTCAACAAGACCATTTGAAGCGGTTGTGAAGTCTGCTCAGGATTCTCTCCGTTGGCTGTGCCATAATAAGTTTCTTCAATGGGATCAGCAATCTCAGCTGTACACTGTGACACCTCTTGGACGTGCGAGTTTTGGCAGTTCTCTCAATCCTGAAGAGTCACTTGTAATACTCCTGAACTTTTCTTTACTTTGATAAGTTACTTTGAAGAGTCACTCAATAATTGATGTTATTGAATTTGAAATAAGCATAGTTTTCTTTACTTTTTTCCAGGTGGTCCTGGATGATCTGTCAAGGGCTAGGGAAGGATTTGTCCTTGCATCTGATCTGCATCTAATCTATATAATTACACCCATTAATGTTGATGTTGAGCCAGACTGGGAGTTATATTATGAACGATTTATGGAACTATCTACTCTTGATCAGGTAATTTTCTTTTTTACTTTTATTAGATGCACCTCATCTTAATCTGGAAGAATTGTGAAACCAGGATCTTGATCTTCTTCTTGATCTTCTTGATCAGGTCTTTGCCATCCCCTCTCACTAGAGCTACCTAGAAAATCCCTTTAGAGTAGATTCCCAAAAAAGTCTTATCTCAATTAACCTCTACACCGGTTTAAATACCGGTTACATCTATAGTGGACCAAGCCCTCTTATTTTTGAAGAAAGAAAGGGAGAGCCCATTAAGTAGTCTATAACTGACTCACTTAAGGGCCCAAATAGAAGAGAGACACTACATAAGATAAAAACACAATAAGGCGATCCTAGCTTGTCTGACACGAATGTTGTTTAAAAAATGGAGAGGTGAATGAATAATTTTTCAGTGATTTAGTATTTTGAAATTATAATAATTGTGTTTCTGTACATCCTGTTGTAAAAAGGACGGGTGACAAGGGAAATTTAGAAGATTGAAAATCATAGATTCTTGTTTATGATTGCAGTAGTAATGAAACCTTCTTATACATCATAAGTGCAGTAGTAGAGCCGTCAGTTGCAGTATGAGGCCTAACCATCAGAGTAGAGCTGCCTTTTGGGAAAGAGGGGGTGACCAGAGTCTATTAAAAAAAAGGTAGCAGCAACCTTTGGCCCACATAGCGCATAATACGCGCCATGTATTGCAAACATTGGCTTCATGGATGCCCCATATCATGTGGTGGTGATTGGTTGCTTTTCATGGTCCTGAGGGTTCATGTCACGTGGCTGTGGTGTCTCACATTATGCCTGGCTTTATATGAAGGGCATGTTTGTTGACTCGGTTTTGTTGTGCAGTCACTCTTTCTTGTTGGCTTGAGTCGCGAGTTAGCTTGGCCCGACGATGAGGGAGGGATGAGAGGCAGATGTTGTTACACAGAAATATGCAGAGAAGAAATCAGGAGTGAAGAGAAGAAGGAAATGGGGGGAAAGAGAAGCACAATCGTCCTACTTTAATGCCATCAGTAAGTAAGCAGAGAAGAGTCAGTTTTAGATGAACTTCTATGAGCTAACCTTCCCTTCATAGCATATAGGGGAGTGGAAGGGATCCGATTTGATACAGCATTAGGTCATTTAGCCCTGATAAACTGAACCTGAAACTATATATGGTTCAAACACCAATAGGCTTATTTAATAATTTATTACCTTGGACAACGTGGTGACATATTTTGTTGAGATATCAATTAATAGTATAGGCACATACCAATTATGACAAAGATGCCATGATCATCAGTATCAAACCTTTTTCAGGTGCCACTTTACAGTAGGACGTGCTGAGGATATTGTTCTATCACTAATCATGCCATTTAAATGCAGAATGTGATAGCTTCTGATATGGCTTTAAGTATGGATAAATGATCAGGTTGTGTATTGCTTAAGCACAACTTATTAGTTTACAGATCGTGTTGATTTCAGATCTTAGTAGGTATACTTGCATTCCACTAGTTTTGTATCAGATAAGTTGTGGAATACTAACTCTCACCATATAAATACTTATATTTTCTCTTTTGGGTTTTCTTCAATAAGAATCTTTGGATGTCATGTCTAATACCAAATTGGTCTACATAAGGTAAATGCAAATACCAAGTTCTTGCTTGGGTTATGAAAGTGGCTAGCCAGGTGAAGTATCTTCGAGCTGAATTAATTTTCAATCTTGGAAATCAGCTTATTCCATTTAAAGCTTCAGAATATATTATGCAAGATCATTTTTTTGGTGCAATTTGTCATCCTACGCGTGAAGAAATTCAACTACTTGTATCTACTCATGTATGCATTTCCCAATTATCACGATTCAGGTCTGCATGTTGGAAAACATGATCTTCTTCTGGCCCCAACTTTTATCAAAGCCTCATTAATAAATATTTGGGAGATTGAAAACTAGTTAATGTCTAATTATGAAGTTTTTTTTGATATTATGTAAGAGTCCCTCGAATCTAGTCTGTCCAAGGAAAATTTTCACACAACTTGGGGCACAATTGATAAGTGTCGATATTTTTTGTATCAAAGTCATTACAAGTGGTGAAATCTAAAATATGTTTTACTTGAAGCGGCTAATCGTTTTTTTAAATCTTTGGGAGTAAATGAGTTTGGCTATTTGCACTTTTCTTGAAAAATGCAGTCAGTTGGCAATCGGGTTGGGGTAACAGAGCCTTTCCTGATGCGAATATCCCATGGTGCACCAATGCATATTTCCGAGAGATCAAAAGGAATAAAAACTCTCCATGACAAATTGCAAACACGAGCTGCAGCCAGTGGTAGCAGAATGCCATCAGATGATCTAACTCTTCGTGTTGCAAAGCGTTTTTATGTAGCTCTTATGCTATCAAGACTTGTCCAGGTGATTTTCCACAACCATTGCTTTTGACTGTTAAACATTTATTTCAAGGGGATGTGATCTTTGAATGCTAATCAGTATGAAAAGCAACTGCCATGATGGCGACACCAATCTCAAAATGCTTGATATCGCTACCTTTAACTTTCTTTTCTGTTCAACATTATATTTTTTCATAGCTTTATATCCGTTTATTTGATACATTGCCCTGACATGGCAATATACGCAAAGTTTTTTTTTTTATAATATTTGACCCATTTGCTTACGTTTAGGTAGATCTTTTGTAGAAATTTGCGACCTCCAGCTATTTAACTGCTGATCACCATGTTTGGCAGGAGTTTGCTTATTGATCGGAATTCATGCTTTCCTTGTTCGTAAAATATAAATTATTGGCTAACTAGGTCTTTTATTAGTCCCTGACTTCTCAAATCTCTTACATTCAGAGTTATTATTGTATATTCCTTGATTTCTTTGATATAATTCGTGGTTTTCAGTCGGTTAATTTCCGGTTACTGCAGAAACACTTCTTGCTAGGTAGCTAGTACATCTGCCATCTCAGTTTCATATCTCCATTTTTAACACAGTATTCCTGTTCTTTTTGGCTTCAGGAGGTTCCAATTGCTGATGTTTGTGAGGCTTTTAAGGTCACTAGAGGCATGGTCCAAGTGTTACAAGAAAATGCCGGCAGATTTGCTTTAATGGTTTCCTCGTTTTGTGAAAGACTCGGATGGCATGATTTAGGAGGGTTGGTTGCCAAGTTTCAGAATCGGGTTTCATTTGGAGTGAGATCTGAGATCGCTGAGCTCACTAACATTCCATATGTGAAAGTAATATTCTCACAAAAACACAAATGTTTAGAATATTGTTTTTATGACATAAAAAATCTTCTTTAAATCTCTGATTTGATACTTTTTCCAGTCTTAACATGTTCTTTATCAAAACTTGCCCTGTCCAGGGGTCTCGTGCAAGGGGACTATATAGGGCTGGATTGCGCACTCCTTTGGCTATTGCTGAGGCATCCATCCCTGATATTGCAAAGGCTCTCTTTGAGTCTTCTTCATGGAGCACACAAGGTGAGATATAATGTAGAATGTATGGAGTTCCCTCTGTGAACCTGTGACCCTCTCTTGTGGAGGTCGTTTGTGCTCTATTTCTCTCTTAATTTATGAAATATGCTTCAGTTACTAGTTGAATCCATATCTGAAAAGTTTTTCTTGTAGTTTAATGTCAGATGGATTTAGCACTTACCGGTGTATTATCTGATTATGCTGAGCATGTTTTAGTGGCATTATTTTTTTGAAATTGTGTTACCAATTGAAATCTTCCACTATTTTGTTGGTCACGTAAATCTATATATTTAAGTTCAGGTGTAATTAGTACTCAGATGTGATGTTTACTCATGAGTTCAACCTTCAAATATGGAGCTGATGTCAAAACAAAATAGTCTTGCAGTTTTCTTGATTTTAAAGGCTTCTCTGTGTGACTTTGCAATGAGGAAAGATGATGGTTTTTATATTAGCATTGCAGTATATACATGTTGAACCTTTTGCTTTTATGATAATGTGCGATTTTCTTGTCTGGCCAGAAGTCGTTTGCTGAAAAAACTCAGATTGGTCCGAAATTTGATGACTAAAATGATCAAAAGTGTAAGAGGTGAAGCAATTAGAAATAGGTAGCCCTTAAAAGAGTGGAATCGAGGTAAAGGGAGAAGAAGACGGTGGTGCAGGCCAAGATGAACAAAAAAGGAACTACAAAGGAAGACAAACAATGTTTATGAAGTAATACGATGACAGAGATTCGAAGAACAAAAGAAGGAGAGACATATACTGCCTTTCTTTCAGTGTAGCTCGTCAAGGAAGGAGAACATTGAAGATTGAGCTGGTAAAAAAATGAAAATACGCCAGAGAAAATAAAAAAGGTTCTAGATAGTTTGTTACCTTCTTCAGTGATTTATTGGATATTACTGGTTGATTTTGAATTTGCATACTTATGACTGACTGCGCTGTTTACTGAAGATGTCAAAGAGGCCGTGTTTTACTACAGATGCCCACAAAATTTCCACGTCTGTATCTTTTTTCCAGGGCTTTTCCACCATCTTTGGGAGAGCATTAAGAGAAATTATGACAGTTAACAAGGAATTTGGACAGGCCATAATCCATCAAGATTTTCAATTCTACTTGGATAATTCAGTACAAAAAAGGAGCAAGCTGAAAAAGCTGCAAACCACAGGGCCATTAACTTAATGAGTTGAGTACCACAGGACTGTCATAAATTGTTGGCATAACAATTAAAGGGCGCCGGAGAGGCTTTTTAATAAAGTCAGCCAAAATGTCCCAGGAGGAGCGATTCCAAAAGGGAAGAAATACGAGAGAAAGGTGTTTTGGCTCTTGAAAGAACCCTAGAACGGTTCTGAAGGGCTTTCGAGAGGCTCTCTGCTGTCCATAGGTTCCTGCTTTTCCCCAAATGTCCGCCTTCCACTCCCCAGACCGAACCCTAAAACCCTCCCATAAGGACCCTGTAATTACTATCTTGCCCCCCCTTTTACACGGACTGTCCCTGTTGGCTAGACAGTCTTTTCCTTCGTCTGAAGTAAGTAATTGCCGGAGTCATATCAGAATTCTTTGGAACATTTTGGCAGCTTTCTTTGTGAAGCGTACGAGCTATAAATTATTATTTTATTTTTTTAGGAGGGGTATTCTGGTGTTTCACATTGACTTTTTTATTATGACGGGTTTAAAGAAAAAATGGATCAATTAAGTAATTAGCTGCGTTTCATAGTTAAGGCCAATCTTTATTGGTTGAGGATTTCTCAGGTTTCTTGAGAGCTCCCGGAGTTGAATTTGTAACTGATCCTTCATCACTGATATTTTTCTGGCTGAGACGGAAAACTATTGTATCCACATTAGTAGGGGAAGCCAGATGGGTGGATTTTGTTTTGAGCGCATCTGTCTGCAATATACTGGCAGCAGCATTTTGTTTGAAAGAGATAATGCATCTCAATCAAACAATATGACGATGCTTTTTTGCATCTTTTTTAAATTGTTGAATGGCTTTAATTACACAGGGTTAGAGGTCTTTTTGTCATTCTCGTTTATGACACTAATGGAATACTTGTCAACACATTCGGATATAAGGACGTTTTCTGTAACAACTTGAACATACAATTTGTGCGGCCTTGAACATTTTCATTTATATCTATCCTGTTTTGAGGGGCGCCAGTTCCTTTCCTTTCGGTTCGGTGTAAAAGAAGCTGTGAGGCCTATTATAGATTCTAACGTAGATGACTTTTTAAAGTGTTCTGACTGTAGTGTTATCACTTGAGGAAAAAAAGGACTTTGTCCTTTCTATCTAAATCTCTTCTTCATTGGTCTCCTTATCCTTGGGTACAGAGGCAAGGGTTTGCCCCCTAAAAATTAATGAAAAAGGGGATGATGCATCCGATAGCATTTGTATACTCTAAACAGGAGAGGCTAATGAACCGTATGACATATACTGTATTTTAACTTGACTGAATAATGAGTTCGTTGCCTTAAAAGGATTCATGGGGTATGTGTTCGAGATTTAAGAAGCTTTTCTCAATACAGTAGTGATGAAATTTGGATATGCTTTAATTTGCAGCTGTTCAGTGTTATCTGCTTAGTTGTGTGCTAATGTTGATAGTACCTGAAGGTCGAATGCTAAGTACATGTTGAGATCAAAAACACCTTCCTGTTGTGGTGGCTACCATACATGGGCTCTTCGTTATGCGGTTCTGTAGTTCCACATTCTGAGAGTATTCTCCAGAATGGGGGGGGTACTCTTTGGTCTCCGGTTATACAGAAAATCATTAGTGGGTAGCGTATTCTGAGGGTATTAGAGAATGATGCTTTTCCCTGTCGTCTTTTTTTGCTGGTCTAGCTGTTTTGAAATTGGGAGGTGAACTATATCATTATTCTTTTTCCCTCTTGAAAATATTGGATTTTTTTCATGGAGATCCTTGACTTGCATTGTGATATGCTTTTTTTGTGTCTGCAATTTGTAGATTGTTCTATCTATAGCTGATAATATTCATGTTGTGCATAAGAAGCGCTTTCTTGAAATCAACTACTTCTTGTATTTAATTTTTTTGGTAGAAAATCATCCCATTAATAATGCTGGTTGATGTTTTATGCAGTTGTAATTAAGGAGTAAGAGAATATATATTTTTTGGCTTATGCTTTGTAACTTTAGCTGCGAAAGATTATCAAGAATTTTCCTCACCTCAATTTTACTTTTAGGGTTTGTCAGACTGATAGACCTTGTTTCGTAGCATTCCAGAAATTAATATATCAAGCAGAAGAAGGTAGTAGTCTGGCGGATGTCTTCTGTTTAAATGCTATCTTGTGAATGTTGATCGCCATCTCTGTTGTGGTGTCAATTCGGTAAAGATTTGAGTCTAATCTATTCAGTTGAAGTGACTAGGCTACATCGTTTCATTTTATTCTTAAGGGTGTCGAGATTTCATAGAGGATGATATGGTAATATAAATGTGAAATGATAGTTTATGATGTGTTTTGTTCATATTATATTGCTTGCGCCTTACTGCTTTTTAATTCTACTCCTATAATTTTGCAAATTAGTGATCCCTTTGAACATTATTTTATTTTTGTACCATGTCATTCTTTTGATTTGCTAAAACTTTTCATTGTCCTTGGCATATTTGCGTTAAATGTACTTAGAGGGCACAACTATGAGACGTATACAACTGGGAATGGCAAAGAAGATTAAAAATGGTGCACGCAAAATAATTTTCGATCAAGCAGAAGAAGCAAGAGTTGCTGCCTTTTCAGCATTTAAATCTCTTGGGGTTGACGTTCCTCAGTTATCCTGTCCCTTAGTGCCATCTGATTATAAAGGCTCCATGCAGGTTGCTAATGTACCATCTGATGGTTCAAATACTCGCTCTGGCTCTGATAGCATTCAATATAAAGAGACTAAAATTGATGTTGTCAAGGACTCAAACAACATAAATGATGATCCTTTGGTTAATTTTAGTGCAAATAAAGAGAGTCGAGAGGCATCATTCTTTTCAGATGAGAGAAAGACGTTCTCTGTTGGTCATGTTCCAGTGCAATCTCCTAACCCTGATCAAGGTCAATTTTCTGGAGAGCATCGCATTGCCAGCTGCCATACCATTAATTTTCAAAGGAAAGGTCCTATTAATGCAAGCGCTGTTTCTGGAGGTTTTGACTCATTTCTGGATCGGTGGGAAGCAATGACAGAGTTTTATTTCGATGTACACTTTACCAAAAGATCAGAGCTATACTCGCTTGTTCCATTTGAAATTTTCGGCCTGGCAGTCTGTTGGAAGGAATCTCCTGTGTATTATATCAGCCTTCCTAAAGATCTAATAGCCTCCTCTTCGGTAAGTTCGCAAGATAGTGGCAGCAAGAATTCCTCTGATTACAAAACGAAATTTCTTTCTCTTGCTGACTTTTGGAAGACAGCTAGTTATAGATGGGAAAGGATATGTGGAATAATGGGCCGCACTGGTCTGAAAAAATTCACGTGGGAGTTAAAGTGTCAGATTCAGGCCTTAAGATTTCCTGGAATTTCTATGCAGAAATTTGGTGGTCTGCATTTTGAACATGGGTTGGAGAATGGCATTAGAATTGTGGATAACTCCCATATTTTGCTGCCAACAGTTGTCGTCAATGACGGAATTGATATGTGCCTTGTTGCCTGGATCCTTTGGCCCGATGAGGAAAGCAAAAGTGGTCCAAACCTCGAGAAGGTAGCTCCTTCTGTGATCATTCAATTCTATCCATTGGGATAGAATACTAATGCATTTTTTCCATCGTAATTTCTTCATGTCACCTTCTATCATAGTGGAGAGTCCTGAAACATCTCAATGTTCAGTGTAGTTCTGCTTTGTGTGATGACCTAACATGGACATGCATTTATTACAGATGGTTAAGAGGCGGTTAACCAGTGAGGCTGCAGCAGCTGCTAATCGGGATGGTAAGTGGAGAAGTCAGATGCGACGTGCAGCACATAATGGCTGTTGTCGACGAGTGGCACAGACGCGAGCTTTAGGTTCTGTTCTGTGGAATCTGCTTGTATCCGAGGATTTGGTTGGCACACTTATTGACATTGAGAATCCTCTGGTAATATTTGATTATAATTTGAAGAAGACTTTTGACTGCATAGGATAATAGATTTGTCTTTTCCAGGTACCTGTGATTTTGTGATGTTAATTTTTCTTTTGTTGAATATGGACACCTCATAGGTTAAAGTTCTTTCCGACATGGAGCGGCAGGGTATTGGAGTTGATATTGAAGCTTGTCTTCAGGCAAGGCAGATTTTGGGAAGAAAGGTGAGGGAGCTTGAGAAGGAAGCTTACAGACTTGCAGGCAGATCATTTTCGCTTTATACATCTGCAGACATCGCAAATATTCTTTATACTCACTTGAAGTTGCCCATTCCTGAGGGCGCCAAGGGGAAACAACATCCTAGCACTGATAAGCATATCCTAGACTTACTGAGGTAATTTATTTTTGAAGTAATGCTGAGTACTCTCTTGATTTTGATGCTTTCAAGGTTATACAGTCTGTACGATCCAGTCTAGACATAGTTGGTACGATCCAACTCACTTTCCTTCAGTTTCCAAGTCTAAAACTATGATTCAAGTTTGCTAATCTTGATTAGAGGCATAAATAAATTTGATGAGCAGCAACGGGTGAGTAATTTTCATGGGGCTTACTTTCCCAGCCTTCCTTAAGATAACTTTACTTAATTTTAATGATATTTCATTGTAGGGAAAGGCTTAGTCTTATCAATCTTGGGCCAACATTTGGAGTCCCATGTATAATATTTGATCATAAATAGTACATGAATGAATAATCCGGTACAAAAATTAACTAAATGAGGCATTGAAAATTGCTATCCTTGAGTCTTCAGAGAAATGACAATGCTTTCTTTCCATATGATCAAGGGCCGCTTCTGCTGTTGTGGTTTCTTTTTAACTGAACTATCAATGACATTGTAGTGTTTTCCAAGTCCATCTTTCATTCTTGTAGTGTCAATGGTCAACTGGATACAACTGGTTACACCCTTCTATTCTTCTGTATTCTTTAGTTTCTCTCTACTCTCTTATTCATCAGGATTGTATTAACCAGTTGAAGAACTATACTGTCGGTTGTCTTCAGGTGCCAACATCCCATCGTTTCAGTAATTAAGGAACATAGGACCCTGGCCAAGCTCTTAAATAGTACTCTGGGATCAATTTGCTCAAAAGCCAAGTTGAGTGTAGAATCACAGAGATATATTCTGAGGGGGCATTGGCTCCAGACATCAACAGCCACTGGACGACTTTCCATGGAGGATCCGAATCTTCAGGTCTTTTTGTCTTCATTTTTTTCATTTTGTTGGTTATTTGGTCTTGAACTTGACCTTTAGTTGGTGCGATTCATGTAGTGCGTCGAGCACATGCTAGAGTTTACCATGGATTCTTCTACAGAGGAGCATCGCCAAATCAATGCTCGTGATTTTTTCATTCCAACTCAAGTAATGTTCGAAATCTTCTTAACTTAACTCCTGTTACTTCATGAAAAATTATGTTGACTATTCCTTGGATGTCGTGTAGGAAAAGTGGGTGCTACTTGTTGCAGATTACTCTCAGATAGAACTACGACTGATGGCTCATTTCTCCAAAGACTCTTCATTAATCGATCTCCTTAGTAGGTCTGATGGAGATGTTTTTACCATGATTGCTGCAAGATGGACTGGGAAGTTGGAATCTGTGATAACATCTGAAGAGAGAGAACAGACTAAGCGGTTAGTTTATGGCATTTTGTATGGGATGGGTGCCAATTCCCTTGCAGAACAACTAGACTGTCGTGCAGATGAAGCAGCAGAAAAAATTCAAAGCTTCAGGAACTCCTTTCCTGCTGTTTGTATATGGCTCCAAGAAGCCGTTGCATCTTGTCGACTGAAAGGGTGATTTTTCTTCCTTTTGTTTGTCTCACTGTTATGACAAACAGCAAGCCTATTTTGTGCTTTTTAGATACCTTTCAGCAGTTTATGTAACCAGTGTGCTGTGCATATTGTATTGTTTACAAAGCTTTTCTTGCTTTTGTATTTTGAACCTAGAGCGTTTTCATTGTCTTAATTTATCTTCTTAGGTTGTATTCTAGTACTAAAGATTTCTCATTGTTTTTTTTTTCTTTCAATTTTATACTCTTAAGTGATCTTTCGTGACTTTGGCACCATGCAGGTATGTGCAGACCATTAAAGGCAGAAGACGTTTTTTGTCAAAAATAGATTCTGGAAATAACAAAGAGAAGGCTAGGGCCCAGAGACAAGCAGTAAATTCTATTTGTCAGGTTGTAACATCTCTTGAGTTAGTGTTGCTTTGATACTTTAATCTATGATAAATTCCTTAGAAAAAATGTTTTCCAGGGCTCTGCTGCTGATATAATCAAGATCGCTATGATAAAGATTCACTCTGTGGTCGGTGAAGGATATGGGCAGAACTCATTCAATGATCAGGAACAACAATATTCCATGCTTAAAGGCCGTTGCCATATACTATTGCAGGTTTGATGGCTTACTGACCGCTTTGACACGCCCTTAATTATTGCTCTTTTTTTGCTTGAGAAAATCAAAGACAATGGATCAGCTAGGAAATCTGAATGCTCTGTAAAGATACAATCTTTTATAAAGTTTAGTTTTGGTCCTGCAAAATTTTCTGGATGTGCTTTTTTATTGAAATTAGACCACTTCCTTCTGGGCTCCTCATTTCCCTTCAATTGTTCTCCTCTCACTTTTACCTTTCTTCTCGACCCTTGGATGCACCACTGCAGTGTCTCTGAAAACTACAGCCAATCGTCTCAATTTTGTGGTAGCAACCCACATCCTGAGGATGACACACTGATGTTGAGGTACAGACAGGCAGTTTTTTATAACCCTCTTCCTCTGGTTGGGCCAACTAAGTCAAATGGACCCTGGTAACGTCCATCATTCACTTGCCGTCTCTCTCTCTCTCGCCTCCCTCCCTCCCTCCCTCCCGCCCCCTTTGACCATGCTGCGTATTTTCTTCTTTCAATCAATTTTTCTTGAATCTCTAACTCACGTTGAAGTGTTATGGATTTCAAATTTGATCCGGTGGCTTATTTGCTTTCACTCTTCTGCTTCTCTTGCAGATAATTGAGTTTTCCGAACCTTTTTCCACGCACCTTAGTTTGTTTTAAATCATTTTTATGCAGTGTTGCATATCCAAACTCTTTTTTGCAAGAACTTTTGTGCATGTTAAATACCAGTAATGCCTTACTTCAGCTCATACAGTTACGCTTGTTTTACTAGTAATGCTTTCTTCGATACCAGTAAGTAGTTCATGCTTAGATTTGCCAATGCGTAATGGGTAGACACACTGAATGTGCAGACAATTACTTCTTTCAGCTATTTTTGCCCTCCCTAGCTGGAAATAAGTTGCTTGCTTCAGCTCATAACTGGATCTTGCCATGGTTCCATTCAATCAGGTACACGATGAACTAGTGCTAGAAGTTGACCCTTGTTTTGTTCGCGAGGCTGGGCTCCTACTGCAGTCAAGCATGGAGAGTGCTGTCACGCTTCATGGTTATGTCTGAAACTTTTAGTCTATCTGGTTCTTTTTGATCTTTTCAGAGGCCTTGCTTGATTTCCTCTCTTGTTTCAGTCCCGTTGCATGCCAAATTGAAGGTGGGAAGAACATGGGGCTCCTTGGAGCCACTTAATGTGAAACCAGAGAGCTAGACGTCATCAAGGAAAAAGGGGTCTCTGAAAGATGATTACTGAAGAAATATGGGCACTTTTGAAGCCTTTTAAAGCTCTTGATCTCTGATAAATCGTCAGAGGTTCTGTCAGGATCGTATTGACTCTGCTGAGATAATTTTCCGGAGATTCAGTCAACGATCATCTACACCAGATGGCTGCAGTCTTCTCATGCCGTTGGAAATGATGCAGGGATTTCCACAATTAATCGCTGGTAAGAACTAAATACTCACTCGTTGACCTTGTCATGAACACTTTTCTAATTAAACCAGATTTTTTTATTTTTTATTTTGCCAATCTGATAGTTGTTCTTCCAGCAGCCAATATCTTCAAGATATGGAGTCACATTACATCTTGGTGTTGATTATTCCCATTTGTACTCATCATTTGCCTCGAGTTGGCCACAGACATAAGGAATGTCGCCTCGTTCCAGATTGGGTCCATTGATAGTTCTTCACGGAGTTGACTTTATGATTATCCTCCTTACTATACGGCGGACAATAAAGGAATATTTGAAACGCTCTGTTCTGTACAGAAGGGCAGACATTGGTGAAGTTGGACAATTTTCTACATGGACATTCCATGGTCTCGTTGACTTTCATCACAGTTAGTCAACTCTCCAGAATTTCCTTCTTTCTTTCCCACGTATGAATAATTCTGCAGTCTCAATGTTTATGGATAGAGAAAAACTGACTGGGGACAAATCGTCTGGCCTTGTAACGAACGCTGTATAGAATCATCTTCTGATTCTGTCTATTCGGTTTAATTTGATAAATAAATATGTGATTTGTTATTCGGACGTAAGAAAACTATCGATACAATTTAATGGGCCGGCAGCCCAAAACCCCTCCCGGACGGGCCTGGTTTATTTTGTTCTTGGCTCTCAAAATGGATTCAGCCTCGCTTTTGACCAGTTTTCCGAGGTGGGTTTGGACTTGAATGGTGCCCAAACCTTAGTTTGGACTCACAATCACTCATGAGGTGGAGACTCTCTCTCTCTCTCTCTCTTTCTCTCTCTCTCTCTCTCTCCCCCTTGCTCGTTGACATTCCCAGTAAAAAAACATTAAATGTTAATGCGCATCCGCAATTACTATTTTAAGCCAGTGCCCATGGAGGAGGGAGAGAGAGAGAGAGAGGAAGGGGGGGGGGGAAGCCCTTCAAAGGATTGAGGAGCGTAACGTTTCTCTTCTCATTGTCAGCCTAATCACGGAGATGGCAAGTAGCGAGTAGTAGTAGTCATCTATCGAATCCTGGCCTTCTTCCACACGAGAGACGAAAACCAATATGGACGCATGGTGTTGCCCACTTACACGGATTCGCCGCTGTTGACCGGGCTCAATTCATCCAGCCTGAACCTTCGAAGGAGAATTTAAAAGGAAAATAGAGCAATAATTTGGCCTGATATTCATGTGGTAACCCAACCCACCCGCCCGGGATTCTCTCTCTCTTTCTCTCTCTATTTCTAGGATAGTTGCATAGAGGGACAGATTTCGGATCCAAACTCATTTGTGTGTGTGTGTGAGAGAGAGAGCGAGACAGTTGTTCTTTACCGATTAAGGACAGTAGGGAGCTTTTAGGAGAGCGACAAGTCATTAGGGTATATGATACCACGGGGAATCCAATTACGACTCTCCAAGCACCCAAAGATCCCCCACACCATAATTAGAGAAAAAGAAGAAGAAGAAGAAGAAGAAGAAGAGGGGAGAGAGAGGGGAGAGAGAGAGAGAGAGAGAGAGAGTATACTCCATAAAAGGCTGCACTTCGCAGCCACCCAATGGAGGCACTGGTGCCGTAAACCCGAAGCTCGATGACGCAAAGTGAATAAGCAGCAGTGCGCGGGAAGTCTTCCAAAGAAGTATCCATGCATAATTTAAGCAAACCCACCACAAATTCCTACCAAAAGATGACGCTTTGGTGAATTTTATAAGCGATGGAAGCTTCAGGAGGATAACCTTTTAAACTCTGACTCGCCGCATAACCTTTTATAATGCGCTCGACCTTACGATCTCGGGGAGAAGACTGCGAGGAGACGATCAGTTTGACCTCGTACACTCACACAGAATTTTATAAGAGCCTGTCCTTGAATGATTGTAGGGTGGTTAGGTCAATCGGGCTCGAGTGGAAAGGCATCCATTAGCCATAATTACCTTGTGAAGTAATCAGGAGGCGTGGTCACTATGTGGTAGTTAGAATACACGCCATGACGACAAAGAAGATGAAGAAAGGATTCGCTGAGGAGGATGGGGTGGTGTTGGGTCCTGACCATGAGATTTACAAGGCATCTCTCTCTCTCTCTCTCTCTCTCTCTCTCTCTCTCTCTCTGATCTTATCTGACATGAGCGAACTTGTTGCTCTAAATGTCGGCTATGGCTTTAAGGTACGAGACTCACTTTTGTACTTCTTTAAATTCTCCACATTCCTCTTTCTGTGACGGTCAGGAGGGGGTAGTCTTGAATAATCCCCACTAGGAAAACAAAGGAATCCCATGGAAACCCACGCAACGTATCGAACTATTTACTATACGGCATTCTCCCTCTCGATCTCTACCATTCAAGCATTAAAAACTATGGACAAACTGATTGGCCGGTAGACACTCCCAGAGAAGCAAGCATGCATGGGGAGAGCAACGAACGAACCCTCTCTCTCTCTCTCTCTCTCTCTCTGTCTGTGACCCTATGTATGTACATGTACATACGCACACAGACATGTCTTAAGTGGGCCTGAATGTGGTGTACTATGTGCAATGGTAGCCGTCAGATAACATGGAGGAGATCGACCTATAAAACTGTGAAGAGCAGTACGTAGGAGAAAATGTGGAAAGGTGACAACTTTACGACGGCGTTGGTACCCACAGCAGAAGTGGAGAAGGCCATGATAACTTAACATAAGGGCACTTGGCCCCCTTGGCCATGCTCGATATTCTTCTTCCTTCGTCGCCCAAACCTCTTCTCCTGCCGCAACAACGCTGTCATCGCTGGCCTCCCTCCTCGTCCGTTAACCCCTCCGCAAGACCTGCAACAGGGCGAGCGATCGAGCGAGAGAGAGAGAGAGAGTCCCCTATTCGGAAGTGTGGATAAGGACTCACGGTCTCCGTTTAACGTGGGGATCAGTTCCTCTTGGCCTCAGTCACTTGGTTAGATAACAGATAGATGGAGGGTGGGGAGGGACGGGGGGGGGTTTATCTTAAAATCCGTCCCAGTTCTCTATCGTGCCTTTGTTAAACAGGCTCCTCTCCTCTGAAATACCTCCATTTGGGAGCTCCTCTTTCCTCCTTGTTCCACTGCAACCCCTTCCGTTGGAGGGGTTGACCGCCCTCCCATGGATCCCTGGAGAGAAGCCGAAGGTAAAATGCTTCACGACCCCTTCTACCACCAGTTCCACCCTTCCAAGGCCACCACCACCAGCGGCGGTGGCGGCGGCGGCCCTGGGGGGAGGACGGTGCAGGTGAGCGGCCCGGTCATTGTGGGAGCGGGCCCATCGGGGCTTGCCGTGGCCGCCTGCCTCAAGGAGAAGGGCCTCCCTTTCTTCCTCCTCGAGAGGACCGACTGCATCGCCTCCCTGTGGAGGCACAGGACCTACGACCGCCTCCATCTCCACCTCCCCAAGAGGTTCTGCCAACTACCCCACATGCCTTTTCCGGCGAATTTCCCGGCATACCCGACGAAGGAGCAATTCCTCGCCTACCTCGACGCCTACGCGTGGCGCTTCGGCGTGTCGCCGACGTTCAACCAGACGGTGGAGTCCGCCGAGTTCGATCGGTTCCTCGGCCTCTGGAGGGTGAAGACAAGGAGAACCGGCAAGGAGGAGGACGACGGCGGCGAGGAGTATCTCTGCCGGTGGCTGGTGGTGGCCACCGGAGAGAATGCGGAGGTTGTGTTGCCGGAGATCAGAGGGATGGCACAGTTCAAAGGGCCGGTGGTTCATACGAGCGCCTATCGGAGTGGGGCGGCGTTCAGGGGGAAGAGGGTGCTCGTCGTCGGGTGCGGCAACTCCGGCATGGAGGTGTGCTTAGATCTCTACAACTACGACGCTCACCCAAGTCTCGTCGTCAGGGATTCCGTACGTATATACATGCCATTAAAACTCTTCACACAATTCGAGAATATAATATTAATTTTTCTGAAAAATTGTCAAATTTATTTTAGGTTACATCATATTATTCCTAGTTCTCGAAAGTGGCAGAGTTATTATGTTGGAATGATCCTGCATTGAATTTAACATGATTAGAATACACGCGGATATACAAATACAACATTTATATATCTAGCGAGAGAGAGAGAGAGAGAGAGAGAGAGAGAGAGAGATACTTGAACTGGTCGAAAATAGAAGCATTGAAACTAGATCACCGTTCATAGATCAGATTTTATCGTTTCAAAGTCTATTAGTTTTGCCTTCAACTAAACCAGAACCAGGAATCGATCATGCGATGCAGCTTCTACCCTTTTCGTTCTATTATCCTCTTTTCCAGAATCAGTCCCTACATGACCGACGGCCAGGTGCGCTGTTTCCCAAGAAGGATCCCCAATGTTCGGCGTGCGGAGAAAGATCTCCCCACGATTCAGAGGGCCTGGCAAGACCCTCGTGGTACTGGATTCTCCGCAGGGTTGATCTGCTTCCCGATCTGGGTAAAAAAAAGCTTCCATGCTCGACCCCCGGGGATCTTCCTCTATTGAAATACTTTCTTTCTCGGGAACTCTTTGCCCATCCCGAAAGCATCTTCCTCCTATTCTCCTCCTTTCTCCCCCTGCGCCACCACTTTCCTCCTCCCCCGGCAGAGAAAGAGAGCTAGCCGCAGAGTAGATTGCATCAATAACATCAACAAGGAAGATCACCCTATCTCTCTCTCTCTAAAGTGGTGAGCAATGGCAGGTGCACGTTCTACCCAGGGACATACTAGGTGGATCGACCTTCGGTATCTCCATGTGGCTTCTCCGGTGGCTCCCTGTGCGGGCAGTTGACCGGCTACTCCTCATCGCCTCGCGGCTCATGCTGGGGGACACCGCCAGGCTCGGCGTGGAGCGCCCCCTGCTCGGCCCGCTGGAGCTCAAGTCCATCTCCGGCAAGACTCCCGTCCTTGACGTGGGCACGGTGGCGAGGATCAAGTCCGGTGACGTCAAGGTGAGCCATTGATGGAATAATCCCGCTTCCGATGATAGCTTCGCGGCATACGGATTGATGGGTAGTATCTTAATTGATTGGTGGGTTTTGGTATCGGCAGGTTCGTCCAGGGATAGAGCAATTGCTTGAGCATGGAGCCGAGTTCGTCGACGGGACGAAGGGGGACTTCGACGCCATCGTCTTGGCGACTGGGTACAGAAGCAACGTGCCTTCCTGGTTGAAGGTGAGCCAGATGATTTTATACTAGAAATATATAAATGGATAAATCGACGACTTTGATTAATTTTGAGAGTGACTATGCGGTATAGTATCATAGTCCAGGGTCGTGTACTGCATGCAGCTAGGCATATTTTCTTTGCTATCCTCGTAAGGTAGAGAGAGAGAGAGAGAGAGAGAGAGAGAGAGAGAGAGAAGGGGATGGAAGTATATTATAGTCGTTAATTAGCTGATTAAATGCGACTAAAATTAACTTCTTTTGCGTTGAACGATTCGATTCTGACAGAGAATTCAAGGAGATTGATGTGTTTATTTGCCAGGAGAGGGAGTTCGTGGGGGAAGGTTAGTCTGAGGAGAACACAATTTCTAGACTAATTTCGCATTCGAAATACGCATCAGAGTAGGTAATCAACCTATTCAACGTGCTTAAAATTAGTCAACTTCGAGTTGGAGGATCTCATTCTCGGACACGTTTCAAGGAGATTGATTCGTTTGTCTGGCAGGAGGAGGAATTATTCTCGGAGAAGGACGGGCTGCCGAGGCGGCCCTTTCCCAACGGATGGAAGGGCGGGCAGGGCCTCTACGCCGTTGGCTTCACCAAGCGCGGCATCCTCGGGGCTTCTATGGACGCGATGAGGGTCGCTGACGATATCGAGCAGCAGTGGAAGGCCGCGACGGAGCCGCCTTCTCACATAGAAGGGAGCCACTAGCAGTCCGAAAGCTTGGAATGGGGTGTGCTCGCGGTGTAATCCCTCTCCCAACCAACAGATCAACTGGTTTGGGCAGATTGTGGGAGTTGACTTGTTTCAAGAGGAATGGGCAGATAGTGGAGGACCCGCCATTAATGTTTGCCTATGTTTAAGGTTTCTTCCTCCTGGAAGAGACTTGGGTTGAGAGAGTATACATATGTATACTGTTCGTTTGGGCGTATCATCTCTTTCTCTCTCTAGTGTGATCTTCGATATACGAACATTCTGCACCAGACAGCAGTTTGCCTCGACTGAACCCAATTTTAGTGAGAGATGAAGGGATTATACCGGTCGTAAAGCCATTTTTTTACAGAAAAGATCCGAATTAGTGGAAAATTAATACCCTTCTGTGTTTTCGGACGATATTGATATTCAGAACTTAGGGTTTGATGCTCCACAGGAAGAACACGACGGCAACCTCACAAAGATGAAATCTTTGTCCGCAAAAGGACTTGGAAAATTTCTTCCTGAAGGCCTCGACTCGACCATCCCCTCTCACCCCCTTTAGATGAGACGGGTTGACCTACGAAATCCAGTCTCCGACGGTTCACTCACTTCCCGATCAACTCTTCCTGTTTAAATAGAGACTGATCCGATCCCAAGCATTTATCCGTAAATCTCAGTTGCGTCCCAGCTGCTCGGTTTAGTTTCCACACAGAAAAGAGAGAAGAAACCAACCTCATCCATGAGCTGCCGTCCTTCTCCATGCAGGACTCTGCAGTACAGTCGCGAACCTGTGGTGTGCGAGAGGATCCGTCCTGGTGGCGCTGCCGGTTCCACCGGCGAACTACTCCGAGAAGAAGAGCTAGCTGCCAGCTATCTAGAGGCGGGATGCCGTCTCGGAGAATGCGTGGAGCGGGGTATCTGGAATACAGGCCAATAGGCTTTCTAGGAAGTTTCCATGGAATATTATTATCCAGGAAAACATGGCCGACCGCGTCCTCGCTCAAGCTCCGTCCATCTTTGAGATCTTTGTCTTCTTCCTACGGGAAAATCTCGACGACTTGATGTATAGTAGCAGGAATCCTCTTCAAGAAGCCGGAACCGGGAATCCCACCTTGGAAATCCACTCCGCAGAGAGGATCGAACTGCTTCGCCTCCCATGCTGAATTGCGTCACTGTTCCGCATGGATGTGCTCCTGGCTGTGTGGCCCCCTGCGGACCACTGCTGGGTTCTGATGATCATCGTCGTCATCATCAAAGAGAACGCGATACATGATTGATGACTACAATCTTGTAGCGAGAGAGAGAGAGAGAGAGAGAGAGAGAGAGAGAGAGAAAGAGTATGGGCTCTGTGGGCTTTGATAAAGAACTAGGCCCACCAGCAAAACGAAAAGCCGGGTCCGTTGACAAGCTAAGCATGAGGATGGGAGGAGTTTGATCAGCGGCTGATTCGCAGGAAGAACTGGAAAACGGGTCTCGAGGGGCTTCGTCGTGTTCTTTCTCCATCTGGGTAGGGGGAATGGGGGCGGGATCTCTTTTGTTCTCTTGCAGGTTAACGCTTCTAACATTCCCTCGTCATCCCGGAAGGCCATTAAATGGACGGCTTGTTTGCGATTCCGATGCCTGCGGCAGGCAGACCGGAGAGATTCGGGCTTGCCCATGAGGTTGGAATTCGAACGGGCGAGGCGCCGGAATCGATGGACATTTAATGAGGAGAGAGGGATTTACAGACGGCCGCACAGCCTGTAGCTCCGCGTAGCCTGTCCCCGCCAGCCTCCCGCCCTCCTCTCTCTCTATCTCCACTCTGTCGGATCCGAGCAGCAGGTCGTCGTCATCGTGAAGAATGCCTCGTGCCATCGACGTCTCTCTCTCTCTCCTCCCGCTCTGTCGGATCCAAGCTGCAGGTCGTCTTCATCGTGAAGAATGCCTCGTACCCATTGACGTCTCTCTCTCTCTCTCTCTCTCTTTCTCCCCCCCCTCTGTCGGATCTAAGCAGCAAGTCGTCTTCATCGTGAAGAATGCTTCCTGCCCATAGACGTCTCTCTCTGTCTCTCTTTCTCCCCCCGCTCTGTCGGATCCAAGCAGCAGGTCGTCTTCATCGTGAAGAATGCCTTGTGCCCATTGACGGCTCCCTCTCTCTCTCTCTCTGTCTCTCTGGTGCAGACAGAAGGTAGCCGGGATACAGTGTTTACAGTAGGAAGACAGCATATAGAAGGGTGCCTAGTTCCCATTGGCCTCTCTCTCTCTCTCTCTCTCTCTCTCTCTCTCTCTCTCTCTCTATCTATCTCTCTCTCTCTCTGCGATGGCCTCAGACGGTGTGGCATTGACGTATCAGCACGATACAGTCCCCTTCTCTCTCTCTCTCTCTCTCCTTCCTGTCTGAGCCTCAGGAGGGTTTTATGAGTGGGAGGAAAAAGGAGAGAGTCTCTCTGTTCCTCTCTGTCTCGGTTCATGCTGCCGGCAGCAGGCCGGAGCCCGAGAGGAGAGCTGCCCCGGCCAGCCTTTCCGCCGGCGGCGCCGCCTACCGGGGCCCCTCCGCGGCAGCCCAACCTTCCCTTTTGCTGCCACCAGCCGGTCGGACGTGCCGACACCACCTCTCAGAATCCCCGTCGAGAACTCCCGAGAATCGACCCCCCACCCCCGGCTGAGACCCTTTCCGATTCATGCCGATATTTCTGAATCTGCTGAAAACCCATTTTTCATGATCCAATAAATCTTGCAAAAAACTATCTTTTTTAATAAATTGTGGCAATGTGGGTGGCTAATTCGTAACCGTGATACTATTAAGAACAAGGTTCGGACTATCATAAAAATGAAATAAAATTGAAAATAATAATGAAAGTAAAGCCAAATAATATTGAGAAAAAAAATATTCACGTAGTCGTGCTGATCTTGGATCATCGATATTACCAAATATTTTGAGTACGGATTTTCTCGTCGTCAGGTGAATCAGAAATGGTTTTCAGATGGCGCTTCAGTTAGATTTTTTTCTTCTTTTCAAACTCGTTGTCGTTATACGGCTGACGTTGATTTCACAGCGGAAACAGCCGAGCCTTCAACAGGGATGACAGCCGGCGGCTGGGCTGATGGGCGCACGAGCTTGAAACACGACTCGCTGGTGGTCCTACCACCAAGAAGACGCCCACGCGCCACCCCTGGTGAGGAGCGAGAAAGAGGAGATAGAGATGATCTATAGTTTGGGTGGTGCATTCCTTGAAAGAGTGGCGCGGAGAGAGAGGCGGCGAGACACAGAGACACAGAGAAACAGAGGGTGAGAGGGAGGGAATCTTTCGTCTTGGTGGAGCATTCCTTGATCAGGCGCCATGGCAGAGAGAGAGAGAAAAGAGAGCGAGAAGAAGGAGAAGAGAGCGAGAGAGAGCGAGAAAGAGAGAGAAAGAGAGAGCGAGAAAGAGGGGAGAGAGAGAGAGAGAGAGCAAGAAGAAGGAGAAGAGAGCGAGAGAGAGCGAGAAAGAGAGAGAAAGAGAGAGCGAGAGAGGGGAGAGAGAGCGAGAAAGAGAGAGATAGAGAGAGAGAGGAGGCGAGATAGAGCGAGAAAGAGAGAGAAGAGAGCGAGAGAGAGCGAAAAGAGCGAGAAAGAGAGAGCGAGAAAGAGCGAGAGAGGGGGAGAGAGAGAGAGTGCTGCTTAGGATATAACAGAAATACAGAGAGAGATGGAGAGCACGGTTGGCCGAGAGAGAGAAACATGGAGAGGGAGAGGCGAAGAGCTTTCTTGCCAATGAGACAATAGCGTTAGAGGGGGACGAGGGGCTTTCTTCTCTACAAGAGATGGAGAGAGGGAGAGAGGGAGAGATGGAAAGAGAGAGAGAGCCATAGATCTTACTCCTCGGAAGCATAAAGAGAAGACAGTTTTACATAGCGGTCCAGTCGATCCCTTTACGGGCAGCAGTCTCCTCCTCCCCGTCGTCTTCCTCCTCCCGCTCGCCCTCTCAGAAAACGGCCGAGGAGAACCAGACAAGGAAGCCCCTTGCTTCCATTAATTAACAGTCGATACACCCATCAGGTCTCCGACGAAGCCCAAACAGCTAGTGGAAGATGCTCGCAAGCAGGTGAGATCAACGGGAAGAAGACATCCTCTCCAGGTCAACCGAAAAGCGTCTCCCCGAAGAGGGTCTCGCGGATTTCCAAGAACACCTCAACAATGGTGGAGTGATGGAGGGGAGGATTGAGAGAGAGATAGCTATGGAGGAGGTTCTCCATCTCCCTCTCCCCGAAGATCTGCTGCTCCATGATCATCTCTAGCATGGAGCACCGGAAGTCCTCTCGTGGGTCGCTCGACTGCTTCTCCACCGCGAATCCCGCCGCTGCCGCCGCCGCCGTCGCCTCCTCCGCCTCCGCGATGTCCTCGTATAAGTTCCCGTTTCTGGAGAAAGCAGACGAAGAAGAGGCCGAAGAAGCGGACACAGCCGGACGAAACGCCTCGTCCCAGCTGCGGCGGCGATGTTGTCGCTGCTTCTGTGAGTTCATCATCTTCTTCCTCCTGCTGCTGGTGCCATGGGGGCGGGAGTAGTAATAGAATTCTGAGGAGTCGGAGGAGAAGCTCCTCGACGAGAAGAGCGTCTCCGTCTCCGCCGGTGCCCCTCCTCCACCTTCATCGCTGCTGAAGAAATCCCCGGCGTCCTCCTCGTCGCTGTCTTCCCGGCAGGAAGAACTCGTGAAGCCATAACTGTTGGACAGAAGCTTCCGCTTCCGCTTCTTCTTCTTCCTCTTCATCATCATCATCATCATCCTCTCCTCCTCTTTCTTCTTCGTCTTCATTGCGGCGGCGACCCTCTCCTCCTCTCTCTGCAACTCCTCCGCCATCTGCCTGAAGCAGAAGTGAGAAGGCGAACCCAGCAAGGAAGGAGACGACGGCTTCCCCCACCTCGTCCCCGTCGCCAGCGGTGGCGCTTCCGCCACCGTCGCCTCCGGGCGGCGGCGGACGAAGGAGACAAAGGCCGGCTGATGAACGACTTCCGCAAAGCTGCGGGAGGTGATGCTGCAGGGCGAACGCCGTAGAGATGCTCGCCAAGCCCTCGCCAGCCGCTCCTTCAGACCTCCGCTCTCCATCTTCTACTGGTTGCTGCGCAAAGTGTAGAGAGAGAATGAGAGAGAGAGAGAGAGAGAGAGAGAGAGAGAGAAAGTGAGAAGCAGAGTCTTCTTTGAGGGTGGTTCATATAGAGCGTCCCGAGCCAGGTAGCTATCTTCCCTCTTAATGGTGCACTATATGTCGGGGGAGGGGGACCGACGTGGCACCGATTTAAACGGGTCCGGTCCCCACGTGGCAAAGTCCACGTCATCATTCTTGCCCTATCTTCGATCATTTGGCTATGATCACATCACGCGACTAGAAAACAATTTTATATAACGCCGACGGCAAATCCACCCGAAGCATCCCATCATGCCCCCCCCACCCGGGTACGATCCCTGGATGCCGATCCGACGGCTGGAATCATGGGAGTGGGAAAGTTGGCGGTCGGTGAGGGGGAGTAAAGGGACCAGGGATGGGCTTTAAGCGGGGCAGTAAATGCTCTGCATGGGCGAGCTAAGCATAGCGGCGGCAGGAAGGAGGGCCTAAAAATAGGGCCCGTTCCGCAGCGAACATATGCCTAATTTTGGCTCCTGCACGAGGAGCGTGCGCCCCGAGGGAAAATCCGGGCCGGGCCCAAGCCCACGGCCCGGCCCGTGGCAGCCGGAGAGGTCAACATTCGCATTGCTGCCCGCCGGCGCCGCCTGCGCCGCCCGTGGACTAATCGAGCCGCCGTCGCTGTTCACATACCCATTTTGTCCGAAGATGACGCAGTGCGGCGCAGGCGCTGCAGCAGAGAGAGAGAGAGAGAAAGAGAAACCAGAGAGAGAGAGAGAGAGAGGAGATTTAGCCATGTTGTTGTTGTTGTTTTTGTTTTCTTACCTCTGGCGGTTGAATTGGAAGAACTGGCGGAGGAGGCGGTGGACTTCTCCGTAGCCGCCTGTGGGGAAGATGAGGTGGGATCTTATCCACTGGGGGAGCTTGTCAACGGGTGCTCTCGACGGCTTGGGCCCGTAGCGGGAGTCAACCAGGAGAATGGCGGCGTAGTCCTTGATGTGCCTGATCGCTCGGCCTTGACCGCGGCCAAAAAGTGAGAGGGAGCAACAGAAAGAAGTGAACGCTGGGAATGACGACCGTTGACTTACCGACCGACTGGTTGACAGCCTTCATGCACAGGTTCTCGTAGTATTCCCTCCCCCTCTGGCTGCAACTCCTCAGGGCCTCGAATCCAGGCTGACCAAACGTCGTGGCATGAGCCGCTGACTCCCCTAGTCGGTCAATATATTTGACCCTCTCCATCAGCTCCACGTCGGATGGGTTCGGATAGGGGAGGCCCACCATGACAACGCAACGGCCCATTCCGTCGCTGAAGTTGATGCCCTCGGAGACCTTCCCGCCGACGACAGCCAATAGCAACGCGCCACTTGGCCCTTCTTCCCTGGGAGCAATCGCTTCCCTGTACTCTTTAAGTACGAGCTCGACCTCGCCGCTGCTTCTGGGCTCTCTGAACACGAGCTTCTTCTTCTGGATTCTCGCGAGGACACCTGAAGTCTTCCATGCTTCATATACGAGACCCTCGTAGTCAAAGGAGGAGAAGAACATCACTATGCCTTCAGGAACGACGGCCGCAAGGTTGCAGAGTAGGCGCCCCAGTTCCTCCATCTGCGGGAGGATGATGCCGAAGCAGAGAAATCAGCCCAGTCGTCAATGCATGGGATCCTCCACACTACTATGAAAACTATGCTAATATTTGAGCAAGATCTTGAATAACAATAAAGTTAATCTTGGTTGACTTCCATTAATGGGACAAGGATTACGAGTGATCGACTTTTATGGCAAAATATTTCCATTTATACTAAAAAAACTACAATAAAAGACACAAGAAAGAAGGATGAGACATGTGAATCCATGATATTGAGGCAGAGAGATTAAAAAACTCCTTTTTAGGATAACTGCAAAATCGGTAATCTTATAATAAATAACTAAATAATATATATTTTAAAAAAAGACTTCTTAGGAGAGTGCCTGCAGCTCAGTAGTGAATATAAAGAAGAGGAGTTTAGGAAAGCCAAGAGCCAATACCAACCATATCAGGGGAAGAACGTGAGCTGTAGCTGAAATCAAATGTCTTGCCAGAAGGGCCTCGACAAATGGCAACAGGTAAGATGCTCTCGGGAGGAACAATGTGATTGCATGAGAAGAAATGCATGTTGTCTGCAGGTAAGCCAGGGAACAAGCGGATTCTTGTCTCCTCAATCGGCTGAAGAGTTCCCCCTGCCAGGACCACTGCATGCGCTTCTTCCGTTATCTGTAAAAATTCAGGAATCATTTATAATTACAGCACTAAATAAAATAACATCATGATATGTATCTAAGCCAACAAGGTTCACTCAAGACCTCGGAAAATATCTTGTCTCCAGAAAGCATGACAAATTTAAGGCACCCTTCTCCGGAATTCTCGGGGCACAAATGGAGTCGTCTTGAGATTATCATTCTTCCATCATCATTGCTATATGTGAGGGAATACAACAGATCGGACAGTGCCTGGAAACTTGATATGATAGTTCCCTCAGGAATGTTGTTCTCGTCCTCATCAAGCTGCAGATGTCTGCGCAAGCTAGAAACTTTTGCACCGTAGCCACTGACCTATACAATAAGAAAAGATAATTTCTTAGAGTATAGGAAACACAATTTGAACTTACAAGCCAAAAAGCATAGTACCTTATGGATGATATTAGATTCCTTTATGTACTGGCACAATTTTACCAAGTTGATGTTGTCAATTTCAAGAGAAAATAAGAATTCATTTATGGTCAATGAAGAATCAGCAGCAATTTTTGATTCAGATGAATTTTCAGCAGTGCTGGGAGTGTCACTCTCATCTCTGAGCAGTATGCCAAGAAAGGCCTTTGTTAGACCCATAATTGTCTGGATGTATCGTCGATTGCCAGCTCCCAGACAAGCACGGAACCTCTCAAAGTATATGTCAAGGTAGGATCGTACATTATCTAACTGAAAATGGAAAAAACACGTCAGACTCTGGCCACAATTTCTCCCTTTGTCGGAAAGAGAATAAATCAAATCCTTACAAATTAACAAACAATTATCCTCTAAGCTTGATTAGAAAGACAGTGATTATTTTTTCTAACTCTCTGGAATGATATTTTCTAATTTAGAAGAAAAAATATTACCATAGTCCATGAAAAAAATAAACATTTCAACAATGCGTAGAATATTTTATAATGGTAAACCTTGCTTGTACCTGAGAAACAGTGACCCTTGAGTTATACATGTTGGTAAGAGAGTCTGCAAGGTTGTGCGCTTCATCTATGATTACAATGTTGTTCTTCAAATTCAAACCAAGTGACTCACGTGCAGATTTCAGGAGAAGAGATTGATATGGAAGGATTACAATGTCAGCTGCTGGGACAACTCTCCGGGCACCATAATATGGACAGGTTCCAATCTTCTTCCCAAGATCAATAAGATCCTCAATGTCCAAGATATCTCGGTCAAGTACTTCATTCCTGAGTTTTGTTTGCAGACTTCTCTTTTTGAGCATTGGACAGCCAATTGAAGCTTTTCTCCGGTGAATTTTCCCTCCCCCACTCTGTACCTACGTATTGTGACTTCAGTATAAGTGATCAGAAAACAAATGATTCCAACTGAGTTAGAAGGGAGAGATGGCATATCACACCGCTGGAGACAAGATTTATATTACAAATAGAGTAAACAAGTTATTATATCCCCATTAAACTCAGTACTAACGCTATCACAAATTAATGACTGTACGAGAAGTCCTGGTCCTCAATTGAAACGAGATGGATCACATACTATCTGCATGAAGAGTATACCACCAATTATGAAAAGGAATATTTTTCCCTGGTTTTCTTTAAAAAATTCCATGACTTATAATTTCCTCAGTAGGTTATTATCAACTTTGATTGTAACAAAAACGGGAGACAGGAAGGGTATCGGTTATGCCCAATACCTTACATTTGGACTCTTTTACATTCTTGCCTTTTTTATTCGTCTGCAGCTCCAAACATCTCTCATTGATCCTGTTTGAATTCCCCAATTTTAAAACCCCTGCGGAGACGGAAAATGTAAGAAACATGCAAAACAAGATGTGCCCAACTTGCTACCAAGTTAGAGCTGCACCTTTATTGATGCATAAATTCTTCCTGGCGCCCAAGCAAATTGCATTAAGTTCAGAAGCAAACTTCGTCTTCTTGAACTCTCCCACAAATTGTGACAGCTGTGAATGGGTTCTGCTACAAAAATAGATCTTCGGAGTCACCTCCACGTCGTCTTCTATTATGTCAGAAGCTTCATCTTCTTCATCGCTGCTGTTCCAACCGGAACCCCTCTCTCTCTTCGTCTTAAACTTCCCAGTTCCTAACATCTCATCTTCTTCGCTCTCGTATTCTTCTACCAGAAACTCCGCCTCGTCAATTTCCACGGGATTGTCAGAAGAAACCTCTTCTGCTCTCCGCACATCACTGTACTTCCTGGGTGACGACCTAGTATTATGTACGGTACCCAATTTCCTTCCCTTTGTCTGTACCTGGTGAATCTCCACAGAATCAACGATGAAATCCCTCATCCAATCCGGCTCTTCTTCGTCGCAACAAGTCGTTTTCGTTGCACGCACCTTCTGCTCAACTTTAGCCCGCTGCCTCCGATCAACGATCCACTGCAGCGCGCTACAGATGATGCTCAGGGTTTTTCCGGTTCCTAAACAAGTGAACGAGGCAGAAACACGCCATATCGAATAATCAATCAACTATCACACATTGGAAGAGGAAGGACTGTGAAGGAAGAGGACGGCACTGCTGATCCACCTGTGGGGCTCTCCAGCATGGCGACGCCTCCTCTGTCGAGTGACCCGTACAGAGCAACCATGAAGTCGCTCTGTATTGGATATGGATCATACGGGAATGCCGGGAACTCGCGCCTCGGTTTCGGCGGCGGCGGCGGCGGCGCCACCTCCATCCCTCTCTCTCTCTCTCTCTCTCTCTCTCTCCCACCTTCGAATCTCCGTTCGATCAGTTCTCGTCTCGTAGTCGCCACAGGCGCCTGTTTCCCGCGCTCACGATACGGGCAAGTATCAAATAGCCCAGTATAAGATAATGGGCCTGGGATTTTACCAAATTACGCCAGGTACCCCTGGATTGATGGGCCCCATATTCGACCCAGATTGCGATAAATCTCACGAATAACTATTTACGTTTAATTAAACCACGCGATTTATTTTTTTACAATGAACAAAGTTATTTAAATTAATCAACGGTTTTTTAGTCCCCCCTAAGACGAAGTTTCCAGAACGCAACACGCTTAGCACGTGATGACGCACCGACGAGATATTTCTGCAGTTGACTGTTCTTTCTAACCCGTCGGCGAGCGGGCCGGAGATCGTGGAGGATGACGCCGGTGAGCTCCCTGTTGACGGCGACGGGAACGGCGGCTGATCTTCTTACCGGCGTGAGGAAGCGGTAAGATCCGGCGGATCTATCTCTTCCTTGGTTCTTCTTCGTTGCTGGTCGGCATGGTGGGACCTCTCAGGAGCGGATCGGCACGCTATTCTTCTTCAGCTGCGTGTCGAGTGGGGACACCTCCTGCAGCCGGTCGTCTTCTCCGCCTTGCTCTAGTAAGTTTTTCACCGAGGATTCCGTGGAGATGGGAGTAGTTGCGTTGACAGCAAAGCAGCACAGGGCCGCCGTTATCGTCTGGTGTGGCCAACGGAGGGGGAGGTTGGGGGGGGTGTCTTTCGTAAGCTGGACGGAAAAGCGACGCCGCCGACGTGGGCGAACGCCTACGTGGTGAGGAGTGTGGGGATCAGATTACGGAAACGTGTGGTCTTCACGTTGCTGGCGCCGGATCTTTTCCTTAAAGCCGCAGGGAAGGGAAGGGGAGGGGAGGTCATCACAACCGTGGCAAGGTCTTCTCCTAGGCTCGATCTTTCCGAGATCCTAGGGATCAGCGGTGGCCATGGCTGCGGCCGCTGCGGTGGCGGGGAAACTCCCCTCCCACGCTTCCCACGTCGACCTATCAAAGGCCGAGTGCAGGCGCAGAGTCCGCTTGTTCCTGCACTCTAACCCCGCGGCGTTTGGTGGGATATCGTGCCTTGACGCCCCCGGCCGCAGACGTTGGCTTACCTTTCAACCCTGCCGCTCGTTCCGATCGGAGGACGGGGGTGGTCAGCCGCCGGAGGAGAAGGCCGGGGATGGCGCGAAGGGTGTTATTCCTGAAGAACGAGGCTCTCGGTTGCAGGGGAGGCGGAAAGGGGGACTTTACTCCCTGAAATCTTTGATTGTCAGGCTCACTGGATCGAGATCGCAGTACGAAGGACAGTACAAGAAGGCGGTGGAGAAGGCAGAGGCCATGTTCTTTTCCGTAAGATATTCTTCTTCGTCGGTTCGGTAGGAAATCTGATTTAAAAACTTTGGCTAATTTACAAGACAATTAACTACCTCCGGAGTCTTTTTCCATATCCTCTCGTTAACATTTCTCTGCCATGGCGAGATTTTCCCATTGGGGGTTTAGTTATTGGCTATGTGAAATCTGATCTGTATTTCAGAAGTAGGGTAGAAAGTGCTTGGCTAAGCCATCCAAAGCACATTCACCTCCGTCTCAGCGTTGTCTCTTTTGTTACTGTTTTCAGTTTGCCACCCACTTCGGTAGATACCTCGTCACCATGATGAGCACTGGAGTTATACTCTCAATTGGCTTTCAACTGTCAGGTTAGCAGATACTAAATGTTCCACACCAAATGCTTCACTTTTCCTTAGCTGCACGTATTCTGTTGAGCTAACCGACTTTTTTTTTCTTCTGCTACTCTGAAGGCGGGGACAGTCAGATGAATACATTGATATGGTACAGCTGGCTTGGTGGAATAGTCATAGGAACCATGGTCGGTGCAAATATGGTTTTAGAAGAACATTGCCGAGCTGGACCTCGCAATATTGTCATCACTGGGAGGTATCACATTGTTACCTTGTTTCCATTTTGTCATGTGAAATATGAATAATGGGTGGTCTAAATCGCACGATCTTATGGTACTTAGTTTTTTTCGAGCATCTCCTTCATTTGAGGATGTTTACATTCTCTAGAAATGGAAAGATTACGAAAATGGTTATCAATAATTCTATATGCTTTTTATTATTTGTCTGGTTTTCGCCACACAATGAAGCGTGTTTTTTATTCAGAAATCCAACTTAGATGAAGGGTCACTTATCGCTAGTTTCGTGTTAAATTGACTATTGTAATTTTTATTTTCAGTCCTTATCATAGATTATTTCCCTTTCACTAATAATTCCTCCTATACTTCTTGCAGTACCAGAGGACTTGGCAAAGCTCTGGCGCGAGAGTTTCTCCTTTCGGGAGATCGTGTTGTTATTGCTTCTCGCAGGTTGGCACTATGCCATCTGTTTCGTATCGTTGAACGCTATTTGTTTCCATACTTCCCAGTAACTTATATTATGGCCTTCTTTTTTAATGCAGCCCTGAATCGGTTCAGCTGACTGTGGAAGAGCTTGAAGAAAATATAAAGGAAGGTATGACTGTGGCAGGCAGAAAGTCTAAAACAAATTTGTCTCATGCAAAAGTCACTGGAACTGCATGTGATGTTTGTAAACCTGATGATGTGAGGAAGTTGGCCAACTTCGCTGTCAGTGAGCTCGGTACGATAGACATCTGGGTGAGTCACAGGTTTTGTGTCTAGGATGCCATCATCTTACATGATTTTTAACCTGTCTCATCACAATCTATGCACACACAAATGCACTGCACTGACAACTGCTCCCCGTAGCCTCTATGCATTTCAAAAATAGATGTTAAAGACAATGATGGTAGTGAAAAGTACGGTCCAGTACATGCGTTGTATTCCATAAGATCATCATTCTTGCATAAGATGGCGACTTACATCGTACGCATTATCCGTCAAGCTACTGCAATTGATGCACACTCCAATTTCCCACAGCTCTTTTATAGCATCTGTGATATAAGAATCTCATGTGGAGAATGGGATAAGCATAATTTTTTGGGAAAATTATGCTTTCATTTATACGGAATTATGAAAGTTTGGTCGTACCTTTTACTTTCATATCGTCTGTGTTTTGCTTTCGTTGCATAGAATTCTCCATGATGCTTCATTCCACATCTGAACCGTCAAACTTGCACTTCTTTTCTACACAATAAATTGTGAATTTATTTTCCTGTATGTTCTGAACAGATAAACAATGCTGGCATGAACAAAGGCTTCAGACCATTGCTACAATTCACAGATGAAGATATTGTACAGGTACAAATCCAATTGATCCACGGACCAAGATATTTTGCCAGCATTCAATCTCAATATCTACTATGTATTCTCCGGTGGTTCACCCTTGATTTGCCAGACAATCTGATAGAATATATTGTATAATTCCAACTTATACGTATAGCAACCAATAATTCTCAGGTATGAAGCGAGCATTGTAGTTTTTCACCAAATTTTCTACCCATCGGTGGTTTCATGATCAATTACATTTGGAGTGGTTGCTGTCAGATTGGATCTCTAGTTTGCAACTGATAATCCTTCTTTCTTTTTCTTTTTTTAATCTAAGTAAGTTATCATTTCCAATGACCTCAGATTGTATCAACCAATTTGGTTGGATCCTTAGTCTGCACGAGAGAAGCCATGCGGATTATGAATTCTCAGGAGAAGGGGGGTCACATCTTCAACATGGATGGAGCGGGTTCGGGGGGCTCCAGCACCCCCTTGACCGCCGTGTAAGTTTCACTTCCGTAGATCGTTCCAATCAGTTCATATATTTGCCTTTTCTATATGTATGTATATAAAAATAATAATAATAATAACCCGAGTTATGGACCCACTTAATGCTCCAATTAATTCATACATTTGATTTGATTAATTTCCACAGGTACGGGTCCACCAAATGCGGGCTGAGGCAGTTCCAGGCGTCACTGCTGAAGGAATGCAAACGGTCCAAGGTCGGTGTCCACACGGCGTCCCCGGGAATGGTACTGACTGAGCTTCTTCTCAGGTACCACCACACCTCCTTCCGAACACCTCGTGTCCCTCTTTGGATCATCACTATGACACCGACGATTTACACTGTCTTTTCCGTCTCTTCTGCCGCGCTCGCAGTGGGTCGAGCTTGAGGAACAAGCAGATGTTCAACATCATCTGCGAGCTGCCGGAGACCGTGGCCCGGACGCTGGTCCCCAGGATGCGAGTGGTCAAAGGCAGCGGCAAGGCGGTCAACTACCTGACCCCCCCTCGGATCCTCCTCGCCCTCGTCACCGCCTGGCTCCGCCGCGGCCGCTGGTTCGACGACCAGGTACCTTACCCACTTGACTCCACTCACCGGCGACCCTCCCCCCACCGCCGCCGCCGCTCCTCACAAAGATCCTCCCTCTTTCCCTCCTTCCCGTCGACAGGGCCGGGCGCTGTACGCGGCGGAGGCGGACCGGATACGCAACTGGGCCGAGAGCCGCGCGCGCTTCTCCTTCACCGACGCCATGGAAATGTACGCGGAGAGTACCTGGCTCTCCGTCTTCTCCCTCTCCGTGGTCTGCGCTTTCATCATCCTCTCCAGCTCCGCCGCCGCCTTCCCTGGCACCTGATTCAGCGCTCACCAGACTGAAACAGAAGAACAACGCTTAGCATCCTCCCCTCCCCCCCCATCTGCCCCTCCACCATTGGGAAAGGAAGGGAGGGGTGGATTTCATGAGGAGAAGGCCCTCCAGCACACACAGGGCGGCTCTTCCTCTCTCATCAGATTATTGAGATTATAAGAGGAGCCTGATGAGGAGGAGGAGATGGATGGATGAATGGTTGGAGCAGCGGGACCAGATGGGTGTGCCACTGCAAGTCCCCGGCGAGCTTGTGGGATCGAATAGAGCTGGGTAGAATTTGGAGTGCCCTCAAAGCCTGTGATTCCAAGGGCTATTGATGTCTCTACATACTGAATGGAGGGAAATTTCCTCATTCGGCAATAGCTGCATCAAAGGTTTTGATTTGATTCTCGCGTTTTTTTTTTTTTTTTTCCAGCTCAATCCAATTGAGGGAACAGAGTGACGGCGCAGAAATTCACCAGAATAAGGGAATATATATATATATATATATATATATGTGTGTGATACTGTTGAATTTACCCAAAATTAGAAACTCCGGGAAAAAGAAAAACTGATGGAAAAAAAATGGGTTCTTCGACGCATCAGACATGTAATGACTACTACTACTTCACATGCTTCTGATGGTGAAGTCATATGAAATAAATAGACGGTGGACCAGGTTGATATTCTTTGACTTCTGGATGAAAATAAATGATTTGTTTTGGATTTGGGTGAATACAAAGTAGGCCAATGATAAATGAATAAAAATCTGTAGATATTCATAAACTAAGCGGATATATTCTTAGAACATATCATCACTGTTCGTCGAACACAAGCTGAAGTTATTAGAAAATATAGTCACTCCCATATTCTTAAAGGGAAAAGGAGGGGGAGAGGGGGGTTCACGGGGGCACCATCTCGGTGCAACACACACACACACACACACACACAGAGGCACATCACACGATTTAGGTGATTTCTAGCTTTCCTCCTCTGGTTAAGGAGCAAGCCAAGTTAGCACAAATCAGCACAAGCATGGCCAACGAAATCGTAACCTGTAGACTGAATATAAAGTCAGCGGGTGTTTTTTTAGGAGCAACACGTATAGGCACAGAAACAAGGGTTCATTTATAATGAGACTAATTTGTAAGCGCCAATATTCAAAAACCCTTTAAAAACTCAAATCGAAAAACCAAGGATTCATGAGAATCAGGCGGAAGCATCATTCCTGGAAGAAAGCAAGGAACAAGGGTAGAAAAAAAAAATCAAGGTCAAAGCAAGAATCCATTAGTAAATAATAAATACCTCTCCCCACCCCCACCTACAATGACTGAAGCAATTCTAACCATCAGGACGCTAGATCACATGGCTAACCTGCATCCGCAAGACCCACTCTGATTCAGAAGCTTGGGCCAATTTATCTTTCTATCAGGATTGAGCATGAACTCTCAATGGCCTTTTCTGCATCATTCAAGAGAAGGGTAAGACTGTGGGTTCTAACCTCCAAAAGCGCTGGTTCAAACCTCGAAAAATGTAGCTTGTCCATACTGATCTTAGATTCTCCTCGGATGTCTATTCATGGAGTATTGAATGTAGCTTGGATGCCCATGGTTGCAGTTGTCTACTGTTCTCAGAAAGAAAAAAAAAACAGGTACATCTCACAGAAATTAGTCACTTGAAATGAGGACAGCATGCTATTTACTGACGAGATGTCGGATCAGAATGGCAGTCTGTGGATGGGGCATCTCAAGATTCAAGCCACATATTAGGATGTGATTGGATAACCATAAATTCGCCTTGCCGAGATGTCCTGAGAAACCGGGACCCTGGACCTCTGGCCCAATCACTATAAAAAGAAAGCCGCCTCATTGGATATGCTCACATTGACTAGCTCTTTCTGTGTACGATCAGATGCAGGGAGGAGCTTCATATGCAATTGCTAGGTAACCGAATATCGTATAACCGTGTAAACATGCATATTCAGAAATATGACTGGTTTAAGGATTCAAAGATGCAGACATTTCACAAAGAAGGTAGGGATTACATCATTTCGAAAAAAAATACATAACCAGATCAATCTACATACATATAGAAGGTAGGCATTGCATCTTTTTGAAAAAACTACATAACCAGATCTACCCGTCGACAATGAATCCTTGTGAAAATCCTACATGACAAACCTTACGGTCCATTTGAAGAAATATATCCCTCTTTTTTTATGGGTGGTAGCAAGGCTAGAGCGTGAATCTACAAGATGATTTAGGGCAGCAACATCAAGACTTAAACACTTCGCCAATTCAAGTAATATGGGTACTTCTAAAGTTTTCAAAATCTACTGCTTTCTTGACCTTTAACTGGATTTTCGGACGCATACAGTGGTAGATAGACTAAAGATGCACTTCATCTCTCCAGGCGTGCACATAGACCAATGCATTGAAATATTTTAGGTGAAGTGGAGACCAAAAGATCGCATTCTCCTTCTCAAAGGACAAAGTCCCCAAACCACATGCAAAAGCCCCAATGGGAGAAATGAAAAAAAGAATAATCTCCGAGTTGATTCCTGTAACACATTTACCGGGAAAGATGTTGCTCCACGAGTACTGTTTCTCACACAAGTGTGATGCTATGCGGCGCATGAACGATAGATATTGACAGTAGATTTTAGTTACACCCAATAATTGCAGGACCGATATGGAACTAATGGCCACGGTATAGATGAAAATAATGAACATGTGGGAAGAAGATGGATTCGGCATCGTGAGATGTTTCAAGTCGTAGAAGAAAATATTGACAGTAGATTCAAGTTACAGGCAATAATTCCAGAACCCACTTGGGACTACTGCCACTTTATAGAAGAAAATATTGAACCAGAGGGAAGAAGATGGATTCGTCATACGTGAGATCTTTCTATTGAAAATTGCCGCGTAAGGGACAAATTCCATGAAGCATCAGAAGCTGCTTTCAAGATAATATTCTCTTTTATTGCAGAGAATACAGCTCTTCGGCTGAACATTGACGAGAGAACTGCAGTAGCACTACATTGCCAAACAGCAGAGAACAGCATAAAACAAACCACCCAAGGCAAGAGTCAAACTTCTTGAAATAGCATCAGTACAGAAACCAAAACGGGGGCGATTGTTCCTCTTAAGAGAAGCTTCTCAAATGAATTTCCTTAGCGGCCTTCCGGCATCTTCGTCTTGCATGTGCTGCGAGAAAACCGAATAGGCCCGTCAGCCATCAGAATAGGGTTTCGAGAAAAAGCAATGGCAAATCCCACACCCGTTAATCGCAGCGCAACGCTTCTGCTGTTCAGGGATAACCCAAAACAGAAGGCGATGGCTCAGAATCAAAATCTTACGAATTCCTTGACGATCCCCTTGTAAACAAGGAGGGGCACGGCGATCCCGAAGATGCCTACGATGGCCAGGTTGCGGCGGGTCCAGCGGAAATTGAACTCAAGGTTCTCGCGACCAGCATTCCAATCCTCGATGAACTTGTTCTTGTTCACTTCCATCCCTCCCCCCATCTCTTCCCTTCCTCTCTCTCTCTCTCTCTCTCCCTTCCCTTCCCCTCTCTGCGAATGCCCTCCCCTCGTCTCCTCCCCACCCTCTGCCGAGGAAGCGGAAACCCAACGGAAGCCACCAGAAGTTTAACGGAATATTCCCAAGTATCCGGCTAAACCAAACATTTTCCGTATGAATTATATATATATATATAATAGAAGAAATTTCCACGTCAGAGACGAGAAAAGCCCGCGGGCCCGCAACGAGAGAAGTGGCTTTAATGGGCCGTCCAACGAGAGCAGACAGAATATGTAATTAATAAAGAATTGGAGGTTATTTCGTAAAATTGCGTCCTCGCCTCTCTGTCTCCTTTCGTGGACAGCGATCGACAGTCTAGTGTCTGGTTCATCGTCGAGCAGTAGACGCTCCTGATTCCGGCGGCGATTTCTCTCTTGTTAACAGAGTCTTCAAAGGACATCCTGCTCTCTTCCGCCACCTGCTCTGTCGATCGAGAGAGCAACTCGCGTAGTATGCCTCACACACCCGGTCGCGCCGCTGGCGCCGGAACTGCCTGATGAGGTGGTGGTGGTGGCGGCGGCGGTGGGGCGTCTCCCTCCGCTTCTGGCCCTTCTTCTCCTTCAGGCATCCGGATTACACCGCTGTACCGGGCCCGGAACTCCTCGTTGGTGAGATCTGCGAACTGGTTGAGGGCGACGGTGTAGGAGTGCCCACCGCGGTTGTGGACCTCGATGTACAGTAGGTTGTCCTTGAAGATCGCTAGCCGCCGCTCCCTCTCCATATCATCCTCGTACTGCCGCCCGATGCCGCTCGGTCACCTCCGTCAGCTCGGCCGCCGCCGCCACAGCAGCAGGCGCGGAATCATCCCGCCGGTGCCGAGATTCAGCCGGAGCACCGTCCCCTCGATCGAAGCTACTGAGAACAAACATTTTCCGCATGAATTTTATACAAAAAATAGGAGAAAATTCCACGTCAGAGACCAGAAAAACCCGCGAGCCCGTTATCTTTGCACCAAGGCCGTGGGCATCCGGGGAGGAGTGGCGTTAACGGGCCGGGCCGATGAGAAAACCGGCCCAGTCAGAGCCCAAAAGGTCATACAGGATATGTAATTAAGTAGCGAATCGGGGGTTGTTTCGTTAAAATGTATCTCGCCTGCCTGTCTCCCTTCGTGGACAACGATCGACAGTCTAATGGCTGGTTGATCGTTGAGCTGTAGACGCTCCTGATTCCGGCGGCCGTTTCCTTGTCTGTTGGCGATTTCTCTCTGGTGGGTAGATCTCTGCGGTTGGGGGAGGAGGGGGAGGAGGGGTTCTCGGGTTTGGGAACCTGAGGCAAAAGGCTAGTTTTTTTTCTCCTCCGTCTTGCGTTCTTTGTAGCTGCCGAATCCATGGCTTCGCGGAGGAGGATGCTTCTCAAGGTTATAATTCTCGGGGACAGTGGGTATGTTTACTTGGCTCACGCTCCTGACTCAAGGTTTACGTTGCTCGATCTGGCTGCCTGTGTATGATATTCTCTGCAGAGTTTTCTACGATTTGTGGGTAATCATTGTATGTTCGATTGGATCTGCAAAAACAGAAAAAATTACGCTGATCATGAGAGAATTTTCTGGTTTTCTGTGGTTAACTTTAGCAAAACATATTCTGACTTTCTTCGCTCTTAATTCTGTCTCTGCTTGTCCTTTATAGGGTCGGGAAGACGTCTCTGATGAATCAGTACTCTCGAAACCCTATCCTCCCTTTTCCATTCTCTAATCTATGAGGGGTAAATATATATATATATAGGCTGATGGGGTTCCCTCTTGATCGGTGAATTTCTAGGTATGTCAATCGGAAGTTCAGTAATCAGTACAAGGCAACCATTGGGGCCGATTTCTTGACAAAGGAGGTCCAGTTTGAGGACAGGCTGTTCACGCTTCAGGTGAGTTCTAGGTTTCTAACGTCTGCCTTCTGCTATCTGGAACACCCTTTTTTGCCTCCCTTACTTTTTATGGCCATAATTGTTTTGATCTTGCCATTTTCTTTTCACATTTTGATGATCATCTCGTGAGCTTGATGATTTTATTGTTTTTTGAAGCACAAAAAATAAACCGTCTCTTTGTATCCACTAATTATGAATGAAGAAAGTACTTCTCATATGGGGTTTTCATCATCTTTTGTCCTCCTCTCTCTCTCTCTCTCTTTCTCTCTCTCTCATTATCTCTTTACCTCTATCTCCATCTATCTATACATAGGCATGTGCAGACGCACTCTTTTTAGCATGATCGGCAGAATGATATCACCTAGAATTAGATTTCGCATGTGCTTAGCATATCAAAGATCATTGATTGACTGAAGTATGAAATTAATGGCTTTAAGCATATTTATCACCAAGTAATAGGGTGCTTTTCCCTTTGATGAGAGGATCGGATACATGGCATTTGTGCTGATGAAAAAATTGAACGATTGAGAAAAAAAAAGACCATTGCTTTTCTTAATAATTAGGAAGGCATAGTTTCTTTGAAATGTTGCTGGGATCTAATCTTGTAGAGAGTTAGGGGCTATTGCCTCTATAATGCATCCATATCAATCAGCTATGAAGATAACATCTTGAGACGGTACATGCCTGTAGCTCATGCATTCAGGACCACTACTCATTGACATCCAGCAAATCACTATGAACTGAGGTTGGGGGGGAGTTGACATTATCACCTTTTGTTTTTGGATGTGTTCTTGACTATTCTCTACTGTCGTCACCAACTGACCCAATCATCTCGACCCCTGTCGTTGACAATATTTTTTTCTTTGGATACATTGGCCTTAGCATTTTTCATACCAACTACTCTTAACTTCTTTAACATGATTTTTCTTTGGAGCTTAATAGTCCTCTCCAATACTCATCTATAACCAGTTAACATGTTGAGAAACAGTGTCAAACGAAGCTTTTTCAAACAATTTATGTTGTCTTTTGATTTATTGGCATGGACTCCTATCAGTCGGGGGTAAGTCGTTCTATGTTTTACTCGATTTGACTCGGTTTTTTCAGCTTTTCTGTTGTCATCCAGGGCTTAGTTGGTCAACGTTTTACTTTTGTCCACATTTCTGCGCCGTCCCAGGCATTGGTCCGACATTCAAAAGCTTTCTACAACCTTTGACTTTTTCCTTTTTAGCCTCTGAACGTTTTCTGTCCGTATGACATGGCTTGTCCTGCAACGATTCAGAAAGCTAGACGGCATGATGGCTTTCCTTTTTTATCACTGAGGATTTTTTCATGCTGGTGACATGATCCAGATATCATCTGAAGTCAACTACAGGGCATTTTCGTTGACCCCATTTATTTTTTCTCATCAATCTATTAGAAAAAAATTGATTCTCTCAGTAGAAAAAAGTCTTCATGATTCAACTTTCTTACTATGCGCAGAAAACTTGAGCCTACGACCAACAAAAACTGTTTGACTCACTGCTTTTCCCCTGATCCTGCATCTAGATCTGGGATACAGCTGGGCAGGAAAGGTTCCAGAGTCTTGGTGTGGCTTTTTACCGCGGCGCTGACTGCTGTGTTCTTGTATATGACGTCAACGTCATGAAATCATTCGACAATCTGAACAATTGGCGGGAGGAGTTCCTCATCCAGGTGACCGCCTACCCTTCTCTGCTCGGAGGTCCATTCTCCATGACTGAACATTTGCTGATGAACTCCTGAATCATCTGCCATTGTGGGCTCAGGCCAGTCCTTCAGACCCTGAAAATTTCCCCTTCGTGGTCCTGGGGAACAAGGTAGATGTGGATGGCGGAAACAGCCGCGTGGTAAGATCTTCTTCTGACCATCCAGAAAGAGGAGAGATCTCCTGAGACTGACTCCCACACGCCGTTCCCTTCTTCTCAGGTCTCCGAGAAGAAAGCCAGGGCTTGGTGCGCGTCCAAGGGGAACATCCCCTACTTCGAGACCTCTGCCAAAGAAGGGTTCAACGTCGAAGCTGCTTTCCAGTGCATAGCCAAGAACGCCTTGAAGAACGAACCAGAAGAAGAAATGTGGGTACCAAGAAAGTTACAACCTTTCTTCCCCCCTAATTTTCATCTGTTCTGGGCATAAATCTTCCAGCTTAATCCGTCAAGGTCAACTGGACCGGCTGACATTTTGTTGTTTCCCTTGTTGAAGATATCTTCCGGACACAATCGATGTTGCCGGCGGGAGGCAGCAGGGATCCTCGGGCTGCGAATGCTAGATGGATGAGCAGAGATCCCAAGGCTGCTGCGTTGACTAAGTTACGTGTTTATAATAATGTGAAGGCGATTTTCCATCTCTATGCTCCGCCCCTGTAGAGACAACGCATGAAGATCTTCTGTTCTTGTGGATTTGGTGTATTTAATCTCCATTTATTCCGGATCAGATGTTGGAAAAAAATCTGAAATTGAATCTGGGAGACTACTCCCCTTGAAATTTGTTGGTGAAATCAGTCTGTAGCAGCTGGCTGCCAATCTGTTTTTTCTGGTCAATGCATCATCTGTGCTTCCCACAGGTTGACCAATCGATACACGCAGGCCGTTGACTATATCTCAGACTTCTCAACCCCCCCCCCTCTCCCCCCTCCTTTCAGAGCCTTTGAATGTCCATCTGGGGATAGATATGGAACCTATCCAAAAGTCAACGCACACATAGTAGGCCGTAAAAGTGGAAAATAACACGGATTAGATTATGTCAGACTTCGACTTTCAATTTGCACAAAGATCTTCCCACAAAGTGTTTGACCATCTCACTTCTTATATTTCCCGTCCAGATCCTTCGGATCTGTGTCTGGGGATTGAGATGGAACCCTAGTGATGAGCAGTATCAGGGCAGCCCCAATTAGGGCACCGGAGAAGTGAGCGATGTGGTTGACCCCATAGAGTTCCCTCCCCAACCCGCCATTCAAGCTTGTCGAAGCTCTTGCCGCCTCCATCACCTGATATCAGAGAAGAAGACCAACCAGCCGCAGCCCAAGCCTCTGGTTCAGCTTCTAAGGAGATGATAACAGGCACATATATATATACACGATAATGGCACTTTCTAATTAAAGTATATGAAACACTTGCCTTATCTATGACAAATTGCCCCAGAATAAGCACCTCGAGGATCTTCCTCCAGTCCCAAGATAGCTGCAAGGTAAATGTATATGTTGGTGATGAAGCACTGCCATGGAAAAGCTTCTGGAAATTCCTGGAAGAAAGATCTTGCGCACCTTGACAAGAACACTGATCGTGAAGAGCCCAAACACAGCACCAGAGGCTCCCATGGAAACTGCGGACCTCGGGAGGAGCAACCATGAGACCAGATTCGCCCCAACACCAGTCACAATGTAAGAGATCCACAGGCCGAGGTTCCCTTCTTCCTCCTCCACCAGCTTACCTGATTGAACAGGAAAACAAATCTCGGCAGCTCATCACATCGCTTAGAAGACAGTTCTGGAGTGGGGGCTCACCGCAATCTTACCAAAAATATATAAGAAAAATAGGTTGCTCGAAAGATGGTTCCTGTTAAGAAATAAGAGAAGAAAAAAAAAAGTCAGCTTTGCCCGGATGTGAAGCAGATTGACATTGACTCTTGATGTGATCTGATAACTAGACAAAGATGCCATTGCCACTGGGTCTGTGGATGGTGGAGAAGCCTCACCAATCAGCATGGCAGAACGTTGCAGTCACAAATTGGTACCAAGCTGGCCACCTGTGGTACAAATACAGCGCCTTCACCTGTTGAAGCTGAGCGAAAACCCAACAGATTTCATGTCTCAGATGATCAGAATCTCTGAAACTTTGGAAGTAATATCGAAAGGAAGAATCATATCGCACAAAAAGATTGGAAATTCACTGATTAAAAACGAGGTACAAACTATCTTCAAATCCTTGGGCAGAATTGGAAGAAGAAGAAAGATGAGAAGTTCGATTACCTGAAGCAGATGATCAGCCACAAAAACAGCTAGGTTCAGAAGCAGGATCCAAAAGATTCCGTTCACTTGTCTGGTGGGTTTCCTACTGGGCTTCTCCAGCTCCAACTGTGATGTCAAATCTAGGAAAAAAAGGGCTAATGTAAAAGAAGTTTACAGTGCAAAGGGCATCAGGGGCATGAATGTGGACGCTCATGCCCCCATCTTCCAGACCCATGTCTATTTTTCTCAGAACAGGAGCTTGATTCCATTGGTTTTCCGGCTAAAACTTTCACCATCTGAAGGAAACCCATCCAAACTAGCCCATGGTACAAAGAGGTGGGTTGCAGGAGCTCTGTCCTCCCTAGCGTTTACTCTCGCAATTGACCGTCCTCCCCCCTCCCACCAAACATATCGGGTATACCAACAAACAGGCAATGAGCGCACTCGATGCTGAAAAGTTCAGGTCGCGTAGGGAGGAACCATTTGGGAGCACAGAGAGAGAGAGAGAGAGAGAAGAACCTGATTTCCTCATACGGCAGATGTGGCGGGGTAGAGCAACGGCGGCGGGGAGAAGCGCGGCCCTCCGTCGGAAAGCGAGTCTACGATCTCCTGCTCGGGGGGCTGCCGGCGGAGCCGCGCGAAGAGTGGAACGGGGACGCCACCCATCGAGTACAGAGATCCGATGATTGCTGAGAAAGAAGCAGCAGGGCGACTCCGCCACGCCGGGCCTGAGAGCAAGCGCCCCCCGGGCCATCTCCGTCCGATGCCTCCGGATGGCGTGATAACAGTAAAATTTACAAATGAGTCAAAGTCTGAACCTCAGCAGCTCCACCACTTCCCTACCTCTGAGAGAGAGAGAAAGACAGACAGATGAGAGAGATTGAGATAGAAAGAGAGGAGAGAGAGAGAGAGAGAAAGATAGAGAACTGGTCCAGCCCATTATTTTCAGCCCCAATAAACTTCAGGCCCAAAAAGCCCGTACCGAGCCCCCCTCATCCTTCCTCCAGGTTGGAAAACCCCCACAAACCCCCTACCCTTCCCTGCGAAGCCTGCGTTTTTCCCCCTGAAACAGCTCCGCCGGGGAAGATGGCCTCGCTGCCCCATCTCCTCCTCCCCACCCACCAAAATCCTAACCCTCGCACCGCCACCCTCCTCTCCTCCTCCTCCGCCATCAGGTCTCACCGGGTCAGCTCGCCCGTCACCTCCGCCAAACCCCTCGCCTCCTCCCAGAAGACCCAGCTCGCCGGGTCGACCCAGTTGGAAGCCCTCCCTCCTCCCTGGAGAAGCTTCTCACTGGGCTGGCTCACCGGGTCGAGATGGAGCCGTCGCGGCGGCGAGAAAGCGCCGGAAGGCGGAGGAGAGGAGGAGCGCCGCCGTCTGGGGGTTTTGGCCGGCGTATCTCCGGCGGACGCGAGGGCGGCGCTGGTGGCCGCCGCCGTCTCTCTGGCCTTCCGGCTTTTCATGGCGGAGCCCCGGTCCATCCCTTCCTTGTCCATGTACCCCACATTTGACGTTGGAGACCGGATAGTTGCAGAGAAGGTAAACTCACTCGTCCTCTACCTGGTGTACCCATTGGCTGATGAATGAATCCTCATGCGGCGCCATCGGTGGCCAGGTCTCGTACTTGTTCAGGACACCCTGCGTGAACGAGATTGTGATATTCAAGAGCCCACCAGTCCTGCAGGTAAGAATTCGACAGAAAATAGTAATTTTGATCGGTACATGTGAAAATGATTCTGAGTTCCCCTGTATTATACAGGAAATTGGATACAGCGACGAGCAGGTCTTCATCAAACGGGTCGTCGCCAAGGAAGGTGATGTAGTTGAGGTGATCATTCCTCTCTCTCTCTCTCTCTCTCTCTCTCTCTCTCTCTCTCTCTCTCTCTCTCTCACACACACACACACACACACACTCACTCACTCACTCACTCACTCACTCACTCACTCTAATCTGGTCTGTGATCCTGATGTTTAATTGTTTTTCGGTGTGGAAGGTGCAAAATGGGAAGCTCATAGTGAATGAGAGAGAGAGAAATGAGGACTTCATTCTTGAACCCCCATCATACGACATGAACCCTACAGTGAGTCTTAGATTCCCCCCCTCAGTCAACGCCTATGTTTGCATGAGCCGATGGGTGTTCTTCGTCACAGAAAGTACCAGAGGGCAACGTCTTCGTGATGGGCGACAATCGAAACAACAGCTATGATTCCCACATCTGGTATCCTCTAGCTGCATTCTATAGATCTAATTCAAACGATTTTTTATATTTCTGCTTCTGGTTGGCTGATTTGGGATCTGTGTGAAGGGGGCCTCTGCCGCTGAAGAACATAGTGGGGAGATCTGTGTACAGGTATTGGCCGCCGGACAGGGTTGGGAGCACCGTCAGTAGAGACGGGTGGGTGCCTGTGGGATTAGGGTTCTTCGCTCGTCCATAATCTGGGCGGGAAGGAGATTTCGCCATTGTTTTGCTCATGGATGGTCTCCCTGTGAATCGGAATTGAGTATTTTGTATAAAATTTGTGGTTTGTGGATTCAAGTGCGATGAATGTCTGCTGAAGCATATGGTTAATCGGACGTTTGCTAAGTTCACGATGTGTCGATAGGATCGTGAAATCATTGTATATGATCGGTTGCAGAAAAACATTGTAAAAAGTAGATTCATGCGACAATCAGTCTGAGTTGGATCCGATTTTAGCTCGTCAAGTGAAAAAGATCTAGCAACAACGTCAAACGAACACATCGTCATCCATTCGAGGGAACGAATCCGAAATTTGATCCGAATGACATTCAGTCAAACGAACAGATCACGCTACAGAAATGAAGTAATCGGAATTTTTGCATCTAATCATACATAGTATGATGGTGTTGAGAAAAGAGGGTGAGAATCTCGGATGAACCATCGCACAGAGACAGATCATCAAGTTTCCGAGACAAGAATAGAATAAATAATCAATAGACATTCAGAAAAAAGAGAGATGACTCGATACTCAGCAGGTACCCCCGTGGAATGAAGCGAGTATAAACGGACAGTAGTATAAGGTCAACGTTTGCCAGAGACTCCAAGCATTGTTGGCCATATTGAAGGAAGCACTATTTGCACAAACAGACAAGGCAAGGGAAATCCAAAGCATTTAGAGGCCTCACAGAGAAGAAAAGGTCTCTCCACGTCAACTTCAAGGATGAGCTCGCCATTGAATAGACTCCGCATCATCGGCCCCGGCATACTTGACTAAAGATCCGGCAACTCCGACAGGAACTTCTCACATCCAGGAGAGACAAAAACGCCGAGACCGAGAGACGGCGCGATCGGGATTCCGAGTCAGAACTTGGGAGGTGTTGTGTTTTCTCAGGCCTGCCGGCCAGGTGATCCGCAATTACGACGAACAGGACCTTCTTCCGCTGGAAAAGCAGGAGCCGGAGAAACGGCGGCGACGGAGGAGGGAGAGGCGGCGCCACCAGCAAGGCGGCGAAGGCCAGACGAGAACGTGAAGAGCCCTAACTGAATGTGTCTCAGGAGTGTCCCGGGACGAGAAGCCACGCCAGTCCATGAAGATTCTCCCTTTTCTTACGTGCAATTCCCCTCTTTCGGTAAGCATCCTGTATCTCTGCAAATGAACATTTCTCTAAGCTTATCCTGTAGCCACCGATGGACTAAAACCAATTCTTCTTAGAAAAGGTCGATCGATGAGTTGTTTCTTCTCCCGCAGTCTCCTTCATCGCAACGATTCTGACACAGTTGCCTGCTTGCTTGCTGGCCCCCGTCTTCTGGTTCCTTCCTTTCCTTTCTTCCTATGAGGTGACGAGGTGCTTCTCGAGTTCTCCTTTTGGGCTTCTTGAACCGGCCGAGCCCATTAATATATGAACGCAGAGGCTTTCTTTCCTCGACGGGAGCCCAGCCAACAACAAGTGTGGGACCGCTGATAGTGGGCTTTTAGATCCAGCCCACTTAGACCTTCCCTTCTGCGTCCACATAAAGGGATTTTTCAATTTTAGCCCCTGGAAATCCCTTTATTATTATTAAATCCATCTCTTTATCTCCCTCCTCCCTCCCTCGAAATAACACCGTTTTTTTTAAAAAAGCTAATTTATCAATTAATTTTTATAGAAACTTATGAATAATTCATATTTTCTGGTGGCTAGTTAGTAATTCTCAGAATATTAAAAACCAGAGGAATTAACTCCCCCCCGGCGGTGGAGATTGAACCCCTCTCTCTCTCTCTCTCTCTCTCTCTCTCTCTCTCTCTCTGAAATCTCTGAACTCTCTTGATGGAGGCCCACTCCCGAGGCCATTAAGCTTTTCCCCGTTGACTCTCCTCGACGGGAAGAAAGAGACTGCGCAATGTACATGCAGATGCTGCTGCGATGATCGGGGGAGCCGGAAGTCAAACTGCAAAGACCTCCGCAACGAGCAGATTGAGGAGATGACTTTCCAGGAGACGAACGATCCCTCGAGCTTCTTCCGCAGGAGGGACCTCCTCCCAGCCCGGATGCCAAGCCCCCCTCTTGCTGCACCTCAGATCTCTCTCCAGCCGCCGGCAGAAGCTCTCTTCTTCTCCGCCCCGGCCGCCGCCACAGCTCCTCACACCCTCGATTTCTCGGCTTATCTCCCCCGCCAGCAGGTTCGCGGAGGTGGCCGCTGCCGCCATCTCTGGCGGAGTGGGGAGGAGGGAGGGAGAAGGGCGGCGGAGCTTGGAGGCCATCAGCTCTCTGGCGCAGTCCGAGAGGAGCTTGGAATCGCCGGCGGCGGTCGTCTTCTTCCCTGGGTCGAGGTTGAAGAAGAGCTCTCGAGCAATGGCAGGCGAGTTCTCTCCCCTATGGCTGTTGAGCTTCGCCGTGGCCTCCCTCGGCCTCCCTGAAATATGTAAGGAAACTGCTTAAGAAAAGGAGGGAGTTGGATCGGAGTGAGATTTTTCTACCAGTGATTAGAGTACCTTCTGTGAGAGTGATCGTACAGGGGGCTCCTTCTCCATGGGAGGAGAGATTAGAAGGGGAAGAAGAAGGGGAGGACATGGCCGGGGCGCCTCCTCTTCCATGGCAGACAACCATCTCCTTGTCCTCCTGCAAGAAATGGAGGGCGACCCTTCAGTTTTCCGGAGAAGGTAAAGCCTACCCACCTGCTGCTGAGCGCAGGAAAGAGTTCTCCTCACCGGCGGCGACGCCGGCGGCCGTCTCACTGGTTTAGCCTTCGTCGCCCTCCTCTCCCTGGTCGACTCGACGGATTTCCTCATAGTCGTCTTCGTCGAGGAGGAGCTCCTCTGGACGGAAACCTGGTTCCTCGCCGGAGCTGATGGTCTCCTCTCCGGCTTTCTCGCCGGCGGTGGGTTCGTCGTCTTGATCTGATATCTCGTGCTCCTGTTCTTCATCTGATGCTCTTCGAGCTTCCTGCGGGCCCTGGTTTCCTCCTTCGTCTTTTTGACCGGAGGGGAAGCTACCGACTTTATTTTCTCCGGTGGGTCTCCCACCTCCACCTCGCCGGAATATTTCCTCTCCTCCATCGCCGCCGCCGCCGCCAGGTGCATGGGCTTGATGATCACGATGGGTGGCTCTTCTTCTTCATCTCCCGGGATTCGCCGAAGATACGGAAGCGCCGGCGACTGGAGCAGGGTTTCTTCATTGCGGGCCGCTCCGAGAAGGCCCTTGACCTTCATGCTCTCTATGATATCCTGCAGCCCCTTTCTGCTCCGATCTGGTTTCTCCGCCGCCGCCGACGGCGGAGCTTCTTCCAGGCCCATGAGCCTGGCTATCAGGTTCGGAGCTCTGGGCTTCTCCGGCGACGACGGCGGCGGCGGCGGCTTCGTAGACCTCCCCGAGAGGAGGTTCTGCCGGTAAAGATTGTCCCTGATCACATTCCTGAGCTCCTCCACGCCATTTCTCGAGGACCCAAACCTCCCGGAACCAGTCAACACGGCGGCGCCGCCTGCTCCTCCGGCGGGCGGCCCCTCCTCCCTGAAGCTGCAGCCCTGGAACCTCCTCCTTGACTGAGTCAGCAACTCGGAAGATCTCTGGAGCTTCTCCAGCATGAGGAGCGACTCCTGCAGATCAAGAGCGCCCTTCAGAAGCAGATCCACCGACAAGTCCCCCGCTCGGCCATCGAAGCTCGGGGACTTGGACCAGGTGTCGATCATCTGGTTTATCTTCTTCGCTTCCCTGGAGATTTGCAGAAGCTGGGGGTCGCCTTTTCCCCTGCAAACTCCTCCCTTTCCTTCTTCCCCGCCCCCCCTCCTCTGCCTCCACGAGAAAGGCCCCTCAGACTCCATTATCCGACCTGTAGAGAGAGAGAGAGAGAGAGAGAGAGAGAGAGAGAGAGAGGTGTCGGCTTAGCTTCCTCTGTTCTGGTTCTCTCTCACTCACTCTCTTTCTCTCTCTATGGTGGGTGGGTCTTGAATGCGTAGAGAGATCCGCTGTGGCGGGGAGCGGCAGGCTTATGGAGGTGAGCTGGTCAAAGACTTCTTCAGCGGCTCCTGACGGACAGCTGCGGCCGGGTTGGTGTGGGCCGCGGGCTTCTGGCCCAATAAATACGAATTAATAATGGATCGTCCGTGGGTTTTTCTACGTCAGCAGACCGTACGGTGGAGGAAAAGGAAGATGTCGTGGCGTTCGCCGACTGGTTAACTTGAGATCAGTCAACTGGACAGAGATCCGATCTCCGCGTCGAAGACAGTGGGGCCCGGCATGCGGATTGTCCCAAGGGCGACAAATGGCTTGCCAGATCATCGAGCTTACACCTGTCAGTTCGGATGTCTGGGGGGCTTTATGTAAAGTGGCTAAATGTCGGTAAGGTCGGGATGCCACATGAATGAAGAATGAGGTGTTTTCTCAAAAATTCATTTTTTCCTCCTTGGTCATATGCTACCCGTTTTACCGCTGGAGAGGGGCCCGAGCCGGCGGTGGCGGCGGCATTATAATAGAGAGAGAGAGAGAGAGAGAGAAAGAGAGAGATTCATCTTCTCTCTCTACGGGGCAAGGCAGCGTCTCCGTCCTCTCGGACCCATTATTCACGGCTGTCCCTTTCTTGTGGCTAACCCTGCCTACTAAAAATGTAGAGCGAGAGAGAAAGAGATGAGGCTGAAACACGGGAGATGAGGTCAGGTCGGCTCGTGCTCGGGGCCGCGGGGAGCTCGTCGGCACTGCCGATGCCGCAGAGTGGCAATGCCGTTGACCGCGAGGCTGGCCGGCCGTCAGAAGAAAGTCTACGAACATATCGCTCTATGACCGCAATGGAAGGAGAAATTAGGGTATTGGAAATACTCAAGCTTGGTTCGCGCGACAAAGTTGGGATTTTTGGAAGAAAATAACCCAAAATCGATCCCCAACCTTCAGGGATAAACTCAAGTCGTAGACTAGAGAGAGAGAGAGAGAGAGAGAGAGAGCTAAAAAATCACAGGTAGAAAGCCTCAGTCCATCTTTACTCTCTCTAGCTCGCTGATGATCTCTTCGAACTGCAGAGTTTTCCCAAATAAAGAAAATGGAGAAGAAGATCAGAATTTTAAGGGAAAAAATTAAAAACCCACGTAGAAAACGATGGCAGCAAACAGGGATGAACTGGGTTACCTTCAGAGTCTGCCTTAAGAAGTAATCGCCATAATTTTTGGTTGACTTTTGGTCTACGACGTGGATAATATCCTGCATTTGTAGCAATGATCTGATCAGAATATCTTTCGTAAAAGAGGGTTTCCACCTGGTCAACTGTATACCCTGATTCGGTCAATTCTATTGTTGAAAAAAAATGAAGAAAATATAGTCGGTGCATGCCTCGTTGATGCAGAAATCGATGTCGGCGTTAGAGACGATCTTCCCTTCATTATCTACAACGTGGGTTTTGTGCTTATACGTCATCAAGATGGTCCTGATAGGAAGATAACAGAGTTCACGTCTCCAGTCAAACACAGCCCATAAAGTCAAACACCGGCGATGATAGAAATCCCCCCCGGGGGAGAGGGGGGGGGGCTGACCTCAGAGTCGCCTCGTCCACCTCCATGTAAGTGGCAAGCTTCCCGACAGAAATGGTGGAGTAGAGCTTCAAGAAGGTGCGTATGCTGGCCAGCAATTGCTGCTGCTTTACTTCATAGAGGAACAGCTTCAGCTGCAGCCTGTAAGCATCCTGCGAGAAATCATTTGAGGATTTTCTTCAGTCACTGGGGAGTTGGTCGATGAACAGTCCTCGACGTTCGGATAATGCAGAAAATTAGTGAAAAAATACGGGGATCCGTTGACTTTTTTGTACATCCGTGAGAAACATCAAACTATGACCGACCGTTGACTTTGGAACTAGATAAAAATCAGGCCTAAAAAGAGATAGAACCCATAAACACATGCCTGCGCATGAAAAGGGAAAGACGTGATTGACCGATACAAACTAACATACGGATACTGATCACTTCATACTACAAAAAAAAAGAATAAACAGCAGATTTGGGTCCATATTTCATCCTTGAAGAGCCAAGAAATATCATAGTCAAAATATTCTGGATGATCAGGTTATGCATACCTGGTTGTAGTTTGCAAGAGGCTCATCGAAAATAGGAGCAGATGGAGTGATAAACTTGGGGCACGCATACGAAAAGAGTTCATCATAAAGACCATATGCCTCGTCGTCAAATCTCTGCATTCTCAGCATCTTGTCATTGTACTTCTCCTTTAGCTGAGTGATAACGTTTTCATCGACCAGTTTCGTTTGAGGGCACAGAGAGAGGCAAATTGCCTGCAGCGCATACATCTGCTCATTCTTCTTCAAAATCTGATCATATTGAGGAGATTTCTGATGGTATTGCTTGGTCTTCAGAATATACAACAGAACCTTATTGAACTCTTTTATTGCATCACCATACCTAAGAAGATGCAAGACACTTAAGCATTGGCAATTTTTGAAGAAAGGAAATAAAAGTGCAAGGAAATTAAGCTAGGCTTGATAAATATATGAATATATGAAGGATAACAAAAAGATTAGACGAAAAAACCATGGGCAAGGGGGACAGATATCAACAAAAACCCTAAGAACTTTTCAAGAATGCAGATACAGGGACTCAAATAAAATCAATAAGGGCATTCTATTGTCAATATCCTTACTTTCGACCCTCCCACTTATACACCCAATATCTTCTGGATAGTCCCTATTCTAACTCTTCTGGAACAATTTTTGCACAACCAAAGCTACACAGCGCCCACTTTCTACAGTTCCCATCTTTCACACCCATTTAAATAAATAGGCTAGATTCTAACATCTGATCTTTATAATGCCCAGTTCTCCATCATGCTTGCCTTTCCAAATGCCTCCCCTGTGTCGCATTATGATCCCCCACATCAACTCTACTCCATGCATAATGCAATATTGATCGTCGATGTCATCAGCTTCAAGATAAAAAGGAATGATAGAAACGCAGGATAGGTTGCCTTACAAAGCGCTAACCTGCATTCATAAACCATGACCTTTCATTTCCAACCTGTTGATTTACAATTGAATTTCACTGCCCAAGTAATCGCAGCCAATTTGTTCCCATCTCAAGTAACAACAGAACGAAATATTCTACTTCATGCTTGCTATTGGCCAGGTTAGCAAAAACCTCAAGCCTCAAGTTCTATCTCAAGGTATAACTTATGAAACAAAACTCTAACCATGGCCGCAAAGATGGACAGTGATTACCATGATATAGAGTATCACATGCTTGAGGAAGAAGTTGATTCCACCGGTCCAAAAAAAAAAAAAAAAAGTCGCAGAGCATAAAACGGATAGTTTCATTATCACGCAGGATATTCTACTCGTTCCCGAAAAAATCAGGCTCGACAATAGTATCATTTGCAGTCCCAGCGTATTAGACCAGAAGTCCCTCACAAGGAGCTCCGATAAGAAGTCTAGAGAGAATTATTGACACAAATAATCCATTCTTAGGTCAAATGACGTGCTGAAGACGAGCACATACGAGAGAACTATGACTAGAACTCGATGTTTGACACTCATCTAGCATAGCACAGAAAATAAGGCATTCCAACTACAGTTTCAATAGAGAATAAGAAAAGGGGCGCACCTTCGCAGCATTAGGCTTGCAAAACCATAGTGGTATATCGTAGTTATATGGCTTCCAATAACAATGGTGTAGACACCCTGCTGATTGATGTCTATTGGAGCCAAACATTTGAGTCCAGTTTGATAATCTCCAAGCAGACAGTGAACTCGCAGTAATCCTACCATGCTGTAGTAACCCAAAACCTTCAAAACATTGCTTCCACCTTCATAGTCATAACCATCTGTAGCTGTGAACTGTTCCAGACCCTCTTTCTCTCGTTCCAAAATTTGGGTTATCAGAGATTTCTCCACAAGAGCTTGCAAGTAATTAAGCACACCATACACACTCCACGCCTACAAACCAGAAAATGCAGTCATATATCTACTAGTAGAATGACCACGTCAAGGACAAACAACAGAAAAGAAATGCACATGAGAGAACAGAAAGACATGAAGACAGTTTTGTATACCATCAACGACCGGTATACCATACATCATAATAATAAAAACTAATAAAAATAGCAGTAGTCCAAAAAACCCACCTTCCAGTGAGCAAACAAAAGTTATCGTCTACTAAAACAGAATAGAATATGAGATTCAATATCGAGGCACTGTAAAAAACTCGAGAACGCTGTAAACTGCATCCCACAATGGAAAGACTAATACCCAAATTGAGGAGTAAAACATAAATTAATATACATGAAGGAAGCCAAGACATAAATTTCATGGGAACAAAGCAAACCTCAAAAAAATGATATTCGAATCAAGCATAGCACCAAGTCTACACGTAAGACAAACTTTCCATCCTCCAAGTTTTCGAGCCATTTATATGGGAGGAAATTGATAAACCACCGAAGCTTAAAATATATTCATGGAAATCTACATGTAATGCCAGAAAGCTAGCGCACTTCAGTGGTTTTTTTTCCAAGCGTGGACAGTAGATTGCAAACTTTTAGCTTTGAAGATTAGAGGACAACTCAGACATTCATTTGTCGTACCTTAAGTTGTAAAAATGTTGCAAGTGTGGCATTATTAGACCAAGAGTTTAGATAAGAGCCTTCGAATTAGGTTCATAAGTTAGTCTTCAATCCGCAATGAGAGGAAGAAGAATGCACAACACGGCAGTTAGGTTGGCCATTTCAGGATCTCTGGCTAGAACATCAAAAACGTGTATAGAACAGTATATTTCCCAAGTTTGTCTATATCTTGAAGAACAACTACAGTTTATCTTTTTAAGAGATTTACGAAAGGGCGAGGGCAAAAATGAGAAATGGAGAGACCATTGGTGTCGAACAATTGAATTCACTTGGAAACATAATTCAATATGATTCAAAGAAATAAAAAAGTTTAGAGCTCCCATAAATATGTGAAGGTATCTACTTGGTGTTGCTACATACCACTTAGCACAAGTTTCAACATAAGGAGAAGCCGAATATCCCACCTACACCCTCAATATCACACAAGAAAAAAACACCGTGATATGTGCATGAGTAAGCGTTACAATGGGTACACATTTTAGTCAGTAAACAAGGAACACAGATAATGCTCCATGATGAAAATAAAAAACTTGAATCGGAGAAGCGCGGATAACATAAATACTGAATCCAAGAGGACCATGAGCAAGCACAGCAGGGAAAATTTGCACGTTATTTCCCTTACGATATAAAATACAAAACTCCACCTGGTCATATTGGCGCAATAGCTGCAGCTCCTCATCAGTTTTGCTCTTCAGTTTGGCCCGGTATTGGCAGTAAGACTGGAACTGGTAGACGAACTCGTCCACCATGTCCCACAGCCACTGGTTGGGGAGCTGCATGTTCACAACACCGTGAAGCACCACACTGAAGAGACTGCAATAGTTGTCCCACGACTCCACCCGCTGCCGTCCCGTCGGGGCCAGACGCGCATAAAGATGCCTAAACCACATCTCCCTGTACAGCAGGCAGAAAACGTGGTCGTTATCCACGTACGGCGCCACCGCCTCCACCGACGGCCAGGGGCTCTCCCGGAACATCCGCTCGCTCAGCCTCTGGAAGCTCCCTTCATACATCTGATGGATCTCGTAGACATTCCTCTCCCGGATGTGCCGGTACAGGTGGACGACGAACGTCTTCACCGAGTCCGGCACGAAGTTGGGATCGTACCCCACATCAGAAGACTGAGACGGGGCCTGCTGGCGGCTGTCGTAGGGCGGATCGTCGTAGCCGTACGAAGCCCCCCCCTCCATCGTTGCAAGAAATTCGAGCACTCCTTGCAGACGCGGAGGTGAAGATGGAAGGCAACGCCGGAAGCCGTTTTAGGGTTTTGAGAGGAAGAAGGAAGCGTCCGTCATAGACGAAGCACGAATCTGGATACAGGGACCCCATCACTGTTGATCAGGTACTCCCTCCCCTAAACCTACGAAATTGACGGTTGGGATAGACACAACAAAGAGCAGGCTTATTTTGCAGAATTACCCCCGAAGCACTATTTTTTTATTGACATGCCCAGTCCCGGAGGGGAAGTCCGTCCCGGGCCGGGCTGGCTCGTTTCACCAAAAGTGCTTCAAAATACGGCCCGAGCATGTTCGTCCCGGGCCAGCCCCGTTGACACACATCCTTCAATCAGATCAAATCGAACGGTCAAGAACAGAGCACCCAGATCAAAATCACGACACTCCACCCAACGACAACGGCGCACTCTTTGGACCCAGGCCGGTGACAGGTCGAGCCTGGGATTTCTGTGGCCCGGCCCGTTGACCAACCGGGTACCCACCGGGGGCTTTCAGCAAATAACCCCACCATCATCATCATCATCAGTGAGGAAAAAAGAAAATGGAAGCGAGAGAGAGAGAAAGAGAGATTTACAGAAGGAAGATCTCATGGGATCTCATGGTCGGTGTCGTCTCCAGGGCCATCATCTTCTTCTTTTTCTTCCTCTTCTTCTTCTTCCGAGGAGAGGAGGGACGAGCCCATCCAGGCCTTGAAGCCTTCGTTCACCCGCCTCTCCATCTCCGGAGAGAGCTCCTGCGCCGGCCCCAGCATCTCCAACCCGAAGCTCCGGCCGGGGAGGTCGCCCTTGTCAAGCATCCCCGGCGCCCTCCTCCTCAGGAAGAAGGCGGTGCCGCCGTAGAGGGCCACCAGCCCCCACGAGGAGATCTCGTAGCACCAGAACAGGGGCACGGAGCAGCTGCTTCCCAGCGTGAGCAGGCTCGAGCCAAGAAACAAGCCAAGTAGGCCGAAGACCACGGCGAAGATCACGTTGAGGATCGAGAGGCAGCGGACCCCGCCTGTACAGAAATGGAGAGGCCACTGTTAGAGATGACCCAAGCAGAGGAGAAACCATCGATTGATGAACTTATTTCTATCGGCAGATGCAGAGTCATAGATATGATAATCTGCAGGAACATCTCAAGAACAGGTCCGACTGATGAATTCGACTGATTAATAATAGACCCCGTTGACCTCTGAGGAACATCCCGAGAAAAAGTCCAGCGGGAAGATCTGCTGTTGGTGTAATTTCATCCGGGAAACTTCCATACAATTATCGAATTCGATAGATTATTATTAATAATGACGGATGCAAAGTTAACTGAACTAAAGAAATCTGACCGGGTAAGACTTTGAGGAATTGTCCTCGATGTAATTTCATGGGGGAAATTTCTGACCCCACTGATGGATTCGATTGATTAATAACATGAATGGATGCAGATTTATTGAACCAAAGAAATAAACCATGTAGAACATTGGGGAGCGTGTCAAGAAAACAGTAATTTAAGTATATTAGAGTCTCTGTGACTAGACCAATTATTAACAACAGACTTATTAGGCCACGTAAAACTCTGAGGAATTTCTTGAGAGATGATCAATGAGACCCACTATTTAGTTAATTTCTGTGGAGAAACTTCCAACCCGTTGACTTCCTTGCGCAGTAATAATCAGCAGAGCCACAAAAAAGGTACCCAAGTTTGTCTAGACTAAGCTTGAGCTTTTTTTGGCATGACGCTGTGATTGTTCTCTAAGATGGATGCATGATGCTTCAGGACCTAAGTACCTTCAATGAGCCAAAGATCAAGACTTTCTTGAGAGATGGTCCATGAGATCCGCTATTAACGTATTCTCATTGGAGAAACTTCCAACCCGTTGACTTCCTTGTGCAGTAATAATCAGCAGAACCACAAAAAAGTACCCAAGATTGTCTGAACTAAGCTTTTTTGTACATGATGCTGGGGTTGTTCTCTAAGATGGATGCATGACGCTTCAGGACCTAAGTACCATCAATGAGCCAAAGATCAAGATAGAAGAAGATCGTGTAGCAATGAAGAAAGAATATTACCTCTTTTTGACGCACAGTAGTTATTTTCCACCACCTTCAAGCACGAGTGTCTTGATGAACCAGAATAAGCAATGGACATTCCTACAAAGTGCATGTGACATGGTTATTTGAGGCTGAAACGAGGTAATCTAGTGTCATCTTACGCAGTTGCAGTGAAGACACAGCCAGGATACAAGAGAAAACTGGTTGTGTCCCTTGGCATGGTTATTTGAGGCTGAAACGAGATAATCTAGTGTCATCTTACGCAGTTGCAGTGAAGACACAGCCAGGATACAAGAGAAAACTGGTTATGTCCCTTCCAAAGGATTGCGCAAAACCTGAACCCCCAACATATTCTGTCTATAATGAACGATACATCAGTCTGAGCTATTAATATAGGAAATGATCTTGCTTACTCTTACATCATCCAATCAATTTTTAACACTTCTAAGAGTAGTAAATATTTTGAAAGGTCTGCAAGAACGGACCCAACAAAGTTGAAAATCTATGTTAATTTCAGCTTTATCGTAATAGCCTCTGATATTTATTTCTATTTTCTGATTTTCTATGTTTTTTTTGTATCTCATCTCCCAGATGTGGCACTTCTTTCAATAAAAGTCTACGCTGATTCATTTGTGTCCTGATCTTCTTCAGTTCATCACCATAAATTTACATGAGCCCGTGAAAATCCATCAGTACCCACCCCTGCCAGCAAGATCAGCCACTTACGTTCAAGATCCTAAGAAACATAAGGTTCACTAGCAGGTCCAGTGGAAACCCCAGGTTGAAACACCTACAAAGCGATTTTGTACCTGCCATATTCATCCTGTAAACATAATGTATAATTATCTTAGTCTCAGATTCAGATCAGGCATTTGACCAGGAGCAACAAACGGGAGGAAGGAGTATCATTTGATGAGCCACAAATCCCTATAGAACATAATAAACCTTTTCTCAAACGGTCTAATATCGAAAACAGCAGAAGAGGCTGGAAGAGGAGAAACTTGCTATGGGATTGAGCTACAAATCAATTATTAAAGCAATGATCGCTTTGGATTCTGTCAAAGTAAAAAGTAATGGTAGTACTCAAGCTTCAAATAACTCTGATGCGAAAATCATGTCAAGTGCACATTATCTTATAACGTATACTGCAATATTGTTCTCGTTGGTCAGGAAGCAGAAAAAGAGGATGATGATGATGATGATGATGGCGATGGTGATGGTGGTGATGTTGTAAAGAAGCTAACTACTGTGGAAAAGGAGGGCCATGCACCTGTGTGAAACAAGCAGCATAAGAGAGAGCACAGTCATCAGACAGGATTTTGGTGCCAACAAGAGTACGAACTCCATAGTCTTCATCCCCCTCAACCATTGCTAAATCAAGAGGAGAGAGGAGCCGGTCTGACTCGCGTACTTCCCACTCATGTAGTAAAATTCTCAATAGCTTTACAGACATGCAATGAAAGCAATAGGAATTCTTCTTTTATTCATGTGAGAAAATTCTCATCCAATTCAAACTGAAGAAAAAAAACTAGTTTAATGCGGATATAAATCCTCCAAGAACAAGATTGTTCTTGATCAGCTCAATGCAAAGAAAATAACATCATTAGGTCTACATTTGATCCATGGGAACCAAAAGGAGAAAGCTTCAAGACTCACCAGCGGAAAGGTATAGAACAGAGGCAAAGAAGATGATTGCGGATGGAATAAACACAACCATCCAGTAGTATTCTGCTGCTTCATCGTCTGTCAGGTAGAATGCTCCTCGATATTGATGAACATCAGATTCCCGCAGAGACAGTGCCTGGAACCTCTTGTCGTGGCAGAATACCCTACGACCCGTCTTCCCAGGGAAGACGATGTTCATACTCAAGGAGACGGACACAAGGATGGCGCAGCAGATGACTGAAGCGAGCGCTACGACCAGTGGTCTCTGGAGGCGGGCCCACGCCTTCTCCTCCTCCCGAAGATTATCGTACTCGTGCTTCGGCATGAACGCCTGCCGGAGTGCGTCGCCAATCACTGCCATTTGAAGAACTACAGTTCCCTCTTCAGCTCTTGGGCAGACGAGGCTAATCTACACCCTCGCATGGGAATGAATGCGAATCAGGACGAAGAAACCCCTGATTCGAAGACCTCTCGCTCGGGAACCAAAACCCTAACTCAGGACCAGAAGCGTCGCACGACGGGGAGACACAATACCGAGGAATTCAAGCCCATCCACCCGCCCTAGTTGACTCTAGGGCTCCTCCTGAACGCCGATCCCAGAATACCCGAAGACGGCGAAGCCGAGATGCGCTCCACTCCCCCGAATGTGGATCCCCCACCGGGGTCAGTACGGCCTCGACCCTCCTCTCCCTCTTCTCCTCCCCGCGTTCATCGAGGAGGAGCCCGATCTCGGCCGCGCCCCCGAGAAGCTGCAAGAAACTGCAGCACCACCCAGCATCCACGCAGTCCGAATGGAAATCTTCAAATCATTTATATACCGATCTCAATTCGCAATGTAATTAGTATTATTATATTATCAATCATTTAACCCCCCCTCTCTCTCTCTCCCTCTCTTCCTCCACCCTCATCTCCACTGAAGACTGGAATTCCTAAAATGGGCAAGATACAGCTTCAAGTTCTCGCCCCAGTGCTTCTCCTCATCAAGAACCCCAAGAACAGCCACCTGAGGACTTCCTAGAAGCTTCGTAGAAGAAGAAGATGATGATGATGAAGAGAAATGAACTGTGATGGGTATTTAAATTGCATTTTCCCATCTGCATAGTATCAGAGCTCACCGAGCTTCCAGCAAAGGGGATGAAGATAAGTAAAAGATGGCCGTCCTTGTAGAGTCAACTATGCCCAGATCTCCACGACATCGACAACAGAGCATAAATGGTGAGGATAAAACCAACTGGGTTGACCCCTAGATTTCCGAAGAAAGCCTCCAGCCGATGGATCCTTGTTGACCAGCCGCCGGCCCATCATAAAGGCATCGATAGTCCTGCACAGAAGGAAGGGGTGGAAGAGTTAAGAGATGTAAAACCCCATCACGAGTGAAGAAGAAGAAGGCACACAGAGAGAGAGAGAGAGAGAGAGAGAGAGAGAGAGAGAGAGAGAGAGAGTCTTAGGCGATGGCCTTGACATTCATATGTTTGTCAAAGTTTGCAAGCAGAGGACTTTCATTCACCGTCTCTAAAAAATACAGTTGGATGAATGGTGTTCATCCGTGGCGGCAGCTAAGTTAGCTGAAATATGCATTTATTTCAGGAGGAAAAAAAAAACCCAAATCAAGAGTCATCAGTGGTCACTTGTTGTCAGTGTGTCAATGTTGTGCATGTCACCCCAAAGTCAACGTTGTACATGTCACAAGAAAAATATTCAGCTTGTTTTCCCCTCTCCCATGAACTCCACCTCTATGCAGCCTACAGCTACTTCCACACTAATAAGCCCTACATCACCTACACCCTTCGACAAGAGCTCTAGCTTCTGTCCCTCAACCTACACGTCACAGGGTTAGTGGAGGCCATTGACCCACGCTCCACAAACTCCCACTACACACCAAGTCAACCTCCCCTAACCACCACCACAACAACCACGCCCCCCCCCCATAAAATTATAGAAATAAATAAATAAACATATATATATATATCAGATCAAAGCATTCAATTGTCCTCATGCTGGTTCATTCGACAAGTCCAACCCAACTCACCGGATTATTAGATCCCTCAAGGAATTCACCAAAGGCAGTCCATTCTATTCTGCCCATACCTACACTTCTCATAGGTTGCTTGGAGACTGGTTGAAAACAAAAAAACCGATATAGATTCGCTTATATGATATTGAATACTAACTTTAATTCTGAGGAAAAAACACCTAATCTTTGAATCATTATCTAGGTTTTTAAAAATTTAAACTAAAAGCATCACTTAAACCTCAAGTTGCAAATAAGATGATAGACTTAGGAAACATATTAGTCAAAAGCATAGCATTGCGTCAAATATTGTAGCAGTTCCCGCCAGAGATTCACCCCTGCTTCTTTTATAAACTTTTACATAGACTTGGAATATTGAAGAACAGAATCACAAACCTTTCGAATTCTTAAATAACAGATCCTAGCATTCAACTTATGACGGTCATATTAAAAAAAAAATTATAAGGCTTTTTGAAGTGATTTTTTCAGAGGAATGGCAAGTGAACTATGCCAAGAAATCAAGTAATAAAAGTAAAGGAGGTGATCTCGTGAGATGAACCCGAAAATTGAAACTTGTTTATCACATAATTGGGCCAATGATAGTCAGAAACAGCCTGAACTAAGAAAAACCGGTCATTATCTGGTACAACCAGTCTGATCTTGATGAATGGATTTCAGTCACTTAAAATAAACTTGACCAGGAAAACTACTAGTTTTTTCTGCAGTGGTGTCACTTGAATAAACAAATAGGAATATCAAGAAAAAGATAACCATCCTCATAGCACGATTGAATTTTAACGACAAAGTGTGACGATTCATGAATTCAGGAAAAACTAAAAGCATAAAAGCATTGATTTTTACCACGCTTTTTTTAGCGCGCGAGACGAGTTTAAAATTTAAACTAAAATCATTTATTGAAATTCATTAAAGCTTGAGTCAATAAGAAAGATTGTTGTGAGAAAGATAAGAGATTGCCAATGCAGTACTTGTATGAATTCTGTTAGGCTACTACTAGTTCCTGTCGCCTCAGATGGCCATTCATATAAATTCATTACATGGATGTCAATGTTTTGTGGAATTCATATGGTGTGAATGATATGAGTCTATCACAAATCCTATGTTGTTTCTTCCATCTTCGATTGTTCGTCGTTTCCCTCACGCTGTCAAACCCCCTGATCTCAGCAACGCTCTACTTTTCTGCTCATCTGAGAAATTCCGTTTGAATGTTGCCATCCAAACTGCATCCACAACAGCCCCAGAACCTAACTCAAATGGTTTATCGTCCGATTGACAAAAAAAATCCACGACAACATCATTTTCCTTGGTCAACAACAAAACAGAAAAGTGCAAAATGATTGAGCCCCATAACCAAAAAAATATGACAAGTCTACTAGCCAAAAAAAAACTGAAGTAAAAAGTGGCAGCGACAGAGTGCACGAGGCAGTCGTACTCTGTATGAGCAACATTACTGCTGGGCCTAGAAATCTACAAAGCCTATACCTTGTGGAATCATACCCCAGCTCTGAGACTCCGCAGAGAGGATCGACCTGAGACGAGCAGAAGCTATCGCACTGTGCAGCGGCATCATCGACTCCAGACAGCTCAACTCGACAGGTAATCTGATCAAACCACCGTTTCCCGCATTAACAAAACAACGAAATCCAATATAATAAGAAGAATAGAGAGGGAAGAAAAAAAGTGGATAGCGGCGGCTATTGGCATCCACCTGGAATTGCAAGAAATACGCCTCTTCTGTGACGAAATTTGCAAGAATGATCTTGATGTCGGAGATGCCGAAGAACCTTCACCCCCCAGCGCCCTCCTACAGGATTGCAGAGTCAATGAGAGGCTTCGACAGGGAACCCTAGACCGGAGAAGAGCACCCGCAGCTGCAGTCATTTTCCGGGAGGCACTGCTCTCACTCCCTCTCTTCGAGGTTGAGTCGAGGTTCTGAAACTCGAGAGCAACCCTTCTAAGAGATCTCAAAGATTCGAGAGATGCATCCGACCGTCCAATTTTCGTGTCCGAATCGGACGGCCGAATAATCTTTCATCAAATAATTGTATATTTTCCGGTATTGATATTATATTATATATTTGTCCTGCAACGTCTATTCGGTCTCTACTTATCTAGCCTTCCCAAAAAACCAATTCAGATTTAATGAGTTTTGATTTACAAGTCTCTTAATATGAGCTTATAAAAACACCCCAATTTTATTTAATTGGTAAAGTAGCCCACGAGGATAGTAATATAAGCAAAATTTTAAAAATTATGTAAAAAAACTTTAATGTCTTGTAAAACAGCAGGACCTCATGAGTCAAGTCAAATAGCAGGACCTTATAATAGAAATGAAAATAAAGTAATATAATTTTTAAGTAAAATATGAAATTAATGTTATTTAATTTTCTAACACTAAAATGCTTGTGTGAATAAATTAAATTATTTAAGTCAACTCGTAAGGCTAAACCATGTGTATGATTCTAACTAGTTGAGCTTCTAACAATATGCAAGCATAAGTTTACAAGGATAAAATAAGAGGCTCTTTATGTGAGACTATAAAAATATGAAAAATAAGGATGCTAGAAAAATAATGCTACTTATAGGGAAAAAAATAAATTTATAAGAACTCTTCAAGCTTATAAAAATACTTACATGATAGTATGATACTCATATTAGCTTATAAGTCAAATACTTACATAATAGTATGATAAAATAAGCTCTAAATATTGAAAAAAATGTAAGCGTGAGCAGATAACATTACCAGCCCCCTTAGTTTAGACAACAATGGTATGTAAATAAAGTTTAAATAAAAATGTCTTGCAAGTTCTGAAAATAATCTAAATGACAAAATTAAGTTTATAAGGTTCACAAAGCTCACACCAATACAATTTTTTTTATAATATATATCATATTTTTTTATTAGTTAAATGTTGTAATCTTATAACAATATGTGATAAATGTAAGATGTCGGTGGGAATTTTGATGCAACTTTTTATCAAACACATAACATTTTACACAGAAAAAAACAAGAAGCGTTCATAAAATAAGGCTATAAATAAAATTTTATTATATACATATCATATGGAAAATAAGCATGCAAATCAAAAAATCTAAACTTAAGGTTATGATGGTAATGTTGACATTCTATTACAACATGACATGAAAAAGATTATGTGAAACATGATTAAGTTAAGCATGTGAGATAGAATATATTACCAACTCCCAACAAATTTGCATCTAAGCTTGTGGGAATCATAAAGGTTTCAATCATACATGACTAGCATCGCATGACATTCAATGAAAGTTAAATTCATAGAGTTTACCTAAATTAGTATATTTCAAGGTTCCTTGATGCATCAATAAATAAGTAAAATAAACATATAAGACTATATTAGACGAATAAAGTTTTAGTAAATAAGTATGTGTAAAATATTAGATGACCCAAGTTCAGAAGTACATAGTTAAAATATGATGCAAATAAGTTTTATTAATAAATAACCAAAGCTCAAGGGGGTGACAAAGAATCATGAAGTTCGAAGGGGTACTTATATCAAATCAAAGCATTTGAGGGGTTATCAATAATTCATATTTATAAGGGTTTAATAATTAAGAAGAAAGTTGGTTTCAATTAAAGTATATATTTAATTATGTGCAATATAGGATCATAAAATATTTTATATAAGATAGGGGGTAAATAGTTAAAATACATGTATATAGCGTATATGTGAGTCTTCTAGTCTGACCTTCTCCGGAAATCGTCCCGGTCTCAGGTCAGTCTGGGTTCCATATCTTGATTCACTTCTCTGTGATCGACTTGACTTTTTTTCCCTGTGCTTCGTTCGATGTCTGTGTCGCTTTAATGGTGTTGAGGTTTTTGTTTGGTAATCGCGTTCGCGGTTTCAATCCGTGGCTGATTTCTGATCGCTGGGGCTTATTCGATCTTATTTTTCCGCTTGAAATGACGAAGAGAGAGCTCGTTTCTATGTGTGAGGAGAAATCCAGTACTTTTTTTGTTCTCTTTCCGACGAGAAACCTATCTGGATCTGGTTTGGAGGAGACATATTCGTTCCATATCGATGATAGTTTGATATCGCTTTCGATAACACGCTAGACATATCGCCGGTTACAATCGCCGCTTGGAAATCCTTGGAATATCAGTCATACGATGCTCTACATTTTGCAAATGAAAATAAAGCATATTCCATCTGTCCAGCGAGTTCCACTGTTAAAAGGAAATAACATTTGAAAATATCAATTCTTGTTGATCCTCTCTGATCCTCTCCTATTGAGGCCTTTTTGGGAAGCTGCGATATAGTTTTTTTCGTAGTATTCCTGCATATGTATAATTTCGTTTCAGCTTTCATTAAGGATCTTGTAAGAACCAATTTTAAAGAAAATACTCCTGATGTTATTTCTTCAACATTTTTACACCATAGAAAATCATCTATAGTAAAGCATCTGAGGGAAATACATATGGAATGCTCCCTCAATTTTTTTATTCATCCTTTCATCAAAGGAAGAAAAGATGCAATAAACAAATGAAATCTTGTTTGAGTTTGCCTTTGTCATGCGGTGAAATTGGAATGAGAAGGAAATTGAAGCCATCCTCACTTCTGTGCCGTGTTTTTCTAATATCAGCTTTCTCCATTTATCTCTTCACATTATAGTGTAAGAAGCATGTCTGGAAGTTGATTGATTATTACCAGTTCTGAAGCCTTTTATTGTATATATGCTGCAGTTTGAAGGAATCGTATTTACCTCCAGATTATAAGCTGTATAAAAATATTCACGGACAACAATGCAGGTTAGTTATTTAATTCTTTAGGTGCCTTTATACATTGCCTCTTGGTAGCAAAAAGTATCAAGACCATTTTAAAAAAGCTATTTTTGAATAATTTTAAATCACTTTTTAAAAATACTTTTTCATATTACAATTGTCACCACATAGAATAGTAGGATATCATGTTTTCAAATTCTTTGGGGTTACATGCAGATTATATTCATGCACGATCTGCTCGAAAATCTATTATGAAAACTTTTCCTGATTTCCAGCATATTGATCAAGTCCTATTGTGTTGGATTTCTTTAATATTATATTCATGCAGATTCTATTCATGAAGATATTTTCTTTACTTCTATCTATTGTGTTGGATTTCTTTGTCAAACTTGATATTCCTTGATAATCGCATTCTTACTTTCAGAAATATTTGTTTATTTGTGGCAAACGTTCTTTTTTCATCACAGAAAAATGTTCATAATCAACCTTAGATAACCCATGCAAAGATTCATCATTTCGAGGAGGCATCGTCTTAGGCCAGAATGACCTTCATAACTTACTCATAGTTAGCTTTTCTTCCCTATGAGGAATCTCTGGTTATATTTCGATCTCTATGAGGCAAATTATGTGATCCACGGGTATATCTACGCCCATCTACAATATCATAAACAAGAAACATATTTCTTTTGTTTGTGCTAATAGATCCATAGTTTTTCTTCAATCTCTGCTTTTGTCTATTCTCATCTGACCTAGTTGTAGGCCTGCTTCATATGTGCTTTTTTTTTAACGTTTCTTATGAATTTTATGTTGCCAACATAGTCAAGAGGTTGAACTTGGCATATTTTACTCATACCATTGTTTGTCCATAATAATCATATTGGATACTGAGAAGATTGGTGAGCAGGCTAAAGGTATAATGATCAGTACAACAAGAGTAAGTCATGAATTCTGAATTTGAAGGCATGATTGCAGAATCAGTCTCACGTCATATTGTAGGAAAAAACTGTAACTGCTCCTTGTCGATGATAGAAACAATCAAAGACAAGTGATTGCCCCCCTACTCTGTTAAGAGAAAAAAAGGAAAGGTGGTGATCTTTTTATGCGTAGATATCTGTATTTATTCAAGCACTTGGATGATTTATGTAGATATTCTATTTTTTTAATAAACTGAGGACAATTGGGGTACACATGAAGCCTGCCAAATCTTTGACTGGTTACGCCTTTTGGAGTATCAGTGAACTTTAAGAGTATAACTGCTTATTGGGCATCTAGACTAATTTTGAGTCTGAGGATCCTTGTTCCCAATCTGCATTCTTTGTTGACGATGGCATAATCATGCAGGCATCCAGAGCAAGGCTTTTTAAAGAATACAAAGAAGTGCAGCGAGAGAAGGCAGCTGATCCAGATATTCAATTAATTTGTGATGATTCTAATATATTCAAGTGGACCGCTTTGATCAAGGTGAGCATACTTTCATGGAGACTTTTTATTGGAACCTTTTGTTTGGATTATTGTTTAATCCTCCTATTTGTGTTTAGGGGCCTTCGGAAACTCCTTATGAAGGTGGTGTATTTCAGTTGGCTTTTGCCATTCCAGAGCAGTACCCTTTATTGCCTCCTCAAGTGCGATTTTTGACAAAAATATTTCATCCAAATGTACATTTTAAGGTGGCTGTTTGATCTTTTAAAATTTCCGCTTGAGTGTCAGGACTTCATACCTGCTGTTGCTCTATGTTCCTTGTAAGGGAACACGGAATATTTTAGGCATGATATCTGTGACATAGATCTCAAGCCATTGACGATTATGTGTCATTTATGTGACTAGAGTTCTAATTCATTCTTTTTGGCTCTGCAGACAGGGGAGATTTGCCTGGATATTTTGAAGAATGCGTGGAGCCCTGCTTGGACACTCCAGTCTGTTTGCAGAGCTATAATTGCTTTGATGGCACATCCTGAACCTGACAGTCCTCTCAACTGTGATTCAGGTAAGGAGAGATTTTATCTGAGTTTTGTATGAGATGAATGCTTTTAAGAATAAAAGTTACCATTATTGATCATGAGAATAAGATCACCTTTATGTTAATTGTCGGAGATTCTCCTACCTTGAGCTAGGGCACAGCCACCGCAAGCAGGGGAGCCGTTAGAGCATGAGGGAGTGAGAGAAAAAGAAAAATACTTCATTCATTTTGAGTTAGGGTTCATGACCCTTTTAATACATGAGTTCTGACTATTGGATCTATGTCGGGTATAAGTGGCTAGATTCGATACCAATAAGTAATTCGGCTTATAATGCCCAATATCACTTATTCTAACACTCCCCTTTAAGTTGAGGAATGAATATCTTTCATCCCCAACTTGCCTAACAATCTTCTCATAGTAGGTCCATGTAATCATTTGGTGAAGATGTACTAGATTGGCGAAATGACGATCCCATTCTCTATCTTCTCCTTGATGAAATGACGATCCACTTTCACATGCTTGGTCCGATTGTGATGTATTAGATTGTGAGCAATATCTATAACTGACTTGTTGTCATAGAAGAGTTTGGTGGGTGAATCATATTGGATCTTAAGGTCTTCCAAAATCCCTTTAATCCATAATACTTCACACACTCCTTATGCTAGTGCTCAAAGTTCAGACTATGCACTAGATCTTGAAACCACTAGCTGCTTCTTGTTGTGCCACGTGATTAAGTTTCCTCCTAAGAATGAACAATACCTTGAAGTAGATCGTTTGTCTACAATAGAACCTGCATAGTCAACATCAATGAATATTTCCACATTAGTATGTCCATGTGGTCGAAATAATAGGTTGTAACTTGGTGTACCCTTTAAATAAAGAAGTACTCGTCTTGCTGCTGCATTATGTACTTCTCTAGGATCATGTATAAATTGACTCAATCTTATTGTGTAGGTAATATTTGGTCGAGTGTGAGATAAATAAATCAGTTTACCAATCAGCCTCTGATATCTTCCTCTATCAACTGGTGGACTGTCTTCACCTTGAACCAATTTCCCATCAGGGTCAATGGGAGTGGTTGCCAATTTATTGCCACTAGTTTCAGTTTGTTTAAGTAAATTTAAAATGTATTTCAACTGAGATAAGAAAATACCACATCTAGAATCTGCAATTTCTATACCAAGAAAGTATTTTAAATTTTCTAGTCTTTTAATTTTGAAGCATGCAGATAATTTATCATTTAACATTTCTATTTTTAACAGATCATCTCCAGTAAGTATCATGTCATCAACGTAAACTAATAAAATAGAAATTTCATTTCTAAAATGTTTAAAGAAAAGAGTATGATCACCGTTACTTTGGCGGTAGTCCATCTCATGCATAGTGGCTAAGAGCTTGCCAAACCATGTTCTTGGGAATTGTTTAGGTCCATATAAAGACTTCTTTAATCTACACACAAAGTGCTGATTTTTCTCTTCCCTAAAACCTAGAGGTATATCCATATATATCTCCTCATTTTGAGACCCATGTAGGAAAGCATTCTTCACATCTAATTGGTGAAGTTGTCATCTTTTCATTGCTGCCGCAAAGATTAAAATCTTCATAGTGTTTAATTTTGCTATTGGAGTGAATGTCTCATAATTAATCCCTAATTTCTAGGTATATCTTTTTGCTACCAACCTAGCAATGCATGAGAGCTTAACTAGTTCTCATGTGTTATTTTTCATCAATGCATTCATTTCTGTTTCCATAACCCTTTTTCATTCTATATTATTTATAGCTTGATTAAGTGTTGATAGAATGAGTATGGAGCCTACCTTCGTAAGAAATGAAGAGTGGGTTGTAGATAACTGATGCAAGGAGAAATAATTTTGCATTGGATAAGTAATATTCTTACTGATGTTTTGATGAACCAACAAGTTTACTATATTTTCTTGTGGTTCTCATGGATGATCTAGCATAATCCCATGAGTTAAATCATTTACTGAAGTAGTGTGTGTGATTTGTTCACTTTTTCTTCTTGTATAGGTTTGTCTAAATCTTTTTTTTATATTTAATTTTTGTGAATTTGACTCCCCTTTATCACAAAGAAGCAAATAACTTTCTTGAGATGTGGTCTTATCACCCATCCTCTCTAAAGATGAAGGTTCTACGGCCTCATTGGTTTTATAATAATTTTCACCTTAATTGAAGGTGACATCTCGAGTGACATAAAATTTCTTAGTTTTAGGATCATAACATTTATATCCTTTCTGAGTTATTGAGTAGCCCAAGAATACACACTTAAGTGCTCTCGAGTTTAATTTCTTGGTATGATATAAGTGTAAGTATGCCACACATCCGAATACTTTGGGTGTGAGGTTGGTTATGTGTTTTAACCCTGGAGTATGGGACTCTAGGACCTCAATAAGACTTTTTTTGTCCAAAATCCTTGATGACCATCTATTAATTATGTGAGTGGCCACAAGTATTGCTCCCCCCCACAAGTATTTTGAGACATTCCCTTGGATAAAAAGTGCTCTAGTTACTTTTAATAAGTGCTGATTTTTTCTCTTTGCAATCTCATTTTGTTGAGGAGTGTTTACACAAGATGTCTCATGAATCACTCCATTTGTAAGAAAGAATTGAACTAAATCCTTATTGATGTAGTCCTTTGCATTATCAATTCTAAAACATTTAATGGTATACTAAATTGTCGTTTCACCATTTGGAAGAATGCTTTCAATCTTTCAGTCACTTCAAATTTGTGACTCATCAACCATACCCACGTCATACGAGTACAATCATCAATAAAGGTGATAAATCAACTACGACCATTCATGGTTGAGGTTGGTGCTGGCCCACACACATCGCTATGAATCAAGTCAAAAGGTTTAAGAGATCTTAAGTCAGATGGAGAATAAATAGATCATTTATGCTTGGCTAATTGGCATACCTCACATAATAAATTATTATCATCAAGTTCTTTACACAATTGCAGGAATAAATGTTTAATAGTCAAGATAGAAGGATGTCTTAGGCGATGATGGATCAACATAAGTGGTTCAATCAACTTGTGGCTCCCCCTTGATACTACCCTTGGTGCTGTCGCTGCCGTTTGTGCCATTTGTGGATGTCTTTTGTGTTCCGTTGAGGCCTCCTATGTAATATCGACCTCCCCTTTCTTCAACAAGTCCAGTCTTTCATCTTGTGTCCTTATCATATAAGACACAACTATTAGGAGTAATTAGAAGGTCATGAGTGATAGATTGTCTAAGCTTACTAAGGGAGATTAGGTTTGCTGATAATAAAGGCACATAAAGAATATGATGTATTTTTCTTATTCTTGGAAGTTTTATGGAACCTATACCAACTACCAGTATAAGTTTCTCATATGCAGTCAATACTTGTCTACTTGTAAAACGTGGTTCATAGGTATGAAAATAATTTTTGAGTGGAGACATATTATTTGTGGTCCATGAGTAAAGGATCCATGTACCTTTATCCCTTAGATATATATTTGTATGATTGGGAGAATGGAAACTCAATGAGAGGGAAGTGTAAGAGATCAGAAAATTACCCGAGGAGGTTGCTGATGATGTTATGGTACTTGAGGTGATGAGTTGCCACAACTTCTCAATCTCCTCCTTGAGTCTATCAATTTCCCCATCCTTGGAATTTGCTGATTGAAGGATAGGTGTCAAGTTCATCTCTCCCTTAGTGGAGCTTGTAGAGTCAATTTCTTGCCAATGTGTAGGGGAAGGGGATACACTCATGTACCCTTGTCCTACTCTTGGAGGCTTACCATGCAATTTCCAGCAATTGTCACGAGTATGTCTCCTTTTCGGCAGAATGAGCACCATAGTTTTGCCTTTGGGTCTGTCACTTGCTCTGGGTTTTGGTCTTGTTTTCTTTTGCTGAAATGTGAAGAGCTTGTCTCGCTCTTCTTGTCCCAGCCATGACTTGTGCTGGTTGATGCTCCCGCTATGTTCTTTGCTGTCAATGATGAGTTATCAGCTTGTTGATTTTCGTTCAATAGTGTCAACTTATTTTTTTCCCTATTAATAATTCCCACGGCTTCCTTGAAATCAGGAACTCTTTCCCTATTCAACAATTGACTAGCCAATTGTACAAAAGATGAATTTAAGCCAGATAAGAACCGATACAAGTAATCTTTCAAGATGTATGTTCATTCAATAGAATCTGGATTGGTGGTCGGTTTAGAATGATCGACTTCCATCCAGATGGTTTCTAGTTTGGCTGCATACTCCATCACCGTTCTATTCTCTTGAGTAAGGTTTATACCTTTGGTGGTTAAGTGTGAGATTTCTCCCTCATCATTCCACTTCATGTGCATACGATGAGCTTTCTCCCATATGTCTTTCACTGTCAAACTCCAAAGGAAGTGGTCGCTGATAGATGGTGCCATGTTTTCTAGCAACCACGCTTTAATGATGGCATCTGCCTCTCGCCATATAGTGTGTCATGGATCTGTTGGGCTATAAGGGTTACCACTCTTGAGGTGGATTAATTTCCTCCAGCCAAGTAAAATCATTTCCACATATTCCTCCCATTGTAATAGGTTCAATCCATTGAACCTATATTTGTCAAAAATTTTTGGGAGTTCAAACCACCTAGGGTACTCCTCTGATACACTCATTGGCATTGGAGGTAGACTAGGGGCTTCTGCCATGAGTTAGGGTTTGCGGTCTCAACCAAAAACAAGCTAACTTTCAAACCCATGCTAATAGAAAAATAGAGTGTTTGTGGTCTCAATGTATGCAGACCTTCGATGCAGTAAGCTCAGATGACTTAAGAAGAGGTTTGTAACGTATGCACCTGATGCTCTAATACCATGTCGGAGATTCTCCTACCTTGAGCTAGGGCACAACCGCCACGAGCAGGGGAGCCATTAGAGCATGAGGGAGTGAGAGAAAAAGAAAAATACTTCATTCATTTTGAGTTAGGATTTGTGACCCTTTTAATACATGAGTTCTGACTATTGGATCTATGCCGGGTATAAGTGACTAGATCTGATACCAATAAGTAATTGGGCTTATCACGCCCAATGTCACTTATTCTAACATTAATTAATTTCACTAATGGTTTCATTGTACAAACTATAATCGGATCTGGAGTTTTAGCTGATGTTTTGTACATGAATATTGACCGATTCAGTTTTGCATAGACTTCAGCTGACTTCCTATTTTTTGATAAGATTAATGGAGTGACTAATCGTATCTCAAGTTTCTGTACCTAAGTATTGACCGATGCCTGGACTGCCAAGACCTTGTTTCTAGATGAAATTAGACGAGATTGGGGATAATGAGGAGGATTTTGCGATTGAAACAAATTGGGATCAAGGAACTGCAAGTTTTCCCATCTTCATTTCATTAAATGTATATCTTCAAGTGAATTAAGGTATTGGGGATTCTGTTTCTGGACGAATTTTACGAGATTGGGATTAGTGAGGAATATTTTTGCAAAACACATTGGAACCGAGAAGGAACTGTAAGTTATCTTATGTTCATTTTATTGAATGTATCGCTTCTTGTGAGTTAACGTTTTGAATGTTTCTGCGTGAGTAATAATAATCCAAGGAAAGGAGGGATTGAATAAATTTGTCTGATCGCATGCTGGAAAACTAGTCATCATTAAGGAAATGAAAAGGGATGCTTACATTAAAGTGGATTGAGCTTTGATTTTATTTCTTGGAACTCGTATGGGGCCAACGTGATGTATTGCTCTCTTTTTCCCCTTACTTTCACCTGGGTATGCTCATCATTTGAAACCTGACGAATTTCTTAGCATTAAAGCCATTTGAATGGTGTTTTGGGTAGATGATTGGTGGGCTGTTCGTTTGGTGAACTTGTCAAATCAATGGAGTAAACTAGGAGGGTATGATCATGTGACGATGAACTAGCAGGGAGGGCTTAATGGGTAAATTAGATGAAAGACAAGGTTCATCCTAAATATTTAATGTATTTAATAAAATAGTCTTATAGAAGAAAATTCATTACAATAGTTTTAATGCGAGCAGCATATTAAAGTTCGACAACATCAAATGCATGATTTTTGGTCGGATATTGGTAGCAACATACGTCTCAGATTATCTCAGAAGAGGGCTTTATCATGCATTTTTACCTGAAGAGGGCCTTAACATTCGATTCGATTCGCACCATGATCATGCATCAGAACTAATTGTCCTATTACTATACATTTTTGTGGGGTGGTAATTCTTTTATCATGCAGGCAATCTTCTTCGTTCTGGTGATCTCAGAGGATACCGGTCCATGGCGAGGATGTATACAAAACTCGCTGCCATGCCTAAAAAGGGATGACGTCTCTCATGAGAAACATTGCTATGCATTTCTAGGCCGACATTGCATGTTTATTGTACTGGGCCCTCCCAAACTGTAGACCCTTTGCTATTTCTATTCTGTGATTATGTATGAAATATGACCCAATTACCATTTCTAGCACAAGAAGAATACGTGCAGTGAGCAGTGTCAGTGGCCGTTTCCCAACGCTACCAAGGAAGATCCAGCCCTCCCTTGTCTCGTGCTTGAATTCTTACCCTTCTCCGGTATGATCTTTATCTGTTTGTCTCGTCATGGAGATTATTAGGTTGTTGTGATCCCAATCTTTTTACCTCATATTATAGGAATCCTGGGCCACCAAATCTTCATTTTTTTTCATTTCTAAATCCGGTCCTTTTGATGTCTTTAATTCGCTATATTTTCTTTACCCATAAAAGGGTTTTTCTATCTGTTCTTCCTAGCTTTACAGGATCTCTTGGAGGAATCTGTGAGAGCAGCCCGGAATTGCTCATCACCCCAAGCGGTGTTGAGCGCTGGGATGCGACCTGATTATTTTCTCTTACCATAGTTCTTGAGTAGACTCAGCCCGCAGGATTGACATCATATTTTCTCATTCACCAGGGCATTTTGACAGCCCACGGTGGGTCAATAAACGTAATAAATTACATAAATTGCATAAATTACATAAATAAGATCAGAGAAAAATAAAGTAGGATCAACCCATTTTGGCCCGAAGGGAGGAACACTCGAGATTTGACTGCCACAACTTCCCCAAAATCCGTGTTAAGTATGTCTTTTTTTTTTTGGGATCATCTACAGATCTCTGTTCTCTGTCCTAGGTTTTATGTCCCCATTATTCTCTGCAATCTTTGGCTGCAGAGGAGGGATTGGGGGCACTCGCAGCCTGGAATGATTCTTCTCTGCTGGGATCTGGGGTTCTGAGGATGCTGTTGATGGCTGGGCCGTGGTCTGATGGTGGGTCGGGCTCGGTGGCCATGGAAGAGTACCTGGCTTCTGACATCCGGCGAAAGAGCTGGGTTAGGATCACCATTCTAGCACACAGATCAGTCGGGAGCTTCCCAAAAACAGGAGATTATTGAGATCATAGATCATGGTTCATGATATATATATATATATATACTAAATGGGCTCAGGGAAACTAATGTTGCTTCAGGATGGATTAACCATAGCTTTTCAGAACAGTGGAGAAGAAGATTGACTGAACCAAATCACCGAAGACTTACCTTTTAGTCTCCCAAACATGGCAAGATCTCGCAGGCAGTCTCGGAATTCTGACAAGACGCATCTCTCCTGCTCCAGATAAACTTCCGATGTGCTCTGTCTTGATGAGACACCTGAAGCTGGACCAGCAGTATTCTGGGGAGCCGACGCCATGAAAAGAGCATCTCGCTCATCGCACATCAGGGCAAGTGTTGCAGGAGACATGGCCCTTCCACCTCTGTGTTGTACTTCAGCACCGTCCGACCCGGACACTTCTGGGACCATATTATCTGCATGTGAACCGCTGGAACGATCGCCTGACCTTACGTGGTCGTTCGGGCCTGATGAAGCAAGGGAGGGTGTAGGATGGTGATCTCTGGTTTCTGTGGTTTTCTCCTCTGAAGCCTTCTTCTCTTCAAGTTTACACATCATTTAGGTAGAAATTTCAGAGAAATAGTAAGCTACCCAGTGTGAATAGAGATAAGGACAGTTAATCTTCATGGTATCATATATGAAAGAGATCTTTCATAAAATGCTTTAAGAACCTGTTAGGATGATACACAACGTGGCGATATTTTATCTGAGTTTCAGGTCGGGAGTTCCATGGCAAAGGATCCGTAGAGAATTAAAGACCTAGGTCAGTTTTTGAAACGTCGAATATATATTAAAGAGTATAAAAAATTCAACAATGGAAGAGGTAAATACATAGAATTTAAAGGAAAGGTGAGAAATGCCTAATCCCTAGAAAAATAATAAGAACGAGTTCCATAGTGAAGAAAACTCTATGATTCATCAGTGAAGAAATCTCAAACGGGAGAAGAACGTAATGGATAAACTAAACGAATAAAAACGGGCGATACACATTCATCAGTCTGCTACTCCTCTGCGGTGGTACTTGAATAGACTTGTTCTTTCACTTTGAGCAAGAGCAGCACTAAAATGTTCCCAAGGTTTTCATCGTCAATCTTACCAGCAAGGGCTATGGCAGCTTCCCCCGAGACAGCCAACAAAAGCTTGCAGAGTTGTTTCACATCCTCCGCTTTTATGACGTCTGCTAGAAGCGACCTGCAGAATGGGGAATAAGAAAGTAAAAAAGAAAATCGAAGGCGCGGGGTTATTTCACAGAAGATTTATGCCCTAGATGATAGACCATTACCTGTAAGTCACCTTAGTAGGCCCTAGACTGGCAGAACTGACGGCTCTAGACATGTCACCTAATGAAGCAGGGGTTTTCTTCAAATCATTTGCCTGATAGATTAAAAATTAGACGATAAATCATAAATAAATAATTGATATTCAGAAAGATTGAATCATCGTTCGTGCTCAAAGGAGACAAATAAAAGAAGGTCGCATAAGCTAGCAAACATCTATCTTTCATGAGATGCCATACATAATCTTAGGAAGCAGAAAACTGAGGCCATAAAATAATAGCAGAAGTACATATGATAAATTATTTCACAGCTTAACCTTACAAATTTTCCATTAGCAAGTGAGTTTATGACATGTTTACGAGATAACTATGACCACAAAATACCAGAGGGGATTGTTCCAGCCCATGAACAGATGAATCCTTGATTTCTGAGCTAAACAAGGCTTCCTCGGATTTTTTCCTTTTCGATGCTGGAGGAGAGGCACATCCGGAGGATCTAATAGCCCCAGTAATTGTAGAATTGGGTACGTGTCGGATGCATGCACTGTGACCGCCCTTTTCACCATGAAAAAACGCCTGTCTCTCTCCACTCGCTTCATTATTCATGCATTCCAAGCATTTACAATATTCAGAACAGGGAATGTTCGCCTGAAAGCACTCACAGTACTTCTTTAGACAACCTGACTTCTTGCAGTGGCATCCTCTGAGGCGTTTTACCAACCGAGGGAGTTCAGGCTCCTCCTAACACGTCAAAAGAGACCAATGTTATGACAGGCATAAATATTCTGGAGAATTCATAATACGACAGTAGGCTTTATCACATTAAGGCCACGACTTGAAGCATTGGCATCAAATGGCCGTGTTCAATGTACCATTAGTGCTTATCCATTTTCTATTCATGAAATGACAGGACGACGACTAAAAGATTATATCATTTGGAAGTTCCACGAAAATGCCTATGCTATATGATTTTGATAGGAATCCAATACCGAGAGAGGAACAAGAAGTAGATCTGATGGAATTTCAGTAAGCAAATGAAACAAGAAGTAGATCAAGAAACCGGAGCCCGGATGGGATCCAAAACAAGTGTGGTAACCGTTAGAGAGGGTTACCGCTCTTCCAAGCTCCTGAAAACCACCTCCACCCTTTCCCTCCTCACTCTTCTTTATACCACTCCTACTTCTTCCCACAGGGCCTCTCTCCGGGAATTACAGATTAAACCTTGAAATGAGGGGGTTTTTATCCCATTACCGCTCCTGGAATATGTAATATGGATCGGCGGTCTAACAGATTCCAAGCATCAATTCAGAAGCCACAGAAAAAAATAAACTAGGTGCCACGATATAAACAAGGTGCCACGATTCCCAAGCTCTTCCTCAAAGTCAAAAACTTCAATTTTTTCTGTGAAAGAGAACATTTATTGGTTCGCAAATAGAATCAAATCATTTTTTATGGTAGCATGATATCAGATGTGGATAAAGTTCACTCTACTGTTTTCTTCTGCAGAGGGATAATATGGCTCCCTTTTAGGCTAGACAAAGAATAACAAAACTTGCATCAAAGAGGTGGACTGCTGACAACTAGCACATTTTCTTGAGGATTGAAGATAAATTTACAACAGAAGCGAATGAATAGCTCACCCAATAGATGGGGGCCTGACAAAGGGAGTTTGGACAGACCCCAATAGACGACAGAAAAATAATGCGCTAGAAATATGTCGCCAATCTGACCGATTACAGTACCATTCTATCGCAAGGGTGTATTTTGTGTTCATTTCGTTGTCTTCCACATCATGATGAGTAAACTTGCTTTGACAAGGATTTCACTGTTTTATGATAGTATATTTACATGAAGCATAGGGTTCGACACTAACTGGCTGCTTTCGAGAAAGGAAATTGGCCAGGTATACACGATATTTTAGGTGAAGCTTCTATCAAAGCTACGAATAATTGGTCACATATAATTTGAAAGACAACCGTAAATAACAAATATGACAATGGGGAAAGTATAAGTATCCAGCCTTGGTTGCATGAACTTCATAACATAGAACTGCAGAACAACCTTTTAAATTTATATATATTATTCTGTTCAACACTGGGATAAAATAGATATAACTTACAGATTGTGTAAACAACTGTAGTTTCCGTTTTATCAAATTAACTGAAAAATGGACAGATTGGAGCTCAAATTAATCATTAACTAGATTTTCTATAATAAAAACAGTCCCAATGTTGTGAAATCCAAGGGTGCATCATTCGTACTTGCAATAAGATAATTTCCCACTAACAGCTAGTGAGACAGAGCATAAAAACATGGGAGCATGTGGGGGTTGAATGCGCACATTGCTATGCAAACCAATTTTAACAACCAGATACATACCCTACTGTCTACAAGAGCATGTGAACTGCTAGCGGTTATTGGTCTAAGAATCCCAGGAGAACGCTCTAGGATTGCTTCGACAGCCTCGTCTCTTGCAGCTTTATTCTCAACATTATTAAAACAATTTTTACACTTGCATCTATCACAGTAGACTCCGGTTGCAAAACACTCGCAGTACCTGTATAAGCATCATAGACATTAGCTGCATCAAGGAAAAATATAAGCAAGGTGATGAAATGCATTCCAAAAATTATTGAAACACAAGCGTCCCTATACATGGGAGCATGCATAGGGATGCTCACTGTGAATAAACTAGGGGGTAAAAGTGACGTCACTGGGAACGTTGTCAGCAGCCAGAAGTGGTAGATGCCATAGAGAAGCTGTACTAGTGTCAGCAGAGCTGCCAAACTCCTATGTCATTACTCCTTTCCCTCTCTATCCTCCCCTGTTCTTCTTTATTCCATAAAATTCCAGTGAACGTTGTGTTCAAAGTTTCAGATGGATTAGTGTAACTCAACTTGTTGAACAAAAAGAAAAGTTGAGATTGTTGAGTTATATGTAGCCTAGTAATTGCTCAGGTTATTTCACTTGGTGATTGTACTTTACTGATGGGTATTTCTGACTTTCTACAATATTAAGGTCTGCCCAAATCGAAGTGCTACAAGATATTTCTGGAGTCATACTGAGACGACATACTGTGCAATCTTCTGGTGGCAAGTGGATGTACCTCTCATGTTTAGAGTGAACAACTATAAATCTAACGAGTGCCACAAAGAAGGATTCCTCTTATCATTGCTCGTGATTTGTTGGAATTAGGATTTCCCAATTCCCAAAGACGGTGGATCGATATAAGTCAATAGGCTGATAGATGCAAGGTCTGATTTCATAACTCCAAAGAGGTTATCCTTCTTTGCATGTGTAAATTAAATCTCCACTAGTTTCTTATGGCAGTTTACATACTACTCCAGTCACAAAATACATCCATCCAAAAGGAAACCACTCCTGCTCTCTTCCATTTACCCATGATCTTAAACCTATTGACTCTATGACTAAATCAGCTACTTTATATAACCATCCATCTTAAGTTACAAAGCAGCATATGTCCAGTGCTGCATCACACTAGTTCAAAACAAATCTCTATGGCACAAGTGATACTGACTATGGCACAGATTTGATGCAGGAATCTTGATTCTAGAGGATCTGTTCCTTCTTATTTACTTTCAACTTGGGCTTGAATTATATGTTGGTATCCAAAATGTGTAAGCATGTCAGATTAAAATTTCTTATCCTTCAAGCTCGAGTGTCCTGGGGACCAGAATAACGCAGCAAGCATCATGTTATCAAGTTGGGCCATCAGCTTCTAATCCTAGACTACAGGTAATCAGTTAAGATCATGTATGCTTGATGAATTGGAAGGTGCCCAGCTATGGGACATTCTAGGATTTTGCCAAGCAGAATAACGTGCAAAACAGGAGAGAAGATAAATGAGAAGGGAAACTGACACAAAAGATTTACCGTCCTTCAGCCTTGATGATAAGGGTGCCAACTGTCAATGCAGAATCCACTATTGACTTTGAATGAAAAACAAAACGCTGACACCAGGTGACAGCTGCCAAAATCATGCCTTTTATAGCACAGGACTAGGCAAACCCTCAACAGACAAACTGACTCTATGTCAAGGCGATTATTAGGGGTCCACATAACAGCTCAATGGATTTGATTAACGGACGCGGATGCTAACTAGGTAAAACTTCAGACTTTGGTTCAGTGTAATTAGCTGTGGATCTTGACAGGTATAGATTACATGATAAAAGGTGATTAGGCCGACAGATCTGGCAGCTATCAATCAGGCAATAGTGGTCTAGGTTAATAACTACATACATACAGAAAGAGCCCAAGCTAAAGGTTTCGATGCTCTTCCTCAATAAAATAGAAAGGAATGGTGGCGTTCCTACGGAACCATAGATTGGATGATATATCAAGTCTGTATGAGGGTGAAAAAAGGAAGAGCCCATGTAAACTGAACTCTGTTTGCTGCGTTTACAGATTGAGCACGATTACCTCAATGTTCCATGTTTACCGCATAGCATACCTCAAGATCGTGGAGAGAATGAAAAACAGATTTATGACGTACATCAGTTGTCTATATGTGGATAAACGAAGGATGGACCTTCCTTTAGAGCACTTCTCTGACATAATCTATTCCAACCAGACCCGCCAACTTGGAGGGCGTGGGACTTAATGAAACAGCAATGCATACAGAAAAAGACAGCTGAATTGCAAAGAGTCCTGCTAGATATACCATGTGAGGATCTGTGGTTCAGATTTGGGGATTATTACTGGTAAATGAAGGAGATAGACGGAAAACATACACCAAGTTAAAAAATCTGGCAATGCCATCCTAGTAGATGAGGTCGTTGTGGCAATAGGAATCTCAAAGTTAAAAAATCTCTGGTTTCTACATCCTCTCGTCCATGATTTTGAATGAGCGAAATAAACCTGTAGACATTTTCTGTAAAACAAGAGAAAACGAAGAGAAAAAAACTTTAAATTGCCTATGTAGTAAATCTGAATTGATTTCAAACTGGTCTTTTAGCCCCATTTCAATGCTCTTTCTTTTTCGAAATTCCCTGCCCAAGATTTTTGCCAAAAAAGAGGAGGATTGGACTCCTGTGGTGGGTCCAGATAAGATCGGACTCTGAAGTTAGACCATTATTTTAATCAGATCAGCCAGTTTGATCAATCAGTACATGTGAGATCAGCACAGATCGGGCATAAAATCTGGCGATCACTCCACAATTGACAGATTTCTGGGCAATTTAGCCATAATAGATCGAATAGAGGCTTTTTTCCATAAAAAATAACACGAATAGGACCTCCCCTTCCACAATCAAAATTAATTACCATGGTCTACTTCACCCGAGGAAATAATAAGAGATTCAGTTTAATGCCGAGAAAGCAGACTAACACTATATGAACTTTACAGAGTTTTCTTTTGATGTCCCAAGGAAAAACATTACAAGGATCCCACACTGAACATACTTTCTTGAAAAAAATGAATCATCATTTTCCATTTCTTCAATGCTTCGTTTAAATACATTATGGAACTTAGAAAAGTTTTTCCACGATATACTATAAAGTACTTCTAATGCTGGTCAATCACATCGTATGCAGTAAAGAAACCTTAATAATAGCGAAGTACGAGTCACAATGATTAACTTATTAATTAATGGCACTCTGATACAATTTGCACATGCTCTAAATTCATTGAACAAGTGTATGATATGCGCAGTTCAGTTTTGTTTGTTCTTCAAAGAACAATACGTGCCAGTTTATCAATATTTTGGCCTCTTAGTACGTCAAATCTCGTCAAATCAAAGATTCAAGAGGAACATAAAATAAGGGTGCAAGAGCCCAAAGGAGGTATGTATGATTTTTGAACATGTAAGCGACTTTTTTCTGGTTTCATAATTACCCAGGTACATAGGCTACGTATCTGATCATAACCAGATGGCAGAGACTACAGGTTTCCTGTCGCATGTACAATTTCGCCTACTTGGCGTACACCTAACTCACCATGCATACTTGCCAAGAACTCTTGAAGATGCCATGCAAGGTTTCATCAGATGCCTAATCATATCCATCAATTAATCATTAATACAACAAGCAAAAACTGATGTATGGTTTGAGTAGTCACTTTAACTATCCAGCAGAAGGTAACATTAAAAGCAAGGAGTTAAGTGTCATCCATATTTATGAATATGCAGTTCACTTACAACTTCAAGCATTTCGAGATTTTACACCTGCACTGTTTCAGTTTTGGAGTCTCATCTTTTGCAACGTATTCACTCCCTGAGCGTGTTTTGGAGACAGGTATTCTGAAGAGCAATGAATATGAATACGAACAGTTAGACTAGAAAGGCATGATGGTGTGGGCAGTAAGTCTAGGACGCAAAATGATTTTTTTACAACCTTTGTTATGACCACAAATATCTGCCAAGATGTATTAAAAATCTACCCACAAGATAACTCATGTAAAATTTGCACCTCACATATCAGGAAAAAAATGCTTTCACTCACATGATGGACGAACGCAGAAAGTAGCATTTCGATGACTAAATGTAATTATACACGGCTCACCATCACAAGAATGAAACGTTCCTGATAGTTCAAAACAAAATTGATTTTCCACCATAAAGGTAAAATCCAAATAGTGCAAATACATAGGGAAAAAAGCTTCCAGAAGAGTACAATAGCTTGACAAGGACCAATTAAGCAACTAAACTGAAAAAATCGAAATAAACATGAGGACAGAGATAATGAAGACAATGAGGAATATCTATGCTCTGTCAGCATGAGGATTATCTAAATAAAATGAGGACTGTTGCAACTGGAATCAGGTACACATATAGTTCAATCAATTTCTAAATAAAATGTCTTTCGCGGAACATCTATAGAAAAGCATAATTTGATTTCTCTCAGTTTCCGCGACGTCACACATTTTCTGTTTTTTCTAATCTGATCACATTGTAGTTCTATACACTTTGAAATGAATATAGTTCACTCAGTTCAGATTTCACCCTGTTCTCTCATATAATAAAACTATCATTCCTTTGCAAAAGTCAAGCTGAAATAGGAAAAAATGACAGGATGTTTTTCAAGTTCTACAAAGCCACTATCACTCATGTGGACGCAAAAAAAAACCTTCCAAAGGGTATTTTCTTCTTAACTTGCATTTCTTGCGCATAAATTTCTCCAAAAATGACGTAAAATGCAAGAATGTTCCTCAAGGCAAGGTCTTCGACAGACAGTGTGGTCGCATGACGAAAAAGTTCGTCGACAGAAAGCTGATGAGAAAGCTGTAATCATCTAATAAGCAACGATACATTTTTTTTGAAATGTGGTTAAAGAGCAGTGAAAGAAAACAAGTAGACAACATCACATTGATAACGAAGCGAAAAAAAAACCATCGAGCAATCTATTAGGGGTAACTAAATCACTGCAAAATGTAAAATACGGAAGACTTAAGAGAATGGGATGGGCACTCACACCGGCAATGGAAGAGATGTTCGGCAGAGAGTCACTCTGGGAACCAGGGCGGTCACCACAGGTGGAGTCGTTGACATTGTTCCTAACGAAAGCAGCGGTACGTGTTGTTGCTGTTGTGGCTGAACCAGAGATGGTTGCGTCTGGGTTATCATCTGATGAGACTGAGACGGCCTCCACAGCTGCTCCGAAGCGGCCTTGTTCCCCGATGGAGTAGTGCAGATGGTGAAATCCAACTGTCGAGCAAGCTTCTTCGAGGGAAGATCGGTCGTTTCTGACGAAGTAGATCGAATACCACGATCCGACGGAGATGCCATGGTTCTCAACGACGGAGAGGAACAAAGAATTGTAACCAAAATGCCGTAGAAATTGGACGGGCGGGTCAAGATTCATCAGAGCACCCCCCATGCGCATCAAGAATTCACAGAAACTTAAACCCCTCAGATGGGTCGACGAAGACGTGGGCGGCTCTTGCAAAACAGGGTGCCAGAATCCGCCAAGAACGGCACCTTGAGAAGCCCATGGGGCGGTGGAGACGGCGGGGGTTCCTCGGCCTGGATTGAATCCACCAGAAGTGAGGCATCCGGGGGGTGAAGAGTGGCGGGAGATTTACCTGACGAAGGGAAAGAGTTGAGAACGAACTCGAGAGAGAAAAAGAAGCCTCTCTCTCTCTCTCTACATTCAGAGTCGGAGATTAATGAACGGACCGATATTCACGGCCGATATCTCATGCCCTGATCTAACAGTTCTTCTTTATAGAATGGGGAAGCGTGGATCCTCGGCCGTAGGATTGAGTACCTGAGCTCACAGTATCTCTCACCGTTAATGGCGTTTTGCATTAAACACCCTCATGGATCTCCATCTTGTATCAACAAATGTAGAGAAGCATAAAAGGGATATTTAAATAAATTATGGATAAGTACGGGTATGAAGACTTGACTCGTATTTCCTAGGAACCAAAACGGAATCCACGAAAAACAACACTTCTTTCCGCATCGAGAGTCCAATTCGCCACGTGGATGGGCCGCAAACAACAAAACGTGATCGTCAGATGAATGTACCCGAAAAAGGCTCAATGATCAGAAGGGTCTGACATTTGATGACGTCATCAGTTATTGGCGGCCAGCGTGGAAACGGGCCCACAGACTCCAGCCGCAAATGGACGCTGCGGCATCTGGGGAATTACAAGACACGTCAGCGGGGGCCAACTCGGCTGAACTGTTGACCGGATAAGTCAAACATTCAGTTGCCCTCTGACTGGGCGAGTTGACTGGACGATTAGGCCCCACTATAACGCGATACTCATCGGACGGGCCAGAACTCATAGCATTTGATCAGAATATAGAGGCATGGAAACACCTCATTACATGTCATTATAACTATTTAATTATATGTATGATTAACATAATTTGGATAATATTTAATTAAAAAATATGATATCATACTTATTCATGTAATGGATTTCTTTTAAGGGGCCGAAGCGGATGTGACGAGTGCTCGGATCCGCCCGACCGGTCCGGGTCATGAGAATCGGACCGTCCAGATTTGTCCCGGGATTAATATGAAAGCAGTAATCGGGCGGTCCTGAATGCGCCCTCGTCGGTGGACTTGGCACATCATAATCCGACGGTTCTCGATGGACTTCTACATTGCGAAGATCATCACCGCAGAAGGAGAGACGAGCTCTGGTTTTCCCAGCGGGTCGGTGGGCTTCTCCCCCGCGGGTGAGATTCCGGAGCCCACGTTGTTCCTCTTCTTCTAGCACTGTTCGCGGCTTCTTGCCGGATCTCGCGTCTTGAGATCTCCTCCTGGCGCGATGACGACCTTCGATTCTGTTTTATCTCGGTTGGATCTGTTGAGAGGTGCGTTTTGGCTCCCCCAATTTCGTCTCAGTGACTATTGATTGGTTCTGTGGTCCTTGTGAGCGTAATCTAAAGGCGTGGATTCTTCTCGTGTTTGATCCCTTGATTCGGCCTCGGTGATTACGATTTTGTCGCAGGGTAGTCCCGCTGGGCTGACATCAAGTTTCTCGTTCTCCGCTGCCGACAACGGGCGTGAATGTTGGATGCAACATTGTGTCTCTTAATTGGAGTGGGAGGCTTTCGTGGATTCTCTGAGGTAGGGAATGGCGTGGCTGGGTAAGGTCTCGCTTGGGGGATTCCCGGATCTAGCCGGGGCCGTGACGAAGCTGAGCGAAAGCGTGAAGAACATCGAAAAGAATTTTGACACTGCACTTGGGTTGGAGGAGAAATCTGACACAGGCGAAGGTGATCCTTCTGTTTTTTGTTTATGATTTGAATCTTCATCTCATGCCAGGTCTAAAGTATTCTAGTCGACCTTACATTAGCAGGAAGGTGAGCTCTACAGTGTGGATCATCGATGCCTCCTATTTCGTGCTAAACCCGGAATTTGACCAATCCACGGAAAAAAAAGTCTATAGTTATCCCATAAGCCTTCCATCTAAATCCGGATCGGTGAGAGAAAATGAAAAATACTGGTACATCGCGGCAACCTTCTGAAGGTTGGTTAGGAAGGGCAAATAAAAGTCCAAACTAACTTCACTGACAGCTCAAGTTCAACAGGATCACTCGGAAGGTTTAAGAATCTCCCAACTGATTAAAATTAAAGCCTGTCCGACAGTGGAAAAAATTCCCAAGGTTCTTTGAAGGTCTCCAAGATGAAGAGGAAAAACGACGAATTCAATATTATACTACGTGGATCCCAAGGTCCTTTGAAGATCTCCAAGGTGATATTTCACACAATAGTTATTGGGACCTTCAAAAGAGAAACTATGAAAGGTAGTGAGCGAATACAACAAAAACAAACATGAGTCTTTTGTTGTAATTATCTATAAACCTTGAGGAGGTAAACTATGCGAAAAAATTCTGTATGATTGCCTGTGTGATATTTTCGTTGTGTGAAAAATCCACGGTTGAATACCTCTCTTTTTGCTTTTTTAGAACAAGGCAAGTTGGTGAACCGAACATGCTCCTTTCTAAATTACTTCATTAATAATAAATAAACGTCTAAAAACGTTTTTACAGTTTTCTCCCCTTGAAACTGTTAAAAACTGATATATCTTATCCATTACAAATTTCAGCCGTACAGAAGGCTGTGAGTTTCTATGAAGAACCCGAATATTGGGTATCCATGCCTGCATTGATTTCTTTTGTTTATCGTGCAATTTTTAACTCTTGGACAGAGTTTTAACTTCACAGGTAAGCTGGTAGTTGTAGCTTGAGCCATTGACTGATGTGTTAATATATTTTTGTTTGGAACCTTAGCTTCTGGAATATGGCCACTAGCATCAGACACGAAAACTCTCTTCGAGCCTATGATGGCATTTATGGGGCACAAAGGAGGAGATAGTGGCATTGATGAACAGACAGAAAACCTGGAATCGACAGGACATTCTCAGGATGTTAAAAATGATACCCATCAGGTTTCTCCTGCAGTAGCTGACAAAGGGTTGAATGTTCTAACTGAGAAAGAAAATGAAGGATCTGAAAGCAAGGTCGAACAGGATTCGTATGTCACTGAAGTGGTCCCAGAAGAATCCCTTGAAAGTAAAGCTGAACGCGAAATAAATCTGTTGCAAACTGCAACTTCTCTGCATGCCCATTATGAAGTCACAAGTTCTTTGCACCCGACTCATCAGGAAGGGATTGAAGACATTCCCAGTGATCGTCCGCCTTCAGAAGATTCTAAATCTAAGAGCTCCATTTCCGTAAATCAGACAGAAAGCAGAGAGTTTTCCACGTCTGATAAGTTTTATCAAGTTGGTGATTCACATTTGGAGTCCCAGGAAGTGGAGGTTTCAACCTCTGCACATTCGACTGAAAAAGATCCTAAGAATGTTGATGTGGAAGGTAGTGACAATGTTGTAAGCTCTGAGACAGAGAACATGGCTTCATATTCTCTTAATCAAAGTTCCAACAATGAAACCACCAGCAGAGAATCTAATAATGATTTAAAAAACTCACGAAGCATAAGTCAGGCTCCAACTATGAATTTCGAACCTGAGCCAGTGGAAGTGAAATCCCACGGAAGAGATGTCAGAGAAGAGCACCCATCCGAGTCAAAGATGAATGAAATTGAAGCTGCAGAACCTGACACCGGGGTTAAAAAGCTGCAGGTTGAAATGAAAATGATGGAGGCTGCACTTCAAGGAGCTGCAAGACAAGCACAGGTACGTAATTATATACACATTGCCTGCAGAATATATGCACGTGGCCACATGCATAAATGCCTTTTCTCTCTGAGTTATGAAAGTTATTCGATTGTTTTTAGTTTCAAGTCGGTATTTTTTTTAAGCCATTGATCTGTTAACTCGTTCACATTATACCTGAAGAAACTCTTCAAGAATGTGGAGAGAGTGGGAGAAAAAGATTGAGAGATGGTGCACATCCCTTTTCTGTGATAACCCTAGGGTATACTGGAAGAGAATAGTTATCAATTCAGTGCAGCCCTATTCACTTCTATAAATGCTCCTAGTGATGATTTATTTAACCATAACCGTATGTGTATACAGAGAAATACGAGAAAAAAAAAAGAAGAAAAATGATGCTTTTAGAAAACACTGTTCACGAGTGATATCACATAAACAGTAACTGTCTCGTCAACGTCTATAAAAGATCTTTTCTGGATATTGTCCAGAACATAAACTAGAAAGAACCGATAGATAAAAATTAGGAACATTTTTTTTAAGGCAAGGGAAAAATATAGACCAGAATGGCGACCATGAATGGCAATCAGAACTCTTCCTAAAGGGTTTTGCCTATACGGGAGCAGATATTGTAGTGAACCATAGATTCATGTATGACTGAAAATTTTCAGAGATTAGGTATTTTATTATTCTCTGTTAAACAGGTTATCTCTTTTAGTGTGTGAGCTACTTTTGAGTCTGAAAGAAACTATTTCTTCTGGGTCTTCGAGAGAGACTGCTATAATTGTCATCCTCGAAGTCAACAAAGATTCACAAGAGGGAGAAAGTGTCTGGGTTGATAAGTGTGAGAAAGAAATGAGATATATCATGTGATATTTCTGTAATCTGGAAATTGGTATTATTCCTTGTTTCCTTTTTTTCTTCTTGGTTTCTGCTCATTACCTTCGCATAGCTATGAATATTTTATGAAGGCATGATTCTGAATTTTTATTTTAGCTTGTTGAGATGCGTCAATCCTAGGTCTTGCTATGCGTATTACTTTTTCTTAGTTCGCAACACGTGATATGGCAACTCTGTTAACTTGATTTCTGTGCAGTCAAAGGCCGACGAAATTGCAAAGCTTATGAATGAAAATGAGCAGCTAAAATCTACAATTGAGGATCTGAAGGTAGGTATGAAACCTTAATCTATTTTCAAGTCCGTATTCGTTTATGATAATAGATGGTTAGTTAGGGTCTCTCTTATTTCAATTTGATACCTACATCCTCATATTCTCTTCATCTGTCATATGCTTCCAAAGTATGAGCTAAGAGCGCAATTTGCCTTGTGAAGTAGAATTAAGGTTTCTTTTAGGTAGGATTTGGCTCCAACTAAGCGCCCGAGACACCTTCCAAACATTTCTCCTATACAAACGCCATTTTCTAGCTGTTTTGATGGTTTATTTAGACCAGCAATAGAGGCAAAAAGTCAGCCCCAATTGCTACCTGTGATTGGGTTATCTTATTGCTAGCCCTTGACAGCTATGCCAGTGCTAAAGTCGGATACTAAATTGAGTTACTGATGTAATACTGAGTACATTAAAAGTTAAAAGCGGTCCAAACTGTCAATGTTTCCAGCCACGTGTTTGTTTTTTAATACTACCCTTATGTGGTCTGTATCCTCCATCTCAATTTTTAAGGCCCTACGATTCATCCTAAAATTAAGTTATTCATAACTCCTGATCTCTCTCTCTCTCTCTCTCTATGTATGTATGTATATGTGTATATAGCTCTGCCTGTCTCGTCGTCCTCCTCTTTCCTCTTTCTATGCTCGAATTTTCTACTGTGTGAAAATAAGACCTGCCTTACTTTTGGATTCGAAGAAAAATACTGCTGTCGTGACTTTTGCTATGCCCTGATACCTGACTGCTTATATATAGACTGCGTTCTTTAAGTCCATTTGTAAATATCTTGGACTCTTTCTACTGCTTGTTAACTTAGACCCTGTATCAGAATCTGTGTAATTCAATTGTGAAAATTTAAATACGTGAGAATATTTATGGCACTTAATCTGTTTTTTTTTTGCAGCGAAAGACTTCTGAATCAGATTCTGATTCACTTCGAGAAGAGTACCATCAGAGAGTAGCCTCTCTTGAAAGGAAGGTACGTTATTTTTCCATATCAGTCTTCTTTTCCTTGTTTACATTCTCATGGTTTACTTTCCCGTGTTATAGGTTTACTCTATACAATTAGTTCAGGGGATATGTTATTCTAGCACTGTTTAAATTGTAATAATTACTATGATTTTTTTTTATGATATATGCGAGCTTGAACTCCTGTTTAAACGGTTAACTTTTCTTCTAGTCGAATTCCATGCATCTGCTTTCATTGCTCAAGTTACCCTTACTTTCCATGGATTTTTTGAGGGCATAAAACCAGGGCGGAGGTCTATTTTATGAATCAGCAGCAATATTGATGGTCTGGCTGTGATGTAGATCAGTGTGATTTCCATCTTGAGACCAGGGCGGAGGTATATAATTTAGACAGTTTGAAAAATCTAGTTCTAGAAAAATTCTAGACAGTTTTTAGACAGAAGTTATGGGTAAACTGTAAGCAAGGATCTCAACATTGCAATTATTCTCTTACGAAGGACATACATGAAATTTTTTTTGCCGTTGATGGAGAGTTTTGTTTGAACGGGATGATAACAATACTGGAGACTCTGGTGAGATTCTTATGGATGGTTCAAGAGTCAATGTTAAAGCACGAACAGTTCACTATGTGAATGACAGAAAAATATGTATAAAAATCTGCGTGGTCAAAGTCTTGAGTACTGAATAAATGTGAATTAATGACACGGTCAAAAGATTTGGATTTCATTTGAAATATATTATTGATCATCAGCATTTCTTTCACATTCTTTAACTGCATAAATTCTTATGTGGTGTCAGCCTCCTCTTGCAATTTGTTTGAATCATTTTTTTTTTCTGTTCCTATATCATGTGATGCTAAAATTGTTCTTCTCTAAATCACTTAAATGCATTGCGGACTGGAGATCATTGTTGACTTCTTGTATTTTGTGTCTTTTATTGGCTTCAATGGTTGATAAAATCAGTCAAGTTTTTTTAGAACGATTTATATGATTTATATTTTCTGATTCTAGGTATATGCTCTTACAAGAGAAAGAGATACTTTAAGAAGAGAGCAAAATAAAAAGGGTGACGCAGCTGCTCTTTTAAAAGAAAAAGATGAGATTATCAGTCAAGTTATGGCAGAAGGTAAAGTTTTTGGTATCAGTCAAGTTATCAGTCAAGTTATTAGCTCCCTAAAAATATACCTTCCGTATTACTCGAATTCTATAAAGTTTTTGGTGCTTTTTCTCCGTTCAATTCTATTTTTGTCCAGTTTGTCTTCTTGTCTCCCCCTTGTTCATAGCATCATTTTGGTCAACATCTTTTAGAAATATCCTTACTGTGGTCAGAACAAGGGAGCTGTTGAACATTGTGACTTTGTTACAGGACTGATTATAACAATAAGATTTGTGCATCTCGTTGCTTATTGACAGTTGCACAATCTCTTCTACAATGCAAATAGTTTATGTATTTTATGGAGTCTGTAATGATCTTTTGTGTAGTCTTGTTCATTTATTTTTTATTGTACAATTTTATAGGTGAAGAGTTGTCCAAGAAGCAAGCTGCTCAAGAATCAACTATCAGGAAGCTAAGGGCTCAGGCATGCTGCTAGCATATTGAATTTCTTTTAAACTCATAATCATTTTGGGTTTTATCATGATATTTAGTCATTCTTTTGTGTGAAAGTCAGATTAGAGAACTTGAAGAAGAAAAACAGAGGCTGAACTCAAAGCTTCAGGTATGCTCACATCAGTGATAGTATACTACTGCTTTAGACGCTCTCATGCTTTTTTTTCACATTTTTTCTAGTCTGTCAAGGAGAATCTACGTCTATGCATCGCTTTTATGTTGACAACAATTCAAAATACTTGTCCTTCAAGGTTTCAGTGTCCATGTCAGCAATGCTATGCCACAGATGAAAAGGCATATAAGTTTTTCATTGCTGTTTCTTGTTCATGGAAGATAACTTGTTTGGTTTAAGCTCTGCTTTCTGTCGAGTATACTCCAAATTATTACCTTTTCAATTTCTCACATTTTTTCCTTTTTAGACATTATACTTGTTATTGACCAAAATATCCAGTTGTCAATGCCTGGAACCTATGATAGATATATTGACTGTCTGGATTAGTACGCATCCCCTGGAAATGTGTCCAATAAAGCCTGGATAGGTGGATGAAAGGATGCACAAGAAGATAATATTTTAGTTTATTAGTTTTTGCTTGCTATTTTTTTTCCCTATTCTGGCTCGATTTTGCTGTTTCTCTCGTATTTATTAATGGGTTCATGGACGTCACTTATCATATGGAAATGAAATTAATGTCGCCTTTGATATTAGAAATTTACCGTAGTGTTTCACATGTGGGTGGTTACTATACCTTTTCTCATGCTTGTGTTCTAATTTTTGGATGTTGTTATTATCTTGGACTGTAACAATTTATTTCTTAATAATGCACCCAACGTTGGGTTCTATGCTTATAAAACTTTTAGGCGATCTATTTTGGGAACATCTGTTTATGCTTTGTAAAAGACTAACCGCTGTGTGCATATTTTTGGGTGTATTACAGGTGGAGGAGACAAGAGTGGAGAGCATGAAGAAGGACAAGGCAGTGACAGAGAAATTGTTGCAAGAAACAATAGAGAAAAGCCAAATTGAACTTGCTGCCCAAAAGGAATTTTACACTAATGCTCTGAACGCTGCCAAGGAGGCTGAAGCGTTAGCTGAGTCTCGGGCCAACGATGCAGCTAAGATCGAGTTAGAAAGTCGTTTGAGAGAAGCTAATGAACGTGAACATGAGTTGGCTCGATCACTACATCAGCTTAGGCAAACACTTATAAAAACTCAGGAAGAGGTACTTTGCTTTAAAACCTGGACGTTCTAACGTACCTGTGCTCACAAACGCCTGGCTTTCTAGGTCTATATTGCTTCTCTATATTTGAGATAGGATCTCTGCTGAACGCTCAAGGCACTTTCTTTTGACAACTTTGTAGGCTGATTTTAGGGAGGACATGCTTAAAAGAGATGTCGACGAACTCCAAAAACGCTACCAAGTGGGTTACTTTCCCTTTCTTTATCAATACTTCAATAATTTTTAATGAGTATCGCAATAAATTTCCAAGTAAGATGTAATTCATTTCAGGCGAGTGAGCTTCGATATAATGAGTTGATCACGCAAGTTCCTGACTCAACTAGGCCTCTTCTAAGACAGATTGAAGCCATGCAGGTTAGAGTTCTGTTATGATTTCTTTTTTCGGAGAAATCATGAACATTCGATTTTTATATCTTTAGAATACCGAACAAGATGTGGATTGTGATGCAATTGATTTCTCAATTTTTGGCTTAAGTTTCTGTGACGGAATTAACTTTAGTTAGAATAATTTCCCCTGAGAAGATTACTGAATGGGAAAACTATGGTCGGCCTGTATGTTGATTCTAACAGGAAGCCGCTGCAAGAAAAGCAGAAGCGTGGGATGGTGTAGAGAAAAATTTAAATGCTCGCCTTGAGGTTTTTTCCTCCTTCTTTTGGATGGAATAAAATCGATCATTTCCATATAAAGTCCAAAATGACACTCTTTTTAATTCATGTTATCAGTCTGCAGAGGCCAGAGCAGCAGCTGCGGAGGAAAGAGAACGATCCATGAATGAACGTCTAACCCAGACTTCGTCTCGAATGACCATGTTGGAGACCCAGGTATTCTTTTTCATATTTGGCCTCAATGCTTGTCTTCTCTGACCAGAAGCTGATAATCACTTGAAATGTGTTAGATTGCATGTCTGAGGACAGAACAGGCGCAGCTGAGTCGCTCACTTGAAAAGGAGAGGCAAAGAGCATCCGAGAGTAGGCAAGAATATCTGGCAGCAGTGGAGGAAGCTGCAACGCACGAGGGTCGTGCCAAACAGCTTGAAGATGAGATACGAGAGCTTAGAAGTAAACATAAGCAGCAACTACAAGAAGAACTGGTTCACAGAGAACTTTTAGAGAAGGTAGCGTTTAATTTTCTCATCCCTTCCCTATATCTAATTCGTTTTCTCAGATGCTTTGACCCATCTCCTTTGGATAGAATGCTTAATCGCCTCGTCTCTGCCCATCCCCTTTTAGGTCGACCACTTTGATCGATTTAAACAGCTTGATCTTGCCTTTCTTTTTCTTAGGGCAACACCATAAGTTTCCTCTGACACGAAATCGTCTCTTGTTACAGCTCTTGAAGCTTATCTTGTTCTTCCTTTATGTGTTGTGGGAAAACTTGTGGTGTTCATGGTCACAACACCACCGACCTCTTAATCTATTATTCTGCTCATCCACGTTGATTGCCACACTATATTCTCCTCATTATTTCTCATATCTCTGCTGAAGCAATGCGATACAGAAATTATGTCCATTGGCATCGACACCACAGTGAATAATAATCGTGACGATTCTCAGGAACTAGAGCGAGAGAGGAGTTCTAAATCAGAATTGGAAAAGATTCATCTGGAGAAGTCTGCCACCGCACAAGGCTCCGCCCCAAAGTACTCAAATTATGCGGAAAATGGTACAAATTCCTTTTAACTTTGACCTCGTCGATTTCTTCCCTCCCCCTCCCCCAGAAAGAAATATTTACTCTTTCTTCTCTTCCTCCTCCCCCCCTCTTTGGAAGGTGACGTCTCCCTCCGGAAGCTCTCCAGCGCCGGGAGTCTGAGCAGCATGGAAGAAAGCTTCTTTCTTCAGACATCTCTTGGATCTTCTGAGGACATCATCTCCGAGAGGAGGAGCCCTACCGACGCAACCATGTCACCTTACTTCTTAAAGAGCATGACCCCGAACGCATTCGAAGCTACACTCCGCCAAAAGGAAGGGGAGCTCGCATCATACATTTCCCGCTTAGTAAGTACAACTGCCTAAGCTCTAAGCTCTTAGCTCTCATCTTCCACCAAAGAATGAGCGAGCTTACTTCCATTCGTCCTCGTCTAGGCGTCACTCGAGTCCATCCGTGACTCTCTTGCTGAGGAGCTCGTCAAGATGACCGAACAGTGTGAGAAGCTGCGAGCCGAGTCAGCTCTTCTGCCGGGGCTGCGTGCAGAGCTGGAATCATTAAGACGGAGACACTCTTCTGCTCTGGAGCTCATGGGCGAGCGTGATGAAGAGGTAAGTAATCTCATCGAATTGTCCCCATTTATTACCAATAATAGTAAAAAAAACGTCCTTGGTCAAGCTCTGATATATATATATATATATATATATATTTTATTTCTGGTTAAATGAGTGGTGCAGCTGGAGGAGCTCCGAGCCGACATCATCGACTTGAAGGAGATGTATCGAGAGCAGGTGGACTTGCTAGTTAACAAGGTAAGCTTTTTTTCACCGATCAAACAAGGGGCGTTGACCTTGTTAACCCCCCCCCCCCTCCACCCCCTTGTTAAAGGCGTTGACCTCTGTCGGTTTCTTCTCCGCAGATACAGACGTTGACCTCTGTCGGTGCCGCCGTCTGATGAGATCCGGATCTGCGGTTGGTAAGAGCTACCTTGCTCGGTCGTGAGTTCTGCCCCTACATTGCCGAGCGAAGATTAGATTCACTCGGATATCCATCCCAGTTGATGATGTACCCTTTTTTTTTTTTGGTTGTGTTGGAAAAACAGTCTGGGAGGGGCGCGTTGTTCCTCCCTTCTGACGTTTTTTTTTCCTATGAAGATGAATTTTGTACAAAAAAAAGAAAACTTTAAGCGAATTTAATTATTTTATAAATGCCCCCCAAAAAAAAGCTAATTTGGAGTTCGTTTTCTTTCTTTTTTTTAGGTGAAGAAAATGATCTATTTCTTGTGTGCGGCCAAAATCACCGAATATTTCGGAAAAATGAAAATTATTTTGTCCATAATCGTGAAAAATGTATTATGAAAAATTTATGCAGGTAATTAAATATGAAATAACGCAGTAAATATAGGATCTCAGTTTTTATATATAAAAAAGGGTTGATATATTTTTTATGTCCACTGATAAGGGGATTAGGATATGAACACAATTATATAACATAAATGGGTTAAAAGTTACAATATACAATGAATGTGAACATTTATACAAATTTCTCCCTCATCCTTCTGGTTATATGTAAATTCTTCTCCCTCGGCCTCTCGGAGGACTTGGTTTTTCCCCTTCGCGATGGAGACGGCTAGCACCGCCAAGCGACTGCCCCCCAGCACCACCACGGTGGCGGCGGCAGCTGAGGAGGAGGAGGATGACTATGTCGAGTATATCCCGGTCCACAAGCGCAGGGCTATGGAGGCCCAGAAATTGCTGCAACGCAAAGGCCGCCTCCCCTCCGAGGGGTCGGCGGCCCCCTCCGCCGTCGAGGAAGCCGCCGGCCTCCCCAAACCTCCCGAGGTCGCCGAAGCCAAACCTAGTCTCCTCGTCAAGGCCTCCCAGCTCAAGCGTGATATGCCTGAGATCAGCCCCACGGAGCAGCTCGTCCAGCAGGAAAAGGAGATGATCGAGCACCTCTCCGACCGCAAGACGCTCATGTCCGTGCGGGAGCTCGCCAAGGGGATTACCTACTCCGATCCCATCCCCACAGGTTGGAAGCCCCCTCTACCTATCCGCCGGATGTCCGATCGCCAGTGCGATGCCATCCGCAAGCAGTGGCATATTATGGTAGATGGCGACGACGTGCCCCCGCCTATTAAAAACTTCAAGGACATGCGCTTGCCTTCTCCGGTTCTCACGAAGCTCAAGGATAAGGGTATTGTGCAGCCGACCCCGATCCAGGTACAAGGTCTGCCGGTGATCCTGTCCGGGAGGGATATGATAGGGATCGCCTTTACAGGATCTGGGAAGACCCTAGTGTTCGTGTTGCCACTGATAATGGTGGCAATTCAGGAGGAGCTTATGATGCCGATCGCTCCTGGGGAGGGGCCTTTTGGGCTCGTCGTCTGTCCTTCAAGGGAACTCGCTAGGCAGACATTTGACGTCGTGGAGGAGTTCCTAATACCACTGAGGGAACACGGCTTCCCTGAGATCAGGCCATTGTTATGCATTGGAGGCGTCGACATGAGGACGCAGCTGGACATTGTGAACAAGGGTGTCCACATCGTGGTGGCCACTCCTGGGAGGCTCAAGGATCTGTTGGCAAAGAAGAAGATGAATCTAGACAGTTGCAGGTGCGCTCACAAAGATCCATTATCCTTGCGTCTTCACTGTCCTCAGTTTTAGGAATCCTTATGTTTTCTGGGTGTTTCCCCATTGTTTGCCGTGCTTTTCTATTTTCCCTAACTAGGGTTTCTGATTACTTGGATTTCTCTTTGTATTCTTGAATCCCAAGATTCATTTTTAGGAAAAACAACCATTCTTTGTCAGTTATTGACATATCACATCAATAAATCCTTTTTTTTATCCAGTATCTATTTCTAGCAATCCATCCTGTGCCACCTCTTACGGAATCATGTTCTTGCGAATAGGAGAAAATCCAAATAAGAAAAATGTAACCAAACCAAAATATTTTGCCGTTTCTCCCTCTCTCTCTCTCTCTATCTCTCTCTCTCTCTCGCTTGATAAATGAAGAATTTATAATACAGAAGCATGCATATTATATACATATACATGTATACATACGATCATTTTCCTGTTCTTCATGAGCTTGCTTGGATCCCTGTTCTGTTTTGGCATATAGACCAGTTCATACTTTTCCTTTTTGTGCTGGTTCTCTTTTGTATTCTTTTAGGATCAACATATTGATTTTTTTTTTTAAAGATCAAATCTTGATAAGTTTTTAATGATCATTCGTACAACTACAAACCAGATAGCTTCCCACTTGGGAAAGGAAACTCCAAACTCCAACACTGATCTCGTTCATGTTCCGTTGATACCTTCTCTTCACATTTTCTTCTCTTCGTCATGCCAGAAGATGCATGGAGTTTCCGTATGTATAAATGATAGTATGGCAGCGGTTTAGAAGATCTCCTGCAGGAACCCTAACAGTAGATGGAGCATAATTTTCAGATGGGTCATGCCGACCTGTTCTGTGTTTTGTAGAACATCGCTGCATCAGAATTTTTGGCGTTTCCTTGCTTGTTCATGGTGATTTCGATATGGGTGAGGAAATCTGTGTCTGAAGAAGAGGTGGAACACTGCTTTTGCAGGTACTTGACCTTGGATGAGGCGGACAGGCTGGTGGACCTAGGGTTCGAGGACGACATCAGGGAGGTGTTCGACCACTTCAAGGCCCAGCGGCAGACCGTCCTCTTCTCCGCCACCATGCCGAAGAAGATCCAGAACTTTGCCACCAGCGCCCTCGTGAAGCCGGTGATCGTCAACGTGGGGAGGGCCGGAGCGGCGAATCTGGACGTCATCCAGGAGGTGGAGTACGTGAAGCAGGAGGCTAAGATCGTCTACCTGCTCGAGTGCCTGCAGAAGACGCCGCCGCCGGTGCTCATCTTCTGCGAGAACAAGGCCGATGTGGACGACATCCACGAGTACCTCCTGCTCAAGGGAGTGGAGGCGGTGGCCATCCATGGCGGCAAGGACCAGGAGGAGAGAGAATACGCCATCGCGTCGTTCAAATCCGGGAAGAAGGACGTCCTGGTGGCCACCGATGTGGCCTCGAAGGGCCTGGACTTCCCCGACATCCAGCACGTCATCAACTACGACATGCCCGCGGAGATCGAGAACTACGTCCACCGGATCGGGAGGACGGGGCGGTGTGGGAAGACGGGGATAGCGACGACGTTCATCAACAAGAACCAGAGCGAGACGACGCTCCTGGATCTGAAGCATCTCCTGCAGGAGGCGAAGCAGAGGATCCCGCCGGTGCTGGCGGAGCTGAACGATCCCATGGAGGATGTGGACGCCATCACCAATGCTAGCGGCGTGAAGGGCTGCGCCTACTGCGGTGGATTAGGGCACCGGATACGCGACTGCCCCAAGCTGGAGCACCAGAAGAGCATGGCCATTGCAGGTTCTAAGAAGGATTATTACGGATCAGGTGGCTACAGGGGGGAGATTTGAGCTCCCATCCGACCTTCTTGTACATTTTTGGTGTCTTGGTATCAGAAAATCTGCAGATCTTGTGTGTTCTTCTAGGTTTAGAGTTGACTTTTTTCTTCTGCCGATCCACTGGGTGGAGTTGACATTGCTGGTATTCCCCCATAATGATGATGGGGGATGAGGATTGTTGGGAGAAATATCAGAAAAGTTTTTCACTTTAAGAGCATTATGCAGGAAAACAAAAAAAAAAAAACCTAGAAATCGATTTTTTTTGCTAAATCTTATCTATCAGGTCGATTTTGGACCGGAAAATGCAGAACAAAGATGGATTGAGCCGGCAGATGATCGGTCATCTAGGGTTTGTTCTTCCCTGAAGACTAGCTCGATTTTTTACGAGCAATTTGAGTGATAGATTTGCGGAGCAATTTGTCAGAGTCCGGGCCTCGTTAGGGTTTTAAGATCAGCCGGCCTCTCTGTATGACGAACCGTAGCGTCCCATTCCTGCCCCTGCCCTCCGTCCCACCATTAGGACGCAGAAGGTAGTAAGCCGTCGCCGAGAGGGGCGACATCGTTGCTCCCTTATCCTCCCCCTCCGTTCCCAGAGACTACACCTCTCTCTCTCTCTCTAGCAAAGAGGTGGAGGCCGAGACAAGTGGTCGGGCAGGACTCGACATCGCCACCGCAGGGGTAGCTCGAATACGGTCGAAGGAGCTCCAGGAGGAGCGCGCCGTGATCGTTGGTGGGGATTCGAAGGCGAAGGCCCTTCTTCTCTCTGGTGTGGTCACCTGAACCTCGAGCAGGAAGCCAGACCGAGCAATCCACCTCCATACGAGATCCTTGAAGAGGCATCGTTTCCCTCCACCTTCCCTCTTGGAGCGTTTGATGCCGCCACTCTCTTTCCTGAAATGGAGAGCGACGAAGAGATAAAGAAGGCGCAGACTGTGGAAGCCCGGGCCAGGAACATCAGCCACAACGTCCGTTGCACCGAGTGCGGGAGCCAATCCATTGAAGACTCCCAAGCAGACGTCGCCATTCTCCTCAGAAAGGTGCCATGGATTCCTGAGACCTCTCTCTTCGCTCAACCAAAAAAAAATAAAAATCAAGGAAAATTTTATGCTAATACTCTCATTTTGGTGGTCTGGATCTGGTTGGAGGTTTCTGACAGATTGAATCACTGCTTGATTCTCTGCATCTTTCAGCGACCCACATAGTGATATTTTCAGAAACCTCCTACCATCTCCGTGGTGGGAAGAATTTCTTCCTGTTGCCTGCTCTGTTTCATGAAACGACATGATGGGATAACGCATGAGTAAACACTGCCAGCTGCATCTTCATCAATAAACTTGTTCTTACATTCTCTTGCCCAAGCTTTTTTCTCTCCATATATTATGATGCTAGAACACCAATAAAGGCATAATCGCTGTGCGATTTAGAAATTTTCTTCACTGATGGCAGATGAGGTAAAGGGTCCGCTGATTCAGGGTTCCTAGTGTGGAGACCAATCATGTTCTTTGATTTTCATAGCTGACCACATTATCTGATGCATGGAAATAAGTATGATGCCAGTGGCTAGCGGCATCTACAGCAATGTTACAGTTCTTGATTTTCCGGGAAAAAATACCTTTTTTAGGAGAAAATAAATGGGCACAAATTAGTCTGCAATTAACATGCGTATTTCTTCTGTAGCTGATACGAGATGAGATTCGGGCTGGTAAAAGCGACAAGGAGGTATATGCAAAGCTCGAAGAGGACTTTGGAGAGACCGTGCTCTACGCCCCTCGCTTTGACCTACAGACCGCCGCCCTTTGGCTGTCCCCGGTTAGTCTTCTGGTCAAACCCTTCTCAAGCATCGATTTCCTCCTTTACCCTAGTTTCATGATGCCAATTTCAGACCCCTCTTTGTCATCCTCCTTGTTCTTGTTATTTAGCTAGCCCTCGGACATGGCTCCAAAAAATTGAAAGAATGGGCTTTTATTCACGTGCTATTGTAATGGGGTTATTCGATTTTAATTCTTCGTAAACCACTCATGCATGAGCCTCCTCGTTGACTTTGACCCTGCAAACTGAATGGTACGTCGTCCGTAGTCTGTGGGGGCTCATAGGATGACAAAAAGAGAGGATCTTTCCATGATTCATACACTAGTGGAGAAGAGAAATCAAAGAACCCTATTCTATAGGAAAGCTTTTGACTTTATTATGGACTCTTTATCCGAGCAATCCTATTTTGTCAACGCATAAAACCCACATTAAATCAGGAACTTTCAGCAGGCCATCTGACAGGAAATCTATGCTTTGGGCAGGTGATCGTCGCTGGGGCTGCTGTGGGGGTGTGGGCATACCAGAGGCACAAGCGGAGGACCAACGTTCACATCATGGCGCTGAACCTGGTCAGAGGCGTCCCGCTAACGCCAGCCGAGAAGGAGACAATGCTGGAGCTCCTGACCCCACCGCCACCTCCGGCCCGGTCATGGTGGGGCCGATTTTCCAGATGAAATTAGTCAGCTTTATGTAAAACTATGATGATGATGATGATGATGATGACCTTTTTGCTAGAAAAGGGAATGACATTAATCAGCAGAATTACTGGTTAAGTTAGGGCATCACAGGCCACTGTAAAACATGAACATCTCCCTCACCAACGTTTGAGAGAGTGAAGAGCTCTCTCTGCCCACCGGGGAAGGAGGTTGGTTATCTGGCTCAATTGGGTGATTCAGGCTGCGCAGGTACCTCCACAGACCAAGCTCCTACAAGACACGCAGACAAAGGCTTCATCAGAAATGGCAGGCGAATGTAAGAAGTCAACGCATCGGATACGATGAGACTCTCTGTTGTCGTTAGAATGGTGGGCCTGATCTTGATGACTCACATGAAAGACCACCCAGAGCGCTTCCTCTTTGCCATCTCCAGACTCCTTGGCGGCTGAAGGACCACTCTGATTGCAGCATCAAAGACGGCCTTGATGTTCTGTGGATCGTTGTGGGCGTAGACAGGGACATCAGAAACTATGGTCAACTATACAAGAAGATATATAAGGGTTATATTGTTTTAGCAACCCACAGATCAGCTGAATCATCGAGAAGTCCCGTTGTCTTTCAATTGGACCTTTCTTTCAATCTCCCGAAAATATCATCTAATTGATGTTTAGTCCCTCTAATTAATCATATTTAACAAATAGTTTTTCGAATTATCCTCATAACTATATAGACCTCATCTCTCTCTCTCTCTCTCTCTCCCTCTTGAAAGACGCAGAGAGATATATATAATGAGGGTAGCTTAGTCTTTTGAATAAAATTTATGTTAAATACAATTAATCAGGCTAAGGGACTGAAAACTAAGAAGATTATAGCATTTGGGGGCCTAAAGGTATAGCTGAAAAACAAAGGGAGTTATAGATAATTGAGTTTGTTTGCAGGGGGCTAAAGCTAGCTAGCCAAAACGAAAATCCGCTACAAATACATCATCAATATAATCTGAAGAACTTTGTGGGTGATATACCTGCTGGGTTTTGGAGCTGCATTCAATGTAGGCTGCAGCACCAATCAGCTTCCTCAGCTCCTCACCCTGATGAGAAGTTCAAATATAACGAATGACGTGGATCTCTACAGTAATTCCCTCTAAAGAAAAGTGTCAGGAGTTTTTCCTAACCTGAGCTGTTGTTATTACTGAGGGGCCAGGATGATCAGCAGCGTATCCTGGGTCTTGACGAAGATCTAGAATTCAGCTTAAACCCAAAACTGTCATAGTTAGTAATAATGGGCAGTAAAAAAGGTAAAGAATTGAATAGTTTTCCGTACCTAGCTTTGTTCCGACAAGAATAACTGGAACGCTGGGTGCAAACCGGCGTAGTTCAGGCACCCACTGAGATACAGAAATAAAGATCAGGGATGCAAAAGTGTTTTGAGTTATTGGGCACACATGAGGAGAACACTGATCAATGCTCTATCAACTGGAAGGCCTTTCAAATGTTGGCGAAAGCGATCTGTGTACCTTCTTGAGAATGTTTTCATAGCTTGCCCGGCTGATCAAGGAGAAGGCCAAGACAAAGATGTCTGCTCCTCGGTAGCTTAGCGGCCTCAATCTGCAGTAGTCCTCCTGGCCTACAAGGGCAGCGTTACGGAAACGACATAAACCCGTGAAAGAAGAGCAGGAAGAAACAAGTTGAGCGGACTTGTCCGCACCTGCCGTATCCCACAGACCCAAGTTGACGACGCTCCCATCCACCGACACGTTGGCGCTGAAGTTATCAAACACGGTGGGTACATAATCCTGCGCTCAGATGAGAGGTAAGCGGAAATAAGAGAAACCCACGACTCTGCGAGAAGAAAAGGCAGATTCCCGAGAGAGCAGTCCGGTTCTGAAAAGATGGGAAGAAATATCCGACACAGATGCTCAGGCGAGACAAGCAATTATTCAAGAGCAGCACTGTCATGACTGCGCATAATTAGTTAAAAGAGCCAAGAAGGTTTAGCATGCCTAGCCAACCAAACAAATTGGTTGAAGCATCATGGTAGTCAGGTATATTAAAGGAACGAAAAGCAATAAATAGGGTTGCAGTGAACAGACAGTTTAGCGGGGGTAATGAACAGAAGGGAGAAAAACGCGAAAAGACGTCGCCCTAAACAGCCATCGCCATTTATGCAGCCTTCTCAAGGAAAAATCCATAGAAGACTTCTCCCCCACAGGAGAGGGAAAAAGCAAATGGCAGACGGCCGCACACAAGCGAAACTTAGAACTGAGAAAAAGTGCCGGAAAAAGCAACAAGGAAGCAGACGAAAAGAAACAATTACAGAGAGTGATTGGGGACTGGGCATTTTCTTGCGGTGCATACGGTGGGAAACTTGTTGCTTGTGTAGCAGATGAGCATGCAGGTCTTGCCAACCGCCCCGTCTCCAACGGTCACGCATTTGACGAACCTCGACGCGCTCATCGCCCTCCCCTGCTACTCACCCCTCAAAAGGTACCAGGGATTGGGTGGGAATGCTCGACTGGCTCCGCTTCTGGGTCGCCGGCGAGCTAGGGGCGAGAGTGAGGAAGGAAGACCAGGGAGGAGGGAGAGTCGACACAAAGGCCCACTTCCCGCGACGGGCGTAAAACTAGAAAAAGCACACATTGTATTTTACACACAATATTCTCAATATATTTCTTATTTCACGAGTACACGACAAAAAAGCATTTAAGCACACAGACGCTGCTGCTGCGCGCCTCTCTCTCTCTCTCTCTGTGTCTAATCTTCCGCCCGGGGGTGGGTGGGGTGAAGGGATATGTGCGCAAATATGGTTCATGCAGAGAGAAAAATCGAATTCAGAAGAAAAAAGAGGGCCACATTCATACCGGTAAGGCAAAGTGGGCGTGATCGGAGCCATTCTCCAGGTTTTACGAATCTGCCCCAGTCGGGATGGCTCCGTTCATCTCACCCTTCAAATTTGGTTTACTGCGCGGGAAAACTCGGAGCGCACAAAACCTGGAGCGGAAGAAACAAGGAAGAAACTGGCTACTGGCGTTCTAGCAGCCAGCATTACGGCATGCTGCTGGAGATGAATCGGAGCAAAACGTCCGTCGACTGTTCCGCCAGGTAATGGACGACGCGTCCTGTCTCCGTTGGGAGAACGACGAGGCGATCGCAGTCTCGAAGAGTTAGACAAGAATGAATGAGACCGGCCACCGGTGGGGGTGGGGGTGGGGGGGTGGGGAGGGGGAGAAGCCGCAGGGATCTGCAGGGATCCCTGCATAAAGATTTGAACTCACCAGAACATTAACTCAGGGGATGGGGACCGATGGGAGGCACCTCCAGATCCGTCCATTTCGAGCCCCATTCGGTGGACCGGAGGAGGTGATGCACTGGAGCACCGAGGCATGGAAACATGCAGAAGAATCCAAGAGCCTGCTTCTCACGCTCCGGCCACCGCCGCCGCATTAACGCCTCCGGCAGGAAGGAAGGCCTCATTGATGGCCACTGCTCAGTGCACCTGCCGAGGGAAAAGGCCGAACGAGAGGCAGAGAGACACGACGACAGAAGCGGCAGCAGGCGAAACGGCATTCAATGTACTTATAGAAAACGGTAAATTACAAATACCACCCTGTGAGGAATTATGCTGTACTAAATACCACCCGTACATTTGTCCAATATTGGGCCTGGTGTCTGATGGGCCGGTAACTGGCCCGTTGTGGTGAGGACCGGACATCTTCAAAGAATTGGACTAGATCTGTAAATTAAAAAAAACCCCTTGTGAAGAATTATACTGTACCAAAATACCCTCCAGAACTTTCGACAATATTGGGCCTGGTGGCGTGATGGGCCCACTCTTTGCCTTATGGAAAAGCCCACGATAACACCGGCCATTTTCAGAGGCATTTGGCTCGGTCGGTAAATCACATAAACATCCTTGTGAAGAATTGTGCGGTAAAAATACCCCTTTACATTATGCAATATTGGGCCTGGTGGCCTGATGGGCCTGACTCTGTCCCCAATGGAAGAAGCCCACGAAACCGGCCCGTTAAGAGAGACCGAGTCCGAAGCCCGGAAACGCCGGGCTTAGGGTAATCCGAACCTCGTCACATCGGAGAAAAGGGTTCTCCGGTGGACTGGCCGGAGCCACTTCCGGCGGCCACTTTCTTCTCCGCCACGGGAGCCCAGAAGCTGACGGGGGGCCCCACACAGATGGGGCAGCCACCGAGTTCTCCCCGTCCGGTGGCCGCTGCCGGCGAGCCCGTCCGTCCGTCCGGCGGCAAAGATCCAGTAACCGGCACCAATGATCGCCGCCGTTGGAGCACCACCGTCGGTGGAGGCCCGCTCCGCCGTCGCCGTCGCCGTCGCCGTCGCCGCCTGCTCCCCGCACCGCCGCCGCACCGGGCCCACACCCTCCGCCGGCTGGTGGCTTCCTCCTCCCCCGCCGACCAAACGAATCCCTCCATGAAGCCTCCTGACCTAATCTTCAAATAAAATTGAGCCGTTGGGATGTCTATTTTGATTCAATTAAATCGCCGAATTTATTTAAACATCGGATGGTCCCACGTTCGGTGGGCCAGCCCACCAGGTGGGCCCATGTGGATAATTTGGGCCATATCCCTCCCTTTTCTTATTGGGCGCCGTCCGACTTGTCTCACCTTTTGTAATCGCAAAAGAATTCTAATCCCCGGAGGTGATTGGGGGGGGGGGGCCACTGGTCTGACGCCACGTGGCACCCTCACTGAGGGGGCGGGGGGGTGGCGCGAGGGGATCCTCTCCGGCGGCGGCGCCGGCTCGCTGAAGGGACGGCGACGGCGGAGGTAGGGGGGAAAAGCGCGGCCGGAGATCGGGGAAAAGGCAGCCGCGCGTGGAGGCGGCAGAGACAGCTGGTTCTCTCCTTGTCGACCGGCGACTGGGCGCTAGGGCCCCGCCTGCGCCCTCTCTCTCTCTCTCTAGCTCTCTGGAAACGAGCTGGCTTCTTTCGGGCTTCTCTATACATTTGCCGTCTAGATAATGATGGCTCGAGCGCCTCCTCCACGCTTACAGTAGAAAGAGAAAAATAGTCGGATAAATGGTTACCATAAATATACAAATAATTATAAAATGGCATTTCCCCTTAAAATGGTATTATCATAAAATGACAATTATTCGCTGTATTGTCCCGTTGACTTTGATGAACGGATGCAATAGATCAGAGGGTATTGAAAAAAATGGTATTTTCCGAGAAAATGTGATATTACGAGAAAACCCAGAGAGATTGAATAATGATGAGTGGAGGCCATGATAAAACAAATGGCTGGGGCAAAGGACGCAAGAGATGTATACTTTTTTTTTAGATATCTGTCCATCGTCTTCCCCACACATACAACCACTCCTTGCTCCGTGGTATTTGTTTCTGTCTTCGACTGGCTGTTGGTTCCTTACTTTATGATCTCTGGCGTCGCAGCGGCAGGCGAGGAGGTGCCAATCGGAGTCGGAAAAGGGAACGGCGAGCTCCTCCCCTACCTCACAAATTCCCCTCAATCCCCACCCCTGTCTCTCAATGCAATCTGCAGAAGAGAAAGCCTAGGCGACTTCTGCTGCAACCCCCCATTCCCTCGATAGAAACCATCTCTCTCTCTCTCTCTCTCCCTCTCTCCCTCTCTCTCTCTCTCTCTCTTTCTCTCTCTCTCTCTCTCTATCTATCTATCTATCTCTACGTCTGCTATTGCTCTGATTTCTGGGTTTGGACTGATTTTTCTCGCTACATGTTCTGCTGGTGTCCTAACAGACGCCGGCCCTTTGAATGTCGCCGTCCCTGGAGCATGATTACATAGGGCGGTCGGGGATTCCTTCCATGGAGGACTCCGAGAGGCTCCCCTCCCTGGCCTCGGCTCCCGTGGTGGACGAGGGCGACGGGCTCTGCAATCTCAAGGAAACCGAGCTGAGGCTGGGGCTTCCGGGCTCGGGATCCCCAGAGAGAAAGGGCGAGGCCATGCTGACGCTGGGGCCTGAGAAGGGCTTCGTTTCTGGGGCGAAGAGGGGTTTCTCCGACGCAATCGATGGATCGGAGAAATGGGTTTTCTCCGGAGGAAAAGGATCTGAAGTAGAATTGGGGAAAGGAGGCCCGCTGTTCTCCTCAGTGGGCGAGCCTAACAGCGCTCAGCACGCGGTTGCTGTGAGCTCTCAGAAGGACAAGGCCCCGGCGGCTGAGAAGCAAAGTCAGGTTCCTCCAGGCAGTACAGACACCGCACCTGCTGCTAAGTAAGTGTTTTCGGTCCATGTTGCCGCACTTTAGTCACCTCCGGATTTCTTTGGGTTCTCCTTAAATGGCTGACATGGTAGAAAAGCCTCTGGCGTCAGCTCATTCTATAGTCGAAGAACGATGCTTTCACCCGCGCTCGCTGAATTAATAGCCCGTTTGTTTGTTGTATTGCGATCATTCTAATGGCGGAGGTCGTCGAGAAATAGTTTCCCTGATGATCTTTTCCTCTAGTAGAATGTCTGCTCGTAGGATTCCCTCGTATTAAAATGATATTTTCTTTTGTCTAGCTTCTTTTTCCTTTTTCGGTGGTGGTGGTGGTGGTGGTGGTGGTGGTGCCGCCGTGGTGTTCTTCTTGCATGGGAAAAGTCGTCCTGGTTGCAATGCTCATGGGGAGATTATTTTTATTTTTATGTTTATTTTATCGATTTATTTTCTTCCTCTTTTCCTGTGATCCAGCTGCGGTCGTTCTTGCTCTCATCTGTTAAATTCAGGGATTATCTTCTTGTTGTGGCCTCTCTCTCTCTCTCTCTCTCTCTCTCTCTCACTCTCACTCACTCATCTGTTGAATTCCTCCTGGTTTCTTGTGTGGTTGGTTGTTCTGTGTTCCTCCTTCGTCGTCTATCTCTCTCCTTTCGTGTCTTGGGGGGTAGCTACCTGCATGTCAGCCTCTTCAAGAATTCGTCTCCTTTCTCGGTTTCGGAGGATAAGTTTTTCAGGGCTTCAAAGCTCATGGAGCTCTCTTCAGGCGTTGACCCTGTGGAAAAAATAAGTTTCATTCATCGTGGCAGGGAAGAATGCGCTCTAATTGCTGCTTCTGTGACAGGGCGCAGGTGGTAGGCTGGCCGCCCATCCGAAGCTACCGAAAGTACACAATGGCTGCGAACCCCCCGAAGAAAACTGACGAGATCGAGGGAAAGCAGGGCCCCGGCTGCCTCTATGTGAAGGTCAGCATGGATGGTGCTCCCTATCTGAGGAAAGTTGACCTGAGAACTCACGGCAACTACAAGGAGCTTTCATCTGCTCTCGAGAAGATGTTCAGCTGCTTCACCATCGGTCCGCCCTGCTCTTGCTCCCTTGACCTTTCTGTTCTCCGGGCCTCAAGATTTTCCTTTTAAAGGATGGATCCTTCTGGATTTCGTGTTCTTTGCAGGCCAGTACGGCGCGAATGGAGGACCCGGCAGAGATGGGTTGACCGAGAGCCGCTTGATGGATCTTGCTCATGGGTCTGAATATGTGCTCACTTATGAGGACAAGGATGGAGATTGGATGCTCGTTGGGGATGTTCCATGGGAGTAAGTCCCATTAATACGGGTTCTTCTTTTTTTTTTTTTTAATTTAAGGAGAATTCGAAAAAAGATGCTTCTTTGGGTGCTTATTCTTTTATCGATTCAGGATTTTGTTATCTATTAGTTTCCGGAATTGTAAAGCTTTTAATTTTTTCTCCCAATTTGGTAGTAATTTCTCAATCTTCTTAGAAAGTCAATGTGATCCATTCATGCTTTTTTGGGATCTGCAGAATGTTCACGGAGACCTGTAAGAGGTTGAGGATCATGAAGGGCTCGGAGGCAACCGGGTTAGGTACGGCTTGATCCTGCATGATCAGGGCAATGACATTCTTTTGTTGAGAATGATCAGATTAATTATTTTTTCCATCTATCCGTCCGTCATTAATCCTGAAAATGGTATGAACATAATGAATTGCAGTGGGGGAATCGTTCATTAACTGTTGTTGAACTCCTGATAATCTCTCTGGGAAGAATTTTATGTGTTGATTCGACATTGATCCCTGCGAATTTTGCGTTACCCGCAGCTCCCCGGGCGGTGGAGAAGAACAGGAGGTCGTAGTCTGGGTCGCCGGCGGATCCGGCGGCGCACCGGGGCCGCGCGTCTTCCTGAAGGCTTCTCCCTTGCTCCCTCGGGACGCGAAAGATTCTCGGAGTCCCCTCCCCCGGGTTCCTTTCTTACTCTGTTTCCTCTGGTTGTGTGAATCTCTGGTTTGATGCGTGAGAACTTGTCTGCTGGTGTTGGGATGAGCATCCCGGCTATATATTCCTCTTCTGTGCCCGTCCTTTTCTTTCCTCATCGCACAGGAGAAGCTGTCGGCCTTCCCACTGCTACCCATCAGAGCGTTCCCATCAGCGTCCGTATGCTTGTCTACCCGTCAGGTCCCTTCCCTTCTCTCTCTTTCTCTCTCTCTTTCTCTTAATGGGTTCATGGTTCTCTGCCCGGCGGACGGAAATAGTCTTGAATGAGTACTAGAGGCAGGACTATGAAACAGCAGCAAAGCCGCCCAGTGAGATGTCTGAGAGAGACAGAGAGAGAGAGAGAAGAGGGGGGGTTCTGGTCGGTGTCTAAGAGGGGGTGGGGGAGGAGGAGACCTGTAGGTAGACCATCTGGGTGTAGCCGTTGAAGACGGTGGAGTCGAGTCTGGTGAGGCCGAGCCTGTGGAACTGGCCGAACCGGCCTTCTTCTATGATGGGGTCGGTGGCGCGGGCGGGATCGTACCTGGTCTGGTGGGTGAGGGAGGGCCCCGCCACAGGGGGGAGCTCCCAATAGACGTCCAGCACCGACTCCACGAACCTGCTGTTCTGGAAGTGTTCGGAGAGAGAAATGGCCTTGCTGCTGTGGTTGAAGTCGTCTCGCATGTGCCCTCGAACGCCCCACCAGGCCTCTCCCTCGCCGCAGAGCTCGTCTGTGTCAACCGCCTTCTCCCAGAACTTCCTCCTCTTCGCTCTTATCCTCGCTTCGTCGCTGTCGCTGAAGCAGCTGTGCCCGCCACCTGCAGCCGCCGAGGGGGCTTTTATTCTAAAAACGGGAACTAGAACATACATATATATATATATATATATACATTTCAAGATTTCAAAACTTAGGAGGAGCCCTAGTTGCTGGGAGGGAGCAGTGAAAATATTGCTCGTGAGTTTACATCAAATGATGGGATGGTAGTCGCAGCAGGCATTGGCCAGTCTAAAGAAAAATTGGAGTGTCAAAACTCTGTTTTCATGGATGGCTACTCTTGGTCTCAAAATTTCTACCTTTCATCTTTATGGTTTTAATGCAAGTGCAAGTCTTAGATTTTACATTTTCTTCTCCATTTGAATGATTTTGTTTGTCCATTTAACTCCAGCCTCATCCGATCTACGTTTCCAAAGTTATTCGGTAATCCTGATCAATAAAGCTAATCTAAATGTCAACACACGACAATAAGTCCTGTACCTTATCTTTTTTGGCCAGGTGCCATGCCTTTTAATTTATCATGGTGAAATGCTCCATTGTCTCCGCTTTGATCCATAACTTTATCAGTTATCAATGTTCCATCAATATATTCAAGAAGTTTTACCATTATTGATCTCTGAATCTTACTTTAAAATTCTTTAGAAAATGATCCTGGCAAAACTAGTTGCTTTGGACTTCTATGATAGCAATTGTAGGTCCGTCCGCAAAAATGTATGAAAGAAAACATGGAAAAAACTGGATCAAATGCCCCCCCACTTCACACCACCTGCTTTCTAAAAGAAAATAAGAATTCGAGAGAACGAAAGGAGAAGCAGGCGCATGTTGCAACTCAAACGCAGAAAGGAGAAGGGAAACCACTGACCTCTAATGTAGAACTGATCACAGATTTGCCTCAGTGAATAATGGTCTCCTGTTCCTGTATCATAGTTATCTTCAAAAATGAGATGCCTAAATCCAGCTTTCAGAGCCTGCTTCAATCTGTCCAAGGCAAAAATATAGAACAGGAGACAAATGAGTAAACATGTTCAACTAGCAAGCAGAGAATTCAAAACAAAAAGTTGGCACACGTCGTCATCAGCTCAGGGTTTCATACTTGTGTTAAATATGGAAACAAAAGATAAATGTAGCAAAGTTCTACTATATTCATTACATGCGATTAAGTGAAAAAGGAAAACACAATTTCCTAGCAGAGAAAGAACGGATAATTAAAGTCTTGAAAACAATTATTTTCCAAAAATGACATCAACCAAATACGAATTTTCACTTTGTGAACATATCTCACCTTTTCAGTTCATTCTGATGATCATCAAAGAAGATAAGCGCCCGACTAAGATTTGAAATTCCATGCATCAGCAACACTTTAACCCAATCCACATTACCAAAATCAACAAAATCTTTACCAGCGAAATATGTGCAGTTGCCATCTACGTATGCAGGGCCCTTCTTCAGATACTTCTCTGGATGACGAGGAGAAAGTGATATTATTCTTGTCTCAGGCATCGCCTGCCGGAGTACCCAGGTGGAGTGCCCTTTGAAAGCGCCACTTTCAATCATAATATCAGGTTTCAGCCACCTGACCATGAACCAGAGTCCAAAGCTATGATCAAAGCCCATACCAAACATGTTATTCTTGATTGGGCGGGCTTCATATATTGGTACAAACTCTTCCAATCCCTTAAGCAAGTCCTTTGTAGTCCAGTCTACTTTTCTGCCTTGTTTCGATCTGCCTTTTGCCAAAAAAAAGAACTAAGAAAAGAACAAGGGTAAAAAATAGTTCTACTGGGCCACATAATGCCAGTTCGACGAAAACGTACATTATTTGACTACGTCAGCACATCAAAGAAAAAATGCCGGCAATATGGAACTGCAGCTACACAGAATCCGCAAAAAAATGTACCGAAAAAAGGTTAAATAAAGCACCTGTGAGATTAGAAGGGAGCGCTTTCAATTTTTAGGAAATGAAGAGAATTAATTAGATAGCATTCCAAATTCTGAATGCAAAGTTTAACGGAAAAATAAGAAATACAAACGTCATTCCATCCAACACGGAATCAACTTGAAAAAAAATATCCTCCAAGATTCAAAAAGAGAACTAAAATCCTCTCTCAAGAAGATTAAAAAGATTTTTTTTCTAAAAAGTTGGCCAACTCCAATTAGGATGCTTCGAAGAAAACAGAAATGTCAGGAAATGCAAGCAGATCTTGGCCATAATTATAGAAGAAAATCAAAAAATAATTGTCAGAGGAGGAGACTTACACCAGGGAACGCCTAGGGATCCAAACTCGGAAGCGAGACCCTCTATGTTCTCGAATACGGCCAATCGGGGCAGGGTCTCGTTCGGACCGACGCAGACGAAACTGCGGGATCGAGACAAGACGGATCCGAGAAAAAGCATTACAACGGAGAGAACAATGTACTGCGCCACGGATCCGGCCCTGACGCTTCCGCTCACGAACTTCGCGAACCTGGCCGGAAGCGAGACGTGTTTTCTCGTCTTCGACTCATCGTCCCCGTCCCCGTCCTCCGCTTTCGGCGAGGATCTGCGAGCGGAAAGCACGCTCTCCAGCATCTCCCTCCCTCCCCCGCCTCCCTCGCGGTGTCCGCCTCTGCGTCCCTCGGAGCAACACCGTATCTCCCCTGTTCACCCTCTCCCCTCTAGCCGAACTAATCCGCCTCGTGACCAAGAGCAAGCGACACAGTAGAGAGAGAGAGAGAGACAGAGACAGAGATCTTGATAACGACGCACTTAAGTGGCGCACATTCGATGTCTAATGGGCGGGGCCCTTACCGTATAAAAAGCTCCGGGAAGGAAGGGGGGGGAGGCACGCCAGGATGGGCCCCGTTTTCCACTGGGCCCACTGGGGACGGGGTGGTTCACTTAGGCCCAAAATTAGGCGCGAATAAAGATGCCTCTGATACGTTTAGATCGAACCTCACCAACCAAATCATGCAACGTGGAACATGAATGGAATCAGAAACAGCCTGCCTCCTCTTTCTCTCTCCTTCTCTCTCTAGCAGAGGTATGTAGGGCTGATCGGGGACTGAGTTGGCCGTGTTGACCCAAAGCTGGTGACCTTGGGCTGACTCATTGACCGTGTCGTGTTCCAATAATTGACTAATTATCGAGGTATAATAAATGTTTATCGAGATAGCTCGTGGGAGGCGATCCTCTTTTTGGCCGAAGAAATGATTCCACTTGCTCGCTTCTACATGTCCCGTCAAAGAGTGTAAGATCACAAATAAGTTCAATAAATGCAACATATCCCCCCCCTCCGGCATCTTTCCCCAAGAAATTCCTCGTCCGGCGAGCTCATTTCTTCCATTCGTGCGCCTTCCACTCCGGCAGCTGCTGGATGACGACCTGAAGTCGGAAGAAGAAGAAGATATCGATGAGGAGATTTGTAAAAATGGAGGCTTTAACGGAGAGGAAAAAGGACCGGAAGAGCCCACCTGGCCTCTGGACTCCCCGGAACCCACCACGGTCTGGCATGCCAGCCTCCACGTCTTGGGCTTCTGCAAATTTTTAGGGCTTAATTTTGCAGGTGATCGAGCGGATCGGAAGGGAAGGGGAGGGGTGATACCTTCTTCAGGGCTTCTTTCTCCTTCTCCGTCCTCGGGCTCAGCACCTCCTTACCCTCCAAGACCTGCAGTTCCCCACGGAGATTGAAGATTGAAGACGATGGGCTTCGGAGAGAAGGAGGGAGTGTGGGGACGTAGTACCTCGACGAGGCAGGTCCCACAAGTGCCGCCGCCGCCGCAGTTCAGCAGAGGCCTCGCCTGCAGGTCACCGGAGGGCGTCGCTCGCTCAGAGACGATGGGAAGAGAGCGGAGGGGGAGATGGGCAGTGCGGCCTTACGTAGGGTCCGTAGAGATCGATGTGGCCGTCCAGCATTATGTCCCTGAGCTTCTGCCCGCCGCACGCCGAGCGGATCTGCACGTCCGGCGACCCGTCCGGCAGCAGTCTAGACTGCACCATCGCCCGTCAGCGTGATCCAAAGCGGTGGAGGTAAGGGGAGGATCAAGAGAGAGAACTTACGCTGACGAAGGCGAAGTCCAGGGACGGAGGTTCTTCGGGGGTGGAGACATCTTGCTCGCCGGCGGTGACCTTCTCGGTGGCCGTCTCGGCGGCGGTTCTTGCTCTCGCTCTCGCTCTCGCTCTTCCACTTGGCAAGCTCACCTGGTTTTTAGGGGCGAGTGATCTCCGTGCCGAGGGTCCGCCAGAGCCGGCGCCATTGAAAGGAGTGGTTGCCGTCGACGGGCACAAGGGGGGGAGATTTCCTAGCTGAAGGGCGGTCATTTGGGAGGGAAGGCCACCGGCGAGGAGGCGGAGGGAGGGGGAGCTAGAAAAGTGGCGGCGGCCCGCTATCCTTTGCGGGCGGCTGATCGGAGTATTGCGGGTGGGCTCCCCTTTGGCCTCTGCGGTCTGTGTGTGTGGTCTTCTTCTTCGCCCTCCTTATCTCCAACGGGAGATGCAGCGGGAGGGTGACGGAAGCAGGCCTTACGAATGGACTTCTCCAACGGTGCATAATTCCAAAAATATTTTCAGATCAAAATATATTGTGATAATTTTTTATATATCCTAAATAGGTTACTACTACTTAGTCAACCAGCTTTTGGCTGGGACTGGCGACGGTAAATAACCCTGAATGGCTGAAGGGCTCTCTCTCTCTCTCTCTTTCCATCCCTCCTATATGTGTGATGATTGAGAGTGATGATCGGAGGTTAGAGCCTGAGTTTCGACTGATCGAAGGGTTCCTTTCACAAAATTTTATTCCTGTTCACAAGATCACATCTGCTTTCGTGCATGTTCTTCCTTTGTTGAATCTTGCTCTTTCTTGGATTCATCATCTTCACATGTCATAAATACATGTAGTTACTTTTTGAAGCCATTGAGGGATCATTATTTGGCAAGATGATTCTCCCAACAAGATTTGAAAGAGCTCATATGTGAGAATCAGGTGAGATCTCAACTATCTAAAACTTTTGTAAAGAAAAGTAAAAATTATATATAGAAGAGAAGACAGGAGATCGATGAAAAATAGGAGAGAATAAGCTCCTTGATTTGGTGGTCTACTAAAGTGTTGGGGGTCTTCTTTTATAAGAACTTAGAGGTCCCCAAGACAAAAAACTTTAATGGGTTGTCCTTTTTTATGATATTTGATCAACAAATGAATTATTTCTTACAAAGTACATCGGATCTCATTTACACAAGTCAAATTGATATATCACATTGAGTTTATCTCTAAGCCATGCATAATGACCTTTTGAGTCATTTTTTCAGAATATCTACTATTTAATCTTTTGTGGAGATAAAATGTATCAGGAGCTACTTTGATATCACCTATTGGGAGCTACAAAGTGAAAGTCAATCTCGATATATTTTATCAATGTATGAAAAATTAAGTTTGCAATAAGGTAAGTGGCATTAAGATTATCATACCAAAGATTTGGTGTTCATGAAGATAAAAGTCAAACTCATATAAGAGTAAATTTAATTAAATTAATTATGTTGTTAATTTTCAAGATTAAGTCATTGTGACTTGGTTTTTAAAACTCTATGGAAATTAGATTGCACTTAAAAAAAATAAAGTAGTCACTGGGAGACCACTAGTCATTGATAAAACCAACTTACTTTGTATTATCAATAGTACTAAAGTGAAAACTAGAAGATTACCAAAATAGTAAATCATTTTTAATAGTTATTTTAAGATAACACATGATGTATTTGAACATTAATCCAATGCTACTATGAGTCATACATAAATTTGCATGCATGCTTAAGTGAAGAGACAATGTCCATAAAATTCTTATAGAGAGAAGAATACAATAGTAAGAAATAATATTAACAGTTGTATGTATTGGTGATACAATAGCGAGTGTGGAGAAGGATTTGTAATCATCCATCTTAACTCAATAAAATAAATGTGCGATATATCTTGATTGACAAATAATATAACCATTAACATGATCTTGCAGTTCAATTTTCATGATGTGAGAAATATATTAAAAGAAACAATAATTTATATAGAGGAAGGAGAATATATGTACAAGAACAAAATATTGTGCACGACAAAGATTTGAGGTGTAACTAGAATACATTGAGCCTTAGAAAAGATGATATCAATTAGAGATATCATTATTTATAATCATAACATGTAGATATTTCACATTGAATTATTTTTATCTAAGAATCAGATGGTCTCAAAAATGTTGATACAACAAAAGTGAGTTTTGAAGATGAAATATTTATGTAATTCAAATATATTGACATTAGAAGTCTTTTTAGAATTGGAGGGAATTGAGGCATCAGTTGTTGCAATAGTATAACTTGTCATAGGTGGGAAGTTTATACGAATAATTCTTAGATGTAAAAAATCATATCTAGATTAGATAGTATAAGAGAGATTTTAAAATCATGTTTATTTTAATAAAAAGACAATAAGTGAAAGTCTTCAAATTGAAGATGAAGATAGAGATCAAATGTTACCCCTTGGTCTGAATTTAATTATGAAGATGACATAATTGGTAACATAAGAGAACTAAAGGACAAAAAACAATCAAGAATCAACTTTTAAGGAGGTTTCAATATTTTCTTAGAAAGATGAGAGACCAACAACATATTCAGTTAGAATATAGATCATTCAAATGGAATATATTCATAGCCTCACCACCAAATAAAATCTCTAGTCGGGTACACAAATGCAATATTTTATGATAATCTATTATAATAATCAAGGTAAAAGAAGGATAAACATAACATAGGTTGAAATTCAAGTACAAAGAATAAAGATGTTATATTTTTCATACAATGAATAATATGGCTCTAGGAACATATGTAAAAAGAGACTACATATCTTTTCGATAGATAAGAAGGATATAGATCTTAAATTCAATCTCTAGGAAAAGAGAATAGAAAGTTCAACTTTAGAAGAGAAACATGAGTAGAAACAAACATGCCAGAAAATGTAAAGTTATCTTTAAATTCTATTACAAAACTAATCAAATCAATGATGATAAAGTTAAAGGGTGTAATGAGGGTTAAAGAGGTAACTATATTGATAGATTACAAGGAGGAAGAACTTATCTTTGATACAAATAATTGGATGATTAATATGTAATTGACAACAGTGATATACTATGAGCTAGTAATAACCACCGGAGTGATAGTTTGCAACAAAGACGTTTGGAAACAAATATCTCTAGAAGTATAATAATTGACAATGATAGAAGAGTACTTATCATTGTAGTTGAAAATAATGATAATCTTTGGAGAGAAATGATTGAGATCCTTGGGCACCATAAAGGTGTTTTTTTTATAAAATCTATGAATAACTTAAAAATATTAGATGTCAAACTTAAGCCCATGTAAATTAAATATATCCTTCAAAGTTTTGACATGAGAAACATATCCAAACTTAATATTTATGATGGAATTATACTAGATTGATAAGGAAGAAGAAGTGATGATGTGATAATATCCTAAATTTAAAACATTTTGAAACATTAATAATTAAAAATAAGAAATAAAAAGATATTAAAATAAAATATTAACATTTAACAAACATAATTTAAGACTTTGAAGAACTCTCTTACATCATTAGTTTGCCTTAAAATATTTGATTCCCATCTTCCTCCCCAAATTAAGCCTTGATAACTTTTCTTTTTGTGAGAAAAACTAAGCTACCCTTTGTTGATTTCTCACTAAGGGATGTTTGGTCCCTTTAAAAGGAAGTTATGAAACTTTTCAGCCCCTTTGTATGTTTAAAGTAAATTAAGCCTACTAAGGGTCCATCATTACTCCCCATGTAAAAAAGATTATTCTTAAGCTAAGTGACATACATCTAATATGAAGTGTGGGCGTACTACCTCATTGAGTTGAGATCTTTAGATTTAGGAGAGTCCTTTGGCTATATTAACAACAAAAATAAGATGTCTCTTCCAAACCACATGACACTATAGTTTCTTGAAAAGTTTTCCTTCAAAGATTCATTGAGAATATATTTATCGATCAGTCTCTATTTTTCTTATTCAATGTAGAAACTCAATAGCATAACTATGTCTTAGCAGTGAAACCTTGACATTAATATGATCTTAATTTTCAGCTTGAACCACTTTGCATCAGCTTTTGCTAAGCCATCTTGATGGCAACAAATTATCTAGTCATAAATTTTTTTGGTCAACCTTCTCATATCCTCTAGTTCTAATAATATATGCATTTGATAAATCATTAGTATTCTACCTTAGTTTATTGAATGTGAAAATTTTGAGTTCTATTATACGTATGACACTTCATTTATTCCTTGTTGAGTCCCATGTGGTAAAAAGCTTACCCTACTTTTTGACTTTTATAACACATTATACCACTTTTCGTGTGTCAATTAATATCACCTTTTTAAAGATTATTTATAGTAAGAATCATCAACCTCGATCCATTATACTACACAAACTACCAAAGTAGTTGTAGTGAAACTATCATTCTACAATAGTTATATCTGGCTATGGTCAAAGATAAAGGTATAAATAGACAATATATATATATATATGTTATGTAGTGGGTGATCATGTTTCTTTAAAATTAAGATATTCAATATATTTATTAACTTACCAGGTCAATGAGAAATTATCTTCAAAATTCTTCCACATTCTTTGTGTCATCAAGATGTTTGGGTGGGGGGGATAAAGTTCAAACATTCATTACCAGAATCTACTTAATTTTTTATATTTCACAATTGAAGAGAGCCTTGGAACCAATATATTATAACATTACAACCTCTGACTTAGAGTTAAATTGGATAGTTAAACCTCACTCGATGCGCAACCCTCTTTCAAATGATTGGAAGTACTAATTCAATAGAAGTACTTACCCACTTTTTGAAGTTATTTGAGAGTTTGCAACAACCATTTAATAATTACTTTCTGACTTTTATCTTGAGGAAAAAATAGATCTAGTAGAGGATGAGTGATGTTAGGCACCCACTATTTATAACTTACTTTCAAAATTGTAAGAAGTTAAATGTATCATGTGGGGATTAAGTCAAAAGTAGTTTTGTAATTTTCTAACAAGGAAAAGATATATTAAAACTATATTATGAGAGGAAGGGTTATGGAGGTTGTCATATGGTGCAATATCCAAAGAGAGAATTGATCCTCTTGAACGTCCAATAAGAGGATTTCATAATCTAGGGTTCATCCTTTGAATAGATCTAATGTGATTTTACAAAAAAAATTGTTCAATATTTATTCTTTTGATGAAAATAAAATCTCAATTTCTGTAGATGATGTTTATACTTTTAAGTGGAGAGGATGACTTAATAATAGGCTCTTCAACATAATCAAATGAAACATTAATCATAATGGTATTAACATAAATGAAAAGAGACTACATTGAGAATACCATAGAGTTAGTAAATCAAAAATAATTCAATAATCTAGTGTAGATGAGGGTGCCACCAACATACGTGGAACAATTTTTACTAATATATAGGCAAAAATAAGACATAAGAAGTTATGAATATGCCTAGGGCAGAGGGAGAGACAATAGTAGCTGATGAACACTTTGTTGTACCTAAAAAAGGGGTAATGTTCAAATAATTGAGCAAGTTTATGTGCAACATAAAGATAAAGGCAAAAATATCATACACACTTGAAAGTCTTAAAAAATTAATAATTTAGAGGTGTGTTAAATAAGCAGCCAAATGGAGAGATATTTAAGAATAGGTGTATGTTGAAAAAATGGACAAAAGAGCAAATAAAATCCCAACAATGTGATGAAATTTTATTTTGTCGTCGTTTTTTCACCAATCTAATTTGATTGGAAGGTGAAAATATGACAATTGAAAATATATACAATATAGTATTAAAATTAGATAAAAATATGAAAAACATTAGATTTAAGATTAAGACAAAAATATTAAATGTATTTTCTAAAATCATCAACAAAAAATAATGTTGTATGAAAACTTACAACAATAGGTTGTAAAATTAGGTCCATATATATTAGTGTATCGTTTGAAAAGGTACTCATGATGTAGGATAACATTAAATAAATGATAATTTATGATGTTTTACAAATAACAACTCACAAGTAAATTGAGTAGGCTGATGAGTGACAAGTTAACTTGATTATTATATTGAATCTGAAAATGTGGGTGACATGGTTTAGTATGTCATTTTAGAGGAGATACACATTCACCAAAAAATATGAGAAGTGACGACTTGCATAGAATAAAATAGTAAATTTGTCTTTAAGATGTCCATGTAGAAGAATTTGACTTGAGATTCAGTCATTCACAAGATAATGAGATGCATAAATTTACTTGTTATAAATAAAAGTAAATTGTGAGTGTTGGGAGGAACATAAATAATATTCATTAATTATATTAAATAGTCATAAAAATAGAAAAAAGTGTATTTAAATAAGAAAATAGTTAGACATTCAATATTTTTGACTTGTAGTTTGTCAAAACTTTATAACTTAAAAAACATGAATGATATAAATTAGGATGATGGGAGTGAGTATCATCACTATTTAGGTACCATAATGTTGAGTGGCTTAATAATGGTATTATATTTGATGGTTAAAGACCATAAGTGGTTGCATAATCAACTAAATAATTGTAAAAGTAAAATTGTAATGATATATCATATGGTATGTTCTATCACTAGTGTATAAGATGTTGAGAATCACTAAGCATTTATACTGCAAAACTTTAAGGAGTTCCTTGTTGAAGTACTTTGCAATGTGATCATGATGTCCAAATTGAAAATAGATATAACAATATATCATGTGTCATTTACATGACCACAATCATGAACTTTGCTCCCATCATGATGTGCGTTCCCATTATGATGTGTAGTGACAACATTGATCAAAGAATATTCAAGAGTTCCTAAAAAAGAATATTGTTGTGTCATGCTTATATCACATGTAACAAGATATATAATGTCAACTTCTAGAGTAGCTCTATGCAAGTGATAATACTTGAGATGACAGTCTTATAACTTGGTATCAATCTTACTAAAATTTTATTACAAGATCTTGGTTGTCCATTAGTCTTAATATGCTCCTTGGTAATTATCTTGATAGATTAGACAAATGAATGAATGATGCCATGTAGTGTAAGGTGTATAATTTGAGCATATTTACAAAATCCAGTACTTCAAGTGAGACACAATAGCTGTGACTAAACATCCTAAATATCTTTAAATGCGTGGTAACCAGCCACCACTGAGAAGGCTGTTTCTATCATAGATTATGTGAGCTATGAAAGACCTATTTAATTGGTTCTTTCTCAAACAATGAAGTATGAGTTTTACCACTGAATTTCCTTTTTCATCAGTGACAATTTTTGAAGGTAGTAAATTAGAAGCCATCAACCATAAACATATAACCATAGTTCTTGAGAAGATGAATGAATTAAGTTCTCTATAAGTTGATGAGTAAGAAAACTCTATTATCATATAAAGAAAATAGAGAAGTAAGAAGAGAAGAGAGAAATGAATACTATGAGAAATAAGCCACTTCACTTGATAACTTATGAACAGATATAGGGTTTCCTTATATAGGAGTCTAAGAGGCCCCCAAGGATGGAATGACTGCCCTTAAATGGGCCATATATTTCCTTGAGAAATGTGACACAAGAAACCCTTTTAAACCAGCGCCCTTAAATGGGACGTCCGTTAGAACCGCTCCACAAAGGGACCATCTTTCATGGAGGTCGTCGGGTCTCATTCACCACAAAGGGACCAACTTTTCCACCCCCCCCACCTTATTCACCTTCTCTACAGATCTACGAGCAAAATGCGTCTCGATTTTTTTATTCCGCTGTGAGATTTTATCGACAGAAAAATTATCTCCCTTGTCACTGAGATTTAGTCCACCATGCCTTGGCCCGACGCTATCTGGTGGCTGATGAGTAATGTGATCGTCTGGTTTACGCGAATCACGATGTGATGAATGGGGAAATAGGCTTCGAGATTTCTTGGCCAAAGCGCGGACCAGGCCAAGATCGGATCCAGCTGGGCTCGGCCTCACATATTTTTTATATTCCGAGCTAATTGTTAACCCATGGTAATGAAGGACTCAGGGGGAGACTATCTGGGGTTTAGAGCAAGACTATAATGGCGATATCGCCACCGCGCCTCCAGCGTTCACCCTCTCTCCGGAACGGGATCTCGCGAGCGGAGGCGTAGTCTGGGTCGGATTGACTTTTATCTCCCGAACTTGTCTAAAGAACTTCTTCTCCTTCCCCGGCTCGGCTGCCCTGGAATCGGCAATTCTTGGTTTTCAGGTCTCATTCTACCTTTTTTCTGCTGTCTGGAGGTTTTAGAGTCGTTCAGATATAATTGGCGGGTTTAAGCAGCCGAGATTCGTCGTCGCGCCGGTATCCCAATCTCCTCGTGGGTTCTATCCTCGAAAACTAAAGATATCTTCGTGGGTTCTCGTTTCTGAAGCAAGTTTTTGTCATTTGCTGCCTTCTGCAGGTGCGAACATTTGCAAGGTGAGCATCCTCTCCGTTCGTATCTCTGAATTGCTGAATGCTTCTGCTGCTTGATGCAGAATCATAAATCTGTTGAATTCAGGAAAATTTAGGCTACTGGGTCCTGAAAATCTCTTTGTCCTCTGACCAAGGACATACCGCTGTTAGTTGGTTTGCCCCAGAAACAAAGAAGCAATTTTTTTGTACTGGTTTCTAGGACGAGCTGAGGTTGCCATTTCGCAGGTCAACCATGCTTTCAAAAAATTTAGGACACGAATTATCCAAAGTAGTATACGCATTATCAGGATATTGATGCTTATTTTAGACATCCTCATGGTTTACAAGGAGAATTGGCCTCGTCTTGGCTGTTCTAACATTTACTGGTATGAACTTTTGGCTATTTTGGACGGTGGATCTTCAAAGTCGCCGAAGACGGTTTGGTGGCGATGAAGGGAAAGGGGGTCGTACCATGTCTGGTAAAATTTTAGGCCGTGATGGATTGACCCATTTCAGATAATAATAGTACATGATATGATATCGCTATTATGAGGGGCCTAATATTTTTCTGGAGCTGGTGGATCCTTTTTTCTTATGAGATTTATTTTTTAATTTCTTCTCCTCACTTGTAACTAGATCTATGCCATGATGGGGGATAGGCACTGGGTAGTAGGTTCCTGAAGGTTTGGGCTTGTTCTGAAGCTCAGGAACAGTGTAGTGTCCATTTGTTACATTTGTGTCCTTTTAAGTCCGGTGTCTGGTGTGCGGTTCACTTAGGCTTGAAATGTTTGAAGTATTGAAAGCTCTTCATTCCAGAATCCTATGGAGTTTCTTGCTGAGTTCCTTGGACGAACAGTATTCCAGATTTTTTTTTTTTACACTTTTAGACCTAGAAAGTTGCTTTGACTGTCCCAAGGTTTCAGGGCAAGGGCCTATTCCCCTCCCAGTTAAATTATCTTTATAAGGTATTTGAAAACAGAAATATTTCACTGGGAATCAGAAATGAGCTCTAAAAACATGTGGATGAGTGATAAACGTTCAAGATTTCTTGGGTTGCTATGATGCATGAAATATTTGCTGTGAAACATGAAATATTTTGATACTTTGAGGACTCCGATTCGTCCGAAGCTTTATTGATGTCAAATTTTCGCTTTTTTTCTGGATTTATCCCAACCTAATAACCGTGGTGATTTATTTATTTATTTATTATTATTATTATTATTATTTTGTTATTGATGAGGTTCGCTGTTGTTATTGCTGGTGGTGAAGATGGCAGAAGGCCGAAAACCTGAGAGTTTCCAGATAACCCATTGGTCTCAAAAGCTGAAGAATGCAGGGCGACGGTCAGCTTTTACAGAATTCATCTCCCTCTTTATGCCCCTTTGACATTTCTGACTAAACACGTTGCATATCTCCAGTTCTGCCTGATAATCAGTTATGTGAATGGAAGGTCTCTCTCCGGTTATGTATAGCCTCTGTGAATGGTGTATCATTTCCTTGGAGCCCTGCACGTCTGGGGCCATGCTCAGATATTTCACTCCAAATTAGGATAATTCTCCGAGAGAACTGATTCTGCTCATCTGCTTAAGCTAACCTGCTCAAGGATGCTTTCATTTTACAAGTACATCTCACAGTTTCAGAAGCTATGCAGACCTGGAATCAGAAGAGCTGTTTCAGTTATGATCTTGATAGCACTCATCGTGTTGGGACTCCAGAATTCCTCACAGTCTCGTGGGAACAGTGTGTTAGATGAACTTGAGAAGACGAACCCGTCAAGTCCTGTTTCCTTGGAATCTGAGAAGACCGGAGAGATCGTGCTATCAGTTGATAGGAAAAACTCCACAAGCCCAATTCACCAGGTAGAGAACAGGGTGGCCTCAATAGTTGCAGTGACGCCCCGGAATCCTGCACCAGCAGAGAAGGCTAAAGCGAAGCGAAAAAAGAGAATGCCGGCGAAAACAATACAAGAGATGAATCAGATGCTGTTGAGCAGCGGCCTTTCCTCTCTTTCAGTGGTATGCTTTTGCAGAAGATTTAGCCTGGTTCAGAATGAAGCTTTATGGTCTTCGTTTTCTTTCTTAATCTGCAGGAGTTGACCCAGGGGCCCTCTGCAAGTGATCTGCAAATTTTAGAAGCGAAGGCACAGATTATGAATGCTCCCGTTGTGGAGAATGATCTGGATCTCTATTCCCCTGTTTTCCGAAATATTTCGATGTTCAAAAGGTAAAGGTATCGTCCCAATCCTCAGAATGTCATCACTCACGTTTTTGATTGTTTGAAGATCTTAGCTTGATGTTTTCTCCAGAGCAGTTAGTCTATTTTCGTCTGTCTTTGGACTGTTCACTTAGACAGTGAATTTATGATCAGAGAGAGAGAGAGAGAGAGAGAGAGAGAGAGAGAGAGAGAGAGAGGAGCATAACAGCCATTGATCTTTGAACTTGCAAGAAATGGATTGTTTCAAAGATCTCAGAAAGTGAATTTGTGATCACAGAGAGAGAGAGAGAGAGCGCGGAGAATAACAGCCATTGATCTTTGAGCACTTGCAAGAAATGGATTGTTCACTAACTGTTCTAGCATATTATACATAAATGTATAAATATAGAATTTTTGTAATCATAAGTAGTAATCTGATGGCGTAAGTGATGTGCAAATAGCTGGCCATGTACTCTGGTGAAGCAGGAAATTCAGATTTTAATCCTCCTGATTGTTCAGGAGCTATGAACTGATGGAGAAGACGCTCAAGGTGTACATCTACAAGGAGGGGAAGAAGCCCATCTTCCACAGCGCCCAACTCACTGGGATTTACTCCTCGGAGGGATGGTTCATGAAGCACCTGGCGGCGAGCCGGCGCTTCCTCGTCGATGATCCCTCCATGGCCCACCTCTTCTACATGCCCTTCAGCTCCAGCATCCTCCGCTTCGAATTCTACATTCCGGGCGATCACAACCACGACAGAGTGATCGCCTATCTGAAGAACTACGTCGCCACCATCGCCGCCAAGCATCCCTTCTGGAACCGGACCGGCGGCGCCGACCACTTCTTCGTCGCCTGCCACGACTGGGTAAGCCTCCTCGTCTTCATCTTCATCGTCTTAATCGATCCACCGGTGGCGCCGGCCGCTGACTTGCAGGAGAGCACTTCCGGCAGGTGCCGGACGTGACGGCGCAGACGATGGCGAACGCCATCGGCGCCATCTGCAACGCCGACCTGGCGGCGGACTTCGTGATGGGCAAGGACGTGTCCCTTCCGGAGACCAATGTGCGGAGCATCGAGAACCCTGTGCGGGGCATCGGCGGGAGGACGGCGAAGAGGAGGCCCATACTCGCCTTCTTCGCCGGGAGGATGCACGGGTACGTGCGGCCATTGCTGCTGCAGCACTGGGAGAACAAGGACCCAGACATGAAGGTCTTCGGCCCCTTGCCCAAGGGCGGCGGAGGAAAGAAGATGACCTCCTACGCTGAGTACATGAGGAGCAGCAGGTACTGCATCTGCCCTAGGGGCAACGATGTGAACAGCCCCAGAGTGGCGGAGGCCATCTTCTACGAGTGCGTTCCGGTGATCATCTCCAACAACTTCGTGCCCCCTCTGTTCGAGGTGCTCAATTGGGAGGCCTTCTCCGTCGTGGTGGCGGAGGAGGATATCCCCCGGCTGAAGGAGATCCTCCTCTCCATCCCAGAGAAGAAGTACCTGGCCCTTCAGACCGGGGTGAAGAAGGTCCAGCGGCACTTTCTCTGGCACCTCAAGCCGGAGAGGTACGACCTCTTCCACATGATCCTCCACTCTCTGTGGCTCAACAGGGTCCTCAGGCGACGGTAGAATGTCAACCCCTCCCTGTACAAACACTGCAATTCTTTATTTCTATATTGCGCCTATGTTTCTGGTTTTCTTCCTCCGCTCTCGTGAGATGCCATAAAAAAATAAATCGGAAATCTATTTCAGAATTGACTTTTGAATAGCCCAAACTCGGAAATGATTTGACTGAGCTGGGTCGGGGATCGTTGACCGTGTTCACGCCAAAATTAGATATATATGGCGTAATTTCGCGTTGACCGTGAGTTGGCAGCTATGATATGCGTGATCTGATTGGGTGTCGTCGCTTGATGTAACGCAAGCGCTGTTCTTCATGTCCACTCCTCTCTGACCCGGGCATCATCCCCTCAGATCACTGCGATGTCGACCATCTTAAATCTGATGTGGGGCCTCAATTCGGGTCCCCTGGTCGTTGAGTGTTCGCTGTCGTACAATAGCACCAGAAGTGGTTGGTGGCTCGTCACTGTCGTTGATTTTTCCTCTCTCTCTCTCTTCTCTCTCTTCCAGCGATGGGGCTTCTCAGAGCCACGTTAATGGTGTACATGTTTTCGTCGGCATCTTCAAAGACCTCCTAAGAAAAAGGCCCCGTTGACCAACGTATCTACGGTCTGACTATCGCGGTGGTGTCGCGGGGTTTCTCGGAACATCAGCCTCAGCGAGTGTCTTGGAAACTCTGGCTAGAGATGCCGCGGCTGTTGGAAGAGGCAGGGAGAGAGGAAGCCGGCCTCCACCCGGGCGGCGCCGCTGGAGCTGCGAATTCCGCCGCTAAAAGAGAGCACGAGGGCAGCGATGGGTTACCGTTTTCCCCCTTCGTGATCTGAGAATCGACTTCCTGTTCTCTTACATTTCTGTTTCCGCCTCTGCTTCACGGCTAGTTCCTTCGAAATTTCTCATCCCGTTGACCAAAATACTTTCATCTCCAACTTCTGAAGAAATGTATCATCATCTGATTTGAGAGTTCTGAATTTGGTTGAAATCAATCTTCAAGAGAGGCCTGGGGGATAGAAAACTCACAGCTACCCACCAACCCGTTCATTCATTCTCGAGCCATGGCGAAGATTCAGCAGTCTCTCAGTCGGCTTCGGAATCTATGCCGGTCCGGAATCAGAGCACACGTTCTGGCCATGCTCTTGATAGCCGTCGTCGTGTTGGGGTTCGAGAACTCGGCGATCTTCTCTCGAAAAGGCCTCCCGCATGATCCTGGGCAGAGCTTCTCGGCGACTGTTTCCTTCCCTCGACCAGGTGATTCGGAGTACTCCGGCGAAGAGGATTTCTCTGTTCCCCTTATCATCTCAGAACCAGACAAGGATTCCGGAGCAAACGGCACTGGGGCTCCGGAGAAAGTTAAAATCTTGAATAATTCCTCTCCGGGGACGGAGAAGCTCGAAATCTCGAATGGTACCTCCTCGCCGCCGGCGGGTTCTCCCGCTGTGCGAAGGAAGAAGAGGAGAAGTCAACCGCTTGCAGAGAGAAACTCGAATGGTACCTCCTTTCCTGGCCCGGAGAAGCTCGAAATCGCCGATGGTACCTCCTCGCCGCCGGTGGGTTCTCCCGTGAACGAGGGGGCGGCTGTGAGAAAGACAGAGAGAGAAAGTCGACCGCCGCCCAGGAGCGAGGAAACGGATAGTCGGGACTGCGCGCGCGAGAGGGATCCTCGGAGGCCGAGGGGAAATGTCGAGCCTGTGAGGACAATTCGAGAGATGAGCGAGATTCTGATGAGGAATCGACGTTCGTCGTGCTCACTGGTACGTATCCCTTAGACGGAAGATCAAGAAGATTCCCATAAGACTCTACATCGTCTTACAGTTCGCTGCTACAGATTCCGCGGTGGTCTTCTCCGGCTGATCAGCAGATTCTTCAAGCAAGGAGAGAGATCCTCAACGCTCCGATCGTGGAAGACGACCCAGAGCTCTACCCGCTCGTTTACCGAAATTTCTCGACCTTCAAGAGGTAAAAAAAAAGTCTGCGAGAGGACTGAAAAACCTCGACGACGGCGCCGATCTGTTCTGAGAACCAGAGGAATCTTTACTTCTTCAGGAGCTACGAGCTGATGGAGAAGATGCTCAAGGTGTACGTCTACAAGGAGGGCAAGAGACCCATCTTCCACGAGCCTCGTCTCGCGGGGATCTACGCCGCGGAGGGCTGGTTCATGAAGCACATGGAGGGGAAGAACCGCTTCCTCGTCGACGATCCTTCGAAGGCCCACCTGTTCTATATGCCTTTCAGCTCCACCAACCTCCGCATCAAGCTGTACATCCCCAACTCCCACAGCAAGGGAAACATGATCAACTATCTCCGGGACTACGTCGCCACCATCGCCGCCAAGTATCCCTTCTGGAACAGGACCGGCGGCGCCGACCACTTCTCCGTCGGCTGCCACGACTGGGTAACGCTCGTAAGACCCACCACGGCGGTTCCGCCTCTGTAGCAGAAACTCTAACTCTCTCATCAACAGGCGTCGAAGCTGACGGCGCTGTCGATGGGGGACACCATTAGAGCCGTCTGCAATGCCGATATCGCGGGGGTCTTCGAGCTCGGCAAGGACGTGTCCATTACGCTGACGCCCGTGCGGAACCCACGGAACCCCCTGCAGAATGTGGGCGGCAAGCCGGGACGGAAGAGGGACACCCTCGCCTTCTTTGCGGGGCAGACTTCCCACGGCTACGTGCGGCCATTGCTTCTGCAACAATGGGGGAATGGAGACCCCGACATCAAGGTCTTCGGGTCGCTGCCCAAGGGAGGGAGGACATACGCCGAGCACATGAAGAGCAGCAGGTACTGCCTCTGTCCCAGGGGCTATGAGGTCAACAGCCCCCGATTGGCGGAGACCTTCTTCTACGAATGCGTTCCGGTGATCATCTCCGACAACTTCGTGCCCCCCTTCTTCGATGTCCTCAACTGGGAGGCCTTCTCCGTGGTGGTGGCGGTGAAGGACATCCCCCGGTTGAAGGAGATCCTCGAGTCCATCCCCAGAAAGAAGTACCTGGCCCTTCAGACCGGGGTGAAGAAGGTCCAGCGGCACTTTCTCTGGCACAGCAAGCCGGAGAGGTACGACCTCTTCCACACGACCCTCCACTCCATCTGGTTCAACAGGGTCCTGCAGTTCAGGGACCAGGAGCCGACCGAGGTCTCGTAGAAGTAAGAGGTGGAGACGATGGGTAAGAAGAACCGGAGGCTAAACCGCAAGCGATCACTCGAAATTTTCCTTCTGCACAGGGGGTTCATATACCCACACGCGTCTGATCTGCTCAAGTTTCCTTGATTCGTTGCTGAAAAAAGGATTCGCTTCCATCTTTCGGAGATTCGTTGACCTTGATCTCTTCATGGTTGAATGCCCTCCTAAATCCTGATGGGTTTTCATTAGCCGATACAACTTTGCACATAGGCAGAAATATTCGGGAGACGCCGGACTCCCCCGGCAGAGAGAGAGAGAGAGAGAGAGAGAGAGAGGGAATCTGAGTCGATCAAGCTAGAATACACCTCATTAATGACTAATCGGTTGAAATCATACCTATAATTAGTGTTTAGATGAACAAAAATAACTTGTACTTACGACCACAGTGACATCTACAACAAACCCCGTGCATCGTATAAACAGCTACCAAAGTAGGAATATTGGTATCTGCCATCCCTAATCACTTACTTTTTATAGAAGCAAATTGCCAACCCCACCCCCACGACACTTTAAGCCCATTGGAAAAGCCCATTAAATACTCCAAAGGGCCCACAGCACTCTAAGCCCAACCCAACCGTATTTAAACCGGGGTGGAACATGCTCGTAGGAAAAGTAAGAGCTCTTAAAAAGTCCAGCTCAAAAGGCCCCAAAGGGAATTGACTTTGAAGTTCGTATGTCCCAAGATATATATTTCTAAAATAAAATATTTTTACAGCTAAATTGAATCATTATTAGGTTTTTTTAAAAATTTGAGCGTTCATGTCACTAGTAGACAATTTTTTTGACATTGAAAACAAATAATTCAACCTAAACACCTGAAAACATAAACCCACATAGGGTTCATATGATGGTATTGTGGTGTCGGACCAGACCAATGTTTATATCGATGAATATGAGGTATTACTTGTTGGGTTACAATTGCTTTCATACAAGGTTGAATTGCTCTTGATGTATGATTCCAAATCCGTAAACCATTCTAATAGAAAATCAGAATTTCTTCAAACATGTCAATTAAATTTATTTGAGACAGACTAAAAACTTAGATTGGAAAATAATATAATCCTCGGGCTCCCTTGATTGTAGCTATCCATCAATCTGCTTATATTTTTGTTTGTCTCTATCATAATTTCGGGGCATGTTCTTTACCAAAAGTCACACCATCCGTATTCCTCCTCTATGATTTCAGTTTAATCCCTAATGAGCATGGAAGAATGATAAAAAAAATGGCCCGTACCTAACTTTGGTTATTTAGATATTCTAAAGCATGCTTGATAAAATATTATTGAAGTTGATGATATTACTCAATTTTTTCATTTAAAAAACATTTATTCAGGAGTCTATTGTCTCCTGATTATTATGAACCTATACTAATAGTTGAAAAGTCAGTATTATTTAAATTAATAATGTTAGTCGATTCTACCTCCTTAGAAATCAACAAGATTATTTGTAAGTCTGCATTTATTCGATTAAAGTATTTATTTATTGATCTCATTAATTCAAAAACCTTTTTGATACACAAACTCTAAATTATCCTCACACTATATTCGATATATATATATTGGCATCTTCCCAGTGGGTAAGTGTCACGGGTGATATATCCGACACGCCTCCTCCGTCACCCGAGACCAGCCCCGACCGTCGATGAGTCAACGCCGGGCAGCCTTACGTCACCTGCGGAAGCTCCCACTAACCCTACGGCGATATGGCACGGGAGAAGGAGCTTGGCGCGACAGCTCTCTTCTCCCTAGACTCTCAGCCGACTCCGAGACGGTGTCCCGCCGGTACACCAGCGCCACTAGTACACCCGACTCCTCCTCGAGAACTCCCCCACTCCTCCGACGAGACCTCTCTCGTTCAAAGCTTCCCTCCTTTTCTCCTCGACTTTTCCCCTCCTTTTAAATAGGGGGAGAGGGGAATAACTTCCGCCGTATTATTCTCCCTCTTCCTCTCTCTTCTTCGGCCGCGTCAGGATAATCTATCGCAGGATTATCCTCCCTGCGTCCTCGCTCCACCGAGTCCTCGTCTGACCGCGTCCTCCGTGCGGTCCGCGCGTGAGCCACGCGAGTGAGATGCCCGACTCCGGTCGCGTGCATCTCACGTGGTCTCTCCCGGTTCAAACCTGTCGAGAGGTTCCGGGGGTGTCACAGTAGGTCCAGAGTGGTCTTGGACTGGCTTCTTTTAATTTTAAATCGTTAGAAGTCACTAGCACGATGATACACAAATCGATGAATTTATTTTCTATGATCTTCCATCCTCGAAAATTAAATAAACTTATTAATAAAGAATTGACATATGTAGAAATATTTCGTCCAGTTTTTATTGATCTGAGAACCCAACGCCGTCAAGACAGGGACGTCGAGACCAAGCCTGGTCGACTCCCACCCGTCATCTTCACCACGGGGCCCGTCTTCCTATCGTGGTGACGTTGACCGGAGCCCACCGTTCGCACCGCATTCTTGGTCATCGAATCACAGCGGTCCTCTCTCCCGCGGAGCAGACCCTGACCGTTGGCGCGCAGGTGGCTTAGGTGATCTAGATGGAGTAAACAACCACCCTCAGCAATTAATAATTTACGTCGATGCCACTCACCAGGGATCGCTATCTCCACAACGGGCGGTCTTTACGTCGCCTCAACGTTGATCGAAAGCCACCGGTCACAACGGCTGTGGTGGTGGGGCCAATCACATCGTTGACTTTAACCGTTCTACTAACGCGGGGATCGTTATCCTCGCCGCCTGGGGTATTCACGTCGTCTCGACGTTGATGGGAAACCACCTTTCACACGGCTCTCGGGGTGACGCGAGGACCAGACGTTATCGTTGGCGTGCAAGATTCGATGAGGACTGATCGACCCTCAGAAATTAATAATCTACGTGGATGCCACTACAGGCGATGAATATTTGGTGCCGTGTAGATGAGCCTCGTCGAAGTTACCGGGAGGGGGGAGGGGCGGGGCGGCAGCATAAACGACCGCCGGCAAGCTCCGGCGGGGGAAGAGTTGCTGCTTCTCCTAGCAGCTAAGAGAAATGGACCGCGGCAGAGTCCCAAAGGGTTCATTTCAATCTGTGGGGTGACGCTCTTTGATCGCTGCTCGAGCTCCTGCTCCCGTACACTCCAATTCTTGTGCGTGATCAGCTCTTCGGATAGAAGGTTTCAGGTCTGTGGGCGATGGAGTTGATGATCTCACAACCTCTTCACTTGCATCGACGATATTCTTCGAGTGCATGGATGGGTGACCGTCTGATTTTTGTCTGCTCCGGCGTGCCCGTGATTCAGCGCTCTGCCAGCCAGGGATCGGAGGAATCGTCTGGGTGCCGGCCTGCAAATCTCCCAGGACGCTAGGGTTTCTTAACTCCACCACGGCCTGAAAAAGTCTAGCGTTTATCCAGTGGTTTTAAAAGGCTACGAGGTCCCACTCGACCAGCTTCATGGAGCCGGAATCGAGACTCGCATAAGTAGGGTATCACCAGTCGCGAAGAGCAAGGTATTCCTAGCTCTTCAGCCCCTTCGTATGGCAGAACACCAAGTATGCAACAGACTGAACGCAGCATGCAGCGCAGAGGAGATCTCTACTTCCATGAGCGCACGATGAAATCTTTACATGGTTCAACACATCTTTGCATGTACTCCATCGATATCGTTCACCATGGTATCAAAGATTTTCTCCCTTTACGATACAACATGTCAATTTCGAGATAGATTTCATATTTGTGCTTAAATCGGTTAGTCAAGTGAAATTCCTTTATTTATTTATAGATATTTTATGCTAGTGGTGTAAAAATAGGTGCTCAAGATATGTCCAAATCAACTAGTAAAAATCCTGTTCAACTAGTGGTTTCATGTGACTTGTCCACAGTTGTTGGTTGGAAAGCAATTTTCTGATCCACAATATATTCCATAATGCAAAGGAAGAGTTTATGATAGTTTTCAACTTGTACAACGAATCATTTGATCAAAGGATTTATTCAGTGAACTATTTTCTTCTGCAGATGCTAAAGTGATACACACCCGACAAAGGATCAAGTGCACCACGAGAGGAGAAAGCACATATTTTTATGTGTGAAGCCCGTCTCATGAGGTAAGGTTATGGTGAAGAAATTCGATACAAATGATAAACATGCCAGTTATTAACACAACCCGTTGCATGGCCAAAGTTCATGCATGACTTGAAGTTTGATAGAATCAAAGTTTTGAAGGTATAGGACGAGACTACTCGTGGTTCATACGATTGAGCGCATGGTTGAGCCTGAATTCTCTTTCAAATTTTTAAATTTTTTTTTCCGTGGTCAAAATCAGTCTCTATGCGCTCAATAATAATCATATACTAGGTAGAGACACCCTCCGTTCCTTATAGTGGGATCTCTTTCCTATTTTTCCTCTTCCTCTTATCAGACAGTCTATGACACGCGTGCTCCATCGTTAGGTCATGTTATGGGGACCACGGCTCTTTTAGAGGATTATCTAGTTAGTATAGAGAAGGTAGGGCTGTGTTCTGTATCGTGCTTTGGTGCATATGGAAGACTAAACCTCTCCATCTCTACCGTTGGATGTTGGACAGCTCTCTCCGAACCGGGAACCATGTAAAAGATCTGAGCCCTTCTTTACCCTATCTATATCCTAAAACTTTGGCCATATCCCCAGTGCTTACTGCACCAACAATTTTAGCCAAGACCTCCACAAAGCCTCCACATCGAAGGGTTGGTAGGGTGTCGCCATCGTCGTTTACTTTCCTCGCGACGGGCTGCGCTATGGCGCTCCGTAATCAGCGTATATATTTACGTCATCGCCTTCTAAGGCCTACACTAGAAACCCTCGTGGCTTCTCTGGTGGCGCATCTCTTAGCGTAGTCCTCAACACCTTTGAACATCTTCGCGCGTGGAAAGGTAAGAGACGACCACGTCATTGGTGGAGGTGGCAAAGAAGGAGCCGCCCTCCATCAGCAGAGGAGAGTAGGAGAGTTGGATACCAGGCGATCATCTACTTTCATACCTGCGCCTTTTTTGTAATCCCTGATTGACTTCATCCCCCGAGATGCGGCCAACGCTGAATAGTGGGCCCTTGGAAATTTCTAGTTTTTTTTTATTTTTATAATCACGCCTTTCCGGGTTATTTCCGACTCTTGGAGCCATGCATGATTTCTAGTGCCTCATGAAGAATCCTCTCGTCACTATCTAATTTGTGGGTTCTGAGCTTGGCAGAGCTCCACAAAGGAGAGGGCGAGAGGGAGACAGAGAGAGAAGGCAGATACTCGTTTGCTCATCGTCTTCTCGAGCTATGGTGACGATACAGAAGTTTCTCGCTCAGCTGCAGAAGCTATGTCAACCTGGCATCAGAGTACACGTCGTGGGCGTGGTCTTGCTGACCATCGTTATGCTGGGTTTCCAGAGCTCGACGTTCTTCCCTGGAAACGGTTCCCTGCATGATCATGGGAGGGGGATCGTACCCAACGTGTCCTGCTCTGGACCTAGCGACACGAAGAGCCCCGGAACAGAGGAGTCCTCTGTTCCTCATCTCGTCTCTGCACCGGTCGAGAATATCAGCGCAAAGGTCAGCCTGCGAATGGAGAAGGTTGACGTCTCAGGCGGAACCTCTCTAAAGCCGGCGGGCTCTCCCGTTGACCAACGAAAGAAGATGCGAACGAAGAAGAGAAAAATGAAAGAGCCTGACTGGACGGAGGACATGAACGTTCGGAACTGCACGCGGGAGAAAGATCCTCGGAGGAGGAGAAGGTGGGCGAACATACCCGTACGGTCGATTCAAGAGATGAACCAGATGCTGGTGAGGAATCAACGTTCTTCATGCACAAAGGTTAGTATCCCTGGGATGATCAAGAAGATTTGGAGAAGATTGCGTCATCTTATCGTTTCATTAACGTGCTGCTGCAGGCTCCGGAATGGTCTTCTCCGATTGATCAGCAAATTCTTGAAGCTAGGAGAGAGATTCTCAACGCCCCGATAG